TGTCTACTGTTTCTCTTTCTCAATCTCAGGAATATTATTTTAATAATTCTGGGGAAATATCTTCTTACGCAAATCAAAGTGTTGGCGAGCTTGGAAAAAGTAAAGACTTACATCGAAATAAATCAAAAAATAAAAACTCAATTCGACGCCCATGGTCGAAAGAAGAAGAAGCTGCTTTAAAAGACGGATTATTAAAAATTGGGCCCAGATGGGCTAAAATATTAGAGCTCCATGGTGCAGGTGGAACCACTTCTGAATATTTAAGGAACAGAACGCAAATTCAATTGAAAGANAAAGCTCGAAATTGGAAGATGTATTATTTAAAAAGAAATCAACCTGTACCTGTCTATTTAGACAAAGTTACAGGAGATTTAGACCGTGAAGATAGAGCTATCAGAAGTAGAAGAAAGTCAAGCAAACTTCAAAGTCCCTTGACCATTGTTAAAAGAAACAGAAAAAGTAATCCTCCTGATAACATTCCTGCCATTCAAGTTTCTTCAACTGGCGATGCGGATTTTACTGCCAAGTTAATTCGAGATGAAATAAACAAAATTGATTCTTTGAAATATCACCAACTAAAAGAGACGACTGATGAAAATGAACTGGAACATGATGCTTCACAAAGTGAAAATTTGATGACTGTAGAAGAGGGAAACTTGGGGAAAACCAGCGTTTCAGAAACAAGTGATATTAACATTGATGATAGAATAACTGCAATACAATCCAACAATCACACGGGGTAATTCGTCATTGATGATATTGATTACATTTCGATTTATAAAATTTTTTTTAATTTTATTGGTTTATTCCAACGCTTAGAATTATTATCAAGAAATTGAACGCAATTTTAAAGAAAAAGGGTTAAGAGTATACATATAACATAAAAATATATAAATAAAATATAAGGATGTTCAGATTGATTCAGTTCTAGTAAGAGATTCTCATAAATCAATTCCTGAACTTTTGAACCACCGATACCATCGGTTGCATCAATAGTAATACTGATTTTGTTGGTCAACCCATTGATTTTATCAATTTGCTTTAATACAGTGGATGACTTTTGATAATAGTGTTTGTACCAAACGAATTTGGTACAAGTTAGTGATGATATTGCTAAACTACAAGATGGAGATTTGCAAAGAGAGAGTGCTTCACGTCAATTATTCCAAAACAAACAATGAACGTAAAATTTGAACCTGTGCTATTTTTACCACTGAAAAATATCACACATTTAATACATTTGCAAACCCATTTAAAAATGATTTCCTTTCAATTGTTATACAATTTTTAAAAATTCTGTCAAACATTTTGCTTCACTCTTTTTGTATATATACATCAGATGAAGTGCTTTGGCTTAAAGGTGGAATGACTGTCTACTTATCTCATCAACTGCATTCTCATCTCAATAATCGCCTGTGATATACCAATTCAGTTTACCATGATTAGAAAAATAAACTTTATCTTGATTTTGGTCCTCCTGTAATTTCTACTAAATTAACTATCTCAGCTTAACATCCTTTAGCATATCGCGCGAACTTGATATTTCAATTTCACATTATTAACGGGCAGTACAAATTTCATTCTATTTTTGCAACACCATTATCTTTATAAATGTGTCTTTATATTTGCATGATTCATGTTTGCTTGCACACAAAGTTAAATAAAGTGCACTGTGCAGACGCATAGATAAATTAATTGACTGGTAATTTGATGATGTGTTCAATTAGAGGTCCTACAAAGATTGAATACTCAAACTCATTATGTGGAAGCCGCCAATGCTATATGGCACGACAAAATGACTGTTACTGGAGATAACTTTAGCTGCCATCATTATTGGTATTCATGACTCATTTCAGCTCTGATTCAAATATTAAGCATTGACAACTTCATTTAAATCTGCTAATTTTTTAGTTCTTCAAGTATTTGCTAACCAATGATTTGATTAATCTACTTAAAAAATCTTTATATAGGAACATTAAGCGCCAACCGAATTAGTGCATAACTAACAAATATTTTATTTTTCAGTATTATCGATGCGTTTTAAAGCGATATATTGACCTCTGCAACATATGATAGATAAATCTATTGATCATTAAATGGCATGTTAACATTAATATTGATAACATCAGTTTTAATGTTAGTATTAATACTCCTGATCAATACACGGATTATTCCCAATGTGATTTCTTTAATTATTTAAATAATAACCGAACAATTTTGTCTTCTCTGCAGGGTGATCATATATTGGATCTAATGCAAATTTGCTGGACAGCTTTACTATTATTGTTTTCATTAGTGTTTACTAAATTTTATTTCATATTCATGAATTTGAAAATTTGCCTTGTACTAAAATTTTGACAATGGGTTTGGGATTTGTTTGCACATTTGTTAGAGTGCTTGGGTTAATCATTGTATAATTTTGTAAAATTATTTTTTTCAGATCTAATATAAGCTGGGACTAGAAAAATATATGACGGCGCCAACGTAAAAAGATTTAAAAATAAAGATATTGATATAGATGAACTATATATTTATGATTAGATATATCACTGATTTCAGTCCTGTTGAGATGTTCTAAATTGGCTGATAATCGCTGTACTTGAGGGGGTCAATATATACTAAAAATGAGTTAATCTTTTTGTTCAAGAGCCATCGAAATAAATTTAAATTTGAATCAATAACATTATGGAAACTTAATGGGGAATAATATTTTGACGTTATCAATTCTAATGGGTGAGGTGAGATGAGGATGAGTTAAATGAAATTAATTTTTTTGGGATTGGCGCCCAAAATATCAGAACATAAATAAAAAGATGTGTTTAAGCATTGTGTAATATCTCGATCCGATATAATTTTCAATATTAAACTGGCTTGATTTACAGCCAAAAAATCCTAATATATATATATAAAAGATATCAAGATCTTTTATTAAAATGATGTTAATCACTGTGCCCCGATCCCATTCGTATGAAATATTAACTCCCATCTATATTTCTACCTAATTAAATGAAACGCATTAAATTCAAAAATAAAATAATACATTGATTGTTGTCTTTAATATTCAAAATGCTCACCATTTTGTAACAACTGGATGCAAAACAGTGTCAAAACTCTCAGAGATATAGTGAACCATGAACACTATGACATTTTAACGAAATTGGTGCAAAGCTTTTCAACGATATTTCTTGAGTGAGCTATTTGTATCCTTTAAATTGTAGGTCCCCAAAATGAGATTATCTCAATTTCGCATAACTTGAAATGATTTGGTTAATAACCGTTTAGCTTTGTAGCCTAAGACAAACCATAAACATCATATTATTTACTTGAACATATGAGTGTAAATTTGAGATTGTCAAATTGCATATAATTACAAGAATGAGCGGCAAAAAAAAACCCATTCCTCCAGCCTTACAGATGACTTTTCTGAAGTAGATGACTAGAATACCACCTATTAATATCGGTAGTATGAAAGACGCTGGAGGACAATGAGAAAAATAACATGTTGAATTAGGCTAAGCAGATTTTAGAAACTGATAAACTAGAAAAAAAAGCAATCATAAGGCAAAATTCGAAAAGCAAACACATACAACCAAAGCCAAGATCAAATTCTTTCATAATATGGTCGATAAAAATATAAAAAGATATTATGAGAGGATATAACCAAAATTGAAGAATTAATAAATAATATATATCTTGGAACAGTGTCTCAACAGAATATTGTCTGTAAGTTATTAAAAAAAAGAGGGATGGTTCATGTATTTGAAAAAGAAATTAACATTTTAAATAATGTAGATCATAAAAATATCATTAAATTTATTGGATTAATTTTAGATCAAAATGATAGAATTATTGGAAAGGGATTTGAATATTTTGAAGAAGAGAATTTGAATAGAATGAACAAACATGTACTGGATCAAATTGAAAAGGATGTCAATTATTTACATAAAAATAACTTTTTCCATGGTGATTTGAAACCTGATAATATATAGATTAATGATAAAGATGAGGTTAAAATAATAGATTTTGGAGGAGGAGCTTCACCTAAATACAACCCAGAATGGATACATGGTAAAGAAGCTGATTGGATTTGCCTAAAGCTAATTAAAAAAAGCTCGCTAGTAGTGAAAACCTCCCTGAATAATTACAACAACTTATTTTATAGTCTGAATTTTATAGTATTCAAACAATATACCTTTGCCATACTCGATTATTTTGTTTCAAAGCTGACCGCTTTCTATTAAAATATTTTTAGCATCGAGCTCTCTTTTGAATATTATTCTGATTGCTGCTCCTTTTAATGTTAGAATATGATTGTTATTTCTGTTGCTGTTTTCATTTCTGTAGAATATATTGATCAAATGTAACTCCATCCGGTTCCTACTTTATCCAAGTGTTAATTGCTTAATGCATGAGTAGATTTGAAAGAACTATGTCGAGATGTTAATAATTCATGTTTATTTTCCAATCCTAGTTTGTTTATTTGATTTGTTTATTCAATTTATGATTACCATTGTCCCTGTCATACTTTAAAATGAAAATTTAGAAAACATACTTTGGATTCTTCACTGCTTGAACCAACAAAAATTGAGACTTTTTTAGCCTCCTTTTGAAATTAAATCTGCTATCTAGCGTAATTTCATATGAGCTTAATTTGAGTGATTTCTATCAAATAAATTTACTTGGGGAATTCCATTGTGACTCTTGATTTCGGCTCTTTTTGCCTATCGTTTATTATATTGCATTCTAAACTTCTTTTCAAGCTATTGGTTGTAAGCCACTCAAAGTAATGATTAATTGTATTATATAATTGAATATTATACCATCTATCTGTTTTTATTGTTTTTGTTTGAAGTTGGTTTAAATTCGTCAAATGATTAGTTAAATTCGGTTGATCTGAATCCATCGATAACTTCAACCACTTTCTCAGGATGTCTTGGATCGAAATCATCTTTTTTAACTGTGTTCCTAAACTTCATAATTAGTGCTGGAGAATATTCTCAAACTATTCGAAAATTTTCAAAAGTGTTAAATTCTGACAGAATGATAACCGTCAGAGACATAAGCAAATAATCCAACCAAAAACTTAATGGTTTAAAATAATTAATATAGATATTCAGTTCTAGTAATATATCTGAATGTAAATTATTTTGGAAGTATATTATTCAACTGGTAATATCAAAACAATGTCAAGATCCTTTTTTAAAGGACATTTGGATATTTGGCAGTCTTAACTTTTTTGAACGTCTTGAAATCAAAACATTATCTTGACCACATTTAAACATACTTTATTCTATTTTTGATAATTTCTAACAAGTTTTTTACTAATCTTTGAAGTGTATTACCTGTTTGTATTGCACTTAAAACACCAAAACATTGCAATAAACAGAGCCTTTTGGTAAATTGGTCATGCATCATCTTGGAGGAAGCAGTATCCTTAGAAATCATATTCTGGCCATTGATAAGATTTGTTTGATAATTATTGCAAATCAGATCCGAACTTTTGAAGCAACTGTCAAAGTTAATCATAGTTTCGTAGTTTGGAATTACAATAAAATCCCGAAAGTAAATTAATAAAAACCGTTTGATAGATAGATTTTCTTCTGGTATCAATAACTCATACCAAAACTTTTTTGATAATTGAGGAGTATTTAGAATTTTTCCAGATCCTTCAAACTCTAATTGAATTGGGAGAAATATCGCTTCAAGATATGATAGCACATCATTATAAAAAAATTCCCAAAGAGTAGCTAACTTATTTTCAATGTTTTCAAAATCATTTTCTCCATTGATGATATTTGAATTAGGATGAATAATTCTTTTATTTAAAGTTTCATCAACAAAAAAACCTTCATTAATATCTTGTTTTTGATTAAAATTATTGTTATTATCCATATTATAGGGTTTACCGACAATATTATTTATACTGTTGTTTCTATAATTGTCAAAACTGGTATGATCAATAGAATCAATATTTCCCGAATAGAGAATATCTTTTACTTCATCATTTTTTTCACCAGACATAATTATTCCATTTGAACGAGTGTGATAAGTAGTATAATTCTCACTATGGGTTTTTTTGTCATGATGATAGTCGCCTTTATAAATGTTATTAAAAATATTATTATTCTTCACGTTATTAAAATTATTTTTGTGAGAGTAAGTGTTGTTGTTTTTATCGTTATCAGGAAGGTTTAATTGTGGTGAGTTTGAATTACTGTGGTGTTGTTGAACATCTAAATTAGCTCTTGATGATTGATATCTCTTGTTTTGTTTAGGTAAAGAAAATAAAGAATCGTTTTCATATGAATCTTCGGCGTAAAATTTATTTAATTTAGACTTTTTTTTTGTTTTGTTGTCAATATTTGATTGATTTTCCATTACCGATAAGCCCACCTTAATGAAATCCTGAAAATCATTCATGATCATTATAGAATCAGATTTTGATAAGTTTTTCTTTTGCTTTTCCTTTTTAGAATTTCCTAAAATATTTTGATTGGTTTCATTAGTAGTGTGAGAGTTAAATTTCAATCCATAACTAGTGTGGTTACTGGAAACACTGCTTCTGCTTTTGTGAGTGTAGTTATAGTGAGCAGATTCGGGTTTAAAGTTTTGCAGATTGACAGTTTTCGAGTTAGTGTTAGTGTTAGTGGCAAAAGCTATATGTTGTTTATTTGGAATCTTATTAAAAGTAAATTCATTAGTGTTATCATCATCGTTTGATGTAAAAACCTCATTTCCGATTCTTAAAGAGAGATATAAATCAACCAATTTATTTAAATCCTCAATTGTAACCTTTAAAGATTCCCCTTTAAATAACGGAATGACGCTGTCATATAAAAGAAACATCAAATCTGTTGTCATCGAGTCTTTTTCTTTTGATGACAATCTACTTGTACTATTCTGAGGATCAATGTCAATTGAGCTTTGAATATAGGCTAATTGTTTTAAGAAGTCGTTTGAAAATGTATTGTTATTTCTGTTGTTTGTGAAAGTTGATGATGAAGATATAGTTGGGTTGAAATTATATAGAGTAATGCCATTTGAAGTTAACAATTTTGAGTTGGACGTGCTTGAAGAAAATGTGTTATTTGAGTGTAATAAATCTTTTCTGGACCGTAAGTTAATATGGTGATGATGGTTATGATTATAGCTATACGAATGATTATTGGAATGATTGAAAGATTTTTGATTGAAAAGATGTTTATTGTAATCTGGATTTTGAATTTTGGAATTAAAAGTATCATTATTTGAATTGAACTTAGTCGATGATTTAACAAAATTGCTGTTCAAAGGAGAAGCGATTGATAAAGTTGAAGATTGAGAGGTATCTATAGTTAGCCTTTTTTTCAATTTTTCAGAGCTAGTATTGCCATTATTGTTAATGTTTTGAGAAGTGTTTTCATGAAACTTACAATTCTTTGAAGTTAAATCATTATTAGTTTCATTATCGTTTTTCAGAGTGAAAGGCAATGAGTTTTTTCGATTTGTGAGAGCTGTAGCTTTTTGGGCAAATAATTTGGCCTTTTGTAAAGCCTTCCTGTTTTTGACTGATTTACTTGTTGTGTTGTTTCTGATGTCCTCGCCAGCCGTAAATGCGGTTTTATTATCGTCCATATTATGATTAGCAGCAGGATGAGTATTAAGTAAAATGTCTTTTGATACGGAATTTGAGATTGTTGGAGTTAATGGATTGAAACCAATATTTGAAATACTTGAAGATGAAGGAACATTAAACTGGTAGTGTGGATTCAAATTGGATGTTGTTGTAGTGATAGAAGCAGAAGAGTTATTTCTGAAATTATAGAGACTTGGAGGAAGTGTTGAGTTTAATGCATTTACGCTGGGATTAACAGTATTCGTCAGCAGATCATGGTCATTAAGAATATTTGTTGACAACAACCTCGTTTCACTTGCCAAAAGATTAAGAGTGTTAATGGTTTTTGCTCTTCCAGCCATCAAATTGCTATTGTCGGCCTTGTATCTGGCATCATTGTAGCCATCAAAAGACCTTCTGCTGGAGTCATCTATGGAGTAAAAGCTCGTTCTGGAGGGATAATGGTCTGTAGGAGAACTGAGACTGGTAGATCTCGCATGAGCAAAGGTAACCGAAGATAATGTGGAGGAGCTTCTTCTTCGGTGCACGTGGTTTTGAGCAGTGGAGTTCATTTTCTGGAAAAACGTTCAGCAACACAAGTAGCAAAAGCACCATTGGAAGCAAAAGGGCCTTCAAAAACGCCGTTAAAAGTAAAAACACCAGCCCAAAAGCACTAGCCTCAATTGCCCCGGAGCACTGCAGCCCTAGGGCTCTGGTGCATGCATGTTGACGCATCTCAACAACAGCCGCAATTTCAGGGCATTGTCCGTCCATCTCACTGAAGTCTGGTATTTGGGGGCACGAAATGGTATAAATACAGATGGGCCCCTTCATCCCTCTCTCTGCCTCTTCTTCGTCTGGTTCACGAACTCGTTTGGCGCTGCTCGTTTTTACTTTAATTATCTTCCTCTAGATTTTACACCACTTATCAGTTTGTCCTAATACTTTTCATTCAAATAGTCAACAATGGGTATCTTAGATGCAGTTCAAGGAAAAGTGCAAGAAAACATGCAAGAAAGGATGAAGAACCAGCTTATTGACAATGTTGAGGATAAACTCAAAGCAAACTTTGGTGTTGATCTTGATTTTAACAACAATAACAAAAAGAAAGAATCAGGCCTTCTTGGTGGAATATCTTCTGTTTTTGGTGGTAAAAAACAAGAAGAGGAAAAGAAATACGCTCTGGGAAGTAATGACTTGTTGGGTGGAATTACTTCTCAATTTTTGGGTGGCGGCTCATCTTCCAATAGTAATAGCAATAACTACAATGATCAATCTTCTGGTGGTGGCTCTGGTGGAGCTTCTGATTTAATTGGAGGTATAGCATCTCAATTTCTTGGAAACAATTCTTCTCAACAAAATAATTTTGGTTCTAACCAAAATCAACAAAATAGTGGTTCATCTGATTTAATCGGGGGATTAGCTTCTCAATTTTTGGGAGGCAAAAAATAATCTGGTTTTTCAACCATTATTCATACCCCTTGTTTTGTATAGGATTTATCTATCTTATTTTTTCAGTTTCTTTTAATCAAACTTCTAAAATTTTATTCATCTTCATCAATATTGAATATATACTACATTTATTCTATCTAAACAACAAAATTTACTAAATAAATTATTTATTGTCGTATTTATTTTTACTTTTTCCTTGGTATTTCTTTACAATACTCATTGTTTTGTTAGTATTCCGATTATTCTTTTTCGTCTTCTTTTTCAAAATATTTATTATATAAATAGTTTGTGAATCCCATGAATATTGTTGTTAAAATAAATGAATAATCTTATTCATTCTTTGACAAGAGGTTCCACTTCATAATCGAAAAGCACTCTATGTTTTCTTGACTTTACAACTAACAAAAATTTTGATATTAGACTAAATCCTTTGACTAAAATATAAAGATTCTTACCTGAACTATTAACAGCACCAGAAATATTTTTTGATATTCAAATTGGTGATTCAAACTTCGTCAATTGCAGTCCCAGTGAAAGATCCTTTTTAAAGAACTCAAGTCTAAGGTCTCTCACCTTTTGAAACAGTAAAACCATCAATTACAACATTTATGCTTTATTTTTTAATAATAGAAAGCAGTCTGGATATATATCGGTTGATAGTACAAATATCACCCTTTAATAGTGAACGAATTTCTAATTTTTGAGCATTAATATTAGATAAAAGTGCTAAAAAAACAGATAATGAGGTGGAGGAAAACTTTAGCTGGAATAAATTTTCAAAAAGAAAATCATTTAAAGTTATTTAACAGGTAAATGAATGACGGTTCAATGTAAATATAATGATAGTTTATAATTAAAGTTAAAAAAACATTATTTAAAAAGCAAAACCTCCATTTCATGTAGTTTAAGATAATATTTTGAACCAGTTTGTTGAGACAAAATGGATATAGAGGATTGAAATTATTAATAATTAACTCACACTGATTTCACCATATAGTATTGTTTGTATAAAAGCTACTATTGAATAGAAGCTGCAAGTAAATAAAAGATCGACATTTCATATATCCTACGTGTTACACATGAATCTGCAGCCACGCTAAACTCAATCCAAAGCTTTTGCTAAACGCACTATCTGCAAGTCAAAGCATGTTAAGCATGCATTTTTTTCGAGATGGAATCAGACAATAGGGTGTCCGCAGTTTACGTATTGGTTCAGTCGTAGAACTATTATCTTAGCTATTTTTCCCAATAAATCTTCTTTATAATTATCTTGTTTAGTAATTGAATTCCTAGTCGAAAACTAACTTTCTCTTGTTTAATGAAAATTTTTTTTTGTTGTAAATCTTATAAAAGGCTGTATTATTTTCTTGATTTTCTGATCACTAAATTTAGTACTATAGTCTTAGTATTTAGTTTATTATGATTCGATACTGCTTCCATTTCTATTAGAGAGTTTCGTCACTAAGAATATTTTAATTTTATGAGATTATTATATATTTGCATTATCAGCACAAACAATCATTGTTTTTATCTGTCGATCAAACAACAAATAACAAAACCAATTGAAATTTATCCATTATTTTAAAAATTAAAGAATTCATGGTAACAAAGTTTTGTTTAAATAGTAGATTATACAACAAAATCTGAAATGAAAAACTTGCAACTCCTTTGTTTTATAGAAAAGACAAATAAAAGAAATTGATCTTTTAATCATCGTATTTGATTTGTTGAGAATAAGAAACCAATTTTTAGCTTCCAAAATTATTTCGATTTAAGTTCAATATTTGACATACAACTCTTCTTTTTGAAAAAAATAATAACAAAAAGTCAATGTCTAATAAATGAGAACAAGTGCTTTCAAATATTTTATTGCAATAGATTCTAAATTCTCTACAACTATCAAATCTAATATCTTAGTCTTATAATGATGTCAAAATTTTATATTATTTTTTTAGTTATGTTCATTTTGGTGTAGGAACTTTAGAATAAATTGACTTTTTAGTTTGAATTTTGAATTTTGAATTTTGATTTATCATAATGAGTAATTTAATATTTTTTTAAGAATATTATTATATATATAACCATAAAACTAGAATATCATTAAATATGAATATAAATTGAAATAAAACAAAAGGCATCAAAATTATATAAATTATATCAAAATTAAGAATCTCTAACATTTCAAATTTTTTTATAAATCAAACATACAAGATAAATTTAAGTACCATTCTATTAGAGAATTTCGTAGCCTTTAAAATCGCTTTGATAAACCTCATTTAAAAGTTTTCCATAAGAGGGAATACCTTGAAGGTAGTTTAGCATTTCAATTTTTTTTCCAGGAATGTTAGCCCCCATATACCAAGATTTTGCCTTTGGAAATAGAGAAGAGTTGGCAAAGTCTTTCAAATTGTTTGAATAATTGAGTTGGTGTTCCTTTTTAGCCTCAATGGACTTGAAATCATTTTGAATCATATGGTCAATAATGAATAAGATGAATTTTGATTGTAGTTCAACACAAGTTGGGCCGTTAGCGAAAGCCGTTGGAGCCTGGGGACCATAAGTGTAAAACATGTTGGGATAACCATTGATAGATAAACCTAAATAAGTGTTGCAGCCATCAGCCCATTTATCACGTAGTATCTTACCAGTGTCAGCATCTTTCAAATCGATATTTTTAAAAGAACCTGTGACAGCATCAAAACCAGTAGCTAAAATTAAAATATCAAACTTATATTCATTACCTTCCTTTGTTTTCAACCCGTTTTCTGTGAATTCATAAATGGGATCATTTTTAATGTCGATGACGTGAACATTTGGTTTATTAAACTGTTCATAATAATCTTGTTCCAAACTGGGACGCTTTGTACCAAAAGGATGAGGTTGAATCTTTGGGGCTAAAATCTCAGCAGTTTTTGGATCATGAACTCTTTTGATAACGGAGTTTCTCCAAAAGTGGTAGGCCTCATCGTTTGCTTTTTGGTTAAAATAGATGTCTTTATAATTAGCAACCCAAAAATTGAAGCCACCTCTATCAAACAATGTTTGGTAAAAATTTTGACGGTCTTCTGAAGAATCGTCAAAGGTATCTTTATCAACAAAAGTAAAGGTAAAACCGCCAAAACTATCAAATCTGCTGTTTAATATTTTTGAATAATTTTTCTTATTTTTTTGAATTTCTGGGTTGGACACTTGTCCCATTGGTAAACATAAATTGGGAGTTCTTTGAAAGACAAATAATTCAGATGCAACTTTAGCAGCCTCTTGGGTGATTTGTACACCAGTTGAACCTGTGCCAATTAAACCAACTCTCTTGTTTGACAAGTCGACATCAGATTCCGGCCATTCATTTGAGTGATAAACCTTCCCTTTGAATCTGTCAAAGTTTTTAAAGTCAGGTTTGTAAAGTCTTGATGCAAAACCCACACATGGCAAAAAAAACTTAGCATAACATTTTTTTTTTGAATCCGAAGCCTCAATATACCAATAACCTGATTTTCTATCAAATTGAGCCTGACTAATAAAAGTATTAAAATCAATATCTTTTTTCAAATCCAATATTTGTTCAACATGATTGAAATACTTCCTTAATTCACTCCAATCGGGAAATCTTTCGGACCAAGTCCAGGTGTTATAGACCTCTGGGATATTTAGCTCATAAACTGGAATATCGCTATCTACCCTAGCACCGGGATATCTATTTTTCCTCCAAGTTCCACCTAAATCATCCAAGGCTTCATAAATGTGAGTTTTTAACCCTCTCTTTCGACACTCATGTAATAACTTGACACCACTAAAGCCGGCGCCTAAAATGCAAACATCATAAATGGGAATTGAAGAATCAAAAGTTTGAGTCATGATGCAAAAAGTAGACAATAAATGATAATATCAAAAGATAAATTGGGAATTGATTGAAATTGAGAATTGGTTTTGCTTTAAAGTAATTATCTGGTTAGTAAAAGCTGATGATAAGAGAGATATGGAAAGACGAAAAATGTGGGCTATCTTTAGAGATATATATAAGTTTGGGTGAAAAACATAAAAGAATAGAATCCAGCTAAAACTAAGATATTTCATCCGAAGATAAACACAAAATCGGATCTTCGAGCAATGAAGTTAATGATGGTGTAGCTAAATAGTGTTTTTGTGAATGCATGCTTCCAATTTTTCGGAAGATAGTGGAGAATGGATTTCAGTTTGGGGAAAGAAAAAAAACAGAAAACACAGCACAACTCTCAGCCAGACGACTTGAAAAGTGAAGATAGTAATGTCATCTTTATCTTTACTTATGAGCGAGCAACAACCAATAACCAATAACCAATAACCAAAACAGAGCTGCAAAATGATCGGACTTCAGTGAAGACATGGAGTTGAAGGAGTTGTGCTCGGAGCTTGGAAAAGATGACCGAGATCCTCTGAAAAGTTTCGTAGAGCCCAAGACGTCAAAGCTAGGATTGACACATCGGCGTCGACTATTTGAGCCCCAACCCCGCAGCAGACCGCGCAGGTGCGGACCTCCCACACTCATGGGGCGCGTAAAGAAGCAGCCCGCAGGTACCAAAGAACCATCATTATGGAACTGTATGTATGTATTAGTGCATGTATTAGTGCATTCATTACAGCATTGTGCATGCACCGTCCAACTATGTTGCAAACTCACTGCTCGGTCGCCTGGCGGTGGACGCCACAGAGCTGGGTTGCTACATGGATGTATACAACAAGGAATATCACAACAATAAGAATGCTTAAGGTTTGTAAGATAGACCTGTGCTGTGATTGTTGTTCACGTTCTGATTCCGATAACTCAAGAGCTTTGGGATGAACCTCCAGGGTTGTTCGAACTTTCTTCCCAAAAGGTCCCTTATTCAACATATATGCAGCAGCCTAATATAATCCAACTCAATCCAGCTTCTGTGCTCCTATTGGTCCATGCTCAACAGCACTTTCATATGGAGGAAGTAACAGTCATCCAAATCAAACAACACTACCATCCCCACCTTCTCAATTGCCAATTCTCTTCATTTTGTCCAGATTTCAACCTTCCACCTAAAAAGAAACACTTATTTCCCACATTTCACCATGGGTATAAATTAATACAAATTCTTTTCGCTTTCATAGCTCGTAGTCTCTTTTCATGAGATAATTGCAAACAAGTAATAAATTTTCCAATCACAAATATGGCTTCAACTTCAGTATCTGCCTCTTCAATTGATCAAATTTTGCAGAAATATACCTCCCTATCTGAAAATCCTGTTCCAGGTATTATTGCCGGTATTGTTGATAATCGCAAAGGTTTAGTATATTTGGGCTCCGCTGGTGCCAAGTCGCTTTCTGATCCTCACGATAAAGTATCAAATGATAGCACTGTCGCTTTTTATTCAACCACAAAAGCCATTACTGTCACTGCCTTTCTACAATTACTAGAATCCGGTAAAATCCATTCAATTAACGACTTGGTAGAAGATTATATTCCTGAATTGAAAAATGTAACACTATTGTCCAGTTTTGAAGAAAACGGAAATCCAATTCTAACGGCCCCCAAAACAAAACCAACTTTGTTGCATTTGGTTACCCATACTGCTGGTTTTGCATATGCATTTTTCAATGAAAATTATAAGAAACTCCAAGAAAAAACTGGTTCTCCAAATATCTTGGCCTCAACTTGGAAAGAATTTGACACCCCTTTAAATTTCGAGCCTGGTTCTCAATGGGAATATGGATCTAATATTGATTTTCTTGGTAAAGTAGTTGAGAATGTCAGTGGCTTAACTTTGGATCAATATTTTAAAAAGTATATTTTTGAACCCTTGGATATTCAATCATTAACTTTTATTAGAACTCCTCAGCATTTTAGTAACCATACTTCAATTCATCAAAGAGATTATAAAACTAAGAAAACAGTTGCTTTGCCCGAATTGCATCCAGCCGTTCCTGAATTCCATTGTGGAGGCCATGGTTTATTTGGTAAAGTTGAAGATTATTTGAAATTTTTAGAGATATTTTTACACAATGGTAAATCACCCACCACAAACCGTCAAATACTAAAGCCTGAAACAATTCAAAATTACTGTTTTGCTTCTTTATTACCTAAAGGTTTGGAGATAGTTCCATTGCCTGCTTCTCAACCAAATTTATCTAATCCTGTTGAAATTGCTCCTGGTGTACCAAAAACGTGGACCGCTAACTGGTTAAGAATTGATTCTGAATTACCTACAGGCAGATCAAGTGGTTCCTTTATGTGGGCAGGGTTGACCAACTTGTATTATTGGGTTGATCCCAAGAAAGGTATAGCTGGTTTTTTCGCTGCTCAACTTTTCCCATTTTATGATCCAAATTGTTTATCCGCTTTTCAAGAATTTGAAACTGCTGCTTACCAATTATTAAATAAATAGTTTCCACTATTTATACTAGTTATACCATTTATGCTTTAGCAATGTTTTCATAGTCTTTTTGTTGTATGTTTGATTTTTATATTTTTTGATACTTTTTTAAATTAAATTTTTAATTTTACTCCCAATTAGTTATAATTAATTACAATCAAGAGTCTTTCTATAAAAAGAATTTGTATTTCTCTTTAAAAATTTCATAATTTGATGATAAAATAAACGTATTTGAGGATTAATTATGATATGAGAACTTAAAACGAAATTTTATTCAACCAAGATTTGCACCAAGGAAAACAAACTAATTCAAAACATGTATATCTATGATCTTGTTGTTTAGGAGAAAGAAATAATTAAGCACTCTAGATATTACACGTTGTTACTTACGACCTTGTTGAAATTAAACACAAACAAATAACCCCAAAAAACCATTCTGCAATTTTAATTATAAATCAGCTTTATTCATATTAATAATGGTATACTGGTTTGTAAAGAAAGAATTGTTTGCTTCAACTGCCCTTTGTCTAATAATAACTCCTATGTTCTAACAGTGGTTGAATTGCACATGCTAAATGAAAAACACCGCTCTCAATTTGTCTATTCGAGTTTTCTTCCTTCTACTCAAATATACAAGTAGCCGCTCAGTTCACCATAAACTAAGAGAAAAGAATATAGCAAGTCCCAACTTAAGCAATGAGTGTTGATAATAAGTCTGGTAAAGATGCTGCTGATCTTGGTATCACTTCTGAAAACCTAACATACATTTATCCTTCAACCGGCGTAACTGGTCTAGCAGATGTCAACATTAATTTACCATGGAATTCTCGAACTTTGCTTATAGGTCCTAATGGTGCTGGAAAATCGACATTATTGCGTTTATTAGCTGGAAAAACTCTTGCAAAATTTGGTTCAATTAGAATAGGAGGCTATGATCCTTTTAGAGGCGGTTCAGATGCCCAAGGAATAACCACTTACTTGGGTACTGAGTGGGCATCGAATCCAGTGGTTAGAAGAGACATGTCTGTATTATTGTTAATCAACTCTGTTGGCGGTGACAATTTTCCCGAAAAAAGGGATGAGTTAATTGAATTGCTAGATATCAATCTCAATTGGAAAATGAACAATGTTAGTGATGGCGAACGGAGAAGAGTGCAATTGGTAATGGGTTTACTAAAACCATGGACCGTATTGTTATTGGATGAGGTGACAGTTGACCTAGATGTCCTAGTGAGAGCAAGATTAATAGCATTTCTAAAAAAGGAAACACTAACTCGGAAGTGCTGTATTGTTTATGCTACCCACATATTCGATGGTTTATCTACTTGGCCAACCCATGTTATTCACATGAGTGGTGGCAAAGTATTGAAAAATTTAGAAATCGGTAAAAGTTTGATTATTGATGATAAAACTCATAATATCAGCAGTGAAACGTATGGGGATTCTATTGAAAAGGCCATTTCCATTGCTGGAAAATCAAAGGATGTTGTTCAAAGTAAAGAACAAGAAAGAATTAAATTGGAACCTGTTTATAGTATACATCCTTTAGCATTAAACTGGTTAGTTCAAGATTTGGTTGAAAGAGGTTCGAGAGAAGAAGAAAAAAACAGACCTACGTGGGAGGAATTGAAGAAGAAATTTGAGCACATCTATTTCGATCAACCAGACAGGGTTGGTGAATATTTTAGCAGAAATAGAAGGTTATAGTTCTGGAACTGTAAATAATAATACCTGATATTCAGAATCCATGTTTCTATAACATATATATGTGAAGTCAAAAAGTACTTCAAAAAGAGTTTATGTAGCAACATTTCCAAATTAAGCAGTTACATAATTCCATCAAGCCATGTTCCACATTTCTGGCCACAAACCTAATCGCTTGATTCTTGTTTGCAGTTTCTTTTTTGTGGCTACAAAATCCTCAAACCTCATTTTGACACTTTTCATACATCACACTTTTTTGCTCCTTCTGATTTGACCCTTTTCTTTTTGACTCAACATTTTGGTTCTCCTTTTTCCAAATTTATTTACCTGGAAATTAATTTTCTCTTGACTGACTGTCTCTTCAATACACAAAAAACCAAAGTTTACAAATATAACCATTAGACATTTATTTTAATCAAAATTTCAAAACCTTGTTATATCTTGAAATATTATTTTTATTTTCCAATATGGTTTCACCAACTAAACTGCAAAGCGTTCCACTTCCATTTAACAAACAAATACAAATTCTTCAGCATAAAATTCAACTCATAGATAATGATAGACAGCTACTAGAAAGGCAGATAACCAAAAAGTTAGATGGTCTCAAGGATACTTCCTTAACAGAAGTTACTGCTTTATTGCCTAACCTTGTAAAAATAACAAAAAATCAGCTTAATTTGAAAAATTATTACAATATGAGAGGTCATGGAAACCAAATACAGTGTATGAAATGGGCTTCAGACTCGAGACATTTATTGTCTGCTGATTGCGACCACAAAATGCTCTATTGGGACGCAACTATTGGATTGAAAATTGGAATACTAAAATTAAATTCAACAGAATATACTATTTCTTGCGATATTTCACCTAGCTCAAGGTTAATTGCTGTTGGCTGTTTAGATAATAGGTGTTCTATATTTCGCTTACCTGACTACGAATCTATTTTCAATAGATCTATCAATTATGATAACCACATCAAGTCAAACGAACCCAGACAAAATAACATCGAATTATCTACCCTATTTACTTCACCATCATTGCTAACTGTTTTGGCTGTCCAGGACAAGGATGGCTCAATACAAACATGTGAATTCCTTGATGATTCTTCAATATTAACAACCTCGAGCAAGAATATTCATCTATGGGATATAAATAAAAGTATAGCCGTAAGAACATACGAACAGAATCTTTCAGAAATACTAGCTGTGACAACAAACATAAGAGACCGGGGAATTAGGAATGGAAATTTGTTCATTGCTGGAGGTGTTAACGGTTCAATAAAAATATACGATCACAGAAGTCCTTCGTCCATTGCAAAATTATCAATTCCATTAGAGTACAATCCTTTCAATAATAGAAATATATTCAATGATGTTACTTCTTTGAAGTTTCTTCCAAAAGATAATTATTATGCGGTTGGAACTAGCTTGAAAAGCATTTATTTCTATGACATCAGAGTTGGATCTGTTGAGTTGGATAAGTTTTTGATAAATTCACCTGCTAATAGTGAATTTAGCAAAATAAACAAGTTTAACATGGACATTTCGCCAGTATCTGAAAATTACGGGACCAGCTATGGATACAATGCCTCACCATCATCAGCATCGATAGCTTCAACTACTGATGACGACGGGATCATGGATATCAGCTTTTCAAAATCAGGAAGGTTAATGTTTACAGCTGTTGATGGAATTGGAGGGCTTGTTTGGGACACCTTAACAGGTTGTATAATTAACAAGATTGATGGGAGAGAATGTGATATACGCCACATTTCTGTATCTCCTGATGGTTTAGCAGTTGCAACAGACTCTTTGAAGAAGGCTACAGTTAATATTTGGTCGTCTTCACCAGATTACCAATAATTTCCTTATTTTAGTTTTGTTTACTGTTTTGATTGTACTTTTGTAATTCAGTTTGTTTGTTCATTTCTTTTCATTGAAATATCACTATGTATGTTATTTTTATTATGTGTTAAAAGACATTTTCTATAATGAATATAATGTTAATTTAAGCTATATTTCTATAATCCTTTAAAGAACAGTTTAGTTCAGCAAAGCAGAATAAGCTCAATTAATAAATTCACTATAACCTCTTTCTTTTAGTTTCTCATTAAAAAACTTTTCAAGTCTATTAGCAGTTTTAATGTAATAAGCGCTACCTTGGTTGAATTTTCTACAGTTGTTAAAAATTAATCTGGCATCATAAACAAACTGTTCAAATTTTTCGTAAACTCGATTTTCGAAATTATTTTCCATCGTTTGTAGGTCCATGGGTTCTTTGATAACATCATAATAATTTGGAGCCTCTTCAGTAGTGACTGGAACCAAAAATGGAGAAGCAGAAGGATGATTTTGTAGTTCGTTTAATAGTTCATCCATATCTTGATAATGAGAAGCACGTTTGGGAATCTGAGATAAGGCTTCCATTTCAGGGGTCCAACCACTTTCTTTGATCCCTGGTATAGATAAAGGATCCAATTTAGCAGTGGGATTTGTTTTGAAGATTTTCAAGCCAGGCCTTATAATATTTGATGAAGTAGATAAAGATTTAATTTTTTGAATGATTGCAATTTGTTGTAGTAATAGAATTTTGTTTACATCAAGATATCTAAACTTTTTAGGCAAAATAGAGCATTGCATTAAGGTAACCCCTTCGTAGTTTTTGATGTAACCATCCCATCGTTTTTTGTCCAATGTTATTTCTTTCGAAAATCCTTGTTTTTGGAAATAGCCAACAGCTTGATTATCAGCACATGTTAAAAAGTGCTTAATCTTTGAGTTTGTTACAACGTAGTCTTTTAAATGATTCATCAAAAGTGCACCATCACCTCGACCTTGCACAGTGGAGGATACAGCACAAAATACAATTTCGGCAAACTCTTTTGATTCAAAGGGCTTGTACGTTATACCGCCAAATACATTTAAGGGTTTTCTAATCAAGGCAATTGAAACGTGAGATTTATCAAAGACCAATCTCGATATGTAATCTATTGGCATCAAAGGAAGTTGTTTATGAAAGAGGTTTTTCAAGCCCGTTAATATCAATAAACTCTCTTTAGAATCATCATTATTGACGACTTTAAATTCGATTTTCCCTTCTTTATCCTCAATAGCAGCTAGTTTTTCTTTATAAAAACAAGACTCGCTGTCGGGAAGGTTTAATTTAAATGGAATATTATTTTCTGAGTCTTTTTCACTAACCTGTTCGACAAAAATTTGTTTTTCCAATTCCATTCTCCTGTTTGTTTTTGAATCGCTTTTGCTGCTGCCCTGTTTCAACCGCAGGTCATTTTTATCAATTGACAGATTTTTGTCCGGATTTTTATCAAGATCTTCATTGGAGTTCAGCTTGTTGGTTTGATCTGTGGTAAAATTAGCGATGTCAATTTGGGCGCCCTGGTTGAGCTTGATTTTCTTTTTTAGTAATGAAATGTCGTCATCTGGTGTGTCAATAGCGTTCCTTTTTAATGAATTCATTTATCTCTTTTCATCAAAATTAAGGGATTATTTCAACATTTAGCAAATATTGGTGGTTAGCAGGTCAAGTGTAGATGAAAACTCAGCTCATGTTGAAAGTACCATTATATGGTGCATAAACGGGTAACCATAAACCGACCCAGCGAGAGACTGCAGGCAGCGCATCAGAGCGCAGGGGAGAAAAGGTTCCAGTCCTGAGGGTCCAGCATCACTCTATCCATATATTCTACGTTATGTTGTGGGAATATTTGGGGTGTTTTCTGTGCTGGGTCTTTTATGACAGATGTATTTCCTTGTCGCAGCTGGTTTCTTCAGGCTTCTTGAGGAATACGTGACATTGTTTGTTTTCCCAAGCGGAAGGTGCCTCGCCGAAACTCTCAAACAAGGAGATCCCCAGGCGATTTCGGATAGTTGGGCACATCAGCAAGAGCACACTGGTGGAACAACAAAAGCAGCAGGTATCTTTTCCACCATCAAATGGAGGTAATAGTCCTAGAGATCGATTCAGTGGGCTTCTGAGGAACGGACCGTTTTTCTGAATTGCTCCGTGAACCTCAAGGGAAATCTCCCCATATTAATAAGCAATGATCATCGTAAGTTGTCAAGCTTGTATATATACTCTTATATCCTCAAGTTTCTGATATTTGTTTTCTCTATCATTAATTTGTGTCAATTGCATTTGATATCCACTTTTTAATTTACTCAATCCCAACCCTACTTAATTGACTTTCTACTACATTCATACTCACCCAAAAATGTCTACTATTCCAGAAACAAAACTAGCTGCTGTTTGTGATGACAACTTCAAATGCTCCATTAAATCGTTGCCAGTTGTCAGAAAATTGGGTCCTAGCCAAATTCTTGTCAAAGTTGTATCTGCTGCTGGAAATCCAACTGACTGGAAGCATGTTGCCTACAAAATGGCTGGAATCAACTCAGTCATTGGTTGCGATCTTTCCGGTATAGTTGTCGAAGTTGGTTCGGAAGTTGCTCAGAATAGTTCCTTCAAAGTCGGCGACCACGTCTTCTCAATGGTCCATGGATGTTCAAGGGCTTTTCCAAACAATGGTGCCTTTGCAGAATATGCTGTATTGGATTCTAATTTGACTTTCAAACACCCCAAAGGTTTGAAATTAAATGGAGAAAATGTTCCTGGTGGTCCAATTACAACCTTTGAAGGTGCTTCTTCCATCAATGTCGGCTTGTTAACTGCTGGTTTGGCTATAGGCTTTGAAATGTTCCGCAAGATCCCAACTGAAAAAGTCAATTCACCTTTATTAATTTGGGGTGGTGCAACCTCTTTTGGTCAGTGTGCTATTCAATTGGCTAAAATTTTTAACGTCTTTTCCGAAATTATTGTGGTAGCTTCATCAAAACACGAATCTCATTTAAAGTCTTTGGGTGCTGATAAATTATTTGATTATAATGACGAAAACGTCATTCAAAACATTAAATCCTACACTAATAATAAGCTAGCTTACATCATTGATGGTGTGGCTAACCATCAAACCGTTGTTCAATGCAATGCTATAGCCTCTGATACTTTGCCTGTCCATATAATTGAATTGACTTTCCTTAATGAAAATGATGTTCCAGAAAATGAAAGAAAATCAAATGTAAAATTCACTATTACTTTCCTTTATTGGGCTGGTGGTTATGATGTTGATATGGGAATTGCTAAACTTCCTGCGAGGCCAGAAATCAGAGAGTTTTTGATTTCTTTTGTCAAGTATATCCAGCCCTATGTCATCGACGGAACCATTAAACATATTCCAGTCACTTTAGTACCTGGAGGTTTGAATAAAGTTTCAGAACTTTTGGATGATATTCAGAATGGAAAAAATTCTGGTGAAAAATATGTTATTAATGTTGTAGACAAAATTTAAATACTATTTGGTTTTGAAAATTAATTTGAAGCCCTCTTTAAACCCAATTGAATTAGAATCGTACTTGGATTTTCTAATTACATCTGTTTTTTATATGTTTTACTTTTTTTATTTGCCTTAATTTATTTTTACTTATTTATATATATATATATATATATATATATATAAATTCATAATGTGCATCAAAAATTATTGTGAAAATACATATATTTTTGCAAAAAATTAAAACTCCATCAACCAGAAAATAAGATTTTAGAATCAAGATATACAACAGAAAAAAATATGCTTGAAGAGGGAAAAAGAAAAAAATATGCTTGAAGAGGGAAAAAGAAAAAAATATACTTGAAGAGGGAAAAAGAAAAAAATAAAAATAAAAATAAAAATAAAAATTATATAATTAAAAACACTGCATTACCAATCTTCAATAAACACTCCAACATTTCCTTTGGGATCAGGCGAACCAGTGAGTGTAGAAAAACTTGATTTCTTAAAATCAAGACTGTTCTTGAATTCTAGTAACTCTATTTGTTTTTGCATTTTTAGTTCACTTTCAACTGTCTCATAGCCTTTTAGAGTTATTTCTTTTTCTTCTTTTAATCGTTTTAATAAATCTTCTTCTTTCTTTTGCAAGTTGAATAATATAGCATGTTGTCTTGAGAGTTCAGCAGCTTTGGTCTCATATAAATTAGTGATTTTGGATTTATCTTCTTCTTTTTGATTTTGAATTTGTTTTTTCCTTTCCAGCTTTAAAAGTGATTCCTGCCTTCTTTGGTTGTGCTCTCTTTCAGTTTGTTCTTTTTTGTATCTTTCTTTTTCCTGTTTTTTTAATCTTTCTTCTTCGATGATCTTTAAATCCAGTCTCCTTTGCTCGTCTGCTTTTCTATTTATTTCTTGCAAAACAGGATTGACGTTTCTTCTAGCAACATCGTTTATATCATCAACAGAAACCAACAACCCTCCACCAACATCAATTGTTCCAGAATTACTGTTGATATTCCGTAATCTTGCATTTTCTTGTGCGACCAGTATAGCGTGGGAATTAAGTTTACTGTTGCCAAACAAGTTTATTTTGGAGCTTTCAATGTTTTTGATGGTGTTATCTGCTAAGATTTTAGCCTGATCTAGTATCTTGGTATCATATTTTGATAAATCATAATTCTGGTTTCGGTCATATTTATTCAAATCTTTTACATTTTTTGAAGCTGCACACGCACCAGTAAAGGCATATTCGATAGGCGCAGTTGATGGTGGTTTTTGATTTTTAGAAGAAAACTCAAAGTTTTTGGTATTTGAAGATGCAAGTGTGTTTTTATTGGTTGATAAAAATGAATATTTATTCGTTCTTTCTAATAATTTTTTAGTTTCAATATTCATATTAACTCTTTGTAGTGGATTCGAAGAACGTTTGTCTTTGGGGTTGTTGGGTGTCTTTGGATGATGACTCTGAGAGCTTGCAATTGACTGAGCAGCGGATAGAGCATTACTATCAGGAGTATAGACTATAGACAGTGAAGAACGACTTTTATAATGAGAATATTTATTTTTGGTTTTAACATTTCGAAGATAAAAAGAAGATGTAGTTATGGAATTTGATTTTTTCAAGGTGGTTTTTGGTGGAGGGGGATTGGGAATATTATTAAAACTGAAATTAAAGTCAAGACTGCTTTTGGTGTAGAAAATTGAATTTATTTTGGGAGCTGGTGAAACAGGGTTTTTATGATTTTGTGCAAGAGTAGAAATGTTGTTTTTGGGCTCAGGAGAATTAGTAGACTTAGCAGCAGCAGTAGTGTGTGATGGTGAACTACTGCGATTACCAAGAAGAGGCCTGCTTAATCTTGAGGTAGAAGAAGTTGCAATAGATGAACCATCAATTGAGGGAATGCCACTACTGGGTAAACTTTGGTTTATATGAGATTGTTTTTTGAAATGTGTATGGCGGATTGGTGGTTGGGATGTTGGGTTTTGGTGGATTTTTTGGATTTTTTCTGAGGAGGCTAAAGAAGGATCAGACATGATCAACCAGGGGATGGTATTTTGATTGGAACGAGAAGATGGTTCAGATGGGCGTGGTGGGCAGTGGAATGTTTCGGTACAGAAGAAGATAATGATCCAGTGTGGGTTTGCAAAACACAGCAAAAGGAAGGATTTGCACACAGTTATCCTTCTCCAAGCGTGGAGGTGCTCCTTTTCTGGTTCTAAAACCAGTGGGACGGAACACAGAGTCTTTTTCTGTCTTTGGCTTTGGTCTATATTGGAAAGTTATTTATTGTCCAGCTATTAAAAAAAAAAAGAAAAAGAAAAATGGTAATGGTAATGGTAATGGAATGAGTCTAGATAGCAATTAAACAAGCAAAACAGAGATATTTAAAGATAATTAACAAGCAGATGCATGGATGAATGAGTGGGTTTAGTCATATTGACTTAAAAAGGCACCAAGACTGCCTAAATAGCTTTCATGTCTTAAGAAATAGGCTCTTTTATTGCCATTCGACCAAAAGTTTATGGCGTAGCTGAGAGTTCTGATAGTTATTATATGGTTTCGTATGAAGCTGCCAGCAAAGAATATTTTTTTTAGATTGTGTTTTTCAGCGTGTAGGTAGGATATTTGACCAATGTTGTTGGAAATGGCGTATAGTAGAGATCTGGATATATCCTCTTGTTTGAATTGGGAAAGTCTATTGAACTGGGATAGAGAGGGATAAATTTTATCGCTTTCGTAAATATTTGTTGGGTTGGAGGATTTTGATTTGTCAGATAGAAGAGGGTGTGGATCGAACATTGAAATAGAGCTTGAAATGGAGTCGTTATCATTGTCATAATCGTTATCGAAGTCGTTGTCGTTGTCGTTGTCGTTGTCGTTATGATTGTTGTGGTTATTTTCTGTGGTCAGATCATCAAATTCATTGAAGTAATCATCATCATAAGAAGTGCTATTTACAGATAAGGATTCTTTTGAGTCAAATTCGCTGTCAAAGACGCTTTCATCGTTATTATCGTAGCCGCCATTAACTTGGCCAGTTATTTTTTTGAAAACTTTTCCAAAAGTTGAAGCGATTGTTGTTGATTTCAAGCCAATTTTATTGTAATCAGTGCCATAGATATCGCCAACCAACATGTCAACACCTGCGTTATCACCATTTAAGGCCATATGTAGCATATCATCGTAGGACTTTGCGTTTGTTAATAAAGACAATAGGCCCCATAAAGTTCCGCCGCCGATGGAAGAACCACCGATTCTTTCAAAGGATTTTGGACCAGTGACTTTTATCATGGAAACACCTGAGCCTATATTAACCAATAGGTAGGGATATATTGAGTGAAGAGAAGAGGAAGAATCTATTGAGGAGTCTAGTGGAGAATTCAAAGATAATGAGGATTTTGAGGATAGTAATTCGTGGAATTTAATAAAGCGAATTCTTTTTAGATCGTAATCGGATATATCTTTCAAGGATTCATCGTATATGAAAATTTCATCGGGAATATTGTTTATTAAAAAATTTAAACCGACTATGAGACATTCCATTTCATCAAAGGCTCTCAAGTATGGAGATTTGTTATGAGATTTGTTATGAGATCTGGCAGAAAGAGGATCATCATAGTTTGATAAAAGCAATTCTTGGGACATTAATTTTTCAAATTTAACAGCACCACCACCAGTGGCTGCAATATTTATGGAGTTGTTTTTAAACTGTTGATTAGGATTTGAGATGTTTTGGCTGTTATTGATGTTATAGTTGGATTCAAAAGAAACGTCATTTTCAAGAGAAGATATTAATTTTTTGAGAAAGAAGAAAAAAGATGGAATTAGAGAAGATTCGATTTTGTAGAATTTGATGGTCTTCTTTTTATGATTGTAGTAGACAATTTTTGCCAAAGAACCCCCAATATCAACAGCTATGTGGTTTATCTTGTTGAGTTGGTTTGGCAAGACTATATCTTTTGATTTGTGAATTCTGCCGGTGTGTTTGAGGTCGATAATGTTGTTCTTGACCCCATTTGTAAGAGTGAAATAGTTGGGTATATTGTATTGGTCGTCCAAAATATAAGCGCCCAGAGTGTTGAACGAGTCGATTTGAGAGGACATGAGACGACTATAGAAGAGCAGAAAAGCAAACAAACCAAGAGCACAATGGCGAAGGAAAAAAAGTGTGTAAGCTAAGAGAAAACAAATGATGATAAGAGAGTAGGCTTGTGGAGAGTTGTGACATGGAGAGAAAAAGAGAGGTTAAATAGTTGGAGATGGACAACAGAGGAAGGTGCACTTCCTTCGTTGGATCAACGAGATGCACTTCCATCGCATTCTCGACCCACGACTCATAAACGATCCCAGAACGAAAAGCAACGCAAAAAGAAAACCCAAGCCCAACCCAAAATTGTTCCGAGCCGGTCTCTGCGCGCTCTGCGGGGCTCCAGCTCTTCGGCCTCGCTCACCGGCCTCAAATCCGCTGACCCACCGCCCGGGGCTCGGCAGATGAGCTAATACACGTGCTGAAAGGAACTGGTGCGGACAAAGCGTGCAGTGGAGTGACGTTATTCAGCACGTGACTGTCTGCAACACGATCAGCGCCGTTGCAGGCGGGACAGGGGTCAGGGCAAGACAGTCGGCTGCATCACGTGCTTTACAGACATCCAGCATCATCCGACATTTATCTAAAAGCGGAGGCAACGCCGTCCCTTTTCAATTTCAATCCAATTGTAATTTCACCTACAGACACCTGCTTGCAATCAAAGAGTATAAACTGTGAGTAAAAAATAGTGAGTTGGATGACTAAAGTGGAATACTATTAACAAAAAATCAAAAAAAAACTTATTAAAAACCGAAACCAAAAGTAAAAATTGAGCCAAAAGAAAATGTTATGTGAAAATTAGAGTAAAAAAAATTAATGAGTTATAATACAGTGATGATTATCAATTTTTAAAAAAAAAGATTAAACCTCATTTGAAAGGTTGAGATGGTGTTCATTGATGCGCCTATTCGAGCTATTGTTATTATCCTTCCTGTTCGTAGGGACACTATTAGTTGCAAATGTGCTTTTATTTGGGTTATCCGTTTCTTTCATTGTGCCTCCATAGCGGTCAAAAAAATTATACTGAGAACTGTTCTGATTCAGATTAGAGCTCTGGCTATCATTAACACTATAATAGTTCGGAGTCATATCTTTGTTCATGTTTGTGTTTTCATTGTCAAGAACTAACAAGCTGTCAAAATTGGAATCCTCGACCAATTGTGCATCGTATAGATTTTGCTTGTACAAAGAACTATTGTCTTCAAAAAACCAAAAATCAACTGTTTCCGTTTTTATTGATGAAGTGTAAGTACTATTTTGGTTAGCGTGTGAAACACTATATGCATCATTTTCATTTTCGTTTTCATTATGTTCGTCATCAAAATCAAGATACTTGTTGTCATTCGAACTGTAATTCTTGCGGTTCAAGATTAAAGAATGATTTTGGTCAATCTCCTCCATTTCCCTGGGATAATTCAATAAAGGTTGGTAATGAGGATGAACATTTTCTGGTTTTTTATTACCAAAACTTGAAAATTTGCTGAAAAGTTTCATAATAATATTGTGTCCGACCATTCTTTTATTATTATTATTATTATTATTATTATTATTATTATTATTATTATCATTATTATCAAAGAGCGAACTATGTAGTTTTGATGAAGACACAAATAAATTCGAATCCGGTATTTCATCAGTGTAATCATTCGATGGCTGAAGTAAAAAAGATTGAAATGTGTTGTAGTTGTCATCATTATTAATATTGTTATTTAAATATGTACCATCCACATTGAACTTGAAAAACTCTTGAATATTGTTGTTATATATGTCATTATAGTATTCAGGAAGGTTGTTTAGCAAGCATTCTAATTCATTATGATAATCCGATGTTTCGTTTATCTTAGTTTTCTTATTGCTATTGCTTTTCTTATTATTTTTTTGATAGTTGGTTTCTTCATACTCAAACATATCAAAAAACATGTCCACTGAATTCCTTTTCTTCAATTTTCGGTTTACATCAACCAAGGAGACACTGTGTGCCGGTAGTTGATGATCTAAATTAATAGTGGGATAGAAACAGCATGTTAAATAGTAGACAATAGTAGAAAGAAAAGAGCCTGACTCCCCTGAATCAGACACTGTTGCAAAAGCAGACGTTTTAGTATGACCCATAATCACCTAGTTTAGAGAAGCCAAAAATAATCATATTATAGTAATCTGGCAAAAAAAGGAAAAAAAGCAAGTATATCGACTACACTGATCTATTATATATATATTCAACAGAAAAAGGAAGTGTTGAGTTACACCAAACCTCAAACCGGCTTCCTTTAACTCGTCCCGGTCACATGACATCTATTTTATTTCTTTCTCTGTTGGGATTATATCTTCAGAAAAACAATAACAATTCAAAGAGAAGAACAATATCATTAACAAGAGAGGAACTGCATAATTCTGATCCTAATGCCTCCTCCGATTAAGGTTAGCAAGCTCATGAAAGCTGCTAAGCAGTGTATGCAAGCTGGAGATTTTGATGGAGTAATTGATCATGCCAAATCGATTTTAAAACTCGACAATGCCAACTACACTGCCTATCTATTGATCGCGAGGGCAAATATAAGTATGCAAAAATATGAATTAGCTTCCCACCATCTTGAATGTGCCATCAAAATTCAGCCAGATTTGGTGCCTGCCTGGAAAGGTTTGTTTTCAATTGCTAAAGAATCTCAAGACTACAAATCCTTTTTCCAAATCGCCTCTGGCTATTGTCAAGTATTGGCTAATACTAATGAAAATCTTGTTGAATTTGCAAGGGATATAAATTTATACTTCAAAAAGTTTGGTAACAATTCATCCGAATTTAAAAAATACTACTTATTCAGCATCATTCCAACTTCTGTGATTGGCGATATTTGCAACAATTTAATAATCCAACAGGATGCAGCTTTGAAAAATTTGATAGATATTATTGAAAATGAAGAGCAAAAACTGATAAAAGATGAGACTCGTCGGTTATTTTTTAAAGTGGCTCAAAGCGATTTGAGAGATGAGGGTGAAGTTAAAATTAGGTGGTCTGTTTATAGCAGTTCTTGCTTACCCAACTTGTTTCAAATTTTAATCAATACCACTAAAAATGATCAATTAAGGGCTGAAACAGAATCTAAAAATTTGCATTATTTATATGAAATGCTCATCAATGCTCCTGAATCACCATCAAATCAACTTCAACAACAAAATCCCTTTAATAAGTTACTTAAAACCCATCAATCTAATTCCATAGATCCTTCTCTTCTCTGCAAAAACTATTTAAGAGATAAAATACAAAATTTGATTTCAGACTTAGTTCTAGTCAAATCAAGCTGTTATCTAGCCTGGGAACTCTACTTTGATTGGGAGGATTATTTAGATTTCAATTATATGGTTCATGATATTGATAACATATTGAATTTTATTCACATTTTTGATTCTACTCAAAATAGCTTAACAAAGTTGTTGTTTTATTTTGGTATCTCGGATATTTCACCATTTGATAAAGAATTATTTTTAAAAAGACGATATCCTCAAAACGAAAATAAAAATAAAAATAAAAATAAAAATAAAAATAAAAATAAAAATTCTAAAAACCAAAAAAAAATTGAAAAAAATAAAATTAAAACAGATGCCAAAAATCACAAAAGTTATTCCGAAGATGATGATGATCTGGAAAAAATAATAAACCTAAAAGAAGACAATGGCTTGAATGTGTTGAGTAATAATGAGAATAAAAATGATAAAAAATTGGAAACCCTAGAAAGTAATAAATTTAGTGAAAATACTGAAAACGCTGAAAACACTGAAAATGCTGAAAATGGTACAGGTGATAATTTATTGAAATTTAAAGAAGAAAATTTGGATCAAGTGACTTCCAATATTAGTTTTACTCCAGAAGAACTTCTTGAAAAATTGCTTGAATCATTTGAAAACTGTAAAACTTCAATTTTGGCACACCGAATCGTTATTGCATATTTTCTTTACATTAAAGATTACAGATCAACCTTTGAGTACTCTCAATCAGCAATTGGTTTATTAGTTAAGCATCAAAAGCAAATTGGTCATTTGTTATCTAATACAAGACAAGCTTTCTTAACTACCATTGGTACATGTTTTATTTATCATGAAGCCCCAAAAAACTTTCCCAGAGCTTTGAAATTATTTGATAATGTACTTCTTGAATTTCCCAATAATAAAAAAGCAAAAATTGGAAAGGGTTTAATCCTAATTGAAAAAAAACAATTGGAACAAGCAAAAGCTCTTTTTCAAGATGTGTTAGAGGATCAGGGTCATGATGACACAGATACATTGTTGGAATTAAGTTGGTGTCAGGTTCAATTGTCTGAATTTGAAGAAGGTAGACGTGGGCTAGTCAAGTGTCTTGAAACGCTTACTCATGTTGACACAGTCACCAATCAGTTAAGAGCAAAAATTAACTGGAGAATTGCCGAAAGTTATTTGTTGTATTTAAAACAAAATTATGATGATATTAGCGACGATAATATCAAAGTAGAAATAGTTAAACTAGCCCATGATTATTTAATTGATTCTTTAAGGTCATCTAGAAATTATGCACCAAGTTATACTTCATTAGGAGAAATATATTTGAGCTATTATGGCGATGAAAATAAAGCTATCAAATGCTTTTTTAACGCATTTGAAATTGATGCAGGTGAAATTGAAGCTGCAAGATATATTGTTGAAACTTTTTGCTCAAAATCTGACTGGGAAACCGCAAAAATAGTTTGTGAGCGGTTAATATCATCTCCAAAGGCCAGACCATTATTGGCAAATTTAACCGAAAACGATGATAAATCATGGCCTTATCGTGTTTTGGGAACTTCATGTCTTGAAGTTCAAGATTACGTTAATGCTGTTGTACATTTTTCAACTGCTTTGAGATGTAATGAAACTGATATTGAATCATTAATTGGGTTGGGCGAGAGCTATTTAAAATGTGGGAGAATCGAAGGAGGTGTAAAAGTTTTCAATCATACATTGAAAATTCAACCAGATAATTGGTATGCAAAGTATTTACTAGCCATTGCTCAACGTTCATTGAAGGAATACCCATCTTCATTGATAAATCTAAAAACAGTGATTGATTTAAAACCAAATGAGTCTGCTATTGTAATTGCTCTTTACGAAACTTTGATTGAATCAGCTACGAGCAATGTAGAAGGTGGTTTTTATGGAAGAAGCATTGAAAACTGTTTGGAAGCTATTGACTATATTAAAAGAGCTCGTGAGTTAAATTTCAAATCAGTAAAACTATGGAAAGCGATAACAGATATCATTCGATTATTTTTAACTGTGAAAGAAAAAATTGAGAGTATTCCATGGGAAAGTATCGTTGAAATTATTATTGCATCATTAAAAGATTATGAAAAAGAAGGTAGTGGTTACCAATCAACTATTCATGACAATTTTGAAATCTTTAATGAAATAAATCAAATTGATAATATATGGTCATTAGACTATGATCAATTACATAAGTTTGTGGATAAAGAAATTCAAAACAATGATTATATCAAGGTTTGTTCTATATTATCAATTCTATCAGCCAAAGTTGGGTTGATTTCCATTTTATCGGAAAACAAAACTGCCAGAGTTTTAAGGTCAATGGGGTGGTATAATTTAGGGTTGGTCGAATTAGAGTCATTTATAAATTTGTTTAATTCTTCTGAAAAGAATGGAAAAATGGATAATAAATCAATTAGATTTAGGGATTCATCAGTTAAGTGTTTCAAAAAAGCTATTCAACTAGAAAGTCAAGTAAGTGATTATTGGGTAGGATTAGGCATTTGTTTAATGTCAATCAATCCAAGGATATCACAACATTGTTTTATTAAAGCAAGCACATTAGCATCTAAAGACTACAATGTATGGAATAATTTGGGAGTTCTTTATTTGAATTGTGGGGATATTGATTTGGCGCAGAAAGTGTTTAGTAAATCTCAATCATTATGTCCACAAGAATCAACGTGTTGGTTGGGTGATGGACTCTGTTTGGAGTTTGAGCAAAATTTTGAAAAATCCAATCAGTTGTTCAAACATTCGTTTGTTGTTTCCAATGGAAAGAACCCGGCGTCTCAATTATTATTTGCGTTGTCTGTGATAAACCAAAAATTGCATAATGGTAGTATTGCAAGTAAACAAGATTTAAGTATGGCAAGTTTTGCGATATTGAGGTTTTTGAAGTTTGGCCCTAATAGTGAAATTGGATTAGAATGTGCATGTATCATTTTTGAAAGATTGAAGGACTATGAAGTTGGTAAAAAGTTAGGAAATAAATTGTCTGAAATATTGGAAAACAAATATGAGAAGGAAGAAAGTGAAAAGGTTTTATTGCAATTTGTTCAGGTCAAAACTCAATTATCAAGAATATATCTTGGTAGTGGAGAGTATGAATTGTCGATTGAAGAGGCTGAATATGCTCTAGATTTACTAGAGGAAACAGAATTGGAAAATAAGGATATCGAAGAAGTAGATCTGGAAGAATTAAAAAAAAATGCAGCGCTAAAGTGCATTCTATCTGCTCGAATTTGCATTGGCCTTTCTAATTTCTTTTTAGACGAGTTGAAATTAGGATTAAACCAGTTTAAAATCATTCTAGAAATGTTCCATAGTACTCAAAGATTGGTCTTGTTACTATCTCAAATTTTGTACTCATTAAGCACAGAAGAAACTAAAGACGCAGCACTAGAAGAGTTATTAGAGAACATCGAAATCAACGGTAAATCTGTGCTGATTTTGTTGACATTGGGGGCGATTTCAATTTTAGAAAATGATCATCAAATAATGCAGTATGTCAAAGAGGAACTAGAGCATTTGTCTCTAGAAGAGGCACTTGAAGACTCTTTGTTGCACAACGTTCCTAAAATTCTTGCAATATTGAAAATGAAGCTCTACCCTAAAGGTGATTTCGAGGGGACGAAAGAATGGCAACGCCAAATCATGTTGTTTCCCAACGACTGGGCAGTGTGGGAAACAGTCAATAAAGATGCCTCTCTAGAAATTGCTACTGGAAGACAGACGCAAGTCTATGCTGGAGATTTAGCCAGACTATATCTCAAAAACAGCAGCAAAAAGGCAGTGCAGAGAAGCGTTTTTTTGTACCCAAGGCCAGATCTCAGACCATTTTTTTGAGCATTGTTCGTTCCAGTCCAAACACGCTTCTTGGTCACAAACAAGTGTTCGCCGAGCGAATGTTTAACGAACACCGGTCAAAAAGAAATCTCCCATTTTATCGAAAATTGGCACGTGCGCTCTCACTGAAAAGAATCTTTTTTCAGCGATTTTTTTCACTGTTGTTTGAGATCAGGTTAAGTGGAAACAATGCTCAGTCGAAAAAAGTGGATCTGTGGTTTGCCTTTATTTGTTGCCAAAAGAATTGCTGCAAAGACACCAACTACTTCTGTTTGTTTGTTTCTCAAGCCTGGAGAAACCTACAAAACTTTGTCCGGGTCAAAACATCCACAGTCTTCGCTGGACAGCAATCAGATCTTCGAGTTTGCCTTTCTTCCTGAGGATTCCCTTTCATCAAGATTCAATATCAATCATTTGATAAATAGATTGAAAGTTCGAAATTCCAGAACCTCCTCTGCTTTATCAAAGAAAAATCCAGATGGCTTTTCTACAAATTGCCAAACACATAGTTTGGATCAATTGCAAAACATAGAAAAAGCTCTTAAACTAGTAGATATGAGAGAAACCTTCTTGGCCTTTTTGAAAAAAAAGTACTCTATACGTGCAAAATCCAGTGGTCTTGATTATGACAAACTTAAACGATGGATTTCGATTTGCAATGATAAGAAAACAGTTTTAATCTCAATTGATCTAGAAGTGTTTGAACGTTCTCATTCGTCTTGCACTGAATTTGGTATTGCAATATATGATCCAATAAATCAAAAAAATTCGCCATTTCCAGATATAATCAATTTGCATTTTTTAATCAAAGAAAATATCAAATTGTACAACACCCAATATGTTCCAAATAATAAACATAGATTCATCAATGGAGTATCGTATGTTGTTGATAACAATAGCATCAAATTAATCCTAGACACAATCGTTAACTATTATCAAGGTTTTACAAACATTGCATTTGTTGGCCATCATTTTTCTTCTGACCAGGCTTTTATTTCAAAGTCTTTCAAGTTTTCAATTGATTCTGATAAATATGATATTATAGACACATCGTCGATTTGGCAAATGACTGCAACTGGTAAGAATGCTCTAAAATCAAAATTATCATATGTGTTATATAAATTGGGAATTCCAGGAGTTTATTTACACAATGGTGCTAATGATGCTTACTATACTTTGATTGCTGCCTTGAAACTATGCGATCCTGAATTGAGAATTAATAAATTTTGTGCTAATTACTCCGAAATTTATAATGTAAAGCGATTGAAGATGATAGAACAAGAAATCAGTGAAGCCCAATCCCCAACTATAGTTAATAAAAAATTCAACCCATCTGATCTACAGTCGTTGGGCACACCGTACGATGGATTTTATAATTTTTACAATAATGAAGTTAACACTATGTTTGAAACAAAAAAGTATAATGATAGAAACAGTATAACCAAAAATAATCGATTTCTCGGTTATTTCAGTATCAACCAACAGTCTCTACTTACAAAATTATATAGAAAATGGTTAAGCAATAGTGGCAGTGGCTCTGGTTTAGATGTTGAGAGTTCAGTATGGTTAACAAAATCTGAAAAGGAAAAGTTAGATAAATCAAAAAGAAATGAGATAAAAACAAAAACAGACCAAATGCAAAAGCTTGATGAAATAGAACTAGAAAAGAAACTAAAATTATTTAAACAATCATTCACCCTTGAAAAACAAAAATTGAATTTGTTGAAAGCAATTGAAAAGCAAGAAAATTCAAAAGATTTAGACAAAAATTCAAAATATTTAGACGAAAATTCAGAAAATTTAGATGAAACCCCGGAAAATTTGAATGGGATTCAACAAAATCTAAATGAGATTCAAGAAAAGTTAAATAAAGTTCAACAAAATTTAAATAAATTTCAAGAAAATATTCTAAATACGGAAAATTTAGATGAGATTCAAGATAATTTAATTGAAAATCGAGAAAACTTAAATGAGATTCAAGAAAATTTTGCAATTACAGAAGATTCAAATGAAAATCCACAAAATGTAGATGAGATTCAAGAAAATTTAAACAAAATTCAAAAAAATTTAAACAAAATTCAAGAAAGTTTTGCAATTACAGAAAACTTAAGCGAAAACTCAGCAAATTTAGATGAGATTGAAGAAAATATTGAAATTACAGTAAATTTAGAAGAGATTCAAAATAACGAAAACCAAAAAAAACCAAAACCATGAGCAAGCTAAAAACTAGAGAAGTAGGGGTATCAAAATCTAAACTAAAAAGTGAAAAAAAATTGGTGAATCTCAAATAAATCCAAATACAAAAATGTTCAACCTTAAAGCTGGAAGGTTTCAATATATTGCATTTCTGTTATTCCAGAGGTGGAACATTTGATCTTAGAAGACTTTTTATATGTATATACCATAGATGGTCACACTGAAGACTATTTAGTTTATAGCTCTATGTTTTCTTGAACCATTGAATGTAATAAACGTAATAAACGTAATAAACGTAATAAACGTAATAAACGTAGCAACACTCCCTCACCGACCATTCTAACTAATTGGTGGTAACATAACGTGTAAAAACAGAAAAAGTAATTCCGGTTCACTTTCAGTTCTATTTTTATTTGTGAGGTTTCAAGTTTAATCTGGAAATCTAATTGCTATTTAATCAATCACTGTCTTCCGAGAGATTTTCTAGAAGAAAGCTATTCTTCTGTTGTTTCCATCCCATTTTGCATCAGCTCCAAGTCTGGATCACTGCAACGTTTTTGGTATTAACCACCACTAATCCACTAGATCCCGAAAAGGATACTCGTCTTCACATCTCAGTTATTTAGCCATTCTTTTCTAACCTCATAATCCTTTCTACCAACTGTTGAATAATGTCAAAATTATCTTTTCAAAACTCGTTTTGGTCTAATCAAGACGACTATGAGTCTGGGTTGGTTCTACTCTATAGCCAATTGAGGAAAGGCTGTTTAGAAAATGAAAAAATTTTAGCCCTTTTTACAGATAGAAAAAATCTTGAGCTCTCATATGGTAACTCCCTCCATCAAATCTGTTCTGATAACAACTTGGTCTTGAATCCATCAGATAATATCGACTTGAACCCTTCCGTTAAAAACTCCTTTAAAGGCATCAATGATTCTATGATCAAAGAAGGCTCGTCACGAATTAAAATTTCTCAGGACATTGACTTGTTAGTTTTAAGCCCTTTTAGAAAATGGTCTATTGAACACAAAGAAAGAATTAATTTCTCAGAAAATTTTGTTCTTGAAAACATTACAAAGTATAAAACAGTTCTTAAAGATACATTACATTCAAAAAACAAATATTTTATCAAGTATAAATTTGCAGAGGATTTTAAGCAAAAGTTGGATAAAAAAAGTCTTGATGAAGGTACTTTGATTAGTGAGTTATCCTCAATAAATGATGATTTGGAAAATATCAACTTAAACGACTCTGCTGAAATAAATATTCTTAAAGATGACGTTTCTGTTGAGGAAAAACCTTCAATCAAAGAGCCGGTTGTCTATTATTTAGGTGGAGCAGAATATGACGAGCCACAAATGAAGGAAATTATAAAGCAGTTATTGAACCAAGTTCAGGTCACGTCCATTAAAAGGTTTCTTGTTACTTATGATAAGGTATCAACAGGTTCTAATATTGTACAAGCAATTCAAAAAACTCTTCAGATTCAAAATCTTGAGAAAGCTGAACTCGCTGGTCAGGACTTGATTGAAGAAGGGTTTTTGAGATCCATTATTTTTGCTTCCAATGATTTTGCCAATAGTTCTAAATTATACTATCAATGGAAGAATGAGGCTTATAAACTAGCAGATATACCATTTAATTCAGAACAAAATTCAAATGAAGTCGAAAAAGAAAAGAAATCTTTACCAAGTGCAACCTTAATTCATAGAACAAGTACTACAATTGGTCCTTCCGCCATTGCTTCTTACTTTGATGGTGTCAAAGACAAATTTGTTGTAACGGAAACAAATAAAGAAAATTACAATAAAATTCTTAAAGATTTGAAAAGGTTGGATAATGAATATGCGGCCTCGATCCAATATCTTGATGAATCCAGATTAAAATTAGAGGAGCTAATAATGGATCACCTTGAGTTTATGCAAAGATGTGAGTCAGATAGATTAAAGGCAATCCAAAAAATCTCTTATGACTTTTTAGATATTTTTTCGAGAAAATCTTCAATTTTCATAGATTGCCTTAAAGAAGCTAAAATGTTTCAAGAATCTATTGATCCAAGAAAAGATTTATCATTTTTAATTGAAAATTATAGAACTGGATTTTTCATCCCCAAAGTCAAGGTATACGAAGATTATTTCAGTTCAAAAATTCTCTCCAATTTTGGTGTCAATTTGCAAACCAAATGCCGAGATGATGATAAAAATGCTCCATTGATAGTCACTAATATTTTGAATTATATCAACTCGATATATTTAGACATGGAAACTGATGATAATAGAATTGCTGCATGGTTAACAACTTCCAAGCTACAATTGGTTCATCAATTGAGGAACGAGTTTAATGATCCTCAAAAAAAAATTACAAGGGAATATTCGATTAGTGTCTTGAAGAACTATATTAAAACCCCTCAGGTTATAACTGGTTTGCTAAAATTGTATTTGTTAGAGTTGCCAGATTCAATTATTCCAAGCAAACTTTATGATGTCTTTAAAAGAATTTACATTGACTATGAAGCAGATGATGATCAGAGAATTAATGCCATCACAAACGCATTATCTTCTTTACCTAAACCAAATATTATTACTTTGAATGCAATTGTGTCTCATTTTGAACAATTCATTGACACCATTTCTAAAAGTGAAGCTTTAAATGAATTAGTTAATGGTAAACTTACTAAATCTGAGTATGTGAAATCAGAAATTTGTCATGACTATGCCAACTGTATTCTTAGATCTCCAGTTCAAAATAATTCCATTTTTAGTGATAAGCATCCATTTAAACTATTAAATGACTTAATAGTCTTCAAAAAACCTATTTTCAAAGAGTTAAAGAAGTCTAATCAAGGTTTATCCAAAACCAAAAAATCAATTTCAAGAAATAACTCCAAGGTTTCCAAAGTTTCAAGAACAGATTCAAAACAATCATTTGAATCTGGAGAATCTGGAAGCTTAAAACTTTCAGTTGATAAGGGAAATGTTGATGGAATCAATGAAATCGACAGCAAAGTTGTTGAAAAAATCCAAGCTGGTCCAGACAATCCCATTATCATTGATTAGTGTGACTTATTTAAAAGGATAGTGGTTTTTATATTGTGTTTTAGGTAGAGATTTTTTTATGTTAAATTTTGATACTTTTCTTATTTTTTTTTTGTTTTTTTTTTACTTATTATTATAGAAGTAATAGGTTTGTTGTTGATTTTTGTCAATTTATATATCTATAAATAAAGTCATTCATTACACTGCTTTTTGAAATTTTGAACTTCAAGTAAATAAAATTCAACTAATTTTAAATAAGCCTTTTAGCTAACAAGTATTCTGCAATTAGAATACCAGCACCAGCAGCTCCAATTATAGTATTATGGGATAAGACAACCATTTTGAAATCAAAAATTGGATCTTCTCTAACTCTTCCAACAGTAACAGCATAACCATTTCCTCTATTTCTATCTAATCTTGGCTGAGGTCTATTAGCTTCATCTAAAACAATTATTGAATGAGGAGGAGCAGAAGGACAACCAAGTTTGTAAGCATCGCAGACATATTCGCTCATTGCTTGTTTAACTTGTTCAACAGAAGGAGCAGGTCTTGACTTGAACTTAAAACTAATACATTCAGTATGTCCATCAGAAACAGGGACTCTGTTGCACTGAGCAGAGACTTTAATCTCTTTATCCGAAAGTAGTTTAATCTCATTAGATGATGTTTCATAAGAGCCTAATATCTTCTTGACCTCCCACTCCATTTTTTCTTCCTCGCCAGATATATAGGGAACAATATTGTCTAATATATCAATACCAGACACACCTGGAGAAAATCCAGCACCAGAGATAGCTTGTAGTGTAGTAGCAGTTAAAAATTCAATTGGACCAAACTTTTCGATTAAAGGTTTCAAAGGAGCAACTAAACCAGCGGTTGAACAATTAGAAATGCAAATTTGAAAACCTTTTTTATCAGTTTGATTTTTGATTGTGTTTTCAATAAGATCGATATGATCAACATTTACAATTGGAACAACTAGGGGAACATTTGGGTCTCTTCTGTAGTTTTTAGCATTTGAAACAATTACAAGGCCATTGTCCACAAATTCTTTTTCAATCTCACCAGCAAAATCAGCATCTAATCCACTGAAAACCACATCACAGTCAGCAAAGTATTCCGCTTTACACTCGCAAACAACAATTTCGGATGAGGATTCAGGTAGTAAATCAACTTGTTTCCAAGTGACTGCATCTTTATATTTCTTACCAGCTGAACGAGGAGAGGCACCTAAAACTGATAGTTCAAAGTCTGGATGCTCAGCTAATAGAAGAATAAAACGTTGGCCAACACTTCCTGTTGCACCTAAAACACCAGCCTTTTTCTTTATAATGGGAGACATTATGAGTTGCGACGAGTTGGGATAGCGAAACAGAAATAGAAATCAGGAAGAACTGTTCTTTCTAATTACTCTTTTCTTTCTTTCTCTCTTTTGCAATTGAGCGAGAACCCCAACTTGTTATTGAGTCATATTCTTCATCGAGCTCTGGGAAACATCCCACACTTCAAGGGAAAACGGCCCACAGTATTTCAGATCGAGAAATATATCCTGTTCCCACGGGAGGTTTGGAGTGATAAGAGTAAAACTATCCAATAACATCTGTAAACAGATGGAAGACTCGATAATTGTAGTTCTGGCAAGTTCAAATTTATTACCACATTATATCTGTGAAATGGCTAAATACCATTATGGCATCCCTACTTACATGATCTCGATATACAAGACGTGAGGAAATACCATCATTCAAAGAATTATAGATAAAAGTTTCATCCAATCTCAATGTGTTCAGGTAAAAAACCCATGCACTGCCAATTGATGAAAACAACAGTTAAATCTTATCTAACAAAAATATCCTCAAAATTCAATTCTCCATGAAAAAGACGTATTTTGCTCTCTGTGGATAAAGTTCCATATACCAATCAATTTAGCCTCTTGCTATTTTGAACAAACGATGCAATATGCTCGTTAAACTTTTTCTCAGATTTAATTTTCAATTGCAGAAACAATGGGTCCTCAATAACTATATCATTGATTCCACATATCTTATTAGCTTGGTCCTTTCATAATTTACTTAATTCATTTGATACTTTGTTGATAGCAATAACGTTCTCTTCTTCATTCATTTCTGGCCATATATCACTTAACCTCTTTCCACAAATGTACTCCATTCCAATATATATTTTGGGGTGCTTTGGGTAATATTGGTGCATTTTAGGACAAGATAACTTGCCTTGAATGTATTCTAAATTATGAGTTTCTTGGGCGTAGCGCATTTGATTTTTCTATTGTCTACAATCTTTAAATCTTCCGTGATCTGGTTTTGAGATAGTGTATGTATGTAGTAGGATCGTAAACTAAAAAATAGGAAATAAGATAAATGATTATCAGAATGAAACAACCAATTAACAAATAAAAAATAGAGAGAAATACAACGTTGAGTGCTAATTCATAATGGCCTTCGCCAGGCCTCCCACGTCCTTCACAGACCTTAATTTTAGGGTTACTTTGTATTTGGTTTGACAAGCAGAAACCGGATCTCAAATATCTCTGAGAAATGAATGCACATGGACCCCTCATACTGGAAGCAGATCGAATCAATTTCCCATTCAATTCTACGTGCCACGTGACTGGCGTCTCAATCGAGCTTGATTTGGAAAAGGGTATTTTTCTTGTCCTCAAGTCGAGCTGGAGTGGGCACTTTCTTGTCCACCATTAGTAAATAATAATAAGTAAACATCTGTCCTATAACGCAGCCTACTGCAGATATGTAATAAAACTATTTGGCCTGCTGTAACCAGAAGATGAATTGAAGCCTTTCCAATCAGGAACCAATTTTTTCAAAATTACTGAAAAACCACTTCAATTCAAAATCTCGATTGCGGCTAATCTCCGTACAACTAATCTCAATATTTCTAACAAAAGTTTCAATAGAAATTTCTTAGGTTTCACGCCCACTAGATTGTTGAAGTTTCTATCTTCAGTTGAGTTTAGCTACTCTTTATATTTTTAATTGGTGTTGTATTAGTGATTTTTCTGAATGAGTTATTTCAAATAATCCCTTTTATTCCAGGCTCAAATAGCCTAATCTTTAATTCGGTATTTGATATCATCACAGATGCACTGTGTTCAGGGCAGTTTATAATATCACCTACTGTATCTCATACTCTTCACCAGCTTTGCGAATCCAGAAAAATGTAAAATTCTAAATAAACAAGCAGAACTCATTCTAGAATTTAATTTTGAATGTATTGTATTGATTAGTCATACAAGGAAAGTTTCAAAAATAGCTATTGTTGACAAGATATATTTGATTTATCCTTCGTTCATTTTCGTTTTTTATTTCTTACAATAATCAGAGGATCACTATTGGAATGGATTTGACAGGATATGTTACCACATTGCACCACTACAAGTTAGCTAGTTAATAATGTGAGTAATTGACTAATCCTTCGGCATCAAATTACTCAACTAAAAGTTGTTCAAAAAAAGAGGATTGAAATTATGAAAATTGATATATTCTATCCAAAAGAAACCAAAGAAAACCGGCAATCAAAGATATTTTTAATGATGATTTGAGTGATATTGGTAATTGTGATTTGAGTGATACTGTTAATAGTGATTAGTGATTTAAATGGCTTTGCTTATTTTGATAAAATGGTAAGGAATGAATCGCTGTCCAAAAATGGAAGAGGAGCTGGAAAATATAAAAGTAAAAACTGGTGTGCTTTAAAATCCCTTGGAAGTCTATTCAGTAACATTAGCATCTACTTCTTTTTCAGACTGTTGATTCAGTCTTCTATACTGCTGCTCCACCCAATGTCTTTGATCATCATCTGAAATGTTTTCTTTCTCTAACAGCTTTAGTTGAAAAAGCTCAAAAGGACGAAAAATATTACCACAAGGCCAAACAGCGGCATTTCTTTTAGATACCTCCATATTTGAAGAAGGACAGAGCAATAGAAATGGGAACTAAGAAAACGAGAAATGCACCACCAAACAATAAATATAATTTCAATTTCAATTTCACCAACATCATTTGCTTTCAGGATTAAAATCCATAAAGACACTTTCTTGAATTAAACATTCAATGTTCAATCTTACAAAATTGAATATTAGAATTTTCAAAGCAATTCAATTATGAATTATTCTATGAAACCATTTGGCTGAATTTTTTGAGGCATAACCATATGTGTATAAAACAGATTTGCTAGCCTTGGTATCAACCTTACCAGCATTATCTTCCAGCTTAATGCAAATCTACAATCAATATCATCGAAAAAATCTTAGTTCAGCATCTGTAAATAACTCTCTTATTCTAGGCAATTTGGTATCACTACTAGAAACAATATATTTATTACTCGCATTGCATCTGCTACAACTACCCTCACCATGATCACCCTCGTCATGCCGCCTTCATCATGATTATCTCTAACAATAGATTTGTAGCTTGCTGAATTACTGACAACATATTCATCAAAGCTTGCAATGGGATGATTAAGATAAGTCTTGATAGATCCTATCTGTTTTAAGATATTGCCTGTATAGATTACAAGCGAATCATTCACGTCACCATTTTTATTAATGTAAATAGGCAACGATGCTTTAGCTGAGTTATTTCTTTCATGCAAATTGCTTCTTTCATGAAAGTTGATATAGTCCCCAACATACGTGAGAAATACTCCATGCTCACCAAAATTGAAAACAAAATCGCTTTTATTCATGTAACTCGCATTGAAACTGTTGAGTGGAACAGATTTGTATGTTGGTTGGATCAAATTAGATTTCTGTAAAGGATATGATAACTGGCTCTCAGCTCTAGGTTCCATGAAAACTGATACATAGACATTCTGTGTAGGTCAGTGTGATATTCAACATTGACTTTGTGAGGAAATGAGTAATCGCTCTTGAATAACTAAGCCATCTCTTGGTCTGGTGAGAACTGAAGTAATGTTGAATCCCTTTGATGATGAGTCTCAAACCCAAGCGTGGAGTAAACACGCGTCTTATACAGGCACTTCAATCAACTTCTAGTATATTGAATATATTCGGAGACTATCATTTTGAACTTAAAAAGCTATAAAATTTGTTTATATAACAAGATTTTAAAATCATTAAGTTTGAAAGATGTACGTAAATCAATATCGTCATTTTGTTAGCACCAGCATCAAATGCAATCATCCCACTCATCTTTTTTGGAACCAATAAGGAATAATTTCATATGGTCCCAATATTCAGGCTAGGAGCTCATGCACTTCCAATCAATAAAAACAATAGTCAAATCAACATTAATTAATGTTAGATGAATTCAAGTCCCCATGGGATAGACAAATTCGACTATCAGTGGGTGGTAGTAGGCTTTCCTGGCCTAGTTTTAATTTCGGATCAATTGTAAATAAAGATCCTATGTACTGATTCAAGTGCTGCTCCTTTTCAAACTTCAAGTTACCAAAAATTGGATCATGAATTTCAGTATCTCCAATTCCTCCAATTGATTATGTGGTATAGTTTCTTAGCTTATTAACTTCATTATTGATATTTTTGCTGAAAATCTGCTGTTGTGCTTTATTCAACTTGGGCCATTTCTCACATAAAATTTTTTCTGGAATGAATTTCATTTCAATAAAGGTTTGACCATTTTCAGAGCAATAATTATAGAGCTTGGGACAAGCGACTTTGTTCTAAATGTATGTGAAATTTTGTGCTTCCTTGAGAGAAAGGCATTTTATAACTTTTTTTGGATAAAATTGAATTGTTTCATTATTTTTTTAATCGATTTGCAATTATTTGAAATGAAAACCAAAACAGAAATGTTTTAGAATAAGTTTGAGGCAACGATCAGAAGCACTCGAAATTAATTAGTCTCCCTTATGTGGGTCTTTCCACGCAAGGAGATAAGTTGACAGCAGGAAGGCTGGGCTACATGAGTCTCACTAAAACCATTAGAACGATTTGAAATAAAACAACCAATAGATACTTATTTGATAAGAAAATTATAAAAGCAAAATAAAGTATAAAAGAAAAATAAAATAAAATAAAAAAGCGGAAACAATGCAAGCAGTACAAAAAAAAAGTATAGAAGTTGGGTAATATTGGCACGAAAAACAGTTTTACAGACAACGAAATTACACTTCTTGCTGTTTAGCAACATTATTCTGTGGATTATTGGGGTTGAATTCTCCATGGTATTTTTCGGCAATCTCTTCTAAGGTTTTTCTTTTGGTTTCTGGAATCAATAAACTGGTGAAAATACCCAACAACATGAATAGAGCAAAAATTTCCATGACATGAGGAAGAAAACAGTTTTTGTCGTCAGCAGCACAACCATGATTGATCAAGGAACCAAGACATGTTTGAGCAATAATAGCCCCGATTTTTCCTGATGCTGCACTAATACCATGTGAGGTTGATCTAAATCTTGTTGGAAAGCATTCGCCTGGAACAATAAAGGTAGTAGCATTTGGACCAAAATTTTGGAAAAATTGAGCAAGAACATACATTGCCAACAAACCTTTAGAGCCCAAACTATCGTAGGCAAAACCAATGATACAGAAAATAGCTGTTAAAATCACAAATCCACCCACTTGAATTGGTTTTCTTCCAATTCTATCTAGAAATACAACAGAAAACCAATAGCCGGGAATGGAACCAGCGCAAATCAAAATCAAGTTTCCTGCAGCAATATTGTACAATTTTCTGTAAACATTTTGAGAAGAAGCAAAACCAATAGTTTCTAAAATTATAGCAGAATTAAGACCAAGACCATAAAATGCAACATCCAATAAAAACCACGAGCCAGCAGTACCAAGGAGGATTTTTCCATGTTTCCATTGTTTAAAGTGAAGATAGAATTCTTTTGGACTGGCTTTAGGAGATGTTTCTGGCTCATCAGTAAAGGAGGAAGAACTATTTTCTCTCTGAGTCAAAGCATAGTCATCTGATTTTGATCTCACAATTTTAATCTCATTATTGTCGGTTTTTTCTTTGATTTCTTGTTTTTGATCAGCTTGTACTGCATATCTTGGAGATTCTGGCATAGTCAATCTAAAATATAGTGCTGAAATAGCAGGAACTGCACCAAAGCCAACTAAAACTCTCCACATTTGGTCAACAGCTTTAATACACTCTCCAGTACATTCGTCAACATTATTGGAGTGAATTAGCTGATCTTTCCAGCCAACCACACAAATTAAAGCAACTAATCCTGCTAGCAATTGACCCCAACCTTGATTAGCAAAAACAGCACCCATAATTGCACCTCTATGTTTTGTGGTAGCAAATTCCGAGGTGACAATAGAAGAAAGTGGATAATCTGCACCGATTCCAATACCCATAAATATTCTCGCAAAAGTAAAAATACCGACAAAGTTAATAGCAGGAGAATGGCCAAGCAAACACTGAAATACAGTTCCGACAATCATAATTATAAGTTCAGTACCATAAATTTTTTTTCTACCAACCAAATCAGCTAAAGTACCAAAACCTAATTGGCCAATGACAGTTCCAACTGAAGTTGAAACTTTTAAAAGAGTGCTTTCTGCGTCTGATGGAACACCAGAGCCACCAACGGAGGAACCCCAGTAAACGTAACCAAGCATAGAAACAGCTATGTTAATTGCAAAAATGTCATAAGAATCAGTCAAAAAACCGACACCTCCCACACAGATAGCACGAACATGATACCAACCAAACTTAGCATTGTCGATTTTTTCCAAGGCTAGTCTTCTTCTTTCAAGAGGATCCTCGATATCAGCAAAGTCATTTAAAAAGTCGTGAAAAGCAGCATTTCCAGATTTTTCTTTTTTCTTTGAAGGAAGTTGAGTGTTTGGAGAAGACATAATTTAGTATTCAACTGGAATAATACAGAACAGAGAAGGAAACAAGTCGTATGCAGAAATACTGGGCAGTACGAATGTTAGTTCACTAAAAGTCTTGGTACACTTAATCAGCTGTTTTGATAAGAGTTTCCAAGAAAAAAATGAAAACTAAGAAAATACAAGACATTTTATACTTTCTGCTAAGCAAAAAAGCGTTTTCAAACTTTTCAAAGCTTAAACATCTGCTCTTGAATTCCTTGTTTTTTTACGTTGTTTTCCAGCGAGCAAGACCAAAAAAGAAATATCAGCAAATATAATCTCTGCAAACTCCAAAGCATCCCCACGTGGGTTACCCTGCCGCGAATACTGACCTGTGGGAAGCGCAAGAGAAGCCAACGCTGATGATACCAGAGTTGCTTGATCACAAGACATGTGTGTAATTCGGATAGAGGTTGCGCGTTTTAGGTCAAGCGAAAAGCTTCTTCTTTGGCGGAAGATGAGGAAGAGGCTCGGAAAAACACTCTCAAAACTAAATTTTCTTTGGGCACTCAAAATATAGGAGGGTAACCGATACGCCATCTTCCTTGTTGTGCTCTGATATATACATTTGTTGGTCGAAGTTCTACTGGCAAATACAAACAGAATAGAAGCTAAAAAATCTATAAACCACTGCACAAAACTCCAATCAGCTATCCGACATTGTTCTGATCACTCTTGAAAATGGATAGTTGTGAATCAATGGCGGTGAGGACCCATATTTTTCATTTCCATTACCGTTAATATAGCTGTTATTGCCATTGCCATTGCCATTGCCATTGCCATTGCCATTGCCATTGCCATTGCCATTACTATTACTATTACTATTACTATTACTATCACTATTACTAGTCAATGAAACTAACTTCTTTTGAAAATAACTATTCTGATTGGCTAATTTGTTGAGTTCGCTTTCCGAACTCTTAATCCTTTCGCTGTTTGCCTTCATTTCCTTTTCGTGTTTTTTCTTCAAATTTCTCAAAGCCTCTCGTAGTGCATTTCTTTGTTCCTCTAAGGGGCTGGAATTGTTAATATTGGCTTTAATTTTTAGTTGTTCATTTTCAAATCTCAACAATTGAATCTCCTCCTGTGATAAGTTTAACTTTTTGAGGTACAAATTGTTGTTATTCTTCAAGTAAACATTTTCATTTTTCAAATTAGTTAGCAAATTCATTTTCAAATTTTCAAGCTCGTTACTCAAATCATTACACTTTCGATCCATTTTTAAGTTTTGCAATTCTTTTTCTTTGATTTCTTCATTTAATTGACTGATTTTTTCCTCCTTTTCAATTAGTTCGCTCTGAAACTTCGATTTCTCGTATGATACATCAATGCTTGGAGGAACAGATCCATTTTGCCATAGTAAAACGTGTTCCTCTGCAATATATCTTTTCTTTCGTTCTTGATTTAACTCTTTGGAAAAATTGGCAATTTCTTCACTTTTTTTTCTTAATTCAGACTCATATTTTGATTTTAAATCATTCAAACTGATATTGTGATCACTATTGTTTCTTGGATCATTGTAACCAGGTTCATTATTAGCGCTGCGAAATTTAAACTTCTTTAGTTCCTCTTCCATTTTAAATTCCCTTGCAATTGAATCACTCAATTCTTTACTAATAACTTTCAATTCATTCATTAGTGCTGTGTTAGCCTCCATTATTCCCAATTGATCGAGTGTTAACTCCAACTTTGGTTTGGTTGATAAGTTAGATGAATTGGATGTGGTTTTAATTGCTGTCATCAGAGGTTTTATATTTTTTTTCAATTCAAAACTGTGTTCTGTATTTTTAGTTTCAGTTTCATCATTAGAAAAATTATTATGTTTAGAAAAATATGATGGAAGATCCATGCTGTCCTCTCCTACCTTATTTTTCCGTTGATATTCCGCGTCTGATTTTCCTATTCCCAATTCGTTTTCAACTCTACTGTTTATTTTATCAAATGTAGATGATAATGAAAACCCAGAAGTAACTGAAAGCCTATTATCTTGCCCTGAAGTTTCAAGTTTTAAATATCCAAGCCCATTTTGTTCGTTTATATTTTCGTTATTAGAGTAATTATTTTTCATGAAATGATCATTAGATGAATTTCCCAATGAAATATCAAGCTTTTGGGGTTTCTCAATCGAATTGAAATTAAATTCTTTCAAAATTCCTATATTTTTTTCACTTATATTTTCCTTATGCCCATCAACAAATGAAGATGAGCTATTTTTTGGATCTAGCGACATTATTTGAACAGGAGATGACTCTATTACCAAGCTTTCCATGACCTTTGAAGAGTGTTCCATCTTTAAAGGGGATGGGTTTTTTTTCTGTTGATCATAAGCAAATCCATGAACTTTGGGCTGTTCTGTCTGATCAGCAAATTTAGTGGGACTTTTAAGGCCTTTATAATCCAGATCAGAAAAATCCTTCTTGGCTTTAGATTTTTTAAAATCGCTATTAGTTGAATTATTATTTATTTCTTCAGGAGTGTAAATTCTATCATTTTTAAAATACCTGTTTTGTTCCTTGAATTGGTTTTGAGTAGGACTAGAAGTAACAATCTCAAATATATTGTCATTCAATTTGATTTTTCCATTTGCTTCCAACTCTTTTTCTTTTTTTCCTTTTGATTTCCTCCATGAAATTTTTTTCAAAAAAGAATCTTTTAGTGACTTGCTTCCATTTTTGGTTTTATCATTACCAGAGTTTATCGATGTCTTTTTGCTCAAAGTTGGAGAAGATAATGAGGAATGAATTTTGCTTTCATTTCCCACTACTCCTGAAACAATAGATCCCCGGCTACCCCGATAAAATGATTTAGGTGTTTTCACTACTTCTTCATTTTTTGTTTCAATAGATTGGTTACTTACTATTCTATTAAAAAAAGCTTTAGACTTTCTTCGTCGTCTATCAATTGGAGAGTTGTTATAATTATTCGGGCTAGAAAAGGTAGAAGGACTGCTAATAGTTTTTATTTTATCTTCGTGATTACTATCATGATTAATAGACTGAAATTTTTCTTGTCCTTGAATAACTGGTGTTTGAAATTTGGAGTTTTCAATTTTATTAAATTCAACATTTGAATTTTGATTTGTCTGATCAAATCTATAACTAGCTTTTTCGTTCAAATTAAAGCCCACGGTAATTTCCTTACTTTTTGAGGGGTCAATCGCATTCAAAGAAGGTTCATTGTTTGAAGTAATGTCTGCTAATGGAGATGGTGGTGGTGGTGGTTTTCTAATGGGTTTAAATGAATCAAGTGTTGTTTTGGGTGCTACCGAAGTATTATCCTTTGGTTTGGAGAAATTAACAGAATTAGAGGTTCCAAAAGTATCATAACAATCAGTTTTGGAATCAATTTTGGAATCAGCTTTGAAATCCGATTGGAAATCCGATTTAGATAAACTATTTAATTCTCCAGGTTTATCGTTTTCCATTAAAATATGTGTGCCTGCTGTAATATTGCTTGCATTGTCATCACTACTAGCGCTATCATTAAAATCAAGTTTTTGAACGTGAGGGTTTAACGGTTTATCGAACTCAATAATAAAATCATTATTAATAGAAGTGTTAATAAAAGAACTCAACTCAAAGTTATCATCTTTATTTGCAGATTGAGATAAAGTCATTTCAGGATGTGATTTATCGGATTGCAAAGATTGTTTATTGTTATTCAGATGAGCCTTGGGATCAAGAGATGAAAATGTTGAGTCATTCAGTATAATTTTCTCATCACTAACATTTGCTGACTTATTATTTTCTTCTCTAGTGATTTCAGTTGATGAAATTAAATTATTTTGTTTATCATTAATTTCTTCATCTAGATAAGGATTTTGAGATTCATAATAGGTATTTACTGGAAGTTGAAGTTTTAAGGATGGTTTTGCTTGAGTTGGGAACTTATCTTGGTTTTCAAGTTGCAGATCTGCTTCAACAGTATTTAAAATTTCCAGATTTTCTTTATTTGACTTTAGATCAGCAGTTGTATCTTCATTTACTGGTGGTAATTGTGTGTAATCTGAATTTTGCTGATATTTTGAAAAAGACAAACGATGATTGATTTCATCTTGAATGTTTGATTTTTGACTGTGTGGTGGGCTCAGATTGTAATACTGATCATCAGCGTGTTTTGTCATTATGGAAGCAACTTCTTCAATACTTTCCAAATTCTCTTTCCCTGAAAGATAAGAGGCAGAATTATTGTTTGAGTTGTTGTTTGCATCAACATAAGAATTTTTGCTTGCATTACTATTAGAGTTATTGTTTGTATTCTGAATGTTTGTATTTTGAATTGAATTGTTGTTGATAGAGGTTGAGTTATTTATGTTATTTATATTAGTATTGTTGTTGTTTGCAGGCTCTGGTGTATTATTAGTATTATTATTTAACAGATGATTAAAATTGTTGTTGTTATTATTATTATAATTTTGATTATTTTCATCCCTTAAAACTTCATTAGAAAGACTAGATCTTTGATAAAGAGTCGAGTTTAACTTTTGGCTTGATCTTGGGGAGTTTAAAGGGGGTTGTGTGTTATTAGGCTGATTAGAATTACGATCTTGTTGATTTTGAGTGGGAGAAAATTGAGGAGGTTGGGAAGAAAGGTTTGATGGGGAAAAATCAGAGGAAGTAGAATATAGCGGAGAAGATGGATTAGGAGAAGTGATTCTTCTTGAGTTGTTTGTTAAAGACATTGACCTTGGGTTGGGTTGATTTGAGTAATTGTTTGTAGTAGTTAAAGACATTGAGCGAGGACCATTGGGATTGATTTGATTCATTGGCAAGCGGTTATTAGGATAAGGTTGCATTGGTCTTTGAGACATTTGATTTTGAGGTGGAAGTTGCTGTAGGTTGTTGGCGAAACCATTTTGACCATTTTGACCATTTTGAGGTGGAGGTTGTTGTGAGTTATTGGTGAAGCCATTTTGAAAAAAGTTATTAGGGAATCTTAGTGGAGGTTGTGGCCTGACATTGCCATAGGGTACAGAAGGTCTCATGTTCATGTTTATTCTCTGATTTTGGGGAGGCATGTTTGTAAGAGACATTGTTCTCGGAGGGCCATAGGGGTTGTTGGGATAATTTTGAGGAATTGGTCCTGGAGGACCATTAGGAAACCTGTTGTTATTATTATTATTATTATTATTATTATTATTATTATTATTATTATTATTATTATTATTATTATTATTATTATTATTATTATTATTATTATTATTATTATTATTATTGTCGTTAAAGTTATTGTAAATGGGAGGATGGTTAGGACCAGGACCAGGACCAGGACTAGGGCCCGGAGAGATATTGGTTGAATTCAAAGACATTGTTCTTGGAGAATTGGAAAAAGAAGGAGAAAATGGTTGTGGTTGATTTTGTTTTGCCAAATTTCTCAACATGGCTTTGTTTTTGGCAGTCATGGCCTTTCTGTAATGTTTGCTGTCTTTAGAAACAGTAGAATCAGTAGTATCAGTCTGTAGGATGGGGATAATTGGGTCGGTATCGCTAACTAATACGGGTTTTCCATTGGTTCCACCCATATATCTGTTCCTGGCAACAGAAGACAAGTTATTGAAGTTGACTTGAGGAGAATTGTTGTAATCAAAATCCTTGCCGTCATCTTCATCAAGATCAACATCCTTTTCTTTATTGATATTGGCGTTGTAGTTATTGTTGTTAGTATTATTGCTATTATGATAATGAAAAAAGTTGTGGACCTGGGAATGCATGCTAGTGAAGGAGTTGTTCCTTGATTGAGAAGGTTGGGGAGGGTGGGTCAAGGAAGATGTTCTACCAGCAGGAATATTGAAGTTTGTATAGTTTTGTAGGGATGGAGAGGAGGCATTGGGGAGCAAACTATTTGACCTTGACTGTGAAGCAGAAGGAGGTTGGGGATAGTGCTGCTGTGGCTGCTGAGGAAATTGTTGTTGCTGGTACTGCTGCTGGTATGGCTGCTGGTACTGCTGTTGATATTGCTGCTGTTGCTGAGAAGGAGGGACGACGCCAGGTGGATAGAACTTTCCGTAGTTAGTGTTGGTTGCTATTGGGGCCTCTTGGGTCACATCAATGATGCTGTCGTTGAGTAATTGATCTCTGATGGAGGGTTTCCCAAGCTTGGGTTTCTGCAGAAAAGAATCCATATTGGCAAAATTGGAGGAGATAAATATAGAACAGGTAATGGTTTAGGTTTTGGAACAACCGGAAAAGAAAAGGAGAGATGAAACAATAGCTGGAGTGGAGCAGAGGTGCAAGTACAATATCCTGAGCTTGAGAAAGCAAGAAAGGCAGCAGATATCAATAGGATTAAGCTGGGTTGGATACGTCCCAGAGCTGAATCAAGTGCCTGTGGTGAATCCGGCGATGATGTAAGGAAGTGAAGGAGAGGAAGAGACGGCTGCACTGCCACACCCACATGTCTGGAACACACCGCCACGCACTGCCTGCTCACGTGCCGGGCCTTCGGTACTTTGGGGCTTTTTATCTCGCTGTTTCTTGAGCAGCAGCAGAACTCCCCAAAAGTCTTTCCTTTGGTGGTGCTGGTGCTAGTTTGCAGGTTGGCGACGTTTGATATCCAAAATATTCCTCCAGGGGCCCAGGTGTTTCAACGGAAAATACTTGTTATATTAACTTATCAACAATGTCTTCACATACTCCTCTCACACAGTTCTACTGCAAGACCCCCAAATCTATCGAGCTTATACTGGGAAATCCTTCTTTCGACAGTACCTCCATTTTGGATAATTCAAATCCACCAGATAACGCTTCCTCCTCTGCTCCTGCTTCCTTCTTGATCATCAGATCCTCGACCTACTCTCCTGATGGAAGGGTTTTTGTTTTCACCCAGCTCAACTCGGTTTTTGTAGTGGATTCTGCCTCTTCAGCCGACCCTATCAAGCTCTCCTTTGACAACGATGTGTTTGACGTCCATTTGTCTCCTAACTCCTCATTGTTGTCTGTTTGGGAAAAACCTTCCAAAGATGCTCAGAATAACTGGATCAACAACGTCTCTGTCTACAATCTTAAATCTTCCACTAAAATTGCTGACTATTTGGCCGTATCTCAATCAAACTGGAAACCACAGTACACCTTTGATGAAAGATTTTTCACAAAATTCAATTCCAAGTCTCAAAACCAAATCAACATCTACGAGATTTCAAAGGATTTCACTGAGCTAAATCTCAACAAAAAACCCTATGCTTCTCTTGTATCTCCAACCACTATCCAGACCTACCAAATCTCCCCCGGCCAAAACCCTTCAATTGCAATCTTTATCCCAGAGAAGAATAGTAAGCCTGCTTCCGTTAAAATCTACCAAATAACTAAAAATCTAAATTTTAATACTCCTATCAGCTTCAAAACTTTCTTCAAAGCTGAGAGATGCGTCTTAAAATGGAACATCCTCGGAACTGCTCTATTGGCTTTGGCTTCAACCGATGTAGATGCCTCCAACAAATCCTACTATGGCGAAAGCAATTTATACCTACTCCCTCGCTCCTCAGCTCAGTCGAGCTTTTCAAGTTCAACAAGAATTACTCTTGACAAAGAAGGCCCCATACACGACATCTCATGGTCTCCTTCCTCAAGAGAATTCGGTGTCATTTACGGTTACATGCCCTCAAAAACTGCCTTTTTCGATGTCAGAGGAAACCTCCTCCACCAACTACCTCAACTACCCAAAAATACAATTTTATTTTCTCCTCATGCAAAGTTCATTCTAGTTGCCGGTTTTGGAAACTTACAGGGAACTGTCGATATCTATGATCGTCAGCAAAAATTCAAAAAAATCTCCTCCTTCAAAGCTGAAAATACCTCTGTATGTCAATGGTCCCCTGACGGTAGATTCATCCTAACCGCCACCACTTCCCCAAGACTAAGAGTCGATAATGGTGTCAAGATCTGGCATGCTTCCGGAAAATTGATCTTTATCAAAGAATTTAAAGAATTGCTAGGCGTCGATTGGAAATTTCAACCACTTGAATCTTTCCCTCCCTTGAAAAAATTATTGGAAGAGACCCCAGAAGAGCACGAGTCCGTAAAACTTTGGAAACTAACAAACTCTACCAGCAAGATTACTGCATCCAATAAACCAAAGACCGCTTATGTTCCTCCTCATGCTCGAAGAAATGGTACAAATGGTTCCACCGCTCAAACTTCCCTATATCAAAAGGAGCTAGCCAGAACTATTGGTTCAGATTTACAAAAGCCTTTTTCCCCCAGACAAAAAATCATCCCTGGTGCTCCTGAGCCCCCTGAATCAAAGGCTGCTGCTAAAAATCGTAGAAGAAGAGAAGGCAAAAAGCAACTGGCCCCAGCTGATGATTCCATCTCCCCACCAAACTCATCTTCTACCAATGGCAATACCGCTGAATCAAATGTCTCCTACGTTGTTGGTGGTGTTCAGTCTTTTGAAGAAAAAAAGATCCGTAGTCTTTTGAAGAAATTGAGAGCCATTGAAACTCTCAAGACGAAACAAGCAAATGGCGAGCCTTTGGAAGATACCCAAGTTCTAAAGATTAAAACTGAAGATAAAATCAGAAATGAGTTAGCTGTTTTGGGCTGGGAGGAATAATTTTAAAATGTGACTTATTCCTGAAGTTGTCTTTTAGGTTCAATCCTGACATTCCTCACTTTGGGTTTGAAAAAACGGCTATTAATATCACTTTTTTCATAATATATTGATAGTTTTTTTTGTCCAATCATCTTTATTTGCCTGTAGTGTTGATCCCGTCCAATCACAAACAATTTCGATTTTGCGTGCTTATCAATGCAAAAAGCGGGTAACGTTGCTTTGCTTGCATTATAACAAATCCCGTATTTGTGACTGCTTTCTTTTTAGGGACTGAGAAAAATACCGTCTGTGTAAATTTGAGCTCCTACTAAATGGCTTAAGTGGAACTCACCCAAAATCACCTTTTCGATTATGTAATCTACTTAGAGACTGGAAAAAATAACTTGAGTATTATATTTCATTTCAAAATATCTAGGGATATCTGAAGGAAGCTATCAAGTATACCAGTGTATTTAGTCATAACTAAGTCTTTCTCAATAATTAATACAAAAAATGAAATTAAGTCAAGGTATGTGGTCATTTCAATAATAGAAACATCATCAAATCAATTCAACAATCTCTTTGCAGCTAGTCCAATAATATATTATAAATTCAATATTAAATTAGTTATTTTTCATATTTTTTTTATCTACAGACCATTTATTATTAAAATCAATCACTTCAATTTTATTAAATTCTATCAAATTCTATCAAATTTGTTGTTTTTTTTGAGCATTGAAATAAAAATTTTTTGAAAATAGCTTGATAATTAACTGATGGGTGAATTTTATTTTGCATTGTGATTTGAACAATCCACTAACTTTTTATTTCTTTAGACGTCACAAGCTCCCGTAGAAAAGCTAGAAAGGCTTACTTCACTGCTCCATCTTCGATCCGTCGTAAATTATTATCTGCTTCTTTATCAAAAGAATTACAAGAACAGTACGGTATCACTGCTTTGCCAATTAGAAAAGATGATGAAGTAAAAGTTGTTAGAGGTTCCAAAAAAGGTCAAGAAGGTAAAATTTCCTCTGTTTACAGATTAAAATATGCTATTCAAATCGTAAAATTAACTAAAGAAAAAGCTAATGGTGCTTCAGTTCCTTTAAATATTCATCCATCCAATGTTGTTATCACTAAATTGCATTTGGATAAAGACAGAAAAGGCTTAATTGTCAGAAAAGGTGGTAAAGCCGAATAGATAATTTTATAATTTTACTAATTATTTTTTCAATAAAAGGTTATACTTATAGTGATTTTACTTTTTGTGTAATGAATCTTGCACTTAATTCATCCTTTATGGTTTTTTACTTTAAAATCAAATCTGTGTAATATAATGGTCAACAAGTATTGACTTACATTTTAATGATGCAAAATATAATTATAATACATTGTTTTGATTTCTATCTAAGATAAAGCCGATTTAAAATCGTTAGAAATGAAGAGGACTAAATATTGTAAAAATGGGTAACTAAATATGAAATAAAAAATGGAAAATAAAAATGAAATGATGAAAAATATCAAAAGAAATAAAGTATGAAATGATCTATCGAAAAAGAATATTGAATTAAAACCTTCTCCTTAGTTTTTGAACTTTTTTGTAATGTGCTTTTTTACCACTTCTTTTACTTTTTTGAATTTCATCATATTTCTTCTTGAAGTATGATTTTGAATCTTTGTCATTCATTAATGATTGCAACATTGTTTGCCCTTTAATTTTCTTATTAGGGTATAGTTTTGTGTTTGTAGTAGGCTCAATTACAGTTCCAATCTGAAAATGTTTTGGAATTTGCCATTTTTCTTTCTTGTAAAATCTTTTAGGATCCAAAGCACTTCTTTGTTGGACTAATAGCAAATCTCTTTTGATTTCTGGAGTCATTTCCGGTTTCCCAATACTAAACCATTTTTCAGTAATTGATTCCTTTTTCTCTTTTATTTTATTTTCTCTGGTAAAAGTAATCTCAGTTTTAGCCTTTGATAAGTATTCTTTATGACCAAAATGCCTATCGTATGTATATTGTTCAAAAGAGGATCTTATTTTAGGTAACGAATTTATTGTTCTTTGAATCGAATCCAAGCTGTTCGTTTCCTCACTGGCATTATCCTCGATTTTTGTTTTGTTCTCTTTCTTCAAAAGTTCAAATAAATCATCAATATCAAAGTTGTTGTAACTATTGCAACCATTGGAACCACTATTTACTAAGGAACTGAGTTGATTCAGGTTATCATCGGTGATATCTTTGCTCTCCTTGATTTCATCAAGTTGGAAGTCGAGAGAATTACTTGAAGATAAGGATTCAGTAGTTGACTCAATGATAACAGAATGATCATAAATATTAGAATGGTTATTTAAAATGCCAGGATTAGTAGATATACTCATCATAGTGAAAAAAAAATATGAAAAAGAAAGATAATTAGAAAGTATTTAGAAAAATGATAGTCTCACTTCTTTGATTTTCTTTATGACCCTCAGAAATGAAAAAATTATGAGAAAAAATTGGTTTTTCCTTGAGCGGTGTTTTCAGCTGATGCCGGCACGTGCTTTTTGCTGAAAAATCCCCAGAATCATCTTGAAAATTGTTTAGTTTTAATGGCATTCATCGCTTCTCGAGCAATGCTTCTAGCTTCTTCAATTTCGTTGGACGAGCCGTTGTTGAGCTCGCTTGCATATCTGTAGGCATCTTCCCAGTTACAATTTTTGAATTCATGTTTGGCTAGCCATAATCTCGCTTTGCAGGTTTCATCGGTGGGTTCATATTCCTCTTCTTCTTTTAAACATAGTTTCATATAAGAAACACAGCTATGGATATCTTTGAGCTCTTGATATAAAAGTGCCAATTTGTAGAGAATTATTGGATCCATGTCTGAAATTGCCAACGCTCTCTTATAACATTTGATGCTTTCATTATATTTGTTCAATTTTTCATAGCAATTTCCTAGTGCTTGCCACATTCTTTTATCTAATGGATTCAATGAGCATGCTTTTTGATAGTAGTATAACGAATATAGGTGCATATCTAAAACTTCATAGGCTTGACCTAGACCATACCAAGCTTTAAAATCTTTGTTGTTTGTGTCAACAGCTCTTCTATAACTTTCAATTGCAGCGTGGGAATTCTTTAACTCAACAAATTCGTGACCCATTAGTGTCCAAGCAGCAAGACACTCTCTATTTAACGTCAAAGCTCTTCTATAATACATGATGGCCTTTTCATGTTCAAATTTTAAGGAGTAATAATTAGCGATGATACAACATGTTTCGGGCCTAAATTTATCCACGGATGAAGCTAATTGAGCCAAATATAATAGTTTAGAATTTTTTTCCATGACATACAAAATATTTGAATAAATATCTAAATCATCCAATCTAAAAGGATCATTAAGTAAAATATCATCGAAAATTTTTTCCGAGTCTTGATAGTCCAAGTGATGATACGAGATTAATGCTTTTTGAATTTTTATAAAAGAAAAATTCGGAAAGAGTTTGGTCAAAAAGTTCAATTCTTTTAGCAATATGATATTCTGTTGAAAAAACTCCTGATGAATCACCACTGAAAAAACCTTGATCATAATATTTTTATTATCTAGTTTTATTTGCTTTCCAAATTCAGAATTAATACTATTAGGTTTCAAATTTAGAAACTTGTTAAGAAAATTTAGCGCTTCATCAAATGAAGAAATGCTTGCAATCAATTCAGCCCAACAGGTCCAATTATATGGATATAATAAAAGAGACTTAAAGAAAGACTCTTGAGCCTGCTTTATGTTTTTTTGTTTTAATAGTATTATTCCATACAAATAATATAAAAAGGGATTCAAATTTTTTGAAGTGTCCTCATGATTATTAATATATAACTCAATTTCTTTTAAAATCAAAGGCAAAGACAAATTTTGAGCTATTGAGTCTTGTTGTCCTAATACACCCTCGCTATCTTCTTCCTTTCTTTTTTCGCCTGATAAATATGTAGAATATAATTTAATAAATAAAGCAATTGAGCTTTTACAATCTTTTAAACAATTAGAACATCTATCAAACTCTTTGCAGTCAAAATATGATTTGGCAAGTGCAATTTTATCGTTTTCCAATATTGAATTGATAATGTCATCATCTTGATTATCAGCACCAGATTGATTATCATGGTAATTAAAGTCTATTTCAAAATAACTTTCTGCATTGTTCTTTTTTGAATTTGATTTTAGATAATTGATATATAGCGTTTTTTCGTTTGGAATTTCAACGAGACCATTCAAAGCTTCTGCTGACCATTTAGCGCTGTTATAAAGATTCAAGTTTGTTAAAATTTTCACAGACTTTCGTAGTTCATTTTTGAAGTTAAATAAATCTTGGGGGTCCAAGTTAATTGATTCCATTTCTTTTCCAATATTGCCTTTGAATTTCATCCACACAACGTTTTCTCTACCAAAGATAAGTTGAAGGATTATTAAAGAACAACAGCTGAAAGAGCTGATAAAAGATAAAACAATGGCTCAGATTACGAATCGAACCGGTGCTTACCGATTTTCGGCTTTTGGAAACTTCGATTGGAAGCTTTAGAAAATGGTTCTACGCTTTTATTAAAAGAAAACAGCTATCAGAGAAGACTTTACAATCTGTAACAGATGGGATAAACTATGTTCTAAGTCTTGGAATACTTCAATGCTACAAATTCAAACAATTGTTGCTCATCGAATAATTTAAAATGACTCAATTTGTACTATACGATTTTCATTGAAGTTGCATTGAAGTTTCATTGAAATTAAATATTAAACCAATGAAAATTGTTTTACTACGTCTTTCTTCCCCATCCCTTAGATAGCATATTTTTTTCCAAGTTTTGCCAGAACCATTCAACAACCTGTCTATCTTTAAATCGAGCATATCTTTCTAATTCAATTTTTTCGACATTCCACTTGTTAACTTTTTCAGGGACCATGTCACCTTTATAACCAAAGTAGTAGCCTTTGATATTTGAAAACAAGTCATTGGGGTTGTTCCACTTGTAGTTTTTAAATTGCCATTCTTGACCAGTTGTAAAAACAGCCACAACTCTGTCCCAATATTGTGGTTTTGTGAACTTTTCAGTAGAATTAACTACAAGAAACTTCAATCTTCCAAAATTTTTGGAATTTCTGGTAACTTTTAATAAATCAAGATAATTGTGAGTGCTGGAAATAGGATCTTTCGTTGAAAAGACACCATCTTCAAGAAAGCTTTTAATATTGCCCATTGTTATAATAGAAGATGAAGCGGGTGAAATTAATATAATTGGATCTTTCATCTTATTAGCATTCTTTCTCTTGCGATCTTTAAACGAAGTTGAATTTGATGAAGATTTTTTTTTCAAATTTTCGATTATTTTGAAATCAATATCTGTCACTAAATATCCAAAATCAATGGGTTTTGATCCGTGTAAATATGTGTTATGGTCAACGATTGTTCTTTCATTGTTCATGTTCTCATAAATATCTTTAAATTCTTCATTTGGATTATAATCGTCGTCTTCAAAATCATCATTTTTTGAATAAATGTTCGATTTCAGAGAATTGTTGTAATTGTTTATATTGTTATTTAGATATTCACTATTGTTTGTAAAAGAATCATTTATGTTATTCGAATCAAAGTTATTTCGGTTTAGATTTTGATTATTATTTCTTTCATAGTTATTATCATGATTGGAATTATTTATATCTCTAATATGGGCCGATACTTTCAATTCACCCTTCAACCACTTGTTCAAATCACTTCTTTCTTGAAATGATAAGGTTTTGATATTTTTCAGCTGTGAATCAGACAAATAAGTTGAGCCTGCAGAATCTCTGTGAACCCAAGATTGGTAAATGACTTTCAAAGATAATTTTGTATTTTCAACAATAAAGTTGGTTAAAGTAGTCAAATCACAAATTTTTTGATCGATTTTCAAGTAAGCAGCCAATGTTATATCGTTGGTATTGGAATCGTTTTCGTCCAACAACTGTATTTCTTTTTGTTCAAGAATTGCATCACGCAACAAAATCAATGGATCATTTGAAGACATTTTGAATGATGAAGATACTAACAGGATGGGATGGAGAGCGTATTTATTGTTGTTGGTATTATTCAGTGAGAGATAGTCATGTGCTTGGACAAAAAAAACAGAAAAAACAGTATATAGATTGAAATTCATCTACAGAAAGTGAGTTAACATCACAGAAACAATTATATAATAGAGGAAAATTTATGAAAGTCTATAAACTATAATTTAAAGGAGAAATCTAATGGCTATTCCTGTTCAGACAAAAATTTTTCAGCATCTAAGGCAGCCATGCAACCAGATCCAGCACTTGTAACTGCTTGTCTATATCTTTTATCTTGAACATCTCCAGCGGCAAAAACACCTTCCACTGAGGTTAAAGATGAGCCTGGAACAGTTTTAATGTAGCCGGTTTCATCGGTGTCGATTTGCTTAGCAAAGACCTGTGTAGCAGGAGTATGGCCAATTGCATAAAATAAACCATTTACAGGCAAATCAGTGACTTCATTAGTGTTGACATTTTTAATTTTTAAATTATTTAATAATCTACCATCACCTTGAGCTTCTAAAGAGACTGTGTTGAAAAGAATTTCTAGTTTGGGATTGTTTTGAGCTCTTTTTTGCATAACTTTTGAGGCTCTTAGGTAATCTTTTCTAACAATCAAATAAACTTTTGAGCCATATTTGGTTAAGAATAAAGCCTCTTCACAGGCAGAATCACCACCGCCAATAACGGCCAAAGGTTTATTTCTGAAGATTGGAACAGCACCATCACAAACAGCACAGGCACTGATACCCTGTTGCCAATATTTTTCTTCGCCAGGTAAACCCAATCTTTTGGCAGATGCGCCGGTAGCAATCACAACTGCGTCAGTTAAAATTGGCTCATCGTCTTCATTCCATTCAGTCCAAAGCTTGAAGGGTCTTTGTGAAAAATCTACTTTAGAAATTGTTTCAGTGATTATTTCAGTTCCAAATCTTAAAGATTGTTCTCTCATTTTATCCATTAATTCAGAACCACCTAGTCCATCGGGAAATCCAGGGAAATTTTCAATTTCAGTGGTTGTAGTTAATTGGCCACCAGCGGCAATACCATTAGCAAGCATACCTTCGTATAAAACGGGCTTCATCTCAGCTCTTGCTAAGTATATAGCAGCAGTGTGAGCAGCTGGGCCAGAGCCGATGATTGTAACTTTATTGTGAACCATTTTGTTATTATTGGAGTGAGTAAAGAAGTTTGATTGAAAGTACTGTTGATGCAAGGACTTTTGCGAGGAGTGAGTAAGGAGTGGAAAAAAAGCAGAAACAGTTAGACAGTATCTGAAGATATTGGAAGTATTTATATTCTGAATTTCGGAAACTGGAGAATAATTAAGGGGATATGAATGATTATTAATTTTACCGAAGAGCTAGAAATCCTATTAGAGATTATTCAGCCAAAGGACGTTGATACTTATAAATTCGACTACGTTCTAGAGCAGAGTAGGCCGGGTGACCTCAATCAAGGGAACCTGCTTCGGTGTGCTGTCGCATGCATGATCGGTATGATGACGTAATGGTGTGCGTATTGGACGCGAGTCCATCGGCACGGTTCTACGGCTTTTGAAATGGACTGGACAAGGCAAAACGAACTAAACTAAACTAAAAAACACAAAATGGAAATATATAAGTAGCGTAAATAAATAAAACAATCTCAAACGAAATGAAGCGAAGTGGAAAAAGCAAAATGCGAGAGTGCGAGATTCTATTTGATACCGTTTCTCTCAGCACTGTCATTGTCTTTTGAGGGATTGCTATCGTATTCTTTGGTAGCAACACTGTCGACTTTTAGTTGGCTGTCACTGGTCTCGAAGTTGAATTTCTGGATTTCATCGATGATTATATTATCAATGTCCTTATCTTTGGAGTACTCAGAGTAGTAGTCATATCGTAAGTTCAACTGGTATTCCTCAAAGTTCTTGTTGTTGATTATATTTGTTGAATCATTCTCCCAGATTCCCAATCTACTCCAGAACATTTTGGCTCTGAGTCTGCAGCATTCAACCCAGCATTTTTTTAAGACTATCTTATTGTTGATTAAATCCTTCCCCCAGATTCCATTTTTGATTGATCTCAAGAATGCAAATAATTCGCAGACGTTTCTCATCCTGTAAAGACAATAATTGCATAACGGAAATTCATTTGTAATTACCTCTGTGGTAATAATTTCAGAAGAAGTTTTCTGATTGCTTGATTGGCTATTTTTTTGCTGTTGTTTTTTGGACTTTGAATTGAACCCAAAGAAATTTGAAGCGTCAAAACTTGAAGAAACTGAGGAAGAAGATTTTTTATGAGTTTTAGTTGTATAGACTTTTAAAATGTATAATCTGGAATGCTCAAGTTTATCTTCTCTTTCCTCTCCGCATAATGAACATTGTTGAGAGCTTGCCACTGGTGGTGTTTCGTTTTCATTGGTATTATTACTCAATTGGCCAGTTGAATTTCTATTTTTTTCTACATTTCCATTTCCATTTTCATTATCATTATCATTAGTATTGTCATTAGCATTGCTATTGCCATTCAAATTTCCATTGGAATTTCCATTAAGATTTCCATTGGAACTTCCATTAAGATCTCCATTGGAACTTCCATTTTTGTTGCCAATTTTATTGAAATTATTCAATTTCCATATTTCATTAATTCCACTAATTGGCTCAATTATAACTTTCCCATTTATTAAACAGTTTAAAACGTTTTTCTTTTGCAACCATGAAACCCCTGGTGCTTCATCCAATCTCAATGTCGGTTCAATATCTTCAATCAACAATTTTTTGAAAAATTTGCTGTCTTTAAATTCAGAATAGTTGTTTGTGATATTATTATATGAATCTAGTTTTTTACTCAATTGAACATATTTAATAAAATTAACAAAATATTGAAACATCTGCAAGTCATATCTTATTGCTTGAACCGTTGGTGTATACATTAGGTTTTCAATAGATAAATTATTGGGTTCAATTCCATTTTCAAGTGTATTATCATACTTTTCATTTTCCTCAGTGCTTTCGTTCAAGTCATAAATTTTGGAATTACTATTATTATTGCTATTATTCATGTTGATGATATTATCATTATTATCATAGCTGCTATTCACGTTACTCATATCAAAGCTTTCAAGTTGAGAGTGCTTTTCTATTAATTGATACAACCCTTCATTTTGGTTGGGATTAGTAGGAGAAGTAGCGCCAGATCTTCCTGGAGACATAGATAACGTTGAATTGGAACTCATGGGCAAAATTAAACTGGTATGCCTGGAATGGTTATTAAACATTGCCAATGATCTTCTCTTTTGATTGATGATTAGTTTTTCCTCATTTTTCTGCAAAACTGCTAGAATTTTTTTCAAATCATCTAGTTGATCCTTATACAAATTTAGTAAATTGTCCTTTTCTTTGATTTCATTAACTAATATAGTGTTTTTCTTGTCAATAGATTCTGTTTCTCTTCTAGCGTCCACCACCATATTATTGGCCTCGCTAAATAACGAAGTTGATAAATCTTCAATTTCCTTAGACAAATTTATGACTTCTTGATCAGCTTCTGTTCGACAAGTTCTTTCAACTTCTAAACTATCTTTGAGCTGTCTTATGGTTTGCGTGTTGGCTAAAAGTTCGGCTTTAGCTTTGATTAGCTCTTCATTTTTGATGGTAAGTTCGAGTTGTGTTTGCTGGAGTATTTCAGAAAGTGTAGTGTCGTAATAAATTGAGTCAGAAGATGATTTCTTGGACAAAGTAGCAGTTTTATGAAGGGTTTCAGTACTGGGGATAATGGGTTGGTGTTCAACCTCAGCTACGATTTGTCTAGCTGGGTAAACAGCAGGCTCTTGGACGACGTTGGGATGGAGTAGCTGCTGGGACATCTTGCTAGTCGATATGGAATCAAAGTATCGATAAGGAAAAGACAGAAAGAGAACAACTGGATAGAAAGAGAGGAAAACAGTGGAGGAAAGACAATCTATTTATTGGGTCTCTGGTTTATTTTTAAATTGAAATTATGATTTAAACGGAACAGCACAACACGCTTGAGTGGATTTTAGTTTGGCTTTTATTTTTTTGGCTTGATGCTTTGGAGGTTTGGCGTTTCTTAAAAGAATTTTCAGGACAAATGCTGCTCGATATATTTGGGCTGAAGCAGTGTGTGTTGCTGGGCTTGGGATTGTATTAATTACTGGCAGCTATAAAGATACATTGCTATATTACATTGTGCAGTGCCTGTTTATTCAGAGGCCCACAGGCACTTGCCAGGGAGCAGTCATAAGCAGCAGCAGCAACATCAGCAGTGGAATCAAGAGCAATGTGATTGACCACCCCCAACGAAACAACAGATACGAAAGAAATTTATCCTGAATATCAACTAGATCTGACTGGATTCTATCTCATCTTTCCTGGTCTTGGTTTCTTTTTTACCTTTTTGCTTTTATGTTCTGTAATGACTGGAATATTGAAAACTGGATGTTGAATATTGAAAAAGCACTGGGCAAAACAGTATAAAATATCAAGTAAAGTAAAGTAAAGAGAAATAAAATAAAATAAAATAAAGTAAAATATAAAATATAGAGTATAAAGTATAAAATATAAAATATAGATTAAACATTCAACATTAAACTGGTTGAAAAAAAAAAGAAAGAAAATGAAAAATAATAATAAAAATGAAAATAAAGAAAAAAAAAAAAAAAAAAAAAAAAAAGTAAAAGATTAATAATAAATACTAGCGTAATGTTTAAAGTTTTAATGTCGTCCTCAAAACAATCTCTATTCAACTTTTATGAAGACAGTTGTTATATCATCAGGTTTGCCTCCGAGATATGGTTGGCCAGTTATTGCTCTTAATTCTTGAGAAAAGGGACTTGGGAAATCCTCATCATAGCTCAATTTTTTGACATTTTGAACAAAAGTGTTTGCTACTTGTTGTAATGGAACATTGATGTTTTCATTATACTGGTCCTTTAGATAAATTTCGATATCAGGAACCAATATATTATCGGTAATACCATCTGTAGCAAAGATTATTATATCATTTTTTTGTAATTTGAAACTGTATTCTTGAGAATCTAGGGGAGAATCCAATAAATACTTTTTATTTTGTCTTCTTGCTTGTTCCAATAGCTTAGGAGGGATTATTGATAGTTGATAAGGTGTGTTAAAACGATGGGTTTGAAATTTTGTTTGATGAATACATTTGAAATCTCTAAACACTCCCATCCAAGAATCACCCAAGTTTGCTACTTTTAGTTCACCATTTGAGGATAAGATACCCAAGCAAGCAGTTGTGCCTCCACAATGGACTTTTTTATCGCTTTTTATATAATTGAAAGCCAAATTTAATAAAAATTTAGGATTTAGATCGATTAATTGGTCATTATCAGAATTTTCAAAGATGTATTTGATTGAGTTGCATAATTCTCTGCTAATTGCAGAAGAATCATAGCCCATTTCAGCCCAACCTCCGACGCCATCAGCTACACCAATTGAAATTTTATAACCATTTGAGTTGATTAGTAATTTTTCTGAGATAAAATAATTGTCCTCACCAGTTGGAGATTTGTTTGAAGTGTTTGAAATTGAGTTTTCAAAAAACCCATTTTCCTCTCGATCTTTTGGAGAAAATGCTACGACGATGTTATAATTTAAAGAATTGGATGGGTTTTGTGGGTTTGGAGGAGGAGAGGTGGAAGAACCTGAGGAATTTGAGCTAGAAGAGAAAAAAGAGGAAGAAGACGAGGAGGAAGCAGGAGAAGAAAAAGATGAGAAAAATGGGCTATAAGAGGAAAAAGATCTTTTGGTTATTATTATGTTGGAAAGAGAGCCGTAATTGTACGAATTTGAGGTGTTGAGATTATTAAGATTGAGATTAATAGTACTGATGTTATTATTGTTGTTATTATTACTACTGTTGTTATTGGTGATACTGTTGAAATAGTTGCAGGTATTTTTAGAAATGAAAGCCAAAGGAGAGGAGGAATAGGATCTTTTAGATATTGAGGTTATAAGATTGAATTTATTAAAGAAATTACAATTAATATTGATAGGTTTAGCCATTTGGTTTGGAGTAATGTGAATTGATTTGGTTTGATTTGATTTGGTTTTGATTTGATTTGGTTTGATTTGGTTTGGTTTTGATTAAAAATTTATCTAAGAATATATTCTTTGGCAACGTTTATTTTAGTTTTAGGATAATAATTCATAAACAGTGAATATTTTGCTTTCTTTTTTCTTTTTCTTTTCTTTTCTTTTATTTTTGGAATTTAAAAAAAAAAAATAACAATCAAAAACGAACGAAAGTTAAAAAAGTAGATGATAAATGAATTTTGATAAAAATGGCTGTATTAATAAATTTTTTCCCCGATGAAAAAGTTTAAATAGAGAACGAATAGCGAAATTGAAAAAAAAAAGAATGTTACTATTATTTATAACCTTCGGATAGATTAAACAAATCAGAACAAGTTTGGACAGTAGATCAATCAGGGAATAGGACTCGAAGAAAAATAGAGTAAGATAATTAGAATTAAATAAATGATTCGAACGAACCATTTAGCTTCTAAGAGAGCATTCGCAGCGAAATTTGTGGAAAGAAGAAGGTATTTTTATGGCGAGGGTGATTTGAATTGGATGGGAGACGCATTAAGCGACAACATAAAATCAGTCAAGTTGGCGTTTGATAAGTACCAATACAAAGAAGAGAGCAAGCTGCCACCAATTGTTATGCTACATGGGCTTTTTGGCAACAAAGGCAACAACAGAAGTGTTGGCAGAAAACTAAGTCAAGAGTTAAAGAGAGATGTGTACTGCTTGGATTTGAGGAACCATGGGGACTCGCCACACATCGCTAGACACGACTACCCATCACTAGCACAGGATGTTGAGAGATTCATTGAAAACGAAGAATTTTACAAGAAACAAAATAAGCTCTGCGTTTTGATTGGACACTCGATGGGAGCAAAGACTGCGATGGCGGTTTTGTTGCGAAAGGAGAAGTTGGTGTCGATGGGAGTGATAGTGGATAACTCGCCAGTGAGCTTTGCGTCAGCGTCAGGATCGATCTTTGGGCAGTATGTGAGGAAGTTGCTCGACATCACCGAGAACAAGAGCTTGGGCATCCAGAGTCTTCGCGAGGCAGACGAGTACTTGAAAAGCATCGAGGCCAACGAGTTCACGAGAAAGTTCTTGCTCACCAACCTCAAAAGAAGCAAGAACAGTAGCAGCAGCATTGCGTACGAGAGCAAGGTGCCACTTCGGATCTTGGGCAAGGCGATCGACAACGGACACATTGCAGGATGGCCATACGACTCGAGGGCAGTCCGCAGCACGAAGCCAGCGGTGTTTATTCGAGGGAGCCGATCAAAGTACGTCGCCGACGAGTATCTTCGGGATGTAGGAATGTTTTTCCCAAACTTCCGTCTTGACGAGATCGACGCCGGGCATTGGGTGATTTCGGAAAAGCCTACGGAGTTTGTAGCGCGAGTCAAGCACTGGGTCGAGTGGTTTGAAGAGCCTTAATGAATCGAGCCCTAATGCAGCGAGCCCTGGAGCAGCCGCAACAGAGCGCCAATGAGAGCGGCTGCTGAGAGCAATGTCCCGGCAGAGCAAAAGATGGAACTACGACGGCATCGCTCTCCATCCAGAAGCACAGGAGCCTGAGGCCTCAACACCACCATCCCAACAACTCCTACCTTTAACGCTGCTGCTTTTACACCATGAGCACCAACGATAACTCCCCCCAGCTCCACTCGCCGGCCCTGGCAACAAAGTTGAAGTCGGCTTCTCACTACTACATCTCCTCCACAAGCAAGAAATCGAGACAGAAAAAACTCATTTGCACTTTCAGCACCAACTCCAACGACTCTCTCACAAACACTGTGACTGTTCCTCCCGAACCCACTGCCACTCAGCCCGCCGCCGATGATGCAGCAGCAGCTGCCGCTGCTCATGCCGACAATATTCTTTCCCGCAACCTGACCCAAATTCATAGCCATAGCTGCAGCTCTTCTTCAACTTCCAAACGTTCAAACAAATCTTCTCATTCTTCTTACTCAGCTCACCCAGCTCATTCGTCTCATTTAATTCACTCTCATTCTCCCACCTTCCATCCCCATGGATCTACTAAACCAAAGAATAAAGATGCCATCTTAAATAAATCTAGTAAAATCATCAACAATGCCAGTAACAAAATTCATAACAATAATGACGATTATAATGATGTTGACTATACTATCAGTGACTATGATAACAACAGCAGCATATATAACGATCTAGACAGAATTATCAGTAATTTATCTCTAGATTCTTCAAACCCAATTTCAAATAATATTCCAAATAATATTCCAAATAAGTGTGCAAATCATATTTCCAACCCAGATTTAATTAAAAATTCAAAGCCTGATTTAAAAACGAACCCAAAACCAGTTTTGAAATCAATACTCAAAAAGACTTCTTCCATACCTGCAAATAAATATGCAAAAAGAGAAATCCCTCCAAAAGATACTCCTGTCAAAAAGGTTCGTTTCAAATCAATCGCTAACATTCAGTATCCGGATTGTCAAAAATCTAAAAGCAAATACAATTATAAATCAAACTGTTCAAACTGTTCAAATAATTTAAACAATTTAAACAACTTTTCTTTTTCTTTCTCAAATTTATCCTCCCATAACGACAATCCAACAATAATAAATCCCACTGACGATCAAAATATATCAACTGCTCTCATCTCCGATGCTTGGGAAGATTACCAAGAGATCGAAATCAATGAGGATTCTATAGATAACCTTGTTGATGAAATTGAATCTTACCATCACATAAATCTGTTAAATTATACTCAAAACGATACCCTGCCTCTTACAAATGACAATCTCATCAACCCCAACATTGAAAAAAAATCTTTAATTCTTCCTAAAATTAATGGAAATCTCTCTTATCACATTGATAACAATCAAACCGATAATCTTGATATCAATGATATCAACCGTATTAATAGTATCAATGAAAATAATGATAGCGATTCTACCGACACCTATCAGGTCCCAATTATTCACTCCTCTTACCTGACAGATAAATTTAAAACGCATTTTCCTAGAAACAAACTTTCTTCCAATTCAGATGACGATCAAGCTAGTAATACTGTTACTTTTAATGAACTTTTTAATCCCAACTTTAACGATAACCTCAATCAGAATTTTAATGATAGCTCTAATGAAAATTTTAATGAAAAACTTAATGAAAATCATAACAAGAATCTTAACGACATTTATGATGAAAATTATTCTTCTTCCTCTTCCTCTTCCTCTTCCTCTTCCTCTTCTTCCTCTCTTTCTTCATTTCAATCTAAAACAACAAAAACTTCAAAATATAAATACAAATATAAATAACATAAATTTATTACCTTTTAACTTTCTTTCTCTTCAAAAATTAAAATATTTTGATTTTTTTAATCTTTTTTAATCTTTTTTTATCTTTTTTCATCTTTTTTAATTCTTTTTTCATTCTTTTTTCATTCTTTTTTCATAATAATTAAAATAATATGTTACTTTTTTCTCTTCCCTTCTATTGGTCTTATAGATGGATAACATAAACCAATTATTGCCAATATATTATATTAAATACAGTTAAATACAATTAAATGAAATAAACAAAAATAGTAAAAAATAGTAAAAAACTGTAAAAAAAATAATAAAAAATAATAAAAAATAATAAAAAATAATAAAAAATAAAATAGATTTTAGTTCTTAATAATAAGATCTTGGGTTCATCTGATTATAAACTTTGTCATGTTGTATTTTTTTCTCCCTATATCTTTCTCTTTCTCTATCTCTCATTGGATCTCTGGTAGAATCCCTCATAGAATCTCTTTGGCGGTAGTCAAAATTAGAACCAGAATTATATTCTCTTTTATAACTCGAGTTTATAGGATTATTATAACTACTATAGTTATTTCTCATCGTTGATGATGGAGGCTTACCATGATATCTATTTCTCGAGGGTGAAGAATGTGATAAATTGGTGGGATTAGATGGAAATGATGAGCTCAAAAAATCTCTTTTCGTATAACCTCTACCACCCAATCCTCCTCCTAGTCTTCTTGGCAACCAATTATTCATTCTTCTACCTCTTTCAATGTCACCTATTATTAATCGATTTTTGATTTTTAAATTTTTGCAGCTATTTAACGCTTGAATAAAATCACTTTCTCTTTCAAATAAAATAAAGGCATACCCCTTTTTTTTATTCTTGTTATATTTGTCTTCAATTATTCGAATTCTTTTTATTTCACCATATTGATCAAAGATCTTATGTAGATCATCTTCTGATATATCATATGGTAATCTCGACAAAAATAATGTTTTAAAAGGATTCCCAATTATTTGCGAGTCGTGATTGGGATGCCAGTTATCCAAATCTTTTTTCAATTTTTCATTTAATAATCGTTTTTTCTCTTTTTTTTCACGTATTTGCTTTTGCTGTAAACCCTCAGTTGGCTCATACTTCGCATTTTCAATATAATCCTTCAATACATTGTCATGAATTAGTGAAGACATCCCAGATATAATTTGATTCGAGCGTTTTTGTGGCGCGACATCAATTGGCTGAACATATTTTAATAGAGGTCTTGGTTCAAATAGCTGTGATATCTTCCTTGGTAACAAAGAATCAGAATTGGACTAGATCAATTGGTGAGAAAAGCAGTTAGTATGAACAGTACAAATCAAATAGTAAGAAAATAGTCAATAGATAGAAAATTAGAACTAGTAATATCAAGCAACTTACCATGTTGTCTGGATATCTTTTGTTGATAGTGTGATGGATCTGGATGAAGTAAAATTGCAGAGTATTGTTGAAATGCACAGTGCTTCATCTCAAAAAATCGTAAACAAATCCTTGAAATCCGTGCCGTACAAAAACGGTTGAATTACGTTATCACTATCTGTACACGTGGTTTTCTACCGATGTGAGCACGGATAGCATTCATCATCCGTGGATGTTCTAGACCTTTTCGCTGGGATGCCGAACAATGAAAACAAATGGCCCGTTTGGATTATTAATGGTTGTGCAGGAGTTTAAAACATCCCCCAAAACAGCTCCAGAACACTTCGGCATTTAAAACGGGAGCTATCGTAGCAAGAGCAGATAACAAAAATATAAATGGCTGGGAATTCCAAACCAATCCAGTTTACTGCGTTTTTATTTTAGAGTATTTTTTGAAACTGCTCTAGCAGCAAGGAACACTTTTTTTGCTTTTCTTAAATACTTCATTCCTATTGCTTGTTCTTGTTTCAGCAATCGTTGGTTTTCAAGCAGCGGAGTTGTTGTGTGTCTAAATAACAGTTTCCCTTTTTTATGTCTCTAGAAAAACAATTGAAAATTATTTCTAATTTCACTTTTTTGTGATTATTAAACGCACAAAAAAAATCAAATGACCATAAAATTCAAAACTCTTTCACAAGTTCAAAATTCAGATAACTATTGAGGGGTGTCTTTTTTGAAGCATGTTAATAACATAAAAAAACTGACTATCAATTTTATTCTTGGTTTTGTTAATTTTATGCTGTTTTTTTGTTTCAGAGTATAGTATAGTATTTCCTTCACTTAATTATAATTTGTCCTAACAAAACTCTTACTCTTAACTTTTATCATAAAATAAATGCTATAAAATAAATTACCACTAATCTTTTTGATATACATATTTTTTGTTTCAAATACAGTTTTATAAAGATATTAAGAATCTACAATAAAAATGAATTAACCCTAATTTTTGTTATTGTTGTTATTTTGAAATTCTACTTCTTCGTTATTTGTATCAGCTACCAAACTTTCATTTGATAAATTTTTTTTGTCAAAATTTAATCCTGCTAAAAATTCTTCTCCATAGTTGCTTATCAATTCATCACTTGTTGCCAATAATCTAGAAATATTTGATAGATTTGTTCCAGTAGCTGACATTAATAACTGTTTAGTATTCTCAAATGATTCACTATCCAAATCAAAATTTAAAAAATTGCTATTTCTTGACTTTAACGTTCCAATAGAAGCTTCATCATTTAATCCATCGGCTTCACTATTTATTGCTGAAGTTTTCATTGATCTATTATCTTTTTGCGCTTCAAATAATAGCACTGGTCTTAAGCAAAGCCAACCAGTTTCAGTCTTAAAATGTCTTCCAAGTGCATCTGCTCTTGCAAATTTTTTATTGCATCCCCATTTGGTGCCATTTTTCAATATACCACCACATTTATACTTTTTAATACCATCATGTAATGCTTCATGTCTCTTTCTGTCATGAGTTCTAGCAAATTTTCTTCCACAAGTGCTACAGGCATATGGCTTTTTATTGGAATGTGTTCTTAAATGTGATCTTAAATTGTATGGTTTATTAAAACTTTTGCCACACATATCACAAACATAAATTTCTTCGGATTCAGTATTCCCATTTATACCCTGAGTGATGACAGAATTTATATCAATTAAGTTGTCGTTTGAAAACCCAAGTAGTCTTGGTTGTTGATTTAAATTATTTTCTTTATTAGGTTTATTTCTACGTCGTCTACGACGTGGTAGACCTGATTCTTTAACAGCAGAATCCTGAGCAGTCTCTATAGCTGCATTAATAGTAGATTCAGTTATTGGTACTTTGTTGTTATTTCCATCAAATAAATTTGTAACAATATGATTTTTTTGAGACTGAAAGGAATCAGGTTGAAGATGATTGTTTCCATAATTTATAGCGTTTGTAGGCTGTGAAGTTATTAGTGGATTTAAAAGGGTATTTATTGATGGAATACTAGTTGTGATCAGCAAGGGCGATATTGAAGAAAATTGTGATTTTTCAACTGAAGGAAAAACTGAGTTATAATTATATGCTAGACAGTTTTGATTAATTATTGGATAGGGGAGTATTGGCAAACTTGATGGCATAGGTTGCGAATATACTAATTGAGGCAAATTGTAGTTTGGCGCATTGAAATTTGCATTGAAATTTGCATTGAGATTTGTATTAAGATTTGTATTAATACCTGGATCCATAATTTGATTATTATATTGATATTGGTATTGGTATTGACACTGTTGCTGATACTGATATTTTTGGTAGTCATTCATTTGATTATTATCCAACAATAAAAGATTTCTATTGTTTCTATTTTGTTGATGAATATTGTTAATTGTATTTATGTTATTTATGATATTGGTGTTATTATTGGCATCCAAAAAATTTGAGGGAGGTAAGGTGTTTAATGGAGGTAAATTCGCGTATTGATTAAATACCAAGTTTCTATTGAAAAAACCTTGGTTTTTCTCTCTGATATTATTGATGTTCAAATCAAGGATATTGTTATTCTGTTCTGGATAATTATTGAGATTATTATTATTATTATTATTATTATTATTATTATTATTATTATTATTACTATCACTGTTAATATTACTGTTAATATTACTGTTAATATTAGAAATAGCGGCAGTATTTGAAGTGGAATTTATTTGATATGCTGCAGGAGAACCAAATGATTTGTTTAAATTCGAGGATTTGGGAGAGGAACTAGGGCTTGCCATAATTTTTGGTGTTGGAGTTGTTGGACTGATAATCGAAGAAGCAGAACTACTAGTGTTATTACTAAGATATGAAGGTGTACTGATAGCCCTTGAGTTGGAATTATTTATAACAGACAAGTATTGATCAAAACTACTTGTTAATTGTTGTTTCATGATAATTAAATGTAATTGATAAAAGGAAAGCTAAAAATTATTTCAATTACTCTTTATCTAATGGATGATCCTTTTCAATGTTGAAAATGAAATAGTGTATAAGAAATTAAAACCGGTGTTTAAAAAGATTTGCTTCTGGAGTAGTAGTAAGAATAGGTTTTGAGAAGAGAAAATCAACCAAATTAAAGATTAAAAGAGGAAACCAACTAAATAAATATGGTTGGATCACTTAAAATTTTACATACAATATCATAAAGACGATACATTATTTTGCATTTGTTAAATGATTAAAAACCGGCTTTTTGAATGCAAGTAATGTAACTGGAAGAAAAACATCACACCCAGCACATATGAATTGGAGGCATACTTCCCTGCAGAAATACAATATTCGGGTAACTTGTTTTAACAAACTAACATTGTGATAGAAAAACCAGTAATTAGTAAAGACAACGTTCTAGCCCATACCCTGTGAAACAAGGATAATACTACTATTTCGAGTGTATGCAGCCGCGCATATTGGTTCACCATTACGTGTAGTATGACTCAGGCTTTTTCACACGGTAATTGAATATTACTTTGAAACAGATAGCCTCAGTCGCCGGCGGTATTTAAAAAAATATTGCAAAAGCCTTCTCGGTGAATAACAGTCAGAAGACCGTGCCTCCAGACCTTGTGTACAAAATACAATATAACTGAACAAATCAAGAAATATAAAGCATAAATAGATTATACCAGGGACATTTTTTGTTTTTATTGATAATAGGGTTTACTTTAGCTGGGGGTTTTTATTAAATAAGATATTTTTTAAAAGAAGATTCTATTATTATTACTTACCAATGATCTATAATAACGAGTGTCTTGGAGATGGGTTTCAATATTGTTTTTCACTTGAGTGCTTTTATTTCATAAAATTTTTAGTTAGCAGTCACAAATAAGAATATTCCAAATACGAATAGTGAAAATAAATGCCCTTATTGCCGAACTGTTTAATGTTATTTTTATTTTCGATAAAGCTAGCAGAATAATGTGATGAAAACAGAATAAAGTTAAAATAAGTACAGGTTCAAGCTCGATTCAATACATAAAGAAATAAATAAGAGGCAGTGTTATTTATTTTTATTTTTGGACAATTTGCAATCCCTAAAATGCCGATGACAGCGATAAATATAAAAGATTGAATTTACTTTTAGCTCCATAAGCCATATTATATTGTGCTTAATTAAATATAAATATCTACATTGAGAAATAAATAGGAAATATTTTGTATATAATTTAGGTAGGGGAAATGAATAAATAAGCTTTAACAAGAAAAAGGGTTAGAGTGAAGTTTGAAAAATGATGGCTATACTCGATTATTTTATCAAACTTTGAAACCAAAAAAGAAAAACAAAAACAAAAACAAAAAAAAGATGAAAAAGTAAATTCAAACGGAAAATCTGGAGATAGAAGTTGAAAGTTGCTTTTTGAAGGTACTTCGTCTGATTAAGTAATTAAGTATGATTTTTATTATTATGTAAGAAAAGCTTATTTAATAATGCAAGCCATCAGGTTGGATTCATGATTTTTCACGTGGTATTAACTTTTGTAATTGGAGGGAAAAATTTTAGGTTATTTTTTTTCACCCAAGTTGCTTTATGAACAAATATTTCAAAAACTTGAGGTGATAGTTAAAAAATAACGAAAGCAAATATTCCAAACTAATTTTGGAAATCAACTTATCAATTTAGTAAAAACAGGAAAAAGCAAAAAAAAAAATTACAAGAGATAAAAAAGTTAGAAACAATAAAGAATAATTAAAAATGGCACCTCTAATAGATGAAACAGATGCTGAAAAAAACATTCAAATTTGGAGAATCAAGAAAATTATCAAAAAACTTGAGGTTGCTAGAGGAAATGGTACTTCAATGATTTCATTGATTTTACCACCCAAATCACAAGTTTCAATTACTCAAAAAATGTTGACAGATGAGTATGGTACAGCTTCTAATATCAAGTCAAGAGTTAATAGGTTATCAGTTTTATCAGCTATTACCTCGACTCAACAAAAATTGAAGTTGTATAATAAAGTTCCACCAAATGGGTTAGTTATATATTGTGGGGATGTTATAACTGAGGAAGGAAAAGAAAAGAAGTTGAACATTGATTTTGAACCATTTAAGCCAATCAACACGTCATTATATTTATGTGATAATAAGTTCCATACCGAATCATTGGCAGAGTTATTACAAAATGATGATAAGTTTGGGTTTATTGTTATGGATGGTAATGGAGCATTATTTGGGGTTGTTTCTGGAAATACTCGAACAGTTTTGCATAAATTTACTGTTGATTTACCCAAGAAGCATGGAAGAGGTGGTCAATCCGCATTACGTTTTTCGAGATTGCGTGATGAAAAAAGACACAATTATGTTCGAAAAGTAGCTGAAGTTGCAGTACAAAATTTCATTACAGGAGATAAGGTGAATGTCACTGGGTTGATTTTGGCAGGTAGTGCAGATTTTAAGACGGAATTGTCGAGATCAGATATGTTTGATAATAGATTAGTAGCCAAGATCATCAAAGTTGTCGATGTATCGTACGGAGGTGAAAATGGGTTCAACCAAGCCATTGAGCTATCAGCAGAGACTTTGTCGAATGTCAAGTTTATCCAAGAGAAAAAATTGATTACCAGTTATTTTGATGAAATCTCTCAAGATACAGGGAAATATTGTTATGGTATTGAAGACACATTGAAGGCGCTTGATTTGGGGGCATGTGAAATTGTGATTGTGTATGAGAACTTGGATATTATTCGATACACGTTGAAGGATTCAGAGGGCAAAGAGGTTGTGGCATACCACTCACCCTCTCAGCATGGGGAAAATAGCAAAGATTATCTATTGGATAAAAACACTGGGCAAGAAATGGAGGCCGTCTCTGATCAACCGCTATTGGAATGGTTGGCGGAACACTACAAAGAGTATGGTGCTTCATTAGAGTTTGTGACCGATAAGAGTTCAGAGGGAGCTCAGTTTGTGAAGGGATTTGGTGGTATCGGAGCTCTTCTCAGATACAAGGTGAATTTCGAGCAGTTGGTCAGTGACGATGAGGACGAGTTCTACAGCGACAACGACGCAGGAGCCGACGACTACGACAGCGATTTCATTTGAGCATCAAGAGCCGCTGGAGATGGTGGGTTGATGTTCTGAAGAAGGTGGAAAATAGGATTCAGGGTGAGTGGCAGCCCAGAAATAGTATTGAGGGACGTTTTAGTTCTTTGAGTCTATAGAGAAACACTGGTTAGAGCAAGTAGATCCGCTAACAGTGGCCTCCGGCCAAGGCGCTCTGACGAGAAATACACAGCAGCAACAGCACCAGCAGCAACAGCACCAGCAGCAACAGCACCAGCAGCAACAGCATCAAACGCAGACGCAGCAAAAGCAGCAAAACCGCCACAACAGCTCGGACCACTGCACGTGCCGTGTCCGGACCAGCATCCGCAGGGGTGGGAGCGTTAGTGAATAGAGCTCAGGTAACAGAATAATGAGACGAAGAACACAGACTTTGGCTCTGGATGAGGGCCCTTGTGCTCGTTGATCGTTTAGCCTCTGCTCCCTTTCTGCTCCTGCTTCTGCGTCTGCGTCTTCTGACTTTTCTTCTGCTGCCTCTGCTGTTTCTGCTGCCTATTTTACTGGTTCTTCTGCTCTTGCTCCATCTGCTGTTATGCCTCTCATCAACACCTCTGTCTCTCCTGCCTGCTCTCCTTCCATTCACACCTCCATCTCCACCTCCCCTGCTGTTTTCCTTTTTCCATCTGTTTTCTTCTGAGTTTGTTTGCTATTTTGGTCTTCTACCATTTGCCATTTATACAATTTTTCCTAGGTATCATTTATCTCAAATAGCTATCAAATAGCACAAAAATAGCATTAAACAAGATAATAAAAAAAATTCCTAAATAATGTCCATGACCATCGGCGCTGCTTCAAGTTTTATCTCTAGTCTAGATGATAATCTTCCTGCTCAGTCCTCCCAGGGCGTTATTGAAATTGGCTATATAATCACTTCTGCTCCTTACAATGACAATGAAATAAACCCCAAACTAATAGAAATCGCTAATATAATCAACTATAATGAATCGAATCACATCTTTATTGAACTGCTAAGTCTGAGGTTATTCAATTTAATGGATAAAATCATAATTCCCGCCTTGAATTACTCTACTCTTCTACCTCCTCCTTCTCCTTCAACTGATTCAGATACCCAATCCATTGCAACGAATCTTTTCAATTCCGATGAAGAAAAAAACACTTCCATTATTTTAGCCGCTGACATCATTCAAAGCGTTTACCAAATGATTCAAAATGGTTTATATGTCATTCCCGATATAACTGCTGGCGTTTTAAGCGTTTTGTTGGATGTTTTAAAAAACCAGTCAAAGACGAAATCGACTAAATTTGCCTTTAAATCCTCAATTCAGATCGCGCTATTAAACGCCTTTGAAATGGTTATTTTACAATCGGACATTGATGAAGACTTACTATCCTGGTTAACTGGTGAATTGCTAACTACAACGTCTAAAAATCAAATTCTCATCAGAGCACTACTATGCTCCTCTGTAGAACTATTACTAGACAGAATCATCGTTGAGGGCTTGCCAACCGGTCAATTTTTAAACCCAAATAATATTTACAACAATTTAAATGATATCACAATGACAATTATATCTCAAGAATCTTTTAAAACCTCAAATATATCTAACGACTATCACAAATATCAAAACAACCTTTTAAACGCAATGGCAAAATGCGTCAACGCTTCAACTAAACCAATCAAGGACATACAATTAAATACACTTGTTTTAAAACAAAAGTTTCAAAAAGTTTTATCAATATATCAAAATAATAATAACAATAATAATAACAATAATAATAACAATAATAATAGCAACCAATTTAATAATAACATTTCCTATAATTCCGTTTTTCAAAATCAAAATAAACATTTAAATCAAAATAGAAATTTAAATTTAAATCAAAATTTTAATCAAAATTTACATCAAAACATGCTAATCCCTCTAACCCCAACCAGTTCAAATTTCCCTAAATTTTCTGAAATTAGCGTTATAACTGATAATATTACCTCAACTAATTCTGCAATGTCAAAATCAGAAACTCTTATGACTAACCCTACTTCAACTACAACAACAAATACAAATACAAACACAAACACAAACATTATCCCAATTGAAAACTATTTTGAAAGCGACTTTAATTTCGATCTCAATCATACAATTAACTCAAATAACAATACTGTAAATGTAAACATCCTCAATCAAAATAATCAAAATAGTAACATTGATGAAATTAATCATGAAGCAATCTCTTCTTCTTGCTATAAATACTATCTACATAAAAAATCAAACCTGAATTCAATTCCAAATTGGTATAATGATCTGTTTCAAATTAAAAAAGATTACCCAATACAAAACAACAACAACAACATCGTCACCAACTTCTCTGAAAATCAAAACAACAAAATAATCCAAAATCAAAAACCTTCAACCATCAAAACTTCTCTAAGTGAAATTACTCCAAGACAGATCTCCAAGTTCAACCAAATTAATCTACTTCTGTCTCTAGATAAGAGTCAAAATAAAGAAAATATAGAGCAAAAAACTTCTCATTTAGGAAATTTGGAAATCAATGAAATTAACAATAACTCGTTGATAAACCAAACGAATCTAACCATTTCTAAAAATAAACTGCAACCATTGAATTATAAGAATAATAAAATTGCAAATAAAACCACTTCTACTGACTCTAAAAAAAAGAAGAAAAAGAAAAAGAAAACATTGTCTAAATTTGGATTTTTATTTTGTTTCCTGTCTAAAAAATCAAAATTAAAAACATCGGCCAAACTGGTTAACACATCTGTAAAAACACTGAAGGCAATAAAAAATGATACTCTTTCTAATGATTCTACAAAAAAAATGTCATATAAAATGTCAACAGAAACAAATGATAAAGACAAGTTAATTACTATGAAATCTTTGACATCAAGTTCTAATAATCCAAGTATTCAAAAATCCAAACCAACCTTTACGCTGGAACCATTATCTAAATCCAATATAAACTCCATTGCTTCTACTGGCTCGACTTCCTTGAACAAAAAACCATCTATCATAAATTCTCAATTGATTAATCAAATAAATGAAAAAAAGAGAAAAAGGAAAAGTTGGTGGAAGAAACGGCTTAGTACTGGAAAGAACTCAAATATAATTGAAATTCTGAGCATGACAATTAAAAACTCTGAAGTTTTGAAAAATAAAGATGCCAATAGAATATCAAATAATGATGATATTATCAAGAAAAGTGGCAAGACAAAATTAGGTCTCAATGAAAATGATAAGAATGTTATTTCAAAACAAGATATTAATTTTAATGCAAAAGATAAAGAAAAAGAGAAAGAAACAGAGAAAGAAACAGAAATAGAACTAAAGAGAGAAACCAGAAAACAAAATCCTAAAATATCTTTGATTTGTGCGCCTTCATTAGCAAATCAACAATCAATTGGAATTGATGAAGTTATCAATGCAAATAACTTGAGCGCCAATTTTGAAATGGATGAGGAAACTGAAATGTATAAGGGTCAATCAAGCACTGATCTTATAGTGAGAAATGGTTACGCAAAGAAAGCGCCATCAGTAAGAACATTCAGAAGCACTACTTCTGTGAATACTACAAAATCCGGAAGACTGAACAGAGAAAGAGCAGTCAAGCAAAAAACAAAGGCCAAGTATTCCAGCAGTCATAGAAGACAGCCAAGTGTATCTAATTTGAAATATGTTTAAGATTGTAACTCTCAGAGGTTATAAACATTCATAATTATAAGCTATATAAATTTTGGGCAATTATAATATAGCGGTTATTTATATTAGATTAATTGATTTTATTTTATTTTATTTTATTTTATTTTATTTTATTTTATTTTATTTTATTTTACTTTACTTTACTTTACTTTACTTTACTTTACTTTACTTTACTTTACTTTACTTTACTTTACTTTACTTTACTTTACTTTACTTTACTTTACTTTATTTTATCTTATTTTACTTCATTTTATTTTACTTCACTTTATTTCACTTTATTTCACTTTACTTTTGTTTTTTAATTTTTTTAATATTTTTCTCTTTTGTTCTTTTGCTCTAGTTTTTTGCTGCTAATTTTGCTTAAATTCGTTTCATCTCTTTATGTTTTATCTATTTTTTGTTGCTATACTATGTTTATATTATTTCACAATGAAAAATAATAACTAATGATAGACTGCTGTTGGTCTGTATTCTGCACTCTAACTGGCAACCACTTGCCACGATTACAAGCACCAGGCAAACTGCGGCGGTGCAATACATAAGCAATTAGCTAAGCAGTCGCAGCATCCAACACTCGCATCCAACATCTACACATGATCTTGCCGCTGATTGTTTATTTCTTCAGCAGGCAACTCTAAATGTTGGAAAGCTCTCCTAGCTATCAATTCCCACCCATCAACCAGTATTAATTGATTATATACTATATGGTCTACTTTTTGTAACCGATAATCAGTGCTAATAGCTTTCATATACACAATTACACAAATTGGATTAATATAGACCCTATATATTTTGAATTGAGAGAACCAGACACCACTGAAGATGGCTCTTGATCCTTTACTATACCTTAATCATGACGATTCCTCCAAAGACACCAATGATACTCTGGTTATGAATCAATCAACAAAACTTATCTCCAAAAAGAATTTTGTTGACAGCAATGTTGACCCAAATCAGGGTGTTGATGATGTCACTCATAATGAAAATGGCCTTGTATTACCTGTTTCCTCCCTAATTGACTTTTTATTCAATTTATCAAAAATCCTTCAAAATGCTGACAGCGAAGATATAATATATTTTAACAATTTAAATTCCACTAATTTGTGCAAAAATTTTATAAATAATCAATTTCCTTCCACAATTTTTATTGTAAAGTTGTTCATCAAAAATTCCACATCAAAGAATACCTTCTTGTTGTTAAATACTTTAATTCCCCTAAATCAAGTTTTGTCTACAATAGTCATTATAAAGGAAAAGGGTCTATTATACAATAGAAATTTCCTAGATTCTCAATTACAGGTGATTAATTTACCAAACTATCCTCTAATTAATTCAGTCAATCGTCTGACAACTAAATTTAATGACTCAAGTAATATCAAATCTATCACCGAAAATTCTGATATTGATGATAGTAACAATACTGACTCTTTTATTGATAATGATAATACCGATGAAAACCCTAATTCAGTAAATTCTAGCTCCAATTTAATCATTAAAAATGATGACAGAAAATCCTATGAAACACTTCGAACTTTAATAAATTTGGGTATCTCTCCATACTTTGAAGCTTTAACTCAAATCTCAAATACCCCAATATTAGATACAGACTCTCAATCACTAATTGCGTCTATTTCAAATAATTTAAACACAAAAGTTTCTCCAGGTTCTAATTTAATTTCTATCAATCAACTATCAACTAATAACAATAACGATGATGATAATACTGGAGCAATTGGAAGTGCAAGAAAAAAATTAAGCGAATTGATTTTGTCATTGCAACATATTCAACAGTCTGTTCAAATTCCTGATTTATCCTTGACGTTACATCATACAATCAAAAACGCAATTGAATCTGCAAATCACAGTAATGATAAATTACCAATTGATTTTATTCCCGAAGATTTATTATCTGATTCAAATTTTTTAAATACTTTGCAAAGTATAGCCAATGGATGGATAAAATCCGTTCAGAATGTCACAAAATTATCAAGAGACCCATCTGAAGGTTCTGCTGCTGATGAAATCAATTTTTGGACATCAATGGAAAGTGCACTATTAAATATTCAAGATCAGTTAAACTCTCCTCCAATAGCTCTAACCCTAGAAATTTTGACCAAGGCCAAGAGATTTTATGCCACTCTCAGTTTAACAAATGATACAGGTTTGAAAGAAAGCTTATCAACTGCAAATAAGTATAATCAATTGATGAAAGACCTACCTTTAGATGAATTGTTGTCTGCAACAACTTTAAAAAAAATTGAGGAAGCAATTATTTTAATTATGAATCATTTGAAAAAACTTCGAGTGACAAACTATCCTATAAATAGAGTTTTACCGTTTGTTGAAGCAATATCTGCTGACTTGGACTCAAAATTAAAAATGATTATAAGAACTTTTAATTTGATGTACTTGAACTTTGACGAATTTTTATCTAAAACTCAAGAAATCAATTCTGTCTTCCTGATTTGGGATAAACAAATCAAAGAATTTACAAATCTTGCAAGAGAATTGTTAAGAAAAAGATCAGAAAAATTTATCTTTATTAGAATCAATTCAAAAACAAGAGCTCTAAAAGAAAGATTAGAATACATTCTAACTTTTAGGTCAAGACACAATGAGCTAATTATAACTCTTAATAACATTATCAATACCACAAATAAAAATTTTTCGAATTTCAAATTCAATAATAACATGAATCCAATTAACGAAATGGAATTTGCTTTTGATGCTGTAAGAAATATAGATATTGCCAACACTTCTGCTGAAGGTAAAAAATTTTGGGATTCTGCAGAAAAAATATACAATAACAGAGCTCAAAAGGTTGAAAATGCTATTGTCTCCATGTTAAGGGAAATACTATCAAATTCCAAAAGTGCTAATGAAATGTTTTCAATTTTCAATAAATTTAATTTTTTATTGTCCAGACCTTCGGTTAACGATTCAATTCAGGAATATCAGACACAATTGTTAGAAATTGTTAAATTGGACATCAATAATTTACAAAAGCATTTCCTTAAACAAACTGAATCTCGGAGATTGTTTAAAGCACGAGATTTGCCCCCTGTGTCATCAGCAATTATTTGGGCTAAACAAATTGAAAATAAGTTGAACTTTCTTTTAAATAGATTGGAATTGATTCTTGGAAAAAATTGGATTGAATATGTTGAGGGAAGAAAAATTTATATGGAGTCTGTTGTGTTCAAGAAAAAATTAAACACTGAGCCAATATATGAAACTTGGCTAAATGAGGTTATGGAAAATAATATTAATTCATGTCTTGAGTTGAACATTTTTAAAATTGTAAGAAATTCGAATGAAAAAACTGACTTGTCATTGGTAAATGGAGGATTAGAATTAGTGGTGAATTTCGATTTTAATTTAATTATAATATTCAAGGAGGTTAGAAATTTATGCTGGTTAAATTTTCAGGTGCCCCATTCTATTATCACAAGTGCAAGATTAATAAGAAAAGTATATCCATTTGCAATTAGCATTAATGAATCTTTAAGTATCTTTTTTGAGAGTTTGATAGAGTACGATACTTTAAATGAAGCTTCAATTTTAATGAAACCAATTAAAAACAATTTATTTAGATTATTACTGGATTGTTTTAATATAAGGTGGGTAGATTTATCTAAAGCTTATGATTTGCAAAAACTAAGTTCTGTGCTTGACCAAAATAGAGATTCTATTACTGGAAATGATGATTTAAAAACTAATATTACGAGTAGCATTGATTTGATTGAAAACCAATATTTGAAAAATGTGTTAAGCTTTCAAAATTCTGCAAATACATTTCATAATAAAATTGAGTTACTTAAAAAATTTAAATTTAATTTAAATGTTTGTTTTAATGAGTTGCTAGGTTGTTATTATAATAAATCATCATTTGAAAAAATATTGTCCATGATTCAAAAATTAGTGAATGAAATAATTTTAGAGGATTATAGTAATGTCAGTTTGCTTGTTAAAAAAATTAATAAGAAGATTGAAACAATTTTTGTTAGTAGATGCATCAAAGTTACAAATATTTGGATTGAATTACTTTCAAATGAATACTTGGAAAATGATTTTGAACTTTCGGACACAATTAAAAATTTTGAGATAGAAGAGAATATCGTTTCGAAGATAAATGACCAAGAAACATTTGAAAAAAAAATATCAGATGTCAAAAAGTTTCTTCCCATATCCAGACATGAAATCATTCTCAAGGATGACACAATATCTGTATATCCCCCAATTGAAAACTCAAAGTTAACTTGGATATGGAATTTACAACAAGCTATAAATATTGTTTGTAGTCAACGAATCATAGATGAAAGCAGTTATGAAATAAAAGTTGGGAATGAGAATATTCTTAATTCTATGTCAACAAAACATTCAAACGAACTGTCATTGAAATATTCTAATTCTAGAACAAATGGCCATAAATCACATATTTATGGCACTTTTCACAAAATAAATGGTTCTAAAGCAGTTTTAAATCAAATTGAAAGATGTTTGTTTAAAATAGAAGAGAAATTTACAAAAGGTAAGGAGTATGTGAACAGTTGGGTGCAGTTTCAGAGTTTATACGATTTACAATTAGAAGATGTTTACAAAACCCTAGCTTCTGATATTCTGAGCTGGTTAAATGTTCTAAATGAAATACGTCAATCAAGAAAAACCTTTGATACTATTGAAACCGAAAAAAAATTTGGAAATTATCTTGTGATAGATTACGAACAGGTACAGTTGCGTGTTAATGCCAAATACGATATTTGGCAAAAACAGATAATATTCAAGTTTTCAGAAATATTGAATTTAAAGATGAAACAAATAAATGGCGAAATATCAAATGCTAAAAACGATTTGGAAACTAAAAACAATGATCTATCTTCTACAAAAAATACAGTGCATTTAATTTCAAATGCTTATAAATACAAATCTTGTTACTCACTATGGCAAAAAAATTTAAGCCTATTTTCTGACGGACAAGCATTTTTAACAAGATACAGATTTAGGTTTCCTTCCGATTGGCTTTATTTTGAACAGATGGAAGGTGATTTTCTTGCATTAACACAAACTTTAAATATGAGAATGATAACAATTGATAGCCAGATAGATGCTATATCTAAAAGAATAGAAAGTGAGTCTTCAAGAGTAAATGAGATAATTTCTAGTTTTAAACTAAATTGGTCTGAAAAAAAACCAATATCTGGTTCTATTGTTCCAGATGATGCATTAAGGATTTTGAAAAACTTTGAAAAACAAGCCATTGAGTTGCAAGGTAGAACAGATTTATTGCTGAAAGCATCTGCAATATTATCTTTGTCAATTGCTGAAGATAAAACATTAAAAAATTTATTTGAGGAGATTCAAGATTTAATGAATGTTTGGTCTTCCATTGATGTCTTGTGGAAGTCACTTGAAGACCTACGTTCTCTTCAGTTCCACACCATTAACCCAACAAAGCTCAATTCCCTGTTACAGCAATTACTATTTAGAGCTCGGACAATGCCTACTAGAATCCGTCAATATGCTGCATTTGAAGATATTCAAAATGTGATTAAGAATTATGTTCAAACAAATCCTTTAATTACTGAATTGAAATCCGAAGCTATTAAACATCGTCACTGGCTAAAATTATTTAGTGAATTAAATATTGACAGTCTATCTCCAACTGCTTTAAGACTAGGGGATATATATAGTTTGCAGTTGTTATTACATCAACATATGGTTAAAGAAATAGTAGCTCAAGCTAATGGTGAAAAAATAATTGAAGATTCTTTGGCGAAAATCAAGGAAAATTGGTCAAGTACAACTTTCAATCTATTTAACTATAAGAATAAATGCCGCCTTGTCAAAGATTGGAATATATTATATGAACAGTCTGGAGATGATATTGCTTCTTTGGTTGCAATGCATCATTCAACATTTTTTAAAATTTTTGAGAAAGAAGTGATTAATTGGGAAGAAAAATTAAATCAATTATTATCGTTATTTAATGTTTGGATAGAAGTTCAGAGACTATGGATGTATCTTGAAGGTATTTTTGGAGATAACAAATTAGACATCATCAGTTTACTACCGATTGAATCATCCAGGTTTAACAACATAACATCTGAATTCTTTTTAACCATGAAAAGGATATTTAAATCTCAAATGGTTATTGATGTTTTAAATAATGATAATCTCCAAGAAAATATGCAGAGATATTTTGATGCTTTATCCAAAGTGAAGAAATCATTAAACGATTACCTTGAAAAACAAAGAGAATTATTTCCTAGATTTTACTTTGTTGGTAATGAGGATCTTTTGGAAATAATTGGTAATTCCAGTGATGTTTTGCATGTGGGGAAACATTTAAAAAAAATGTTTTCTGGTATTAATTCTCTTTTATATGAAGAACCGTTCATTAAAGGAATATCTTCTTTAGAAGGAGAGGAAGTAATTTTATTGAATCCAGTGACAAAATCAAGTTTCTTAAATGAATGGCTTTCAGAACTTGATATAGAAATTAAAGTTACATTATCGGCTTTGTTAGGTTCCTCATTAATTGATTTTACTGAAATAAATAACTTTGAAATTGAGCCCGAAAGTTTTTTCAATTGGGTTAAGAAATATCCAGCACAAGTTTGTCTTTTAACGGCCCAAGTGTTTTGGACTAGGATTGTTGAATCATCAATATTGGCTTCGAAGAGCAATTCAGAAGAAAACCTAAAATTTTTAATTACAAAGTACGAGCGGTTACTTAAATTACTTGCTACTTCTGTTATTGAAAAACTTGACAATATTACTATAAAAAAGTTAGAAATACTAATAATTGAATTAGTTCATCAAAGAGATGTGATTATTGAAATGTTAAAAAGAAAAGTTTCTTTCATTGGCGATTTTTATTGGAAATTTCAACAAACATTTTATTATGATGATTCTTTAGAAGATTATGTAGAAAGGTTAAAGGTCCACCAGGCAAACGTTGTTTTTTCTTATGGGTTTGAATATTTAGGAATTCCCGATAGACTAGTCTACACACCACTTACAAATCAGTGCTTTATATCTATGACACAAGCTGCTGCTCAAAGGCTAGGAGGATCGCCATTTGGACCTGCAGGAACTGGTAAGACTGAAACAATTAAATCTCTAGGACAAAACTTGGGGAAAATGGTATTAGTATTTTGCTGTGATGAGTATTTTGATTTTCAAGCTATTTCTAGAATTTTGTTTGGTGTCTGTAGAGTAGGGGTCTGGTGCTGCTTTGATGAATTTAATCGACTTCAATCTTCTATTCTTAGTGCAGTATCGTCACAAATTGAAAAAATAGAAACTGGTTTAAGCTCTCAAAAAGCGATCGAGCTATCTGGCAAATCTGCAGTTGTGAATCTTAATACTGGGATATTTATTACAATGAATCCCACATATGCTGGAAGATCTTCTTTACCTGAAAATTTAAAAAAGCAATTCAGAAGTTTTTCAATGGATAAACCTGACAGAGAAATAATTACTGAGGTCATTTTAATTTCCCAGGGTTTTACAACATCAAAACAAATTTCTAAAATAATAGCGGGCTTTTTTGTTGACCTTCAGAAAGTTGCACAAAAGGAATTACATTATGATTTTGGGCTACGTTCTATTAAATCAATATTATCTAATTGTGGAAAAATCAAAAGAAAAGGTTTTACCCTAGATGAAGAAAAAATTGCGTTTAAAAGTATTAAATCGTCAATTGCTCCTAAGTTGGTTTCTGCCGATGTCGAAAAATTTAATGAATTAACTATTAAGTATTTTCCTAAATTTGTTAAAGATGACCAAAGTGATGAATATGAAAAAATCATAGAAGCATTAAAGCTTGTAACTAAAGAAAACAACTACTCTTATAATGAAGAATGGATTAGAAAGGCTTTACAACTTTACGACATTCAATCTAATCATCATGGCTTTATTTTGGTGGGAAAATCTGGATTTGGTAAAACTGTTTTATGGGAATGTTTATTAAAGGCATTAAACAAAATCGACACCATTGATAACTTATATCATGTTATTGATTGTAAAGTTATGTCCAAAGAAGATCTTTTTGGGTCATTGGATTCGTCTACTCGAGATTGGACTGATGGGTTATTTACTAGTATATTGAGAAAAATAGGAGAGAATTTAAGAGGAGAACTTTCAAAACGTGTTTGGATAGTGTTGGATGGAGATATTGATCCAGAATGGGTGGAAAATTTAAATAGTGTTCTTGATGACAATAAAATATTGACATTGCCAAATGGTGAACGTATAAATTTACCTCCAAATGTTAAGATTGTTTTTGAGGTTGATTCGTTGAAATATGCAACTCCTGCAACAGTTAGTAGATGTGGTATGATATGGTTTGGAAATTCATTAGTCAGTTCTACCTTTTTATTATCCAAATTTTTATTATTTTTAAAATCGGATTTACTAGAAGATATGGAAGATATTGCTACAGCTTTTCAGACATCTGGACTTTCCTTGTTGGATTTTCAAGCAAAATGTTCCAATTATATATCTGATATTTTCGAAAACTCATTGTTGCAAGAATGTGTTGATTTTTCTTCTTCTTTATTTCATATTATGCCCTTTGATGAAATTCATCTTGTCAATTCATTTTTATCAATATTAAAGTCTTATATTAGAAAACTTATTGTCTTTGTTTCCAACAATCTATCTTTTATTCACGAAGACTTTTCAGAATATTGTCGAAAGGCTTGTTTTCTTTCTTTATGTTTTGGGTTTTCTGGATCATCAAATTTGGAAGGTCGAAATGAATTTTCAAAGTTTTTATTTGAAAAATGTGATCTTGAGATTGAATGCAATATTCTTGATTATGATGTTTCATTACCAGAGTCTCACTGGATTCCATGGCTTTCTAAAGTTCCAAAGGTCGAGCTTCAAACACATTCCATTACTCGACCAGATGTTATTGTTCCTACATTTGATACTGTGAGACACGAGGACCTAATTTACTCAATCATAAATGAGCATAGTTCTCTATTATTATGTGGGCCACCCGGTTCTGGTAAGACAATGACTTTATTTACTGCTCTACGTAAATCATCAAATTTAGAAAGTATATCATTGAATTTTTCCAAAGAAACATCTCCGGATTTATTGATCAAAACTCTTGAACAATACTGTGAGTATAAACGAGTTGCAAATGGGTTGATTTTGGCTCCTTCGATTCCAGGAAAATGGCTAGTCATTTTTTGTGATGAAGTTAATTTGCCAGCAAATGATAAGTATGGAACACAGACAGTTATATCTTTCATTAGACAACTTATAGAAAAGGGAGGATTATACAAAAATGGTTCTTGGGTTCAAACCCAAAATATTCAATTTGTTTTTGCATGTAATCCCCCAACAGATGCTGGGCGTAACCCTCTAAGTCTACGTTTTCTTCGTCATGTATGCTTAATCACTGTTGGTTATCCTGAGAGAATTTCGTTGAACCAAATTTATGAAACTTTCAATAACGCTATTTTGAAAATTATTCCCCAATTGCGTTACGCCTCTACTCTTTTGACAAGTGCAATGTTATCAGTATATTTTGAATGCAGTAAACATTTTCTTCCTAGTTCTCAGGTTCATTATATATATAGTCCTAGAGAATTAACTCGTTGGGTAAGAGGTATTTATGAAGCAATAAAGTCCCTTGAAAATTTGGAATTTGACGATTTAGTTAGACTATGGGCTCATGAAGCATTGCGATTATTTCATGATCGTCTTGTTAGCCAGTCCGAGAGAACATGGGTTTTTGAATTAATAAAATCTGTTGCTATCGAAAATTTTCCTAATGCTGATATTCAAAAGGTTTTTTTGGAACCAATCCTATATTCTAACTGGCTTTCATTAAACTATTCTTCTGTTGATTCTGATGAATTAAGATTGTTTGTTAGTGAAAGACTTCGTGTTTTTAGTGAAGAAGAAATGGATGTACATCTAGTTCTATATGATGAGCTCTTGGATCATATTTTAAGAATTGATAGGGTTTTGCGTCAACCTCAGGGACACCTTATATTAGTTGGGCCTAGTGGTAGCGGAAAAACCACTTTAAGTCGATTTGTATCCTGGATAAACGGTTTGAAAATTGTTCAATTAAACGTATCTAGAAAATATTCTCTTCGAGATTTTGATAACACTTTAAGGGATCTTTTGAGAAGAGCGGGAACATTAGGAGAAAAAATTTGTTTTATTGTTGACGAATCGAATATCAAAGAAACTGCATTTTTAGAAAGAATGAATACATTATTAGCTAATTCTGAAATTCCTGGTCTTTTTGTGGGAGATGAACTAAGTTCTTTAATGACGGCATGCATGGATCACTCTCAATCACAGGGTTTGTTACTTGACACTCAAGAAGAACTATACAAATGGTTTACACAACAAGTAACTGAAAATCTTCATGTTATTTTCACTATAAACAATCCAAATGATAAGTCATCACCACAAATCATTTCTTCTCCTGCTTTATTTAACCGTTGTGTTCTTAATTGGATGGGCGATTGGAGTAATTCCACTTTATATCAAGTTGGTTCAGAAATGGTGCAATCAGTCCCTATCGATATGCCAGACTACACCAAACCAACTGATTTTTATCATATTGTGCCTCAATATGTGGATACATTTAGAGATGTAATTATCGATGCTGCTGTTTTTATTCATCGATCTGAAATAAAATATGTCACACAGAACAGAGTTCCACAAAAAACTCCTGGGCATTTTCTTAGTTTAATCAAAAATTTTATTGAGATATTTTTACGTAAAGAGGATGAGCTCCAAGAACATCAAAGGCATATTAATATGGGGCTTGATAAATTACGCAACACTGTTTTGGAAGTTAAAGATTTGAAAGAAAACCTTTCCGAAGAGCAATCAAAGTTAAAAGCGAAAGAAGCAGAAGCCAAACAAATGCTTAATAAAATTTTGACAGATCAAAACCAAGCTGAAAGAAAACAAGAGGCTTCCGAGAATATTCAAATAGCATTAGAACAACAAGAAATTGCAATTGGTGAACGAAGAACAGTTGTTATGAACGATTTAGCCTTGGCTGAGCCAGCAGTTATTGAGGCTCAAAATGGTGTGAAAAATATTAAAAAGCAGCATTTAACCGAAATTCGAAGTATGGCAAACCCACCAGAAGCTGTGAAAGTAACAATGGAGAGTGTATGTATATTATTGGGTTATAATGTAAATACTTGGAGAGATGTTCAGTTAATTATTCGTCGTGATGATTTTATTGCCAGCATTGTTAATTATGATAATGAAGAACAATTAACTCCAGATATTAGGGAGTTTATGGAACAAGAATACCTTTCTCGTTCCACTTTTAATTATGCAACTGTTAATCGCGCAAGTAAAGCGTGTGGACCATTATTGCAATGGGTTGAGGCTCAAGTAAGATACTCAACAATACTAGATAAAATAGCCCCTTTAAGAGAAGAGGTGTTTTTGCTTGAAGATGAAGCCAAACAAACAAAAGCCAAATTAATAGCCATTAATGACATGATACAAGAGCTAAAAGATAATATTGAAGAATTAAAAGAATCTTATCAAAATTTAATTACAGAAACCCAAATTATTAAAAATAAAATTAATTCAACTCATTCAAAAGTTAATAGATGTGTATCATTGTTGGAAAATTTAACGATCGAAAGAAGAAGATGGGCAAGAAGTATAAATGATTTCACTGGACAAAGAAAAGGCTTAGCAGGAAATTCGCTATTAGCCTCAGCTTTTTTATCTTATTGTGGTTACTTTGATCAGAAGGCCCGTAATCAATTATTAGTAATTTGGAAATCAAAATTAGAATCATCTGGAATAACATTTGATGAAAATATAAGAATAATTGAATTTTTATCACAGCCTAATGAGATTTTACAATGGCGTAAGGCTGGCTTACCTGACGACGATTTATCAGTTGAAAATATGATTTTAATACAAAACCAAGAAAAGATCCCTTACATTATTGATCCTACAGGAAATATTGTAGATATTCTTATATCTCAAATTTCTCCTAAAAAGTTAATCACCACAAGTTTCTTAGATGATGGTTTTGTAAAGCAGATTGAAAATGCGTTGAGATTTGGAAATTCGATTTTAATTCAAGATGCAGAGCATTTTGATCCAATCATTAGTCGGGTTATTAGCAAAGAGATTCAAAAGGCTGGTGGTAGATCGTTAATTCGACTAGGAAAACAGGAGGTAGATTGTTCACCTGATTTTAAACTATATATTCAAACTAAAGATCCACTGGTAATTGTTCCTCCCCACATTTCATGCAGAACCACAGTTGTTAATTTCACCGTTACAGAAAGTAGTCTTGAGAGCCAGACATTAAATATGACTTTGAAGAAAGAAAGACCAGATGTTGAAAAGCAAAGAATTGAATTGATAAAACTACATGGAGAATATAAAGTTCGCTTACGTTTTCTTGAAGATAAATTGTTGCAATCCTTAAGTGATACTGAAGGAAATATTTTAGATAATGATGAAATTATCACAACTCTTGAAAACCTAAAAGTTGAATCCAAAGAAATAGAAATGAAAATTGAGGAAACTGATAATGTAATGAAAACAGTTGAGAAGGTTCTTGAAAACTATAATATTTTATCCTCAAATTGTTCGGCTATTTTTAGTCTTTTAGACCGATTTCAAGATATAAATCCATTTTATCAGTTTTCTTTAACCTATTTTATTGATATTTTTAAAACTGTTCTTTCACTTAAATCTAATAAGAATGAAAATAGAGTGAAATCATTAATTTTAAGACTCTATCAAGAAATTTATTCAAGAACAGCCTTATCTATGCACAATTCTGATAGACCTGTTTTTGGTTTATGTTTGTATGTTTTATTTCAAAGTATTCAAATAGGGAAAGACTTGCTACAAACACTCATGGAGATTCTTGGATTAATATCAGAAGAAAATATTAATCCTTTGAAATTAAAGAAAATTTTTGAGCATTTTTCAATCAATTCAAATTCTGAAAATTTTGTTACTTTATTAGAAAACTATACTGAAGATAATTTCAAGTTGGTGCTTGAAGAAAATAAAGATGAAAAGCTTGAAGAATTAAAAGTGTTATTAGAAGTATTATTCAAGATGCAAGAAACCCCAGATGCTTTTGTTCAATCATTTTCCAATTTGTGCAATTTCCTATTTTTGCCCGGAGTTCCATTGTTTGCTTCATCGTATGATTTTTCTAATATTGTTAATATACACAATAACTCTTTTGAACCATTTATTCTATGTTCGCCAGAAGGCTATGATCCAACATTCAAAGTCAAAAATTTGGTGAATACCTTTGACATAAAGTTGTCAACAGTTGCTATGGGCTCTGCAGAAGCAGTAGATATAGCAAATCAAGAAATAAAAAAAGCTTCAAAAGAAGGATACTGGGTCCTTATTCAGAATATACAAATGGCTCCATTGTGGTTGGAATACTTAGAAAAGCAATTGAATTCTATTTCAGCAAATAGCAAATTTAAACTCTTTTTGACCTGTAACTTAACATCTGATATTCCAACAACTTTGCTAAGAACATCATTTAATTTGGTTTTTGAAAATCCTCCAGGTATTAAAACGGTAATGAATGAAATATTCAACGAAATCCCATTAGAAAGAATTGAAAGAAAACCAGTTGAAAGAAGACATTTGTATTTTTTAGCAACATGGTATTATGGAATAGTTCAAGAAAGATTAAGATATGTACCTATTGGTTGGAGCAAAAGATATGATTTTAATAATGCAGATTTTCAATCCAGCTTGTTTGTCATTGATGAGTGGGTGGATAAAGTATCAAAAGATAGAACCAATATTTCACCGGACATCATTCCTTGGAAAGCAATTCAACATTTAATCAGTGATGTAGTCTATGGTGGAAAAGTTGAAGATGTTGAAGATCGTAATTATCTTTCCAAATTATCTGCAAATGTTTTTTCTTCAGGGTCTTTTGAAATCGATTTCAATCTTTTAGAATGCAATGAATTAGATTGTCAGACAAAATTATTTGTTCCAGAAGGAAGAACAGTTGAAAGTTATAAAAGGTGGATTAATGAATTACCTGATGTTGAGCCACCAAATTGGTTAGGGTTAGAAAATGAGGTGGAATCAAAAATTAATGCAAAAAAGGGCAAAGAAATAGCTAAAACTATCCAAACTACGATCGGTAATATAAGAAAAGTTCAAGAATGATAATTGATTATTTACTGATATTTATATATATATTGATTTAATAATAATTTTTTGTAGTTTAATTGAGACTTTAATAGTAATTGAGTGTTTTAAACTTTTAATTTTCATTATCACAATCAATGTTGGTCTTAAAGGTTTTTGTTTTTTGATTTATTGAAATATGAACTCAAATGTAGCATCAAACATACCAAAAATAAATCTTATGTAAAGGTTTATACAGCATGATGAAAATAATTTTGTTTGATTCCTAGCCAAAATTTGAGTATTTTTGCTATACTTTTGGTTTTCTATGGTTCTTAGGTAGATATTTAAATATATTTTATCTTCGATAACTCTTGATAATTTTTTATTTCGATGAAATATTGTTAATTCATATTGTTTCTATTGTTTTATTAGAGGTTTATAAAACTGATTAAAAGCATTTTCAACCAAAATCAAAACATCAAAAAAAAAAATAAATTGCATTCACATTGAAATATAGCTAGATTTCAATGGTTTTTAAAAATTCTACCAATTGAACTTTTGAATATAAATTATAATAGATTTTTCCTAGACAGGCCATAAAAAAGAATACAATACAATCGAAAAAAAACCAAAAACTTTCCTACAATAAATAAATTAATACACTCAAAAATAAACAATCTTTATCAAAAGTGAAAAAAAAGGTATTTCAATCATTTTCATCAATCACATCTTCCCAGTTACTTTCATTTATGTCATCATTGTTTGCTAAATGATTGTTTCTAGCAGTTTGACAAATTTCTTCGCCTCCAAATTCTTCCAATAAAAATTTAATTTGAGTTTCAATATCTGGATCTGAGAGCTTTTCGTTATTCAAAAAAAGTTTAGCAGTAACTAAAGATGCTCTTGTTTCGTTAATTAGTTTTGTTATTTCCACGTTATTATCATTTAAGATAAGTTTGGAATCTTGATAATTATCGTTTTGAGGATTTTGCAAAAGTTTAATTTGCAAATAATTTGCAAAACATTCCAAATAATAAGGCTCTACTATATCTTCATTAATATCGTGAATTGAGGAAGCAATTGAAGATGCAGTTTCGTATAATTCCATTTCAATTGCTAATCTAGCTAATGTTGTAAATGGCTGAATCAATTCAATATATTCCAAATTGTGATTGATACTATCAAAGACCAGAGAATCGTTAGTTTGCAATGATTCTATTTTAGCTTGGAATAGCTCCCATGATTTCAAAATTGATTCTTTAGCGACTTGATAGTTTTGTTGGGACACTTTGATAGATGCATTCATAGAGAAAATTTCTGGATTACTTGGGTCAATTTGAATAGCTTTATTAATCAAAGATTCGCAACTTTTTTCTGCTGCTTCTTCAAAACATAGTTCAGTCATCCAGATTTCAATTGATGATAGATATCCAGAGACTAATTTTTTAATTATTATGTTTTGATTAACATTGGTTTTAGAGATTTGATTTTCTAATTTACTTATTGCAATGTCAAATAATTTTAAAGCATCAAAGCCTCCAATTATTTGCCCCCAGTTAAAAAAATAGTCAACAGAATGATTAGCCTCCGGATCTATCTTACATGCTTTCTCAAACACTTCATAGGCCTTTTCCAAATTATTCGTTTCCAAAAACACTTCTCCCAAGATATTAAGATAGTCCAAATCCTGGTTAAACTTTGAATTTTTGATGTAAGGAAGTAGGATTTTCAAGGCTTTTTTTGGTTCGGAGAGACTTAAATACTCCTTTGCCAAACTTATAACTTTATTGATTTTAGCATCCATTGTTTGATAGTTGCAATACACCCACACCCAACTTTACTGTTGAGAGTGAGGTTTGATCTGAAAAAATTTCAAATCTGAAAAAAAATAATCACATGCATGATTTATGCACTCTACTGCAATTACTGCATATACTAGCACTCTCAAAGTTCAATTGCTGGGAAGACGAAAAGACGCAGTTTAGCTTATATCTCAATCTGAAGTATATTATTGATAACAACTTCAGTTGAGCAAATTGTTTATTTTATAAACATTATTGCTTTCAAGGCAGGAATTTTACATAACAGAGATATTTCTGAGCTCCCAGTCTTTTGGTGTTTGTCAATCTGCTGGATCACGTCTAATATATATTTGAGCAACTATTAAATTATTAAAACATATGAACAGCATTTCCATAGAATGCTGGACCAGAAAATTTCTGAAGATACAACTGAGCAAGAGCCTAATAATAAAGAAAGCAAAATAAACAATGCCAGTGATTCAAAACTGCAGAAACTGGAAAGTAATGAGATTAAAATTGACACTGTTCAACCAACTGCAATCCTAAAAGAAGAAGCTGGAGCTGAGAATATCCTACTAAATGATAGAAAAACAAGTGTCAACAGTACCTTTTTTAACGCCAATCAAAATCAAAATCAAAATCAAGATGATAACAAAGATGAGGGCATTGAAAAATTCTCTGATTATGATTCTGTTAACGATAGTCTTTTCTTTGAGGGAGAATGGCAAGAAATGCCCACCATCACCACCAACTTTGATTATTATAATGATAATGGAGAGTTACTATCGAACAATATAACCAGCATCAATCACAAAAACAATTACATTGGAGGAGGTAATCTCAATTCAAACACTCATACTCGTTCAGTTTCCAAATCGTCTATTAAAATAGTTGATAAGATTTTTAGTAATCCTAATAATGAAGAACAGAAGCAAAAAGAGCAAAGAAAAATTTACATTGATAATAAAAAATTACAAGGTTATACAAGAATAGCAGATGAAGAACAGGCCTACTCATATGCAAAAGCAGACTCAAAAACTGATTTTTTGTTTGTCAACGACGCACATTTAAATATTTTGCAAAACGAACGAATGAATACTAAAAATTTAGATTCAATAAAAGCAAATAAAGAAGCTGATAAAGACAAAACTAAAAACGATAAAAAAAATGAAACCAACAATAGTAATTGTGCTAAGGATAACTTAGATGATATCACTGATCATAATAATGCCTATAGCTCTGATGAAGAATCAAGTGATGAATATAATGATAATTACTTAATCAGATCACCCTCTAATCAATTAAACGTCACAAAAAACATGTTAAAAGAATACGAGAAATTCGCTTATGTTGCAATTGTAAATTTAATCACTTTAGAAATGGCTACTGAATTGGCAAAACTCAATTCGAGTAGTTTTAGGACAAATAAAAAGCTATCTAAGGCTCAAAACTTTTTGGGAATTTGGTCAAACAAAATATTGAACATTTTGTATCAACACTTAGATTTGAATGAAGACGAAATAACAATGGTTCAGAAATTGAGCTCGCATAGAATTGAAATATCTGATTTAAGCACCTGCTTAAAAAGTGTTAAAGAAGTCGATAATCCGTTCAATGATAATGAAAATGGAGAAACTCAATCACTATCCAATTCTGAAAAGTTTGATAATTATAAATTGAAGACTGTAAATGATATTGTTCAAGTTAAAGACAACAATGAAGTTCATTTTGAAAATAAACTAGAAGACACTAGTAAGGAAAAAGGTGTCACCAATGAATTCGAAAAGCAAAAAGTGCCTCTGAAAGGGAAAACTGATGATGGGGAGAGAATACTCGAACCTAATGATGTACAAAATCAAAAAACTCTTCAAATTGATGTTGCTTGGACCGTAATATGTGATCTTTTTTTATTGCTTGTTTCTGATGGTACTTATGATTCGAGGTCCAGATCTTTGCTTATGAAATTCGGTGAAATACTAAATATCCCTTGGTTAGAAATTCACCGGTTTGAAAAAAGAATCACAGATGCGTTGGAGATAAAGGACGATGAGGAGGAAAATTTGAATGAAACAGAAATAATGAATTACAGAGCAAAAATGGCCAAAAAGAAGAGGATGGTTTACATTGGAATAGCGACGATAGGCGGTGGGATCGTTTTAGGATTGTCTGGTGGTTTATTGGCACCAGTGATTGGTGCTGGTCTTGCTGCTGGGTTATCAACAATAGGTATTACAGGTACATCAGCATTTTTAGCAGGTGGTGTGGGAACTGCTTTGGTGACCACAGCAAGCACTGGTATTGGAGCCAAAATTGGAGCAACTGGTATGATGAGAAGAACAGGTAATGTCAGAACCTTTGAGTTTCGGCCTTTACATAATAATAAAAGATTTAATTTAATAGTTACAATTAGTGGGTGGATGAACTCAAACGTGGATGATGTTAGATTGCCGTTTTCAACTGTTGATCCTGTAATGGGTGATTTATACTCTATTTTTTGGGAACCTGATATGTTGACCTCAACAGGCCAGACAATTAATATTTTAGCAACAGAAGTTTTGACTCAGACAATCCAGCAAGTCCTAGGCTCAACTCTTCTTGTTGCGTTGATGTCTGCTATTCAGTGGCCGATGATATTATCTAAACTAGGTTATATCATTGATAACCCATGGAATGTTTCTTTGGACAGAGCATGGTCAGCCGGTCGTATTCTTGCAGACACATTAATATCGCGAAATCTTGGAACAAGACCAATTACTCTTGTTGGGTTTTCTTTAGGAGCAAGAATGATATACTCTTGTCTTATCGAATTGGCCAAAAAGGGGGCTTATGGCATTGTTGAAAATGTCTATTTATTCGGCTCTCCGTTTGTTTCTAATAAAGATCAATTAAGATTATCTAGATCAGTTGTTTCGGGCAAATTCATTAATGGATACTCTAAAAAAGATTGGATTTTGGGTTATTTATTTAGAGCAACTAGTGGCGGTCTAAGAAGAGTTGTGGGTTTATCTCCAATTGAGGATATTGAAGGAATAGAAAATTTTGATTGCACCGAACATGTAACCGGTCATATGGAGTATCGTAATCAGATGCCACATCTACTAAAATTGCTTGAATGGTCTGTGATCAGTGAAGAGTTCATTGAAATTGATGAACCTGATGCTGAACAAGGTGAAAGGCAAAGAAAGTTGATATTAGAATTCGATGAGGCTGCAAGACAAATGGAAGCTGACAAGACAAAGGATGATAATAAGAAAACCTGGAAAAAATGGTTTGCACCTAAACGAAAAGATTGGTGGGAGATTTATACTGAAGGCTTGAAGGAAAATGAAAGAAAGAAAAATTTACTGCCTGAAGTAAAGCTGGAACAAATTACTCAAAATAAAACTAAACCTTATGAAGTCAATAGTGCTGATGCCAACAAAGATTTATTCAATCCACAAGAAATTTATAAAGAAGTTCAAAACTTGAAAAAAAATGGAGAGCTTGATGGATTTAAATTTGAATCGCAGAAAGTTTCAAGTCCCGTAAATGAAATTCCTATCCATCAATTGAGGCTAAATGAAGATAATGATGAGTATTTCGAAACTTCAAAGCAGCCCAACGCTGTATCTAAGGTCGAAGGACTTTAAAGACAGACTCCAAAATTGATACAGAAGTAAATGTTCAAGGTTACTATCAAACCACTAGTTGATTATATCCAACAATATTAAATGTATATTATATTTTCCATATACTCAAAAAATGTCTTATTTGTCTTCAAATATTATATTTTAATTATATTACAAATTAATATATTGCTCCAATTATTAGATTCTATCATTTCTGAATACATCGACTTTTTTGTTTACAATAAAGCGATAAATTAATTTTTTTATGCTGGATTTAATATAGAGTCATGATATTTCACATTCACCCAGTGAAGAAGTATCAGTTATAAAAATAAAAAGAATATAAAACCTGAACATTGAAAGCAGAACATTGGAAGCAGAACATTAAAACCAAAAATGATAAAAATATTAAGAACCGAAAAAGAATTAAGTGGCTAGGTTGTAGACATTATCCCATCTTAAGGGTAATACCATCAAAAGACCAGCAGCAAGACCAGCACATGGTAAAGTAATTACCCAGCCAAATTACACCATCCAACCATAACCCAGTTAGCAGCATTCAAATCTTGATTATACAAACCAACCAGGACAGTTTCATCAGCAGTAGATTGCGCTGTGGAAGTAGAGAGAGCTGATTAAGTGGCAGTAGCAATAGAAACAGCAACACCTAATTTAATGGAGAAACCTCACCTTTGGCTCGTAATGGAGATGGAAGCTTATTAGATATTATGTTTATTGAAGGTTCAGCAATATCATCATTATTCATACATAAAATACTAACTAGTTTCTATATGAATAAACATTTGGTCCTATATATTTACTTGAATCATTCTAAACCAATTATCAGACATTTCAAACAAAATAGTGAGATCTCAAAGACATTACATTTTACTTCAGAGCATCAACCTTCATCACTATACTAAAAGTCCTAAGAGAAACTCATAATAAATTTCATGATTTTCATAATATCCCTCAACCTAATTTCATGACATGATTTTTATTATCTGAAATTTGAAATAAACATTTTAGAAGATTATAATTTGAAAAAAATAGAAACATCATATAAAGATATATCGGAAATTTATTATAATCTCCATAAACAGTAAGAATAAGTATAAAGATTAACATAAAACGATTTAATCAAATTTGCATTTTCCTGGAAGATCCCTGGCCTCTTCGGCTTGTCGAAACATTGTTAAAATATCCTTGGCAATAGTTGGGGGTCTAGATATTTCTTTGTTATTCAAATAAACATTAATTGTATCTAGAAGATCATTATCAATATTAAAGCTTCGAAAACCGTTGATTACAATTGTTGAATATTTCCGGGGTTTTGAGACTAATATATGTTTGGGTAAATTTCCTTCATTAATATTTTCATTGATGAAATCAATTAGAAATGCTGGGCTATAACTGTTTCTTAAATTTAGCCAAGGACCCAATGGCAAAGTGGAAAACTGATGAAATGAGCAATAACTTTTAAAATTATGAAGAAAATTTGTTTTCCTCTTTTGGAGCTTTATTTTGACAATTTTTAACTTGAATTCCAATAAAACTAAAGGTTCTCAAAGACTATAAAAACAGGTAAAACCAAGTCAAGAGTTTTCTCGTTCGGTTTGAGTAGCAAACCACAACCTCGTTTAAAGTGGTGTTCAAGCTCGATGTAACTCAATGAACAATATAAACGATCGAATTGAATAATATGAAGAATTCCATTAAGGATTGAATCTTCTAAAGGTTTCGAGTTTATTGATAATGCTTTTAAAAACTTTTTGACAATAATCTCATAAGTGTTCCAGCTACCATTCTTTTGGCATAGCTTTTTTAGAGTTTCTATAATTAAGATTTCGGTAGCAATCTCATCAGCATCGTTCAGCATCAAGGAGAGATATAATTTCTAGCGGCTTTTGATAAAACTTCCTAGTACGGTCTGCAAATTTATGTGCAGCAATTGCTAAAACTGGTTCGGGTTGGTACTTTGCTGTGATATCTTGACGGTTGTTGGGAATATTGGTAATAATCGCCATATGCCTTTTTATAAAAATATCAGTTTGCTGCGTGAGTCTGCGCACTGGAATTGCTAGAATTTGAGAAGCTGCTGCCTTTTGATTAAGCTCGTCACATCCAAGCCTACTTCTTATAACTTCATTTGAATTTACTTCTATTTCAACCAACATTTCCAACGCAATGGACACTATTTTGGAAAAGGGACAGTTCATGGTTGTTTTATAATGAAACCGCATGGGGCGCTCAAATGTACAAATTTTGTACTCACTTCTGGGAGTCAAGCTGAAATTATAACGGTTTTTAAAGATATCGAAAATATATGGTATTTGGTACAAAGGGTCAAGTTGTTTTGAGAGACTGCAAGTAACGATGGATCCGAAACTGCCAGTGGGGTGTATTCTAAAATTTTGGAGTTTGCACCAAGGAATATGCTGAATATTTTTATATCATGACCGATATTTACCAACGAAGCTCGGAAAGTTCGAAACAAACTTGTTGAAGTTAGAAATTTTTCATCATAAAAGAAATTGTTAAGTAGCACGTCGGGTTCATCAAAAACTAAGAGGTATTCTGGAAAAGATTGACGATTTGAGTCTACAACTTGTTTTGGTAATTTCTTTAAAAGTTGATTTAAATGTAATAAACCTGCAAAAGGTTACGTCTGGTTTTTTACATTATGATTTAAAACACTGATTAGCTCTTGGTAAGACCCACAGCTAAACAAGAAATAAATTTTGAAGCGATTGATAAAATAATGAATCAAACATTCAATACACTTGCCTACCAACTCGTCAACAATAGCCGTCTCAAACTCGGAAAACTGAGGAATAATTGTGAGGGAAGATGAAGAAATACATAAAGCAGTCATAAGAATGTAAAATTCACAGGCCTCTTCATAAAACTCCCTGGACAAGACTGGATATCATTCTTTAATAAGTTGATTGATGCCGAATGCAAATTGGGCCCTGGGAAACCCTGTGGATGTTTCTGATCTGTAGCAGTAAAACAAACTAGATTTAAAGTATTTAAGAAGCTCATAGGATAGCTTACTTTTCCCAGTTATGCTAGAATTAACTGGTACTGTGTAGGGAAAAGCTGCAGCTTTCTTAATATAATATTGGTTTGAGTATTCTTCAAGTTTCTTTGCAAATAACATAATTTCTGCTGATTTTCCATCTATTAACTAATATACTTCCAACTTAGAGCTGAATGCTTCTTCTAACGTGTTAGTATTTATGGGATTTGAAGGAGGGATGGTTGATTTTAATTGTTCAAGTTTTGCAATTATGTTTTCTGATGTAATTGAGCTTTCCGTTAATTGGTTATTGCAGAAGCGTTGATTGATTCTGTTTATAACAGTTTTAAAATCTGCTCTAGGAAAGTCTAAGTGGGATTGCACAACTTCAATTGCTTGATTAATCTTGGTTGGCGATTGCATTTTGGTTGGTGGTGAGAAAATTGAATTATTCTATAGCAGTGTTTAAGTAATGCGATGAAGATAATGTATTAAAGCTTTGAGAAAAATAATCATTTAGAATGAAGGACTGATCAATTGATTGCATTTAAATTTCTCTGGTATCTGTCACATGCATTTTTCATGTCATCGTTACAGAAACTTTAATTTGGTCCTCACATAGCTATTTGTGGGCTTTAGGATTATTCAGAAAAGAAAGGGTTTTATAGAGTTTGTAAGATTATTTGTAAAGGAAAGGTTTTAATATAAAATTTTATGAGTAATCAAGACTAATAATAGGATAAATAGCGTAATTGGTGGATAATTAAAGATAAGCCGAGGATTAATAGCAATAGATTATAGTAGATAGATTAGAATAAGAGATATGTAATTAATTAAAAATAGCTTGGTGATTTTTTTTCAATAGATTAAAGAAAAATCTGTGGGTTTTATATATGAAAATTAGTATATAGAAATTCTATATAATTTCAAAAGAATTGAAATAGATAAAACCAATTTGTAAACAAAATAAAGGCAAGGTAAAAACAAGGTAAAAACAAAATGAAAACAGGATAAAAACATAGATAAATCAAATAAGACAAACCTTTGTAAAACTGATAATACTAAACTTAGGTTTCAAGACCAAACCACTTTATATCCAGCTATACAAACTCAATATACTATCTGTACTAAATGCTGATTTAAAAAAATCGATAGAAATATCATGGCTCTAATAAATATAACTATCTACATGTTAAGAAAAAATAGTTTAAAGATTTACGTTTTCTTAAAATTTTTGCAAGGAATCATCAAATAACAAGTAAACCAAAAGTGGAATATATTCCATCCTGAAAATACCACTATTTTGAGAACAATATCAAAATCTTCTTTTTAATCTGATAAAATCCAGTGTTTTAATATTGATTTGAAAAAAAGAAAAAATTGAGAATTTAGATGTCCATTGAAAATAAGGGAAATGGTTATCTTAATTTTTTTGATGTTGAAGCTTGAAAGTATTATTGAAAAGCAAAAAGAAAATAAAATTATGCAACTGATAAAAGTATAGATAATTTGGTATCTATTATAATCTTCAATGATTTGAGGATTATATGCATTATTTATTTTTAGATATAAAAATTTAGGAATGTTTGTAATCATTATTGTCAGTGTCGAAATCAACTTGAGTGGTATTTCTTTTCTTTTGGATCTTGTTTTTATCAACATTTTCATCAGATAAACCCTTTCTTTTTTTATTACTTTTAAGTATTTGTAAAGTTATATCATCCAATTTTGGAGAGGGAATTGATGCCGTAGTTGTTGATAGTGAATTATTAGTATTATTATTGTAATCGTTGAATATGTTACCATTAGTATTATTAGCATAAGATTTTTTTTTTAGTAAATTTGAAATGAAATCTTTTTGAATTAACGTATTTAATTGTGGTTCTGGTATATCGGGAGATTTTAGTAATAATTCTAAGTTAGTGTCAATCTTTTTCTGTTTTTCTGGGGTTTTAGGAAATCTATAATTTTTCAAGTATTTTAATTGATTTTGTTTTCTTGGAGAGACGAATGACATTGTGCTTGAAGAAATACTTAATTCAGTACTTAAATTATCAAAATTATTTTTATTGTTACTATTTAGCGCTAAATTTGGAGTGGATAGATTTCTGAAAATTTTACTTCTTTTTGGAGTTAAAACAATTTTAAAAGGAGAAGTGGATAAGTTATTATTTGGAGAGTTATTATTTGGGGAATGATTATTTGGAAAATTATCGTTTTGGTTATCATTTTGGTTGTCATTTTGATCATTTTTTTCTTCGTTACTTAGAATGATATTATCATTATTATTAAAATCAGGTAGATTCAAATTAATTTTTAAAGGGGATATTTTGTAATCGATTTGATTATGATTTTTTAATAATATCGGAGACTGTTTTAAAGGAGTTCTTAAAGGGATCAAAGAATTATGTTGAGTGTTATTATTATTTTTATAGTAAGATCTCATTTTTTCAATTTTTTGTAGAACGTCTGTAGAAAAGATGGAGTTTGATTTTGAAGATTGAATAGAATCATTGATTTGGTGATTATAATCAATTGTTTGGTTTTGATCATTATTGGGTTTATTCTTGGTTTTAGTTTTACTATAAATATCATTATTAATGAAGTCATTTGAGATTGATAAATAAGAAGAAAAGTTTGAGGTTAATGGGGGCATCGAACTTGCTGAAGAAGACAGCATTGTCAAGTTATTGTCAATGATATTATTATTATTATTATTTTCTTTATTTTTATGAATATTTGTGATACTATTGAGGCTTTTATTGATAATATTTGTATCTTCAGATTCAGATTCTGATTCGTTAAGAAATTTATTTAGGAATTGAGATTGTGGTTGAGAGTAATTTTGAAAATTTAAATTGGAATTTGAATGAAGTTGTGAATTGGAATTTGATTCATTAGTTGAGTCGATGAGTAAATTGGGTAAATTGGATGCAGTGGGAGGATGTAACTGTGATTGATTTTGAAGCTGATTTTGATTATTTCCAGATAAAGAATCGTTATTATCAATTAATGATTGGTCGTTATTAATATTTTGAAATGAATTGCTCTGTAAGTCTTTATTTAGATTATTATTTATATTTTCATTGAAAATATCGTTGGAAATGTCATTTGAGTCATCGTTAGTATAATCATTAGTTAGAGAATTAGTGTGATAGTTAAAATTAACGCTGTTTTCGAACAAAGATTTCAAAACTATTAAATTGTCATTGATGTTAATTGAGGACTTGTTGTAGTCTAGCAAGATCGGAATGAATTTATTGTTGATTATATTTAGTGATCTATTTAAAGACTGATCAATATTGGACAAATGGTTGTTTATTTTTTCGTTCAATTGATTTAGTCTGATAGTTTTGGATAAATTGATATCAGTGTCGTTGGAGCTTGCATTAGAGAATTTTCTGGCGTGGTTTTTATTGATTTCATTGTAGTTGCTTTGAGGATGTGCTGAATTGAGATTAGAGGCATTGGAATTTGCGTCGATGTTGTTAACGTTATTGATGTTTTTGGAGATAGACTGGGACTGAATCGAGTTCAACTGAGCAAAGATGCTTTTTCGTTTGGCTCGTTTTGTGCTGGCGGTGGGTTCGAGAGGCAGCAGAGGGCGGTTTTTGTGGGACATGGCAGCAGAGCAGTGTGGATAAGCAGCAGCAGAAGCAGCAGCAGAAGCAGAAGAAGAAGCAAAACCAGTAGAAAGAAGATAACATGCGTAAAAATTAGGCGCTGAAGCTGCGAATTTTTAACTTCTCTCCTAGTACAGTGGTTAGCATACTTCATTTTGTATGGATAAACCTAGGTTCGATTCCTGGAAAAAGTACTTTGTTTTGTGGTTTCCCGATTGGGACGGCGATATAATCAGGCGTTGTAGAGGTTGTTTTTGTGCCGGATTAGTGTTTTGGCTGCTTCTGCTTCTTTCACACTGCTCAATGGCGCAACAAGGAACCTGGGCCAGGCTATTGGCCTCTGTGTCGTCTTCCACAAACCAAAGAACCTTTACTGCAGAGAAAAACGTGCTCTTTATTGGGGGTTCTGCGGCAGATCAGAACGCCATTATCCAGAGCTTGTATTACCAAGCTGGCTACGATGCTGACAGCTACCAGAAGAGCCATTTAAATACCTCTCTCCACAACAGAATTGCCAACGATCTTTCCCTTGGATACACCTACATTCAGTACTTTGATGACAACAGCGATCTATTGGCTCACTTGAACGTCTACACAATTCCGTCTAACAGCTACAGTTCAGACAGCGAATACAGTGTTGACACTTTCAACAATTTTTCCTCTTACTCTAACTTAATCTCTCTTTTTTTCAAAAATATTGAGCCAGAAAACTTATTAATCATTCCAGTATTGGATTATAACAGTCAGCCAAAATATTTTTTGAGATTCTTGACAAACATTTTGCAGAATTTATATCTGATTTTCAGTGACAAAAATGCAGAAAACGATAACCAAAGCACCTTTAATCAAAACAATCTCTTTTTGAAGAAAACTTTTCAAAAAAATTCTTCCTACTATATTTCGAATTCTTTCTCAAATATCCTACCTTTAAATACAGGCGAATGTGATATATGTCTTGGTTGTCATTTATTAATTTTGCTAATAAACTCAATTGATAATCAAAATCTCGATATTCATTTTGACGATTTTATTCAACAATCTTTAAGGACAATTGCATTATCGCACGCTGCCTCTTTACTTTTTTTACCAAATATAAATAATATCAATCTATTAAATAACAAAAATGCTTCATCTGATTTTCCCTTATTAAGTTTACTATCTCAAATTTTAAACTTCAAATTCAAAAAAAATTTAATAATCGATAATAATGACAATAATAAAAACAACTCTGATGAAAATGATAACAATAATATAAACATTTTAATTAAACTGATTTTAATAGATCAACTAAACCTACTCATTCCTTCTGGTTATGATTCCTGGAATAGAATTAAAACAATCAATGAAAATTTTGATATTTCCTCATTTTCCACTAATTATACAACTTTATTTAATAATTATCTCAACGGAACTCGCCCCCATTCAAATGAAGATGACCAATTTCAATTTTATGAATCCAAAATTCCTTTAATTTCTTTTTCAAATAATACTATTATTGACAATAATAAACCTTATCTTTATCCTAATCCCAATAATGAAAATGATCCTACTAACAATCCCAATCTATATATTGATAATCAAAATCAAGAAGACGAAAAAGATGATATCTCCTTGCAAAGCTTTCTTTCTCAAAATTACAACTCCACTCAATATTCGTTTAAAACTGCTCCCAATATCAACTCCTCTTTTAGTAATTTAAATTTGAATAATTCTCAGAATTTTCCAGAAAATAGCTATTCAAATCATTCAATTAATAATAGCCTTCTCATCAACAATTCGCATTTAATTAGCAAGAATTCCCAAAAGGAGGTTTTAACTGATTTTTTCCATAATTTGATTAAAAAGAAAAGTTTAGAATCTTAATTTATCTTCTTTTTTCTATGTCAAAGAAAAATATTATGATAAAATAAATATATATGATTTTAGGAAAGGTATTTAAGTATTTCATCTCTTTTATTAAAAAAATTAAACTTAACGATGCGAGTTTGAATTTCTTCTTTTATTTTTGTTTCATTTTCATTGCTTGGTTTTCCATTTTTAAATTCGACTATTTGAAAAATTTCATTTGGCAATCTTTTATCCATTATATTTAAGATTTGTGTTGCCTCCTTTGTACTTAATGAAGTTGATGTTGAACTATCAAGTATTTTTTCAGCTAATTTATTTATAGAATATGGTTTATTATTTTCTAAAAAATATAGTATATTGAATACAGGCTTTAATTTCCCAATTAAATAATTTTCTTCTTTAATCTTTTTGATAGGTTTATTAGAATCAATTGTATTGTTTCTATATTTTAATTTATTTGCTTCAAGTTTATTTTTTTCTTTTAATCTAATTCTTTCTAATAAAGACAATTTTTTAGCTGGATCGTTATTAGTATTAGAATTCTCAGTTTTATTTATAGTTATTGTTTCATGAATTTCAGATTTTAATATTTTTCTTTGTCTACAAGAATTTTTATCAAAAACTAGTTTTCTCTTTTTATTGTTATAGTTTTCCTCTTCAATTTCTTCAAAAATGGGATGAGGATTATAAAAGTCGAAATTATTGTGAGATTTATCAATTTTATCATTTAAAATAGCTTGAATGTAATTATCAATTTTTGAGTTAAATTTTTTTTTTCTTTTCATTAATAAGGATGCAAAAGTTGATAAATTGATATCGTTTGGTAATTTAATTAGAAAATCATCTTTTTTTTTAGAATTTTTGTATTTTAAAATTTTATATGAATTTGGATATAGGTATAAAATTTGCCAAATATTTTTTAGAGAGAAATCTTTTAAGGTTATAAGTGAGATTTCATGTAAAAAGTTTGATAACAACGGTATATTTATATGTTTTAAGAAATGAGTGTATAATAAGTTATCTAAATTTGCAAATAATTCCTTTAAAGAGATTACAGATTGAAATAAATTTTTAATTTGAAGGTTGAGAAATTGAAATAAATTTTTAAATAAAAAATTTTGAAAAAAGTTTTTATAATGAGAATTAATTGTCGATGAAGGAGAAGAGGACTTTGATTGAAATAGTGAGTAATATTTTAAAATTTTATAATAAATTAATAGATTGCCAAAATTGAGAGAATTGTTGAAAAATAGAGAATAAATTTGATTTTGATTTTGATTTTGATTTTGATTTTGACTTAATTTTAAAGATCTTTGATTAATTAAATTTGTATAATAAGACAGGTCATATTTTAAATCATCAAATAATTTAATTAATTTTAAAGAATTTTGATGATTAAGAGATAAATTTAAATTAGGGAAATGATTAAATTGAAAGAAAGTAGGATTATTTGTTGAATTTACAGAAATTTGATTAATATTTGAAATGAAAAAGCCATTTGAAATGAATTCAAATAATTTGCCAATGGATAGTAATAAATAGCCATTTGAATGATTTGAATTATTTGAATTATTTGAATTATTTGAAGAGGTGAGTAAATTAAAATTATAAGATGATGAATTTGTAAAAGAGGATAAATTGATTGAATTTAAATCGTTGATGTAAAAAAAAGACAAAAAGGATAAATTATTAAATTTTTGAAGTGATTTATAATTTGATAGAATTGATTCATAAATTTTTTTGGATAATAATTCATTATTATTATTATTATTATTATTATTATTATTATTATTATTATTATTATTATTATTATTATTATTATTATTATTATTATTATTATTGTTATTATNATTATTATTATTATTATTATTATTATTATTATTATTATTATTATTATTATTATTATTATTATTATTATTATTATTATTATTATTATTGTTATTATTATTATTATCAGCTGTAATTGTAGTATTGTTTGAAGAAATTGAAGATTTTATTAATTGATTTATATAATGATTATCATTATTTTCAATGTCAAGATTAAATTCATGAGAATTTAATAATTTGATAACTGATAATTCATTATAAGATTCATTATTAGAGTTATTGTTGGTAGAATTTTTATTAGAACTGTTATTAAATAGTAGATGAAAATTGGATATATCTATATTTAAATAATCAAATATTAAGCAAATTAAGTGATTTGATAGGTTAAGAAACCTTTGATACAATAAGTTTAAATTAATTATTGATTGATCATTTGTGTCGATAGTATTGAGAAAGGAAGAGTTGGAAAATAAATTTCTATAAATTTCATCAGTATTAAAAATTGAGTCAAGTTTTAAGCTTTTTGATTTTTCTAGATTAGACAAATCCTTTTTGTTTACATTCCAATTGAATTCCTGATAATTTTGATAATGTTGTTGATGTTGGAAAAATTGATTTTCAGATTCATAAAAACCATTAAAAGAACTTTGAATTGTATGATTTTGATTTCGATAATAGTTGAAAAAGTAATCAATGTTATCTTTTTGAAGAAAGTCATTTAATAAAGCTTCAGTTGATGTCAGGTCATTTTGGATATCCAACGATAAGAGATTGAAATTTTTCAATACACAAAAGCCATTTTGAAGTAGAGTTAAAATCAATTGGTCCAAGGTCTGATATTTTGTCTTGATACTGTCCAAAGCCAGCAAATCAATCACCAACTCTTCTCCATAAACCGAGTTTTGCATAATTGACTTTAATTGCCTTTAATTGCCTTTAATTGTATTCAGTTGAATTTAGCTGATGATATCCAGTTAGTGTTGATCCAAAAAGAGATGGCGAAAAGTTGGTGAAGAATCACAAAAAGAAGAAATAGCCGCCGCTAAACACATAATCGAGTTTAAGCACGTGATTAATATATATAACTGGAACAGACCATGCTTGACACTATTGTAAATAGAAATAACACAGGAAATATAAGTGTGTAACCTGGAATGGTATAGCAGATGACTAATGCATATGTGCAGGAAGCACAGGGTATGTACACGTGGGCTACGAGCGCTTCTTGGGGGCGAAGAGAGGAACCTCGCACGACTGCAAGAGGTTGTAGCGAAGGTCGGCGATGCCCTGGCGAGGAACGTCTTTTTTGCGCGACAGAGCACAGCAGAAATAAAGATGGGGCTTGATGTGGTACTCGTTGTCAGCCAAAAAGCTGTTGAGGGTGTCGACAGTGGCCTGGATCTGACTCATATGGGAGACTTTGTCGATCTTGGTAAATATAATGTCGAAGTAGATGTTGTTCTCGTAGAGGATGTCGATGATCGACAAGTCGTCGTTCTTGATGCCTATCGGGGTGCTGACCAAGAGTAGCACTTTTCGTAGCTGGGACCTGTTTTGAATGTACTTGAGAATCAATTGGCCCTGGGAGGGAAGAGCCTTTGTTCCGTAGCCAGGACTGTCAATGATCTTGAATTTCTTGTTCAAATTGAAGCATCGGAGAGTTTTGGTGAAGCCAGCTGTTTTGGACACATAGCAGATCTCGTCGAGTTTTTTGTTCTGTGAGGGTGTTATTAGGGCGTTGAGCAACGTGGACTTGCCCGAGTTGTACTTGCCCATGAAGAGCACCTCTGGCAAGAGATTCACTCGCTGCTTCACCGACAAGCTGTTGGTGCTCTGCAACTCTAAACCTGGGTCTGGACGAGAGCCATCGGGCTCATCAGCATGGGCCTCGCCGGGAATCTTGCGGTAGTCAACCACACTCCACTCAAGGGTGATCTTGGTCTTGTTGAAGAAGACATTGGTGGCAGACTCGCTCTTCTTGCTGTCAAGAAGAAACTGCAACTGCTGCTTGTATTGTTGGTTGAGTAGGTCAGCCGTCAACTGGAGCCCAGGCAGGTGCTGTTTGGCGTGCGCTGTGTGTGGGGCCGGAGAAGCAGAAGCAGCACAAGAGGTAAAGCAACGAGAGGCGGTTCTTCTGGAGAACGCAAGCATGGTGGTCTCTTCTTCTCTTTAGTTGTTCTCTCCTGTTCTGTTCTTTTCTTTTCTTCTTGCTCGTTTCTCTTGTTGCTTTTAGCCGCTGGGAGAAGACCCATCCAGACGGTCTCTTTGTACAGCCCTAGGGCTCTGTGGACCAAGCTGAAGAACCGATATAAATAGAGTATAGTCCTCTTTTATCTTTCTCGTCTCACTTCTGTTTACCTCTTCATCTCTTCAGTTCTTCAGTTATTTATTGGTTGTTGTTTGCTGTCTGGCTGCTGTTTACTTGGGCTTCCATCTTCTTTCTCATCTCACCCATCATAGTTTCTGTGCTCACCCAACACTTGCACTGATTTGGAATTTCGCCTTATCAAACGTTCTGTGGGCTCACTGACAATTAAATAATACCCTTTATTTCTCTCTATTGTTATTGAAATATCAAATTATTGAAAGATCCCCAGTTATATACCCACCCACCAAGTATTTCTTTATCTCTTTCACTTTTCCATCACCACTAATAGTATTTCCGATTTTTAATTCAATTTCTTGAATTTCTTATCTCCTTCTTAAAACTCTAATTTATCCTGCTTTATTATTACTGTATTAAAATTGTCACTATTAAAAACAATGAATAAATCTCCAACCCAACTTCAACCTCAACCTCAACCCCAACTTCAACCCCAACTTCAACTCCAATCTCAACTTCAATCATCCCCTGAAATTAAAATTTATGACTCTCTAACTGGTAATTCACACTCAATTAACCCTTATTTTTTTCAAAATTTTGCTGATTTTAAAAATTACTTATCAAATCAATTCAACATCCCCTTCAATAACATTTTTTTATTATCCTTTAACTCACTAAAAATAAAAGATTCAAATTGGTTGATATCAAATGAAATTTATTTATTTAATAAAATCTCAATTAAAAATATAAAAAAATTATTAGATGTAGATGATATTAATGTCATAAATAATCAAAACACAAATCCTAATGATAATGTTAATGATAATAATGATAATAATGATAATAATGATAATGTTAATGATAATAATGATAATGATAATAATGATAATGATAATGATAATGATAATGATAATGATAATGATGATGATGATGATGATAACAATAACAATAACAATAATGATAACGATAACCCCTATGATTCTAGCAAAATAATAAAAGATGAAAACACAAACCAAATATCAAATCCCATCAAAAAACATCCCCTTGAAAACTCAAAAGACGATATATCTTTTCTACAAAGTATAACTTTTGACAATTTGGAAAATTTGGAAATTTCAAATAATTCAAAGAACCTAAACAACTTAAACAACTTGGATAATCTAGACAATCTAGACGATTTAGACAGCATAAATATAATTAAACCAATGGACTCCCCACTATCAAATTTTATTATAGACTCTCAAACCTCAAACCATCGTCAACTAATAAGTATCCTATCCTCAAATCTAGGTTGGGCTGCTGCTATACTATCCGACACAATCATAATTGAAAAGAATCTATTCATTCTACAGAATCAACTTAAAACTATCTTCAACTCTCTAAATATTCTATTGAAATATTTCTCAACCTCATTTAATGATTTTAATACAAAATTTAATTATTCCTATGATTTAATTAAAAATTTTAACAAAATTACTCTAAATAACTCTTGGCTACCTTATTTCAACGATATCCTTAAAAAGATTCATCTCTTTAATGATAACAAAGAAAATTTATCCTCCCTACTAAATGTATCCTCTTTAAAGAACTCTTCAATCATATCAAAAAATTTAATTCATTCCCTAAATTTAAACTTCTCAACCTTAAACTCAAATATCGAATTAATCCTATCTGATCTATCTCTATTAAATAATATATCAATCAATTTTAATAATTTATTATCAAATTTGATTAACCTAACTATTAATTTATCAAATCTTCTTAAAAATCTAAAATTTAAACTAAACTACCTTAAAAATGATTCTTCAAAAATATTAAATAATTTACCAAATTTCAATCTTCTATCCTCAAAGAATAATAAATTATCAATTGATCAATTAAATTCTCTTATAAATTCTTTAAATTTCCAAAAAAATTCAATCATACCAGAAATCTCAAATTTATCTTTAAATCTCTATAATTCTCAATTGAGTTTATTAAATATTAAAAAATTCTTTCAAAAAAATTTTAAAAATTTATTTTATAAAATTTTTAATTTAAATTCTTCTCTATTAAATTTAAAAGATTTTATAAAACCCCAAATTAAAAAATTGGAAATCCTACAAAATAATGAATCAAATTTATCAACAGTTATAGATTTGCCCTTATTATATGGCTTTTTCCTAATAGAAAATTTAAGAAGAATTCAATGGGATAATGAAATTAGATTAATAGCTACAAAGACTGCTGAAAATTTTGCCTCAATAGAGGAAAAAGAATTAAATTACAGAAATATTTGGGTCAAAAATTATGGTCTTATTTTAAAAATCCTAAATTTGGAATCAATCTTTTTAATGAATAATCTATCCTCTATCGAAATAACAACAAATAAGGATAACACAATAAAACAAATAAATTTAAATATTTCAAAAAATGATATCCTAAATTATATAGAGAATTTGAAAAATATTCAAATCTCAAATGAATCAATAGATTTATTACTAAAAAATTTAAATAATTTAGAAAATCAAAAAGTAAACTTAAATTCAAAATTTAACCCATATTTAAATATGAATATCTCAAAAGATCAAAATTCTATTGATAATCAGGTCATTCAAGGTTATGAATCAAGAATTAAAAAACTTGAAAGCTTACTTCATCAACATAAGTATAAAAATTTAAACCAATGGCCAATATTATTTCCAAATATAAAATCAAATTCATCTACAAGCTTGAAAACTTTAAACAAAACTAATAATAATTCAAGTAATCAACTTAATAGTTCTTCAATATTTACCGATTTTAATAACCCGGCAATATTGCAATTACAAAGACGTTTGAGTTTGCAAAATCAAAGATCAAACTCTACTGTATCCTTAAATAAAATAAGCACCATAACCACGATTGATACCTCAAAGATTACCTCAAACTCGCATCAAAGAAGAAAATCTTCTTTAGAAAGTGTTGAGAGTGCAGCAGCATTTCTCAAATTAGGTAAAACTGATTTTCAATTGACAAATTCAAAACTTTTAGTTTCAAATAACTCTTCTAAAGATAAAAATCATACACAAGATAACTTTGATAAGCCTCTAATATCTTCAAATGATCAAAAATTTAATGATTTGAAAATTGAAAATAACAGATTATTTATTGAAAATAAAGAACTAAAACATAAAACTGAATCATATGAAAATGAAATATTTCTACTTAGAACTCAAATTGAAAAAATTCAACGAGAGAAAAATAGCACATTTGAAAACCAAATTAAATCTAAAGATGCTCTAATCAATGACCTAGATATCAAAAACAAATCTTTGGAAGTAAAATTTAAGGAGACTAGTGATCAGTTAAAGCAAAAACAAATAGAAATATCAAAGCTTGATGATCTCTCAAAAGCCAGAGACAAAAAAATAAACGATTTTATTAATACTTCAAATCAAAATAAAGAAAAAACAAAAGAACTCCTTAATGATCTAAACATGAAAAGGAAATTGCTAGTTAGTGCTGAATCAGAAATTGAAGATAAGACAAAATTGTTAAAAGAAAAAGATAAAGAAATATTATTTAATAAAGATAGTTTATTTGTTAAAGAAAAAGAGTTGGAAGAAAATAAAAAAGCTTTGATCAAAAAAGAGAGATGTTTACTTGAAGCTCAAAATAATTATAAAATGATGTCTCAGGATTATAATACTTTGAGCAAACAATTCGATGATTTAAAAATTAACCATGAAAATACAAAAAGTCTTTTATCAAGTTCAGAACAGAGTGTAATAAAATTGAAAAACCAAATCGATTTTATTCAAAAAAATTTACAAGAAAAGGAAGATGAAATCCAAAACTTGAAAAAGACTGGAATAAAAGAAAGAGAGACAACAGATTCTAGTGATTTTCAAGCAGATTTTTCCGCATTAGAAGAGGAAAATAACTTGAAAAGTATTGAAATTGAAAAAATGAAAATTGAGATGAATGATAAGGAACTTGCTATTAAAAATATAAAAGCTGAGATAGCAAATAGAGACATCATCATCAAGACGATAGAAAGTGAGAAAACCGATAAAGATTCCCATATGTCATTATTAAACGACCAAATAAAGGACAAAAATTTCCAAATTAATGAGTTGAGCAAACAAATTGACATTAAATCTTCTGAGATTAACGAATTACATAAAGAAATAAACAAACAAAAATCTGCTTTCAAAAATATAAAAGAAAGTTATGATGAAATCAATTCTATGAAGCAAGATTTATTAGCGAATATGGCATCGAAAGAAGTGGAGGTCACAAAAGAAAGAAATGAGTTGGAAAACGAACTTTCAAATTTGCAATTAAAAATTGAGAATCTTGAGGATATTGAAGATGTTTTAGAAAAACTAAACAAAGATTTAGCGGCAAAGAATTCGCAATTAATTAATGTCACTTTGCAACTACTGGAATTATCCGATAATTTTATTGTTAAATTGAAGAACTTAAGTCATCTTTTATTCAAAAATTTTTCTGTTTTCTGTATAAGCTTAGAGTCTATGGGATTACTATTAACCAAAAGTAGCATGAATAACTTGAAAAGTTTTATAAACGGAAATTTTGCTGGTTCAAATCAGTATGTTAAAATTGTGAGGGTAAAAGGATTGAGAAACAAAATTAAAAATCAAAAAGACGACGATGTTAACAATGTTAATTCCATTTTAGTTGGTGAAGCGGAAAAAGCTTTGGAATGGACAAAGCCTCAAACTCAAGGTGAAGCTTCTGCATCATTATCATCAGATAAAGTAATGGCTGCTAATGAATCTATTCAATCAGCAATTGACTCGCCAATAAATTTTGATGTACATTATCAAAATACAGAAAACATTCATGCTAGTGTTGACTCGCAGGCCATTAGTATCACCAAAATCGAAAACAAAGCCAGTTTTTTACTCGAAAATTACAATAATTCCGAATTTGAGTCAGGTTATTTGCAGTTTCTATCTTCAATTAATGTAGATAGTGAGCTTATAACTGCATCTATTTCAAAAAGATTTTTAGATGTTGAACATCTAGCTAAGAAGTTGCAAAAAGAATCAAGAAGCCAAAAAGAAAATTTCAATACATTGATGCTGAGTTTCAGAAGCAAAGTTTCCATCAAAAGCTTTCAGCCAGATGACTTGGTTTTATTTTTGCCAACAAGAGATGTAAATGATAGTGTTGCAGAGTCAAACATTTCAAATTCTAGTTATGATATTAGTGGAATTGAAAATTCTTATAATAGAATTGTAAGTGGACACTTTTGGACAGCATTCAATATTGGTTGCCCACATTATTTTTTAAAAGAAGAAGATCCCAAGGTTCTTTTAGGGCGAGACTGGGTGTTGGTTAGAATAGTCAGTATTACAGAACATGCAGTTACGAGTGAAAATCATAAGAATCCCACTGAAAATCCATTTTCATTAAGTCAAGGAATTATATGGTACCTTGTTGAGGCCCAGGAAGAGGATCTTAAGAATCTTTGAGGAAATATAAAACGAGCTTCATTAAATAGGTTTGGCATTTTTAACAATCACAAGTGCGACATTTGTAAAAACGACATTGGTTTCTAACAGTTGTAGATATTTTGGCTCTAATTAATTATTTGTCTCTAATTTTGTCTCACTAAACGATTAAATGATCCAAAAATAAGTTGTTTTTTTGGCTCAAGGTCTGTAATTGAGATGTTACTATCCCTTTTTTTTATTTGCGTTTTTGTATTTAATTGAGAAATATATCTGATTTTTATTGTATTTAATAAAATTATTTTACCATTCAGGTTTTTTGATTTTGGATGAAGCCAGAACACATTGATAATAGATTTTTTCAAGCAAAATATAAAGGTAGAGCTCACATTACTATGAACTCTGCACAAAAACAGAGATGGTGATCCTCCAACTAAAGATCCTTCTCTTGGGTCGAACATGTTCCAGAAAAGTACTACTGGTAAAGATTATGGATACCAAGTTTTCCAATATTCTAGAGAAAAAAAAAATAAAAAAAAATAAAAAATAGGAAATAAATGGGAAACAAATAGGAAACAAATAGGAAACAAATAGGAAAAATAATTGATTTTACTTTTATTAAAATATATATTGTTGATTAACAAAAGGCATCAATCAGAGCAGAGCAAGCAGCCCATAAAATAGACCTAATATTGGGCTATTGTTGTTTGCTTTTGTGATTGAATATTATCTTTTGGTAATTATATATTCAGATTATTTGTATCTTGGTGGTTTATACACTGATGGTTTATATGCGAGGTTCTATTGAACAGTCAATGATTCCATTTTGAATTAGTGCTTTATGGCATGAGTGTTGTTGACGACTTTCTATATCGAACTTGGGATTATTGAATTTTTTAGGATAGAGTGGCCCAAAATCTGGCCTATTTTATGGGCTGCTTGCTCTGCTCTGATTGATGCCTTTTGTTAATCAACAATATATATTTTAATAAAAGTAAAATTAAAAAAAAAAAACTGTAGAAAAACTGATCTAGAATTTCTGAACAATTTCAGGCAAGTTTCGGAATTGAATATGTAAAACTGAATATATAAAATTAAATATATAAAATTAAATATCCAAGTGTATTTTACCTTGAGAAAAAGGTGCAGCAAAGTTAGCTCTTAAAGGTGTTACAGCTATATTTCCTTGAGCAAGAACTATTCCATCGTTTATGCCATTGGATTCTGAAACAGTTTTATGAACTTCATTATAATCAGGATCCCATCTAAATTGTAGTTGATTGACTATGCTACCATCGATAATATCAATCGGATCATCTTTTATCATCACTGCATCTTCTTTGAAACCAGGTCTTGGTTCCTGATCAAAAGCAGTGAAAACTGAGTGCCATTTATTTCCAAGTATTGGAGCATAGACTATTTCGCTTTTATTTAATGTTTCAATTAATGGGATGTTGATTGAGTATAATTCGGTTGAATTGTCATTTGGCCAACTGTTATAAAGATGCTCAATTAATTTTACCGAAATCTTGGAAGCATACTTGATAATATGTTCATCGATATCATTTGATTCGAAAGCAAATGATACAGCTATTGATTTTTTCCCAATTAAAGTAGCTTCTAAAGCAGCACCAATGGTTCCACTGGTCAATGCATATAGAGCAGTTGTGTTTCTTCCGTAGTTTGGACCCGAAATGACCAAATCAACAGGACCTTTGTCTTTGTAAAGATAATTGACTCCAATATCGGCACATGCTGCTGGTGTGCTATCGATTAAAGCCCATTCCTTGTGAGTTTTTCGAAAGGAGCTATCAGGCAAAGCAAAAGGTCCATTAAAAGAGTTTGAGTTCTTAATATTAGTTGGATAAATAAAAGAAGCAGTTAAATTCTTACCAGCAAAATATGCCTTTCCGATCCAAGATTTTTGGACACTTGGTAAGCAAATGCTTAGATCCCAATCAGTGTATTCATCAACTGCATCGACTAGAAATCTGATATATGGAGAGGTGATATCGTTAGGAGGACCATCATCATTAGTAAGTAAAACGTGCATTTTCTTTGGTATTTAAATCTATTTGAATTAATTGAGCACAAGGTAATAATAATTAAATAACCAATTGATTATAATTTATACCAATATTAGTATAATAAATTTTTATTTTTATTTTTATTTTTTTTAATTTCTTTTATCATTTTTATAATAACAATTTTGAAGATTTGTAATGTCTTCGATCTTTAGGCTTTGATCTTTGATCTTTGATATAAACATAAAATCCTAAAAAAAATAAAGTTGAAACCATCGCTCGAATTTGGAAACATGAGGAAAGCATGGGGTTTTTTGGGTTCAAATTAGATAAGTTTTATTGGTTAAAAATAGACTATTGAAGCAAAATGGGTGATATTATAAGAAACGTGAAACATAGAAAAAAAAAAGTCGAAATATTTGATCAAAAAACAAAAATAATATAATTGAGGATGAGAAGATAAATGGAGAAGATGTTTTTGTTGGAAAATCTATCGGTAATTGCACAGCAAATAATCAAGAGAGTCCATGAGATAAACAAGTCCCAAGATTAGGTTGGATATTTTCGAAACATCCTTCCAGTTTGAGAGTCCATCGAGCTATTGATAAAGGTATCAACTTGATAGGTGGAAAGAGATAAGAAGTGAAAATTTTAACCTATTCTGCAAGATAGCTTTTAGACGTTGCTCAGCGATTATCGGCTGGGCTTTTCAACAACATTTCTCTTTCTATCCTGACCTGTTCTCCGAGAATACTGCAGCAGAACCATCAGCACTACAGCTTCTTGCTATGGTTGTTCATTACAATCATTGGCTCTCACAGCCCTTTATTCTCATCACAAAGCCTTTTTCGGCAGCTCAAAAGACGTCGGATCCATGACTGTGGTTTTGTACCAGGGGCATGGAACGAACTTTCCTCTGAATCACGAATATGTCTCAAAGAAAATGGAACATCAATTAAATCCATAACTGTTTTTGGTGAAATTGCTATATAATTCTAAATCAATTAGAGGATTTCACGAGAAATATGAGGGTAAAGTAGTTGAGGGTCTATTATATGACATAATTGATATGATTGATGAAAATGGAAATTAATTTGCATTGACTTGCTTCAGAACAAAACAAAAAAAGCACAGTTAGTTTACTAATTATTCTTGTAATTAATTAGTATTTGCAGATGTTCCTCCAACAACCCCATTGACTGTATCAGTCAATTCTGGAAACTCTGATATTATTTTATCACTTAAAGTATTTCTAAAGAGTTTCATGGCGCTCATTTTACCTCTCAAATATTGATTTATTTTTCTTGTGGATTCAACAAATTCTCTTGTATAAATGTTAGTGTTTCTACTCACATCGATGTATTGAATGATGTCCAGGGGAATCTTAACATTTGATATACTCGCTAAACTGCCTCACTTTAATAAAGTTGACGTGTTGCTAAATCAGAAAATAGCTCTACAAGATTAATATTCATGTTACCTCTCAGGGCTCATCTGCTCAAACCAACCAATTAATTTCTTAGCAATCAGAATCGAAAACTGATATATTTACAGGCATTTCACTCCTCTTGTTTCCTATATCTTTAATCAATTTATTTGGTCCTGTGTGGTATTCATTGAAGATCTCTCCTGTCTCCCACCATAAAACGATATTATAATACGATATATGCTCCAAAAATGACATCTGATTTCACGAAAAACGAATTTATTGAATTTATTAAACAATGTGAATTAAAAAAGTTCAATCACTGCTTGAGCTTAATCTATTCAAATAACACTCAAGATGAATCAATTTTATCTAAACTAAATAAAAACCACTTTAACTTGGAAAATAAACGCTCTGCTCCTATTAATCCAGCGTTTGTGGGTGGTAAAGCTCTATCAAAGATTTCTCAAGAATCAGATGGATTGTGCAAACAAGTTGAATGTCGATTTGGTAAACAATTGAATTTTGATTGGCAAATAGTTTGCATTCTACTTTTACCTTTTTACAACCATAATTAATATCTATATTCCCCATCAAGGAAAGTGATTTTTAAGCTGGGAAATTCTTTTTTCAACTTATAAAGATTGTACCTGACTCCCATGAATTTCCTTCTACAAAAATCTCTTTTAGGTTATCAAATTGTTGGAGATCTTCAAAGTTCTACTTAATACAGTATTGATTTGAGAATAGGTTAAATTATTCCAAATTCTTTTTATTTTATTATATCTTAGATTTATATATGAACAATTGAATAATTGCTCAATAATGTGTGATTTTTTAATACAATTGGATGATAGGTTTTACGACTTCAAATTATCTAAATATTTCATTGTCTGCAATACTCATTTCTTTGATTTAGTTACTGGATAAATCAAATATTTTCAAATGAACTAAATTTTCAATGCTTACAATTTTTACAATATTATTTTAGGATAGATTGAGATAAGTTAAATTGTTCATATTTTCCAAATTTTTAATTGTTTTGATTTTATTATTTGATAAATATAAAACCTTCAATTTTTTCAATTTTGTTTTTTGACAAGTTGATTGTTGTTAAATTGGGCAATTGGGTGCGAAATTCTGCAATTGTTGAAATACCATTTTTTTAGAAGTAATGTCTTTAGACTTATGAAATGATTGAAACATCCATTTATATTGGCAATCCAGTTATAAGATAAATTGATATTTTCTACTTTCAGAAACCTTTGAAGCAATTAGATATTGAATATTGGATATTGAATTACTATTGAGATATATTGTTTTAGAGATACAAATCCCTTTAGATTTTTGATCCAGTCTAGAAAACTGAACTCCAAATGAGGAGGGTACAACCTTAGAAACCCATGCATGCTAATGCACCGATCATCACTAGAGAATTCCTTATTCATATCAGCTTGAATTACTATATATATGCGTGTGTCTGAAAAAATAAAATTGATTATTTGGTTTACTATTCTTCAGCTCTACATTCTCCTGTTCAATCTGATATTTTAACAACCTGAATAATAAAATGTCTTTGAATAGTATGACATAAATAGTATGGAAAGAGTAAAATACAGCTTGACACAAAACCCAGCTTACAGACAAAGTGAAAAGATGGTTCACAGCTTTTTCAAAAAGACCAACCAAACTTAAATTTAATTACCAAAAAAGAAAGTAACCAATAATATCAAGATAGCGCATAATAACCCCTTCTCTTATTATGCTAATGCAGAGCCTGGTAAACATATTTTTGACTCATCAGCTAGAATTAATCCCACTAAAAATATAGAGGGAAGATTTGGGGTCTTTTACATTGATAATTGTGTTCTTCAGAAGAATTTAAAAAGTAGATATGAAATTCCTTCAACGTGAAAATATACAGCCCCTGAATGTATTTCCCTATACAAAAAGTTGAATAACAGTAACATTCTTTTTAGACAAATAACAATATTTGAAACAGTTCCAAACAAACCTTCATTCCAGGAGTTTAGTAAAATTCCAAACAAATTGGAAACTTGAATGAATTATATCAGTGTCTGGATTAGACAGTAACATTAGTAGAAGAAATAGGACTGATGTTGAGGATTTGTTTTTGTGAGTGAAAAAGCATACGACTTCTTGGCAGATTGCACTTTCAATTATAGTAACACCAATTTTATTTCATGGACAACACTGTATGACTCCTACCTTTTTTAGCAGGCAATATATTTCCACTTGAAATATTCCAATTACATACTTCTCAGTTAATAGTTTTCGAACTTTTTCACCTCAAAATCTATTGACTCCAACAATAAGTTTATCTCATGAACCAATTTTTCCAATCTGTTCAATAAAAAGTACCTATCCACTTCCATCAACTCCTGAAGTGTCTCTAGTGCCCCAATTCTATTTCACTGATATAATATATTAAAGCAAAGGTCTATGATCAACTCTAAGGCTCCTGATTTGTTCTCTACTCATCTCTAATATTTGTTCTTATCTTTTATTATATTGCATTGTCCGATCTTACTTATAATAGTATTTCTGATAGCATTATTATATTCCATTTATATTTATTTTTTATTTCTACATGTGTTTCAAATTTTCAAATTTAAAACTGGAATCTATTTTCAAATATTTCTTACTCACTAAATGCATTCTTTATTACTATCAATTTATCACTACTAGTAGCTAATTAACCAATTAATTCATTTTCTTTATTTGAATCACTAATAAACTTTTAAAATGCAAATGGAAGAACCTCCAAATGAAATGGTTCATTTAATCTCATCTAAAAGATCTCGTTCTCTCACTCTTCTGTTGTCCAACACTGACTCCAATACACACATCACCAACAACAACAATAACAATAATAATAATAATAACAACAACGATAACAATAATAACAATAATAATAATCATAATCATAATCATAATCATAATCATAATCAAACAGATTTCAGTAGCAAATACATTAATAATAACAAAAACAATAACAAGCATAACAATGGAAATTTCAATATTAGAAACTTTTTACCTCATGTTGGAATCGGAATTGGAAGAAGAAAAGTTGTAAATGAGGCCCCAGTAGGTTAGGATGCCTGCATCTATGGTTTAAAAGATATAACAGTCCTGAAAGTCCATCTTTTGAAACCAAAAAAATTTATGAAATTTAGCTTTAAGTCTGGTGGTGTTATTATATTTTAGTTAATTTACCTTCTATTGAGATTCAGGATAAATTTTATGATGACAAACGTTGTGAAAACAATCAATCTGATATTTATTTTTGATCAAAAAAAATTGAATGCCAACCAATGTAAGAGAATAAGAATCCCCAGGTGCTTTGAACTGTAAAGAGTAAGCAATATAACTATGATTGATTCAAAATTGTTCTGTTTTTTAATTCAAATAATTCTCCAGTCGGAACTGAGATTGGCAACTCATCAATGATGATATTAGAAGGGATAGGCAGGTAAACTATCTTAGTAGTCAACATTTTGAAAATGGTTGATATATTGTATTTTAACTGATGTGATAAATATCCTCCGGAGAACCAAACTTATTTTAAATGATATAGAAAATAGATGGAATTATGAAAAAGATGATAATTTTTAATGATTTTTATAATGACCCGTTTACATAAAATTACCCAAATTGATTGTATAAAAAATGTGCAATGCCATGAGTCTATATTGAATCCAGCATAGAAAAATTAATCTTTGTTTTTATTCATTTAGATTATCAATAAAAAATAACAAATCCTTTGAATCGACATTATAAAAAAATTTGCTTGAAAAGTATTGCTAAGAATCTCAAAGGAATTTGCAGTGAAAACGAGAAATTTTTATCAACTAACTATTGAAAAAATTTACGACATGGATAAGATTATTGTTGATAAAGAACTTTGTCTTTGCAAATCTGCAAAGCATCTAAATCTTTTTCTGCGTAATCATATGCTTTGACTGTATTTGTTGAAGATGAGAAACCATAGTCAATGAAAAAAAATTTATTATTAAAGATAAACATGTTTGAAGTTTTAATATCTTTATGATATATCTTTAATTTATGTAAAAGGTATAGCTGTAGAAAGCCTTTTTTAAAGTCCTCTCCAGTAGATGGTTTGCTTGTACCTAGGTCTTCCATTGCAATACATAATCCACAAAATTCATAAAGATGGTTGGAATTAATCATCAAACAACCTGTTTTATATATTCTGAGAATGTTTATTGTTTCGTGCTTGCCACATTGATTATTATAATTATTAATTTGTTGATAAATTTCAATTTCCTTTTTGAAGGAATTATGACATAAGCTGGCTCTGTCGCTATATTTTAATTTATTATATCCATGCTTTGATTTTGCTTCAAAAGAATCGAAAACCTTTAATATAATTGTCTCAGTTTGTGAGTAGGAAAGACTGCCAAAGGCATTGGTAAACTGGTGCCATTTCACAGAGAAAACTTGACTGTTAAATCTTCTTCCGACTTGGATATTATCAAACATAATTGAATGTTGAGGAGAACAAAGGCAAAGTTATTTTAAAAACTTTTGCCTAACATACTATAACAATTTTAAACATATTTTTGATAAATGTGAAATCAAGACAATCAACTTACAGTCTGTTTCACTTCTGGAATTTTTTTTATAAAAATTCCTCATTATTTGTTGCTTTTTTTTCAATTCTTTTTCTGAATCCCAAATTTCCTCATATATAAACGCCAATACCGTATTTCTTAATGCAAGTTCACTACTTTGAAAGTCAATCACTTTATACGTCATCAGAATTGATCGGGGATCCGCAAATTCATTTTTGATATTATTGATCTTTTCCAAATCTAATCGGATCAACAACGTAGTTATGAAATCAGTGAGAATGCCTTTATAGCAATAACCAGCAAACATTGAACCCAATAGCTGTTGAAAAATCATGTTTGATTCCGATTGTTTTTTACTATTATTATTTTTTACCCGTTTAAGATCCCGATTTACTATGATGCCTGCCATATCAAACAGCTCATCCATCAGTGGTGAAATATTGAATTTTTTAACTTCAACTGGAATTATTGATTGGATTCCATTACGAATAGATAAATCTGGGATGACCTGTAAAGTTATTAGTTTTTTCCGAATCTTGCGCTGTATTTGAATTGGCCCTCGGCCAAGTGTAATTATTTCCAAATTGAACAATATCTTAAATATTGAACAAATCGGTTCAAGCACATATTTTTGGAAAGCTATTTGAAAGTCCATTTTAGTTGCCCTGTTCAATTGCAAAGTGCTGTAGCTTGTTTCTAGATAAGTGGGGCCAACTATTAACAAGAGGCTTAAATCATCTTGTATTTTCCTATTGGTTTTGTACCTGTTTTCAAACTCACTCAACAAGCGCCTAAAGTACACATCATCTAAGGAAGCAGAAAAGAGCGATGGAACCAAGTTTGGTAGCGTCTTCATTAACTTGTTGCTGCTGGTGCTAATGGTACTTCCAATTGGAGTTGACTTTCCATCAATCTCATTACCACTATATATTATTTTCAAATTTAATGGCGGAAACATTAAAACCATATTTATCATATTTTCCGGTGTTTTATTTTTTCTGAAGTATTGTGAAATATCTTTGAACTTAGCATCTTCTTTTCGTTTATTTAGAAGAGATTCATACTTTTTAGAATAACAGGGCAGCAGTTCAAGATTATACGCTTGAAAAGAACCTTGAGTAACTTTAGATTAGCTGATATATGATCACCACAAAAAACAGTAGCAAAGCGATCAGAAGAGCTGGCCACAACTATTCACTAAAAATATTTCTATTCTTTTTATTGATGTTCCGTTCTGTTATTCGTTTCCTATGTTTTAAATTAAAGGTGTTGCAAAGCGGCCGGATATCTAGTTTCGGTCTCTACATGTTCCTTGGAATGTATTGTCGGTTTGATCTCGTGACTCTTTGAGATGTAACTCAGTCCTCTTTTATAGAGAACTGGAGTTCCCTTCTACGTTCTTTCTTTCTATATACTTCTTTACCTTAATATATAATCATGGATTCGCTGCAACAAGTTATATATAAAATCTGCTAATTGCTTTGCACTGGCACTTTTATAGTGAAGCAAATCGAATCAATTTCCCATTCAATTCTACGGACCACGCGGCTGGTATTCCAATTACTTTTCAATTAAGCTTGATTTGGAAAAGAGTATTTTTCTTGTCCTCAAATCGAGCAGAAGTGGGCACTTTTTCTTGTCCACAATTAGTAGTAAATATCACCTCAACGACGACTAATTATACTGCCACAATATCACAATGCACTCTATTCTTGATCTCTGCAAAGACTGTGATGTGTTTGCCTCGGCCAAAATCGTTGACACATTCTTCAAAAGTGCATGAGCCTGGAAAAAATCGGAACTCAAAAAGTAAAATCTTGATCATCCGCCGTATCCGCATTCCTGGTTTCACAGATTACAGGGGATTTTCGTGCACGTGCAACCAAGAATTGTACTGCCTTTAAAACGATGTGAATAATTGTCGGTTCCTTGCTTTACTAAGACTACTGATGACTACTGTTCTATATCGTTGCCACCATTCATTTCCTTGCACCAGTTGAATATTATATCTTTCAACCTTTCAGCTCTGATGATTCCCATTCTGATTTTCTGTAGGTTTTTGACAAACTCCTCGTTTCTTTGCAACGCCAACTGGAGCCTTTTTCTGACTGCATCTGCCACTTTGGGGTCAAATCCATAATCTGGGTCTAAATCTATTTCTGGTAATGCAAAAAATGGATCAATCTCTATTGCATTTTCAATGTTATTATGATTGCTACCGTTGGGGTTTCCGTTCATAACGTTAGGGTTTACATTTGAATTTGTACGAGAGCTGGGAGTGGAATTGCCTTTAATCAAACCATTTGGATTCTTCAAGTGGTGTTGATAAAACTGATTCAAATTATTAGTGATTCCCTCGCAATCTGGAGATTCAAATACCTTTTTGGGTAATGATGTATTCAATTTGATAAGAGCATCTAAATCGCCAATATTATTATTGTTAATTTTATTGTTATTACTAGTATTACTTCCAAAAATTTCATAAATGTCACTAAATTCAACATTGTTATTTTTGATTAGGTTATCAAATTTCAATGACCGATATTCATAATCGGGCAATTTTAAATTGTCCACTTTGAAGTTATATGGATCAGCACCGATAAATCTATCCATCAATTTTGTTAGATATACTACATTATTTTGTTCATATTCGATTAAGTTTATCGTTCGTTCAGCCAATTTTCGCAATGTATCACTCTTGAAAATTTTATTATAAATTTTAGATGTCACTATTGATTCAGGTTTATTAACTGGCTTTAATAAATACTCGGTATTAATTTGAGGCAAAAAAATATCGCTATCACTATTTTCAAGTTTATCTAAAAATTCTTGGTTTTTTTTTTCATTTTCATTTTCAATTTTGTTTCTATTTATATGATCGTTGAGATTGTTATTAAAATCAAGAGCATTTAAATTTTTTTTTCTTTTGTTTAGTAAATTATCATTGAAATTGTCATTAATACCATCATTTAAATTATTTTTATTATTATTGTTATTGTTATTGTTATTGTTACTATGGTTATAGTTATTATGGTTATAGTTAAGGTTATAGTTATGGTTATGGTTATTGTCATTATTATTAGTAGCAGTAGCACTAGTAGTAGCACTAGTAGTAGCAATATTATCGATATCATTATTTTCATTTAAAATTTCTGATATTTTTCGTTTTTTCAATAGCTTTTGTTCTTTGTCTTCCAAATTAACATTTAAAATATTTTGGGTATTGCTATAACTTATCAAAAAATCTCTTCTTATATACTGGGATCCATTTATTAATTTGTTACCTCGATTACTCTCAATATGTGGTAAAGTCTTTATATTTTGATTGTCATTTTGGTCATGGTTGAAATACTTGGAATCACTGTCAAAACTATTTAAACTATCAAATTGGTCAAAACTATCGAAATTATTATTCTCTGATGATATTTTCTTTACTCTATCTCTGTTGGCGATAACAGTTCTGAAGATATGAAAAAAAAAAAAAATGTGTTAGTCCTGTAAATCCCAAACGAAAGTAAAAACAGATAAGAAGTTAAAAAGTGAAAACAGGCTGGAGACAGAAAGCAAATAACAAAATTGATCCACAAACATACTTTATCGCATTCATAGTTAGTTGGTCCATTGCTGCTGTGCTGCTCTCTTGCACTGAAATATCTGAAGATGGTTGGATCAAGCGTGGAAAGATAGAACCACTGCAACTGATCACCTCCACCAAGTAACGTTCCTACCAAAAAGCAAGAAAGTAAAAAGCAAAAAAATAACGTGTGGATTATATAATCACACGTGTGCTTACATGTGTACTGATCAACGCGTCAAGGTGCTTTTTTCACCAGACTTTTTTTTGAAAACGCGTCTGGATCAAAACCAAAGTCTTAAATACAAAGCAGGTGCCAGATTTCAAATGGCGTTTTTTCAATGTTCTCTGTTTCTCACTCTATCCATTCTATTCTCCTCTTATTATATTAAATCTAAATAACAATGCTTGAAGGTAAATTCGAAGAAGCCTCTCTCTTAAAAAAAGTCGTAGAGTCCATAAAGGATTCGGTTCAATTGTGTAACTTTGTTTGTTCAGAACATGGAATCACTGTCCAGGCTGTCGACGACTCTCGTGTTTTGTTGGTTTCTTTGTTGATTGGTAACGAGGTCTTTTCAGACTACAGATGCGACAGAAACATCACTTTGGGTGTTGATTTGAAATCCTTTGCTAAGATCATTCGTTGTGGTGGTAACGACGATTATCTAACTTTAATAGCTGAAGATTCTCCCGATAGTGTTACATTAGTATTCGAAGATAAAAACAGTGATCGAATTTCAGAATACTCATTAAAATTGATGGAAATTGATAATGAATTTTTGAAAATTGACGATATGGACTATGATTCAGTCATCAAAATGCCTTCAATTGATTTTCAAAAAATTTGCAGAGATTTAAGTACTTTATCAGAATCCCTACAAATCTTAATAACAAAAGACAGTATTAAATTTATGGCTGAAGGTGAAACAGGTAATGGCAGTGTTATCTTAAAACCTCGTACTGATATAGACAAACCTGAACAAAGTATCACTGTCAAATTAAATAATGCTGTCAATTCAACTTTTGGTTTAAAATATATAGCTGATATTGTCAAAGGTACTTCATTGTCAAATCAAATTGTTATCAAAATATCAAACAGGACTCCTGCTTTATTTGAATATAAATTGCAAAGTGGTTACTTGCGTTTCTATTTGGCTCCCAAATTTGAGGACGAATAAATTAAATAATCATTAAATAATCATTAAATAATCATAGTCATTATATAGTTTTAATATATCTAAAAAATTGAAAAATTGAAAATTGAAAATGTGTCAAACTGAAAAACTGAAAAACTGAAAAACCGAAAAACTATTAATCTAGAAATTTAAATGCTCAAAACCTTAAAATGCTAAACTATATCACTGTATCTGTATTACCTACGCCATTTACACTGTTTCCTTCACCTATAGCATTCAAGTAACCAGATCTAACATGGCTTCTCTCTGTTATTGGTAATAGTAACCTAAACGCGTCATGCTGATTTAAATAATATCGATATAATCGTTTAGTCCTTATAAATCCCATATTTTCATACAAAGATATAGCTGCTTTATTGACAACCTCGGTTTCTAACATGATCTCATCTGCTCCTTCTTGGACCATTTTCTCAATTGATTTTAAAATTAATTTTTTAGCAATACCATTTCCTCTGTACTTGGGTTCAACTGCAACCATTCCAATATACCCTCTCATTCGAGCGTTTCTGTGGGGCTCCAATTTACATATAATGGCTCCAATCAATTCCTCTTTTCCACTTTTCTCATCGTAATACTTTGCCAAAAAACACAATTTGGGCCATATTGTCAAAAAAAACAAATAAACATAAACTGAATATGGTTCTGATAAATTTGCATTAACCAACTTTTGAATGTCTAAAAAATCCTCTTTGTTTTTGGATTCCAACTGAGAATACTTGATATCCAACATTTTGCTCAGATTTCCAGCCAAATCTATCTCTTTACCACCTCTTTATCTGCTATTTGTTACCATTCACTACACCATTTCCTTTCAGCTTTTGCTTTCGCTGAAAAACGGCGTTTTGCTCGTGATTTTCTGGCAGCTCTTTCCGGTACATTTCCCCGGAATCGAACACCTTTTGTTTTCATCTCTGATTTGTAACTGAAAGGAGTTTCAACAGCCCAAGCCAACAGTATATTTGTTTGCTTTATCAGGAGATAATGAAAGAGACGAGACACTGATCACATATCAAAATGCCTTCAAAAAAATTGCCCACTAAGGACTCCTCGCAGGAATTAATAAAGGATTCCATAACAAATATAACAAGAATCATAGAAAATGACACCGATATCTCATTAATTGACTTGAATTTGATCCAGCAGTTGAACACCCAAAAGACACTAAATCTAATGAAATTGGAGAGAAAATTAGATCTTATACTAAATGAGAGCAAACAAATCACCCAAATCAACGAGGATTTGACAAATACTTTGACTAAATTAAACGTATTGGAGAACCAAGTAAATCATTTGGAGCGGATCGCAAAGGAAATGGATGAATGGTCAAAGGAATTACAGGTCAAATCTAGAAGAATTCGAAAACAAAATTCTATATAATAGCTGATTAATGCCTTTCGTGAAAATATTGTAATCTATTAATATTTAAAGTACTTATAATACATGGGTAGCTTAAGAATCACTTCCCAATGCAAAAACTGGAAAAAACAACATCAAGAACTTCCTCAATTCCAATTGCAGTGCCTGTAATTTTGCCAATTCCTTCAACTGATTGTTTCAAACTTTCTGTTGCCAATACTACATCTTCTAATTCAACAAAATTCTCGAATTCATCCATTCCAAATAGGATATCATTTTTAATTATGTCTTGACATCTTTCTGACAACCCTAATGGTTCAATCTCTTCTGTTAATGAAATTTGCTTAAAGTTCTTGATTAACACATCCATCAACTCATCGATGCCAATCTTATTATTGCATGATATTAGATTCAATGCCTCCTTGGTTATATTCAAACTCAGTGCAATTTTTTCAATTATGTCTTCAAGTTTTTTTTTATCTTTAACTAAGTCGATCTTATTTAGTATAATTAACATCTTTTTATCTTTGTTCTTGAGTTCTCTTATTTGTTCGATTATTTGCTCGTCTCTTAACTCCTTCTCAAATTCGTCAGTTGATAATATTAATAACGTTAAATCGCTATTTAGTGCGTTAAATTTAGCTCTTTTAATTCCTTCATGCTCGACTATATCTTTAGTATTATTCAATGATCTTATGCCTGCTGTATCGCCGAGCACAACTTTATAGCCCCCAATATCTAATGGCACATTAACAATGTCTCTCGTAGTTCCTGCAATATCGCTAACAATAGCAACTTCATTATTTGCCAACTGATTTAATAATGATGATTTGCCAACATTTGGTGGTCCCAATAAGGTTAGCTTGAACCCTTTTAATAATATTTCAGATCTTTCACCTCTTCTAAGATATTCTTCAATTTCATGTTTAGTTTTTTGAATATTATCATTTACTTGATTCAAAATCTTATCTGTTTCTTCGCTAAGATAATCTTCACCAAAATCTAGTAAGGCAGTTAATTTTGCTATATTATTTAAAATATTTGTTCTCCATTGATTGAATACTCTCTTATTATCACCTTTCATTGAATTCATTGCTGCAATTCTTTGAGATTCTGTTTCTGCTTCAATTATATCGCGAATTCCCTCAATTTCTGTTAAATCAAATTTCCCATTCATAAATGCTCTTTTAGAGAATTCACCATTAACTGCATATCTAATATTTTTATTCTTATTATTATTCAATGACTTAATTGATGATAACACTGCATTAATTATTGAGATTCCACCATGTAAATGAAGTTCGATTAAGTCTTCACCAGTAAAGGATTTTGGACCCTTAAATGATATTACAACTGCTTCATCTATAATGCTTTTGGTCTTTGGTGAATAGATTTTTTGAATCACTGCAACTCTTGGTTTAGGTAGTGAGTATTTATTTAATGTTAATTCTTGTAGAATATAACTGGATTCGGGTCCAGATATTCTTATGATTCCAATGGCAGATTTCCCCTGTTTTGTTGATAAAGCAAAAATTGTAGGAATAGAGAAAAACCTCTTGGATATAGTAGATAACAAAGTAATTTTTCTATTTATTGTAGTATTTTTAAACATTATCTCCTGAAGAAATTCGGTAAGATAGGTTATTTAAGAAAAATCATTTCCACTAAAAAATTAAATTAGATTAGATTTTCACTAACCTTATTGTCATTCAACTGTTTTAGATTTGATCAAAAGCAAAATTCTTTTTCCTTCAGACTTCAAAATATCGAAACCAGAGAAAATGATTGCAAGATTCTACATTAAAGAGCCTGCCATATTTTACTTAAAAAGATTTTTTAGCAGATCATCTATATTTAATCATGAGAACCCCTTAGTATGTTTGATTTTACGTTCTATTTTATGTGCACTTTATCAAAATCCTCAGTGACTTAAGTAGCTAACACCAAATAGGGTTTGCCCAAAAAGTCGCCAAAAATTCCTCGAATGTCAAGAGGTTTGCCAGTAAGACAACACATTCCTCATGTAAAAAAAGTAATACTTATTTCTTCTGCCAAAGGTGGTGTAGGAAAATCGACGGTTTCTTCGAACATTGCTTTATCTCTACAAAAATTGGGGAAAAATGTTGGTTTGTTAGATGCTGATTTATTTGGCCCCTCAGTACCTAAACTATTCAATCTCTCAGGAGAACCTCGAATATCAGATTCTGGCAAGCTATTGCCTCTAACAAATTATGGCTTACAAACAATGTCAATGGGTTATCTTATTCCCAGCGAGAAATCTGCAGTCGTCTGGAGAGGAATGATGGTGATAAAGGCATTACAACAACTTCTATTTGAGGTAGAATGGAATAACATAGATATTCTAGTGATAGACATGCCCCCAGGCACTGGTGATACCCAACTAACAATAAGTCAGCAGGTCAAGGTGAATGGAGCAGTTATTGTCTCGACTCCTCAAGATATAGCTCTAATTGATGCCATAAAAGGAATCACAATGTTCAACAAGGTCAATATTCCAATCTTGGGATTGGTCCAAAACATGAGTTTTTATGTCTGCCCAAACTGCAATCATGAATCTCATATTTTCGGCAACGATGGCGTCAAAAGAGAAGCTGAGAAGCAGCAGTTGGATATTCTAGGTTCTATTCCCATCAACGAGAAAATCTGTCGCCAGTCAGATTTGGGCAAACCAATTGTTATTTCTGATCCAGACTCTCCCTCTGCTGCTTTTTATGTTGAAATTGCTCAAAAAATCCTTCAGAAGCTTGAAAAATAAAAATCCGGCACAGTGGGTCCATGCAGTCAATATGCATATTAACGTTATATCCTTTGGCTTGGGTTTATATAATCCCAATTAGGAAATCGGTAGTTTTGTGCTTTTGGTACTTTTGGTACTTTCAATCTTTGTTTTGAGCTTTAATTATATAGATTTGATATCGGTAACAACTATTATTTGTTCAAATCTCAACATATGCTTTTCCAATTAGCCTGGCTATTCTAACACACACTGATATTTGCTAAACATAATCAATAAATAATTTATACTATGGCTATTCAAAATCAAATGCTATTCAAAATATTTTTATTTTATCTTAAATTCTCTTTTTCGTTTCCTGTTTTGCCAGAACTAGCTCAAGCTGATTTAGCTACAAGCCAGGTTCCCGATGTTTTAGATTTAAGATCTTCAATTTTGTCTAATGAGGTTGCTTCAAACCTAATAACGAACAATAATGAATTGAAAAATGAGGTTCAAGTTTTAATTGAAGATATTAACAGTTACTATTTGAATCAAAATCAAAACATTGATCAAAATCAAAACATTGATCAAAATCAAAACATTGATCAAAATCAAAACATTGATCAAAATCAAAACCAAAGCAATATCGTGGAACAGAGTCCAATTCAAACTGATTCGAAAACTCCACCAGTTTATACAGAAAAAATATTATCCGAAACTCCATCAGATTTTCCTGATGATAATGGATTGTCAATTCTTTCTTGGGAGGATTTAGCTGTGATTTCAAGTAAGTTTGAAAGAATAAATAAAAGAAATTTAGAAAATAAAGAGCCAAATGAATCTGGTTACTATCTAAATAAGAAAACTTCTATTGAATCAAATTTTAAGAATCTTGGTTCTAGGAAAATTGCAAAAATGAAAAATCAAACAATAAGTATCAAAAATGGTTCTTTTTCCAAAATAACAGATAAAACTACTAAATTAATTAACAAAAAACCTGATTTCGATTTATCCGGCTTAATAAGGCACGAGAAACGTTTTGATTCTGATTCTGATTATTCCCAATATCCATTAGAAGAATATCCTATATCATCTGGCACTGAAGGAATACAGGAAAGTTTTGATTTCGAAGAGTATGATAATGTATATGATTATCAATATGATGATGACAACGATTATGAAACCTATGAAATTGTTTATCCCTCAGATATATATTACAATCAAAATGATGATGAAAATAATAGTCATAATAATGAAGATGTTAATGTTGATGACAATGGTAATGACTATCGTGATAATGATGATTTTTCTAATTTAGAAAGTAAAAATGAATATTCTTTTCCAAACTCCAATTTTTATCAGAAAGAAATAGAACGCTTTGAAAACACTATTCGCAAAGATTTTAACAAACAAGAAAACTCTGAAAACTCTCAACCTGTCAAATTGAACCTAAAACCTAATCAGGACAATCTCAATGCATTAAATAGAACAAACTTCACATCTTATGAATTTTCTCCAGAAATTTTGATTGAAGAAAGTCCCAAAGAAACTCTTAAAGATGAATCATCCTATCATGTCACTGAAAAATACAATGCTCGTCCATATTTAGTTGACAGTAGTAAGCAAAAGGATAACGATCAAAAAGATAGTAATCAACAATCCCTCTTTTTATCACAAGAGGGTCAACCTCATCCTCTCAAAAACTCCAGCTCAAACTTTTTTACAAAAAACAGAGAACTTGATTATGACAGTGTTTTCTTTTCAAATTCCAGCTCTTCAATTCAAATAAGCTGTTTAATTAAAAATCTTATGGTGGTATATGTGCTTTTATTTGTTTTTTTTTAGACCACTTGATTTATTTTTTTTAAACCGCTTGATTTATTTTTTTTAGACTACTTGATTTATCTTTTTAAAAAATTTGTTTATTTATAATAATATATGTATTAGGATTATGTTAATCTTCAAGAGATTTTTTTGAAACATTCTAAAAAATTTATCAAAATAAAATAAACTTCAAAAGAATATAGAGTATAGAGTATAAGAATATTAAGTGTAAATATAAAAACATTAAATGAATTATTAAAACAATGTGCACAGTTTAGATTATCTAAGACTAAAAAAAGTGCTTTGTAACAAAAAATTAAAGTAAAAAATAGTGATTAACAATCAGAAATGTATTGTAAAAAAAATGTTGAAAAAAATGTATCTTATTTTATCAATTGAACCATATTACCATCAACAACAGTTGTAGCTCTAGAGAAAGAAGCATATTTCTCAAATGGTGAATTTCTTTCCAAATCATATTCTGGGTTGTGAGCTTCATCTGGACGACGTCTGTAGTGAATACGTTTGATCCATAAATATAATTCTGAACCACCAAGAAAAAGAATAGAAAATCCAACTGCAACACCCCATTCATAGTCAATTGGTTTGTGTAAGAAAACTTTTTCATTAATAACTGGAATGTACACTAATGGGAAAACTGTAACAACACCAAAAATAACTGACCAGAATAAAAATTGATTTCTCCACAAATCTTTAAACACTTGTGTGTAGGGAGTTTCTGATTCTGGATTCATTTTGAATAAAGATTTTCTGGTATCAATGACTTCCCAAGCAAGAATTAAAGCACACCATGTCATATTGGCAAAAGAAGCAGATCTTGCTCTGAAAACATAGTTACATGAAGGGTTATAAGAGTCGTTACATTGGGTACCAAGTTGGCCTCCACCTTTTCCATAAATAATGGCAACAAAACAACCCATACAACAAACAGCCATCCATAAACCATAAACCATCATATCACAAAGAACTTCTCTAGTAAAAATACCTTCTTTGGGATCCTTTGGTGGTTTTTCCATTGAATCAGGTCTAGCAAGTTCAAGACCCAAACCCATAGCTGGAAAACATGAGGTAACAACAATAATCCATAAAACTTCAACTGGAGATAATGGGAAAACAGAAAATCCATCGTCATCAATAAAAACTAAACCAACCATCAAGTAAATGGCTTGAGCAACATTTTCTGCTAATAGTTGTAAAACAAACTTTTGAATGTTATCAGCCATACGACGACCTTCTTCAACAGCATTTAAGATGGAAGCAAAATTATCATCGGACAAAACAATATCAGAGGCATCCTTAGCAACATCGGAACCTGAAATACCCATAGCAATACCAACGTCAGCCTTTTTCAAAGATGGAGAATCGTTAACACCATCACCAGTCATTGCACAAAATTGACCACGTCTGTGTAAAGCGTCAATCATTCTAACTTTGGTTTGAGGAGCACATCTCGCAATAACTAAAGGCAAAACAGGTAAGTTGTCGATTTCCTGGTCACTTAGGGCATCAAATTGGGCAGCAGTCATAACCATAATCTTAACAACGTCTTCAGCGTAATGATAAAGGTTGTGAGGTAAAATACCAATTTCTTGAGCAATGGCCTTAGCAGTACCTGGATGGTCACCGGTTAACATATGAACAGAAACACCACACTTGTGGCATTTTTTAACCGAGGCAGCAGACTCTAAACGTGGAGGATCATAAATACCTACTAAACCTAAAAAAATCAAGTTATTCTCAACTTGATTTCTGTCAATTTTAGCGTATTCGGCATCGGAAATTTTTGGGTCACCAAGTTTAGTTGCAAAAGCCAAGACTCTTAAACCGTCATTGGCAAAAGCTTCCATTTGACTTTCAATAGTTCTAACATCATCTTCGGTTAATTCAATGATATTTTCTTCTTTAATTGATTCAAGGTTGGCAGTTTTACCAGAAGAGTGACCGTACCAGTATTTACAGCATCCTAAAACTCTTTCAACAGCACCTTTAGTGAAGACGTGAGCTTCGTTGGTAGACAAATCTTTATAAACAGCAGACATTCTTTTAATAGAGGAATCAAAAGGGTATTCAGCAAGGTGGTCATATCTTTTATTTTCACCTTCAGTTAAACTTTCTCTTGGAAAATTAGAAGCAGAGGTATAAACTTGGATAGCAATTTCAGTTGGATCACCATGAGCTTTCCATTCAGGTTCGACGGTTGGATCACTGGTATCTTGAAAGATGACTGCAACATTAGCCAAAGTTGCGGTTTTCAACCAAGAAGCATATTTATTTGGAATTGGAGAAGGTACAGTGGAAGAATATTCAGAGTTGACTTCGTTTTCAGCAATTTCAACGGGAGAACCGAAACTAAACTTGATGGAACGGGTGGTTGGATCCAAAGGTTTTTTTATGTCAGACACGGCATAAGTACCGACACCTGGAATCCAGACATTTCTGACAATCATTTTACCTTGAGTTAAGGTACCAGTTTTATCAGAACAGATTGCACTAACAGCACCCAAGGCTTCCAAGGAGTCTAGTTTTCTAACAATAACGTTTCTTGTAACCATAACAGAAGCACCAACAGCCATTGTGATGGTCAAGACGACGACTAAGGAGGATGGAATCATTGATAAGGCAACACAGATGGCATAAATAGCGACATTTTTGTTGACAATCATCTTTTGGGAACCCATAACTATAATAGCAAAGATAACAGCAATAACGAAAAGACCACATGCAAGTTTTGACAAACGACGATGTAAAGGAGTACCAACGTTAAGACCTAAGAAAGCACCAATAATGTCTTTTAAAGTACCGAAAAAAGCTTTGAAATAAGCTCTTTTTGGAGCAGCACCATTTTCATCTTTTTCAACTTGTCTGACTTTTGATTTATTGTCGTTTAAGGATTGAGCAATCATACCAATTTGGGTTTGTAAACCGGTTGAAACAACAATAGCAGTGGCTCTACCTTTTGAGACAGTGGAAGAACTAAAGGCCATGTTAAGACGATCACCAACAGAGATTTCGTGGGTATAAACTAGAGTGTGGTCCTTGGAAATAGGTAAAGACTCACCGGTCAATAAGGCTTCATCTGTTTCGAAATTTAAAGAATCAATTAATCTTAAGTCGGCAGGAACAGTATCACCAACTTTAACAATAACAATATCACCTGGAACAACTTCTTTGGTTGGGATGGTTAAATCGTTACCACCTCTGATGACTCTTGCAGCAGGAGAAGACAAGGATCTTAAAGAACCCATTGTTTTTTCGGCGTTAACATCTTGATAGTAACCAACGACAATATTAATACCAACAACAAAGGCAATGACACCACCACTGATCCAATCTTGTATAGCCAAAGCAATAATCATAGAAATGAACAAGACCAAGATCATAGCATTACAAACTTGTCTTAGGAAGATTTTCCCATAGGGAACACCAGTTTCTTTACCTAGAGTGTTTTCACCATAGAGGGCAGAGTTTTCTTTAACCTGGTTGTCAGATAAACCAACGTTGGCATCGGAGTTATAAATCTTTTCGAGCTGTTGAATAGTTAATTGGTATGGAGGTTTTGAGCCTGAATCCGAGTTCAATTTCTCTTGAATTGAAGACATGATGGATTAAAATAGAATGAAGAGATTTGATGTATTCAATATTTCAATGGGGATTTTAGAGATAGATTTGATTAATTTGATCCAAAAAGAAAAAAATTATATTGTTATCATTGATTTCCAAATATATATATATATATATAAAAAGAAAAAAAATGATAGGATTGAAACTTGATTGAGAAAAGAACAACCAAAGATAAATAGTTTAGATTAATTAAATAATCGAAAACAAGAAAATGAAAAGGGGAGAAGTGGGAGAAATGGAAGGGAATCGATGAGATGAGTTGATGGATGAATTAGAAAAATAAAAGCATGGTAAAAGGTTTATATGGGGGATTAAAAGAGTATTTATATGGTCAAAAACCCAAAAACTAGAGCAAGAAATCAAAAATAAAGAGTGAAAAGTTTATAGCAGAGCCAAATAAAGTTACTGCCGGTCGGATAGAGGCTGCAGATCTGCGGTCGGAATATCACAGGTCGGAGCTGGTTGAAATTCGGAAGAGGTGCGGCTGTGTGCAGCGGGATGCATGTTTTTTAAACAGGACAGTGATTGGCTGGGGTTTTCCTCAGAGATAGCGGACAGATAGCGGACAGGGAGAAAAGAACCTGGAGGCTGGAGGAAAGAAAGCACAATAGAGGAAGAACAATGGAGGTTGGGTTATGGGGGAAAAGAGGCAGAGGTGATTTAGAAGAAGCTTCAGAAAGTGCTTTGCAATGTGGTTTCAACAAATGGCTTCTCGTTACGGCTGAATGAGCTTTTGTGTGGGCAAACGGCATCAAACTTTGCCAGACCCTGGAAATATCAATAATTCATCTGAAAGTGTCAAATGACAATTGCAGTCTGGATAAAAGCTGTTTTGTTGTTGAATTATTATTTTGGTTTGGTCTTTCTAGAATTTTTTGAAATTTTTTGAAAAGCTTTTGAGACAACAATCGAATTTCGATGCAAACCTATAGATTCTACCCGATATTTTTTTCTTCAGGCTTTACTAATGTTGGTATTTACCCAATTAAAAATTGACATGCAGTGCAATAGAATAAAAGGAATTCAGAGGTGAAAATAATAGTAAAAAAAAAACAATCATTGACGATGAAAAAGAAAAAAAAACAGTAAAAAAAGTCAGGAAAACAGACCAGAAAATGGATAGAAAAAACAGCTGAAAAGGAATCTAAATACACGGATAAAGGCGAGATGTTATTGAAGAGATATTGAAATAAAATGAAATAAAATGATATAAAATGATATAAAATGAAATAAAATAAAATATCAAAATACGATATTTGTTGAATCTAGATAAAAAAAATAATTGCAACTTGAAACACCTTGTGAACTTGGAGATAATAATTTTCGGGTCATTTTTAGTTGGAATTACTTTAAACTGGCCCTGAAATTAATCTGTAACCTATCATTTATCATTTATAATTAATAATTCAATCGAAGATTGTGGATTGAAAGTGGGTCTTTAAATCCTTGATTATATATCAGTTTAGTTTAATTGAACCATGACTCCATGCACTGTTAATCGGTTCGACAACTTTTGATAATTCTTTTAGACTTGTTTTATGGAATGTCGGAGCATTATCTCGAATGGATCTAAAGGAAATTAAATTTGGGTTTTGCTTTGCTGACTGGCCAATCACAGGCCAGACTATACTGGAATCGTAATTAGAAGCACGCTGCTGGTAAATGCTAATTAACCACTCCAACAACCACCATAATAACCGCTCTGATAGTGCACTGAATAGTAAACATTATCGAAGCATTGTTGACGGTAGAATTCAATATGCTTAGCTGAAATAAAAATGACATTGGCTTTTGTTTTAAAAGTGCTTGATGAGTGTGAAGTCTTTGATCTTTGGTTCACAAGCAGCATACACTCCTGCACTGAAAACAAACTATGAGATAGTGCAAAATAATATGTGAACGATTTGAGTGCAGAAATCAGTTTGGCTGGAACAAAAAAATTGAAGAGTCTGAGGAATTGTGACTAATACTGTTTGAGAGTGTCTAACAGTGATACGATTGTAACATTTTGCAAAGGATGGCGAAACTGTTCTGAAAGCACTCTGAAAGCACCATCAAAATGTTGCGGAAGTATCTCAAACACACCAATATTCCTCATCTTGCGACTGTAATGGAAGATTAAATTTTAAAAAAAATTAAAAAATTAAAAATGTTACAAAATATTATAAAATATTATAAAATATTATAAAATATTAATAATTTTATTAATATTGCAATTTAATAATATTACAATTCAAGAATATATAATATAAAATATAATATAAAATATAATTTTAAAATGTTATAAATTTTGATATTTTTGATAATTTTAACAATCTTAATAAAAGTTTATTTCTTTTCTTATCAATTCACATCCGTTGTTTTTGTAACAAAGTTTTAGGATTTATCGAATTTTTGAAAAGTGTTCTGGACCGGAATAGAACCGTCAGCTGCCAAGAAGATAAGAGTGCAACCAAGAAACTCCTTGCTGCGACTTCCGGTTTGGCCAATAGCTTTGCTTTCTGCCTGCTAAAGTTTGCTCGACTGTGAACAAGAATCACGAAACGCTGGAAACGTTGCTGCTTTTGGTGTTGCTTTTTTATGAAAAGTCCACTAATTGCCCAGCCTTGCTGGCGAACAAAGCAATCATGGCGAACACGGTCTAAACACCCACCCACGTGGCCTGCTCCAGATCAGGAAACCAAGCGCCTGAGCATCTTCAGCCAAGGACTCTCTGCAGCATCTGCTGCAGTATCTGCTTTTGATCATGGTTTTGCTGCTCCGTCCAGAAGTTGGCGTGATACTTCACTCTGTTAGTGCGATATTGGATTCCTAGCGTAATATTAGTATAGTATTAGTTATTAATAGTATAATTTGATATAATATAATAGTATGAAGTAAACTAATCTAAATCAAAAGTAGTCCCAAACATGATTCAAACATGATCCAAACATGATCTGGATGTAATATGAATATAATATGAATATAGTATGAATATAATATATTCTACAAATATTTCAAAAATTAATTCATTTGGTTAGAAAAAATGTGGGTCAACACGAATCAGGTCTAAGCGTATCACTGCTATTATTAAATTTTTCATAATTTTCACCGCCAAACTGAATTTTATTATCTTCATCACCCACAATTTCATTCGTAATTACAACTGTATCATCTGTTTTCTTTTCACCCTTTTGGTGCTTTCCAGCATCTTCATTGCCGTCAATTTCCGTATCTTTATAATAATTATAATTATTATTATTATCATTTCCATCTTCATTCCCATCTTCATTTCCAACACCATCATTCTCTTGGTTCGATTTTCTTAAATTGTTCAATTCTTCTTCCTTTTCTGATTTCTTAACATCAACCCAATCTTCTGCTTTCTCCAAGTTTTCATCAAAGATTTTGATTATATTGGCAAACGAATCTAACGACTCCTTAGCTAATATCAATATCTTTGTATTAGCATCATTTCTAATCATTGTATTAATATTTATGTGGCTGCTACTATAACTATTCCCATTATTAACAGCTTGATTCTCATTTGTACTGCCACTATTCCCTTCACAATCTCGATTCAATGCATTTATTGAACTATTCGAGCCCACTGGTGTCAAAAAATTATTGCTATTAGTGGTAGTAACGGCATCATTAAGATTTATTGGACTGGATGGCTCAGTCATTGGAGAATTCAAACTTTTGGCTAATTTCTGTGGCAACGTTAATAAAACATCTCTTACTGATGATCTCGCAGGCTCAGGCAATGAATTTCCTGTAAAATTTGATATAACACCAACTGCTTTCTTAACTGTGTTTACAATATCCTTTTTAACTTGATTTAATCCTTCATCACTAATTTTTTTCCTTTTAACATTATTTATTATATTATTATATATCAAATGAGATGAACTAGAAGTATTAAAAGAATTAGAAGCATTAAAAGTATTAGAAGAACTGGATTTTAAATTTTTATTATCATTATCATTATCATTATCATTATCATTATCATTATCATTATCATTATCATTATCATTATCATTTAAATTATCATTTAAATTCCCACTCAAACTAACATTTGAATTACCACTTGGATTGTCATCAACTTTGGTTGATAACAATTTTTGCTCTTTCTCATTTATTAACCTTTGTAAATTTTGAACTCCATTATTCAATCTATTATTGGCCAATTTCAAAACCTTTAACAATAATTTTAAATTTTTTTGAGATTCAATTGAAAAATTAATTGATAATTCTGACAAGTTTTTATTATTAAATAAATTCGGATTATTAAAAAATGATATATTATTATTCCCACTATTCCCATTATTCCAATTATTGAATCCATTGTTACTCAATTTGGACTGAAAAAATTCAGTAAATGATGGTAAAGATTGATTATTATTATTATTATTATTATCACCATCATTAATATGATTCATCTTGCTTAGATCATCCCTATTTTCCATGCTGTTGTTTATATTATTGTTCATACTATTGCTAATGTTATTGAAATTTTGTTGCTTATATTTCATCAAAACAGGTCTGGTCTTCTTTTCAATAAACTCGGCACTGTTTTTAAACGTAGTGGAATAGTTTTTAGATGCATTGTAATATTTACTTACTTTCTTGAAAAACGCATCTTTATTCATGTTCATATTCATATTACCATAGTTATTCTGTAATAAATTCTGAAGTGAGCTATTTGAATAGTAATTGCTACTACTATGTTCATTGCTGCTATCATTATGAACATGGCCATAATTATTATTATAATTATCACTATAATGCTCAACACTATCAACGGTACTATTGACACTCTTTTGGTACATAGTACGAGAATCGTTGCTGCTCTGAGACGAAGTAGATCCCGATCTCTTTAACTGGTCTAAAGCTTGCACTGCTGCTATAACATCGTCGTCTTCCTGTATAAAATTGTTATCGCTATGGCTGTTGTTACCACCATGGTTGACTATACTGGTATTATCACTGCTGTTATTGCTATGGTTGCTGTACTGCCTCTTGAGGTTCTTCCTTTTTATTATACTACTGTCGTTAAACTGGTTCACTAGGTTCTTGATGGATATTCTGTCGGTGAAAGATGGAGCATTAGGGGTAGGGTCTGGATTCGGATTTGGCTCTGGTTGAGATTCCATTATTCGATGCTTCTGTTGGTGTCACAGCAAGACAGTTCGTGCTTTCATCTATCAGCTCCTGAAATACAATACAAAAAGGATTATTATATCAGAACCTATCACAGCCTAAAAATGTTGGATCAACCTTAATCGCCAAACTGGTACCAACATTTTTTCCCATGTGAAAGATAAACAAAACGCATTTTTGGTCTCTAACTGGCACATGGTATACATTATATGCTGTTTTGCGCGGACCTTCGTGGGTCGTAACCGTAAGGCTTCCTGTATTCCGATTCTCAGGGGCTTACACTCTAAGACCGTAACTTAGGGCTTTTTATGTAAGCTCGAAGAGTGGTACAAACGGTACAATGATCTTATGAGCTAATGTGCCAAGCACGTGTGCTTGTATAATACAATCTCTTTTTTTGCTTTCTCAAAGTGAGCAGATATAATAAAATCGCATCACCTTTTGTTCAAAAAAGCTATCTTACCTCGTTATAATGCTACGATATCATAGGAAGTGGGAAGCACCAGAAAACATCACCACCTATTAGGAAATGAAGGAGCTCAGACCTTACTATGATCCAGACACCTTCGACGGCGATTATCTAGTTATCTATCGTCCAGGCACTGGTGTTCTCTACGAGAATGGAAAAACCATTTCAGAGACCTTATCTTCAAAGTTGATCAATCATTCTACTGGTGGTTTAGGTATTCGATCTGCCGGTTTAGTTAAGAAGAGCTTAGCCAAATCTTCTTCGGGGTATGGTTTGATGTCCAATTCCAGCGCTTATAGCAACAACAATACTCATAGCAATATATTTGGGAATAATTTGATTCGAAACCTTTATCATGATTTAGAATTACATGATTTATTTGATCTAAATAACTTTAAAGATATTTTCAAGAACATCTTGAATTCTTTGTTTAAAAATTATCTAAAAATTTGTATTTCGCAACCTTTTGAAGTTGTTCGATTATTGCTACAAATTGGTTATTTTCACACAAGTCAATTTAATGATAGCAGGCTATCCCCATTTGAGAGACAGCAAAAAAAATTAAACCAAACTCATAAGGACAAAAATGATTTAAGCATTGATTCGAATAATAATCTAAATAACAGTATTTATGCCAATTCCGATAGAGAAGATGAAATGGACTATTTTTTTTCCAACACAACAAATCCTTACCAGTATAATAATAGTAGCAATAATAATAATAAAAACAAAATTGCAAAAAATTTAAATAATGATAATGAAACCGACGATCATAAGACAAATGATATAGATGGTGTGAATAATATAAATGATTCTAGTAATGATGATAGCAATTATGATTTAAAACCTAAAAATAAAAACCATTTACAACCTTTGTCGTTGAATACGATTGATATAATGTCATCAATATTATCGTTTGAAGGAACTAGAGGATTGTGGAGAGCGACTAATAGCACTTTTTTATACAATACGTTATTTACGTTTTTAGAAGCATGGTTATCAGGATTCTTGTCACCGTTTTTGAATATTCCTGATCCATTTTTCATTGATGCAACTCAGTCTCCCTCTCCTTTGAATACATTTTTGTTATCATTATTTGTATCGGTATCTACCTCGTTTATCTTATCTCCATTGGATTTAATTAAGACTAAGTTTATTATAACATCAATAAATAATTCTAATCGAAATTTTAAGAACATTATATCATATCAGTTTAGTTCGATAATTTCATCATCATCAAATTCCGAGGATAGTTTTAAAATACTTAATTTAATCAAGTTGGTCAAGTTTTTCTTACCACCATTAACATTAGTTTTACCGATTTTTTTGAATTCGTTTACGAGCAATTTTTTAAAGAAATTTACACCATATTTTTTATTTATCAAGTTTGGTATAGACAATTATAATTCGCCTATATTATTTGAAATGTTGAATTTATTATCAGAGATTGTTGAATTGTTTATTAAATTGCCATTTGAGACGTTATTACGAAGAAGTCAAGTTAGCTATTTGATTAATTATAAAGGCGAAGAGTTTGAGCATAGGAAGAAAAGGAAAAATAGAAGGACAAATGAGTATAGATATTATAACGATGAAGTTATAAAAATTAAAGAGGACAGTGATGATAGTGATGAGGATAATAAAACAAAGAGAAAGAGGAAGAACAACAATAGTGAGAGAAAGAGTCAAAAGAAACTTGAGGAAAATTCATTAAAGGTTGATGAGAATACAATGATCGTGAAGTTTGCGGGATATAATGGAATATTCAAGACATTATTCGATATTTATTATTTGAGAGATAATGAAAACAATGGATTTGATGGGCTCTGCAGAGGATGGAGAATTGGGTTATTGAAGATCTTTGCAGGATGGGGATTTCGAATGAGCAATAATCCTGAGCTGAGTTTTGTCGAAGAGAAGTTTTGAGTACCGGTATAGATAGTTTATAGATATAAGATTATATATGTATATAAGTATAATTATAAGTATAAGTATAAGTATATAAGTGTATAGGATTATAGTTTCAAGTTATTGTTCGTATTTTTTAGTGTCATTATGATTATTGTTGGTTGCTGTTATTGTTATTGTTATTGATTTCGAGATCTTTTTGAATTAGAAATTCGCCTAAAACTTTTAGTGGATTGTTTGGTTTTTCATGAGCTATTATTCGTAGGCCTTGTAGTAGATATGGGGTTATGTTGCTATTTAGGTATTGTCTTACAGGAGCACCATTAGTTATCTTTGAAGGATTGGCTAATTTTTCAGGAGGGATATTTGGGATGATTGTTGAGATTTTGACGTTATTTTGGATTGATTTGAAGGGGGTTTTGGGTAAAGAAAGCAAGTTTTTGTTGTCACTTTGTTTAGTTGTGAGGTCCGAGGAGAGATTTTGAGATTCTGAGTTTACGTTGTTGTCTTCTTCGATGTTCATTTTGTACAAGTGAGAATGTGATAGAATTGATAGGATGGGATAGAGATAGAGATAGAGATAGAGATAGATAGAGAATTGGACATTGGAATATTGGGATATAAGGTTTTGAGAGAGGTGTGATTAGCACGGAGAGAGAGAAAGAGAAGAGGATGGTGATTTTATTAAAGTGGAGATTAGGGTATATTGTATTGAGAATATAAGTATAGAGAAGATAGACAGGTGTATATAGATGGATCCATTCAATGAGGTTAAAGAGGATGCTATAGTTCAGATTAAGAATTTGAGGGAGTTTGTTCGAGTGAACAAGAGTAAAAATGAGAGTAGGAGTAGGAGTAGGAGTAATGAGGAGGAGTTTCGGAATGAGTTTGGTGAGTTGAAAGAGACGATAGAGGATTTGAAGGAGAGTGTTGATAATTGCAAGAGAAATCCATTGGTGTTTGGAATAAGCGAGGAAGATATTCAGAAGCGAGAGGAGATAATCAGGAAGTTGAGCAAAGACTGCGATAATATTAAGGCCACATATTATGGTAGTAGTGGGAATGGAAATGGAAATGGAAATGAGTATAAAGATTACAATGGTGATAATGGTGATAATGGTGATAATAATAACGATAATAATGATAATGGAGATTACAATTTATATCGAGAGGAACAAATAAGCCGAATAATTGAGGAACAAGATTATCACTTGGATTCTATATATGATTCTATGGTGAATATCAACGGACAAGCAAGATTAATGGGGGAAGAGTTGAATGAGCAAGAGATATTATTGGAGGAAGTTTCAGGGAATATTGAACGAGTTGATGGAAAGTTGAAAAAGGGAATGAAAAGGATCAATTACATATTGAAGAACGACCGAGATAGGTTGAGCGATTGTTGCATAGGATTGTTGATTGCGGTTTTGATAATATTGTTGGTATTGCTTATAATACTTTGAGAGATTTTAAAGAGGAAAAGAAGTAGGACGAAAATGGACGAGAATAAGCGCAAAAAGATTACGAAAAACTATAAAAGGGGAAATACCAATAACGAACGAAATAAATAAAATAAAAAGAAATATAGATTAGAGATGAAAAAAGAAACAAAAGCTCAAGCTAAGTGTAGAGAAAAAAAAAATATATATATAAAGATCCAAAAAGATAACATAAAGTAAGAAAAAAGATTAATTGAAAAATTAATTATTAAAGATTATAAGATACCAAAGACCAGATCCAATAAGATGAGATAAAATGGACAGAATATTACTTTAAAAGGAGATTGAGAAAAGGAATATTTTAGCAGGAAACAAAATACGATAGAAAAACCGAGAAAGTGGACCCAACAGCAGCTAGAGATGGGAGAGAGCTATCATAACGCAGCGGATAACACAAAAGTGACACCAAAAAAGGCAGCCAAGATGGTGTAGACTTTCAAGATGGAGCCATCAGCATTGAAAGGGTGGACTAAGTAGGCACCAGACTCAGAGGAGGATGAAGCAGTGTCGTTGAGGGTGTCATTGGCACTGTCTAAAACAGCGGTGACATAGACAATTTCGACATCGGCAGAAGAACTCATTGTGAAAGAAGCAGCAATTGGGAGAGAATAGGGAGCAGAGACAGCAGAGAAAGCACTTGGAATAACAGCGAAAGCAGAGGATACAGAGGATACAATTGCAAAGACACCACAATCAGCGAGAGCAGAGGCAGACCCTTTATATACCTCTCTGCTGCTTTTGTGGTGTCGCTGCTCCTGAAACGACGGTTCCTTTCCGCGTAACCACAGCGCCCGCACATGAAACTCGTTCTCCCATTGGCCGTGTGCCGGCGGCTGACGCGTGTAAGCCCTGACTCAGCACCACGTGGAATCCCGCTCTCGCAGGGTACGTCTACGCGCATCGCTGCATGCTGTGGCGGACTCAGGCACGCTTCTGCGCATAACATAAGGCTGCGGCCGTGGTAAGAAGTGGTGTGTTTTTGCTGCAGGTTTGCCGCACCACGCAGCTGATCTTTGTCCGCAGTGCGATTGACTCGCGCCGAGCTGCATTTGCGAGCCAGCGCAAGGAAACAGCTTTGGCTGCTACTTCTGGGAATGGACGCTGTCCGCTTTGGACCTCGCTCGCGTGTCCACGCGGCGCCGCGCTGGATGCTTACCTAATATCCAGCCAGCGGCCCTGCCAAGCACGGCACCACAGGCTTGCTCTGTTTTCTGTGCCGCTTAAGACCCCTGCAGAAACAAAGATGAGCCGGCGTTTTGTCAGCACAATCGCGCGCTCCCCTCCGAGCGGACTACACGCGGTGCGGTCGGCGGAGGAAGGAGCGAAAGAGGAAAGCGCCAACGCTGGGATCGGCAGCTGGTGTGCAGCGAACTGTATCGGTGTATTAACAGTGAAGTGTATCAGCTGGATGGTACAAACTACAAATTCAATTCAACTATCGATCCTCACTTAATCGAAATCAAAGCGATCAGCATCAAAGTAACCATTGATCACATCCAATTCTATCCTCCTCCTCTATCGCCTTTATTGCCTGTATTACCACTCCAGCTCACTCTTGGTCCTCCCTCTTTTGCTCGAACTGCTTTTGTCAATTTATTGCAATTATTAAGCACAGCATTTATCACTTACCACTTACGAAGATTCCTTTCCAGATTGTTGTGTAATATTTATTAATATTTATTAATATTTAGTATTTAGTATTTGTTATTTGTTATTTGTTATTTGTTATTTATTATTTATTATTTATTATTTATTATTTACTATTTACAATACCACTAACCACCTCTCAATAGTCGTTTTATTTCAAATAAAATACTCGATTTTTTTCGCTTCTTTTCCTTTCTTTTCTTTTTCTCTCTCCCTCTCTTTTTTTTTCTCCCATCTTGTTAACCTCGTTATCTTCTTATATATCTTTCCATCTCTATTAGCGCCTAATTTAACTCTCTCCCATCCATAATATCCTCATACTCCAACTATTTCATCCCTTATCATCAACCTCCAGTCCTCACTTCACACTCAACCACCACACTATGACTGAATTCCTAAAATATTCCTCTATTCCCTCCGGCAAACACAAGGGTAAACACCATATCATAATCGTCGGCGCAGGAATCGTTGGTGTCTCAACTGCCTACTATCTAACCCAACACTCCTTGTTTGACCCAAACACACACTTTGTCACCATTATCGAAAGCAAAAGAGTAGCTGGTGGTGCTAGTGGTAAAGCCGGCGGTTTATTGGCCCTATGGGCCTTTCCCCAACAAATTGTTCCCTTATCCTTCCAGCTACATCAGGAACTAAGCAACAAATATAATGGCGAAAAAGAATGGGACTACAGAAGATTAACCACAATCTCTCTCGAAGGCAACATAATCAAATATTTGAAAAGAGATCACGACTACCATAATAGCGACGATTCTAACGACGATAACGACGATAACGACGACGACACCTCTGACCTTTCTCTAAATATCATTGCCGCCGACACTGACTCATCCTCCACCAATTCCAATAACATAAATAATAATAATAATAATAATAATAATAATAATAATAATAATAACAACAACAACAACATACCCATTGTTGATCACAATTACAACTCCTTGTCTGACGATAACTCAATATATTCAACAGATCACAACGACACTCGTCTCTACTCCTCAGAAACCGACACCCTCAACACCTCTCCTTCAATCTCTACAAATTACATCAACCCTCCCAACAACAATGACTCTGACTCTGACAACGACAACTCTGACAACATCTCATCGGACCAAAATGTAGCTTCAAGAACAAGAAGCAAAAAAAATACTGTCAAAAAGAACTCAATCGAAAACAAATCCGACGCACAATCCTCTTCCCACCTACCAACAAATTTAAACTGGATAAAACAAAACATCATAGAAGACTGGTCCTCCCTAGGTGGAACTGACTCAACCGCCCAAGTCCATCCCTACAAATTCACAAACTTCATATTGAAAAAGGCCATAGAAACTGGCGCTGTCGAACTACTCATAGGTAAAGTAGACGAAATCCTCTTCTCAATCGAAACTGGTGAAGCTGACGGTGTCTCCTTCAAACCTTCCTCTGCCCAAGCTGAATTCAACCAAGATAACCAACCTATCTCCCTCTACGGTCACCAAATCGTTCTAGCTGTTGGCCCCTGGACCTCAAAGATTCTACCCGATTGCCCAATATCTGGTCTAAGAGCTCACTCAATAACAATCGCTCCCAACAGTGGCATGGTCTCCCCCTACGCCATCTTCACTGAACTAAAAATCGGCAAAAACAAATATGTCTCCCCAGAAATGTACGCAAGAAAAGATGAAGTCTACGTTTGTGGTGAAGGCGACACCCTAGTAGACGTTCCCGAAACAACTGATGATGTTGAAGTCGTTAGAGAAAAATGCGACCTACTCTTCCATTACGTTGGAAAATTATCCCCAAATCTACAAAAAGGCCATGTATTAAAAAGACAAGCTTGTTATCTCCCAGTACTAGACGTTCCTTCCTCCTCAGGCCCCCTAATAGGCGAAACTAATGTCCCAAACCTATACCTAGCATCTGGCCACTCGTGTTGGGGCATCAATAACGCCCCCGCCACTGGTAAAGTAATGTCTGAATTATTACTAGAAAATGAAGCTAAAAGTGCTGATATATCTGCTCTAGATCCAAGTCTTTATTTCGATGCAAGTGTATTCGATTATTAACATTTTGATACTATCTACTTAAAATATTCTCCAACTAAAATAATGATATCCATAATAAATAATGGCAACAATTAACAAGAAAATGAAAAAATAAATATCACTCAATATTATATCTATTTTCTTTTCACTCTTTGTTAATCCTCTTGAATTTCATTCTATAATCAATAAGCGTCTTTATTAATCACTTCATACTGACTTTATCTTTCATCCCTCTTCTCTTCATCTTATTGATACCATCACTTCATCACAAACAACTAAAATTAATACTCTTATCTCAAATTCCTATTTCACTATTAATTTATTAATTTATTAATTTATTAATCTATTAATTTTGTTAATTTTGTTAATTTTTTTTTTTCTTTTTATCATTTTACCGTCGTTCTTGTTGTTATTTCCGTTGTTACTGTTTTATTATTTTTTTTCCTTCATTACTATTATTACTATTATAATTAGAGTTATTATTAGCATATTCATGATAAAATAGAATGGAATAAAAGTTTTCAAAAAAAAACTATTAAATTAACAAAAAATTATTAAAAAACTAAACATAAAAATTTTAAAAGACTTGTTCTTGAAGAGTCATAATGCTATTTCATATTTCCTTTTCTTTGGCGTTTTCCTTTAATGTTCAAAATATATTGAACTTGAAATTTGTTTTCTTCTCAAAAAAAAAAAAATTAATAAAACTAAAAATGAAAAGAGGAAAAAAAATTAAAAAATACAAATATTTGCAATAGAGATAGAAATATAAATATAAAAATAAAAACAACTTAGAAATAAAAATCCTTGTGAATTATGAGATAAATAGGTATTAAATTAATTTCAATCAAAAAATACTGAACAAATAACTACTTAAACAATTAAAAGTGAGTTTTTTAAAAGATTTAGACTAAGAAAGAAATTGAAATTAATAATACTTCATTTTTTTTTGATGCTTGTTTAGATTTAATGGAAGTTTGATTAATTTGTGTATTAATCTCTTAGTCATAAATCTTTTTCCATCTAAGTTTATATTTATTGTTAAAAATATGCCAACTTATCTTTTTGTATTTTCTTCATTATTTATCTTTTTTTCTTTCCAAAAATTTAATGGTTTTTTTATTTTGGTTTTTCATTATTGTTTTCATGCTTTTTTTGATCAATTCTTTTTCAATTTACTTTTTTTAAAAAATTTTGTTATTGATTTCTTTTTTTTAAAAAAAATTGCTAATATATTATACATATATTGTATTTTATTTTATTTTATTTTATTCTATTTTATCTTATCTTTTCTTTTATTATTTTACCTTATCTTACCCTATTCCTTTTTATTTAATTTCTATGGTTGAATGTCTCTTTTCAGTTTAATTTTTCACTGACAAGAATTTTATTTGATAATTTTTTGTCTATTATCTTCTAATAGTATTGCTAGTAATCTTGTAGCACTAGTTTCTATATCAAGTTTTAATATCAAATTATTCATTGGTTTTTGGGTTTTTTATCACTTATAACATTAATTTAAATACATCTTACAATGTTTGTCCATACTCCATCCATGTCAATTGTTTTACGATTTTTGTATCTTTATACTAATATTAATCTATTGACATTATATTATATTATACTATATTATACTATATTACTGATCCAATAACAATCGAATATGTATTTATTCGTTTACCTTTAAAATTAAAACACTGAATTAACTAAAGGATCCACATTTTTTTTCAATTATTCTTTCTGCAAGGTTTGAAGTGACTTGAATAAAAATTAAATAAAAATTGAACTTCACTGAAAACTACTTATAAAAATTAAAAAAAACCAAAAATAAAGTTTGCAAAAAAAACAATGGACAAAAAAAAGATAAGATATAAAAAATAACTAAAAAAAATCCAACTATAAAAAAAATGATGATTCTAGAATGCATTCAACGATAAAAAATCTTAAGTTTTTTCAAATAAAACAATCAATATAATAAAGCAGAATAATAAAATAGATTTGAAAAACAAAAAAGTGATTGAAAAAAATCAAAAAAACATATGTGAAATGATAAGTAGAGAAAACTGTGGATAACGAAGAAAAAATAAAAATAAAAGTGAAACCATTAAAAGTAATGATGAGTAGAAATAAAACTTAAAATAAAACAAAAATGAGAAATTGGTTATAATTTATGAACACAGTTTTAATATGATTAGTATAATACAAAAATATAAGAGCACGTCTTTATCGATTAATAGCAGCAGCAGCTGCTGCTGCTGCTGCTGCTGCAGATTCATTTTTTCTGGCAATTTTGGATGATTGTGTGATTATTCCATTGGCATCAAAAGAGGTTGTTTTACTTTTTGTAGAATATTGTGGTCGAATTGGTTGAGAAACTGGTTTTGCTTTTAACGAAATAGATGTAGAATTATTGTTATTTTTCTTGTTTTGGTTTTGATCACTTGGTGAAATAACAGTGGAAGATCCAAAAGATTCAACTTTTTTAGATGGAATAACAGGCTTTGAATCAGTACCCAAACCATTTGAGAGAGTTTTAGATGTGGATCTTTGCTTGAGGGTTTTTTTTCTTCTTGGCTTTAACAATTCCTTAGCTTTCAAGAGACAATTGATCCAGGTGAGTTTTCTATTTATCACAAAATTGATATCACCAAGAGAATCTGCTTTTGAGGATGGGAGTGATGGAGAAATGAAAACCAATCTTTTTGAATCCAATAGCTCTAATAATAAATACCCACTGTTATCTTTCTCATTAAATTCATAATCATACATAGAAATTTTGCTACTTGTAAGCTTTATTTCAAGAAAATTGTCAAATTTGAGAAAGGATTGCAGGGTCGAAATAGATTTATTTTCAGCTGTAAAATTTATAATAAATAATTTCCCAAAAGTTGTGATAAACAACAACTTTCTGTTTGAGCGACTGTTAAGTTTTGAAATATTCTTTTCAATAATATGATTAACCGTATTGTCATTTAAATCTATCCTAGATGTATCTTTATTGATTAGCTGTTCACCAGCTTTTTCAATATCTTTATATGTTAGCTCACTAACAATAATAATATCAAGTTTGATAATTTTTTCTTCGTTGGAAAGCAGAGAAGTGATTTCTTTTGGTAAATTATCAGGATTGTTGCTCTCCATAACAGACTGATTATAATTGTATACAAATCTATTAAAATTACCAATACTGCTCATTGACTTGGTACCATCGCCATTAGATGAAGATGGAGTTGAATTTTTTTTGCTTGAGATATTTGGCAATGATGGCCTTGTTGATAAAACAAAATTTGAACCAGGTTGAGGCAGAACAACCTTTTTATGAAATAAAGGATCAATCGAAGATGAGATCTTTGTATTAATAATTCTTGGTTTCTCACTATTTTTATTGTCCAGGATCTTATAATTTGCCATTTTATAGTTAAGAGAGTTGAAATCAGAATTCAGAACTAGTTCCAGATCCCTTCTATTTTCAAAGAAAAAATCTGAATCTGAATTTTGAGAATCATTATTTTCTTTAACATTGTTTGAATTAATTTCTTGGTTTAAGGCTTGTTGTCTAATAGAAGCATAAGGATGCACTTTTTTCTCCTGGTTTGAAGTCTCATCAGAAATCATAAACGAAGAATTATTTGAACTTTTTTGATTGATATAATTCATCCTATCTTGCATTGTAAACGCATGAGGATGAAATTCTTGATTTGAAAAGCTTTTTCCACTGTCGGACAAATTTTTTTGGCTTTTGGAAGGAGAAAAATCAAAGCTATTATCAAAAGAATTTTTTGAAGTACCATCCAAACCATTAACTGAAGGATTATTGGGAGGACTGGACCCTGAGACTTGATATTTTGAAGAATCAGCGGAAAAATATGTTGGAACGTTTGGTTTTTTATGACCATCAGTGATATTGGTAACTGATTCCTTTTGTGACTGAAATCCAATATTCAGAGTTTTACGAACCAACGGTTGGTTATTGGTATTATATTTTTCGTTTGACAGATTAATTTGCGGGATCAGTGGAGACTTTTGAAATGTATTTGAATAAACTTGAGACTGATTTGAAATGAATTGTGGTGCAGTATGCTGAAAATTAATAGGCAGCGAAGTAAAGGCAGTCTTATTTTTTTCATTATAACCAGTATTGTAGTTTTTGTTTGATGAATTTGGAGCAGTATTTTGACGATATAAAGGTTTTGTATTTTGAGCGTAATTAGCCGGATCATTTGTTATTTGAGAATCAACTTTGATCTGAGATTGAGATTGAGAACGAGGATGGTAATCATGTTTGGGTTTAAGCTGGGAAGTTGATTGAGATTGGGAAAGGGAACGAGGTAGATATTTTTTTTGAGCTACAGGTTGGTTTGATTGGAATTGATTATTAGGATTGTTATTAGAAATAGTAAAGTCTTGTAATGGCTGATTTTGATGATTTTGGTTTGAAAAAATTTGAGTTTGGCTAGGGTGACGAGAAATTGGTTTTTGTGACAGAGAATTGTTGAAATGGTTATTAAATTTATCTTGAAACATATTAATCGGTTCAATATTGGAATGGTATTGATTATCTTCATATGAAGAGTTTATGTTTGAGTTTTGTTTTTGTAAATCATAACCATTTAAGTGAGCATAAGATGATTGTTTTCTATGAATAGGGTTTTGAACCGAATTATGAGGTTGTAATTGTTGTTGTTGTTGTTGTTGTTGTTGTTGTTGTTGTTGATATTGATTTTGGTTCTGATTTTGATTTTGATTTTGAAGAGGAAATTGGGTTATAGGTTGATATTGATTTCTATTTTGATAGAAAGGTGGACCATGGTTTGGAGATTGATTTGGATTTGGATTTGGATTTGAATAATAATTCTGTTGTTGGTATTGATATTGATACTGATTTGGGGACTGAGATTGGGATTGGATTGGATTTTGAGGGTAGTTTTGGAAATTATTAACTTGAGTGAAAGAAGGCTGTTTATGATGAATTTTTGGCATTGACTGCATTGATTGCATTGATTGCATTTGTGGGGTGGTTTGTAATGGATTTTTAATATTATTTTTCATATTATTGTGAGGTATATCTTTTGTGATGTCATTTGTGTGGTAGTTATAAATTGGAGAAATTGAGTTTTGATTAATTAGTATTGGGCTGGATTTGTCGTTTACATTGTTTAAATTAGTATTAATTTTAATGGAAGTCTTATGATTAAGTTGAGGATTATTAATGTTTAGATTGGTTGAAGAATAGGAGTTTTTTTGGGAAATTCTTGTAGGAGAATGGTTTGAGTTTAGTAGTGGTGTAGAAATTGGTGATTTTTTTGAGTTGGGTATTGGTAATAGATTTGATGAGTTGGGGGCACTTTTCTGAGCTGATGAAGTAACATTTGGAGAAGGTGAGGGTATAAAGAAATTTGAGTTTGGTAGGTATGTGTTGTTGATAATGTCTAAAGTTGATTTATTGTTGTTTAAAGGTTTTCTTTTAACGATTCGAACTGAATTTTGAATAGATTTTGAAGGAATTTGGGTTATATCTAAGGTTGGCATTTTTAGAGGTTTATTGATAAAGGCCGAGTTGTTGTTGTTGTTGATGTTGAAGTTATTATTTTTATAATTAGAGACGACATTGAGATTGTGATATAGAGTGTATAGTCTTGGGTTATAGGGTTCTAGTTTGGGAGGATTTCTGTTCCATATTGAATTGAAATCGTTCCAGTTGGTGTCATTGAAGAAGTAGTGTTTTCTCAAGTTTGATAGAGATATTCTTTGTTTTGGATTTGGGGTTAGTAGGTTTGCTATTAAGTTTTTGAAGTAATCTGGGATGTAATAGTTTGGAAAAGTGTAGTCCAAGTTGATAATTTTCTGAAATGTTAGGAATTCAGTTTGGGCTTTGAAGGGAGGATTACCAGTTATGAATTGGAACAAGATGCAGCCAATTGCCCATATATCAGATTCAAAACCACATTGGTTGTATTGTAGTAGTTCTGGCGACACATATTCAGCAGTTCCAACAAAGGAAGCTCTCCTTTCGATGTTGTTGATGTTGTTGATGTTGGTTGAGGTATTGATGGTATTTTGGTTCGTTGAGTAATCAGAATTTTTGATTGAATTTTTATCCAAGATTTTAGCAGCGCCAAAATCAGTAAGCATTAATTTCATGTCGTGGTTGAGAAGAATGTTTTCGGGTTTTAAATCTCTGTGGATTATGCCCTTTGAATGCATGTATTTTATGACGTCGATTAGCTGGACAAGGTAGTATTTTATGGCAAATTCGTTAAGAGATCCTAGTTTTCTTATGAGGGAGAGAAGCTCACCAAACTCAGCAAAATCTAGCACAAAGTATAGAAAGGACTCATCATGAAAGGCAAAGTGTAGAGTGACGATACCTGGGTGTTTGCCTAGTTTGTTTAGGGTTTTCTTTTCTATATCAACGTATTTAATTTTCTTTTCATTGACAATGTGATTCTTTGATAGGATTTTGATGGCATATAGTTTTTTTGTGTGGATGTCTATGGCTTTATAGACAGTGGAATACGAGCCTTGACCAATAGAACCACTGAATTGAAAGTCTTTAACAGACTTTTTGATAGGGAATTGGTTGTTATTGCTGTTGTTGTTTGACATCTTTTTTGTTTCTTCTTTTGTTTCTTCTTTTGCTTGTTTATTGTAATTGAAATGGAATTCTTAATCAAAGAAGGAAAAAACAGAAGGAATAAAGGAATGAATCAAGAAAAAGAAAGAAAAAAAAAGAGAAAAAAAAGGGAGAAAAATTATGAATACTTATATTATTACTATTATTATTATTATTTAAATTAGTTAGAATTAAAGAGAAATTATGACTTTGGAATAGAACGAGGGATCAGGAGTTATAAAATTCACGTTTTTGGGTATTGAAGTTGAGATAAGAAAATTTGAATTGTGAGATGTCGATTGTAGGATAGGAATTATGAGTTATGGAGTGTAGAATTGTAGAATTGTAGGATATGATATAATATGAAGGTTGGAGAAAAGTGAATATAAGAAATCTGGATATACAGAAATGAGTATTGATATTAGTGAGGTAAAATTGGTGGATCTGGTAATGATTGTGGATATGGTATAAATTATTTGTTTAATAGGATAATGGGAACAAAAATAGGCAAGATATTAGGACAGTGAGATAAGTAGGAACTTAAGCTCAAGAACTCAAGAACTCAAGAAAGTAGGAAAATAGAAAATATGAAAATATAAAAGTATGAAGTTATGAAATTGGAGAACCAGTTGATCAAATCAATATTTATGGATAGACAAATGAGTTCAGATTATGGATTGTGGACTGGAGATTATAAACAGAGATAAACAAACCAGTGTGAGAAGAGCAAGCAGATGGAGATGCAAGAAGATGAAAAAGGGCTCAAGAAACTGCTTCGGGCTCTTTTCCTGGAGTTGCTGAAAAAGAGAAGCTCTTTCACCCCAGGGAGAAGAAGCAGAGGAAGCAGAAGAAGCAGAAGAAGCACAGGCAGCTGGAAACTCAAGGCAACGCGCTCCAACGCAAGAAACAGCAAGGGACAGTGGGTAAGTGGGCAGTCCCTGAGCACTGGTTCGTGCCTCTGCTGCTTTTGCTGCGCGTTCCTCCTCTGCTTCCTCTGCTGCACGCTGTTACGTTTTTGCAGGGGCTACTCACACAGCTACTATCACGCAAGCAGTCTCTCCCGATCGGCTTAGGGACGGGCACGGCTTTTAGAAGCCTCTGTGGTGGTGCGCCTGCTGCTCCTGCTGCTTCTGCTGGCTTTGAAGACATTCAAGCAGGCGCAGAACTACACAGTATGCACCGGTTTTGCTTTTTGCACCCATCTCGACAGCCTATTCATTGCCAAAGTCAATATTTCCATTCCTGCTCATTAGACCATCATTTCCACCATCCTTTTATTTGTAATTGCAAATTTGGCTTGGTTTTTAAATTTTCTCATTTTTCATTTTTTGTAACATTCCTCAAATCTTTGTCAAATACTTGAAATTGGTTTATTGATCTCAAATAACTTACTTATTACTCAACTGGTCCATATTCAGAAAACATGACAGTAGTGTTCAATCTCTAGTCCTGTTCTGTTAATTCTTCCGGCATTTTGAGTTTGTCTACAGCTTCTACATTCTTCAGCCCTCCTTCACCAATTCAAAATCATCTCAATTCCATCAACTGGTTTTCATACGCCTGATCACGAAAAACTGGATCAGACCTATCAACAACTGAGTTTCATGTCCGTTTTCACCTCTATTCACAATCACATATCCCAATTACCTCTTACCAGCTCAGCTATCCTTCCGACGTCTGTTTTGATCAATCCTTAAAACCCAAATCAAAATTAGTTCAGGCAAAAGCCTAACAAAATTCCTGCATATGCACACACAGCATCGCATGTTCTTTTTTGGCAGTTTTGTTTGTTTGTGTGTTACCCTCTTGATGGAAGGCTAACGCAAGTCTGATGCAATCGTGCTTTTGTTCATTTTTCCTACTGATGTCGTTCATATTGTCGATAATGTGCTGAAAAAAATGTAATATTAAACTAACCATCACATATTGTGAATATAAAAACATACTGAATAGGGACACTTCTTTCTTTCTCTATAGATACACGACTTTGTTAAATACCGAGATGGAAAAATCTTTTTAGGACAGAGCTCTTTTTCACTATGGGCATAATTGCAGTTAACTCCATACTTGCATTTGCTATTTTCAATCACTGATCTACATAACTGTGTTCGATACAAGTAATTTCGTTTTTTGGCTTTAGAGTAATAATCATTCCAATTTTCTTTGTCTCTTCCATATCTTCTCTCATTTTCATCATTTTTATCTTTTTCATCTTTTCCATCTTTTCCATCTTTTCTATCTTTTCCATCTCTTCTATCTTTTTCATCCTGTTCATCTTTTCTATCCTGATTATCCTGATTATTTTGTTTATCTCGTTTATTGTTCTCTCTTATTGATAAATCACAGATTAATCTCAACAATTTTTGATAATTTTTGATAACTCTTTCATTCATCGGACATGACAACAACTTATTGTGCAATATACTATAATGCTTCTGTGCACAAATCAGATTGCATCCATTACAATTATTATAATAACAAATTTTAGCCGACTTCCAAACACTTTTAATTATTCTTTCATTAATACCATTAATTGTCTTATTAGTCCTCTTGATCTCTTCATTTGTATGATCTATACATTCAATTTTATTCAATTGTTTTAGTGGTTCATTTTCAAATCTATAAATGGATTTCTTATCACTATTAGTAGTTTCCGATTGACTAAAGTCAAAATTATAATAAATAGTCATTATATTCAATTTCATAAACAACTCTAAATTAAAATAGATCAAAATAAATTAATCATAAGCACTTAGATACTTGGACATATTAATTTCTTTAGATTATATACTATATCAACAATTTCCTTATCCTACTTTCTAAAACTCATCATTGTGTTAAACTATTTCTACAATTGTCTCAAATAAAGAAATACATACATACACATATACTACTTTGAAATTTGAAATTTGAAATTTGAAATCTAAAATCTACAATTAAATACATTCTTATCCAAAGAACAAAAATAATAATCCAATCGTAATCGCTTTTCTTAAAACAGTTTCTTTAAACACAGCATGCATATCCATGCAATTGGCAATATACTTACGCATCCATGCATCAACATCAAATGTGTCAAATTATAAAACTCTTCAAATTATAAAACTCTTCATATTTTCTTTCATTCACTATACAATCTAAAATCACATTTAATCACATTAATAGTTCAATCTACTCTCCTTGTTTTCTTTGTTTTAAAGCTCACCTTCAATCACAAACACCACCCATCAGACTCTGATCCCAATCATTTTCATCCTTGAGTAACCAAGCAAAATAATCACTATAAAAATTAGAAAAACCATTAAATCTCTGTAAACAAGGAATAGAATAAAGATCTAAAGGCCTTCTGAATCAGCCAATAAGAAAGACAAATTGCATTGAATCCACCTCATCGGATTCCAAACTAGTTTTAAACCACCCTAACGGATGCAATGCACGCAAAACTCCGAGCCAATCTCATCTCTCTTCTTCAGCTCTTTTGTTTGTGCTACTGATTCTTGATATTCTTTCTTTGCTATTCAATAATTAAATTAAAATGGAAAAGACAATTAACAAATACATTCCACTTCTTGATAGAATTAAATCGTCAAAGATAATCAACAGTCTTACCTTTGACCATGATTTCTTTGTGCCATCTCCGCCTTTTCATTTAATTCCTGAAGAGTTAAAATTAAATAATTTCGGTTCAAAAGTACCCAATCCAACGATCAATAGCGATTCAATTAATACCAATTTTAATAATGAATTATTTTTACATCGTCCAAGAAACCTTGCCGGCTGTTTTAGCTATTCATTGCCAGAAGTTAGAAAAGATTATAAATACCTAATCTCTTCTAAAAATGCTTTAAACGACTTGAATTTAAATTTAGATTACGAACTAAATAAAGATGAAAATACATTTTTTAAAGAAATTGTATCGGGGCAGAAAGTTTTTTTTAAACATTCTGATTCAAAAACAAATAGCAATGAAAATTTCCCATATTCATTAAACTATGCTGGTTATCAATTTGGTACTTTTGCAGGTCAATTAGGAGATGGAAGAGTTGTTAATTTGTTTGACTTAAATAACGGCAAAAATGATTATATTCTTCAATTGAAAGGCAGTGGGAAAACTCCATTTTCTAGGTTTGCGGATGGTAAAGCAGTTTTAAGATCAAGTATTCGAGAATTTTTCATATCTGAGTACTTGAATGCTATTGGGATTCCATCTACCAGAGCATTATCGTTAACATATTTACCCAAGACATATGCTCAAAGAATTGGAGCAGAAAAATGTGCGGTTGTAACTAGATTTGCAGAATCTTGGTTAAGAGTTGGGAATTTTGATTTATTAAACTGGCGAAGTGATCGCAAGGGCCTTTTAAATTTATCGAATTTTATAATTGAAAATCATTTTCCTTATTTAGTTGATGGAGAAAAGGAGAGTAAGTCGAATTTTAATAAGGAATATTTGGATAAATATTCGATAAAGATAAAGGATGTTAGTAAATATGATGAAATGTATTTAGAGATTGTTAAGAGAAATGCAAAGACTACGGCACTATCACAAGTTTATGGTTATCTTAATGGAGTATTGAATACGGATAATACATCAATTCTTGGATTGGCGATGGATTTTGGACCATTTGCTATGATGGATAAATTTAATCCTGATTTTTCACCAAACCATGATGATGTTAATTTAAGGTATGGGTATAATGAGACACCATCTACTATTTGGTGGAATTTAACTAAATTGGGAGAAGATTTAATTGATCTAATTGGATTTGATAGAGAGATGGTGATAAGCCAAGAATTTGTGGATAAAATTGAGGAAAAAATTGATTTTAACGAAGAGAAACACTTGAATATTATCAAAAGAGCGAGCAAGGTTATCAATATATGTGAAGAAGAGTACCAAGATTGCTTTATGGAAACGTATACTCAAGCATTTAGAGATAGATTAGGGTTATTGAAAGCAATGGAAGAAGATGAGAAAAAAGTGATTTCGCCAATGTTGACAATGCTTTTAAAGACTGAATTGAATTATAATCGTTTTTTCTACAATTTATCATATTTAAATTTTTTCTCAAATAATAATGATGGCGAGAATAAGTTCAACGAACTAGCTAAATCATTACTACCCAATGGGTTTGAACATTCAAAAGACATGAGTAAAGAAGGGATTATTAAATTGATTTCTGAATGGTTAAAAGTCTTTTATGAGAGACTAAAATTAGAGAATAGCATTGATGGGGACAGGCTTCGTGCTAGTCAAAAGTATAATCCAGCTTTTGTGCCTTCAAATTGGATCTTCGAAGAGGTGATCAGCAAATGCAAAGAAGATAATTGCGAGGGAGAATCTCTTGAATGGTTGGAAAAGTTTAGTTTGATGTGCTGTAATCCGTTCAGTAGAAGAGACTCTAGAACAGATCAGTGGGGAAATGGATTCAAAGAATTGGAAGACAGATGGTGTTGGGATCAGGAAAGGAATATTGACTACTCCAAATTGCAATTGCAATGCAGTTGTTCAAGCTGAGTTCTTTATGATAAACATATATAGCATATATTCATTTTATTGAAGAAAATAAAGTTATTTTGATTGAAGACGCAGAAATTGCTCTGAACAAGCACTGGAGGGGGAGGCTCGCTATCGTGCCGCCCCTGTTTCTCACTGCTCTCTATTCTCTGCTTCTCTTGCTGCCTGGAGGAACACCACACCCACAAACACACCCACAGCTGCCGAGCCCACCACCAACATCAACACAGGCACCTTCACAGCCCACTCCTTGGGAGGGAAAAGCAGTCCCAACCACAGCTCGTCAACAAAGGGCAGCGCCAACGTCCAGAGGGACCAGTATGCAAACACAGCTGTAGCGAGCACGATCATTGCTGTCTCTTCAGCCTGTGCTGCCTGTGCTGTTTCTGCTGCTTGTGCTGTTTCTGCCTTTGTTGGCACGTGACAACACCGGCTTTGCTCCGGCACTGTTCGGTCGGCAGCCGTGGGCAAATGGGAGCTCAGAGATTCGAGAGGTAATCGCACAAAGAACCAGGATATAAATATCGACTTGCTTCTGCTACTGTCTTTCTTCTTCAATTGACTCAATTCCTGTGCTGCTTTCTCTTCTTGTGCCCTCCATTGACAATGTCCTTCTTAGCCACTTCCACCAGAGCTCTCAAATCTCAGGTTTTCAAAACCTCCATGCCTTCTTTGGTCAGAACCAAAGTCACTCTTCCTGACTTGGAATGGGACTTTGGTGATTTAGAGCCTTATATCTCTGGCCAAATCAACGAAATCCACTACACAAAACACCATCAAACTTACGTCAATGGCTACAACCAAGCAATTGAACAACACGCTGAAGCCAAAGCCAAAGGTGATGTCAAGGCCACCATCGAATTACAACAAAACATCAAATTCCATGGTGGTGGTTTCACAAACCATTGTCTCTTTTGGAAAAACTTATCTCCATCAAGCAAAAAGGGTGGAAACTATCATGATCTCGATCAAAACTCTGATTTTTACAAACAAGTTGTCACCAATTATGGTTCTTTTGATAACTTGATCAATGTGACCAACAACAAGTTGGCTGGAATTCAAGGTTCTGGTTGGGCCTTTATCGTTAAAAATAAGGAAAACAATTCAATTGACGTTGTCCAAACTTACAACCAAGACACTGTCTTGAACAATTTAACTCCTTTAGTTGCAATTGATGCTTGGGAACATGCCTATTACTTGCAATACCGAAATCAAAAAGTCGACTACTTCAAAGCAATTTGGAACGTCATCAACTGGAACGAAGCTGCAAAACGTTACGCTCAATAAACTGTCAATATTTAATATATACTTTGATATATATTTTCTCTTCTCTTTATCCTACCTCATTATCTTATGATTTATATTCTCTATGCTCTATCTAATACATATTAGTAATCCATTCCCCGCACTTTCAACCCGTGTTCGACTCTCGTTCCCGGCGTTTGCGTTTGTTTTTTTTTGCTTTTTTATTTGTTCTAGAACTTTCTCTCATCTTTGCCTTTTTTCTCTTCGTATCAATATAAAAACTGCTTTAGAATCAATCACCAACTATTTCGAAATAAGCAACCCCACTGCTCATCTTCTTAATATCAAAATGGTCGTGAATAATCCTAACAATTGGCATTGGGTCGATAAAAACTGCAAAGATTGGGCAAAATCTTATTTAAACCAAAAATTATTGGATTTGTCTGCATCAAATGATTCCTACAATTTAAAAATCACCAAAATCAACTCAATTGAAGGTGATGTTGAAGTTTGCCAAAGAAAAGGCAAAATCATCTCTCTATTTGATTTGAAACTAATCCTAGAATTTAACGCAACATCCCTATCTGATAACACTCAAATTAATGGAACTATAACTGTCCCAGAACTAGCCTATGACACATCCTTTGATGAATTCCAATTTATATCTTCGATCTTCAATGAAAATAATACAAACATTAGTATTAAGCCCTTCATCAAATCAAACCTAGTTCCCTTATTAAGAAAGATCTTATCCAATTTCAACAATGATTTGATCTCTCAAAACTCAAACGATATCCAAATTCCTTTAGATCAAGTTCAATCAAATTTAACCTCATCCAATCAAAAAAATAGCATCTCAACATCTTCAAATTCCACAAAATCAAAAATCAATGACTCAACAACAAAATTCACCTCAAATTCTTCAAAAAAATCTTCTTCCTCTTCTCCTTCTCACCCTGCATCAAACTCAAACATCCCAAAATATAACACCTCAACATTACATATTGAATCAACTTTCAATACAACTGCTGAACAATTATACCTAACTCTCTTGGATAAACAAAGAGTAGCAGCCTGGTCCAGATCTTTACCAATAATTGAACCAATTGAAAACTCAGATTATTCTTTATTCAATAATAACATTCAAGGAAAATTACTAAAATTAATTCCAAATGAAAAAATTCAAATGACTTGGAGACTAAATGATTGGAAACAAAATCATTTTGCCAATTTAAACATAAGTTTCTATCAAAGTGACTCAGACACAAAATTAATAGCTGATTTCACCGGAATTCCAATTGGTGAAGAAGATAAAACTGAAAATAATTTCAACAACTATTACATCAGATCAATTAAATTGACCTTTGGTTTTGGTTTAGTCCTATAAAATTACACAATTAAAAATATCAATATATCTTTATTTATTACATATAAACCCCTTAATAGAATATATAAAAGCAACACTTCAATAAACAACTAGCAATTTATATAAAAGTTAAAAAAATTTATGTATATAAAACGAAAAAAATTTGACCATTAAGCAGCGAGAGAAAAATTTATCATAAAAAAAAATAAAAATATTAAAAAATCAAAAGTAAAAAAGAAAGAAAGAAAGAAAGAAAGAAAAAAAAAAAAAAAAAAAACCGTTTAGCCATTATTTCAATAAGATTCATCATCCTTAATTATTAAAAATAAAAAATATCGTTTTGATCTAATATTAGATCTTTATCAGTATTTCCATGAGAAGAAAAATTAAGTCTTGTTAAACTTGGTAAATCATCTCCTAAAAATTCAAACATCATTTGCATTCCTTTGTTATCACTATTAGACCCTAGTTCATTTTTATCATCAAGCCGTGGTAAAAACTTTCCAAATTCAACTAAAAACCAATTTTTACTCATTTCACTGGAATTTTTATTACCATTTATTTTATCTTTGTCATTATTAGAAAAAATATTATTGACTTGGCTATTAGTATTAAGATTGAGAAAAAATTCATTCATAACAAATCCTGTTAGATAATTAAAATAAATTCTCATGATCATAACAGCACTTGAATCTCCAGTTATCAATAATGAATGGAAAATCTTGTCAACTAAAATAGGAAACAAAAAAATCTTCAAAATTAAATTGGAATTCTCTTCATGTTTGTTACTATTTTCGACTAAATGTCGTTGATGATTTTTGATTAAAACACTCAAATTATTCAAAATTTTTACCGTATTGTAATATGGAGATGAAAACTCAATTGGAAATAGATTCAAAATTAAATCGTCAAAACATTTCAAGTTTGAATAGAGTTGTTCATGCTTATTACTAGTTCCAACTTTCAGGTGATTATCTAAATCATATAATTTATCATTATCACAATTATTCATTAAAATTATGTTGAAAAATTTCGATTTTTTATCAATTAATGGTAGGATTTTTTTTAATATATTCATTGCCGTTCTAATGAAATAAATCCAATTATAATTAGATTTTGATAATAATTCAAGATTAGAAATAGATGTTAAAATTAAAATAAAAGCATAAGCAATTAATGAATCAATATTTTCAATATTTTTTTCATTATCTTGAAGTTTGCACTTTATTTTATCTAGATTCTTTTGAATTAAACTAATTGATTTGTTTAAATTATTAATTATATAGCTTTTTAATTTGTCTACTTTAATTGAATCAGTTAAATCTGTTTCAAATTTGAGAAAATGTGTAGCAGAAAAGGATAGTATAATGTATAATAGATAAGTATGTTTGAATGATAAATTTGAAAGAATATAGTCATTGAGTAAATAATTATTAAAGATTCCAGAATCAATAATGGTTGAAGAAACCTTTGTTGTGAAATGGTAGATTAGCTTTAAATCCAAAAAATTTAAAGGTTTGTTAGAAGATGAAATATTAGAAGATTTTGAGCCACTAGAGTAAGGACTGTTATTATTTATTAGTAAGGTATTTAAACTCTCGCTATAGGAATTCAAAAGTGAAGCAATGTCATAATCCTTAACTTGGTCATTTGAAAATTGATAACCACTGTCGTTATTAGCATGTTTTTTATTGAGATTATTATTCGAGGAATTTTCGTTATTACTGTTATTAAAGGTATTATTGTTATTATCACTGTGAATATTATCATTGATTTTGGGCAATAATGCCGGTAAAGAATCCATAGAAATAAAAGCATCAATAAATTGATTATCTAAGCTATCTTTATAGAGATTTAAAGAGCTTGAGTCTGAATAATTATAGCTTGTCAGAGATAACAAAGAAGTTGAGGAGGAGTCAAAAGTAATAGTTGAGGAATTTGAATTTTTTATCAGAAACTCAATGGAATTCGAAGATGGTGAAGAAACAGAAGAGCCTGATGAAAAGTTATCAAAATCAAAAGCAAAATCTGTTGGGTGGTTCAGATTATCGGCATTGTTCGTATGACTGATTGAATTCGAATTTTGTGGTGAAAAAGAAAATGGAGAGTGAACTTCGTTTAAAGAAGAATCTAATTTAAAGTCCAAGTTTATCCCCAAAGGATTTGTCAACAAAAACTGATTATCAGAGATGTTGTTTTTTAAATTGTAGTTATTATTATTATTATTATTATTATTATCATTATTATTATTATCATTTTGGTCATTATTATTTTGATTTAAATTAATGTTAGTAGTTGGTGAAGATGCTAGAGATAATTGATCAGATAGAGAGTCAAAATCGGATAACTGGATTGCTTCTAAAAATGAAGAATCAATGTCATTATAATTCTCATCATCCAATTTTTTAGAGGTTTTATTGATTGTATCGGATTTTTTTTTTCTCTTATTGATTTCGTTATTATCATTCAATATGAATGTTTTTTTTTTATCTAAATTAGCAAATTGTTGGTTTAATGTTAATAAGTGATCATAGGTTGAATGCAAGTCTTCAATATTTTCTTTATTTTTATTACCGATTTGATTTTGTGAGTTGATTTCAATATCAATATCGATATCATTATCATTTTCAGGTTGAAGGAATTTAGTTTTATTATTATTGTTTTTAAATTGAATTTTATTTGGTGTTTTCGATTTATAGCTGGGTTTAATCTTAATAATTTTATTAGTTTTATTAGTCAGAATATCTTTCTTTTTAATTGATTTTTTTAATTTTTTATTTTCAAGGTTGATATTTATGTCGTTAAGATTTATGATATTTTCAAAGCTTTTTTTAATAAATTGGTTTAAATCTGACGAAGAGTTATCAATAGAAAGTTCATTTGTATAATCGTTGTTATTTTTATTTTTATTGTTATTAGGATTGGGATTGGGGTTGGGGTTGGGGTTGGGATTAATATTTTTTTCATTAGTTTTAATGGTATTATTAATGATGCTACTTTGAATAAGGCTATTTGCAACATCTACTTCTAGTAAAGATAAATTAATTCCATGGTTATTGATTATTTTATCTAGTTTTTTATCGCCAGTTGTATGAAGTAAGCCTAAAGAAAGAGCGCTATAAGTGCAATCAATTCCCATATGAAGACATTTTTGACAAATTGGTTTATTTTCATCGCATTTAACTCTTCTTTTTTTACAAGTATTGCAGCCAGTTCTTGATTTATTGTGGTATTTTCTTTTCCCAGTTGATAATTTATTATTATTATTATTATTATTATTATTATTATGATTATGATTATGATCATGATTATGATTACTGGTATTGTTAATGGTGGAAGAAGTGTTAGAAGCGGAATTGGTAGAAATAGTCTTGATATTGATGTTTTGATTATTGACTATTGGATTTGAGTATAAGGATAGAAGAGTTGAAGTTGTTGTTTTATTGTTGAGATAATCTTTGATTAATTGGTTTTTTGAGGGAGAGATTGATAGAGCAGGGTTTAAATGTAGAGGTTTTGAGGATTTATTTTTAAAGATATTTTTATTTAAATTTAAGTTTTTATTGATGTTTTTAATGTTTTTGATGTTGAAGTTATTTTTTGGTATGTCATTTTTGATTTTATTTTTGATATTTTTTTTGATCATGTTGGGGATATTTTCTAGGATATTATCGAGAATGTTTTCCAAGATGGAATCGGGTATTTGTTTTTGAGTCTCATTTAAGTTTTCAACTTCAATTTCAATTTGGTTATTATTATTATTATTATTATTATTATTATTATTATTATTATTATTATTATTATTATTATTATTATTATTATTATTATTATTATTATTATTAGGTTGAATCAAATCCATTTTTTTTTGTTATAATTTTGCTTTTAATTGTGCCTAAATTTTTTGATTTTTCAAAAATAAATAAAATTATAAAAGAAATAGAATTTTAAATCAAAAAGAAATAGGAAAAAGCAAATCAAAAGGAGAATAATGATGATATTGATAATAACAAAGGAATTATTAGAAGAATAATAAGATTTTTAGAGATGAAGTGAAAACAAATTAGATAAAGTGAAAAGTAGTATAGTGAGGTGAAAAGGAAGAAAAAAAACAACCCTGGGAATGAAGATGAAAATAAAAATAAAAGGAGAGAGATGAGAGATGAGAAAGGATATAAAAGGATTTATAAAGAAAGGAAGAAAGAAAAAAGAAACAGAATTGAAATGGAATGAAATGAGTGGTAAAGAATATATAATAAAAATAAGAATAATAATATTAGTATTAATATTACTGATATTATTTATTGATATTTGATATTTGATATTTGATATCTTATATTTGATGTTAATGTTGATATAATATGATATGATATTGGTATTGATTGTTTTGATATGATATTGATAAAAGAATAAAAATAATGTTGAATTATTGAAAGTAGCTTATGATAAATAGAATAATTAGGGTTAAGTAAAGAATATGAATATTAATATTAATATGAGTGTGAAAATAAAAATAAAAATGAAAATGAAATGAAAACGAGATGAAAATGAGATGAAAATGAGATGAAAATGAGATGAAGATGTAAATAAAACAATATGGAGTCGACTTTGAATTTGAGAATGAATGGGAGTGTAATTAAACTTGGAAGATATTATTTAAGAAAGCAAAGTATAATAAATATTAAATAACTAAAGATGCTGAATCCTTCTATGGGTGGATTGATTGAGTCAAAGGAGGTCCACAAGATAAAAGCTGGAAGAAAAAAATGAGAGGTGATAAGTTGAGGATAGAGCTTGTGATTGTTGTGATTGTTGTGATTATTGTGATTATGGATCTGATTGTAATATATTCTTTTGGAGATTCTATTGATGGTTTTGGTTATGGAGTTTGGAATCTGGTTAAGTGAAATGAGAGTTCTAAGTTTGGAGGAAGCAGAGTTAAACATAAAACTCAGGTCATTATACTGTTTAAGCAAGACTCCAGAATCGCCAGAGCTGGATGATTGGCTATTAGTTGGTGAAGCAGGTTATTGGTTATTAGTTGTTGATTGAGGTGGTTTGAAGTTAGTGATTTGTTGAAGTTGGTTGTTGGTTGTTGGTTGGTTGATACTTCACTCTACTAATTGTTGGCGATCGTCGCTTCAGTCTTTGCGAGCAATTTCAGATCAAAGCCTCTGTGTCTGCTGCTTCTTCTACTTCTGCTACTTCTGCTGTTTCTGCTGCTACTTCGGTTGTTTCTTCTGTTTCTTCTGCTTCTTCTTCTTCTTTGTCCTCTTCCTCTTTTGCCACTTCCTGTGCCTTCAGCCGAAACCCAAAACCCTCACGCAAACGCGTTCTTCACGCAACTTCCAGCATCTATACTTCTATTACCCGGAAAGCACCGCATCCACCACGTCCTGTTAACACGGTTCTTCTGCAGGGAGATGCTGAAACCTTGAAGCGTTGGGCCAGACCCTCAGTTACTCATCCACTCAATCCCGTTACCACATACTCAGTCGCCTGCGCTAACAGAAATCTTGACAGAAATGGACGGCTCTCCCACAACAAGCGGGGAATGCTCCATGCTGTTGGGTTTCCGACAAGCCAGCTAGCGATGTCTAAAACTGTTCAGTTTTTTCTGAGATTTGCCTGAGATTGCCATAAGAGAGCGGAACCCATTTAAGCGCAGTCTTTGAGCTTCTTGTGCTGCTTCAGGGAAACAATGCACTTTTCTCACTGCAAATCCACCTCATTCCTTTCTTGTTTATCTTTCTTGTTTATCTTTCTTTTTTTTTTTTAAATTATGCAATTGCCTTGTTCTACACTTTGTGGTGTTGCGACCAAGCTGAAAAAATTCTTGCACTTTATCGGTCTCGCTAGACTGTTTTCCAACACTCATCTGCAATCCCAAAATCTTCGACCACCACAAGCGTTGCGCTGATTGGTCCATTCTTGTTCCCAACAAGAAGCTCCAGTCTCGTGACTCACCGCCTCTTTTCCATCCCAACACCCCATCAAAGGGCTTGGGTGCGGGAAACATCAGTGCGTATTTGTCTCCGTCTGCTAGCCAATTACTGCTCTTGCTCAGAACTGAGGCCTGTTCTGTCTCCTGCTGGGCGGTTGATGCCCTGGTATAGCCCTACTCGGCGCCCCACGAGGTTTACTTCCTATTCAGGCTGCTGTGCTCGATCAAGTTACGCCCTGCTGTATCGCGTATTCACTTCCTATTGTTTAGTGGTAAACTTAGATCTGCCATCTGACTTCGGAAAAACCCTTGTGGTCCGCCACATGTTGAATTCTTAGTCAGCCACATGTCTTGCCGCATATATTACTGATATTGTGCATATTGATTACATAAGTGCTTACATTTTACCGTATTCTTCGTGCATACAAAAATCATCGTTTGATGCGCACAAAAAAAATAACAATCCAATAAATTTTCTGAAAAATTAAACAAACCTAATTTTCATCAACAACAATATCTGGAAATCGATATTATCAACAATTGTTTATTATTTCATTAGTAATTGTTCATTAATTTTTTTCTCATTAAAATCAACTTTAAATCTTCATTCCAATCCTCATAATCAAATCTTAATTACTCTTGTTTTCATCACCTCTCTATCTCTCTCTCTTTATAAAATGCTGTCCAAAGTATTGTTAGATAACGATATCATTCAATTAATTAATAATTCAAATATACCACTACATTTAAAGACTCTTTTAATAAGTAAAAACTACATATCAATCAATGATTTAATTAAACTATTCCAATTGAATAACCACTCAAATGACCAACTTAAATTTAAAATACTATCCAACTTATCTCTCAAATTTAAGAAAAAACCTTCAATCAAAAAAACCTCCTCTTTTATAAATCATTCAAATCGTTTGAAAAACTCCTTGCTAGAGAGAGAATACCAAATATTAATCAAAAACAAAAATCTTAACGAATCAATTTATAACAAAACTTCCATCATAAACCTAGATTACATCAACACCATCGACAATCCCAACACCACTTCTCCTTTTAAATTCAACATTCTAGCAAAGGAAATCAAAAGTCAATTGGTCACAATTATAAACATCTTTGTAACTGTTGCTTCTGTAGCTTACTCAGTTTGGTACTGGACAAACACCTCCAGTGGCTTAATCAACACCTCCTACAGAGTCCTATTATCTTTATTCTTTTCTTTTTTAATCCTAATAGCTGAAGTTGTTGTCTATAATTCCTACTTGCGAAAAATTAATGAATCAAAACAAATTGAAAGAAAGAAAAAAGAAATCAAAAAAATCATCCAGTCAACTGTTCTATAATTATATACATATATATATATATACTAAACGACTTTATTACCATTATTATCATTATCATTATCATCATCATTGTATTTGAAAAAGTACTCATCGTTAATACTCTTATACCGAACCCAGGGGAATGATTGATAATTCAACAACTCTTCATCAATTTTTAAATAATCAACCTTCAATCCACTATATGTAAAGTTTTTAATCTCAAACTTCAATTGAATCACTTTTTTGAAATTCAAATCTAAATTATACTCCTCATTAATCAACTTTTTCTTGAAATTAGACACTGTATTCAACCGCAAAATCTTTTTCTTTTCATGATTAATCTTTTTTTGTAATTCTTTTATAGCTTTTTGATTTTCATTCAACGATTTATTCGCCTTATTATAATTTAAATAGTTTTGATACCTTTCAAAATCTTCTTCATCTTCATCTGTGCTCGACGACAAATAATCTTCATCAATATTCATCTTTTTCTTATCATAAATACTATTTAAATCATTAGAAGTGTATATACTGTTTGCATAATATGATTTTCTATTCAACTTTTTGTTATTATTATCATTATTATTATTATTATTATTATTGTCATGATCTTCATTATGATTATTATTGTCATGATCTTCATTATGATATTTATTATGATTCTCATCATGATTCTCATCATGATTCTCATCATAGTTCTTATCGTAATTCTCGTAATTCTCATAATTCTCATCGACTAATAACGGCAATTCACTTATCATTTTAAAAACCTTATTTCCATTTAATGATGAAATCTTCCAAATTATGGAATTTTTCTCTAAATTAAAAAACACATTGCCAATTTGAGTTTTAAATCTGGGTGTTCCATTAATCAAATTCAATTTGTACTTTTTAATATTAATTGGAATTATTATCTCCACGTTTGTAGCAACCAAATTCTTTTTGAAAAATGATGATAATTCTAAATAAATTAATAAAAATTTGCAATTCAACTTTGTTTTTAACCTAAATTTGATATTGGATATCTTGATTAACGGTTTCTTTTTCACATTAATCTTGTAAGATAATAACTTGAATTTTCCATCAGGAGGAATAAACGATATTATGTTATTATTTGTAAATGTTGATAATTCAACACATTGATGGAAATTTATATTATCAAATTTTATTTGTTTAAAGCTATCTATATAACTGTGGATGTTATTATTATTATTATTATTATTATTATTATTATTATTATTATTATTATTATTATGACCCTCTTGTTTTTCTTGTTGTTCTTGTTTTTCTTGTTGTTGTTTCAAGTTGATTGATGCTAAAAATTCATTTAAACCAAGTTTTAAAATTGGCATACCACTTAAGTACGATTTTACTAAAATTTTGCCATTTATGAATTGATTTATTATTTTTGAATCTGAATTTATAAACAAATTAATTTCTTCAACTATATCAATGAATAATTCGTTCTTCTTATAAAAGATACCCTTTGGTCTCCAAGATATTGAATCTGTTGAAGTTTTATATATTCTCGAGTCAATTTCATTGATTTGATAATTGTTATTATCGACACCATTTTTTTTATTTTTATTCTTTTTTTTATTTTTATTTTTATTTTTATTCTTATTCTTATTATTATTATTTCCATTGCTATCAAAATTATTTGATGGTGAGTCATCGTTAAGAAAAGATGAAGAGCTTTGATATCTATCATTTTGATTACTATATATACTATTTCGATTGTTATTATTATTAATTTTATAAGTATTATTTTCACCCAAATTATTTTCATCATCAGAATCGAAATCAGAATCAGTATCATTGTAGTTGTGTTTATGTTTATGACTATCATTTTTCTTTATTTTTTTGTTTTTATTATTAATGCCATTATCGATATCAGTATTTGCAAAGGTGAGATCGTTATCTGAATGTAAAGATAAATTTTTTTTAATTTTGATAAACTCGTTTAGTATCTGATAATCAGTTATTTGAGGCAATCCAAAATCCATAACTTCATCAAATAGTTCATAAAGAAAGACAAAATTATCTTTAATTAATTCATCATTTAAATGAGACACATGGAAATAATTTTTCAAAATCTGAATCAAGTTAGATAGAAAGCAAGATAGAACCATTATATTTGTCTTCATGCAGCTGTTTGGTACAGAGGTGCTAGAGGTATCGTTGTCATTTCTAAGATTGTTGTCAGCAATTATTATGAGAAAGATTATATTATTGGAAAACTTGTATAGATAGTTGATAGAGTTGATCTGGAATATAGGTGGTAGTAAGTTTAGATTTGAGTAGTTAAGCTTCAATCTGAAATTGTCAATTATGTCGTCGGGCAAATTGCCAGAACGATAGGATCTGGATATTAGCTGATTGAACTCATTGTCTAGAATATATATTGCAGTGGCCATCGAAGAAGCAAGTAGTTGCAAACTATTATATCTTCAACTGAAGGTGGCTCTGGAGAAGGATTACAGCGAAGCAGAACTGTGGGTGTTATGTTGTTCCATGCTATTATACGCATATATATGTTATATGTATTTCACACCATGCGTGTACCACTGCTACGGATTGTTTTCCACTTGACTATTTATTTTTGCTGCATTTTTTTCCAGTTCTTTTCTCATCCTGGTTATACATCTAATACCACTGACACTGCTGATACTGCTGACACTGCTGACACTGCTGACACTGCTGACACTGCTGGTACCTTTGATACTGTTCAAGATGCTCAAAAACGCTAAAACCCCGTTGCTTAGACTCAGCCAAACGCAGGTGAGCGAGAAGCTCCAACAGTTGAACAGCACTGGCGAGTGGCAGCTCTGTCTGCTCAACAACTGCCAGGCGATTGAGAGGAAGTTTGTGCTCAGGGACTTCGAGTCAACGTGGAGCTTTCTCACCAAGATCGCGATGCGCAGCCACTTGATGGGGCACCACCCGCGGATCCTCACGACGTACAACCAGGTGGAGGTGGCATTGCAGACCCACGACGTGGAGGGCCTCAGCAGCAGGGATTTTCTTCTCGCCAGCAGAATCAATTCGTATGCGCGCAATCCCTGAACCTGGGACCTGTGGTGCTCGTATAGCTGGCGCTGCAAGTGTATAAATAGGCCTTCTTGCCCCTCTATTGTTCTCTTCCTCTCACCATCACTATTTCTTTTCTGTCGGCGCTTAATTCACACTTGTCATCAATTGATCGTTATCTTAGCTCAAAAATGCTCTCAAGCTTCAATTCTCTTCAAAAGTTTTTTGAGACACAGGCTAAAAACTTCCTAGCTTCTGCTATAAGAACTGGCCCGGTCCCCAAACACATTGCTTTGGTGATGGATGGTAACAGAAGGTTCGCCAAAAACAGGAAGCTCCCTCTCACTGATGGCCATTCTGCTGGATGTTTGTCGCTAACTGAGACTTTAGAATGCTGCTTCAAATTGGGTGTCAAGTCTGTCTCAATCTACGCCTTCTCAATTGAAAACTTCAACAGACCTCAAAAAGAAGTGGATACTTTGTTCGATTTATTGAAATCAAAATTGTTGAAAATCACCGAGAATGACCAATTCGTTCATCAATCTCATGTCAGAATTAGAATTATTGGTAATAAGTCATTGGTGCCAAAGGATGTGCTAGTTGACTTGGAGAAAATAGAGAAAGTCACTGAGGACTATGCTACTTTTAATTTGAACATCTGTTTTGCTTACACCTCAAGAGATGATATAACTCACTCAATTAAGTCGGTTCTTGATTTATATTCAAATCAACAAATTGATTATCAACAAATTGATGAAAACTTATTAAACGACCACATGTATTTCGGGCCTGATATCCAAAACTCTGACATTTTGGTGAGAACCTCTGGCCATACAAGATTATCTGATTTCATGTTATGGCAATCTCATCAAAATTCTGATATCCAATTCAGTAATCTCTTATGGCCAGATTTCAAATTTTGGCAAATGTTTAAAATCATATTCAAATGGAGCTATTACAAGACTTTGATGATTGAAGATGAAAAAGTATTAAATAACAATAATAGAAATAACTACTTATCCAAATTATCCTTGTTTAATAAAAAACAGTTTTACAAAAATATAGAAAAGAAAATTGATTTGGATTCTTTACCAACACCTCCCCCTTTTGCTTCTGTTACTGATAAATAATTGCATTTATCAATACCATCATAATACCATTATATCTATCTTATTAACCTTCGCTAGTACTTTTTAGCTTGTACAATTATATATTATATATTATATATTCTTCACCTCTTTTTTTTTCTTTTCTATTTTGTAATCCTTCAAGTCTAACTTTCTTAACCTTTCAATAAATATTCCTGTTCTCTTCCAATTAATATCTTTTGTCTCTGTAAAAAAATAATAAAAACTGCGATTATCTGCGATTCTCTGTGATTCTCTGCGATTCCCTGTGATTTTGTGAGAAAACTTTAATTATCTGATCTCATCTCTAATCACCTTATCAAATCGCGTTTCATCTTACCTCATTACTCTTCAAGGATATTTAATAAATTTAAATTATAAATCAATGCATTAAATCGATATTTAATAATAATAATAATAATAATAAAAATAGAAAAAAAATGATGTATATAAAAAAAAACAACTCAATAATCAAAAACAGAAAACTCAATCCAAGTCAGTCAATTCTATTCAATTCAATTGAACATAATTTCCCGGAAATACACCAACTCGGCCGTTCAATTGCCCAGTCCACCATCCATTTGAATCCGACGTCCTTTGAACAATCTCAATCACTGAACCGGCGTTAAAGCTCAAATCTCCCTCAGCTTGTGCTGCATAATCATACAATGCAGTGCATGTTTCGACTGCTCTTGGTGCCGCTGCTGGTCTTCCGCCCACTGCTGGAGCATAGCTTTTCTTTTCTTGTGGTTGAGCAGAATAAGTTTGATCGTAGCTTGGTGGGTTATTCTGAGCAACTTGGGTTGGCTGATTGGTTTCAATTGAGGAAGCTGGGGGAGTATAAACAGGTAGAGGAGAATGGGAAAAGGAATGCGAGTAACCTGATGATTGATTGGTTTGATATTCAGCATCAGCTTCTTCCTTTTTCGATGCAAACTTCTTTTTTGCAATTTCTAGCTTGTTTCTAGCATGATCAGCTTTAAAGTTGACGATTTTGATATTTTGTGTTCTTTCATGGACATCACCAACTTTATTGTTAAAACATTCAACAATATCAGAATCCAAATCAAAATATGGAATTTTCAACTCTTCCATTCTGTTGTATAAAGTGTAAAAAATATTCAATTGCATATAATAAAATGAAATGAACAACGGTTGAATGAAATCTGCTTCTAATTTGAAGAAAATTGGTAGATCGTTTTTGAGCATATTGTTATAGTAATCGTATTCTTCCTGAGCTATTTGAACATTTGATTGGGCTTTTGATAATTTTTCAATATCCTTGGCGGTTTGATCTTTTTTGTTTTCATATCTTTGAAAAGTGTTTAAATGGCGATCTAAATCAACACGCTTATGTTCTCTTTTAGTTGACATCTTTCTAATTGAAGTGATAATTGATAGTAAATCTTGGGATGGGTTAATGATTCTATTTTGAATTAATTCTAAGTCGGGAGCCAAAGTGCTTTTCAATTCAATAACCACTGCACGATAGGCTTCACTCGCTTCAATGCCCTGAGGATTATCTTCAGCTATAAGTAAGTTTGAATTCACATTGGAATTGGATGGAACCCCACTGATTGGTTTATAGATTTCTTCTATAGCTTTAGAAAACTCAATTTGGTGATCTAACATTCCATTGACAGCAGCAAAGTATCTTTTGCTTTCCTCGCTTAATTTTTTGGTTTCTGTTTCAATTTCTTTGAACCTCCTTTCAGAATCAAGATATATATCATCGCTTGTACTATTGCCCACATTGATTTTTTGGCGGAAAGTCTGTGGTCCCCTGCTAATCGCTTTACTAAACCCTTTAAAGCTCATTTTGAACTAAAAATTAACACTTGATAATGCGCAATTGGAATAAACCGTTGCAAATGTAATGAAAAGAAAAATAAACACGGAGACTTGAATCACTAGTCAATCAATTGAAAAACCAAATATAGTAAAATGTAATAAAAGATAGTAAGATAAATACAGATAAAGGGATGAAGAGGTGGAACAAAAAATGGAGAATAAATACATGTAGCACACTCCAGCTCACTGGATTCAGAAAAAAGCAAAGCCAACAACATGAAATGCGTCTTTCACATGGAACGGAATATGAAATCCAGCCAGAATGTCGCAAGAAACACAGCCATTTCTACTGCGGAAACACCGCCCGCTTTGCGCTGCTGCTTGCACGTGTATTACACACAAAAACATGTGATTGCAAAGCGACTTCGTGGCCAAGCTGGTTAAGGCGTGAGACTGTTAATCTCAAGATCGAGAGTTCGATCCTCTCCGAGGTCGTCTGCTTTTTTGTCTGTTATTCAACAAGAATGATTGTGATGCATCCAGTGCTGCTTTTGCTTGGTCTAAACTTCTGTGCTGCAAAAGCAAATTGGATGATCCAGGTCGTACCCGGATTCGAACCGGGGTTGTTCGGAGGCTTCTGAAGATCAAAACCGAAAGTGATATCCACTACACTATACAACCGCACACGTGCGCTTCTAAATTCCGCACAATCTCTTACTATCTTAATCTAGCTCAGTTTGCTTTTCACGTGTCCTTTGTGTTGGGCAGGCGATAGCTACTTTGCTCTTTCAGTATCACAGCTCTTGATCAGATCGTCTCCAAGTGACCGAACTTTTCGGTTTAAATGCAATCTTTTTCGTGATCTGATCTGTTCCACTCACTTAAATCTCTGAAATCTCTGAAAGATTTGAATTTATTTTCGCAATTTTTGGTGTGCAACAATGTACATCTTTGCAAAAATGATAAGAAAGCTTAAGAAGCCATGGAGAAATCAAATTAGCTCTGCTCGCTTAATATAATCTTTAACCATACGTCCTTTTTTAAATTTAGAGTTGAAGGAAATCCATAGCTATTTCCAATTATCAATTAACATTAGCAATACATATACCAGTAATTCAAAATCTTGATTTCCTGACTAAAAAGTTTATTTGCCCATTTTTTTGAAATCAGAATTTTTAATTATCACTGTGATAACCATAATCAAGAAAGTGATAGATGAGAAATGAAAGGTAAATCCATTATATGGTGTGCAAATTGTTTTAATCGTTTTAATTATCTTTCTCATCTCAAGATATAATAAATTATATCTCTGAATTACATTATAAATATCATCATTTTTCCTCTTGCTTTTCAATTGCTATTTCATTATCACCTAATAATTAATAACCATTAATTTACTAAATAATCAACTTCTTAAAGATATTTCAAGTCTTTTCCAATCTTCCTCAAACTTCCTCAAACCTTCTTAGAAATGGCCACTGCTGAATTACTCTCTAACATTTACAACAACAACATTCACAAAGCAATAAGTGAACAATCATACACTGAAAACATTGAAGCGTTGTATAAAGCTTTGGATGGTGTTGACATTAATACCAAATTTGACCCTGAAAAACACATCATTTTTAAAAAAGAAGATGTTGAAAAAACAAAAAGATTTACAATGAAAGAATTTGGTTTAGAAAATGAAAAACAAATTTCTGCTATTGGTGCAAGTGCCCCATTTCCTTTATTTTCAAAAGAAGCCGTTGATATCATGAGAGCTGAAATCTTACGTAAGGATGTCTTTTTGCAATTTGCAAGAATCTCTCCTACTTCAAGTTCTGGTCTAGACGGTAGCGTTAGAGGTTTTGCGAGAGAAAGCTGTCCCTTTACCTATGAAGCTTGGAAACATCCAAAGTCAATTGAAGCCGTTTCTTCAATGGCTGGTGTTCCTTTAAAAATTGTCATGGATTATGAAGTCGCTCATACTAATGTTGCAATGAAAAATCCTGATGACGCTGAACAAGAGACTATCGCTCACAATAGAGAATTGATAAACAAAGGTGAATTCTTCGGTAAAGAACAAATGATTCCTTCAATTGTTGGCTGGCACTATGATTCATACCCATTTGTCGCCGTTCTAATGTTGTCTGATACAAAAAAAATGATTGGTGGCGAAACCATCATCAAATTAGGTAATGGCAAAGTTGTTTCAGTAGAGGGTCCTCAATTGGGCTACTGCACTGTTTTACAAGGAAGATTAGTTGAGCATATTGCTCCAAAACCTTTAGGCTATACTGAAAGATTAACAGCCGTCTCTTCTTATGTCGCAGCAGATCCATTGAAACACGAAGAATCCGTTTTACATACAGTTAAACCTGAAGTTTTATTTGGTTCTAGATATACCGATTTCTACACCGAATGGATTGATTATAGAATGAAATTAATTGAAGAAAGAGCCAAATATTTAAGAGAAAAAGTTCTTAACGATCAACAAAATGGAAAATTATTTGAAAAGGAAAAGATTATGAAATTTGTTGAAGATTTAGAAAATTATGTTGGCAGAACTTGGAAAGAGATGGTTGTTAGTGATGAAGAATACGCTAAAGCAAAATAGATATTAGCTATCAATTATCAATTATCAATTGATGTTTATTCATTTATTTCTTTTGCTTCTTTTAAATCAATTTTACATTATTTTTTATACATCTTATTTAGTTTTCTTTTTTCCCTTTCTTTTATTTATGCTTATTCTTATGCTTATCATTATGCTTATATATACAAATATTCAATTTATTATTAAAAATATCATATTTAGTAGTTATCTCATAAAGTCTAAATTACTTATTCTTTCAGCGTTATTAAATATAACAACGTTAACCCATCAGCTTACTTCGGCCCAAATGGGAATGTTCTTTTTTGTGACCCTGGACAGGACTATCAAAGCTAAAAGAGAAAGTTGGTAATGTATTAGATTACTTACACTAATTGCATTAATAGTTATTGGTTGTAGAGATATCTATAATTCAAAATAACTCATATCAGTTTGGTTTTATTGCAGTCATAAAAACAATTGATATGTCAAATTTAGATGCTTTAGATGAGCTTAATCGAGAGCTCTTATTAAGGATTAATAGGAATTACAATCAAACTAATCAAAATCAAGATCAAGATCAAAACCAAGATCAAGATGATCAAAATCAAGATAATGCTACTTTGAATAATCAAATTGGAGATGGAAATGAAAATGAAAATGAAAATGATGAAAATGATGAAAACGATGATACTAATAATAACGAAAATGATAATAATAACAACATGCCAGATATAGTGATGTTTGATGACTATCAAGATAGATTAGATTTAATTAATAGAAATAATAATTTTAATGACGAGGGAAGTTTTTTAAACAATTTAATTGATATCTTTGGATTAGTAATACTACCGATCTTTTTTTTCAAAGCAGCAAAGGATTTATTTAATATCGCTACATTTTCCAATGACTTTATAAGAGACTTTGTTAACTATTTATTTTTATCGCCAAGTCAGTTATTAATTTTAAGCAATCATAATGAAAATAGTGGGAATAGTGATAATGGGAATTTTTACGAGACTCGAATTTTATCCAAAACACTAAGCAATAGCTTGACCACTACAATATTGAGATTTACAAGAGAATTTATAAATTTGAACCAGGAAAATGAAACGTATAAAGCTGCTAATGGAAATGAGCAAAACAGCGGGAGTGTTATTGAAAACAATGGGGGTTTTGTTGAGGTTAGTTTGTTAATCAGATTCAATAATGCTATACTAGAAAACTACTTTGATTTTTTCCAGAAATACCCACTCCTCTTGAAGACTGTAACAGTGGTTTTCTTCCTGGTCTACTCTGCATCGTTTTCACTCTACCTACTAGCTGGACTATTGTTCTACTCATTCTGCTTGTATCTAATCATCCACTCGAGATGGACCGAGCTCTACACCTTCTTGCTCAAGGCCATCAAGAAAAGCAATGGCGTGTTCTAGTGAAATAGTTTCGATGCCATTATCTTGTCTTTATTCTCTTTCTTGTCTTTCTTGTCTTCTCTTTCTTTGCTCTCTGAGGCTGGCACGCCCAAAAGAGCGTCCTTGGCCGGATCTGCCCCTGAGCGCGGAACGTGGCGGAACTGCGGATGTCACGTCTTAAAGAACAACAACTTTAAAACACAGCGCTCTCACCAGAAGCACCAGAAGCACCAATCCCATCTTCAGTGTTCCCTGTGCTACTCCCTTCTTCCATACTGTTCTTGAAAATGCTAATATTGGCAATTGGCGATTTGCATATACCCGAGAGAGCCATAGACCTCCCTCTCAAGTTCAAGAAATTGCTTACTCCTGGCAAGATCCAGCAGGTTTTATGCTTGGGAAATGTCATATCTTCAATAACTACTCTAGAGTTTCTTAAGAAAATCTCAAAGGACTTTCAGTTGGTGAAGGGTGAGTACGATATCGACAACTACAACACAGGCTCCAGCAGTGTGGCCAACAATGGTTCTGCAAACTTGATCAATCCCACCATATCTACTGCCACTCAATTGCCATTATCATTGATTGTTCAGCAAGATCAGTTGAGAATTGGTGTCTTGAATGGCTTCAACATTGTACCTCAAAACGACCCATTGTCATTATTGATTCAAGCTAGGCAAATGGACTGTGACATTTTGCTTTGGGGTGGAACTCACAGAGTTGAAGCCTACACTTTAGATGGCAAGTTTTTTATAAATCCTGGAAGTGCAACAGGTGCTTATTTGACAAGAGAAATTGAAGATGATGACGATTATGATGACGAAGATGAAGACGAGAATGACAATGACGAAGATGATGAAATAGATGAAGAGAGATATAAAGAAACTCAAAAGAACTCAAAGGATGGCAAAAATTCAGCCATATCAAACGATAAAAGTAAAAAAGATAAAACCACTTTTAAAGAAGTTATTGTTGATAAAAATAATAATCAATTAATTAAAGAAAACTTGATAAATAGCAAACAAGATCTTTCAAGCATACCCAATAAAAACAAAGCCAATGACAATCAAAAAATTGATTCAAATAACATAAAAAAGTCTGATTCAAACTCTGACATAGATTCTGATTCTTCTGAGTCTGAATTTGAAGATGAAGATGAGTTAATTGAACCAATTCCAAGTTTTTGTTTATTAGATGTTCAAGGCTCAGTCTGCACCCTTTATATCTATACTTATATTGACGACGAAGTTAAAGTCGATAAAGTTACATATCGTAAAGAGTAACTAGTAATTATAATTTTATCTTAATGTCAACGTTAATATAGTAAAATGATAACAGTTGGTTTTTGTAGTTCTACTCTCTAACCCTTGATTTTCCACTCCCAATTCAATGTCAATTTCTTGTTTCCAGCTTAATGATCATTTATTTTGTTCCTGCTTATTTTATATTTATATCATTCTGTTCATCTTTTAATCTTTCTATAGATCCTATATCAAATAAAAATCTGTCTTTATAATTGTTTTCTTATAGTATCCGTTATTTATTTATTTACTAATTTTCTTTAAAAATTAAGCGCTGAAAATTAAGCGCTGATAATCAAAATACCAATTATAACTAACCACTAATTGATAGAAATAAAAAGTACATATCTGTCAATTTCAATTGATTGTTAATGTATTCTACTAGGAGAAGAAACTCGATATTAAGAACAAGAAAGCGTTCTAATATTAACATAAATACTTCAAATGATTTTAGTAAGATTTTAACCTTAATAACCAAAACAGAAAAAAAAAAAACTACAACCAGAAAATAATAAAATAAAATAATTAACCATTTTTTCTTTCTTCGCTTATTTTATTTTCATTATAATCTTTTTTTCTAAAAAAACAGAAATCATTGAACTAAGTGATGAAGATTTTAATTCAATTAAAAATGATTCAAAAAATAAAAACCAATCTTTGTCTTTAAGAAGTTGCAATTCAGTTGAATTGTCTCAAAATAGTTCAGTAAATATGGATATATCTTATCTTGATACTAAAGTATCAATATTCAAGACAAATGATGGAAAGATCAAGCAAAGTGAGATAAATAAGAATAGGAATAGGATAAACCTTGATTCATCTCCAATTAAAAGCAAAAATAAAATCATTTTTAATGGTTTATCTCCATCTCAAAACTCAGAAAATGAACAATGTTATTATAACCCAATTGATTTAATAACTCCTATTTCTATGAAAAGAATCAGTTTTGACAATTCTAGTAACCACAGTAAATATAATATTGATAATATTGACAATAGTATTAAATTTGATTGTTTTAATACACCATTTATTAATGGATTTGAGAAGTTTATTGAAAATCATTTGAATTACAATAATAATTTTAAAGAGAATAATAACAACGAAAAAGAAAGTAAGATTTTGGGTAATAATCTAAACTTACTATTAGATAAAAAAATCAATAGGAAAATATTAATTAATTTATTTAAAAAAGATATTTCAATTATAGATAATAATACATTGATTTATCTTAAATTTTTATTGAATGATTTTATTGAATTAAAAATCAAACAAGATAATTATGGAGATAATTATAAAAATACGATTCAATTACCAGAAGCCACATCAACACCAAGACCAACAAAAAGTAAATTGATATTTGAAAATGACAATAAGAAAATTAGTAATTGTGAAAAAGAGGATAAACAAGGTGATGAAGATGAAGATGAAGATGAAGATGAAGATAAGTATTTTGTAATTTATCAAGGATCAAATAAAAGTGATGATGTTAATCAAATTATGATTGATCCAAATTCTGATAATTTCCGAAATTCATTTATTTCAAACTTAAAAGCGCATCTTAATATTGAAGAAAAGGTCGATAAGATTGATAAGATTGATAAGATTGACAAAATTGTTGATGAAATCGTTGATGAAGATTATAAAATTAAAGTTAACTTTGAAGAAGAGGAAAAAAATAATTCGTTATTTTCGATAAAAGATAAAAGTTTATCAATTAATCAAATAAAAAATTTGAAAATCAGTGATAGCGGATTTACATCGAATGTTACGAGTTTAAATAAAGATGATACGAGGCAAAAGAAGAGCAGAAAAACTGAGGGGAGCGATATTACAATGAGTAATAGCAAACATGATAAAAGTGATTCAAAAAGGAAAATCGATTCAAGAAAAAGTTCGATAAAAAGAGCAGCAAAAGAATTGAGTTTTCTAAAAGAATTGAGAGATAGCAGTCTTGAAGAGACGTTTGGATATAAAAAGAAAAAGAAGAATGATAGAAATGGAGAAAAAGAAGAATTTGATGATATGATCAAAAAGATTATCAGAGAAGGAGAGAAGAATAGCAAGATTTGCAACAAATTCAAGATTAAAAAAAGTCGAAATATGGAAGTGAAAAAAAGCCGAAGAAAGCTTTACAAAAAGATGGTAAAGAAATGTGAATTAGAAAAAGACGCGTTTGACTTATTGATCTGATGGGGAATACCGAGGGAATGTGTCACCTGTTAGTGCCGAACACGACCAGTCGAGCATTGAGCTACCATATAGTGAGTTCGATAATCGTATGGTTAACATTGTTTCGATTGGCGTACGACACTGTTCGTGGAGCCCTAGAGTCCAGGTTTTCGGACACTGAAAATTTTTTAATTGGGAGATGAAGGGAAAAACAAAAAGGTTGAAAGCACCCCAATCGAAGGAAGCAAGAAAAATTAACTTAAGTTTCATCCATGAGCAATATTTTATTTTAGGAAGACGAGTTTTTTTCGAGTTGTCACTTATTCCAATAGTATTAGTGGAAACCAAATATAATTAATATTCTATTGTTTTTGATTTATAAATTTTTGTTTGTTATTACTTATATTGAATTATATTGTTATTATATTGTTATTATATTAGTATATTATTAGTATATTATTATATCATTATTATATCATTAGCAGTAAATATTTGTTGATGAGTAAAATGAAACAAATAGCCATTAAAGATATTGTTACAGAATTAGTTTTATCTGTAAGTGCAGGAGTAGCAGTTTATTATATTGTTAATCAGCTACTAAAGTTTGTTGAAAATGAGGGAGGACCCAGTGGGTTAAAGTCCAAAGATACTAAGAAAAAAGTATCGAGCACATTAAAGAGATTGAAGAACAATCCAGAATTTAAGAAGATTGATTTTAATGATTACGAACTATTTTTGTTGGAATCAGTTGTTACACCAGAGGAGATTAATATATCATTTAATGATATTGGAGGATTGGATAATATAATCGATGATTTAAAAGAGTCGGTTTTATTGCCACTAACATTTCCAGATTTATTTCAAAGTTATTCGTCGTTACTACAAGCACCAAAGGGAGTGTTATTGTATGGGCCACCAGGATGTGGGAAGACGATGTTGGCCAAAGCATTGGCTAATGAAAGTGGAGCCAATTTTTTATCAATCAAGATGTCGTCAATAATGGATAAGTGGTATGGAGAATCGAACAAGTTGGTGAGTGCAATTTTTTCGTTGGCTAACAAATTGCAACCGTGTATAATATTCATCGACGAGATTGATTCGTTTTTGAGAAAAAGAGAGAGCAACGACCATGAGATCACCTCAACGATCAAAGCTGAATTCATGTCGTTGTGGGATGGGTTGATATCGTCAGGCAGAATATTAGTGTTGGGAGCTACAAACCGACCCAACGACATTGACAGCGCCTTTTTGCGAAGAATGCCCAAGAAGTTCCAGATCAACAAGCCCAACGAAGAGCAAAGATCGAAGATATTGAGGATCTTGTTGAAGGACACCAAGATCGACGACGAGTTATTTGACTGGCAAACCATCATTGAAATGACCGAGGGGTTTACGGGAAGCGACTTGAAGGAGTTGTGCAGAGACGCAGCCATGGTCATAATGCGAGAATACATCCAGAAGAACTTGAAGAGCTCCAATGGCAGCATCGAGTTCCTCCATCTCAACACTGTTGCCAACGAGAAGCCCACGTCTGGCGACAACGACAGGTTCGACGTGAGAGGGTTGCGAACCACGGACTTCGACTTTGCGTCGCACAAAAAGCTTCTCGTAAACTCGGTCTGAGCCCACAATATATACTTCCGGCCCAACTGTTCTCGTATTCCCGGTACACTTCCGGGATCACCTGACCGAAAATTTTGCAGCGCCGGCTCAAAAGAGACGACGATATAATCAGCTTCTGTTTCTTCCACAACCCCAGCTCCAGCTCCAGCTTCCCAGCAACTGCAACTCTCTCTGGTTTCCTCTGGTTTCTTCTCAGCTTCTCTCTGCGATCCATTCATTGTCCAGCTGTCCATTGCTTGCTCCCTACCTCTCTCTCCAAAGTGCATCTCACAGCTACACCTCATCCAAAACAACCTTTCCACGACAGCTGCTTCAATCATCATCGCATCTCTGATCTGCTATCTATACTCTCTACCCAATCCTCCTGATTTTCTACTCTACTGTATTTCAATCAGACGCCCAAGCCCAAGAGACTTCTGTCTGCTGTACCTGATATTCTCGTTCTCTGTTTGATCTTGTCCTGCATTTTTCAATATCCACAAAGGATTCCTTCCATACCTGGTATATATCTGATATATATCTCTGTATATATCTATATATATTATATGTATATACCGTATATACATAATATATCTACGTATAGACACACTCTCAAATCAAACAACAACAGCAGAACTTAGCAATTCAACAAAAGAGAAACATCAGAGAAAAAGAAATTTCTTAATCATAACAACAACAACAACAACAACAACAACAACAAAAAGTAATTCAATGTCTTTAATTTTAATCACTATCTTGTTAAGTTGATAATATTTCTAATTTATTTCATTGTTTCCACGCTTTTTATTGTTTATTGTTTTTATTTCTTCATATCTATTGATTTATCCCACTTTCTATCCAATACTTAAAATAGCGCCTCAACCTCCTACTATATTTTTTTACATCGTATTATATTTGTTAACTATATTTTCCCTCCAATTTTACACTATACTATTCACCTCCATCACTTGATTATAATATTCTCTGATAATGCCTTCTAAATCTCCAACATCCCCTAATTCAATAAAATCCAATAACAATAACAATAACAATAGCAATACTAAGAATACCATCAATACTACTCCTACTAATACCAATAATAATAATAATAACATCAATAATAATAATAATAACATCAATAACACTAATACTAATACCAATACCAATAACAATAACAATAACAATAACAATAATAATACCTCGTTTCATACAAACACTTACTCCCATGGCTATAATACTTATAGAAGACTTTCTTACCCATTCCATAAACAAAATTATAACACGACGGCGTCTTCAAAATCAAATACAAATAGCTCACTAAATTCAGCTACAAATATAATCAAATCAAACATAAAAACTGAACATGTTCCTCCCAACTCCGTTTCTGCTTTCAACAACAACAACAACATCACCACTGATAACTCAAACTCTATAATAAATCCCTCAAACACAATCACAAACAAATACTCAAACAAATCTATAAGAGTGAAATCAAACCCAGAATCAATATCTTTCTTCAATGACCATAAAACTAAACACATAAGCAACCCAAATAAAATAATAATCCCATACAACTCCTCCTCTTCAATCAAATCAATATCAACCCTGCTAAGTCCTCTCGACAAGCCTTTATCTTCAACCATCCCAATCAATAATTCCATCAACTCAAAAAAATTCCAAAGGAAATCATACCAAACTTATTACCCGAAAAAAAGATCCCCTGATAGCAACTTGGACAAACCTTTGAGTGATTTTTCCTTTAAAATATCAAATTCAAATAGCGTAAACTCAGCTTCATCCTTAAATCCAAATCTAAATTCAGCCCAAAATTCCATATCCTCCTCAAATTCATACCAATCAAAACAAAATCCCAAATATTACAACAACTATACTAAAAAATACAACTCTCATAATTTTTACTACAAAAAAGACTATAAAAAGGACTACAAAGACTACAAAAAAGATTACAACGACTACAATGATTATAACGATTATAATAATTATAACGATTATAACGACTACGATGATTATAACGACTATAACGACTATAACAATTATAACGATTATACTAAAGAACATGCCAACGAATATAATGATTATACAGAATATGAATATCATAAAAATCATAAATACCCCAAAAAAGAAAACCATTATTATTCTTCTTCAAAACAGCTACATTATCCCTCCAAAAAGAGAAATGATTCAGTTGACCCAATAATAACCCCAACTTACTCAAATCCTACGACTACCAATACAACTGCAAATAAAAATAAAATTAATAATAATAATAATAATAATAATAATAATAATAATAATAATAATAATAATAATAATAATAATAATAATAATAATAATCCCAATTTCAATTCCAATTCCAATTCCAATTCCAATTCCAATCCTAATCCTAATCCTAATCCTAATCCTACTTCTGGTATTAATAAAACTTTACCACCCATACATCACAGAAGAAACTACACTTCTTATAATTCTGATTTTGATCTAAATCATCAAAATTTTCTTTACAATTCTCGTAGTATTAGATCCGTCTCAAATCCCGTCTCTTATTCTCCCATAACACCTTCACCAGCATCCACAAGTATATCGCCTCCAATACCCTTTTCAAAAAATTCTATAAACACTACAAATCCTAATGGTAAGTCCTCAGTTGTCAAGAAAGAAATCATAGAGAATTCTATGCATTCCATAAATAGTATAACTCAAAATAGTAAAATCCACTTGAGTAAACCAATTCAAAACGAAAAAAGTCTGAACCCTTTTTTTATTCAAAATAATATAAATAATCTCAAAAACAATAATAAAAATAATAAAGATGACACTAAAAATCTAGTAGAAAAAGATCAAATTATGAGAGAAACATCCTTTTCTAATAGGGATGAAAACGACACTCAAAAGGATATAGATTTAGACACTGAAAATCACAATAGTAATACAAATAGCAATGATTCTACTATCAATAATATCGATGTTAATAACGACGGTGCTCACAATAACAATAGAGCTTCCAATAGAAGTGAAAATGATAATGATAATGATAATGATAATGATAATGATAACGATAACGATAACGATAATGAGGCAGATGAGGAAGATAATAGTGAAGAAGAACTAAGAGAAGAACAAGAAAAAAATATCAAAATGCTTTCACAAAAAATTCAGCAAAAAACTGAAGAAGATGATTTTGATTATGAACCCGAAAATCTAGACGTCAATGTCTCCATCAAAGAGTCTGATGATAATCAAGATCTTAGTCAGAATGATGAAAATAACTGCCCAGAAGTAAAAATTGAAACCACAAATCAAGGAATTATTTTTAATAATATCAATTCTACTGATGAAAAAGAGAAAAAGAAGGAAAACCAAATTTTACTTCCAGAAAATACTGGCTCCAATGACAAAACAATTTTTAATAACAGTGGACTCGAAAAAGATGGAAATTATCAAGTTCAAAAGATAAGCTCCCAAAATAATAAGTCAAATAAACCATTATTTTCTGACGTAAACTCTGAATTTGCTCAAAAGAAAAAAATACTTAAAATTTCAAAAAATCTAGAGAAAAAGTTGGCAGCAAAATTAGAAAATGTTAAAGATAATGAAAACGTTTTCCCTTTGAATCGTTTAGAACAAAAACTTTATAATTTAAAAAGTAAGCCAGGTTCGGAAATTGTCTACTATCAAAAATATCTTTTAAAAAAGCCAATAACGTGTTTTTATGATTTGCCCTTTTTTCAAGAAAACATATCTGTTCATAATAAACTGATTAAGCATCGATTAATTCAAAAGTTGCAGATTTTGAAGAGCATGATTTACAAAAAAAAGATTCGTTTATGTTTTGATTTTAAGAATTATAACCAAGTCTGGACCTCGAGGTGTGAAGAAATGACCAATCAGCTAAACCAAATTCATCAAAAAAGCAACGAGCTTATGAAAGCAATAAAGCTAAAAGAAGATGAAATTATTAAAGACAAAAATAAAAAGGAGATTGAATCATCGGCAAAAGAAAAAGGTTCTAGACGTGGTAGACACCATGGTGATACTGTAAGATCAGAGGCCGAATTTCTAGAAGTTCTTGCATCGTTAAATGAAAAGGATCCAGTTTTCAAGGCTCAAAGCGTTGCTGCAAATATCCCTGATATGATTTTAAATCCACTTGAAAGGTTTGGTGAGGATTTTATAAATACCAATAATTTAATAACGGATGACACAATTTTCGAAAAAAGATTGATTGATGATTTAGTAGATAACTTTAATGAAAGTGAACACCAAGCTTTTTGTGAAGCTTATCTAGCCCACCCCAAGAGATTTGGAAAAGTAGCTAAAGAAATGGGTGGCTTGAGAACCACAGAGGAATGTGTGTTGCATTATTATAGAACCAAACATGTTACAACTAATTATAAGGAATTACTTAAAAACAAGAGACCTGGAAGAAGAGGTGGAAACAAACGTCGTGGGTTCGGAAAACGTGTAGGAAGAAATAACCAAAAGCCTCTTCAAATTGATGGGCAGGCATCCACACCTACGGGGTTTTCAACTTCGATGGAAAACATTACCGAGACTGAATCCGATTACAATGGAGTTAACAATATCAAAGTGAAAAGTGAAGTTGTATCGAATTCTCATTCTCGACTGGTTTCAATCACCCCTGAATTGCCTTCCAACCAAAAACGCAAACGAAGCAGAAATAAGGAAAGTGATGATGTAACTGAAGATTTTGTAGATCAGCAAAAAGAAGGATCTACCAAAAAAAAAGTTCATTCTGATTTTGAGTCTCCCAATAACTCTAAAAATGACATCATTATAGAAGTCGACTCTCCTGGTATAGATATTTCTCAAAGAAAAAAATTAAGAGTTGCTAAAAGAAGGAAAAAAGAGGTTGAAGAGTTTTCAAATAATATGGAAGAAGACCTTGATAAAGATAAAAAGGAAAAAGTGATTACCAGTTATTGGAGTGTTAATGATATAAATTTATTTCCCCGTTTATTAAAACGATATGGAAGTCACTGGGACCAAATAGCCAAAGATATAGGAACCAAAAGTACCATTATGGTTAGGAACTATTATTCCAAAAATACCGACATTAAAGGATGGAAAGAATTAATGATTCAGGGAGATAAAAATTATCAAAGAAGTTATGGAGGTAGAATTGAAAATAGAAATGGCTACTCTGAGTTTCTTGGAAGTAAGAGTATTAGTTATTCGACGCCTTCAATTGAGCAAGAAAAGTTTATCAGAGCAAATTATAAAATGAATGGTGATTGTAACCCTTTTTTGACTCAGCCCCCTCTCGGTTTATTTCACGAAACATTGAAACAACCCTTCAATCAATATCCAACCGATCCAAATCAGAATCATGAAAATATCTATCCAATACCCAATTTTGGAACATTTTATAACAAATCTTCATATAACCCAGATGAAAATCCGATGCCAATAAATATCTATGGGCAAACCCAAACACCTGTTCAAAGTGCTGGTTCATCTCCCTCCCCACGTAATAATAATGCATCAATATCTAATTTTTTAGACAATGTTTCAAGAAACCCTCATCAATCCAAAACCTCAATTATGAGCTTATTAAATAGCGATCCAATAGAATCGAAAGTTCATCATGAAACTTCAAATAATGGCTCAGCATCAAGCAATGATCAATTTGTTTTTTGTTCATCAAATACCAGCACAGCTACAAACCGTTTACCTCATATTTCTTCAATTTTAAACAACGAGAATGAAAATGAATTTTATAGTGGTTCTCAACGCACAAATTCAAGTGAAAATCCCTCAATCAGATTATATCCTAATATGTCTGGCAGTTTACCACCACTTGATACCGAATCAGGTAAGTATAAGTTGTTACCTGATCCTCCTTTGTATTCTTTTTCTTCTGGAAATAGCAGATCTCAGAGTGCAGAAACTAATTCTAAAAATTAGATCAATAAACATTGAACTCTCAGATTTTTCAATTCTTTCTTATATATATTCAATAGACTTACTAATATTTTTTTTTTCCTCTGCTTTAATTTTTAATTTTTCAATTGTTAAATTTTCTACCTATTCTCTTATTTTTATTTTTTTAAACGGTTTGATTTTTAAATCTTAATTTTTTTTCAAATTTATTATTTTAACTTGGATATGCTGCTTTTATTTTGAATTGAGTTTATCTGAATACTTTGCTGTTTCTTCTTAGCAAATGTTGTATACTATTATATTGGACATGTGTATATTACAATAAACATGTATTTTTAAGGTGTGTTGATTCAACAATGTATTTTATTTTTCGTATTCTGCTAATTATTTTTAATCTCTTTATTTTATTGTCTTAAGTAGTATCCGAGCCAATACTCAGAGTGTGTTCTAAAAGGCTGTCAAGAAATGCTACCTTTTTATAATTGTTTTTCTCAGAAACATCTGTTGTAGTTTTTTTGTTAATAGTAATTTGAATGTCTTCATTGTCATGCTCATCTCCAACATAAAAGTTGAGCTTTCTGATGTGGGTTGGCTTCGAGCCAGTTATTGTTATGCAAGTTTCATGATCGTAGCCAACTTTATTTTTGACTTCAGAAAACTTTTCAATGCTCTTTAAAGATGTCATTTCGAGATTTTCAAAAGGTCTAGTACTATAATTCAGTTTTGATGGTGTCTTATAGTCCAAGACTGGAATGTCAACTAGAATACTAGTTTTCTTTTTCATAGGGGATTTTAGAATCATTTCTTTTTCGAAAGATGAATCTGTATCTGAAAAACTATTTTTCTCATGGGTTTCAAAATATTTATAAGATGATGATTTTTTAGTCAACTGAACCAAAGGAGTTTGTAATTCTTTAGAATCCTTGCTTTTATTTTTATTGGTCTCATCATATAATATCTCAATACTACTTGAATCATCATCTGTTTCTTCCAGACTTTCATTTTTAGAAGAATTAATTTCAATAAAACTTGTTGATTCGTTTAAGTTAAATTCTAGTTTTCTGTTTGATTGATAACTGTTTGTTATTGGATGACTTGGTGGTTTTTTCAAAGGTGAATCAATATCTTCAGGATCAGAAACGAGATTTTTGTAAGGTGAGCTTTCAATAGGAAAAACTAGTTTGTCTATAACATCTAAATCAATAATATCCTTTAAATATTTTTCATTTTTATTTTTTTTTTCAGTTTTTTTTAGTTTTTCAATTATTTGGATCTCACCAAAACAATCCATTGAATCATTGGAAATAGTCGTATCTTCATCACTAAGTAACGATATTGTTACTTTTTTATTTGTCTGTTTTTTAGATAATGATGCCATTGGCTTGAAAAAATCTGTAATAAAGTTTGAAGTTTCTAATGAATTTTTTGACCTGAGTTTCTTAAAGCTTTTTTGTTGAATCTTGCTTTTTGCAAAACTTATATCTTTATTGTTATTGAAATCAACAATCTGAATAGAACTATATTTCTTGGGACTCAAAAAGCCTAAGGTTTCAAGAGTAGTCTTTTGAACTGGATATTTTTTGATCTTTTTAGTGTTCATTTCTTTCAATTGTTTTTCTTTTTCCAAGAGTCTAAACAGATCAACTATGTCAGAACAATAATATTCAACGATAGCAAGTGAAACCCAAACAAAATCGTTTTTCCTAGTTGTTGAGTTCAGACTGCTTTTATTATCTCGATTTATTATATGGTTATTGCCGTTGACATCATTGTCCTCATTGCATTTCAAATCTGGTTCTACAGATGATTTTTTTAAATTAATCAATAAATTGTTGAAAAATTTCATTTTATCATATGTAATCCTAACAACTTTTAAGGAAATATTTAAATCACCAAATGATTTTTTATTGATTTTTTTTCTAGGATAATTAATTTCCTTCACCATATCTATAGCAATGGGTGGTTTGTTTTTCAGATTGAATTCTCTTGAACTGGAATAATATTTGTTCAAATTTTTGACAGCATAACATTGATCTAAATGTTTGCAAGTCCATTCTCTAGGATTATTTGAACCAAATGCCCTTGATAAGGGCAAGCCAGATATTTTTTGTAAAATAGAATTAAATTTAGGTAATCCAAACCAATCATTGAAAATTTGACTTTTTGGTTGGAACAAAGTTGAATTAATTTTAGATGGAATTTGATTCCATTTGCAAGAAGTTTTATCATATTTAAAGATCGAATCGCCAAGAAAATTCGGATATGAGTTACTGATGCCAGTGAATGTTTTTAAAATCAATTCATTTGCATTGTTTAACACATAATCTTTAAAGAGATTTGTTAGAGAATCATCAAAAGTTAAGTTATTCTTTTTTGAATTTGAATTTGAATTAACAGAGTGAAACTCGGCAAAATTAGTAGAGCCTGAAACAAAATTGAACAAGGTGCTGTGGTTTAAGTATGGATAAAAGTATAATAATATTATATTATCTGGTGGAAACCCAATTAAATTAATTCCTTCGAAATTCACTTTTCTACCAAATATTTCTGTTGAAAAAGCCTTCAAACAGGAGAGTAAATCTTCTTTAAATTTTTTTAAGTTTGCTTCCCGAGTTTCTTTTGGAGCTGTTATACTATTAAAATAAAGATTTTTTAACAATAAAGAAAAATCTGGAATTGCATAGTCAGAGATAAAATTTTGATCATTGTTAGTAGATATATTGGATTTATTAATTGGAAAGTTTAATTTTGGTTTTGGTTTTGGTTTAATTTTAGATTTTGATTTGGTTGTCTTTGATTTAGCAGTTGATTTTTGGTTAAAAAATTTAAAAAAATTAGTTCCAATTAAGGATAATCTCAGAGCTCTAGCTGAGCCAATGTTATGGACTCCAGAGCTATAATCAGCACCTCTTAATAAAGCTAGAAATAATAATCTCCATCTGTTAAATCCAGTTTTAAGTTCGACGTTATCAATATGGACAGGAGTGACCCAAAAATCGGGTTCTTCATGAAATTTGGTTAAATTTTCTTCATTAGCATTTTTATCACCATCAATGGTGACTGAACCCAAATCAGAGTTCAAATCGAATGCAGAAGAAGAAGAAGAAGAAAAAGAAAAAGAACTTGAAGGGATTTTTTTAATTTTGTTTTTAATTTTGGTCGCATTTGGTGGCTTATCCTCAATAAATTTACTAAAATTTCTTAGGATTTTAGTTCCACCAAATATTAGGACATCAGAATCATTTGTAATAATATAATCAACAATATTCAAGTACTGCAATCTTGCACATTCTGCTTCAGCCTCGCCTGCAGCATCTATGTAAGGAATATTCCAGTTGATTAGTTCTTTTTTTATGGCCAAGACGTAGTTATTAAATAATGATAAGTGTTTGTTGATAGTGATAGTATTGTTATTGTTATTTTTGATGTCATTTATGCTAATGTTTGACATATTTAGCACCAAGTCTGGATTAAGAAAAATCCGTTGAATAAAGTCAATATATTCAGCATCATAGTTGGGATTGATATTGTTTTGAAGAATGGAATCTTTATTTGTTGCAGTAAAGTTTCTCTTGAATTTTGGTTTGAATTTTCCATCAAATACAAATACAAAAGATATACTCAAAGATAGCAATAAACGAATTCTTGAGTTAAAAAGTTGCAAAGTTCTTTGAATATTGTGGGATAAGTTATTGTTTAAGGGAGGAGCATTATTGGATGTGTTGGTAGCATGGGAGTTTGCAAAAGAAGAAACTTCGAATATCCAGCCATACGCATCAATTGCAACCCTCAAGGGCCTTTTGTTGGATTGCAAGAAATCAGAGATGAACACATTGAAGGGAATTCTTTTGTCAAAGCCAGTTGATATTGAATCCCATAAGTCAGGCACACCCATTCGAGAACAAGAGAAGAAGGGAGCTGGATGGATAGGGAATTTTTATATAGTTTATGTCAGTGGCAGTGTGAGAGCAATGCAGTTAAACAGCGAATAGCATTGCTGCTTTTAGTTAACTAGAAAGATTTGTATTTACTTGCAATTAAAAAAAGAAATATTTATTTAACTTGCCCAAAAGAGCAGTGGATATAAAAAAAAAGGAAAAACCCGCAGCAGTGGATTTTCACAGAATCAGTTCCTTTTTGATTTTACTTTTGTGGGCAATGCTGGTCTTTGAGAGTTCTTTGGGTTTTTATTTTGGGCCACCACTTGTTGTAAATTGCTGTAATCGTTTTGTAGGTCCTTGAGGAAATCTGGATCAAGTTTTTGGATGTAATTAAAGCCAATCAAGAGTATAATTGAAGAGACGGTTCCGAACAAGGCTAGCTTACTATTCAACAATCCAGCAATAGGACCAGAAGTAGTTATGCCTTTATTTTTGGGCTCGTAGTATTTTCTTAAAGGGTTCTTTTGATTCAAAGTTATATTTAAAGGATAGTCCACCTCAATTAGGTCGTTGTATCTATGGCCAAGTTCATTTTCGTAGGCGGTTATTGTGATGTTGTTGTTAGAAGCATCTTGCGTCTCGTTAATCAAAACGACAAAGCGATCTTTGTCGAAATTGTAATCAGTAGAGGAAACTGTTAACAAGTAATCGCCAATAGAAAGGTCTTGGAGCGTTTTAAAGGAGCCATCATGTCTCAAAGGCACTCTGAATTCGATGTTATCAGAGGAAGGGTGGCTGAAATTGAGCTGCTGGAGATGGATGAAAAAGTGGGTTGGGTTGATGCTGGATAAGTCAATGCCAGACACAGCTCCCTTGATGGAATAAGCATTTGCAGCATTGAGCAGCAAAAACAACACCAGCAGTAGAACCAAAGCACAGCAGTTGATGAGTCTCATGGCAAGTGTTTCGTTGGAAATCAACAAAAGCACTTCTTCAAAGACCTCAAAAATTTCATCGAAGATCAAAACTAGAAAAACAGACGTACCACACTTATGTACATGGTACCGCGCTTATGCACACCATACCGCATTGCATATACGCACAGTGCTGCACAAACAATCCGATATACACGTGGTAATACACGTTCACTTATGTGGCCACTTAAACGGGACCTCTTTACCTGTTATTGTTTCAACACTTCAGCAATTTGAACTCATCTTCAGCTGTTTCTTCTCCATCTGCTTCTTCTCCATCTGCTTCTTCTATCTGATTGCCATCGTCCACTGCTGCTACTGTTTATTCAATCTGGCCCATCTATTGAAGCAAATGGCTAGTATTACCAACGAGCATCTCACAGTCAAGGTCTGGTTTCCCAATCCAGGCGATGTACCCTTCGACACCACCATTAAAACCACTTTGAGCAATACCCTCGCCGACTTGAAAGACGTAATATGGAAGAGGAGTTACCAGCATTACGAGAATCTATCTCTAAACGATGGTGATAATGATCATACTGATCAATTAGATAATGCTGCCAATTTTTATGGTAACAATAACGACTCACCCCTACCCGACTCAGAATCAACTTCCACTGTCCCAGCTAACAATCCTTTGATTTTGTATCCTGACACCTACAATTTTGTATTTGAGAACCTGGAATTAAAAAACGACGATTTAAAATTGGAGGGGCTATTTCTAAATCATATTGTCGATTTTAACACCCCTGAGCTATTAATGATAAAATTAACTACTGCTGAAAACTTGCAAAATAAAAATATCCCTTCAATCAATAACATCAATAATATTAATACACGCACACTCTACAGAGATCCATTTTTAGATGTAAATTTTACATTTATACAAGATGAATTAGATGCCTTTGATTTTAAATTCTCCACAAGAGAAAATCTATCTTGTACAATTAAATCGTTAAAATATTTTATTCTATCAAACTTTACCAAAAAGGGTTTTTTATCAAATTTAAAACAAAGTTCAATTGATGATATCAATTTATACTATAAAATTAATTTCGGTGAATTAAATCATCACATTTCTCACGATTCAAAAGAAAAAGAAAAAGGAAAAGAAAATTTATCGGAAATTGAACAATCAAATAATCAATTTTTTAAACGTTTCCATTTTGATCTTAGTTCTAAAAATAACAACCTTGATTCAAAAGGAATACTACTCCTTAACCACCAAACCTTATCTGATATCCTAAACCTAGATACAATCCCAAACTTCGATCTAAATTTGATCATCTCCTTAAATTTAATCGACAACTTTCAAAAAAAAATCAGAAAAGATTTCACCAAAGTTAAACTATCTTCTCCAAATGAAAACAATTTGTCTAAAAAAGTCATAATGATTAATAACTCAGATACAATAATAGATCTAAAATTCAAAATCACTCAATTATATAACCCAGGTCAGAATATTACCCTAAATTCTGAATTAAATACAGATGACATTAAAATTATTTATAGAGGAAAATTTTTAAGGGATGATTTAATATTTAAAGATTTTAATGTAATTGACAGTTCTCTTGCTTTTGATGGCTTGGATAATTTAACTCTACATTTCGTTATTAGCCAATCTTTCTTTGAGAGAAACCCTCAAGTATTAAATTCAATCTCCAAAAATAACAAAGATATAAACAAAAATCTCTCTAATAAATCTGAATCCCTATGGCAATCAATAAGAAATGGCTCGGCTTTTGAATATTTACCAAGAATTCCCCAAGATGATTCTAATAATCATAATACTCAACCCACTTCTCCTTCTTCTCCTTCTTCTCCTTCAACTTCAACTTTTTCACCTATACCATTCTCATCAATTTTCCCTTCTACTACATCATCTTCTGCTACATCACCTTCTCTTCCTTCTCCTCCTCCCCCTTCTTCATTGCCATCATCATTATTCCAGGCTCCTTCAACTTTAACTTCCATAACTGATAAGAAAAAGTTGTATTTAAATAAACCTCCTGCTTTTACTGAACATTTATCCGGCAACTCATTTGATGAATCAATTAACTTTAATGATGACTCGAAAGCTAAATCTGAATCTCGGTTAGTCCACGCTTTGGAGAATTCATCCAAATTCTATATCTTCAAAGTTGATGATAAAAAAATTAAATTATCAACCTCACAAATGATAATAAATGATTCAAATCCTGACCATCCCTATCTTATGCTATCTCCTTCGGGTTTCTCTAAATTAAAGACACAATTAAAAGAAATTCAATCAATTATTCCTCCAAAAGTCTTACTTAAAGATTCAAAAAGCTCAAATAAACCTCTCAAATATTCAGCTCCTAGTATTTCCAATGATTTTCATTCAAACATTCCAACTCCTAGCATTAATATTAATAATAATAATGAAAATTTAAATCATAATAACGATGCCAATACTAGAAATACTAATCCTAGTACTAATACTAACACTAACCCCAGCCCTAATTCCCATACAAATACAACCCAAAATCAAAATCAAAATCAAAATAACAGAGGAATAGCCAATGATCAAGTTCAAGACTTTTTTGAAAATTTAAATAATAGGTTTTTTGCTCCTCCTGCTTTTAACCCAATGTTAAATCCTATGATGAACCCTGCCTTCCAACCTGGTCAAGGAGGTTTCATTTTAAATATAAATGGAGTAAATGTGAATATAACAATGGATGATTTGAGAAATCTAAAAAATTATATTGTGAGTTTTTTCAGAAATTTGTACGAAGCTGGATTTTTTAGAAGGCTCTTTTCCTTTTATTTTGCTGTTGCTAAATTTTCATTCTGCTTTTATCTATTTCTTTATCCATATTGCAATTTCAAAACCAATTTCTGGAGATCAGTTCTTTTAGTTATGCTGTTTTTAATATTCTTTTTAACAAGAGATTCTCTTTTAATCAGGTTAGAAGAGATTATCAGAAATGACATGCCTGAAATTCTAAGGCCGATAATCTTAAAGTACTTTTTAATCTATAGAAATGCAAATCACAGGATTCATGATTTTTTTCATAATCTTGGCAAAAATTTAAATTCATTTGCAATTTCTGTTGATAGGATTGAAATCGATTCAAAAGAATATATTCGATTAACATCTTCAAATGTCGAAACTCGTGAACCATCTGACGAGAATATAGATGATATTATAAATAATGAAGAATTGGAATTAGAAATTCAAACAGTTATAGATGAGATTAAAAACAGCTTATTTAATGACGTAAACAATAATAATCTTCTATTTAATCAATATGTTCAAAATACTTATTTAAGAAAGGGATTTAGTATAGCAAAAAGATTTACTAAAGATGCAGTACTCTTTGTAACAAGCTTGAATCCTGTTCTTTATGAAGATATTGATATAGTTACAACTAAGAGAAAGGCTGAGAAGTTGGCTCTAATATCTAAAGAGATTGAAAAAAGGCGAACTACTAGTAATGAAATTACTGCTGATAATTCTGGAGCAGTACAAACTGGAAGTTTAACAACTGAAGATGAGGATAACACTACAACACAGGAAATTCATCGAAGATTAACATAATTTTCGATTAACTAATTGCTTTGAAATCCAATATGATTTTTCTTGTTTTGAAAATAATTGTTTTTCAAATGAACAATTTAGTATCATGAGGCGGATTTTTTCTCTCTTCAATATTTTCAATTTTATAGATTGTATTACTAGTAAAACTAAGTAAAAGTCAACCATTTTTTAATTTTATTATGAAATGTATGAATATATTTGAGGTCAGTTCGTTGTTTATGTGTTTAACTTTCACAAATTAAAATTGCATTAATAAATAGGCTTTTTGTGTTTATGCAGTTACATTCTGCCTTTTTTTATAGGTATATAACATTTTAATCATACAAGAGTAAATTTTAATAAAGTGAGGCAAACTTAGACTCTTTCTATCTCGAAATGACTGTCTGGATCAAAAAATCAAAAGGGGCGATAGACCTATATCAAAAAACTGATATCAATTCAAGATAAAATTTGTTCAAGAAACCGCTATGATATTGTGATACATTGGAAATGTATTTCCCAATTATGTTATGAAAAATTCGATTATTATTAAAAAATTTTAAGGGAAAAATCAATTAATAAAAAAGAAAAGGAAATTAAAGGGATTTATAAAAAAAATATTTAAATACTATGTACACATATATATCAAAAAGATAAACCTGCTACTTGACACCAAAATTAAGCATTTTAAGCATTTGAACGTGAGTTTCTCGATGAGTTTCTCGATGAGTTTGGTTTACGGTAAGCAATATTAGCTTGACGATCAGCTCCAATTGATTGTAAAGCTTGCATCATATCACTTCTGTTTAAATAGGTGATAAAGAAACAACTTCTGCCCTTATCAAGACGTCTAAGAGAAACTAGCGGACCAAAATTTTTAGCAAGTTGATACATTTCTTCTAAAGAAGTTCCTGATTCATTGTCAACAAAAAGAGTATTACTAGAACCTGCTGATTGCTCCTTTAGATAATCAGGTTGAATCAAAACATTATTAAATTCCAAACCTTTCAACTTTGCTAAGGCATTGGTAGTATCTTCAACGGAATTAAAACCAAGTTCAAGAAATTTTTGGAAATCATTATAAACACAATAATCGTAAGCTAATGGATAGTCAGCAACTAATTTTTTGACTTCTTCAGTCAACCCAGTAGTATCAGAAATAAAAGATAAAGGAATCACAATAGTAGTATTAGGAGGATTCATTGGGTCAAGTTTTGTTTTAGTAAACGTATAATTATTGAACAAAAGAACCCTCTTTACATTATCAAAAACAGAAGGGGAATCAAATTCCAATTGAATACGATAATTATTTTCATTGCTGCTTAAAATTTCAAATTTTTCAACACCAAAAATACCTTGTTGATTGCCTTTTTCGAAATTCTTGGAACTAAAAGAATTTGGAATCGAGAAAATAGCAGCTAAACCTGATGCTGTAGAGTTTGAAAAAGTACGAGCAGCAAATGGCTTAACAAAGGAAGAAGTTAATTGTTTGGAAAATCTTGAAGCAATCATTGTGGTTTGTTTCGTAGGTTTTATCTTGTGAATTATGTGCCAGAAATGTGAAAAGTAGTTGAATAAATTTTTACAGAATAAGAAAAAATCTTCACTCAAGTTGAAAAATAAAAGTCACGTGATATGGATATCACTTTACTCACTAAGGCCGATACTTGGTTACCCTGCTCTGCACATATAAAATCAAGAAAAAGCCGCTAACAAATTGGAGTTTGAGGTGTGAGAAGGTGTGTTACCCTCTTGAGGTTTTTGCTCTAATAGAAACGCTTTTCTGAGGAATCGAACCGCTGTTTTTGTTTTTTTCATAAAGCTATTGATTATATCGAAGGTTTTCTGTAATCAAAAAGATCTTTTAACTGAATTTGAATATAAAGTCGCCATTTTTAATGAGCTTCAAGACTTTCATTTGCACTGAGCTTGGAAGTGTTCTTTTTGTTATCCGATCTATATCAACAGAGTTTTCATCTTTATCTTTATCATCTTTGATATCATTGTCCATTTCTTTGATTTTTTTATTTATATTTACATATAAATCAGGAAATTCTTTTTCTATCAACTCGCTTTTCACTGAACTTAGATTATGGCTTGCTGATAGCTTTTTAATGAACTCTCTGTATTTATTGATTTGGTTAACAAGCAACACAATTGAAAATGAAATGAAAAAATTGTAAACTAAATTATTAAATCTTTTGTGATTAATATTCAATTTGCGAATTATGTTAAGATTATTTGCTATTTTAGAAAAATTTGGATTTTTTATAATCAGCACTGAAAAACTTTTAAATATACTATTTAAAACTGTTAAATTATTATCAAAGTTTGCCATGCCTGATGAAAAAATGATTGAAAAGATAAAAAACACTTTTTTAATATCAATTTTAAAGTCTTTTTTAAAATTCACGTTCATTTGTATTTTTTTTTTATCAATATCAATTTTTTTAAAATTTTCAAGTAGTTTTAAATTGTTTAAAAAATAATATTGTAATAAAAAACAATATCCAGAAAAAATAAGTAATCTAGAATATATTGGATGATATAAATAATATTTAAGCCTTTGAAAGTTAAATGAAAGATTATTATATGATGAATATTTCAATCGATAAAGATTCAAATTCAATTTTAAAAACAACGAATTGATAAATAATGTCGAAAAAATACTCTTCTTTGATATTACGAAATCATTTGGATAAATTAAAAATGATAATACTGAAGCTATAAATAATGACATTTCATTATTTTTGTTTTTTTGATGATAATTAGGATTAATATGATTAATATTAGCATTACTAATATGATTTATAGAAACTGCATTGTTTTCATTGATGTCTAAAGAATTATTGGACTTTCTTGTTAAAAAAAATTTAATCAAAGGATTTAATGAAAACAAGATTGAAATTGATGTAGAAAATCTCAACAATTTCAAATAATGATATAATGAAATTTTATTGTTTTTAAGAGATTTCAGTAAAATCACTAGTTTTTTCAATATCTTATGGAATTTGGAATATTTTCTAATCAACTTGAGATAATTTCTATCAATTAGCTTAATAATAGTCTTGAAGATCTCGTTTAAAACAATCAAAAATGCTAAACCACTAGAAAAAATAACAAGGAAATTTTTGCTGAAAGATTGGCATGTTGAAAATAAAATTTTCTCTACATCACTAAAGGAATTTGAGACAGTGATAACTTCATCTGATAACCGATCCAATGTAACAAACTTGTTAACCAGAATCACCTTCAATAGATAAGAAAGTTTATTAGATATTATCCTGTATTCATCTCTAGAAAACACCAATAGTATGAGATAGCTCAAGCTATTGAGCACCTTGTCTCCCCGAGATCTCTGCTCCACCTCCATCTTCAGCACTACCAAACAACCCAGCTCAACCCAAATGCAAATCAATAATCCCTCGTCCAAAGCAGGTTATACTGTTGAATCTCTTGCATTGGGACGCGGGGCAAAACGAACAATAGCCAATAATAGCAACAATAGCCAACAATAACCAACGGGCTCATGTGACACAAAGCTTATTGCGGTCACAAAGAATAGGCACAAAAAGAAAAAGCATTGCTTCTACAGACACATGAGAAAAGAAACATGATTGAAATATATTGTCAATTGAAAGAATAGAAAACATTTCAAGAGCACAGAAGTTGGAATTCAAAAAATACTTGAAAAATAACAAAATAATAAAATAAAATAACGATAAAATAACTATAAAATAATAAAACACTAAAGTCACAATACGAGCTGACAAAAAAAAAAGAATTGAAACAAAACAAATGATGAAAGGATTATTTATAGATTAATTTTTCAATAAAACGGAAGAATTTGCGTAGAACGCCATCCTTCTTCTCCAAAGCTGAGAAATATGCTTCTTCAATTTCTTCTTCTCTGTCTATTTGTAACTTTCCTGTTATAATATCGGCTTCTCTTGATGTGTGGATTTTAGTTTTCTTTAAAATTTTCCAAAACAAATAAAGGATAATGAATGCAACTGGAGAAAAATAACAAACGAACAAATTTTGAACAGAAAAATTACCTGGCCAGAAAATGTATGCACCATTGAATAAAAGTGTCACTATACAAAGAATTAAACCGGTATAAGCACAATATGGTTGTAATTTGAAAGGAGTTTGATAGTAATGATTTCTATATCCTTGAACCTTCATACTTTTCCTAAAGCATATATAAGAAAGAAAGACTGTACTATGAACCATTAAAACACAGGATGTTGTAATGGTAATAAACCATATATAGATCTTTTGAGAAGAAGTTGAGCAACTTAAAAATGAAAGACAGGAGATAAGTGCAGTGATTGCAACACAAAAGATTGGGGAACCATTTTTTAAACACATTGAAAAGATTCTTGGAATATATCCTACTAATGAAAGCGAGTATAAACATCTTGTAGATGAATAAAAGGCTGCATTACCACAAGACCAAACTGAGGTGATAATAATAGCATTAATTAATGAAGAAAACCCTCTAACACCTGCATTTTCAATACCAATGACCCATGGAGAAGCACCGGCACCAATTTTGCTAGCACCAACAGCTTCTAATAAGTTTGGGTCATTTGATGCACAAATACAATTCATGAAAAAAATACCACCAATATAAAAGAGATAAATTCTGAAAAATGCATTTCTGCCGGCAACGGGAATGGATCTTCTTGGTCTTTCAATTTCTCCAGCAATAATTAAAATAAATTCTGGACCACCAGAGGAGAAAGCTGAATAAACAAAGACGTTCCAAAAGCCAATAAACTTACCAAGATCTCCCTCCTCGAGATATGGTTTAAATAAACCACCTTTTGACCAATTGCTAAACCCATAGGCATCACCTTTGGGATTAGCACCACACATACTTAAGAATGAAAACATCATCAAGCCAATGATCAAAAGAATTTTAAACATGCAACCAACAAATTCGATCTCACCAAACCAGTTGACTGCAAAGATGTTGCAAATAATATAGAGTACTAATCCAAGAAAGATAAAAGACCAAGTTGGGATATTTGCAGATTCCCAATAACGAACTAAACTACCCATTGCAACTAATTCAACACAGACATACATGGCAGTTGAGTAAGCATAAATGATTCCACAAGCAAAACCAAGAGCAGGATCAACAAATCTTCCAGCAAAATGGAAAAAGGAACCTTTAATGGGGAGCCAAACAGCCATTTCAGTTGCGCATTGCATTAATGGCCACATATCAAGGAAGGCCCATGTTATAAAAGCTAAAAACAATGAAAGAGAACCGTATCTAATTAAAGGAATGGCAAGACCAACAAATAGAGATGAACCGATACAGGAACCAATTGTCATTAAACTAACATGTCTTAAATTCAAACCTCTTTTAATGTTGCCATATCTATCAGGATCATATCTTTCTTCAAAACCATTGAATTGAACGGTTTGTTTTAACATTCTTTCATCGTTCATGTACCCATTGGATTCTTTTGAGCTGTCGCCTATATTGTATTCTTCCTCGTGGCCATCTTCATAATATTTTTGATTTATATTACTGGGACCAGAGAATCTTTGACCGTTGTTTAAGTTTTCGAGGAGCGACTCTGCTGGCAAATCACTTCGGTTTCTTTTATCGTCCATTATTATAGATGATGGACTTATCATATTATATGTTTAATAAAAAAAATAAAAAAAAGTAACCTGAAATGAATTTGTACTTGATGATTATGAGGAAAGAAGATAATGGGAATTGATAAAAAGTTTTGCTTTCTAGAACGCCTTTTTAACGTTTATTATGCTGAAGGTATTTAAGATTTTATATTATGTAGTATTTGCTGATAGAAATGAAATTTGATTATAAGCTCCAATTATGATATTTCTATTTGTAACTGGAAAGAGAAGTCAAAGCAGGAAAAAAAATGAGAGAAAAAGATTTTGATTAATTACCAGGGTATATAAAGAAATATAAAACAGCAACAAGTAAAAGATACAACAGGTTGATTAGGTGATGATTCTATGATACTTCCAAAAGAGATAGCTTGTGTTCAATCAAGTATATTAGGGGATTATTGTTAATTATAAGTTATTAGAAAAATTAGTTTGGTATTGAGCAAATCGTAGGTTTTATTTTATAAAAGGAAATATTCAAAACAAAATTCAATTTTCATCACAAATTTTTGAAAGAAGAAAACCAATCAACGAAGCAGAAGGAAAAAAAGTGTTAGTTACTGAACTGTTTCTTACATATCTGGCGATTTTCCAAACGCAGTGTATTGTAAAACAGTGGTGAAAAGTAATTGCAAAATCCAGATTTTCAGAGAGAAATGTTCAAGTGAAAAAGCTGTTCCAGTCCCAATGATCGCCAAAAAGAGAATCGAAATCAAAAAGAGCAAGCCCAAACCTGATTTCTAGCGTCAGTTTCTTTAGCAAGTAACGACAAAATAGATACGAAGCAAAAAGATAGCCAGTAGAAATGCTTAATCAGATATAGGAGAAGCTTTTTACCAATAGTTTGCTGAAAAGAGAGCAGCAGAGAGCTGATAATCGATAATAAAGGATAATAACGTCCGTTTAATTTAGCCCACAGCAAAATACATTCTTGTAGAAGAGGTGTCTTGGGACGTAAGGCAGGTCTTTATGCGGACATCGCACGCACCTGCAGAACGTCCCACAGGGGTCTCAAACACTTTTGGGCCGAGAAAGGGCCAGCACCCGCAGTAGCCGAACATGGCACACTGAACCACTTTCGCGCTTCAGTGGTTTTCAGATAAACGCTCTGTGGTTGTAACATTAGTCGTAAGGAAGCAGTGAATTCTCAAGTCTCAGATTCTCAAGTCTTAAGACTCGTTCTTTGAGCTCAAGCACTGATCTCACATCTGACAACTGGTTTATCTCTTGCTTCTGTTTTACCTGGAAAAGATAGCAGCAGAACACATGGTTGGGGGTGAGTGAGGATTAACCCAATTCCACACCACGATTTTTTGGCTGCTAATATTCTACCAAGAATGGTGTTGAATTGTTGAATGGTTGGATTGTTATATTTTTATGTCCATGTTTCCATGTGTTTATATTGTTACAATGATATTTTTGGCTAATCTTGATGTGGAAAGTCTCTTACAGGATTTCGTTTGCTCACTTGACCCGCCAGTAATCTCTGTGCAGACCATGGTTATTATCTCCAACTTTAAAGAGATTCTCATTATCAAGTCCATCTTTTCCCCCAAAGACGTTTGGTTTCGCTCTGGCTATTGGTTTCTATTGTATGTATTTGTTTCACTATTTTATTTGTTTACATTTTGTTTTTAGCTTCCATTGTGCTGAGAGGACAATCGATCATTGTTTCTTCAATGGTTTGTTTTTTCTCTTTTAGGACAGCAGCATATCAATTGATCCATATCGTTTGGCTAACCTGATTATCAAAGAAAAAGAAGTTTCCCAGCGCCAAAGTTCAATTAATAGCCCACAAACTAGAGATTCCTCTTGTTTGTTCTCATATGTGATACTCAAAAATTTTATAATGAAAACCTTGCATATTTTACTGTAGCAATACGGTTTTCAATCAGCTTAATCTGAAAAAGTAATTTTGAATTCTTTGCTGTTTGAATTAGCAAAATTAAACAGGCATTGGGAATTTTTCACCATCCAGATCAGCATTGTGACTATCAGCTATGGCTCCCTCAGAGCCCCCCTAGATAAGAATGACTGGCAAGAGCAGCTAGTCAGTCCTCTTGCAAGAATGTCTTGCTTTCATTCTTTCAAAAGCATTTTCGAAAAGAGCTGTGGTGAATAACCAGGCTTACTTCAAGTGCCAGACATTTCTGGTGGTGATGGAGCACCCTCCCGCTTCCAGGGGTGTGATGCAAAAGCTCCTCACTGCTCTACTGGGACAGCGAGTCCCGATTCCGCCTTTAGGTCCCAATTATCACCCGGATATGCAACAGACCCTCTCTTTTCTATCCAAGAACACCCGTGCTATCGTGAGTAACATAAGCACTTTCAACAGTTTTCAACAACCTTTCGCAGCCTTTCCAGCTTTGAATCTGATGAGCCAAACTCTGCTGTTCATTTTTCCATTAAGGTTGTATAATAACTGAAACATACCAATAAACTCATATTTAACACTTGATTTTATTTGCTTTTATTTGTATTTAGTCTTATATTCTTATATTCTAATCTTATTTAATCTTATATTTGGTGTCTCATTTTGCTTTTCACCATAGTCCCAATCGAATAGCCGGTTTAATCAAAGCGAAACCCTCCATGTATGCTCATGCTGTACTATTTTATCTGGCTTTTGTTTTCCTTTTTCTTATTACCAACAGGCAAATTCTTTTCACTAACAAATATAATCACTTAATTTTGTTCACAAACAGGTGCGTATTTTTTTTAAGATTCGATACTGGTGCTTTGCTATGGTGCTCCCATATGCTAATAGTCTATGTCTGGTGTTTTTTGATCACCGAAAATCAAATCGTTTATCTTTCTGATTATGAGTTTAGAAACTTTCTGAATTTTTCTAAAATTTTAGAATTTTCTTTTAAAAATAGAGTAATTTGGATTCAAATTAATTAATCTAAAACAATTTCAATTTATTATTTGTTCAAAAGGTAAAATTCTAATATGAATAAAATTAACTTATTTTCTTAAAGATATTTCAATCTAGTACTTTCAGTTTTATTGTTTAATTAACCTAACTCGTACAACTACAATTCTAAAAATTAATTTAAAAATAAATAATATTATTAAATGGATTGATAAAACAAAAAAGACAGGCACAACAAAAAAGTCACTTTTTTTTCAATTTGTCATTAAGACACCAATGAATTCACTTTTATTTATGAGTTGAAACAAAATAAAAAGGTTGATAATTCCTTCATTAATTCATATTTCTATTACAATTATCTCTATTTAACTAAAGAGAAAAGAGAAAAAACATCATTCCCTTTGAATATTTAACTATATTTAATTATATTTACTGTTTTTTTACCTTTTATCTCTCTCCCTTAAGTTTTGCTAAAAATAATTAAAAATTAGTTATTTAATGCAAAGTATACTCTAAATCACTTTATTTTCTAATATTCTTATTGCATCCTATAACATACTATAATATCTTATAATAATAATGAGCTCTCCTGTTGAAGTTGGTCAATCCAACAGCTCTATAGAGAAAAAAGACATTGGACATGAAGAATCCAACATTGGCGATACATCAGATTCTGAAGAAATCAGAAAAGTCATTGAAATCAATGGTTTTGTAGAAAAATTCAATCCTGAATTGGGTAATGGTACTAAAAGAGGTTTAACCTATAGACAAGTCATGTTGATGGTCATTGGTAGTTGTATTGGTTCTTCCCTATTTATCAGTTTGTCGGTTCCTTTGGTTAGATATGGTTCTTTAGCTCTATTCATTGCTTTTGTCTTTTGGGCCTTTGTCGTCATCTGGCCTTTAATGCAAGCTGCTTGTGAAATGGCTTCTTGGTTGCCAATCAAAGGTTCTTTCTTCCACTTTGTTGCCAGATTTATTGATCCTGCTTTAGCTTTCCCAGTTGGTGTTATGTATTGTTACTCCACTGCTATCTACGTCTGTGTTGAGTTGGTTGGTTTTGCTTCTCTTATCAACTACTGGCCCTCCACAAATGTTCCCATCTGGTCTTTTATTCTCTTGGGTTTGGGTTTAAACACCATTGTCAACATGATGGCTGTTAATTGGTTTGGTGAAATTGAGTTTTTTGCTTCTATGTTTAAGATTTTATTAATCATTGGTTTAATGATCTTCTCCTTCCTTAGTATGTGTGGTGCTAACCCTAAAAAAGATGCCTATGGTTTTGAACATTGGAGTCAAGGTGGTCTTTGGAAAACTGTTTACAAGACTGGTGATACTGGTAGATTCTTAGCCTTCTGGAATGTCTTTGTCTATTCTGCTTTCTCTTCTGGTGGTCCAGAGGCCATCTTAATCTTTGCTGGTGAAATCAGACGTCCAAGAAGATCTGTTCCTTTAGCTGGTAAAACTGCCTTCTTTAGAATCTATCTTTTCTACATTGGTGGTATTTTCTTCATGAACACTTTATGTGCCTCCAACAATCCATCCTTATTACAGGCCATGGGTGAAGGTAAAGTTGGTGCCGGTGCTTCCCCATGGGTTATTGGTATCAAAACTGTTGGTGTTAGTGGTTTCTCTTCTCTAATCAATGCTATCATCATGACCTCTCTTTGGTCCTGTGGTAATGCTGCAACTTATTGTTCTACCAGAGGTATTTATGCCATGTCCTTAGCTGGTTACTTTCCAAGATTTTTCAGCAAATGTCTTAAAAATGGTTGTCCACTTTTTGCTTTATTACTTGCTGACTGTTTTGCTCTTCTTTCATTTTTAGCTACAAGCAATGATTCTTTGACTGTTTATACTTGGTTTATCAGTATTTGTTCTTCTTCAGTCTTATTGGTTCATTCAGCTATCTTCCTTGCTCATATTCGTTTCAGAGCTGCAATGAAAGTCCAAGGTTTGACTAACCCATATTATGAAACTCCATTTAATGTTCAACCTTATACTTCCTATGTTGGTATGTTCATGTGTCTTTTATGTTCTGTTTTCAATGGTTATTGGATTTTCATTGATGGCGAATTCCTGGTTTCCAGTTTATTCACATACTATTTCTCTCCTGTTTTCTTTGGTCTCACATATCTTTTCTGGAAAATATGGAAGAAAACTTCAATTATTCCATTAGCAGAAGTGGATTTGTTGACTGGTAAAAAGGCCATTGACAGAGAAGAACAAATGGAAATAGATGCTGATGAGGCTGCTGCTGCTGAAAATAAAGATAGTAAGGGTGTCTTCATAGGAAAGAAGATCTTGAAAGCTATTGCTGTCTTCCTTTATAGTAGTAAAAAAGGTGACCTCAAATAAGCTTATACTTATACTTTTTCCTTTTTAAGCTTCAATTCATGATTGTGATTTTTTTCGTTATAGTTTTATTTTTTTTTTCAGTTTATTTTAATAGTTTTATAGCTTTTTCTAAATATTTATATTAAAATTTAACAATTTCAATTCCAGCTCTAATTCTAACTCGCTATTTTCTACGATGATGTATGATGTTAGAAATGATGAAATGTCGATTGCTATATAGATATAATTATGAGATACTCAATATTTGAAAAATAATTTTTGGTAAAACGATAATTATTATGTCAAATCAAGAAAAAAAATGGATGCGAAGAAATGAAATTCCAGTTTTTTGAGATAACAAATTAAAATGAAAGTAAAAAAAAACAAAAAAACGAACAAACACAACAAAAAAAAATTATAGATCACTGATTCAAATCAGCAAAATTTTATAAATTCGTATTAAAGCTTCTAATGTATGGACTAGCAACACCTTCTTCATATAATTCATTAAAATATATCTTTTTTTTGGTTGCATTTAAAGGCTTTTCTCCTCCTCTACCTGTTGCATTATTCAAATTCATCATATTTTGAGAGCCATCGTTTCCTAATACATTTGTTGAAAACATATATTTATCTTTTGAAATCTCAGCAGAACTGTTTTGTCCTTTTGTTGGAGATTTACTTAATTTGTAATTGTTTTGTGGAGGTGGTGAATTCAGTATCTTTTGTTGTTTCTGTTGTTGTTGCTGAAGAAAATACAAGTAATCATCATTTTTATAATTTGATTGTTGTTTTTCTCTATATTGCCCTTTGAACAATACCTTGTTGTTCAAATTTATATTGTTTAAAGCTTCTCTTTGAGCAGCCATATAATATTGTTGTTGTTGTTGTTGTTGTTGTTGTTGTTGTTGTTGTTGCTGTTGCTGTTGCTGGGCAGCTTGAACAGCTTGAACAGCTTGAACAGCTTGAACAGCCTGAGCCTGAGCCTGAGCCTGAGCCTGAGCCTGAGCCTGAGCCTGAGCCTGTGCTTGTGCTTGAACTTGTGCCTGTGCTTGTAAATATGATTTTACTTTCTTGTCGACACTTTGCTTGACGACAAATTCAAATTCGTTTTGATAATTTATTCTTATTTTTTCAAACTCTACTTTCATATTTTCTCTTAGTTTTTCTTCGAGTTTTTTCAAATTATTCTCAATGCTTATTAATTGTTTTTCTTTCAATTTGAGCTCAAGTTCTTTTCTAAATATCTTAATAGAGGTTTCTTGTATCAAGATACATGCTGGAGGTCTTTGATCAGGATCAATGTTTATGCAAGCTGTTATAGTTGATTTTAATTTTGATGAATAATTGTTTGGTAAAGAAGGAAAAATTCCCTTTTTAATTTTCTGATATAATTCAATATGTGATTTAGCTTCAAATGGAGGATGCGACGCACATAGTTCATACATTACACAGCCCAAAGACCAAATATCACAAAGGGGTGTATATGGACGATTTGTTAAAACTTCAGGAGACATATAATATGGAGTACCAACATATGTGCTTGCCAAATCGTTTTCACAAGTAAGTAACTTGGCCAATCCAAAATCACCCAATTTAACAATGTTATTTTTCAATAAAAAGACATTATCTGGTTTTATATCTCTGTGAATGACAACTTTGTCGTTGTTGATATTTTCTGGATGAGACAAAGAAGAACTGGGCGTTGATTTGAAAATGTTATCTTTTATTGGAGGAGGATCAACGCCATAATGACAACGATATAAAGCACTGACTAGCTGAGCAAAAATCGACCATACCAAGTCTTCTGGAACATGATTACCAGTAGTTTTTGCATTTTTTATGACTTTTGATAAATCGCCATTATCACAGTATTCCATGTAGAGATAAACCATTGAAGTATCTGAATCATGTTCGTGGTATATGTACTGAACGATATTCGGATGGGAGACAGTTTTTAATATTCTTATCTCGGCAACTAATTGTGATCTCTCCTTTGGATCCATTCGATCATAAGAGATTTCCTTTCTAACAAATAGCTTTCCATCGTTTTTTCTTTTGACTTTTCTAACATACCCAAAAGAACCTTTTCCAATCAACTCAAGAACCTCAAACTCGAGTGAAGAGGTTTGAGATGCCATCGTATGTGTGTAAGACAGTGGGATGGTAAACAATATCTTTGGTTACCAGGATTAACAAGCAATAAATGAAACAAAACAGAATTAAAGGATATAAAAGTCTACTGAACAAAAAGTATTTTTGAATTAGTAGATCATAATTCTTGGGCATAATTTGACTGTTTACCTTTTGCCGTTTCGGGAATCCCAGTAGGCCCAAATGAGTGGATCAAATGTTAAAATCCGGACACAATGAAAGATGGGAATCTGATCAATCACAAAGAAAAGTTTGCAACAGAAGAATAAAAGGCCAAATCGCATTGAAAGACGTAAAAAAACATATAAACTATACACTGTATACACCTTTACTCTAAAAAATGTCCATGCCATCTTTGAGCTGCTTTGTGGCCCGTTTTACCCAGTAGTCCCCCAAGTAGTGCCAGTAGGGCTCACCAGTTACAGGGTGGTTTCGTTTCTCAAACCAGTTGGGAGTGTACTCTTCATTGGCTAGGTCTCTTTGCCTCTTTGCTGCTCTCTGTTTTTCCTCAACCCTATTCTTTTCTGTCGATGCATCATCGTATCTGCCATCTTCCATCGCTCTTTGATCTGGTCGTAATCTGGTATCTGTTGGTGCCAAATACTCCTTCAAACGTGGCTGTAGTGCATTCAACGATATAGCAAACGATGTCAAGTTAAATGGAGACTTGGGTCTGGGGTTGGCTTGCCACAATAATACTTTTTCGCCATATTCATTTTTTTCTTGATCGATAATTTGCTTGTAATATATTTTCGAGTTCCAGTGTCCATAAACAACGTAAAGAGGTTTTTCGTCTTTGTTAAACACAGTGCCTTTGACTTCATACGCATTGTTAGCTCTCCAACCTCTGGGTTTGAAACAAAAATCAATTTTATCTCCAGTGTTGTGATTACGGATTTCCATAGTACCATACTGATCAACAACTGGATGTCCAATGATTATACCAACAACAGAACTGGTAACTTTTTTCCACGTATACAACTCATCCTCAGCAATTTTAGTTCCATTAGAATCCCAAACTCCAGAAAATGGTCTTAATCTTAAAAACCATTTTCCTAATGGATGTATGTCAAATGATCTACCATTAAATTTGGACTTGACCGCACTTTCACCAATATAATCCCATCTAGGAGATTCTGCTATGGCTGCAGAAACCGGTGGATGATGAGAAACTTGCTCTACTAAAAATCTATAGTTTTGGTCAGGGCGACAATACTCAAAAGTTTCTCCCAATAAAGGATTAAAAGGCTTTGCAACACGATCAATTGTAGAACAATATTCCGAAGCAGCAAATGCAGCAATATAACACATTCTCAATGAGGAATCTTCAATATCTGATGCTTGATTTAATAATGAACAATATTCCATATCTTCAGCCACTCTCTGCAACAAGGACGTACATTCATTAAATGAAACTGGTAATGTAATTCGAGTCATATCTTTACCAATCATCGACTTAAGAATACCCCATAAAGAAATCTTTGGTCTATCATCTTCATCCATATCCAATTTAGTACGTATTGGATCTTCATATCCCTTAAAAGAACCCTCAGCTTTCAATTTATTTAAGACTTTCAACTGAATATCATTTAGACTATCCCCGTGAACCTGTTTAACAGGTTCCTTTATAGTATCAAATTCATTGGAAATTTCAGCACGATCTTCTTCAGCGACACTTTCTAGCTCTGGACCCTCTTTGATTTTTCTTTCAAATAGAACCTCTGATTTCAACGACTCAAAGTCGGTTTCAGCTTCTTCATCATTTGCAGCATCAAAAAATACATCAGAATCAGAATCAGGTTCTTCAATAAATTCCCTAATAGCTTGATCATCGACGCTTATCCTACTAGAAATAGGTAATGGAAGACCTTCAATTCCCTGTTCCTTATTGATTTCTCCCTCAACAGTTTCAGCAGTTAACTGATTATTTTCTGTTTCTTTTATTCTTTCATCGATTGACATGCTTCGCAATTTTTCAAACACTAGTTGATCAGAAGATAATATTTCATCGTAATTTTTGTCATAGTCATTCATTGTATTTGATACCACTCTAGTCAAATCATCTGAAAAAGTTTGTATGTTATCATCAATTTTTTTAACCTCGTTAATTAAACTTGGTCTTCTCTTATTGTTAATTGCTTCTTGAGTTGATAATAATCTTTTCCTTTCTTCTAGGACGATTCGCTCTTTAAGAACTCTTTTCAATTTTTTTCTTTCAAATTCCAACTTTTCCAACCTTTGAACATTTTTCATATTTTCTTTCTCCACTTCTTTGATTGAATCTTGCCATAACGAATTGATTTTTCGGGAGTGATTGAGATCTTTCGAGACCTTTGAAAGCTTTTCATTAGATAGTCTATTATAAGTTTCAAAATCATTAGATATTTCTGATAAAGAATGTAAAGACTCTTTCAAAGACAGTTTAATAATGTCAAATTTATTATCAGAAGTGTCTACTGGAAAAGAATAATATGACGAAGAAACTAATTCTTTTAAAACCGAAAGTTGTAAAGTGATTGATTTTTGCAAAGTTGCATAAGTTCTCGCGTCATTTAACCCAACTGATTTGTTTGTATCCAGATTATCTTCCATGTCCGAATCATAGTCATCAAAAGCTTCTTCATCATCTGAGGTTATAATTAGACTTGAAGAGTTATCTTTTTCATTTGATAATGGGACAATCAAGTCATTATTGGAGGGAATATTGTTAGAAAATGGGTTACTAGATGGATCAGATGCTGATTCTATTGGAGTCGAAAGAGAAGAAACTGAGGAACGGCTTTTGTTTTTTCGTTTAAATGAAGAGCCTGATAAGAACGATCTTGACCTTTTGTGATGTTTGGTAGTAGAAGTGGAACTGTTAGTATTATAAGGACCAACAGTAAGATTAGTACCAATTGTGATGCTTGATTGAGATCTGTTATGGTCACCCTTTTTTATGAGATTTGGAGATGCTTGATACTGGTTTGGTTGCTGTTGTTGCTCTTGCTGCTGTCGTTGTTGCTGGTGTCTTAGTTTTAAGTCTCTGTCTTTGGTGAACCTGATGGCGCCTTGAATTGACCATACCCATCTATTAACTTCGACTGGGTGGTTACCTTTTAAATGCCATCTGATATTATTTCTTGAGCCTAAAATTTCGAATCTTAGTTTTTCAGAGGAATCTAAATGTAGAGTACAATTTTTCAAGTTAATTGAACCTCTACAAGAAGTATTTATGTCATCTTGGTTTTTGTAGTAGGATAAAATTCCGTCAGAATCGAGTATGAACCAACGTAGTTTATAGCCACTTGCTATATTTGTCCATTTTTTAAGATAACCTTTTAAAGTAGGAGATTTATCAATTGAGTTTGGAAAGGTATTGTTTGGGTTGTTGTTGTTGTTGTTGTTGTTGTTGTTGTTGTTGTTTGTGCTATTTAAACCGTTAGGGGATATTAAAGAAGCTGGAGAATCGGGAGATTCCAAGTTTAGGATAACAGATTGCTTTTGAGAGTACTCTTTTAGTAGTTTTTTGATTTGATCGTCTTTTTTAGATACAATGTCCATGGGCAATTTACCTTTTTTGTCTCTTTTGAAGGGATCGCCGCCATGATCAAGAATCCAAAATATCATCTTGGTGTCTTTTTTTTTGATGAATTCGTGTAAAATAGTGTCGCCGGTTGTTGGATCCAAGCCATTTAAGTCCAATAGTTCCTGGTTTCTTGGATTAGACCAGATTTTGTTCAAAGAGTCGAAATCTCTGTTGGTAAAAGCGATTCTCAATTTTTTGGAAATGGATTCTATATAATTGATTCTTTCCGTTTCCATGTAGTTTTTCAAGTAGAGGTTATTAATGGTGGTCAAATCTATTGCTTGTTTGTTCGAATTGTTTAGAATAGTGTCATCGATATTTGTTTGAATTAGTAGTAGTTTGACAAATTCCAATTTGGAAGCTAATACAGCAATGTGTAAGGGAGTATTACCATTTTCATCTTGAGAATTCAAATAGACGTTAATCTCGGGCAATTTGACCAATTTCTCAAAAAAGTTGTAGTCGCAAATCTGAACGACAAAATGTAGGATAGTTGATTTGACTTTTATTAGATTTGGATTCAGATCGCTGAAGTGAGAGGATAGAAGGTCCTTTAGTTTGGCAATGTCGCTTGACTTCAAAGCTTCCAAAACCTTTAGCTTGAATAGAGGAACATTGATGATACTGGAAGTTCCTGGGCTGGGTGGGGCTGTGGAGCTGCTGTTATCGATACTAACTTTATCAGGACCAGAATCGGTTTGGTGGTTAGCAGAGGAATGTTCAGGAGAGGAATTGGTTGTAATTATGGGAATCGGCTGCAATGTTGGAGGCCTAGTTTCGACAGCAGAAGCAGCAGGAGCAGCAGGAACAGGAAGAGGATCAGCCATCTCTGGGGAAGGTGCAGAAGAAACAGAACAGCAAGTCCCAACAAGAGATCAGCCTTTTATACCCAACCGCAGTCAAGCCACAGTCAAGCCACAGCAACCACGCGCACGCGCGGTTTCTGCGCCTACTTTCTGCCCGCCACTGCCCATGGTGCAGCCATGACGCAACAGCACATGGCCCAGAAGAATGGTACAATCCAGACCACTGGTGCTGCCTGTGCTGCCTGTGCTGTTTATTGTTCTGAGGACTGCTTTATATACCCGGAAAAGATTGCATAAAGCTCGTTAATCAACACCACCACTTCTTTCTCACTGGGAGGGCTTTTGATATTTGTTTTGAGAAACGATCCGATATGTGCTGATATTAGTGCCTTTTTGTTGTTCCTACTCATTCTCTTGAGTATTTCAAGTGCCATTATCTTGTTGCCTTTTGTTAAACTGGGGTGATTAAACAGCTTAATCAAGCTTCCAAAGAACATATGGGAGCAGTGTACTGGAATAGATGTTCCAGTCATTTTTTTTATTATTCCAAAAATCTTATCAATGTGCTCTCTGTTGTGCTTATTATAGTTTCCAACTAGGTTCAACAATGCAATTCCCATCCAGTCTATTATGTGATAGTTCAATAGTGTGTATATATAGCTGTTAGTTTCTTTTTCTATTTCATCTTCTCTCATTTCATCTTTATTATTATTATTATCATTTTCAAGTATTAACAAGTGAATTCCATTAATTCCACTAATCACCATTTCAGGTATCACATCATAGTCTTGCTGCAAAAACTTTATCATTTCAAACAACCCTCCATTCATTAGAAATTCTCTTTTGAATTTGTTTGTTTGAATGAAAAATTTATTAATAAACTTGACAATTTCGATTTTAATTTTGTTTGAAAATTTGTTTGACAAAAACCGAAACACTATTATAATTCCTCCAATATTGATGAATTCTTTTTCAAATTTTTCTAAATAGTTCTCAAACATTACCCCCATGATTTTTATTATGTTAACAACTAGATCCTCATTGGCATTATTCGATATAGACAATCGATCCAATAATCTGATATAGTCCATATTCAAATACTCATATTTTTTCTTAAATCTAGCATTTTCCATTAAAACCTCAATCAATTTGGAGTTTTCTCGCAATGAAAAATAAATCTTGAACAAGCTATTATTTAGTTCGGTATAGTAATAATGATTAAATTGTCGGATTTTATTAATATCATTTTTAGTTATCAATTTTAAAAATTGATCAATAACTTCTTCAATTTCATTAACTTCAATTGAACTGACATTTAATTCGTTAAATTTGTCTAGGTTAATTTTCTCTTTGATCTCTTTAATCTCTTTATCTTCTTTAATTTCTTTGATACTGCCAAAACTTTTACTACTTTTATGACTCTTGTTTCCTGTAAGGACACTAGCTGTTGTATTATTAGTATTATTAGTATTATTTATGTTTGGTGGAAGCGATATAATTTGACTTTGACTTTGACTTTGAATACTCATATTACTGGTGTAGACATTGTTATTGTCATCGTCGCTTTTATTGATTTCTTCTTCTAATAATCTTGTAAACTCTATGTTATCTTTTAAATTAATCTTTTGAGAACTGAGATTGGTATGGTTATTTTTTGAGTTAAATTGGCTGATTTTGAATTCCTGAAATGTTTTTATAAGATTTTCATCATCTTCGTTTTCATTTGTTTCTTTAAAATTTTCCAACCCATTGATATATTTTAAATTTGAATTTAAATTGAAATTTGAAACTGATTTTGTTATTGGGTTTGATAATATTCTTGATGAGTTTATATTTGGCAAGGTCACTGGGTTAAATTTCGAGTTGTTTTTGTTGTTATTGTTGTCTTTGTTATTTACTATATTGATATTAATATTTTTAAGTTGATTTTTATTTAGATTTTCTAAATTTTCAAAATCTTCGTCCCAATGATCTAGGTCATTTTTTGTTTCTTTAAATCTTAAAATTGAAGGTTTGTTTATATGTGATAAATTTGGATTTACATGATTGTTATGAGTGGTGTGGCTGTTAATAATATGGCCGTTGATGTTGTTATTGATAATGTTATTATTGACAAAACTGTTGAGATGGCTGTTATTGCTGCTGCTGTTGCTGCTGTTGCTGTTGTTATTGATATTTTTGTTGAGATTATATTTTGAAAAGGAAACTGAGCTTAGAGATTTTGAAGAGGTTAATAGGGAATGATTTAGCCATTGATGATTTAGTAGTTCCTTTGCAGAGATTCTTAAATTTGGATTTTTTTCAAAACATTTTAATAGGAATTTTTTGCAGTTAAGGGATATCTTTTTTGGTAGGGGAGGAAACTCGTCAGTTACAATGGCATGCAAAGCAGCCATTGCATTTAATTCGTAATAAGGAGGATGTTGGGTTAGTATTTCGATAATAGTTGCACCCAAGGACCAGATATCGCAACTCGTTGTGATTTTTTCCAATGTTATGATTTCTGGGGCCATCCAATTGGGGGTACCAACAGGATTGATATTTTTGAAGGAGTATGTGTTTAGGTTGATTGATACGCCGAAATCAGCTAGTTTGACAGTGTTATCAGAGGAGAGAAGAATATTAGCAGCTTTTATGTCTCTATGAACGATGTTATTTTTGTGCAAGTAGATGAGGCCATTAAGAACCTGTTTGATGTAGTTTTTTGTTAAATTTTCAGACAAGTTTTTATTTTTTTTTTTAAAGTAGAATTTGTATAAGCTTCTTAGTGAGCCCCTTGAGCAGTATTCTAGGTATAGATTTAGGTTGTTGTTGTTTATTGAGTAGCCATAGTATTTTATGATATTTTTATGGTTTAGAGATTTGAGTAGGTTGATTTCAGACATTAAAATGGTGTTTTTGTTGCCGTTGTTGTTGTTGTTGTTGTTGTTGTTGATTAGAGATAGGTTGTTTGAGTCAATTAGGATTTGTTTTATGGCAATTAGTCTTGAGGTGTTTTTGTTGATTGCTTTGTAGACAATTGCAAAGGCACCTTTACCTAGACATTCTTTGATTTCATAGTTATCTAAAGCCGGGGTATTGAGCGATGTGAGTAATAAATTATTTGAGTCCATGAGAATTTAGTGTACAGGATAAGAGAGAGAAAGAGAGGGAGAGGGAGAAGAAGGAGAGAGAGTGAAAAGTGGGTTGTAAATGATATGGTACAGAGATATTGTGAAGAGATAGTTGAATGAAAGTTGAGCGAGAATTGAATAAGAAATGAATGAGAGTTGAAGAATTGAAGAAATGAATAAGAGTTGAAGTGTTTATTTTTCAGATCAAAAAATGGAAATACACAAAAAAAGCAAAACAGAGACCAAAAGCACGGAAGGCGTCTGAAAAGGGAAAGGCGAGATTTGTGGAGGAAGTGGAAGAAGTGGAAGTACAATTGAAGAAGATAATGTTGATTGAGGCAAGTATATAGTATAAGGGGAGATACAGAGAATATTAAGAGGGAGATAAAGAAGAGAGTAGAGTGGAGGGTTGGAAGAGAATAAAAACAAGAGAAAGGGTCTAATGGGCATTTATATAAGTCGAGATATGAACCGAGCATTATCCAAGTGAGAACGTGAAGAGAAGACTGCAAGCAGCGAGAGTGGTTGTAGAGTTATTTCAGTATGCTCTTTATTATGTTGTTATTTAAGAGGTGTTTATGAAGGAAGTCAGAGTGAAAAAGACTGTTATTGTTGTTGTTGTTGTTGTTGTTGTTGTTGTTATCTAATTTTTCTAGAGCAGCTTGTAATTTGATTTTGTTATTTTCATTTGTGTCGTTGGCCATTGATTGATTTATTGGACATTCCAAAAGAGAACCAAAAGATACAACACCAAAGGCAATTAGAAAGGTTGTTGAGAATAAAGAGTTTGTTAGTCTTCTATAGCTTGCTGCTTTGATAAACATTGTGGAATATCTGGGTATCGAGTATTGAGGATTGAAAATTAGTGATATGCAAATATAAGAGATGAGATAAAAATTTTGAGATTTATGAGAATAAATGGGGGTTATAAATGAGATTGTAAATAAGATTGTAAAGGAGATTGCATTTGTAGATTAATGTCAAAGAAGTGTAGATTTATTAGATAACGAGAAGTGGATATGATGGGAATTGAAGATAATTTTTCAAAATAGAATTAAAAATTCAACAACGCCGATTGGCCAGCAAAAAGATCTCCAAAGATCTCCGTCAAGTCGAAATAATTGTAAACGCCGATGACCAAAATCAAGAAAAAGCAGAAAAAGCAGAAAAAACGAAAAAAGCAAAAGAAGCGGAGGAGTGCGAAAAAGTATAATATGAGCGCGATCTGCACGTGCGTCATTTGTGTATTTCAGTTTGTTTTGTCTTTTCGGAATTTCAGCTTCTGGAGAATTTTGGAAAAGAATATTCAAATTCTCAATACGATCTCAAATGGCATTATTTATTGGATGCAAATAATAATATTTTTTAGAATAGCATTATTTGAATAGTTAAATTGTAGAATGCGCGAGAGATATAGCAACAGGTTAGCAAAGAGGGTTGAAGCAGTGGTATATGAGAACGATAGAGCGCTGGAAAGAGATAATCTGGGAGTGGCATTGGCCAAATGTGGGATGTGGGATGTGGAAGGAAGGAAAGAGCAGCAGCAGTTAACCAGGTTTCAAGATCTGTGCAATCAGACTGGGTGGTGGAATTGCCTCGAGAGGATCCAACCAGAGGAATAAACTTGAATAAACTTGACAGTAAACTTGAATTGAGAAATTTTAGGTGAAAAGAGAAAAGAGACAAGAACGAGAGATGTGGTAACGACCCAAGAAAGACCTTCTCCAGGGCTACGCAGAGCCGGCTGGATGCAGCAGCGCAGCGGAACGCGTGCATCCGCGCGTGTTCGCCAGGGGGAGCGAACACTGCGCTGATCTGGCAACCATCCGAGGGCGTTGCCACGTGCGGACAAGATCCGTCTGGCGTACCGCGCCTGCGGGCGTCTGGGTGCGTGTGAACGTCGGGCGCTGATTGGCCAGCGCTGAGGATGGGGCTGGCCGCATGCGGCAGGTGCCTTTTTGGGCGGAGTGTTTACGTGTGCCGGATTAGGAAGGCGGTAAACAACACAACGCAAAGGCTCGCATTGTTCAGTTGTTGAAAAGTGTAACGAAAATGAAAAGAAAATGGAAACGAAAAAAGCCAAAAGCCAAAAAGCAGAGCATTTCATTTCATTTTGCGAAAACTCAGCTTCTTCTCTGTTGTTATTTGCTGCTTCTCTTCTAATCTGATTTTCTCATATATATCAATTCACTTTCCTTCCTTTTCTCTTCCTCCTCCTCTGCTCCTGCTTCTGCTTCCTCTGCTATATTTATATTTGTATCTCCAATTGTAAATATACTCTTCATGTTCCTTTAGTCTCTTCTCTTCTTCTCTCTGCTTCCTACTATCTTCTGCCTCTCCACAACATGCTCAACAACCCCTTGGACTACCAATTCTCCTTTGAATTGCCTGAAGACTACATCTTTCCCACTCCTCCCTCCTCTGCTTCTTCTGCTGCTTCTGCTGCTCCTGCTTCCTCTGCTCCTTCCTCCTCCTCCTCCTCCTCCTCCTCTCTCTCTCTCTCCTCTGTCTCCAAAAAGTCTTCAAACTCTTCTCTAAACTCTTTCATTTCTCTCAAGTCCATTTCCCATAACAACTTGATAAGAAAACCTTATCACAACAACGACAACTACTCTCTTCACTCCTCCCACTCCCACCTCAATTGCAATAACCATATTCATATTCACAACCATTCAAGCTCTCTTTCCAACTTGAGCAACTTTAAATTAAAACAAAACAACAACAATTCAAAGAAACACTGTTCTAATCAAGATTCCAATCAAAATTACGGCTCCAACTCTTCTTCCAACTCTACTTACTGCAAATCTCACTCTCACTCTCACTCTCACTCTCACTCTTTTTCCCACTCAAATTATAACTCCAATTCTAAATCTCTCTCTTCTCTATCCTTATCTCTATCCCATTCTCGCTCTCTTTCTTCCTCTTCAAAGAATTCCTCAAAGAACTCCATAAAAAACTCTTTGAAAATCTCATCAAACAACCTTCTAAACTCTTCATCCTCATCCTCATTTTCATCCTCATCTGCTTCTTCCATATTTAACCCTAATTTATCTAAAAAACCTTCTTTAAAACTAAGATTGTCCTCACTAAAAGATAACGATATATACGACACCGACACTGATTATGATGACTATCTCAATAACTACAATTACAATAATAACAGCAACAACAACAGCAACAATAACGACATTAACGACATTGATAATGATAACGATGACGATAATGATTCTTCTTATTTTGAATCTCCTTGCAAAAAATCAACATCTTCCTCTTTCTCCTCCTCTTCAATCTCTTTTCCTCTTAAATTCGACAACACTTCAACAAAAACATCAACTAAATCATCAACTAAAATATCAACCTCAAATAACCTCCCAAACACAATTCCCAACACTCCAAAGGCTTACAACTGCTCCTCTTCCTCCTTCTTCTCCTCAAATACTTCAAAAAATAAAAACCTAATCAAATCTTCAAACTTGAAAACTTTTTTTGTCAAAGACGACCAAATCCCAAGAATAGATGTCGACACTCTATGCAAAATCCTCGATGGCCACTACAACACCTACTTCTCCAAAATACAAATAATAGACTGTCGCTTCAATTACGAATTCAATGGAGGCCACATCAATGGCGCAATAAACATCAACTCCCAAAACCACCTAGAAAACTTCTTCTTCAACAAATACAAAAAATTCAAAAACAACGACCTATACATCTTTCACTGCGAATTTTCCTCCTACAGAGGCCCCAGACTAGCCTCCCACTTGAGAAACTGTGACAGAATTATAAACGAAAACAACTACCCCTTTCTAAACTACCCAAACATCCTCATTCTAGATGGTGGTTACAAAAACTTCTTCATCTCTCAAAGAAATAGATGCTTTCCTAAATTTTACGTCGAGATGAATGACAACAACCACAAATCAATCTGCGAAAAGGAATTAATCAGATTCAAAAATGACTCAAAGAAATTGTTATCAAGAGCAAACACCTTTCACGGTTTAACCTCAATCTCAACCCCAAAACATAAAAAAATAAATTTTAATTTATTCAATTCAAAATCAAACCACAATCATAATCTTAATTACAATAATAATAATAATAATAATAATAATAATAATAATAATAATAATAATAATAATAATAATAATAATAATAATAATAATAATAATAATAATAATAANATAATAATAATAATAATAATAATAATAATAATAATAATAATAATAATAATAATAATAATAATAATAATAATAATAATAATAATAATAATAATAATCATAATCATAATCATAATAATCATAATCATAATCATAATCATAATCATAATCATAATCAAATCGAAATACATAATTATAACCAAAATCAAATTGAAATACATAACTATAATCACAATCAAAATCAAAATTATATTCAAAATCTTAACCAAAATATTACCAACGTTAATAACAATAACAATCTCAATCTCAATCTCAATATCAACATCAACATAGACAGCTTAGAAAACTTCGATAACGAAGACGATGATGATTACCTAGAAACAACTTTTAACGACAATGACTTGGAAGACTCTCCAACCTGTTTTAGCAAATTAAAAAGACCATTTGCTGTAAAACCATACGCATCAAACACCTCTTTAAACCCTCTAAGAATAAAAACAAATCTTAAAAAGAGACCAATTTCTCAAATTAATTATAACGACCTCAATAATCTATTTATCAACCCAGCTAATGAAGAAAGCACTGACTCCCTACCTTCATTAATACATTCAACAACCTCGACATTTTCAACAAATTCGTCCAGAAGCTCTTTTTTTGATAACCATCCCAATTTTCCAACTCTCGATAAATTAGGTTGCTTGGATACAATCGATCACAATTCAAAAGAAACGAGTGCAGATCTTCTACTATCAAAATTGCAAGATTTAGCTGGAGATTCTCCTAGCTTGAATCTAGACTTTGACGAATTAAATTTCGATTAAAAATCACTTTAAATTCCATATTTATATCTCAAGGAAAAAAAAACCCACATTGTCAAATTAGGAAATTTTGGCTGTTTTCTTCAATTATTTTTTACTTACATCATCATTTTCAAATGGTTATTGAATTCTGTACTTTCCTAATTTTAATTTTCTAATTTTTCAATTTTTTTAATTTTCTCACTTCACAACTTCCATTGCTTTTTAAGTTCGTTTATTTATATTCCTATATTTTTAGACATTTGGCTCTATACCAATCGCTGTTACGTGTGTTTTTATTGGCTGCTTTTTATTTTATCTGTTTATTTGTTTGTTTGTTTATTTTTTTTCCCTTTTTGCTTCTGTTTCTTTTATGTGTTATGAATGGATTTATCAACATTAGAATAGTCAACGATTGAACATTTTTTTAAAAATTTTTATTTATTTGAATTACACTGTTTTATTCAAGTTAATTTCTTTTTTATTTTCAGTTACCTTTTATTGGTTATTGAATTTTATATAATTAGTCGCATTAATTTTTTTTTAACCCATTTAATTTTTGTTGTTTTTTCAATTATTTTTTTTTTAGTTAACTCATATTTTCATATTTTCATAAATCTAAATTTTAATACGGTTATTTTGTCTTGTTTTGTAGTTGGATTATATCATTGAAAAGGTATAAGGTTATGAAAAAAAATTACAATGTTAATAAGAAAATATTAATTAGAGATATATATATGTACATTGAAACCATTTTTAAATTTGTGAAATTAATTGAAAGTGCTTGTCAAAGGATAATTGAGAAATAATTTGAGATATAATCAACTTTGGGGTTTTTGTTTACTGGAATTCTCATTAGAATTACCATTAGAAGATTCAATTTTATCAGAATCTTGATTAACGGATTCTAACATTTGAGAATAATATTCGTTATCTTTGAAATGTCTTGAAAACGATGAGGTGTTCAATAATTCATGTACTTTTTCACCAATTATATCCTCTTGAGTATCAAGATTATTGAAAAGTTTAGAATTATTAATAAAGCCAGAAATGTCGATATTTTCCATTTCTTTATCGAAATCCAAAGGCTCTCTTTTGTACATGTTGACTTTCAAACCGATGTTGTCTAGGGAATGTTTGGTTAAAAAACTTAACCATATATCAACGACTTCAGGGTCAGAATCCCAGATTTTGAATACCCTTTTGTGTGTTTTTCTTTCAAAATTTTCTTTTGATTTTGCTTGGGCAAAGGGGGATTTTATTACAGTCCATCTTGAAGTTTGAACTGGTAGACGTAATGGACCAGATATAGGAATATTGATATAATAAGCAGAACGCAAAATAAACTGGGAATAAAATTCCAAAATATCAGAAGAGTAAGAACGAATTTGGATTTGGCATACCAAGTCATGATGAACGATTTCTCTGCGCAATGGAGCGTAATAGTTTGCTACAACATTGATTGGCATCGGAGTGTTGGGGCCCTCGATTATATTGTGGTCAGTGAGGACCTTTGGGTCGTACTTATATCTTGTTGAAATTAGAGCTTCAAAATCTATTGGGCCTAACGTAGCGTGGTTTTTTATATCTCCAGAGTTGTTTGTAGCTATTCTATTGGCATTTCCTTTGTGTTTTTTTTGTTTCAAATTTTGCTGTGAGTCTTTATTCTGGTTCTGGTTATGTTGCTGATTTGGATCTGGGCTCTGGCTCTGGTAGAAAGCACCAAGGGAGGAAAAGGGTCTGATGGAATTGGTGGAGCGTATGCTGCCTGGAGCCAAGCAGAGCCTCCCCCTCAACCAAACAGAAAAAAGCAGACGAGACATGTTTCTAAGCTATGCTTCCAACCAACAAAAGCTCCTAGCTCTTCTCCAATGCTCTGTTGATATTTCATTATATCGAAAATTTTAGACTCAATCAAAAGGTTACCCGTCTCAGTAGTCACATGTACACACACGTGATGAAAAACCCCGGAAAAAACGCGGGTACTCCGATAAACCCCTCGGGAACTACAGTCCCAAAGAAGCAGTGTGCACAGTGCCGCGGCCCCCTACTGTGAGTCGCAGGTTATTGCGTGCTGATGCGATCCGGTGCTGTGGTTCTTTAGTCTTTTGGACTGATTTAGGCGTCCAATTTAATTTGTGTAACTAACAAAACGCTGCTCAACCTATTCATGGCGAGCTAAATAGTTTTCTTAGTGTTATATCCTATCTTTTGTTGGGAGTTACAGTAAAACACAAGAATTTAATGATCAAAAAGTTGGTAGCTGTTTGTTCTTTAGTCGTTGTAAATAATATTCAAGAAATTTAAAACCGATCCTCAATTCAATTTGGAAAAACAAAATCTTGTTCTCCATTTTTTGAGCTCGATTTCTTTGAATTGGTGAATCTTATTCCTACTATTTCATCATTTTCTTCTGTAGCTTGATATTTCGTAAACTTAATAGCCCTTAATTTGATAATTATATTGCGGGATAGGGAAAATTGCATCTTTGTTATAAATTTTGGTTTTTTTCCAGCTTTTTGGTTTGTTCAATTAAGGTCATTTTAGTTGCAAACAATATCCAAAAGATAACAATCTCTTTTAAAAACATTGACTTTTTCAGTTTTTTTTATATTTCATTGCTTTATATATGCTTGTTAATCTACTGTATTTCCAATTATTAATATGCGAATTGCAAGTTATCATTTGCAATTGCCTAAATCAATTTGTTTTTTCTATTGATTTTCTACCATTGGCTGTTATCAAGTTACTTACCTAACTTGTAAGTTGCGATTCACAAATTCTCTCATTCTCATTAAATTTTGCTAATTTGGCTTAATATATACTTCTTAGTGTTTGATATCTTTATTAATCTTTTTTAAGTTTGTGTGGGTAAAAATATGCTTTCTTTATTCTGTTGACTTTTCATTTCCTTTTCATTTCCTTTTCTTTCTTGGGTTTTTGTCTTCTCATTTCCCTTCATCTATTTTTGTTTATTCTGTGCTTATCCAATTTCTGTGTGGTTTTATTAACCTCATTTTCTCACTCTACATAAACTACATAAATAGAATATCCATTGTATATTTTTATAAATATCCTGTTATCTCAAACAACACACACATTTAAGATAAATGCCTTTATACTACTGCTATATTCATATTTAATAATCACTTACAATTTAAGTAGCAAAAAATTAAAAGATTAATTGAAATTTTAAAATAATATTTAACTTCAGTTGAAAAAAACTAAAAAAGAAATTAGAAAAAATAAAGAAAAATAAAATTTAAAAATTATTAAACTTTTTGAATAAATTATTATGTAACATAAAACTTAAACTTAAACATAAACCTTATTTTGTTATTTTTCAAAATTTTGAAACAAGAAAGCTATTTAACAAAAACTATTGGACATTAAGAAAGCAAATATTAAATATTAAATATTTATTATTCGATTGTTAAATATTTATTATCAAACTACTAAATATTTATTATCGAAATTACTAAATATTTATTATCAAAATTATTAAATATTATCAATGTTATGAAAAATCATTTCGTCGATCTCAAATCTCTTCGGTTACCAACTCATTCTTCCTATTTTCTTCTTTCAACAAATAACTTTCTTCCACAATAGCTGGTTTCTTAAACAATCGCAAGGCCAAACTGCTTAAAACCACACTAACACTCGAAGCTGCCATTGCAGCACTAGCCCAAACTGGCGACAATCTTGAATTTTTATATGGGTAAATCACCCCAGCTGCAATTGGAATTCCAATACAATTGTAGATTAATGCCCAGCCAAAATTAAATCTCACTCGGTTGAAAACTTTATTGGATAATTTCAAGAGTGTTAATAATGTCATCAATGGGTACTCTTTTGATAAAAGAATAAAATCTGATGATGTTAACGCCAAATCTGAGCCTGACCCTAGTGCTATTCCTATATTTGCTGCTCCTAATGCTGGCGCATCATTTATTCCATCCCCAATCATGGCCACTTTTACCTTCTTATTCTTATTTTCTTCAAACACTGAATCCAAATTTGACCCATTTTGTATCCATTTTATCTTATTAGCCTTTTCCTCAGGTAATACCTCTGAAACAACATGATTCTCAGGTATTCCAACTTCCCTTGCAATTGCTTTGGCAGTTATTTCATTGTCACCAGATACAACCCAGCAATCTATTTTCATCTCATGTAGCGCTTTAATAACGTCTTTAGCTTCTCTTCGTAGCTCATCTCGAGCTGCCATGATTAGAACTGGAACAAAATTTCCTATACTTTCAAACTCAATGGACACAACTATAATGCTTTTCCCTTCATTTTTCCATTTCGTTAATTTACTCTGGTCTTCTGCCGTTAGTTTTCTTGAATTGTTTTTTTCCATCAAGTTCTCATTTCCCAAAATTGCCTTCAATGGTTTATATTTGTTCCAGTAAGTATACTCATCATCATTTCCAGTGAAAGTAACTTTACCTCTCAACCCATTTCCAGGTATTTCTTCAACATCCTGCACTTTTGTTCCATTCATCTCAATTCCCTCATTCTTGCAAATTTCTGATATAAAATTTTTGATCCCAACTGATAATGGATGACTAGAATTTAATTCCAAATCCCTAGTTATTTGAAATACCATTTTTCTTAAAACTTTATCATTATTTTCTTGTAAATTCTTTGCAAGAATTTTTTGTTTAATAAACGAAAAATTTGTGACCTGTGGCTCTCCTCCATTTGTTAAAGTCCCGGTTTTATCAAAACAAACAACATTGATCTTTGATCCTTCCTCAAAGGCAGCACCACCACCTCTGGCTAATATTCCATTTTTTGCCGCCAATCCAGATCCAACATATATTGCTGTGGGAGCTGCTAATCCAATCCCACAGGGACATGCAATCACAAAAACTGCAATTGCAAACTCCAATGACCACACTGCCCAACCACCAATTTCAGCATCTAAATACCTTTGGGGCAATACTCCTCCATAACCCAAAGATATCCATATAACCCAGGTAAGTACAGCGAAAAGCGCAATTAATGGAACAAAGTATCCAGTTAGTTTATCAGCAGTTCTCTCGATTGGTGCTTTATGTTGCTGAGCATCTCTGACTGTATTTACAATTTGGTCTATAAGGGTCGTACCATTCTCAGATGAAACCTTTGCAATCACCGAGCTCGACCCCACATTAATAGTTCCAGCAAATATTTGATCACCCTTTTGTCGAGTAATAGCATTGGATTCGCCAGTAAGAGCACTTTCATCAAATTTTGAAGACCCCAAAAGGATTATACTATCAGCAGGAGGCGAGTTTCCTGGATAAATGCGGACTATGTCTCCAACCTCTAAAAAGTCAAGGCTAGTTTCCTTGTCGTTGCCATACCCAGATTGATCCAACAAGTCTTCAATTGCAACCTTCATGCCCCGATTATTGAGCCCATTGTTTTCAATAAGATTGGCTTTCTTTGGCTTTAATTCACCTAAGTTTGAAATCGCATCTGCCGTTTTGATTTTGGAATAACTTTCCAACAATTTTCCAATTAGCAAAAAGAATGTTAGAAAAACAACAGTATCAAAATAATTTGTGGAATAACTTTTGTGGTGATTGTTTTTTTTGGTACCAGCAACTATCATCATCGCTACACTGGAAAAATACGCAATACTGGTACCAAGACACATTAATAATGACATGGAACCAAACTTAAAGAAACGCTTGTACCAGGAATTATGGGGCTTCCATAGATTGTAAATTTCTCTTATAGCCTTACGATGGAAAATATCGGCAACAAAAAAATAAACGGGAGTAGCTAAGAAAAATAAAATCCACTCATTTCTTGAAATATTTGTTTTGAAAATTGGAGTATTTAACCATTTCATAAAACTGCTATCTTTTTTAATCAAGCTCATACCAACAACACCAAACACAAATGTTGGAATTGCAATTACACTTGTCAATGCTAATCTGATAATGATTTTTTTAATTTCAAGTTTAGCCATTTTTTTCAAATGGCTATCAATTGAAATTGGCTTAACTAATTCAACTTTGAAAACAGGAGAGACCTCATCCAATTTTTGCATGATTTTACGAATTGTCAAGCTTTCCGAAGATAAATAAGTTAGTTTAACAAAAGGACGAGATAAAGTTATTGGATCACTGACCACTACAGTTTTACCAAAGGATTTAAGCAAATTATTAACCGATTCTGGACATTTATTGCAAAACATTCCATCAACTTTCAAATTAATTGTTCTCGATTGGTTTTTTTTTACAGCTTGATCAACTTCTTTTATTTCAACCAAATCGAAATCGTAACCACAATCCTCAATTGTTTCTTTTAATTGAGAAATATTTTCTTTATTGTTGGAATTGATAATAAAAAAACCAACTTTTGAAACCACATTAATTGCTGAATCTTCTAGGAATGGTAGATTGGAAACAGAAGAAGTTATAATCGAAGCACAAGAAGCACATGTAATCCCACCAATAGCAGCGATCACTTTGAATTTTTGAGATCTTTCAATGGGCAAAACTTCCAACAAGGAACAATTGAAACCAACTTCACGAATAGAGGAAACTATCTCATTTGCTATTTGTTTGTTTGGAATAATCACTATAGTGTTGTTTGTTATAATATCAACAAAGATTTCATCATCAATCTTTTGAGCTAAAAGTTTTTTTAAGTAATGCTTTTGTAAGGCATTTTTGATTGTATCATGAACAGTTGCAGCACATGAAGAGCATGTCATACCACTGATAGCAAAGACAGCTCTAAATTCTGATGGTTGAACAACCAAAACTTCTAGGGGCCGGTTGACGATAGTTTCAGATGTTTCATTACTTGAAAAAGAGGAATGAAATATATTTTTTTTTGAATTTGATTTTTTTTTTTCTAACTCTTTTCCTTTTTCCAACTCTTGACAAACTTTACAATAATCTAGATGACGTTTATAATTGTTTTTCAGAATATAAGTGTTTTTAAATTTTTCATAAAACAGAAGGGGGTTAAATGTGTTGTTATTCTTGTTATCTTCATCCTTGTTATCTTCATTCTTGTTGTGACAATTTTCAATATGAAATTCTGTATCAATGTCATTTTGATGGTTCGATAGAGTAGATGTTAAATTGACAAAACTAATGTTAAAACCCGATTTCTTTAAGAGTGAGATAATCTTTATTTGCAAAAAACTATTATTGTTAGAAAAAAAGTTTAGATGTGAAGAAGAGATTGTTATTTTATTATTATCGATTGAAAACAAAACCTTTGGTAACAATGAGTTAGTTGTGTCAGTAGAATTTAGATTTAATAAAGTGGATAGTGATGATTTGATTGAATTGACACAATCATTGCAATGAATATTTGATAGCAAAATTTGTAAAGTTTCCATTTTATTTTTTTTTTCAATTTTGTTTTTTTTTTTCAATTTTGGTTTTTTTTTTCAATTTTGGTTTGAATGATTAATTGAATATAGATATAAATATAGATGTAAAAATTAATATAAATCATTTTAAACAAAATTGAGATCTTTTATATTAAATGAGTGGTTTTTGCTACATTATAAACTGTGTGGGGGATTTTTACAATAAAATTATTTAGTAAATTAAAAACACCCAGAACAAGTAAAACAGAGGAAAGATAGCATAATAGGGGTGATGTGAGTTATTATAGCGATATATAAGTTATAGCATAGGATTATCAAAAATATTAAAACAATCATTAGGAAGATTAAGAAACAATCAAGAAAAAGACTGATGCTGATATATTAGAGTTTTAAGGTGGAAGATAATAAGATAATGAGATTATTTTGCGACCAAAACTTTAAATGGAATATTTTTATGCTATGTGAACCCATGAATATTTAATTATTAGATAATTGAATGGTTGGATGATATAATAATCAATGCAATTGAGCAACTGGACAAGTTAGCCATCATGTAACAATAAACATATAATCATAGCAGAAGCCAAAACAACCGTAATTAAGAGTGCAAGTCAGTGGCACCAAGAATCCGTATATTGTTTTTGATTAGTTCTTCATCAATGTTCATTTGGAAAGTCTGTCTGCACATAGGACATAGGCCATTAGAGGTCTCAGTGTCCAACCATTTCAAGATACAGTGCAAATGAAAGGCATGGTGGCAGTTTCCAAGCACCATAGGACACTCGTCGCCAGGATACTTGCACACTGGACAGGTGCTATCAAAGGCAGCACGACAGATCCCACACAACTCGTCGTCAACAGTCCAGTGCCAGTAGGATATAGCATGCCAATTCTTGATCTTGACCTTCATCTAGACCCGTTCTGCAGTCTCTGCAGTAATCTCTGAGCTTTGTTGGACAGTGCCTTTATCTGTTCTCAGAAAAAGACACAGAAGAAGACGAAGATGAAGAAAGAGAAGAAAGAGAAGAAAGAGAAGAAAGAGAAGAGAACGGAAAAACGGCGGAAAACTTGCACGGAACCAAACCGCAGTTTTGTCTAAACGGGAGTTTGTTACCCTGATAGTTATCTTTTAAAGGGTTTTGATAACACAAACTGATATCTTGTATGGAGAGTGTTGTATCACTTGTGCAAACAGAACCTGTTCCATCGGGATAAGATAAGCAATTGAGTTGATTTTTATCTTTACAGTTATTGGTTATCTCTACTTTGTTTCTCACAGGAGAGGAAAACATTGGAGAGTTTTGGCCAGGTGGTTTCGGCATATTCAGCAGTGTTGATTGTCTTTAACAGAAAAGTAATAAATGAAATAGTACGATTTGCAATATTCGCTAAACTCAAGAATCAGCTCAACCCCTAATCAGTTGTCTTCGAGAGACATTTTCTATTGAAATGTTGGTCTGGTCCTAAAGGAGGCTCATAGGGATAATTCAAATTTGCACTTTAACTGGAAATGATCCAGTGCTTTGAAGTGCTAGTATATCATCGTTGATGGTTGATGCCCTGCAATTTGTTTCCAATGGCTCGCCTAAAGAGCAAAAGAATCTTATAAACCAATAGAATTTGATATACTTTTTTTTCTGTGGAGTTTCAACAAGTTAAAATCTAGTCAAATCAACATTGTTAGGTCAGTTGATTTTCCTCAAAATCTATCTAGATTTTGTGTTTGGGTTTGGATTTTTTTACTTAAAGTAACAGTTGAATCTTGCTTTGACCTGTTTTAAAAGCACTGGTGATATAAAAGAGTCTCCATATTTCTACAGAAGAACAAAATATAACATATAAATGAAAGATTTTGAGTTCTTATTTTTATACTAATCTCCAGTCAATAACTACCACTGCAAGGAAACATTGTAATGATACCTGGTTGTATATAGCAATATAAATACAATATTGGTTTATTTTTTATTGTATTGAATGTTATTTACACTAACATTTTACTTGCATTGTCAGTAATATACAATATATCTAATTTCTACGAAACCGAGCTGTTTTTGAAACCCATTTAACCATGATGGCAATATAAATTTTTTTTCTCTTTTTAGTTTAATTTTTTTGTCTCTTTTTTTTTTTAATGATTATCATTATTATTTTATCTCAAATTACAAGATAAGCGGATAAAAAAATAAATCACTGGTTTCAAAATTGATTTACAAAAAATGTTAAGAAAGCTTCTTCTTATCTTTGGGTAGATAAGTCAAGAAGGTCTTTCTTTTTCACGAAAGTTTTTCATAAAATAACCGAAAGCAACTCAATTGAAATCTGTTCAGGATCTTTAATATGGTATTAAAAAATACCAAATCATTTATCACCATTTATTACCATTTATTATCTCATAGCTGAATTTCTTAAGCTGATGATCCAGCCCAAGTCAATTTTTTTCCACAGAATTTTTGTAAGTTTTTAAGAAAAAATGTAGAAATTTCGAAAAATTGAAAAGTGGTTTTTTATAATTTCTAAAATTTTAATAATTTTTATAATTCTTACAATTCTTATAATTCGTTTTATAGTTAATTTTTTATTGAAAGAGTCGAATTTTCTTTTTTTTCCTTTTTCTTTTCATTTTTCTTATTTCTTATTTCTTATTTCTTATTTCTTTATTTATTAGAATTTATTTCTACTTAATTGAATATTATCTGACACTGCTTTTTAAAATTACTTTTAAATTTACAAATAATTAAATTAATAAAATGCGTATTTCAATATTAGAAATTGTGTAACTATTTGCGAGCTTTTAAAGGTTGAATGAATACCACGAGTGAAATAGGTGAAACAAGTAAAATAAATAAAGCATTTAATATTTAATATTCAATATTCAATATTCAGTATCCAATATTCTTGGTAGAGGCTGATTAAATTAGTTATGAGTTTTTAAAGATTTTCTATAAAATTTTCTTATCGGTCAATACAATCGAAAGATATAAGATTTTTGATTTTGAGTGCATAATAATTTTATACTGGTAGCAATAAAAGTAAATTAGATTCAATTTTAATTAATAATTGTAGTTTGTTTATTCATTTAATTGTTTTTTGGAAATAAAGAGCATGCTAATTTAATAAAAATAAAAAGATAAAGGAAAATAAAATGTAGATGAAAACAATCAAAATTTTGTAATTATGGATAAAAATGATGAGTAATTATAAAATAAAAATAAAAATAAAAATAAAAATAAATATCCAAATCCAAAGAGAAATAGAAATAAAAAATATCATATACAGCAGATTAAAATTAAATTATACCAACTCACTAGCCTTGGAATTAGTGGCTTAAAAAACTGGAAAGCAAAGCATGAAATAAAATATAAGTAAAAATTTAGGCAGAAAGTTTAATGAAACCAGTTAAAAAAATACAGAAAACAAGAAACAACCAAGAGGAACTAAAACACTATAATTATAAGACCTTCTTTCCCTTTTTCATGTTTTCAACATATATTATATTGATATCACACAAAATCATTAGCAGCAAAAAACTTCTCGCATTCGTCGCACCAGACATGTTGGCAATAATAGCATTTCGCATGAATGTAGTACTTTGAGGGATCGCTCAAGTAGCGACAATATACCTTTTGTGGAGCTTCTGATTCGCAATTACAGCAGATAACCGAATCTACTTTGTAAGTCGACATGTCCAAATATTGATAAGAGCTGGATGAAGGAGCTGAGTAGTTGTTTCCAATCATTGTTAATTGAATAAGTTATATGTAATTAGATAGCAAATCAGAGTAAAATGAGCTGGATAGAATTGAATTTATATTGATGTTGAATCAATTGAGGCAAGTCAATGAACTAAAAGAAATAAAAGAATTTTAAATTAAAAAGGCATCAATGAATAAAAAGATATAACTATCAGTGAAATTTGAGAATAATGGTGAGGGAACATTGGTATATATATAAAATTTTAAAAATATAATGATTTTGAACAATAATAGGTTATAAAAATTGTTTTCATTTCTTTTAAGTTAGACTGGAAGAAAACCAAAAAAAACTCAGGAAAACCCCAAAAGTAACCAAGCATATTTTAGAAAAAAGAACGATAGATAATAAAAGTTTTGCTGATTCTGCAAATCATTAAAAAATTTTCAAGTTATGTTAAAGACATGAATATCGCAAGGTCAGACAAAGATTTAACAAAGAAGTTTGATAGGTTGGTGAGATAACTTGAGTTAAAAAGGGATATGTACATAATAAATGGCGAAATCGACACCAAGAGAAAACCTTCAAACAAAAAAAAAGACCCATAAAAACATTTTCAAATCTCCAAAATTTCTAAAAAGTATGAGAATGAGTTGAATTTCACAATAAGAATTTGTTGGACAAAGTTTGATTGACATAGACAACTCGATCGTATGCACGTTGTGCAGTGCGCGCATTGTGTCTACATGCACAATACTGCACAGACGCGTCTACGCCATTTTAAATTGTACCTCAAATCATTACGCTAGCTGCGATCTGACACTGCGCAAAGAAGACAGTTTCGCCGATTTACTGCTTTAGCAGTACTGCGAACCCTCACGAAACGGCATGTGCAGAGTCAAATTGGCTGAAGTTCTAGCCTGACGACCGACCGACGTTCTTATCCGGAACTCGCTGATTCAAGCTCCACTAATGGGAGTATTGCGAAAACGGGAAAAAGCTGAGCACAGCCTTGTTCGGTCTACGGAGATGCAACCGGGTGTTTGAGTAGTTGTATGTTTATGTATTCGTCTATTTTACGTAATTCATCTGCGAAGTCGCAAACGACGGCTGAAACATCCGAATTGCTCGGATGATGATGAGGAAGCTGCTTCTTCAAAAGCCTCTCAACTGCTCTTCATATACTCTTCAGCATGTTTTGTACATTGCAATTCGTCCATCAGCGTATCCTATAAAGAGAAATAACTCTTTGGAAATGTTTTTTTCTTTTCTGATTTTCAACAACTGTAATGTAGCAGTGTTCCGAAGTGTTATTTCACTGTGGAATTTTTGAATAAATCTTTGGGAATCTGAACTTTTATCCATATTGATTGATATGTAATTTAGACTGATATTATCCGATTTGAATCTCTTAATGTTTTTCTCATTTTTCGTGATTTCTGGATCATTAGGGTCTGAGGAGAACTCTTTAACTACTCGAGGCTTGCTTTTAACAATTTTATCAATTTCAACTAAATCGTATTGTGATTTTCCATTGTTATTTTCATCGCCATCTGTAGTAATTATTTTGAATAATTTAACAAATCCATCCCAAGTCGAAATCGACACCAACCCATCATTACGTATAAAAATTGACGATATACCATTAATTCGAAACTTTTTCTCACCTCTAATATCCTCATTTATCATTAATTCGTCATTAATTGATGAAGAAACGCTATGAATAGTTAATTTAGACCCGGCTGATGATGAAAAAACTAATTTGTTTTTGAAATCATACTTGATATCTAAAACAGGATTCGGATAATGTGTTGAATTTATTGACAATATTTTAATATTGGAATTCAACGTAGTGTATTCATCATTAGATCGAATTTGTTCGATTAATTCATATTCTCGGTTTTGATCTATATAATCATCTTTAATATCATCAATAGATAAGCTCAAGTCTAAAAGTAATTTATTAAATTTTTCTTTGTTATCTAAAACATTGTCATTATTATGAGAAATCAAATAAGAGATTACATGCCCACTTTCATATCCAACAAAAACAATTTCTTTACAAACCCATAAAATCTTCATCATGATGCCTAAACTAATCTCCTTTTTAATTATATTATTGGCAAATTTTTTAGCTGAAATATCCCTTTGAAATTTATTCAAATAATTATATTTTTCAATTAAAATTTTCGGACTAATATTAATGTATTCTAAATCTAGTTCCAATTTGTTTTCTGTTCTATCATAATTGAGTTTAAAAATATTGAAATTTGTGTCATTAATTGAGTTGATACAACATAAATAATTATCGTAAACATCAACATTACAAAAATTTAAAGAATTTATAGGAAATTCTAGTAATAAAACTAAGGGATTGATATCAACTGAGTTATTCAAATTGTCGTTATCCTGGTTATCCTGATCAATTTTATCACTATTCATATTAAAATTTATATCACTTAATGATATTAAATTATTATGATAGTTTAGATCAAGTCTCCAAAACCTCAATTTATTATCTCTTGAGTGCGTCATAAATATTCCAAAAAAAGTCTCATCAATTGTAACATTTCCATCTTTATTAGAATTGAATTTTACACCAAGCTGTTTGATTGATATAACATTTTTCGAATGTGCTTTAAAAATCGATAAGGGTCTCTTGTTGATCAAATTCCAAATGATCAAATTCCCATTTTCATCAGCAGTGACCAAGTAAGGGACAATTAGGTTCTCATTGTACAACGAAGGAAAATAAAATACTTCTTGAGCAGTTATAGATGAATTGTGTCCTCTTAACCATCCTAACAATTGAGTCTTTTGGTTCATATCCAGATATACATTGAATTAGTCCTCATTATCTTGACAATTTTGGTCAAAGAATGGTATTTTTTTTTAAAAAAATACATTGAGAAGGGTAAGTTTTCGTATTGAAATTACAATTATCAAAATGATCAACACATCCAAATCAAAGAAAAATATGAAAAAAATGAAAAACAAGAAATGGTCAAAATTGGCAATAGATGAAAAAAATAATGTTTAGAAGCAGTTTGCTGAAAACCAGCTTTTTGAAGAGCAGCTTCAATATAAATGGCAATGCACTATCGAAATACAGGTTGTATCACAGAGTATTATCTGAACAAACCACAAAACAACCAACCAAACACAATGGAAATCCCAATCCAAACGCTAACACAGATATATTAATATCAAATCTACCAAAGTCCTTTGGGCTAGAGGAGTTTCAGAGAAAGATATTTCCCAAGTGTTCGGGATTGAAAAGTTTGTTGATAATAGAAGACGACTCATTGAAGTCTATATCACAGAAGGCGATATTATCATTTGCAGAGATTTATCAAGCTCGAGTTGCAACTCGAAAGTTAGTGGATGTGATTCGTGGAAGAAAGCTCAACATAAATTTTTTAACACCAACGCATCCAAAGAACCATACGATTTATGTAACAAACGTTTATAAACGAGTGACATTGGAAAATTTTGCAAATGCAATATTCAGAGAAATACAAAGAAAAAATGTTCTATCTATAGATTTCAATGAAAAAAAAGATGGAATCAAGATTCTATTCGAGGATATAGAATCTGCCGAGTTTGCGATTAAAAAGCTAAGGGGTTTAAAATTTAATAATCAAGAAATATTTATAGATTATTTTCAAACCAAGCAGAGATCTTCAAGGAAATCAATAATGATAACTAGATTGAAGCGTGATGTTACAGCAGATGAAATATTCGATTTATGTAAAAAGTTTGGAAACATTGTGGATATTCGATTTTACCAAAATTCTAGAATACCGATTTCAATAAGGTGTACAGCATTTGTACAATTTTGCACTAATAATGAAGCAAGAAATGCATTTTACAAGTTGAAAAATGCATTTTTTCAAGGTAATATGATTAATGTTTATGATCCATCAGTAGATGTAACAAGAAAGTACTTGATTGAAACTAATGAAAACAAAATAATAAAAGATGAAATGGATGAAGAAGATGAAGATGAAGATGAAGGTGAAGATGAAGGTGAAGAAATAAAATATAATGAAGAAAAGGAAGGTAAAGAAAAAAAAAAAGATAAAGAAAAAATAAAAGATAAAGAAAAAATGAAAGATGAAAATAAAGAGAAAAATAAAGAGAACGAGAAAGAAAAGGGGAAGAAAAAATCTGAAAAGAACAAGACAGTTAAAAAGAAAAACAAATATCATTTTAATAAAAAAAGTGCTTATAGGTCACTACTCAATGACATAAAAAATTACAATAAAAATCAGCAGAGCTAGACAATCTCAATTGAAGAGCTTGCACTCAGTAGAGGCTAGATTATGAAGAAAAAGCCCGGTGATTGCAACGGAAATGGGCAGGTCTGTATATAATTGGTTCATGGTAAATAAATAGCATAATAAATTGTACGATAATAGGTTTTATAGTAACAAAAATTGTTGAAAGAAAAAAATCTGCTAAGAATCAGAAGTGACCCAGACAAAACCAACGACCTCGGAGAGGATCGAACTCTCGATCTTGAGATTAACAGTCTCACGCCTTAACCAGCTTGGCCACGAAGTCGCTTCATGCTTTCGGGCTCGCATAACATAGATAGAAGCACAACCTATATATAGTGTTTACCCTGTTTCTATTTTTTGATCTATTGTTTTTCACTAAAACCAGATTTTTTTTTGATGGCAAATTTTATTCTGTTGATCAGCTTAACAATTGAGGGTTTACTATCAAATTGCACAATTGAATTGCATAACAAAATACCTAAGATTATACTTTCTGTTACACATTGGCTAATTGTTGAAAATGTTTCGTCCATCCATTTTAAGAACCTCCTTCGCTAGCAGACCGGCATTTTCTCCCACTTTAAATCTATTTAAGAGAAACAACGCTACTTTTGCTAAGTTAACCCTTATTGGATATGTTGGTAATGATTTGGAGCCAGAGACTTTGGAAAATGACAAACAGGTCTTAAGATACTCTATTGCTGTTAATCCACTTAGAAATAGAAACAAAGAAGATCAACCTCCAAGATGGTTTAGAGTTGAATGCTGGAATGAAAGATCGTTTGATTTCATGACCAAATATTGCCCAAAAGGTTCTTTGGTTTATGTTGAATGTCAACCAGTTCCTCAAGTGTACGAGAAAGAAGATGGCACAAAAGCATATAGTATAAAATTCTACCAAGATACTTTTAAAATCCTCAAATCTAAGGGACAAGAGGAGAGTTCTGAGTAGATTTTAAACCTCTTTATTTTGCTCTGGGTTTTTTTTTCAACTACTAAACTAAATTATATTTATTTCTTATATATTGTTTGAGTATTACTTTATTTTTTAAGCTCGCTTTTTCTCTATATATAAAGAAATTTTTTACTTGCAAATAGTACTCTAATTTCACAGACAATTGACAGTCTTAATTGTATTCGAGCGTTATTTCACAAAGCTGTGGCAAAAAATATTTATTCTCTTTTATAATCTTTTTTCACTATTTTTGCTTTTCATAGAGCTATGTTGATAAGGCAAGACCTCGGAATGTCTCAAAGAGGAGCTGCCTATTTTGAAACATACTACTTCTGTAAGTAAAGACGGTCTTTCTATTTTTGGATAAATCGAAATAAGGAAAAAGAAGAAGGAAGAAATTTAATTTCAACTGATCCATCCAGCAATTACAATAGTATCCAGATATTATTATTTCAAATACCTGAGAATTCGAACAAATAATAAAAACGACTTAAAATGGTAAGTAATCTATGAGACGTCATCTTAAATTGATATAATTCCAGTTATGGGTGCAATACTAATAAAGCAATAAATAATTTACTTGGTAATTTAATTTAATTTAATTTAATTTAATTTAATTTAATTTAATTCAATTAAATTTTATTTTCTTTAATTTATTTATCTATGTACAGGGAAAAAGAAAGAAATCTTCAAGAAAACCGGCTCCAAAAATCAAAAGAAAATTATCAACAACTTTTTCATGTTTGTTTTGTAATCATGCTGATTCAATAATATGTACAATTGATAAAAAGACAAATATAGGAAGCTTGAATTGTAAGATATGTGGACAAACATTTCAGACTCCAATTCATACTTTAAGTCAGCCAGTTGATATTTATGCTGATTGGGTTGATGCATGTGAAGAAATAGCTGAAGAAACTAATGATATGAATTATAATAATAGTGATGATAATCTAAGCAATAATCTCGACAAAAATTATTCTATTGACCATGACAACGATCGCTCTAGTGATATAGGGAAAAATACAAAACCTGGAAGATTTGATGATCTTAGTGAAATAGACGAATCTGATGGAGATTATGTAGATGAATAATAATAATATATTATTATATATATTTACCTTATCTATATTTTTAAACTATTTTGTGAGTGGTTTTTTCTTGTCATTATTTATATATATATACAAGCAAGATTGACATCTTCAATAAATGAATTGAAAAAATAAACTAAAAATAAATTAAAAATAAAGTATAATGATAATAAAAAATAAAAATCGGGAAAAGAACATTCAAAAAAAAATTGAAAAATTGAAAGAGAATAAAAATATTCCAAAAAAAGGTAGAGAAAAAATCGAAAAAAAAATACAATAAAGTTTAATAGAATTAATGAGCAGGTTGAGATGGTAGAGGTTGGAAAGCATCATTAGTGGAACCTGGTGCTAAAACATCATTAGTTTGCTGTTGTAAATTGAATTCCTTTTCCATTTCTAATAATTGTTGCTCACTTAAAATCGATAAACTTAATGGAACTCCCAATAATAAACATGAAGAGGTAATTATCCACAATAAATTACCAGTTTTGCTAATACCATTAGATAAAAATGAATACAAGCCTGTAGTTGTGTCGGATATGATAGACCTTTGTTCAATTGGAATAATATCTTTTAATGCAACAATTCTGTCTAAAATGGTTTCGTTTTCTATATCAAAATCATCATCGTCAGAATCGGCTTCGGAATTTTCGCTATCTGATTCAGAGGTGGTTTCAAAGTCATTATCATTAAGCACAGAGTCTTCAACTGGCTGGTTGTTTTCATCAAGTTGTGTGAGTTTGACCATCTTTGTGTTTTATATTTTGTGTATGATGCTATAATCCTGCTCTTTCAATTGTCAATATTACTTTGCTCTATGTTCTTCCTATTAAAACCTCTCTGATTTTTTTTCTTCTCTCACTTGAAGTTTTTTAAAAACGCCACACGTGTGAGAACACGTGAAAGACAGCTGTAATGAATAATGTATTATGTAATATTTTAGAGTTATAGTATACGTGTAAATCGGTACCTCACACATGGATACGCGTCGACAGAGAATATTTTTATTTATTTTTATTTTTATTTTTATTTTTTATTTTTATTTTTATTTGTTTGAATATTTTATTTCTATTGAATTATTTTAATGCGTTTGGTGTTGGTAAATAAAAACAGCAGAAATAGCGGTGATATATGGAACTTTAAACCACTTAGCTCAGCGATTTTCCAACTGTTTTCAATTTCAATGTCTATTTAATTCACGATCCACGAAATTTATTATTTTATGGCGTTATAAAATGTTTTACAATTTTGTGTTTCTAAATTAATTGGTTATATTTCTTTTTTCCTTTTTTTATCATATATTAATAAACAATTTCTTTAAACACTTGCTTTTACTGTCTTCATTATCTGCTTTCCATTGTCTTTTTGCTCCTGCACTTTTTTTTTTTCTTTTACTCTCTGTTAGTTTTCGTTATCTCTCGCATTTTTCTGTTTATCATGACTTCAAGTCAATATCCCCCATCTTCTCCCATTGCTGATTACTTTCCTGATGATAATGATAGCGACAGTCAGATTACCGACAGTGATCAACACGATATACAAACCGACGATGACGAGATTATGATATCAAAAGCTTTGTATCATACTCCTAAAAAAAGAAGATATTCACATTTACCAATAAAAAATTCATCACAACACAGTGCTAGCAGTTCCAGTTTAAACAATGAAAAGATTGCAGGTTTCAATTTGCCTACTCCTGATCCTTCAAGCGAGATTTTTTCATCTCATTTAAAATTCAATTTAGATGAAAAACAAGAAAAAGTGCAAATTATTATCAATAGCACTGATACCATGAGCGACAGTCTTAGTGATAACAATCAAAATACTGCTGATATTAATAATATAACTCCTATCGCTAATCAATTCACTGCTCAAGTCAGTGATAAAATCAATTATGAGAGTCCAATTAGAGCCACTAATAAACCCCGTTTAATTAGCAAATCTCAGACTCCTGATAACAATAATAGAAGTAGTAGCTGCGAACGTGATGAGAAGGACAGTTATTATAATTGCAATTATAATCACAACAATAACGATAATGACAATGATAACGATAGTGAAATGAATAATGATTATATCACCAATATTAATATAAATCACACGACCAATTCTTATTCTATTGGAAAACAAACATCTAATGACATTATAATAAATAATGGCAATAAATATGTCTCAAGAAACCATCTTTTAATTCATTACAATTCATTAAATAATTCCATAATAATTGATTGTCTAAGTTTGAATGGTGTGTCAATAATATTACCTTATCATGTTAAACTAATTTATAATGACCATCATGGTAACAATGATAAAAATCTATACGAATTTTATGAATTGAACAACGATAAATTTTCTAAAAATGTTAATGTTAAAAATATTAATATTAAAAATATTAAAAATATTAAAATTGATAAAAAAAGTGATTACAAGAGTTTAGTTAAACAAGGCTTGACAGATTTTAATAGAATTGCTACCATGATTAAATCAAGTATTATATTTATTATAAAAGGTGAAAGAGTTAATATTCCCTGCATAAATAATATTTTATTAGACATCCGAGGAGAATTGGTTAATATAAATTGCAATAATTACAAACCAAATAAACCAAGAATAATTAATTTGTATAAGACTGGTTATCTGGATTATATTACAAAGACAGTCAATAATTCCCTAAAAGATGAAGATTCAAGCGATTTAAATCTGATGGATAAAACCGACATCATAAACCAAATAATTACATTAAATAAAAGAGACCAATATTATGAAAATGCTATGGCTAGAAAGAGATTTCTTTCAAATTCCAATTTCCATAAGAATTTCAAAAATTTTCAAAATGATAACGATGATAATAACGATGATAGCGATAAAGAAAACATCAATAACGACGAAGAAAACAGTCTTAATATGGTTTTACAACAGGAGCTTCATGAAATTGATAAAAAGCTAAAACTAATAACATTGGAAAATATTTTGATAAACCATTTAGCGTATACAAGATTAGCATCAACTCCTATAGCATTTTTGCAAAAAAATGTGAGCCATTTGATCAGCAAATTGGACAAGGTGCTATTAAGAAAGATCTTGAATAAAATAAGGTGTATTGGTGTTATTTATCGAGAGGGAAAGGACGCAGCAGGGCAAAGTTTAGATGAGGAGTACTATTATGATGTGGAAAAGGACCCAGACCAAGACAGAAAAAGCTTGATAAAGTCAATTAAAGGTGGGAACTCATTGCGAAGCTGCAGAAGAAGCCACAAGCAGTACTTCTGGAAGAAGCCTCCTCCACTACATTCCAAACGATGGGAGGCAGATTCGTAACATGTATAGATTTATATAAAACAGCAAAATAATACAATAGTATAATAAGCTACAGTTCTAAACAGCCCAATTAGGAAGCCGCTTTGTGGTGGGTGTTGGATTTTATAGGATACAGGCTGGGTGTTGGGTGCTTATTTCAGCGCTTATTTCAGCCGGAAATCCGCAAGTATCCACGGTGTCTCAAAGTTGACTTTTTCAGAGAAAATAGTGTGTTGTTAGATTATCTTTAACCATATCACACCAGATCAGAAAGATATTTGTGAAAATGTTGTTGATATCGTTTGTTACCTTGATATTCTATGTTTTGAGCACAGCCAATGGGTTTTATTTTTTTTTAAATGGTGGAGATAGGAAGTGTTTTTACAAAGAATTGTCAGAAGGGACAATTTTAATGGGAAAATACAAAATTGAGGTGTTCGATACTCGTATTAATGATTATAGGGCTACCACAGTGGACATGGGCTTAGTTATCGATGTTGAAGAAGTTTTCGATGATGACCATAAAGTTGTTCATCAGAAGGGACAGCAAGGCACCGGGGAGTTCACATTTACTGCAATTGATTCGGGTGAACATCGAATTTGTTTTAATCCACAATCATATGGATGGATTTCTAAGATCAAGACCAAAGTTAATATCGACTTTACAATTGGTGAGGCGAAAGTATTCGATAGTAAAAACAAAGATGCAATCGGGACTTTAACATCAAGAGTTAAAGTATTAACTAATAAAGTTAATGAGATTAGAAGAGAACAAAAATTAATGAGAGATAGAGAAGCATTATTTAGAGATCAAAGTGAGAGCACGAATTATAGAGTAGTTAAATGGTCAATGATTCAATCTTTAGTTTTAACTGGAACTTGTATTTGGCAAATGAGACATTTGAGAACATTTTTTGTTAAACAAAAATTGGTATAGTTTTAATTAAATTTAATTAAGGTACCCATAATAATATTTATGATCTTATTTATTTTATTTTATTTTATTTTCAATTTTTTTTTCAGTTATTTATTTTCATATTTTGGTAAGAAAGAAAAACATGATCATTTCATTATCACCATGATTTATTTATATAAATGTATAAATGTACAATATTCTATTTTAGGCATTTTTTTTTATTTTTTTATTTTTTTTTTTTGTATTTCAGAGCACTAATTGATTCAAATTTTTGATTGTTTATTCAGTAGATTACCCATGTATAAATAGAAAGAAAAAAAAATGAATTAAATAAAAAAAAACAGCATAAACAAGCTAAAAAGATTATACAACATATATTAAATATGACAAAGACAAAAAGATAGAGATAAAAAGATGACAAAGACAAAAAGATAGAGATAAAAAGATAACAAAGACAAAAACAAAAGATAATTAATTGAGCTTAAACCTGAATTTGAATTTGAAACTAAATTTGAAATTTCAATCGAATGAAATGAAAGAATATGGAATTAACAATCTTGTATTATATTATTCACTACATTTGCTTATAACTTAATCCCTTTTAGCATGTTCTTCAGATTTCTGGTAGAACTTCTTGATTGGAGCATTTTGAGGATAATATGCTAACATAGCTGCAAGACCAACACCAACAGCACCGAAAGACAATATCAAGGTCTTCTTAACAGTTGGATCCATGCCACCAGAGCTTGATGAGTAAAATCTTCTGGCGGTACATTGAGCAATTCTTTTTGAAGCAATTGGGGCAATCATTTTGATATTAAGAATAAGAAGAGTAGAGCACTGGTACACGATTGTATTATATCTAACACTTGAAACTCAGGTAAGTTGGAAATCTTCAGGAGAAAAAATAAGAAACTGACCAAATGAATCATTTATACTCGACAGCAAAGTAGAACTGATTATATAATAAGCTTTCTCCAGGAGGGTCAGCAAATCAAATCAGCTCAGTTTCTCCCTGATCTTTGCTTTCACTCTCTTGGGATTGCATCGTTCGATCTCTGCCGCGTTCGCGAAATTCTAGCCGCATATTTCGTCGCTCGTAAGAGCCCTAACTGACCATCTGCTCGATATTTGGCGGCGTTCGCCTGTTTGCTTACTGTTACATGCATCCCGATAGATGGTCTCAGTTTGGATTTTCATGTGTTTCAACGCGTTAGCATGCACATGCTTATGATCATATATTGGGAGGATCTGGAGAGCATCACAACCTTCTAAAAGGCACTTTGAACAATTCACTGATCCTTACACTGTCTGAAGTTTTCTCTAATTGGGATAAACTGGGCATCTTCCAAACAAATTTCTTTTGTTCTTATCAATAAGGAAAGTTTTATGAAAAGAATCTAAAACAGACTAATGGCAATTAAAAATTAATATCTACCCAATTCTATAAACTTAGATATAAAAAAACAATTTGAAAGAAATATATAAAAATCTTAATATATTTTTTAGCTTGTTATTTTGTTGTTTTTTTATGCTTGTTTAAACCAACATAAACGCACAAAAGCTTTAAATGGAAGATTGCAAGAATTACAATTTAAAACCAAAATTTGGACTTGAAAACCTCGAAAGCCATGTCCAAAATTTAACATTACCAATAGATATAACCACAAAATTCAGAATTGAACCCTTTCGAATGAGAGGCAATCCAAAGGAAATATTTTACTATTCAACTGATAAAAATGAAATTGAGAAAAATGATTTTAGCTCATTAGTTTATTATGATTCTCAATTAGACACAGATTATTCTGAAAATATTAATTTATGTACTGATTATAAAAACTTTTCATTGTCTAAATTTAACAATTTTTCTTGCAGATATGATTTATTTTTAGAAAAATTAAAAAAATATGAAAAAGTAACAAAAACCCTTGAAAATGATATCAATTTTATATCTACCAAAAACTGCCTAGCATCGTTAGCTACAATTATTTCTTCTCAAAAGGGTTGTGAATTTAACCTTTGTTATTTTGATGGATCAATCTATTTGTCTCAAGATTTTTGTTGTTATGATCAGAAAATTGTTAATATTTATAAACATAATAAGGATAGCACAAACACTATGTTATCAAAAAATTCAATTTGTGGCTATGTTCTTGAAAAACTTTTAACCACAGAGACATTAAACAATAACAAAGAAGTCAAAAAAAAGCAACAATTAAGCAAAAGAGTGAAATTATAGGAAGAGATTTAGGAAGTTTCAATAATAATAAGCAATTTAATTCACTTGTAAAGTTTGACATGGCAGCTGATGATAAACCTTGGAAGAGCTGTCAAGATAATATTTCCTTTTTAATTAAATCAAGGGTTGACTGCACTTTTATTAAACCTTTTAATAAAAATATTAATAATTTAAAGCATTATGTTGAAATTAAATCTATTTTTGAGTCAAAAAATACATCTTTAGATTTTACAAAACTTGAAATGGAAAAACCCGATTTTCACAGAAAATCCATATTAAAATTTTTAACAATCTATTTTCAATGTCTTTTTGGTGGAATGGAAAAAACGGTTGTAGTGCAAAGGAGCAAAGCATTTAATTTATTTAAAATTAAAGGATTAGATATCAATTTCATTAGAACATTGTTGAATAGTCATATTCACAAATGCTTGAATTGGTTCGGAGTAGTTTGTGAGTGGATATTACGCTCAATTCCCAGAGATAAAACAAAAGCATTCAGATTAAAATATGTTAAAAAACAAAAATGCTTAAGATTGATTGAAATTACTAATCAAGCAGAAATTGAGAGAACCAGAAGCTTATTACTTTTAAAAGAGTTTATCGACCATAGAAAAGGTTTATAAGTGATAAGTAAATAATATAAAAGTTGGATGCATGTCAAAGCACAATGCAGGTATATGTATGTTTCGAACTGTGTTTGAAAAGAAACCGCTCATTTATCTCAGTATTGTATCGGAACAAACTAATCTGATATAATGTTGACACCAATGGTTGTAGGTTAATCAAAGACAGACTATATTTTGTGAGAAGTCTTAAATATTTTGTTTCGGTTTGGTTTGAGCACATTTTAAAGCAAAATTGTTTGGATTGTGTTTGTGTGCGATTCTTATGGCACATGATTTTATTAGGTAATCAAAGAAAGAACCAATTCAAAAGGGACTTGCCACAAATAGTGTTTCAGTTCTTGAAACAGACCGCCCCAAGTTTAATAGAAATATCAATATATAAAGAGTAGGAATTCAACAAGAAATTAAAACTTATTCCTTGATTCCTTTTTTCTTATAATTATTCTTGTCTTCTGCCTCTTTTATATTGTCAAATAGATACTCGATTTGGGGCAATTAGTACTTGTGGCTAAAGCACGATTTGGGCTGAAACCTGTTGAACTGAGACAAAGTGTATTACCTAACAAAGTCATGTGTTAGTGGAATAACACGCGACCTAATTAGCAAAAGCTGTTTGAAAATTGTTTGAACAAATAGTTTTGTTTTTGTGGAATCTGTTTGGTTTGAGTTTGGTGTAGTTTCCGCTGAAATTCAAACAAAACGCGCACAAACAAGTAACAGAAACTAAATCTGGATTTGGTACAAATACAAATACAAATACAAATACAAAATGCAAAATACAAAATACAAATACAAAATACAAAATGCAAAATACAAAATACAAAACACAGAACGCAAAATATAGAACACAAAACACAAAACACAAAACGCAAAATATAAAATTATATAAACCTTTGCAAACCATCCACCATAAAATCCTAAAACCGCTTGGGCAAGAACTGAATCAAAAGCATGTCTCCATAGCCCTCGGGCTTGTCGCAGGGACAATTCACGCTTATTAACACTTCGTCTGACGAGTCGATTAGTTGAATGTTTTCCCCAAAGAATATCTGTTCAAGCCCACCAATCACATCGATATCATAAATCTCCAAAAACGTATTGCCATCATTCAACACAAACAAGTATTTCGAATAAATTGCTGCGTTTGAGCAATTAAATGAAAACTTTATCACATCATGGACTATTGATCCCTCCATGTTTGTTATCACTCCCATTGTCTCATAAACCAACATGATCCTTTTATTTCGTAATGTTAATATCTTCATAGGTTTGTGTTTCTTTTGGTAAAAACTATTATTTGGAATATTTTCAACTGTAGTCTTATCAAAATAATTGAATTTTCTAAATGAATCTTCCAAACATAATATTAATTTTTGCTTTACATTAAGTAGCTCTTTACATTCCCCTGGTATTAAATAACGATCAATTTCTTTTAGTTCTTTTTCTAGCCTTGATTCCTTTTTAATATCATTGATTTTGGCTGTTAAAAACTTCACCATTGAATCCTTTGTAATTTCTGTAATTAAACTTGATATATAAAATAATTTGAAGTTTGTATCTGCATATTCAACGAAAAAATTCTCCACATTATCTGCCAATTTAACAAATCCAGTTAAATTAGAAAGATTACAGTGAGATTTGGAATTATTAGAACGACTGAAATAAAGTTTTTGATTTTTAATTTTTTGATTTGGATTATTTTGACTAAATCCGTGATAATTTATGTCTTTTTTAAGCCTAGCTCTTGAGTAATTATCAACAAAACATGAGATGGAACAATAAATTAAACTATTATTTGATAGGATTAATAAAATGTTGTATTTCTTTTCAATTACAATTTTTTTAACTTTAATGATCTTTGGAAATACCAAGACCCAATTATCAAAGATTCTATTGCTCCTTACATAAATTCCGCTAGATGTTCCAATTAATTTGTATTCAACATCTTTATAGAATAATTTTAGGTAGCAGTGAATGTCTCCTCTAATAGGATTATCTCTTATTTCATTAAATTGTTTTTCATTAATTTCAAAATTTATCAAATCCATTGAATATTTGAAAAATGCATTATCATCATTTTTATTACTAGTAGTGAAATAGTTTTTATAATTATTAATATTGTTTATAAACTTGTTGTCATTCAAGATATTGTCATGTAATATATTAATTCTAAATTTTTCCTTTTCTCTTTTAAGAATGATATTGTTAGATATAATATTTTTAAGAGTTTTACTTAGAGTGTTGTCGAAATTTTTAATTGAAAAAATGTGTTCAGTATTTTTAGCTATATTTTTGATTTTATATTTTTTAATTTCAAAGACTAATTCAGCTAGAGTTTTTTGTTCGTCGTTATTTTGTTCTATATATTTTTCGAATTTCAAATACTCAATTGGAATTGGATTATCGGCTAGTAAGAATTTAAAATTTGATTTGATAAAAGTAGTTATAAGTAGGCAGTTGTCAAATAAGAGGATTAGGTTGAATTTATTTTTTTTAATATTTTTTGATACAAGTTTAATGATCTCTAGATCAGCATTTAATGGAAATTTTATGCTGTCATCGAATTCAAAATTTGAGTGAATTAATCTACTTGAGATTAAATTAGTCTCGTGGTGGGATTTATATTTCTGGACAGCAGTTATGAATTTTTGTAGCATTTTATTACAGTTTATTAGGTCTTTATAAAACTCTGAATTTTCAGGATGAAATTTTTTCAAGTCTCTTAATACAAGAGAAGATTTGATCATGAAATCTAGGGGGAAGTTTAAGATTAGGGACAAGTTTTGTTTTGAGTTGATGTAAGGTTCTTTCCATTTATTAAAATTTTTTAGTAGATCTAGATCAAATAGGTTTTCGTCTTCTTTTAAAGATTCACTAATTTTAAAGATTAGGGAGTAGAGAGAGTTTATTTCGGACCATTTGTTGTAAATTGGGACAGAGATTTCGGACCAAATTGAGAAAAGTTGGAATAACAGGTTGTAGTCTTTTATAAATGGGCGATCTTTGTTCATTAAATGGATTAGAGGGTTTAGCAATTCAGTTTTGTGGTGAGAAAGAATCAGTTGAAAAGAGCCGAAACAGGATTTATAGAAGACTTTATTATCGATTGGGTAAACTAATTTTTGAATTTTGTTGTTGCTGCTGTTGTTTTTATTGTTGTTATTATTATTTGCAAGTTGGTAATTATTGGAGAAGAGAAAGTCATTCTTAAAGGATTCGCCTATATCCATGAGGGATTGCAAACTTTGAACAAATCTTGCTTGAGTTTTAAATAATTCAAAGATTAGGTTTTGGTGAGTGTTTATAATGTTTGGATTAATTTGAGGGATTAGCCAAAATTCTTCCCATTTTTTAGTTTCGCAGTTTGTAAAGTTATTGAGACTAATTGGCAAGAAATCCGGGGAGTGAACACAGAGAGGTGAGTAGCAATTCGGGGTAAATTGTTGAGAATTAAGGTGGTTACAGTTACTTGAATAACATGTGGTTAGTTGTGTTATTACGCCGGATATTTTTTGTGAGAGAGAATTTAAAGAGTTGAGAAAAGTGGGAGAATTGAAAAAGTCTAGATCGAAATCCAAGTCTGTAGGGTGGTTTGAGTTGGAGGTGGTAATTGAGTTTAAAGGTGGTAAAGAAAAGGATATGATATCATTTGAGGTGGGTGAGTAGTTACAGATATTGTTATTTAAAAAAGTGGATAGAATTGAGAGGAAAATAAAGTCAATTTGTTTATTTGGGTATTTGTTGTTAATTAGAAGTTTGATTATCAATTTGAATTGTTTTATAGTTAAATTAATTGAGATGTTTTCATTATTAGTGTTATTGTTATTATTGTTATTGTTATTGTTATTGTTATTGTTATTATTATTATTGTTATTATTGTTATCATTTGACAAGGTATTGTAATTTGAATGATAGAATTGATATAAAATGGAGATGAACCATTTATAAAGAGAAGAGTAAGACCAAATTTCTTTACAAGCTTTCAACATTTTATCGGTTATAAAATGGTGAGTTAGAGAAGATGTCTCTAGCGTTTTAGCAGAATCTATGGAAGGTTTGCTTTCATGGGAGACAAAAGCAGATGGAGAAACAGTAAGAGAGTATCTAGTTGAGTTTGAATCAAAGGTTCTGTCGGTGGAAGTGGAGTAGTTTCTTTCAAAGATCTGGGGGTTGTAGTTGTCGTTGGAATCAAAAGTATCAGCCATTGAGGAGGAGTACTGGCGTTCATAGAGGGTACCAAGGGAGTAGGTGGAGTCGCAGGTAGAGTTTCTGGAAAAGATATGAGCAGAAGAATCTGGATTATGATGAGAAGCAAAGGAATTGGGTGTTTTGAGGGGGCTGTTGGAGGGAGTGGTAAAGGAGGAGCTGATGCTGGGAAAGCTGTTGTGGGAGATAGACTCCAAGTGGCCAGTGAGCTGATTGACAGAGGGATAGACTGGCACAGCAAACAGAGAAACAGAGGCTCTGAGGGAAAACTGAGGCTTGTCGATGTTCTCAGACTTAGAGAAGCCTATGGCAGTGAAGGTGTTGGTGATGTTCACTCTGGAAAGAGACGCAGAGGAAGCAGCGACAACAACAGCAGAAGGGGCATTGAGCGAGGGTGGGAAAGAGAGTTCCATGGGTTTCAAGACATTCCACAAAGGACTGGGCTGAAGAAGCAGAAGAAGAAGAGGAAGAAGCAGCAACAGCAGTAGAAAAAGAAGAAGCAGAGGAAGCAGAGTATTTATAGAGCTATAAATAGCTGTGATCTGCAAAGGAGCTAGTTCCGGCGCTTAGGTTCAGCGCTTAGCTCGGCGCTTAATCGCTGGAGAAGCTCTAGAACTGGACTGGGGGCGTTGTTGGTGTTGTTTCTTCTTCCAATGCTGCTGTTGCCAGATGATGGTGATGATGATGATGCTGTTGCTGTTGCTGTTGCTGCTGCTGCTGCTGCTGCTGCTGCTGCTTCTGTTCCACCTTTGCCATGTCCTTCTCTCGTCCCTCCAGCCAGGCCCTCTTGCTTCTCGACCAGAGATTTGCCAGTCTCGGTTTCAGCGAAATTGATCTCTCTCAGTACCATGATCAAGACTATCCAGCTTCCTCAGATTCTCCAGATGCTTCAAATGCTCCAGCTCCTTCTTCGAGGCCCTCACACGTATCCACCGATGCTGACGATATTGCCATCCAAATCAGCAGCAGGTTCAACCACGACCTAGACGAATATTTGGCTACAAAGGACTCTGATAATGACTTTCCTTTGCCAATTGCTCTTGTCTCAGACAACCAATATGCTACTTTGCACTCTCCTATTCCCCAGCATGGCGACATCTACAGGTGCATCTCAATTGATGATTCCAATTACAACCTGTTCAATATTGCCAATGGCGCCGCTGCTAATAACGATTGTAGTTTAATCGATCGCGACATCTTGATAACTGATAATAACGATAACGATAACGATAACGAAAATGACAATAATAATAACAATGACAATGACATTGACATTGACATTGACATTGACAATAAACAAACAAATACCAAAGCTGGTTTCTTCAAAAATTTGAAAAAAGATACCATCTTGCTCATATTTTTTTTGAATTCTCTCATCTCGGTTATCTGCTCATTACCTTTCCAAATCTATATGCTTGTCCAAATCATAATCTTATCTTCTCAATACCTCAAATCTATCCAAATCAACAATACTCAATCAGGTAACCCTCTATTCATCTCCTACTACACTGCAACAAATTTCCTTAAATCCTCAAACCCTGATTCCTACACTGGAGCCAATTTAAACATATCAATCCCAATAGACATCTTTTTGCCTACTATCATTCTTATTTTCTCAAAATTATACCAAGTATTCCTAACCTTTTTATCAATCTATTCTAAAAACGTAATCCAGATTTTTTTTCTATTAATTTACCTAATCTTACTCTTGATTTTTACTACCTTCTTATACTCTCAAACTGCAAACTCTTTTACCCTCAACCCTAACAACTCCTCTTCATCTTCATTTACAACCTTAAATCTTTGGTCTGATAATATCAATTCCCATGACTTGAACACCTATGACTCAATCTTTAAAATCTTCAGCTATTTACTAATAACCTTTTCAGCTTTAACCGTCTTGGTCCATCTATTCTTTTATTTCTTTTATGCTAAAAGCCTACCAGCCCGAAAATCCTCTTTTTCAATCGCTATACCCTTCAAAATGATCCCCTTATTAAAAACTTTCCAATTTCATAGAGCTTCAATAACTATAAGTTGCTTCACCTCAATGGTCTTCTTATCTCTATTTGTCGACATGTACCAACTAACCCCATCAAGTAAATTTACAATTTTCCTAATTCTTTTATCCCCTCTCTACTTGTTTTTACAAGATATTGTTGTTTCCTATGAATTCTTTATCGGCTCCTTCATCTTTGGCATTCTCTTCAATTTAATATATATTCTCTTTGCTTTTCACCAAATCTTATTAATCTTCAAACTCAGATCAGTCCACCAATACCCAATCAAATTTTTCATTATCAAGGTTTTCTTTCTTTTTTATTTCCTTTTACTATCTCTAAACATCATCATGGTCATAAAAGCCATTTCAAACTTTCACAAAGGTTTAAAACCTTACACCACAAAATCTTATAACACTTTCTTTCATTTTAAATCTTTTAATCAAAATAATAATCAAAATAAATATACAAATAACAATACCAATATTAACATACAATTATCAACCTTTATAAACACAAAAGATCCTGTTCAAAAAAGTTTCTCAATGAAAAATTACCTCACCTCCCAATTCTTCTCAAAGAGCATTTTCTCATCTAACCAAAATTTAATCCCAAAAAATGACAATCAAGAGAAGAAAAACTCTTCTAAATCTTCCAAGTCCTTTAAATCTTTTAAATTTTCAAAACTTTTCTCCTTTTTCTCAATTTTATCCATCGCCATCACCATCACCTTTATCATATTCGAATTCATTTACTGTTACAATTTGAAAGATTTCACCCTCAAAATGGGCCCGGCAATTGATGATGTCTTTTACATTAGTTTTGATAACTTATTAGACATCTTCCTTCAATTCCCAAGAAAGACATTGATTTCAAATCTCTCTCTATTAATATTTGGTGAATTTTACTTAATATTTATATTCGTCTTATATTTCTTAACTTCAAATAACAATTCTTTCAATTCAACTATTCAAATTTTTTTTTCTCTATTACTTCAAGAAAAAAAAAATTCGTATGATCTTAAAAAAGATTTAATCCTCGGCTTTAAAATTCTCATTATCCTAATCTCCGCTTTTCAACTAATTTTCTCAATGTGTCAATACGGTCAAATGAATTTTGTTTATTTTATCTACAATTTTAATAATAATAATTTCAATCCAGGTTTAAAAAATTATATCATCACTCACGGCTTTGTTCTTATTACTTTATCCCTATTGAGATTTATCATTCAAATTTATTTATTTACCTATAAAGAAGAACTGAAAAATTTAGAAAAACTAAATTCAAATCCACAAAATTTAAATAATTTCCATAACAATAATAATAACAATCAGCAAGTAAAAGAAGGAAACAATGGTAATGATGATTATGATGATTATGATGATAATAATGATAATGATGATAATTTTAATATAACTTTGATCGAAGAAAAATACTCACTTAACGTTTTTTATAAAATGTTAATTCTATTCAATGCTTATTTCATAATAGGTTACATTATTAATTTATTAAATAAAATTCAAACTTTATCCAAGCTTGAAATAATATTATCAATTGTTTTAATAATAATTTTAACAATAATCTTTATTGGAATGCTTTTCACTTCAACTTTGCTATTCTCATTTTTTCAAAATAAAAAAACTGAAGCTTATGAAACTAAAATGAAATTTTATTTAATTGAAATCTTTTGGGGATTTTTAGGTTTCATTATATTATCCATAATGTTAGCATATCCAATATTTCAAATCATTCGAATTCGAAAAACAGATTTGTTTAAATTATTTAAAATGAAAACATTTCAATATCTTATAACCTTTTACTATGAAAAACCGGAGCAAATTTATTCAAATCAAAATTTTCAATTATACGGTAATACTTATTTACCACATTCATTCGCATACAATATCGTTAGCGAATATTGCAGATTTTACATCATATTTTATAGTTCCTTGATAATACTCTCATTGGTGGTTATATTATTCACAATTGACCTACTCTTATTTAACGATAAAAGTATTTTTCAAAGAGTTGTGTCGCTTTTCAGAAAACAAAAAGAGAAAAAAATTGGAAAATCGTCGAATAAAAATTTTTATTCACTTCTTAAAAGAAAAAAAATATCAGAATATAAATAATTGAATTATTGAGTTGTTTAATGACTTAAGGAGTTATAAGATGTAAAATGATGTTGTTTTGAAGTTTATTTTAAGTTTTTTTTGAAGGCTATTTTTGAATTTTAAGTTTTTTTAAGTTTCCTGTTTTTTTATAGTATTTAATATTAATTTTAATATAGCTATATATAAATTGAATTAATTGTATATATGTATATTAAGATTAAAAGTAAATTGAGCTTAAAATAAAATGACTAATTAGAAATAAGTTAATAAGTTGATTAATCAATTAAATGTAACCAATTTTATTAGCGATATCTAAAGCATCGTAGTCAGCAGTTAATCTAACATAAGCTTTTTTGGTACCATTTGGACGAATTAAAGTATTGATTTTTAAAGCTTCAACTTCATATAAATCTTTTACAGCAGTTTTAATTTGATTTTTATTGGCTTTTAAATCAACTTGAAAAACTAAAGTGTTAGAATCTTCAATTTTTTTCATGGCAGTTTCAGAGACAATTGGTGCAACAATAATTTTATAAGAGTCTAATCTATTGTAATGTGGAACAGACTTGGAAATACGTTTTGGATTTCTTGATAATTTTAATGTTTTTGGTAAACGGAAAGTGGTTGAAGTTCTAACTTTTAAAATTTTTTTGGAGTTTACACCTTTAGCAACAGCTTTTTTGGCATTAAGAGCCTTAGTAGATTTATCTAAATTAAAAAAAAAAAGAAATAGTTAGTAAAAATTGAAAATCTTTATTAAATACTTAATGTTTGGCCTTTTAGAATCAATGCACATTGAACGTTTAGATTAGATATAATTTTTATTGAAATCTTTTATTGCAAAGTATTATTGCAAAATAAAACCTTATTATAAAACAATTGCAATTGAAAAAGAAGCCCAATATTTTGTGAGATTATAAGAAATTATCTGTATTAATTTTGTGAATAAAAAAATTAAAAACAATTCAATGATATAATTAAAATAAATTTCTTTACACAATCCAATTTTCTAGTCTTTTAGGTTTTTTCTAAAAACTTATAATTGATTTAAAAACCGTGCTTTAATCATATAATTTTTGAGAATAACTAATTTCCAATTTTTAAAAAAAATAATCAAATAAAATAACTGTGCAATATATTAAATATCAATTAGTTTAAAATATTTATAAATCGAAATATAATAACTCGCTTGATTATATTTTTGCAAATACTCCAATTACTTTTACGTTCTTTGATTTTGATGTAATTTAAATATTTAGATATTTTGCTTTCTTTTGTAACAGGTTCAATATTTTCTCTAATTTAAATGGAAATTTTAAATATCATTTTTATTTTTTTGTGATTAGAACTAGAATTTTCATTAAAACTGTTGGAATTATTGAGATGATAATACTAGGAATTATAATGGTAGCCAAACCGATATTCAATGTAGATTCTGAAATGATTAAAATTCGGATTAGTCACATACTAGTTGGAGCCATTTGGTATGATATATTATGTATTTATGTTATTAACTTATATTGAATTATATTACAAGACTGTCTTGATCTGCTCTAGCTCTTCAATGTATCGTTAGTAGTGAGGCAGATTTTGCTGAAATTTGAAGAATTCAAAGTGGAAAAGGTAGACAAAAAGCGGCCGAAAGCGGCGTTTTTCCCTGTTCGCGCGTAGAAGTGTGGTTATGAGCACGTTTATAACGCAAAAAAAACCAAAAATATAAGAGCCCTTATATTTAGCACATGATCAGGGCTTTAAATGGCTAAATATCAGAAGCAGCACAAGAAGCAAAAGCAGTAGAACCATCGTCAGCTTTGTAAAATCTTAGTCAATTTGGCCGATTCAATTTATGAACGTTTTATTGATGCCTCGACAGTCCCATTATAGTATGCAAATTATCTATTAATTTAATTTTGAACAATTATATAAATAATAAATCAGAAAACTCAATAGAACTCAATAAATTAACAAGTAAATAAATAAATTAAACCCATAATAATTCAAACCAAAGCTTCAAACAAGTGTAAACATTTAAATAAAAAAAACAGGAACAAACATAATCTAAATGAGTAAAACAATAAGGTGAAAAAACAGTAATTAGAGATAAAAAAACATGAAGAACAATAAAGAAGAAAATAAAAAATACCTGTGACAATAAAAGAATAATAACATAAAAAAATAAAAAAAACAAGAAAACAAGAAACCAATAAGCAATAAAAAAATTTAAAATGAAAATATAAAAGTTATTGTTTATAATTTTATTTTCTTCAAATAAAAACATTATCTCAATTGAAGAAGTGCATCCAGTAATAAAGATGATGGTCCATTTTCATGTTTGCTTTTATCAAAGACATTCCAAAATCGTAATGTTTCATCTCCTGCCCCTGTAACTATTGTTTGTCCATCTGAACTCATAGCCAAATATAATACTCTATACGTATGTCCAGTCAATGAAGCAATTTGTTGCATAGTAGGATATTTCCAGATAACGATTTGGTGCTTTGCATATCCATGAGTACTAACAATTTCATTAGAATTTTTTGACCACATTAAATTACAAACCTGTGATCCAGTATCAGTATCACTAACTTTATTACCATTTAGTGTATTCCAAACTTTGATTCTTCTATCTGCAGTTCCTCCTCCTGATGCTAATATTCCTCTTTGATGTGGTGACCAAGAAATAGCTTTTACAGCTGCTCTATGTTCACTTATTTTATAGAGTGGTTTTTCACTATTATTGATTCCATCCCAAACCATTAATCTATTATCATTTCCTCCAGATGCTAATTTATTTTCTTCGATATTCCATTTTAGCCCACAAATTTCTTGTTTATGGGCTTCAATTTTTTGAATATAGTGTTCAGGAACTCTAACGTCTCTATGTAAGATTGTTCTATCTCTTGAGCCAGATGTTAAAATGTGTTCGTTCCAAGCCAATGCAGCAGCCCTTGATGTATGGCCAGTCATTGTTCTTGTACATTTACAACTTTTAGCATCCCAGATTGCAACCAAACCATTATTAGATCCAACAGCTAAATGAGAACCAGCTCCGATCCAGCTAATACTAGTAACTTTATTGTTATCGCCTAAATCACATAATTTATTAACTGCACCAGATGATGAGTCCCAAAGATAAACACATGAACCTAAACCAACACCTAGAATATCTTGAGAACCCCAATCGACTAAATTGAGATAAAAATCATCAGCTAATTCAGGTGCATCTAAAACTCTATAAGGAACCTTTGAGATTGATCGTGGTTTCTTTTGAGGAGATAATAATAACCTTTGAGTATCAGATCTAATTGGAGATAAAGAATAAAATTCAGAAAGATTATTCTTTTTTTGGTTGAATTTTGAGGGAGAAGATTGATAAGTGAATAAATTACCATTTGATCTACTTTGATTTGATCGAATTGAATTATAAGAAGTAATATTATTTGAAGAAATAAAGGAGTTATTAGTGAAAGAGTTATTTGTGTTAAAAGAATTAAAATTGTTATGATTATGGTTATGGTTGTGACTATGATTATTAAAATTGTTTATGTTATTATTAATATCATAATTGTTAAGATCGTAGTTATTTGAAATTGACATTGAATTATTTGAAAATGAATTTGAGTGGATTAAATTTGAGGAGTGAGGAGGAGATCTTTGCACTACTATGATGTTGTTATTATCATTGTTAAGGCTATTATAGTTATTTATGAAAGAATTGTTATTAATAACTGAGTTATTTATAGGATTGTTTAGTAATAGATTATCATTGTTGTTGATATTATTATTATTCGATATGTTATTATTTGAATTATTGAAAATGTTTAGAGAGGAGGATAATTCAGTTGAAGAAGGTCTCTTTTTAAGATTTTTGAAGAATTTTTTTGTTGATTTAATTGGAGCAGTTGCTTGAGGGACATTATCACCGAATAATTCAGCTTTTAATACGGTTGAGAAGGTTATATTGGCTTCTTCTTCTCTTCTTAGGTCCATATCATTTTCAGAGTTTCGTATACTGATTGAAGATGGAGAGGATAAACTGTTGTTGATATTTTGTATATTATTTATGTTTTGGTTTTGATTTTGATTTGTGTTGTTATTATTGTTATCATTTATTATTGAGAAGTCAAAGTTATTAGTCTGATTATTATTGTTATTATTATTATTATTGTTGTTGTTGTTATTATTATTATTATTATTGTTATTATTATTATTATTATTATTATTATTATTATTATTATTGGACAAAAATGAGTTATTAATTGAAGTGTTTGATATTGAAGATATTAGAAGATTATCATCAATGTTATTTATCGAGTAAGCAGCTTGCAAATCTATTCCTATTCTATTTGGGATTAACCTATCGCTGTATATAGTTTTATTTTTAAGTTTGTTTTTATTTTTATTTTTATTATTAAATCTTGAAGACATCATTTTCTTAGTATTTGATATTGAAGAATCATTTATAGTATTAAGATTATTAATATCATTTATACGATTTGTATCTATAGATTTATTAGATTTGTCAGATTTATTGCTTTTATTGTGATGGTTAGTTTGATTGGATCGATTGCTGTTTACATTTTCAGTAATTTTATAATTGTTAATTGGCGATAATTGTGAGGGAGTTTTAGGAGGTGATTTTGAGACAGAGTTGAATATTGAATTTGGATTAGCATTAAAACGCAACTTTAAATTTGTAGGAGAGGATGGCGAGGATGAAGGTGAAGAGGAAGAAGACGAGGAAGGCGAGGGTGAGGGTGAAGGTGAGGAGGAGAGTAGAGTAGAAGATATATTGATTTGATTTTTCAAAGAAGGAGACTTGAGATGAGAGTAGGATGATTTTGTGGATGGAGTTGGGGATGAGATGCTCTTGGGGGAATTTCTTGCATCAAGTAGTCTTTTATGAACTTCCATTTTAGATAAGAGAAGAAACGAGAGGTGAAGAGGATCGTAGAGTATATGAGAGGCTATTGTATATTGAAGAAAGAGTAGAAAATAATGAAGAAGCTGTTTTTTTTAGTATTGAGACAGGATAAAGCGAAGTATATGAAAGAAGAGTTTTAGTCTTTCCTAATTGGAATAATTTTGTCTTCTTTTATGATTTGAAACCAAATTGAAACAGAAAAGAACAATAGAAAAGAAAAAACCACAGGGCAAGAAAAGTGGCGAGAAAATCAGCAGATGATAAATAACATGAAGCGGAAACAAGCTCCAAGGCACCAAAGCAAAACAAATAGCCAACAATCCAGACAAACAATGAACAGTAAACAGAAGAGCAGAATTCGGTTTCTCCCCAGCACTGCTCTGTTTCTGATTATATCGTTCTTCTGCAAAGGGAAACCTTCGCAAAGGAAAGCGGTTCCAAAGCGCAAACAGCTTACGCCCGTTTAGTCAGACGGGCTCTGCGGTTTCCCGTTTGAGCAAAACGCGTTGTCGTCTCGAAAACACACGCGTCAGTCAGGTGTAGGCACACGTGCAGCACGTGCATATAGACCCTTTGGAAGAGGGCTCTCTTCAGGGGGTCTGTATCCACACCCTCGGATTGAGCGTCTATTTCGGTCCCTGGTTCTGTGTATAAACATCCATTCGCTAATTAGCATCAATCACTATCATCACCATCATCATCACCATCACAATCGTTTATCTAAATTGAATTGCGGCGCTGATTGATGGGTCTCTCGTTCTTTACATGTTTTCCGGTTGCCCCTGGTATCTTGGGGAATTTGCCATGGTCCTGAAGCTCCTTCAACTTGCTTACTGTGTAGTCCATTCCCACTTGATAGATCTTGTCAAAGTTTCCGAATTCTAATGTGCCAAAGTCGTCGATTGGTGGTCTCAAGTAGATCACCCCCGGTGTTCTTTTTGCCCTCTCCAAAGCATTCACTGACGCAACATACGCTAATCTCATTTGAATCTCTGCCATGTTGGGCACATTGGGCTGCTTCGAAAAGGGATTGAACCTATTGAAAAATGCCCATGTACCAGATAACGAATCTCCATATGACATTGGTGTTCTATCATCTATTGACCCAACATCAACTGCTAATATTATGCTTGCCCCATGGTTTTTCATCTCCATCACTGGCAAATTATCAACATACCCACCATCCAATAACATGCATCCATTGTCAATCAACGGAGGAACCATTCCTGCTAATGACATCGATGCTCTGATATATCTCCATGAATATCCACTGGAATGAATCTCCATCTCAGAATTCGTTATATTTGTCGAATTGCAAAAGTACTGTAACCAAAAATCTTCAATTCGGCTTTGCCCAAATGCTTTCCAAATTCCTCTATTAAATTCATGTCCTGTTGTATATGAAGTTATTGGATACGTTAAATCAGTAATCATTCTCCAAATACTCGACATTCTTCCACTAAACTTCTTGGTTTTTGCAAATATGGACAAAAATTCGTAATCTCTCGAATATAATCCTCCAACAAATGATCCAATCGATGTTCCTCCAATTATATCAATCGGGATTCCATTATCTTCTAGAGCCTTAATCACACCAACATGTGCAATTCCTCTCGCTCCCCCTCCTCCTAATACCAACCCAACTGCTTGTCCTGACAATATTCTTGCTAACCTTAGAAAATCATTCTTATATGATTGCGAACTTTGATAAAATGGTATCGATCGAAGTTTACTATATTTCAAAAAGATATCGTTTCTTATTGTTTGAACCTTTGATCTTAAATTTGCCACTATTAATGAATTCATCAAAATTGATCCATACGATTCCAACGAACTTTCATCAACCATAAAACCTTTAGAATCACCAGAATGGATAAAGTCCAGTTGAATATGATGATGTGATGAAACCCATAATCTAGGTTTCAACCATTTATTAGTCAATCCCGGTGGCACATATCGGTGTGGATGCAATAATATTAACTCAATTCTCGCTGATGTTCTCATCTTAAGCAATAATCTTTCATAATCACCAATATCTGGATATGATAGCGCATCTGCCAATAATAATATGCAATCCCCCTGCGATATACATGTCTTGGTCCATGATGAATTTACTGGAGTATTCGCAATATATAACACAATTTGATATCGTTCCTCGATATCCTCAAAATATCCACTTTGTTTTAATTTCGACAATCTATCAAATGCATGTCTTCCCAAATGATTTAATGTAGCTGTTTGATCTAAAACCATTACTGTTTTTTCAATACTTTTAAATGCATTGGCCAATTTTTCTCCAAATTCAGCTACTGGTAACCCATTTGTAATTGGTAAAATTGTCAATGTTTTATAGTTATAAAAATTGGTCTTTTCATATTTAGAATTCACAAAAAATGATGAATAGCTAATATCATTGCTCTTTTTCAGTACTCTTTCTGCAACTAATCTAGAAATTTTAATTGTAATCGATGGATCCTTTAATGCTAAATATTCAAATAATGTTCTTGGAATACTTGCAGTCTCAGAATCTCGAACTGCTACAAGTGTTGAGGGTCTCTTTGCAGCTGTGAGAACCTCAACCTCACCCAATGATGAACCTTGTCCATATTCATCAACTTCTTTAGTTTCTCCGTCTTCTGTTTGAACATATGATCTAAATCTACCATTCAATACAATATGAATACTATCTGCCTCTTCATTTTGAATGTAAAGATTATGATTTGATGGTGTTTGAATCCATTCTACTGCAAAATCCATTAATAAGATTAAAGGATTTTGTTGCTGAATGGTTTCACATAATTTTCTAGCTAATGATAAATATATCATGAAATACTTTTCACATAGTTTTTCAATTGAATTCTTTGAAAGATAACCAAGATAAACATCAGTTTTGGCCTTCATTGTAACAAAACTTTTGTAACCAACAACTGATGATAAATAACCTCCAATTCCTCCAGGTTTTATTGTATATAAAAAATAATCAGAACCATTAGAATTATCCTTATAGCTAACATCTAAAAATCCATCAATTAAATAATATAATCCATTACTTTGAGAATTTTGATTTATAATAGTACTATCCTCTTTGAAAAAAATTATTTCAATATCATCAGCAAATTCTTTTTTAGCGTTATCATAATCATAAGAAATAGGATGATCAGAATTTTCTTCTTCATCATAAATACTTGATAACGTATTTCCATTTAAAGTTGAGAAGTTATGAGAGTTAAAATTATTTTTTTGATTAAATCTTTTTACCATGCTTAAGGTTAAAGGAGTTGGAGTTGTAGAAAAACTTAGAAAATTTTTAGTAGGAGAATAGTTATTATCACTTAAAATTGAAGTACTAGATGAGGTTTTATTTAATGGAGGTTTTAAATTTTCTCTTGAAATACCTAGAATTTTAAAAATATTTTCAATTAATGCAATCCTTAAAGATGTTTCTTCGGTTTCTTCTTCAGCACTAAAAGTTCTCATTCTAATTTCTTCCCTTGTTGGAGATGAAACAATTCGATATGGGAATTCTTTTCTTGATAATGGGACATTTGATAATAAATCACCGGGATTGAATTGATTTTTAGAATCAAGAATGACATGCCTTGATCTGCCATTTAAAGTTGGTTTTAACTTAATATCGGATCTACTAATTTTATAATTTTTTTTATTTTTATAAGATGGAGAGATGATAGTGTAATTATTTTGAAAAGCCGAATCAATTGTATTTATGCTAGATCTGGATCTTGATTTTTCTAAACTTGCAAAAAAGTATGGAGTAGTTATTGGATCTTTGAATTGATAAGTAAAAGGATTTGAGAAAGAAGAGCTATCATTTTCAGCGGTATATTTTTCATTTGAGATTGTTGAAGTTATTGAAGCATTTGTTGAGGGCAAAATGGGGAAATAAGAATCAATGTTGTTGATATTATTTTGATTATTTTGATTATTTTGATTATTTTGATTATTTTGATTATTTTGATTTAAATTAATTTTGTTTTGATTTTTAATTGACTTTATATAATAAGAAGGTAATTCAAAGGTTGTGTTTTCATTTAGTTTAATTTCTGTTTCAACTAATTGATTTGTTAAGCCTAAATAAGAATGAGCAGCTTGAAAAGTGACTCTACCTAATCTTGTCAAAATCATTTGAACTATATGAGAAGCGGATCTTGGGTACTTTCTGATTAATCTTCTAAATGAGTCGGCCGGTATTATTGCAATTGTGACATCAGTTGAAGCCTTTGCTATAATGTTTGGTAGGATTAAGTTTTGCTGGTTATTTTGAAATTGATTTGGATTAATCGAGTCATTATTTGAATTGTTTAGTTGATTTAGGTTGTTTGATTGATTCAATTGAAAATTGGACGATTTTGATATGAAGTCATTATTATCACCGGTAAATAGGGATAAAACCGAGATTAAAGAAGATAATGGAGCACCGCTTTTGACATTATTTAGTAATTGGTATTTTTGATTGTTTAGAACATAGGAGTCATCATTTGTGTTATAGTTGTTATCAAAATTGTGATTTTTGTTATTATCTGGATCAAAGTTGTCCCGAAGGCCGTCAAAAGAATTGGGGTCATTGTCATCATTGCTGCTAATACTATTGTCATTATTAATATTGTTGTTGTTGTTATTGTTATTATCAACTTTTGAAAAAACTTGAATCGTGCCTTCGACTACAATTGAGAAGCCAATTGAATTGTCTAAGAATAAAACTTCATTTTGATCCAATTTTTGAGTTCTCATTGATTTGGTTAATTCATGAAAAACAGGTTTTTCCAAATAACCAAAGATTTTTATAGCATAGAGGAATTCATCCAAGTAAGAAGAAAATTGAGAATTTTTCTCTTCAAATAAATCCTTTGGATTGAATAAGATAGCATCAAGATTTTTGTTTTTGTTTTTGTTTTTATTTCTATAATCCTTTTTGAATTTTTCTTGATTTTGATTGTTATCAAAAGAATCTGAACCCAAATCAATATCCGAATTGAATTTGGAGTACGCAGTTAGATACTTGTATCTAACAACCGAGTAAACTAGGGCGGCAAAAAAGAACAAGAAAATTAAAAGATAGGTAAAGGGCAAGGTTATGCTGACATTTCTGGACAACATAGAGAGAACAAAGGATGGAATGTAGTAGAAGAGAATTCTAAAAACCAACTTGATCAACCAAAAAACTCCATAAAAGACATCGAAAGACAGTGGGGCAGAGGTTGTGTTTGCTGGAAAAGACAGGTCAGAGTCCGGAGACATACCAGATGCAAAGGAGGAAGTAGAAGTGTCGGCATCCATGACTGGTCAGACATTTGAGTAATTGAGATGGAAGAGAAGAAGAAAGAAGAAGCAGAGGAAGCAGAGGAAGCAGAGGAAGCAGAAAGGACTCTGTTTGCTGATCAGAGCCGACCCATAGCGGTGGTTATGCTTTGCTTTTGCATGTGATTGTTTCGAGCTAATGTCGTCTTTTGGAGCATGTGAAGAGTAGAGTTAAGAGTATATAGAGTAGAGTAAAGAGTAAAAACCTGAGTAGAGTAAAGAGTAGGGAGGAAAGAGTAAGGAAAAGACTGGAAGAAATAGTAAAAAGAAAAATAGTCTAAGATGAACCCAAATAAAAAGAACTGAAATGAATAGAGTACAGAGATGTGGATCCTTCAGCTTCTGTCTGAAATGTTTCTCCTGAGATATATAAGGCCAAGAACAAGCATTGAGACGATGAGCATCACTGCGAAAGTCCAGTCAAAAACCTCTCTGTAGCAATCTTTGCCAGCAAGACACACTTTGGTGATTGAGTAGCTGTTGCTGTTATTGCTGTGACTATCGTACACTCTGCCAAAGTATTTCGAGATGACAGTCAAGGAAACCAACACTCCCATGTTCTCCAACGACCACATGGTGCTCAAGTATTTGACCCCAAAGAACTCAGCTATGATTGATGGGTACACCCCAAAGGCAAAACCAAAGGCAAAGCCATTTATAGACGATATAATAACCAAATTAGAAAATGATATGGGCAAGATCACAATAAACAACTGTGCTAGACATTGAAAGATCGTGCCCAAATATAGACTCCATAGCCTTTGAAATTTTAGTTTATTTTTCAAAAAATCAGAAAACAAACCTGTCAAAACTCTGCCACAACAGTTTGCTATGGCAAATATTGATATATTAATTGCCTTTAAATTTGATAGTGAGTAACTGAAGTGTTTGGATTTCGACACCAAGATTGGATATTGTGCGTTAATAATGAATCCGACATTAAATATGAAGTTTTGACCAAATGATAAGACAATTCCAATAATAACCAAATGAATCCAAAACCATTTAGACAAAACAAATTTCATTACAGTTTCCTCATTATCATTATCATTATCATTATCATTATCATTATTATCATTATTATCATTATTAATATTATTAATATTATTATTAATATTTTTATTGTTAATAATACCAATACTGTATCTACTATTTCTATTTTCACGTTCGGTATCATTATCAATTGAAGAATAATTTTGATAAGTTGAAAATGAGTTAATAGTCTCAGCGTCAAATTCATTCATTAATTCCCTTTCATGATCAATTTTGTTATCAATTGAGCTGTCAATTTTATTTTTGTAATAATTATTAGTAGTATTGGTATTATTAGATGAGAGCAAACTTGTTGATGAATTTATAATATTAGGATTGCTAATACTATCAGCGCTAATTTTAGCATCATTTTTAACATGTTTCAAGAAAAAAATACTTGAGAATAACATTAAGAAACATGAAATGGCTAAAAATTTAAGAAAATTTTCAATATCATAATGAAATAATTTTTGGAATAATACTGAAAAAATCAAACTTGATAAAGCCAAAAAACCCAAGGGAAATGACTGAGCTGTTGATTTATTTTTAGGAAAATTTAAAACTGTCAACTTCAATGCACAATTCAATCCGAATTGTGCTCCACAACCAACTAAGTATATAGCCAAATTCAATAAATTAAAATAACTTAAACTATTTCTAAAACAAATAAACAATATACTGTATCCGATGAAAATGATTACGGATCCTAAAAGCAACGATAATTCGGATCCAATGTTATCTAAGATGTACGAACCAAGAAACCCACCAACAATACCACCGATTGATAGACCAGAGGCCAATTTAGATGTTTGCTCAGCAGTGAGTGAGCAGTTTATCGACAACCCAGTAGAGTATAAAGAATAGGCGTATATTGTTCCAGTGCAAACGGACGAGATTACGGCGAAGATGAGAGAAACAAACCTGTTTGGTTTTGGAAAATGATTGTCAAGTCTGCCTGTAATAATTGAGCCCATTTTCAGCTTGATATGGATAGAGTTGTAAGAAAAAGAAAAGGAAAAAGGTGTATACCCTTTATATTTATATAATTGATCTCGCCTCTTATCCAGAGAAAGGCTCGAGGGATTTAATCAGTTGAAGATAAAGAAAAAAGAGCTAAAGTTTAGCAGGTAAGGTTAAAAGAGAACGAGTGAAGTCCACACTTTGAAAGAATCCTTTCGTGTGGAGTTTTTCGAAGAAAATTAATCATCCATTTTCAATATTATTAATTTGCTAATTTGTTGCCTTATTATCTTGTTAACATATTGCCTTCGTATTGGGGATACTAGCACAAGACATAATTATCTACTGTTGTTTATTATTGTTTATTATTGTTTATTATTGTTTATTATTGTTTATTATTGTTTATAGTTTATTTTTACTTTTACTTTTACTTTTATTGTTAATTATAGTTGAGGTGGTAATGAAGACGCTTGTTGGTTCATCATTTTTTTTGGTAAATAGATCATTTAATGGATCATTTAATAGAGCTGTTTTAGCTTCTAGTTTCACTAATAGATCATTTTCATCAAGTTCGAAATTATTTGGAATATCAGAGATCAAGACATTAAGCGAGTTAAATAATAAGTTAAAGGAGAATAAAGAAAATTTGACAATTGTTGACTTTTTTGCTAAGTGGTGCTCGCCATGCAAAGCCATTTCACCAGTGTTAGAAAAATTTTCTGAAAATTATAAAAATGATAAAGTGTCGTTTTATAAGGTTGACGTTGATGATTCGCAAGATTTAGCTTTCGAATTTGGGGTGACAGCCATGCCAACATTTGTTTTATTCAAGAACAGTAAGCCTATTGGAAAGATTACAGGAGCTAATCCCAGTATGGTTAAATCAGCTATTGAGAAATATAAATGAATAAATGCATGAAAAAGAGGAGAGTTTTTTCAAAAAAAATCAATAATTGTAAATAGATAGATACGTATTATAATAATCAATGAAATCGGAAGTAAATGGTATATTTCGTAATGTAGTGATTGTAACAGAAAAGTAAAAGTGATGAAATAATATAGAGTAAAGTATAAGTATAAAATGAGAAATAATGAAGAGTGATGAAGAATATATAAAATGAAAAAATGTATAAAATGAGAGGTGTATAAAATATAAAATATAAAATATAAAAAGAGTATGAGATATAAGATATAAGATATAAGATAGCCATTAATGTGAAAGTTGGATTGAGTGATTAGCAAGATAATAGAAAGATAATAGAAAAAGAATAAGATTGGAATAGTATAGTGTAGATATATATATATATATAAAGATAAGGGATAAGGGATAAGTGAATCAATTTTGATCAAATAAGAGAACATTTTTGAAAAAGGAATTGTTATTATTGATGAAAAATGTATCCAAGTTTTTGATTTCATTTTCGACCAAGTTATTGTTTAGAAAGCCATATTTTTCCCAGTCGATTGTGGGAGATTTTATTACAGTGTCAGAGATGTTTATATTGTTATTGTTATTGAGATTTGATAAATTAAGACTATTAAGTAGGTTATTTAGAATATAAGTGTTGTTATTGGTATTGTTACTGGAGTTATTCTTAAGTAGTAGTAATTTTTTTTTCAATAACGATAGTTGATGAATTCTTTGAGATATTTTGAGTTTCTGATTATATAGTAGAGATAACGTTGAAGTGAGAGAGATATAGTCAGGGTTAGTTTCCAAATTATCGTAGTAATTTTCTATATTAGTGTTTTCTTCTTTAGAAGGGATAGAGTTAGAAGTGTTGGTGTTGGTGTTGGAAGTATTGGTGTTGGTAGGAGAAGGATAAGGAGAGTGAGTGTGAACAGGGTGAGGATTAGAAGTTTGATTTGAAGATGAAGTGGAGTTATTAGAGTTGTTAGGGATGTTAGAGTTATTGATGTTATTATGGTAATTATAATTTGAAGAGAGGTATTTTGGAGAGTTTAAGATTGAGGTATCAATTGGGGAAGAAGTGTTATTATCGGTTAGTAAGTCATTCGAATCCTGAGATATTTGAGATATGTGAGATATGTGGGAAATATTTGACAAGTTTGATATATTTGATATATTTGAGATATTGGTTAAATCGGTGTCATTAGATATATGGCTATTTGTAGAATGGTTTAATTTTCTTGATTTACTAATTTGAGGAATATTGTCAGTGTCTATATCATTGTGGTATCTTTTCGCTGGTAAAGAGGATTTGGTGTGAATATTTGCCATTTTGAAGTAAGCGCTGAAAGAGAAAAGAGGATTGTTTGGTGTAGACAATTGAGATGAGAGGTTATATATATATATATAAATTTGAATAAAGAGATCTAATAGAGGTAATTCTAAATCTAATAGTAAGATTAAATATAAATGTGAATGTGAATGTAAATATAACTATAGTTGAATAAATGGATAAGTGAATAAATGAATTGAACTAAAGAGAAGCAAGTAGGAGGAGCTTGAAAAATGAGCCAGGCAAAATCAGAATAGAGGGAAAAAAAAGCCAATGAGTTGCGAGAGCAGAGCCAAAGATATATGCAGCTATTAGATATTGGATACTGGAGAATAGAAGTGAGTTGTTAAATATCAGACAGTGGATAGAGCCATTTGCTGTTGCTCTTTTGCTGATTTGAAATCACTCCCATCAAAGAAAAATATTCAGTAAAGGCTCTGCCAACTAGGTTCAAACCTAATCCGCCGCCACCCAAGCGCTTCTGCCAAAGGAATCAGAAGCACCAGAAGCACCAAAAACAGCAGCTTAGTAGGCTCTTTTCAACTGCACCGGGTGCTGCCCAATGTACTTACCATTCATTTCCTTGAACGCAGCCAAACAGTCGTCTGCGCTGGCAAAGCTCACGAAGCCATACCCTTTGTTTTGCCCGGTTCTGCGATCCACAGGCACCTTCACCTTCGCCAACGACAGAAACTTGCCAAACGCCATCTGCACCATCTGCTCGGTGGCGTCAGGCCCCAAGTTACCCACAAACATCCGGAAGTGGCTGCTGTCCCACTCTTCCATCGACTCGTCCACCCACTGCCTGCTGCCTTTGCGGCGTTTGCTGCTGTTTTTGCTGTTTCTGTTGCTTCTGTTGCTTCTGCTGTTTTTGCCATCTTTGCCGCCCACCGCTGGCAGTGCACTGTCATTCTCCTGCAGATCGCACTTCTCCTGCTTCTCGCCTCCCTGGACCTCACCCTGACCCGCCACGCTGAGCAAATAGCTCGATGCTGCTCTTCCTGACGCTAGCCGACGGTCGCTGGTCTTCATGAGATTGATCTTTCTCTTTGCAGGCTTAGCTACTCTGCTGTGTGTGCTGGTCTTGCTGAATGCCATCTCAATTGCTTTCTCTCTGCTGCTTTTTCTAACCGCTGATACTTGTACTGCACCAGATACCTCTACTCCTGTGCTTGCTTCTTCAAATCCCAACCGACGGCCACCTTATTATATCTATCTCCCAAAGCGGCGCTACCCACTTTTTAGCAATTTTTTTCTGGCTATTTCTTGTTCCTCACTATACTATAACTCTACACTACACTACTCTTCTTCTTTTTCTTTTTCTTTTCTACGCTAGTCTGTGCTGACCTAAACTATTCTACACTACTACAAAATGTCTGCTCAACCTTACAACAATCCTCCCTCTTACTCTGACAATGTCTTTAGCCAACCAAGAACATCTGTCGATGAAGCAAATATCCCCGATGACTTCAAATACTCAACCAATGTTGCTGCTTGTGAGCCCTCAATTCGATCAATCTTTATTAGAAAAGTCTACACTCTTCTAGTAGTCCAATTGTTCATCACCTTCACTATCGCTTCTTCAATCAAACTATCCTCATCAATCAATCAATGGTGTCTTAATCACATCTGGCTAATGATTGTAGCAACAATTGGCACTTTTGTTTTCCTTTTAATCTCCTTTTTATCTTCAAGAAAATACCCCTACAACTTATTTTCCTTATTTGCCTTTACTCTTTGCGAAAGCTACTGTGTTGGCATAATCACTTCCCTATATGATACAAACATAATCCTACAAGCAATTGTTCTAACTATTACAATCTTTATCGGTTTAACTCTCTTTGCTTTCCAATCAAAATACGACTTCACTTCTTGGTTAGGCTTTATTAACATTCTCTTTTTTGGCTTGATTGGTTTCAGCTTGGTCTTAATCTTTGTTCCTTATAACTCAAAATTGGAATTAATTTACTCCTCAATAAGCGCTCTAATTTTCTCCGTTTATATCTTAATCGATACTCAACTCATAATGAGATCTTTCCATCCAGAAGACGAAATCGCTGCTACTATCACTCTATACCTTGATATCATTAACCTTTTCTTAAATCTTCTACGTATTTTATCCCAATTCAATAGTGATGATTGATTTTTCTTGCATATTTGAATAATACTTTTTAAATTCTCAATTACCCAATTGCCCAATTACCTAATCACTCAATCACTCAATTATTTTAGACAATTGATTATTATCCTTATGTGTATATCTCTTTATTTCCTTTTGTGCCTCTGATTTTTGTTTTCTTGATCTTAAATCACAAAAACAATCCAATTTTAATTCTTTCTTTTACTTCTCTCTTTTATTTATTTCTTTATAAAATTACCTTTTTCTATTTTTTTTTATTCTATTTCATTTAATCTTCCTCTACTTTACTTTACTTTTTCTTAAACCTGAAATTAACATTAACATTAACATTAAAAATATTTTAAATCCTTAAAATGTTGTTTAATAATAAATCTTTTTATTTTTTATCAGTCTTTTTTGTATCTTTAAATTGTAAACCTGTCGATTTAGCTACAAATTCAATCAATACCAACGATGACAATCGATTTATTAATATTAATAATAATGAATCAATCTTACCAACTTTAGATAAAAGATCAATTCATGATATCTTAAACCAACAAAAATTCTTATCCTTATCTGATAATAATAATAATAACAATAACAATAATAATAAAAATAATAATAATAATAATAAAAATAAAATTAATCAATATTCGAAAAATTTTAAATTATTCAAAAAAAAAAAGAGATCCTACGATTTCGAATACAGCTACGATAATATCGATAATGAAGTCAAAATCTTAAGTCCACAATATGAAAATTTTATCAACAACCTATTTTACAACTATGATAATGACATTTGCGACCAATCAAACTCAACCGTTAGCTATTTAAACAAAGATAAACTTTTATTACCAATTCACTCTCATAATGACTACTTGAGAGAAATCCCATTATTCGACTCTTTATCAAAGGGTATTAAGTCAATCGAAGCAGACGTTTGGTTATTAGATGATGTTAATAATTATAACGAATTTAGTGAATTATATATAGGTCATGATAATGTTTTCTTGACTAAAAAACAAACTTTAACTGAGTTGTACTTGAAACCTTTAGAGAAATTATTAGATGAAATCAATTGTCAAGATAATGAATTAGGCGAAACCTGTAAAGATATGAATGGTGTTTTCTATAATTCTCCGGAAGAATCTTTGTATTTATTTATTGATATTAAAACTGACGCAGATCATACCTATACTCTATTAATGAAAAAATTAAAAGATTTGATCTTTTCTGATTATGTGTCGTATTATGATTTTAAAGAAGATAAAATTGTTCTTGGTCCAATATCAATCATTTTAACTGGTAACATTCCAATTGATTTATTAATTTCCGAAGAAAATAAAAGCTTTTATCAAGATGGTAGAAGGTATGTGTTTATTGATGCCCCATTAGAGTTATTGCCAAAAAGTAAGAGTGAAGACTCTCCTTATGATTACTCAAAGTTCTCATTGACAGCTTCAGCATCATTATATTCAATCACAGGAACAGAGGAAGCATTAGATGTATTTAATGGGTTATCTTCAGATCAATTGGATTCAATAAATTGTAAAATTGAAGCTGCTCATTCTCTTGACTTGAAAACAAGAATTTGGGGAACACCAGAATTCCCAAAACAAATCAGAAAAAGAGTCTGGCAACAATTGATTGAAAGAAAAATTGACTTATTAAATGTTGATGATTTAGAATCAGCATATCAATTTTAAAAGAATTCACGTTAATATAAATTTTGAATAATAAAAAAAGTAAAAAAATAAAATCAAAATCAAAATCAGAATCAAAAAAAAGCAAGGTATTGTATTATTAGAATGAAATAAAATAATCTAAAATATAAAAAAAGTATACACAAAATAAATGCTATTAAGATTTCTCGCTAAGAACGGAATGGTTTCAAACGAATGAATCCGTAAAAACAAAAACGGGTCAGCGCAGAGACGAACAAACCATTCGTCTCATCACAAAAACCAAACTCCATCCAACAACATTCAAACGTGTTGAGAATTACAAAAAAAACAACAAAAACGTCATCAAGTCATTAAATTACAGGTTCACGTGACCTAAAAAAAATGAACATGAACCTTGTTCTTATCGGGTGAAAAAGAGACTCACAGCTCGATAACATCGATTGGATTGGAGTAAGACCCATACGATTTCTGCTTGAAACCAATGTCCTTACTCATTCTTCTGCGTTTCAGCACCCTATATTGTGGTTCAACATTCACAGGGCGCTCATCAAGTTTCTCCAAGAAACCGATTGCCTCTCGAACAAAACCACTCTCATAGAGTCTGAACAACAGAGAAAGCTCCAACTTGGTAAAATGACCCAATTCGATAGGTACATCAGGATATTTGACCACGCTGTAACACTTTTCTTGAGACCAACAAGTGTATTTCATCACAATCTTTCGATGAAAGTCAATTTCAGCACATTTGTCAAAGTATTTAGATGCAATGACTTTTTTATTTTTTGGTGTAAAATAATACTTAATAACAAGTTTCATATTAGTTAAAACTTGTAGCAAATCTCTACCTTGCATTGTAAGCTGTTTTTTAGATTTAACTCTACAATACTTGTCACTAATCAATTTATTTAATTCACTGACGGTATGACATTTACCTAAAGGTATATTATCCTCAAGGATTTGAAACGTTTTAATATGCTTTATCATTGGAAAATAGCTAAAACAATTTTAGGAAATTAAATTTAATTTAATAAGGAAAAACGACTACAGATAAATATTGCATTTTCTTTTTCATTTCAAATCAGGGAAAATATTGGACATTTATATATAGAGGGATAATGCCTTAAATTCATTCAAAAGTCTGAACATTCATATCTTTTTCAAACAATTAAATAAAATTGGGTAATTTTTAGTTGGATAACTAAAAAAATTCTAGAAAAATCTAATTGAAGATTTTATGCTAAAACTGCGCCTCCAATTTCGAATGAATGACCAATCACTCTTAAGGAACAAGATATATAATTACAGAAATTCCCCAACGATTTCTTCTAAAATCTATTCTGTGGTTGTTAGGAATTTCAACGAATTTCAACAGATGGTTTTCATTTCCAAAAAATAAAAAGTCGTTTAGCTTTTTTTTGCTTTAATTCATCACTTAAAATAATCTCGAGATTTATTTCTAAATACACCACTACTATTCATTTGCTGAGTTAAACGTATAGAAAAACATCTCCTTTTTCTGCTTGTGTAGTAGTGTCGTATTTAAAAATAAAGCTCAAGAATTTAAACTTAAGCGATGACTTGAAGCAACAAATACTCATATGCTTTTTCTTGAGTTTTGAGAAATATTGAAGAGAAATTGAGGAAAATCATTTGCTTTTGCTGATGGATCTCCTATGTTCTAAAATCTTATTATGTTTCTCACTGCGTGTTTCTGTGATTGTGCGCTTTTCAGCATTTACCCACGTGATGTAACATAAAAGATATTTCCATGGCTACACATATCAACATTCTATTACCCTGATTTTCAAATATATCAGTATTAAGGGCCGGATTTGATTTTCAGAAGTCTTCTGAATGCCGGTCAGTTGATCACCGCTTGTAGTGGGAGCTAAGGAAAGAAACTACCATTTCTTGAGGGATAATAACTAAGATGTTGACTAAACCAGACCTCTCTTAAATTAGGAGCTCGACCTGCGCAGCCATATATGTATCCTGTTAACATGGGTAGAGTGATTTGCTCTCAAAGTCACGAGTAACACCACCTGTAAACGGGACATATATGGATTCAAATATTTTTCTTTGCTTGTTTTGCGTCTTTTTTGATTTCAGCTTTACCATTTTTTCCGTTGTCATCAATGATTTAATTACTAACAAAGCTCTCTTTTTGGTTTTTGTATCACCTTAAATTTTTTCATTGGCTGTAGGCATTTGAATTGCTGTCTAAAGTACTTTTATCTTTGTATCTTTGTTTGGATTTATTTTTCTGCTATATAAGATGGTTAAATTCTTCATTTGTTCTCGAATTGGTTCACTATATTACCAATTCATAGTATACTACTGATCGTATATTAATTGAGTCTTTTTTTCGATAGTCAGTGTTCAATTCCGAATATTAATAATGAGCTCAGATTCTCCTGTTAATTTCAATTCACAAGGAAGCAAAAATGAGAATGATCCAAACGATAACAAAAACAATGTCAATAATGAGTCATTTGATCAATTAATTAACAATCATGCTTATAATATCCATGATTATGCCACTGAGTTCAAATTACCCGAAAAAATCACTCTCGGTCGATATATTTTTGAAAGATTAAAACAATTGAATGTAACTACAATTTTTGGAGTCCCAGGTGACTTTAATTTGACTTTATTAGATAAAGTTAATGAAGTGAAGGGTTTAAGATGGGCCGGAAATGCCAACGAATTAAATGCTTCCTATGCTGCTGATGGCTACTCAAGGATCAAAAGAATGGGATGCTTGGTTACAACTTTTGGAGTTGGTGAACTATCTGCTATTAATGGTGTAGCTGGTGCTTATGCTGAACATGTTGGTTTAGTTCACATTGTTGGTGTTCCTTCATTACGATCTCAATCAAACCATTTATTATTACATCATTCTTTAGGAAATGGCGATTTCCATGTATTTGAAAAAATGAGTAAAGATATAACTAAATCGACCATTGTCTTGCATGATCTTAATCATTCTCCTGGTGCTATTGATGAGGCATTTAGAGAAGCTTTTCTTTCTCAAAGACCTGTTTATATTGCAATTCCAACTGATTTGGTTGATTTAACACTTCCCTCTACTTATTTAAACAAAAAACTTGATTTATCATTACCATTGAATGACACTGAAGCTGAAGCTGAGTTTATTAATAATGTTTTTAACCTTGTTAAAAAATGCGAGAATCCAATAATTTTAGTGGACGCTTGTTGTTCAAGACATTCCTGTGTTTCTCTTACAAGACAATTTTCTGATTTAACTAAATTTCCAACTTTTGTTACACCCATGGGTAAAGGTTCAGTTGATGAAACTAATCCAAGATTTTCAGGTGTTTATGTTGGTAAATACTCGCCGGATTATGTTAAAAATATTGTTGAAAGTGCAGATTTGATTTTTTCAATTGGTAGTTTATTATCCGATTTTAATACTGGTGCATTTACTTATTCTTATAAAACCAAAAATTTGGTTGAATTTCATTCAGATTACTGTAAAATTAAACATGCTTTTTACACAAATTTACGCATGGAACATGTTTTAAAAAGATTGGTAACAAAAGAAAATTCATCTAAAATGTTGGAAATTTTAAAAGAAAAAGATTATTATTCAAAAAATACTACAATTCCACCTTATATTACCCCCAAATTAGATACCAAAAAAAATGATAAAGAATTGACACATTCATTTTTATGGGATCATTTATCATTGATTTTAAGAGAAAAGGATATAATTATAACAGAAACTGGAACATCATCATTTGGAATATTACAAACAAGATTTCCTAGTCAATGTATTGGAATATCTCAAATATTGTATGGATCAATTGGATATACAGTTGGTGCATGTTTAGGCGCATCAATGGCAATTGAAGAAGTTGAGCCTGAAAGAAGAGTTTTATTGTTTATTGGAGATGGGTCATTACAATTGACTGTGCAAGAAATTAGTACAATGATCAAATGGAATTTGAATCCATATCTATTTGTTTTGAATAATAGGGGATATACAATTGAAAGATTGATCCATGGAAAAACCGAAAAATACAACGATGTTGAAAATTGGGATTATTTATCCATTCTTAAGACATTTAATGGAAATGTAGAGAAAAAATACGAAACAAAAAGAATTGCGACAGTGGAAGATTTTAAAGAATTAGCTAAGGATAAAGATTTTGCGAAAAATGATAAAATTCGATTAATTGAGGTTATCTTAGATAAGGACGATGCACCTACTAATTTGGTTCATCAAGCCACTGAAACTGCTGCCACAAATAGTGGAACTAGTAAGTAGTTATATAAATATAGTGATAAATAGAATAAATTATTTTTTTTAATTTAGAGTTTCTCACTTAAACTTAAATGAAAACAAAACAAAATTCGGAACTTTTTAACTTTGATTTTTCCTTATTATTATCAAATCTCAAGACATATAGGGCAGATAAAGGAAATATGGTACAAGTTTCGACAGTTCATGTTAGTAAGTTTCATATAGAATATTGGTGGAATATATGCTATCGGTTTTAAAAATTACAGACACCATGAAAAATGTAAAAAATTTCATCCAATTAATTACTAATGATCAATGATTCATACTTCATAATTAAATCACAATCAATTAATAAGAACTGAAAAACTAACAATAAAAAGCAAATATACCGGATTCAATAACTAAGGAGGAGTTGTTATCATTATTCATTCCTTTTGGGAATATCGTTGAGATCAATTTGCCAAATAAAATCAAAAACAGAAATAAAACTACATTTGCAGATATTCAATTTGAAGAATATGAAGATTGCCATGAAGCCATTAAAAATATGAATGGATACGAGTACTATAATAAATTTTTGATATGTTCAGAAGGTCAAAACAAGTCTTTGTTCAGTACAAACTTAGTTGAATACAACAAAGCAATCTGGGATAAAGGCGAAGAAGAAACAGAAAAGGAAGCAGAAGGAACTTAAGAAGCATGAATTAGGTGGAACTGAGACGAATCTGAATTGAGAAGCATGGAGCTGTAATATTCATAGGAAATTTCGAGCACTTACACCTCTGTATTTAAATATTCTCTAAATGCTACACCACAGCTGCAACTGAGCCATACACAGCAGAATCAGCAGAACCATCTCCATCTGTAAAAGCTTTCCAAGGCATTTCCGGCCAACCGCAGGGCTCTTTGGCGCAGCGGTAAAAACCCGGTCTGGTGCGGCCCACGTGTACCCCTTCCCAAAAAGAACTCTGGTTCGTTTCTCAGGGGTGGTAAATTCGGTGAAGCTCATTCTCCCTCGTTGCATGTGTTCGTGAGAACCAGCGGCTCGGAAGAGCCGTAGAGCGTTATCAGAAATTCTACGGGCTTCTCAGGAACCCGTAATGGGATTCGCTCTCGGAGAATTGGCCCGTGCTGTTCTGAGCACGGAGCTGTTAAGTGCGATATACGGGCACGAAGCACTCGATACCGGTCATCGGACCAGACCTGGTTCATCTTTTTGAAAATTTTTTGAGATGCTGATGGGAAATCAGCAGAAACACCAGCAGTTCTCTCGAAAATGTCATTCGATGAACAGACTCCTGTCTCGCTTCTTCTTAGCCCAGGGTCAATTTTTATTGGTGCCAATAGACAGCCTCAGTGCTCGGACTATAGCAGCACTCTCAACATTGTTGCCTTTGGATCACAAAACTTAGTCTCGTTATTCAATCCTCTTTCCCCTGACAATGTTGGGGTTTTCAAGACTTTGAAAGGCCATAAAGATGAAGTGATATGTTTGAAGTTTTTGCTCAATTCTAATTTTTTAATTTCGACCTCTCAAGATTCAACGATAAATATTTGGGAGTTTTCAAATACAGCTGACGATAATAATGATAATAATAGCAATAATTACAACGTGAGTTTGTTTCAAACCATTCAGAATATTAACAGCAATTCTTCAATTGTCTCATTATCTGTGTTGAATGACAGACTATTTGTAGTTTCCGATTCAATTGGTACTATCTCACTAATTTCATTCAATGATGACAAAATTTTTCAAATCATAAAATCTTTCAAGGTTGAAAATGAGTTCAACGAGTTTTATCCTTTAACTTTATCTTTACATAACTTGTACAATAATGATTACCTCTTATTTATTGGCGGAACAAACAAATTCATTTATATATTTTCTTTTCAATTTCAGGATAATCAAATTTTCAATCTATCTCAAAATTTAAAACTTCCTGGCCACGAAGACTGGATCAAATGTTTATCATTCAAAAAGATTCCAAATTCAAATACCTATTTACTAGCTTCTGGTTCTCAAGACCGTTACATACGATTATGGAACTTGAAATTAACTGGCAATTCAATTCAAAAAGATAAAACTATACTTGACAATCAAGAGTCGACTCAAAAACTTTCTTTATTGACAAATAAAACTTATTACTTTAAAACTAGTGAAGAATCTTTAGCAACTTATTCTATCCATTTTGAAGCTTTGATTATCGGCCATGATGATTGGATATCCTCTTTAACTTGGAATCCCAATCCTAATATCTTACAATTATTCTCAACTTCTGCTGATACTTCCTTAATTCTTTGGGAATCTGATGAGGATTCTGGTGTTTGGTATTCAAAAGCGATTCTCGGTGAATTAAGTATTAAAGGTGCTTCAACTGCTACTGGTTCATCTGGTGGCTTTTGGTCTTCTTTATGGATTCAATCAACTGAAAAACAATTAATTTTATCTCATGGAAAAACTGGGTCGTGGAGGTCTTGGTCAAATGACTATAAAAATGATTCAAATTGGATTCCTCAACTATCTTTAACCGGTTGTATAAAACCTATTACTGATCTTTCTTGGTCTAAATTTGATAATTATATATTATCAACTTCTTTAGATCAAACAACAAGATTATTTGCAAAATGGAATAAACATAATACTTGGCATGAATTTGCAAGGCCTCAGATACATGGTTATGATATGGTCTGTATAAATTCAATTGATTCCGATAGATTTATTAGTGCTGGTGATGAAAAAATTTTAAGATCTTTTGTTAAACCAAATTCAATTAAAAGACTATTAAATTGTTTTTCAAGCAATTCTAATTCTAATTCTAATTCCAATTTTAATCATACTAATCAAATTAACCAAAATAATAGATACGAAAATGTTTCATTACCAACTTTAGGTTTATCAAATAAAATTGAAAGTAATAACGATAATATTGGTTCAAATGCCTTGGCTAATCTCACTACACCACCTTTAGAAGATCATTTGCAAAGGTTTACTCTATGGGCAGAAGTAGAAAAATTATATGGACATGGTTTTGAGATATCTTCATGCGACGTTTCAAATAATAATAATTTTTTGGTTTCTTCATGTAAATCAAATTCCGTCAAGCATGCTCAATTAAGAATATTCAGATATTTCAATGATAGTTGGAGAAAAATTACAACAGGTCCTGATTTAATATATCATAGTTTAACTGTCACAAGTTGCAAATTTTCTCCAGATGACTTATTCATACTAGCCGTTTCAAGAGATCGTAAATTTTCAATTTGGGAATTTAATGTTGAGAACGAAAATTATATCTTAAAATACAAAAATGAAAGAGCTCATACAAGAATTCTTTGGGATTGTTGCTGGATACCAAATTTAAAATTTGGCTATAAATTCATAACTGTTTCTAGAGATAAATCCTTTAAATTTTGGAATTTGGATATTGAAAAAGGATCGTATTCGTTAATTTCAACTTCTAAATTGCCCAATGGAGGTATAACCTCAGTTGACATCTACAATGAATTGATTAATGAAAAATTTGCACTCGCAGCCTTTGGGTTAGATAATGGCAGTATTTATATTTATAGTTTTGATTTGAGCTCAAACGATTCTAAAAACTTCAAGTTGGTTGAAAAATTAGATGATGGAATAGCGCCTGATGATAAAATCAGCGCCATCAGATGGAAAATGGTCAATAATGAACTTGTGCTAGCAGTGGGAAGTTCTGATAATTCCATTAGAATATTCAACTTTGATATCAAGGAAGTATCGAATAGAATATAGGAGAAATCGGACTTGAATTTAAATTCAATGGTCTGGCGATTAGCATCTGAACATTTGCTCTCAGAATTGTAACTTTTTTAACGCTGTAGAATACTTTTTGATCTGGTTTGACCCAGAATAAAAACGAATCGCAAAATCCGGCTTCAACAGCGAACGACTTCCTCTTCGTCTTTTCTACTGCTGTATCTGATCTTATCAACACCATCACCAACAGCACCAGATCAAATGATAAAGCACTCGATTTTCAACCAACAGCTAACCCCCAACATAAGAGTGGAGGTAGTTTACGAATCAAATCCCTTCTACGCTGGTGAGTCTGTGTCTGCTATCATCAGGTTTCGCCATCTTGGAAAGGAACACAGTCTCTCCAGACCCAACTCAATAGCCTCTATCAAATCAGACACCACAACTCAGTCTTCATTGCCAGAAACAAGAACAGAAAATGCTTCCAACAATGCTCTTAGCCCAACAACTGCGCACCAATCTTCTCTCAGCTGGTCAGGATTTGGAAGAAGAATCTCGTCCCAGTTTTCCAATTCTGCAAGAAGCTCGTTTTTGGATCAGCTAGATAAAGATGAAGGTGAACCATCTGCAAAAGTCAAGCCATTGATTATCGTGGAACAAAAGGAATCCCTATTGTTGGGCAATATTCAGTTGTTTGGCTATTTCTTGATAAACAGAAATGTCGTAGACGATTCCAGATTCGACGATTTAAAGAAAAAATCTACAATTGGTGGGAGAATAGCTGGAATTCAAAGCTTGGAATCCAGCAAGTCCAACTTGAATGGGGGATTGTTTTCAAATTTAACGTCAAACATCTCAAGTTTGTTGAATACAAGTGTTGGCGACGTTTCCTCATACATTTCAGGTTCCGGTGGGGTGTCTGGAGTGGATAATTACACCAATAGCTACATTTTATCTAACATCGATAACTTGTTTCCTGTTTTTTCAACTGAGCAGTCTCTTTTATTCACAGAAATCACTTTGCATCCTGGGGAAGTTAAACAATACTATTACAAGTTCAAGATTCCCGAAACTTTGCCTCCAAGTTACAAGGGCAATTTCATCAAAATCAACTACAATTTAATATTGAACTGTGAAAAGTTAACCAAGAACTCACAGCCTAGGAAGTTAAATATATACTTCCCCTTGAAGATTTATCCATTTACCAATCCTAATCAAGTCCAACCGTTTTATGATTTGAATAGTGAGTTTCTTAATAACTTTAAATATTTAAAATCCAGTAGAAATAGAGGAGTAATAGTAGATTTGAATGATTCCAAAAATCTAAGCTTAAACAGAAGATCAAGTTTTATTTCTATATCAAATTTTATAGTGAATTCTAACCTTGCCAATTCTGCTAAGAAAACAGAAAACTCGAAATACCTAAGAAATTCGAATTCAAATCAATTAAAAAAAAGTTTTATTAAAAAGATCAAAATTTTAATTGATGATAAGGATTTTATCACTTCAGAGAAAATTAACAATTACAAAGAAGAAGACTCGATATTAAACGATTTCAAAACCAATACCTTTAAGGGGTGTTCAGAGACTCAAAAACTATTCTACCCATCAGTCTTAAGAAAACCGTTTCAAAGCCAATTTTTAATTAAATATAATAAACATTTTGTCTCCAAATTAACATTATCAAAGTCTTATTATGAAATTGGAAGTCAAATCCACTTGATATTTGATTTTGATTCAAAAAAATTAAACGATGATTATTATAAAGCTACAGGCTTAGTAGTGAATTTTGAGTCATTTGAGTGTTTTAATCATCAATTTTTAACGGAAATTAATATTGAAAACACAAAGATAGACAATTCAAAAGGCAAACATAAATTTGAAAATGGAAATAAAAGTGAGAATAAAAATGAAAATAACAATGACACAAATAGTGAGACAAATAGCCAAAACAACCACGATAATAGAAATAATGATATCCAAAATCAAAGATTATTTAAAGAATTTGAGGAATTGACATTAAATGATGAGGTGCTTTATAAAGAATTTTCTCAATTGTTGATATCAAAAAGTTATTCTGTTATTGATTATAATCAGTTGAATTTATTTTTCACAGTACCATATAGTATATCGCCTCAATTTGAGAGTAACATCTTTAGAATTCAATATTATATAAATTTGAAATTTATAATAATTAAGAAAAATGATGAGAGTGATATGAACTATGAGGATAATTATGAAAATATTGGAAACAAAAATAATAATTCTAAAAAAGAGGTATCTAAGAAAATTGATAAAGGGATTCTAGATGAAATTTATAACGACAATAAAGGAGAATTGTTTTTAGGGAGGGATTCTATAAATGGATTTGAGTTCAATTGCAAAATTCCAATTAATATCATCTCATCATACGAGGATTTTGGTGGAACAATTTATAAATAAATAAATGAATAAATAAATAAATAAATAAGTAAACCAAAAACCAAAAAATAAAAAAATATATGGGGATAAATCATCTTGAAATTAATTTAAGATAAATAGATTCCAATTATTGTAACTATTTCCCGAATTATTGATTTGGACAAATTTTTGAGTATCATTGATCGAATCTACAACAATTATTGTTCCGTCAAGACAAACTCTACACATGTTTTTTTCTGATTCATTAATTTTTAAATTGATTTGGAAATCATTGTTATGATTTTTGTAATCTTTAATTTTGTAATAATCTAATTGATTTGATTTAAAAAAATTGGTATCATCAATGTGATTAGCATTATTAAATGCTTGATTCATAACATTTAATAGATTTTTGTTGTTTGATTGACCATCAATATCGTTGTTATAATGCATTAAAAGTAAATACAAATCTTGATTTAATAGATTTGATAAAGGAGATATATTGAAGTTATCCTGAAGATTTTTCACCGCGGATAAAATGAAATAAGAATAGTTTGAATTTGAAGCAATTTGTTGATCATTTATCGATAAATCACAGTTATAAGTTTGAATTTTTTTGTTCAAATTATAATTAGCAGCAATTTGAAATCTTTCAACACCTTTTGATTTTAAAGAGGGATCTTCCGAATCCGCTACCAAAGAAGCATGGAAACACCATGAGAATATTAAAAAGAAATTAAAAGAAGATACTTTGATTTCGGGATTTAAAAATAAGTAGGAGCCATCTGAGAAAGTTGCGTTATATAGAGGTAATTTTGATCCCTTGGAAGAATTTGATATTAGTTTTTTAATTGAATCAATTGGGTCAATTATATTTAATTCGCTCGCTAACGCATTACCTGAGCCCAAAGGTAGAACTGAGATTAAGATATCATTTTGAAAATCAGGAATGTGAGGCAAGTTGTTGACGAACTCATTAATGGAGGTATCACCAGATATAATAATTAGAGTAACAGGCAATTTATTGGAGGAATCTATTGCTTTAAGCAAATTCGAAGAGAAATTGGAGATAAAATCAATTGAGTCAGTTTTATAGTAGTCGTGGTCGACATTCAAATTTTCACTATTAAATAGTATTTTTAAGAGCTGCTGATATGGATCGCTTGATGACGATCTGCCCTTTCCTGAGTGAATTGAATCCAAAACAATGATCTTTCGTCTGTTGGAGTCGATTTGCAGTGGCAAATGATCAACATCAATGGAAAGCAGCGCCTGATTATTAACGAGCTTATCAACGATCTGAAGCAGAAAAGAAGACTCACTGGACAGAATAGCTATCTCTCTGAGAAACAAGCCATTCTTAAAGAGGCGAGCAGTAAAAGAAGACATTGGAGAAACAGCAGAAACAGCAGAAACAGCAGAAACAGCAAGAGAAGGAAGCTCGGCGCTTAACTCCACCATCTCGAACTGTTACCCGTCCTGTCTTTCGAAGTCTCAAAGTTGATTTTGCTCCCACAACTGCTTCTTCACTTTCAGCGGCCATGGAATCGATGAAGAGAAAGCAGGAAGATGAGCTCAGTGCTGTTTCGTTGAAGAGATCCAGGCTTGATGCTCAATTGATCCATTCTCCATCTCAGTCAGCTACATTGGTGGTTGACTCTGATTTCTCAGAAGACGACATTTCTGGTGTTACTCCTGTCACTGCTACAAGCTCTGTTCCTGTCAGCTCTGTCTCTGTTGTCAGTGATCCTGCTTCTGATAAACCCAAGCACAATAAGACAACACCATCTGCTCTGAATCTGGATAACGATGAGAATTTAAAGTACTTTTCTTACTTTAGACAGATAAACACTTTTTTGATGTTTTTAAATCAATTGAAAACTGAATTTCCCACTTTTAACGACGTTTCAAATAAGATTGCAGTTGACCCAAGTAGTTTAACCAGCTTATTTCTTAAAAAATCTTTAAATGAAAGGAAGGAATTTCAATTAGGTTTACAGTTAAAAGACCATTATTTGAAAGGCAATTTAAAAATCTTTGATAAATTTTTAAATTTTAAATTAAACGATAAATTGGATTTATCAAACGATAATAATAATGCAAAAAAAAGCAATAATGATAATAGTATCAAGAATAACAGTGATACTAATAATAACAGTAATACTAATAATAACAGTAATACTAATAATAACAATGTTGATATTAACAATAATAAGCATCACGAAGATCAAAATAACAAAATCATCAATCAAAGCAACGCAGAACCTATTGATGATTTTTATAATAATCACAACCTTAACATCTACAAACATTATGATGGTGTTTATCCACCCATTATTCCTTATATTTATGATGATGAATTGTTTGATTGTGTATTCTATCATAAATCCTTAGTTGAAGAAAATAAAATTATCAATAAAACCAATCTTGGTGTTATAAATTCAAAAATTAAAAAAAACCAAGTCTTAGCTGTAATTGGTGAAAGTTTTTTATCTAGTGCTGTAACCCTAATTATTAATGAAAATTTTCCTGATTATAACCATCAAGATATAATCAAATTAAAAGAACAACTAGTAAAGGATGAGTTTTTAGACCATTGTTCTACTTTATATGAATTGGATAAAGAATTTCAAACTAAATATCATGAAAATGTTGTCAATAATTCTTGTACAGTTAATAGATGGAAACGGAAAATTTACGTATCAATTTTCCTTTCATATATTGGCGCTTTAGTTCAGCAAAATGATTTGTTTGATACCATTAAAGATTGGATCAATGTTTTAATTCAACCAAATTTAGAAAGTGTTAAAGCAAATCTTTTAAAACCTTTGGATAAGACTGCTAAATCAGAATTATATAAATTAATTGGTTCAAGTAACTTAGTTCCAAAATATGACATTATAGAAACTGGTGATTCGCTTGGTTTAAGGCCTTATGTTGTTAACTGTGCTTTCAACAATGAAGTGCTAGGCAAGGGCATTGGTCCTAACTTTAAAGAAGCAAGTCTCAGAGCTGCAATGGCGGCATTAGAAAACAAAGAAAAAATAGATCATTATATTTATTTATCAAAATCAATAGATGGCCCTAATTTAATCGAATATGGTCCAAGTACCAATGATAATGATGATGGTGGTGGTGATAATAATAACAATAACGATAGAAAGAGTATTAATAACGGCGCTGAAAATCTGCGGGCCAGGATGGTTGATAACAACCCAGGTGGCAATAGCATGTCATTAACACTTTCAAACAATAATGTTGGATACGGTGGTGTTGCTACTGAAGAACTTCAAATGACAGCTAAGGTGATCTACCAAGAATACGCTGGATTTGAATACCCAGTATATTTTGTCAACCCAATCAACCCGAAATTCATTGATTTTACTTCAAAGGACAGACTATACTCGTTAATTATAAGCAGAAACCGAATGGTTGTTCCCAAATACGAAACTCGCCAGTTGGGGCAAAATCGTATTGAATCGACGTTATTACTCAAGGGTATGCCTATTGCACAGGCCATTGAGCGAAACAAAAAAAAAGCCAGTCAGTTGATTGCAATGTATCTCTTAAGAAACACGGATGTTCTCCGTTCACACGAAGTGTTTTTCTAGGTCAATGAACAGCTAAAACAGCAGAACCAGCTAAAGCAGCAAGGGCAGCAGAACCACTTTTAAGGTTCTGCTAAAAAAAGAAACCGCATAAACACGAAGAGGCACCGAATCTTGCAGATGTGTACATGAAACACCTGTTATTTTGCTTTTATCTTTCTCTTTTCCTATTAATTTTGTAGCTAGCGAATATCTTTACTTTGATCTTTTTTATTTCGACAATTAATTCTCTACAGTTTGTTTTGATGTCTATTACTTTCTGGCAATCTGGTAGCTTTTGAAACATGGATAACAGCAAAATGGGAAGAACATTCAACAAAATCAACAGCGCCCCAAAGAGATTAAGAATCATTTTGGGGACTTTGTTTTTATTTTTTTTTTTCACTATTTTGATTTATAATAATAATGTAGCCGAACAACAAACCGCTGCTTTTAATAATGGAAACCAAAATAGACTATCTAATTTAGGTGGTAGCACCAATACAAACGCTGATATTAACACAGATCCCAATAGTATTAACAGTAATAACATTGACGGTTTCAGTCCAAACAGCCAAACTGACAGCTTGAAAAATAATAGTGATAGTAAGAAGCCACCTTATCCAAGCTCTAATACTTTTATTGAAGATGATAAAAATCCTAAGGATGGTGATTTTGAGAGACCAATTGCAAGTGATCCATATCGTAACAACCAAATTTCAAGTTCAAATCCAAATGGTAATTCAAATACCAATCCAAACACTATTATTGCAGATAAAGAATTTTCAACATCAAATCAGGATCCAAAGTTAAGTTCTTCCGATAATTTGAAAAATAATGATCAATATAGTGATTCTGATTATATTTCTAATGATAAATCCGATACATTATCATCATCATCATCGTCTTTGTCGTCTTCGTCTTCATTAAAATCAAATCAAGAATGTGTTAATGATGAACAGTATGTTATAATGATAGATGCAGGTTCTACTGGTTCAAGAGTTCATATCTATAAATTTGATACATGTTCTACTCCACCAAAATTATTAAATGAAGATTTTGAAATGTTGAAACCTGGTTTATCATCATTTGATACCGATGCTGAAGGTGCAAAACATTCATTAGATCCTTTATTAAACTTGGCGTTAAAAAAAATTCCTGAAAATAAACACAGTTGTACTCCAATTGCTTTAAAAGCTACAGCTGGCTTGAGGTTATTAGGTCTTGAAAAATCAAATAAAATCTTACAAGCAATTGAGGAATATTTAATTAAAGATTGGCCATTTGCATTAATTGATGAAAATGGTGTCATAATTATGGAAGGAAAAGATGAAGGCGTTTATGCGTGGATTACAACGAACTATTTATTAGGTAATATTGGTAACTCTGATGCAAAATTAAATGAGAAAACTGCTGCAGTATTTGATTTAGGTGGTGGCTCAACACAAATTGTATTTGAACCTCAATTTGATAGTAAAACCGGCGAAAAACTAATTACCACTGGTGAATACAAATATCAAATGTCTTTTGGTAATCAAGATTTCGAATTATATCAATTTTCTCATTTGGGATATGGTTTGATGGAAGGTAGAAATAAGATCAATTCTAAGATTTTAGAAGCTTATCTAAAGGATGAAACTAACGGTCAAAAAATCTTACCAGTTACATCTAAAGATGAAAAGGCGACAGCTACATTAGTTTCACCATGCGTCCCCCCTGGAGTTATTGCAGAAGATGTGTCAGTCAATATCGATGACACTTTGTATAAAGTCAATTTCAAGGGACCAGAAACCCCAAGCGGTGCTCAATGTAGAGCATTGTCAGAAAAGATTTTAAACAAAGATTTAAAGTGTGATTCTGAACCTTGCTCATTTAATGGAGTTTACCAACCATCTTTAATGAAGAATTTTAAAAAGGATTCAGACATGTTTATTTTTTCATATTTCTACGATAGAACAAACCCAATTGGAATGCCATCCTCGTTTACATTAGGAGAATTGTTTGAGCTAACTAGGGTTGTTTGCAATGGAGACAAGCACTGGACTAATGTCTTGGGTGCAATGGATGGAGCTTTGCAAGAATTGCACAATGAGCCTCAATGGTGCCTTGACTTGTCATTTATGGTTTCTTTGTTATACACTGGATACGACATTCCATTAGAAAGAGAACTAAAGACTGCAAAGACTATAAACCACAACGAGCTCGGATGGTGTCTTGGAGCCTCCTTGCCCTTGTTGGACAAAAGCAACTGGAAATGTCGTGCAGTCAACTAGATAGAAGCATCTATAAATTTATTTAACTCGATAATTTTAAACATTTGATGGATACAAAGTAAATGATAAACTGGAAAAACCAGTGCATTGGTAGCAGTGTTTAAGACACGCATCAACGCACATACATTGCATATTGTGATTGAGGTCCACCAGAACGGTACCCATATACCTTCCAGATACTGGTAACAATAGCAATCAAGTATCAATCGCTAAGAATAGATCTTCTTAACATGTGTAGCGCAACAGAACGCAACACCGAATCAAGTCGCGCACAGACGCGTTTCCACGTGTCGGGGACACAAAGCGAAGAAGCTGTAACCTGCACTGGAGTTTCGTCTCAGGACAGATATTCCTGCTTCTTTTCATTCTTTGCAATCCTCTTCAGTTGAGATACACTGGGTGTTTGACTTTGGTTGCTTTTTTTTGTTTTGTTTTGTTGCTGTTGCTTGGATCATGGATGATTCTGCTGCTGGATTTGGTGCTGATCCGATAATTGGTGGTACAGGTGTGCCTAAAGATGGGTATTCTTTCAATAGCAAATTTGGAAATAAAAACTTGTCTGGTAGTCCCTACCTGGTATCAAATGTTTACAATAACACTTTAGATTACTCTTCTAAGGATTTGTTTTCATTTCCTTTGAAGGAGGAACATGAAATTGATCCTGATGCTGACCAAGGAAACAGAGAGGAAGGACATGAACATGAACATGAAAAACATGGAAGTGATTTTCATGAAGATGAGCATCATAATCATAACCATAACCATAACCATAACAATGACAATAATCATAATCATAACCATGATCACAACCATGATCACACTCATAGTCATAGTCACAGTCATAATGATTCTCTTTATGATAATTTTCAAAATGTGAATTTAAATAAGCAATTGAGCAATAATTTTGACAATGCTCATTCTCATTCGCACTCAGGTCCCAATTCACAATCACAATCACAATCACAATCACAATCACAATCACAATCACAATTACATTCACATTCACATTCACTGCCTCTTAGTTCACAGATCAATATTTTTCATGGCCAAGACTATGGGGATAACAGCAATAGTGGTATTCACAATCACACTCACATTGATAATGTTAATAATGAAAATAAAAACAACAATTATAGCAATAGTGATGGTAACTCATTTACGAATGTTTTTTATTATTTTTTTCCATTTTTAGTTTCCAAATCGAATAATCTGAGAAATTCATCATTTACTTTATCCATAATTAACTTGTATCAATCGGTTAAATTGGTTTTGATTAATTTATTTACAAATAAAGAAACTAAATCAATAACCCAATTTTTGTTTTTAAATTTTTCATTTATGATAATTCAAATGATTTATTCTTTTAAATCCAGGTCATTGGGATTATTTTCAGATTCTTTACACATGTTATTAGATTGTTCATCACTAGCCATTGGATTGTTTGCCAAATTTATTTCAAAGAAATTTTCATCGATTTTTTATAATAAAAATCAGTATTTAATTAGACATTCATCAACATCTTATTCGAATAATAATAATAATATCAATATAAATAACAACAACAACATTATATCACAGATTTTGATATCAAAATATCCATTTGGATTATCAAGAATTGAAAATTTAGCAGCATTTATCAATGGAATATTGCTCTTATCTATAGTTCAAGATATTTTTTTTCAATCAATTGATAGAATATTGAACCCAATTTCACTAGTCAATGTTAACCAGTTATTAATAGTATCTATATTGGGATTGGTTGTTAATTTGGTCGGAATCTTTGCATTCAATCATGGACATGATGGGCATTCCCATGGGCATTCACACGCAATTTCACATTCAAGTTCAAGTTCAAGTTCACACTCGCACTCATTGTTACCTAATCATTTATCATTGGATTGCATTGATGAACATTGCAATGATGAACATGTTAAATTGAATACGATTAACGATGTTAATAAATTTAAATCATCTTCTGGTTCTCTTGATACTAATACGGGGAATTTTGTGCAAACACATAGTGATGAAAATATGAGAGGGATTTTTTTACATATATTAGCCGATACATTGGGATCAGTTGGAGTTGTTATATCAACGATTTTTTTAATATATTTTCCCACATTGAAGGTCTTGGATCCATTTTCATCATTGTTTATAATCGTGTTGATTTTTTTATCATCATTACCATTGATTAAGAGTTCATGTTTTAATTTGTTATTGATATTGGATGATAATGAGAGAATTAATCTTAATGATGGGTTGAATAATACTAGTTATGTTAATGCGGAGAGCTTAATAAGAGAGTTATTGCATGATTTGTATGAGTTGCCTGGAGTTTTAAACTATTCAGTTGTTAGGATTTGGAAAGATACCGAATGTGAGTATTCAGGAAAAGCAAATGAAGATGGGCATGAACATGAGCATGAACATGAGCATGAACATGAGCATGATCATAAGCATGAAGATGAGCATGGACATAGTCATGGTCATAGTCATAATCATAGCAATAAAGATAGTCATAGTAATAGCCATAGCCATAGTCATGGACATGGACATGAAAATGATAATAAAGATGAACATAAAAATAAACATAAAAATGAACATAAAGATACGGATAGTAATGAAGGGAAAACCAGATTAATTGGATATATCCATATTCAATATCCGGATGGGGAGAATTCGACTATTATAAGGAAACGATGCGAGAAATTAATATTTGAGAAATATAAATTGAAATTATTTATTCAATTGGAGAATGAGTCGAGTAGTTGTTGGTGCAGGAATAACTTGGTGAATAACGGCGAGAAAAATGGGTTTAAAGCAAATATTGTGAATGGAAATATAAAGAATAATTCGATTAATTCGTATGATAATACAATTACATATATATGAGAAACAATATAATTTAAATGAATATTTATTTAATCCTGTATATATATACATATGTATTGAAAGGCATGTTAATGGGAGGAATACTTTTGAACCAACTTGTTAAATCTTCTAATTGCCAAATAGCCCTCCAAGAAAGTGAAAAAGAACCATTCAATTTTGAAATCAAAGGGAACTCTATAGAATCTTAATTTTGGTAGTAAAATTAGATAGAATTCGGATAAATGACCTAGAATGGTGATGAATATAGTATAATGAACATTGTTCTTCAAGAAAAGAACAATGTTTGGAGGAATGTTCAAGTAATTTTTGAAAAGAGAGTCATAGATTAAATCTTTTCTAAAATACGAAAAGATCAACAAAAAGAACAAGCTCAACAAAGTGAATTCTGGGATAGAAGAAGGGTAGACGATATCTTGAATTTGAAAGTGGGAAACATTTCTTTTTTGGGCAGCATACTTTGCCATTTCAATGAGCTTGAATCTGGATTCAGACAAGCTTGTCAAGGGAGCATCGAACTGGATAGGCTTGACAATGTCTTGATCTCCCAAGTCAGTGTGGTTGAAGGTGATGGTGATGGAGGTCAAGTCGATGTTTGTCATGCGAATGTTGGAGAGATGGGAGTCGACCTTGATGCCACCGTAGACAGAGAGGTAGTCTTCGATGGCCAACTTGTGGTCCTTGTTCATGTGGGAGAGGATCCTTTTCTCGTCCATTGAAAGTGAGCAGCACTGGCAGCAGCAGCAGCAGAGAAAGAAGAAGCATCTCAGAGAAAGCCAAACCCGAAAACATTCTCCGAACTCCCACCCCATTGCGCTGGTTCCGGCGCCAGACGGCGGCTTCACGTGTTCCTGCGTCTGTTTCTGCGAGTGCACTGCACACTTATTGAGATCCACATGTGCATGCATCTAACGGCAGCACCAGCGCTGGGGGTCTTTCCCAAAACGGCAGTGCTGATGTTTATGTTTTTGTTTTGGGCCGTCGCTGTAGTGTCGGAGTGGGTTTGTGAGCTGGAGTTGTGCTGCCTCTGCTGCCTCTGCTGCCTGGGATGGAGGAGCTGGTGGGCTTTCTCTGGGTGCCAGTACTGCTTCTGCTGTTTCTGCTGCCTCTGCTGCTTTTTTTGCTTCTGTTTGACCACTTCTGGTCCTGTCCTTTCATAAGAGACTAATTTTGACTTCCCTCTGCCTAAGTCTATCTTATTTGTTTTCTTTTTACTTGTTTTGTTCACTTTCCAGTATTTTGATCTTTGGAAAATTTTTCTAATCATATATCTATAACAACTTCTTCAATTGTTTATTCTATTCCTATTTCTGTTTCTGCTCCAGTTACTCTACAATTCATTATCAACAATCACTAGAGACCCACAATTCCTTCTTCTCAGCTTGTTCGTCTTTTCTTTATTCATTCCCAGTGCAACCATCTCTCAAACTCAATATCAACAAGTCAACATTAAATCAACAAATCAAATCAAAACAAATCACTATCAACAAACTGATACCTATCAACAATACAAACACTACTACTACCACTACCACCACCACAGCTTTTCTCTTATTGCAGCTTGTTTCTCTTTTTGATTATCATTCCATTACTTCAATTATTTCTTTCTCAATTTTGTTAAAAAAAAAGAATAGAAAATTGCTAGATAAGAATTATATTATCAAAGATCATTATCAAAGAATATTGAACCCTTTCATTTTTATTCATAATATATATCCTATATCTTGTATTTTTCCATTTATTTTAATGCAAATTAATTTCTCTTCATTTAATTTATTTTATCAAGTAATATAATAATTATTATCCATAAAATGGCTGTATGTTTGTTGAATTGTTTATTTATTTTTTTCTTTTGATTGTTTCTTTTCTTATTTACTAACTCAATTTACTGGTTTTCTTTTGGTTTTCTTTTGTTTGCTTGGCTTTTGCTTTGCTTTTATGTTCATAATTTATCTAATTTATCTTATTACTTAGGGCCCTACTTTAAGAATCGATGAAAATGCTATCAATAACAATATTCGTTTAACGAGATCCAAATCGAATATCAACAACATCAATATCAATGAAAATATTAATGAAACTATCAATGGTACTAGAACTGCTTTGACCAATATAAGCTTGAACAATCAACTCTCCCTACCAAACCAACAAAAGATAATCATACCAAGACAATCACACTACAAAAGAGACCCTCTCAATAATAACAACTCACACAATATTAACATCATCAACAATAAAGCGAAATCTCCTGAAAAATCAACTAGATTATCAATCAAAAGACGTTATGAAGAGTTTAATTTGAATAATAATATGAACATTGATGAAAATTTTAACAATGAAAAATCTAATGAGAATTATAATATCAACAACAACAACAACAGCAATAACTATAATGACCACATTAATAACAATAATAATAATAATAATTTTCTTAATGGAACGACTATCAATATGAATAATGAGAATAATAACTTCTTTCTTAATAATAAAAAACCGAAAATAACTTATAACTGGGATGACTTGGATTTAGATGATTTCGATGACCCATTGATGGTAAATGAATACGTTGTCGATATCTTTAATTATTTAACGGTTTTGGAACAACAAACTCTACCTGATGCAAACTATCTTATCTGGCAAAGTAATCTAAAACCAAGAATGAGATCCATTATAGTTGATTGGTTGGTTGAGGTCCATTTAAGATTTAGATTGCTACCAGAAACGTTGTTCATTGGAATCAATTTAATGGACCGTTTTCTATCAAAGGAAATAATTGAAGTGGATAAGTTCCAATTGTTGGCTATTTCATCTTTATTTATCTCTGCAAAATATCAAGAGATTTGCTCGCCCTCAATCAAGAATTTCTCCTATGTTACAGATGGAGGATTTAGTGAAGAAGACATTTTGAATGCCGAAAAAGTGGTTTTGGCAGTGTTGGAATTTAACATGTCGTATCCAAATCCCTTGGAATTTTTAAGAAGAATATCTAAAGCAGATAACTACGATGTTCAAACGAGAACCTTGGGAAAATACTTGTTAGAGATATCGGTGATAGACTACAAGTTTATAGGATTGTGCCCATCACTCTGTGCAGCTGGAGCAATGTATATATCAAGAAAAATATTGAAAAGAGGAGAATGGAATGGCAACTTGATACACTATTCAGGTGGGTACAAAGAAAAAGACTTGAGGAAAGTCTGTGAGATGATTGTTGAATACTTGATTTCCCCAATTGTACACGAAGAGTTCTTCAAAAAATATTCGTCAAAAAAATATATGCGAGCATCAGTGCTAGCAAGACAATGGGCAAAAAAGATAACAATGCAAGAAAGGGATATAATGGAATAAGAGTTTGGTTTTCAAAATAAATAAATGATATCATCTGAATACCCTAGTTGAACCTAATTATAGACTCTCATAACCTATTATATCTAACTCTATATACACTTTACACATACCCTTTCAAATACCATTAATTACCAGCACATCAAATACCAAATACCAAATTCCTTAGCAACAGAAAAAAAGAAACAAAACTACCAAAAAAAAGAAAAAAAAGAAAAAAGAAAAAAAAGAAAACCCATATCGAAAAGAAAAAAAAATAAAACATTCCCAAATTGCCGATAAAGCATCAAAGGGTCTGAAAAAGATTGTGGTGCCAGTGTTTTTGTTTTGATACCCAACCTCTACATTTCCATCAACAAACCAGCAGGGGACGATGAATAATTCCCTTATATATCGCCTACATAGTTTTGTCACTCGTTTTTGACTATCCCCAACACAGTTTTCCTTAAAACGCACTAGCCCTTGCCTCTCGAGTTGCTACTGCTGCTGCTGCTGTCTCTGCTGCCAGTGCCAAAACTGCTTTTGAGGCTGGAAAGAACAGAGCCAGCGGTGTGGGAGAGGCTGCAGGATGCACACATCCACAGCGCACAGCAGCACGCATGCCAACGCACTCTCCGTGCGACTGGCGCAGGGCACCGCCGCGGCCCAAAAGCGTGGAAATGTCCGGCAGGGCGCGGCACTTTGCTTTGTGGCGGCACTTTGCTTTGTGGCGGTCCATTCCCGGCTGGGATGAATTTCACCACACAAACAGCTCCATTCCCAGCTGTTTATATATCTTCCTCTTCTGGTGCTCTGGCTCTTCTGCTTCTCGACTCTAGCTGCCTCTGCTTCTTGCTCTACTTTTCTTCTCTGTCTTGTTGTTGTTGTTCTTTTTCTTTCTGCTTGTCCTGCTTCCTGCTCCAGTCTCTTGCTGTCTCGCCCTCTCTCCAGCTGCTTCTCATAAATGCTATCTTTCCATCTCAAACCCTAGTTTTTTTTAATATTCCAACTTCTGAAAAAAAAATATTCAACACCAAACACCTTGGTTCGTTTCATTCCTTGGGTTTTATCTGTTCCTTCTCTTCCAATTCTGCTTTTTTATCACTGCGTTTTCCTATTCTTCATTACTCCTTATTTTCCCTAACAAAGGCTCCCAATTATGGCTCCCTCAAAGAGACTTTCCAATTCAACAAGAATTCATTCTTCAAAAAACCAGTTTTCAATTGCTTCTATAAATAACAACAAACTTAACGATCTTACTAAATCTGGTTTCACTGCTTTTAGCAATCTGAATACTACTACTACTACTAATAACAATAACAATAACAATAACAATAATAACAATAAAAATTTATCCAGGTTTGACGAAAATTTGTTGTGTTCAAACATAAGAATAACACGATTGAAATCAAACCAATTACTAAACAAAAATAGAAAGAAAAGATCAATACTAACAGACATATCTTTAAACCCGACTTCAAATACCATCATATCAAATAATAAAAATAATGACATTATCATTGACATTAATGAATACCATAATACTGAAAATAATAACATTATAGAAAACAATAACGACTTTAATAATGACCATAATAATGACTATAATAATAACAATAACAACAATACCCTTGATGTCATAAATACATCCAATATCTCCACCTCTTCCATCGTAAAATCAACTTCCATATCTTCTATAAATACTCAATTCCAATCAAAACTACAAATTAAAAAAGACCACTTATCCTTATTTAAATCCTCTTTCTCTCTAATCTCAAACACTTCTTTTATAAATGACATAAATAATATAAGAGAAAATAATCTTTCGCTAAACTATAAATGGGACGATTTAGATGCTGACGACTATGACGACCCACTGATGGTCAACGAATATGTTAAAGATATCTTCGACTATCTATACCAACTCGAATTGAAAAATTTACCCTCAAATAATTACCTAATTCTTCAATCCAATTTAAAACCAAAAATGAGATCAATCGTAGTAGACTGGATGGTTCAAATCCATCTCAAGCTAAGATTACTCCCAGAAACACTATTCATATCAATCAACCTAATGGACAGATTCTTGTCTCTACAAAAAATTATAATCAAAAAATTCCCCCTACTAGCTGCCACCTGTTTATTCATCTCCGCCAAATACCAAGAAATTTATATTCCTTCAATAAAACATTTTGCTAATGAACTAAATGCCTTCACAATCACTGACATAATTCAAGCCGAAAAAATCATCCTACAAACTTTAAGTTTTAACATGTCCTATACAAACCCCTTGGAATTTCTACGAAGAATATCAAAAGCTGATGATTACGATATTCAATCAAGAACTCTAGCTAAATACCTACTAGAAATATCAATAATAGATTATAAATTCATAGGAATTAGACCCTCTATCTGTGCTGCCGCTTCCATGTTTATAGCAAGAAAAATACTAGGTAAAAATGACTGGAATAATAACTTGGTTTATTATTCTGGTGGTTATACTAAAAATGACCTATCAAAAGTATCTTCAATGATTATAGATTACTTAATATCCCCAATAATTCATGAGGGCTTTTTCAAAAAATATTCCTCAAAAAGATTCTTAAAAGCTTCTATAATTTCAAGACATTGGGCAAAACAATTCATTTTGCAAGGTAATTCATTAATGGATTAATATAAAAAAATTAAGTTAAATTAAATTAAGTTAAATTAAATTAAATTATTATAATATAATATAATATAAATTAAAATAAATTAAAATTAAAATTAAAATAATATAAAATTAAATTTTTCTCTTTTAATAATCATCAAATTATCTATCTCATATAAATATTACATTTGCTTTTTTTTCTTTTCTTTTTTATAGTTTACTTTATTCTTCAACTTCTTTTCGTATCTCTGTTGCTTATTTATTTCATTTTGTTTTATTTATTTATTATTTTTTATTCTATTCTATTCTATTCTATTCTATTTTTATTTTTATTTTTATTTTTATTTTTATTTTTATTTTTATTTTTATTTTTATTTTTGATTATTTTTTCATTTTTTGATTATTTTTTGTCTTGTTTCCTCGTCTTCTCAGATATGAATTATAATGATTGGGTTAATTGCAGTTGAATTAAATGCATTTGAAGGGTATTTTTATTAACTTATTTAAATCTTTATTTTTATTATATATCTTTTTTTCTTTTTCTTTTTCTTTGTTTTTTTAATTTTATTTATTTATTTCTTCATTGCTTTTTATTATTGTATTTATCAACTTCTTTAAATACTGTTCAAAGTTTTGTTTTTATTTTTATAGACTAATTTGGTTTTCTTCCAATTATCTCTATAATACTTTTAATTAATTATATTCTTATTTTTTATTCTATTTTTCATTTATTATAGTACATACTATTCAATAAAAAATTTAAAGTCTATAAATGCTACTTCTATATTCCATATATATTCAAAACCAAATGCAATTCAAAAAAAATTAACCCAAAATAACAGTACAACATTAAATCATATTTCAACAAACCAAATAAGAAAAAACAAACATCAACCATTTTATCAAAACATAAACAAAAAACACAAGCAATTTTAAAACCCATCATTCATTACCATATTACAAAAGACATTAATTCAACCATTTTCTTTACTTATAACATAACCAATTAGCAGTTGATAAATCAAAAGTATAACATACCAAAAATAATCTAAAATAGGAAATTCTTTTTTAAAAGAAAATGAAAAACTTTTTAAAAATTAATTAGTAAACTTACCATTTTAGTATTAACCAAGTCAAAACCAGATGAATTATCCTGAAAGCAAAAACAACTCAATGGCATATTGATCAATTTCATATCATCAATTCTCAAAACAAAAAACAAAAAAAATAAAAAATAAAAAACTTTCAATAACATTAAATTCAATTTGATTAACCAGTTCATCAATTGTTTTAAACCTTTTAAAACCAATTTAAAATGTTAGTAATTAATCAAAAGAAAGACAAATTTAAGTTAAATAATTTTCAAAAATACAAACGAAAATATTCCTTTCACCAAAACAAAAAACCAATCTAAAAATATTACTCAATATAAAAACAATTGTTAGTATCATAACCTTTGATTTTTTAAAGGTGTTTTCAAATTGATAGTAAAAATAATACAAACCGATTCAATATCACTCATTATCTTAAGAGTTAAACCATTAAATAGATTTTTACCAGCTAGGTTTAAAGTATTCAATCATGAAATTTCAGAGGATAAATCAACAAAATCCAAACGGACAGAGTTTCTGCATATCTTTTTTATCAAAACCAAATTAAACAGAGCTTCAGTAATTTTTTGGAGAAAATTCAAAGAAACAGAGCTTCAGTATGTCTTTGAACTAATTTATCATTTGAACAGAGTTTTAGCACTCAAATAATATCAAAAATCAAATAAACAGGGCTCTAGTATTTCGGTATTTTCAAATTTCAATTAAACAGAGCTCCTGTGTATCAGCAATTACCACAACAATTAAATAGAGCTCCAGCATTTAGCAATTTTACCTTCACCTAGATAGAGCTCTAGTGTTTACCAACTTAAACATTAACAGAATAGAGCTTCAGCATTTAGCAACTTAAAAACCAATAGGATAGAGCTCCACTATCTTTTGATTCAAAAATCATCTGAACAGAGCTTCATTGGAGAAAAAGGATTATATAAATTAAAAAGAGGTTCAGCATTTTGAAATTCACAACACAATTAAGCAAACTTTTCCCAATTTTATTTTCAAAAATTATTAAAACAGGTTACCAATATCAAATTTTTATAAAAATATTATCAGAGATACCTTAAACATCATAATCTTATCGAAAAGATTTAGGAATGAAGGAGAAAATACTATATCTTAATTGGAATAAGGATCACTTGAGAAAAAAGATTTGAAAAAAAAGATTTTTAGAAATAAAAATTCTCCTTTTGATAATTCACATGATGTAATATAATAAACAAATAAAATTTAGAAGATTAATTGGCTAAGGTGACAGATGAAATCTCATTTCTTGATTCCTTTTGTCCTGAACCCCCTTGATTATCAGGCAAGGCTAAATGCCCATTTCTTTGTGAATAGTTTTTTTGATTTTCTTCTTCTTGATCTTCTTTATTGAATATAGTTGATTGATTAGATATGAATGAACCTTTTATACCTTTACTAAAATATCTGAAAGGAGTTTTCTTTTCATTACCCTTTACACCATCTTTTGAATTGGCAGTGTCTGTTTCACTGTCAATAAATGAATCAGAATCTGTGGAATTTTTGGATCTTGGTGACTTTTTGCTTTTTCTAAGGAAATCAAATGATAACACATAGACACTCCATTTAAATACTGTTGATGGAAAGATGAACATTGCCCATTCATCTGGACAAATTCTGATAAGAGTACCAGCTGGTATTGATACCATACCACTAATAACAGCAGTACCCCATTGAGCACCAGTTTGACGAGTAATTGAAAAGGCAGTACCACCGACAAACATGATCATGATTTGAATTGTTGCAATAAGAATTGAAATCACAATAAAATAATAGTTTCTGAACAAATGTTGGAAAAAATTCAAATTTCTCATGGTTATTCTATCTCTAACCTTTTTAATTCCGTCAGCTTCATTTAACTTTCTGGTAACAAACAACTTCCAGTATTGCAACCAAACAAAAGCGTTAAATGTCATTGAAGCCATTTGACCATGTTCATGGTTAGTAAGTTCTCTATTCCCATAGAATATTTTTGGGGCAACAAAATGCAAAATAAAAGTAACAATTAATTGAGTGCATGATTGACCAAGAATCATCTTCCAGGTTGATACAGCAATCAAAGGTGCCTTTCTACCATCTGGTTTACTTTCCAAAATGTCATCGTCAGGTTTATCAGTAGCTAAAGCTAGAGCAGCCAAGGTATCCATGATCAAATTGACCCATAATAATTGAACAGCAGTCAAGACAGATTCCCCTTCGTCAGAAACAACTGCAGAAACAAAAGTTAAAACAACAGCAGTAATATTGACAGTCAATTGAAATTGAATAAACTTTTTAATTGAAATTGAAACACATCTTCCCCATTTGATGGCTTTGACAATTGCACTGAAATCATCTGTCATTAAAACAATATCTGATGCCTCTCTTGCAACTTCAGTACCAGACACACCCATAGAAAATCCAACATCAGCTAATCTCAAAGCAGGTGCATCATTCGTACCATCTCCAGTAACAGCCACAACTTCTCTCATTGCTTTCAAATTCTCAACCAATATCTTTTTGTCTTCTGGAGAAGATCTTGCAAGCACTTTTAATTCAGGAATAACTTTTCTACGTTCAGCATGAGATAAGTTTCTAAAAGTTGGACCCTCCATGCAAGCACTAGGATTAGATAGTTGACTGGGTGTTAAAATCCCACAACCCAAAGCAATAGATCTAGCAGTAATGATGTTATCACCCGTAACCATTCTCACAGTTACACCGGCATTTTCGCACAGTTTAACAGCATCAGCAACTCCTTCTCTTAATGGATCTTGAATTCCAACAAGAGAATCCAAAGTCAACGATTCTTGGTAGTCGCTTAAATGAGTTTTGACAACATCTTGGTTTGCAATAGTAATTTTCGGAAGAGGAGCACTATTTGTACTGTGAATAAACTCTGATGGTAAAGCATTAAAAAATTTGGTTGGATCAATCTCGGTACCAACTTCATTAAAGATGTCTCCTTTTGGTGGCCATGATGAATAATTTTTGTGAGCTAATACAAGGGTTCTTAAAGCATTTTTAGCATAAAATTCAATTTTATCAAAAATTAGTGTTTTCTTTTCTTCATCAATCACATTTCTTTGATTGTCGTTATTTAAATAGGTTCCACATTTTCCAAAAACAATCTCTGAAGCACCCTTGATATAAAATGTAAACAGGCCATTATTATTTTCTGTTACTACACCAGCCCATTTTCTTGAACTTTCAAAGGGAATAACTTCGACGATTCTTTTGATATGCAACAAGTTTGTGTGTTTACGTAAAGCATCTAAATTTTTTTCACCACACATATCTAAAATATCTTGTGCCATAAACATCAATGCAGTCTCGGTTTTTGAACCAATGAATTTTTCATGTTCTGTTCTCTTTCTAGGCCCTTCTCCGAAAAAATCAGGAGAAAATAAACTAAAACTATACCATTTCTTTTTTTCAACCTTTTTTGCTACAACAGCTTCTTGCTCTTCCATGTTTTCAAAAGCAGAAGAATTTAAAGCAATGTTTGTCAAAACCTTTTCTTTTATGGAATCTGAGAGCTTTTCTTTAATATCAAATGCAGTTTCATTAACAGGAGATAATTTCTTTGAATTTTTGAATTTTTGATCCAATAAATCATCAGTTAAAGAGTGATTAGTACCTGTGTTGTTAAACTCTAATGAACCTAAAATAGCTCTAACAACTCTCATTTTATTTGTAGTTAAAGTACCAGTTTTATCAGAACAAACAGCAGTGGCACCACCCATTGTTTCACAAGCTTTTAAAATACGAACCAAATTACCATCTTTAGCCATTCTGGTTGTAGCAAATGCTAAGGCTACTGTGACAGCTAAGGGTAAACCTTCAGGAACAGCAACAACAATAAGAGCAACTGCAGTGATAAAACTATCCAAGACTTTAGTACCCTTTTCAGAGCCAGTGTAATCATAGTATCTACCCCCTTTTGTCAACTCTGTACCAAATTTAATTAATAAAACAATGAATAGAATTGAACCAGCAATGATAGCAAATTTATTAATTCCAGTAGCTAAACTGTCCAATCTAACAGTTAATGAAGTTGGGTCAGGCTCAACTTTAAGAGACATCATTGCTTTACCATTAATTGAATTTGGACCAACACTTGTAACAATACCTTGACCTAAACCGGATAAAATTCTTGTACCTGAGATTAAAAAGGGATCATAAATATCGTTATCGTGGTTAATATCTAAATTTGTGCCCTTGTAATTATCATCGTAAGATTGAAGAGTGAAATCTATTGGGAATTTTTTGATAGTATCAGTTTCACCGGTGATGTTACTTTCATCGACTTCAAAGGAACCTTTTACTAGAACTGCATCAGCAGGAACAATATCACCTGTCTCTAATTTGATTAGATCACCGACTAATAGATCGTAAATAGAGATGCAAATTTCATTAGCATTTCTTATGACAACAATTTCTCGATCTTCCTTTTTAGCGTTTAATTTAGCAAATTGTTTTTCCTTTTGAAAATCATTTGCAGCACCAACCAAAACGACAATTGCAACAGCTACTAAGATGGCAACACCTTCAACCCAAGCTACTCTTGGGATTTCTTTGCCATTAGCATCAAGTTCAGCTTTTTCACCAAAAGTTTCATATAAACCTAAAGCTAATGAGACAATAGCAGCGACAGTTAAGATAATCATGATTTTATCCTTTAAAGCAATCAAACATAATCTGAAGAAACTCTTTGGGGGAGTTACGGGGATTTTGTTTTTACCATAAATTTTTGTTCTTGATTTTAACAAAGAAGGATTTGAATACTGATCAATTGGTAACCCATCTTGAGGATCTGTTTTCAAATTTTCAAAAAAAAGATTCAAATCTTTCGAATCATTATTGATTAAAGATTTGAAATGTAAAATTGATTTTGGATCATGGCAACTGCTTAAACTTTGAACCAGATAGGGATAATGGTCATTTAAAGTAGGATGAGTTGAAATACCAGCTTCTAAATCGTTATCAGCAGCAGCAGCTGTAACAGCAAAAACAGCGTCATGCTTTTTATCAGCAGAAGTAGCGTTCAGCATTCTTGTTGAAGAATGTTAGCAAAGGTAGTAAAATCAGCAAAGACAGCAAAAATAGAAACAATAGCTTTGATAATAGCGATAGCAGTAGCAGTAGCAGTAGCAACAGAAATAAAGGTTAAATGAAATAAGATTAATTCACCAAATAGTGTATTTAAAAATTGAGGAGAGCAAAACCTAGGAACCAAAAAAAAAGGTATAAAAAAAAAACCAGGAAGAAATAAAGGTAGAAGAAAAAATTGGAAGAGTTAAGGGAAAGTTGGGTTAATTTATATGATTGTGGAAAAAATGGAGAATGAATATATTTTGAAATTGATTCTTGGAATAAAAATTGAGGCAAAACAATTTTGAAGTTAAAAAAATTAGAATTTAGATTTTTTTTAAAAAAAGTCTGTTGATTTTAGAATTTTTACTTTAGATGAAAAGGTGAGTGGAAATACCAGTAAGTGAAAATAAAAATAAAAAAGGAATTAAGAATAAAAAGCCGAAATCTTTAGAGCATGATAATTTAATTGTAGCAGTTGCTCAAGAGGCCGATTAAAATGTAAGATAATAATTCTTAACGATAAACAGAAGGTGAATAATAACATGTCAGTATTTTTAAAAAGCTGTGGAAATGCAATTAAAAAGCAGCTAATAAAGCAAATATGAAGATAAAACAACAATTGAATCTAGAAGCCAAATAATTAATATTAGCTAGAAGAAAAAACACCCAGTTGAAACAGAGTCGAGCAAGAAAATTTCCCAACAGATTGAAAATCCAGCAGCATCTTAGGAGCAAACAAAAGTCAATCAAAAAGTAGTAATATCAAAAAAGTAGAATAATTCAGCAGAATAATTTAGTTATAAAACTGAATGAGAATTATCTGAAGAGAGAAGCAGCTTTTGTAAACATTTTTGATGCCATTTCGTCTCAACGGCGGAAGTTATAACACGGTACGATATCCATTGACAAGCACGGTTTACCGAAAATATGTATTTATATTCCATTATCGTATACGTCTGTTTCCGGTAGTCTACGGCGTATTATTTCTTTCCGTCGATCGTTCCCCAGACTTTATTCTCCTTTATATAAATAGGGCTTCAATTATCCAAACTTGTAATATATTTCAGATCATTTGTCTCCTTTTGCCATTATTTATGGACAATGGTTTTTTGCAGTGAACCTGGTTCCTATGGAGTTGTTGAATCGAATGGTGGTAGAGGAATATTCTTTGAATTAAATAAAAACTGTAAGATAAATATAAAATTTTCCGCTAGTGACAACACTATTAGTTTACCATTGCAATATTCTTGCAACAATTATAACTTTGAAAGATTTTAATCGGAGCTGGAGCTAATAATGGATTATGTTAGTAAAAATAAAAACAAAGCCTAATTGATTTGTATGTGTTGATGAATGTAGAAATTTAAATCAAAATCAAAAAAACTGAAGCAAAATCATTGTCTCTAAACAATAACAAAAAAGAAAAACTGATTTGTTAAACACTGAAAGAAAAATAAAGTTTGGAGAACAATTAACGGAAGAAAACAATAAGCCGTAAAAAATCGTCAGTACGGAGCGAAGCTTTTGAATTGTACTGAGCGACGAAAAAAACATCGAAAACCCGACGTGCAGCTGCCGGCAAGATCCGAACAGAATCCTTGCCGCATCACGCAGAATTACCCCAGAGCGACAGCACTGCGCCACGTTCATGTTGGTGCATTATATGCAATTTTATGCATCTATGCATGTCTCAGTGCACACTCTAGTGCACAATATTACATCTGATTGTTAGCGTTGATTGGCTGCCAAAAGCCCTCTTTCTGTGGTCTCTGTTCTACACGTGCCTGATTTTGTGTAGCGGCATTTCAGTGGAGCTGGAACTTGAAAAGAATCAGAAAGAGAAACAGAAACAGATCAGGCAGCAGAAAGCAACGACGTGGGAAGATGTTGCTTCTTCGTCAAATTACAGCTTCTTTTTTGGTCTCCAGATCGTTGCCCTTGGTCAGGTTGTCAGTTCTGACCTCAAAGGCCTCGCCGATTTTCTTCAATTTTTCAGTTAAGAGATACCAGTCCAGTAACAGCATCACCAACAAAAATAAAAACATTAACAAAAACACTAGTAAAAACACCAGTAAAAAAACTAGCAAAAATACTAACAAGGGCACTGCTGGGTCGGATAAAAAGAAAAATGCTTATAGTGACAAAGATCATGCTGGCAAGAACGATGGTTCCAGCAAAAGTGCTAATGAAAACGACCATGTTCCCAAAGACTTGGCCAATCTAAAGAATAGCCAATTTTCACAATTGTCAAAGGAGCAGCAAGCTAGCTTGAAAAAGGAATACACAATCAGAAAGGAAATATTCACTCAGCAAATCAGGGATCATCTTCCCGGTGAAACCATTCAATCAAACGCTTTGAAGGACAGACTTCCATCGTCCTTTAATCTCAAAAAGGATGTCATTCCAAACTTATTGCCGAGACCTGGTGTGCCTCAGCCTAGCTCAACCATGACTTTAACAAAAATGTTTAATATATTGAAATCAAGGAACAAGCCAGAGTTGATTTATGAATCTGAATCTCATCGTTTGTATTTCTTAATCAGGCTCTGTGTCATCTTTGTCTTTACTTTTTATGCTATAACTTTTATCAAAACCTCTTCTGAGGTTGCGTATGAAATTTTCCTTCAAAATAATGACAAACTATCTCCCTCTGAAAATTTGTTCTACTTTGGTCTAAAATGCTTAACAAATATTGTCATTTTCTCTGTTCCTCTTGCTTTAATCTTTTTAGCTACTGTCCTTCCAAATCTCTTAGTTAGAAGAATTTATTATATCCCAAGCTCTTTATCCATCAATCCAAAGATCTCTTCTAAAAAGGTTTCTAACGACTTACTAAGTAATGAACTAATCAAAATCACATCTCATCCTCTAATTCCCGGCAGACCAACTCCAACTTATACAATTCCCTTAAACGATTTAACCAGATCTCGTAAAGCAAGAATCTTCACAAATAAGGGCTTTTATGGTGTGCTTGATAAAAGCTCGTTTCTCTTCTTTATCTTTGATAAAAATAGAAAACTCCCATGGATAGTGGATAGAAATGGTTTCTTTTGGGGTGATGGCAGAATCTTTGATATCCTATTCGGTAAAGAGTCAATTAAAGAAGCCGAAGCTGCCATATCTTGGGAAGATAGGTACGCTGCAATGAATGAGAAAATAGAGTCAAACAAATTGAAATTAAAGGAAAAACATGGCTTTTTGTGGAGAACAAAGGAAAGCTTCAATTTGTTTAAACAAGACGTTAAATCCATCCCCTCTCTATTGTCCCCAAATAAAAATAAAATCCAAGCAAAAATTGAAAAAAAACCCCAAAACAAAATTGAAGATATAAACCAAAATCAAAATCAAAGTCAAAATCAAAAATCAATCAGCGAACCTCAACAGTCTATCATCGACACTGTTTACAATATAACTTCTCACAAAGACACACACTCCCAAACCACTCTATCCCAGCTGCTGGAAAATAACACTCCAAAAATCAATAAAAAAACAAAAAACACCAATAAAAAACAAAACAAACAAAAGAAATAAAAGAAATCGACCAAATCCTAATCAAATATTGAAAAACCTGTAAAATCTGTATATATTATCCCCCGATTATGTAAGCGGGCTTTTTCTCGCATGATTTGTACTGTATTTGGATTTTGTATATTTGTTAGCTTTTTTTCATTTTTATCTCATCTTGATCTCTTTATTTATTTATTTATTATCTTGACGTCCTCGTCTTATCTCCAACGCTTTACCACTTTGTAATAAATGTGTCTAATATAATGTCCAGTTCTATTGATTCTCAGGCTGACCTTACCTCGCCTTACTATGATCCCATGGTCCACTTAAACCAACTATTTGATTCCCCTGAATCTCTTGGTGAATTAAATCAGCTTTTGGATTATTCAAACAATTACAAAATAAATCTCGATAAAAAAATTTATAAAAAACAGATATTATATAACAAGAAAAACTCCAATTTGAGCTCCAAAATTAACTATGATGATGACATATCAAATTTAATCAGTGAAATCAACGAAACAAGATCTTTAGCCGAAAAGACCCAACAGACAATCTCAAATATGACTTTTAATATTCAAAATCTAGATCAAGGTAAAAAAAATTTGGTTCTCTCAATGACTGTCCTAAAAAGATTGCAAATGTTATTAACTGCTTATGACCAATTGAATAACATGTTGTCCTCCGATGCTAAAGATCCAAATAGCAGTTCAAATGACTATAATGAAATGCTTAATCTAATATCGGTCGTAATTCAATTAAATTTACATTTTCAAAATTATAAAAATATTAGCGAAATAAACCTATTGTCAAAGGATATATCAAAGCTAAAAATCAATTTAACCGACCAGATATTTAGCGATTTTGAATCTCTTTTAGGTGGAAAAAAAAAGAATCCACACTCACAATCAAATGCATCTCAATTAATAAAAGCCTGTGAAATTTTAGATATAATTGGCCAATCTTACCATGACAAGCTACTCAACCTATTCATAACTTTACAATTTAAAGAGTTCAAATCAATTTTTAATATCAGCGATGAAGCTGGCTCATTGGAAAATTTATCTCGTCGTTATATATATTTTAAAAAGATTTTTAGAAATTTTAATGATTATTATTATAAATTTTTTTCAAAGTCTTATGGTTTAAAATTTGAAATATGCAAACGGTTTTGCGAGTTTACTAAAGATGATTTAAAGCTACTTTTAAATAACATCAAACAGGATAACCTTAATAATAAAAACAATAACAATAATAACAGTATCAATAATTCTGGTGATGATAATGACTCAAGCTCAAATTCAATTGTCAATATTTTATTGAAAACCCTCAGTGAGACATTGGAATTTGAAGATTACTTGAATAAATCAAATAATAACTCAACTTTTTTCACAAAAAAAATTTCAATCGCTTTTGAGCCTTATCTCTCAATTTGGTTAGATCAACAAAGTAGCATCATATCAAAGAACTTTTTAAAATACATGGCAGCGCCAAAACTATCCCCTGCTCAAAAAGATATTAATGATAACTCGTCTATTAAACAAGAAGATATTATAACTGATGTCATACCTTCCTCAGCTGAGTTATTCAGAACTTATCGACAGATTCTCAATCATGCAATTAAACTATCAAATGGCTTATTTTTACTAAATTTGACTGATTTGTATGTAAAGCATTTAAACGATTATAATGAAAAAATTTTAAAACCACTTTTCCCAAAGAACGATAGAGATTTAATTGTTTCTGAAGGAGTAGACTATCTTATTTTAATTTTTAATACGTCTGACTACATAAATATCACCATAGACCAATTGGTTGAGAAATTAAAATCTCTAATAACCCCTGAACTATCACCAAAAGTTGAAGCTAAATTTGAAAATTCAAAAGAAATATATGTCAGTTTAATAACTGACTCAATGAACAAGTTGTTAACTAAAATTGATTTAGATTGCGAATTATCATGGAAAGAAATGACAAATAATAATTGGAAATTAATTAGAGATGTTTCTGATCAAAGCCGTTATATCATTGATTTAAAAGAAATAATTTTAAAAAACTTGAGAAAATTTTTATTCAAATTCAATAGAGATGTGTATGTGAAAAATTTTATGGACAAATTAGTAGAATTTATTATTAAGAAATTCTTGAGCAAATTTATCTCGTTAAAACCAATATCCATTATCACCGCAGAGCAAATTTTGTTAGATCTTTCGACATTGAAAGATTTTTTTAAAAATTTACCCAAAACACTTGCCATGACAGACTCTGAAATTGAAAATGAACTCAAAAATCAGGCTCAAAGCAATAGACTTAAAAGCTTTGAATCATCAGAAAATAAATTGGCTATCAAATTATCAAAGAGTTATTTCAAAACCATTGATCTTCAGTACAACAAGTTTGAAAAAATTTTAAAAATGATTATGATTGATAATAAGGATAAAGATAACTTGATTTCAAATTATTTTTTAATTGTCGGTGATAAAAATTTTAATAATTTTCTAAAAATATTAACTCTAAAAGGTATTGTCTATTCACCAAGTTCCACTTCTTATCAAGATAAAAGTGAAATCAAAAAATTCAGAAATTTGTTTGATAATCATGTCAAAAACTACACTGGGTCAAAGTTAATGGATGACTCACCAGTTTTATCCAATATCAATATGACAGTAAACAATGACATCGGAGCTAAAAAAGTTGATCTAAATATTAATACTATATTGTTAACAAACTCAGGGCTGCTAGGTTCATCTATAGAGCTACCAACCTTATCTTCTCCATTGCTCGGAAACTCATCGACGACAATACCCGAATTAAATTTTAATCTTTTACCAAAAGTCAAGTCGACAAATTTAAATTTAATTAAAAAAACGACCACTTTTGGCGATAATTTCAATACAAATCAAATTGAAAAAAATTTAAAAGATTTCGCATTGAACAGCGAGAATAATTTTAAAAATGTCAATGAAAATTTAAAGACTAATTTAGGAAAACTTTTTAATAGAAATCCCAACTGAATTTAGTTTTTATATAATCGTATTAATATATTTCAAACAACAGGTTTATAATGTAAAGAAGTTTGTTCATTTAATTATTCATTAATATAGAAAAACAAGAATAAACTTTTTGTGATTATTTTTCCGAGTAAATGAAAAAAAAATCAAAACTTAATGATCATAAAGTACAAATTAATAGTTTATTTATTGAATCTATTTAAAACTTTTGGATTTTTTAATAAAAACATAGCAACAACCTGACTGGCTTTTTTCTTATTTGCACCAATACTTTTAGCTATGGGAATGTTGTTCAAGACAAAAGTGGATTGGATAAAATTAGCACCAATTTTATTTATTTCGTATCTTGGAGGTATGCTGACCTTTTTGATATTCATGATAATTGTGTATAATTTTTCTCTTGCTGAGTAGTCAATAAAATCTTCACTGATAGGTAGTACGTTATAAACATCAAATTCGTTGTCATTTATCACTTCTTTAGTGATGTAAGATTTCAAGGTAAATATATCTTCCATATTATTAGGATTGAAGTCATTCATGTTGGAAGCATGATTGCAATCATTATTTGATTCTGATACATTACTGTTACACGGATTATATCTCTGACGAAATATACGTTCTTGTTCTCTCAACGCGATCATTGCTGCTCTAATTCCAGCTTCTTTGGTGTTTTTGCCAATACCAATACCCAATATCTGATCATTTAGTTTGCAGGAAACTTTGAACTGTTTGTCAAAAATATTACCATATTCTAAAATATCATACTTGGGTGAATTTTTTGGAGTGCCAATTAATCCATATAATCTAGCTTTGGCGGTTTTATCCTGTAGACCTTTCACATTAATTTCATCGTTATCAAAAGCATTAATTCCTTTAAAATTTCCTGCGTATTTCTCTTCATTGCAAATTTTACTATTAATAGTATTGTTATTTGAGCTTTCTGCATAGCTATCTAGATATCTACTTTGAAGATTATTGGCATCAGAGCATTGATTATAAAAACTGTTATTGCTTAGAGTAGTGGCACTGCCAGCACTTTCGCTTGTAAAATTATCATTTGCAGTGGAATTGTTATTAGTTATATTAAGAGTATTATCGTGGTTTGGAGAAGTTGAGAAAATATTTTCTTGTTTATTTCCTTCAACTGTGCCTTTATTCTCCAAAACATGATTATTTTCGCCATTCTTAGCCTTTTTATAGTCTTCAATTTCTTTGGTAATTAATACATTTAACCAATTCTTAACTTCTTTAGTTTTAAAAAAATTATTTTGGTCTTCTTGAATTAGCAAACCTCCAATATAACATAAAAACTCATCTTTGGTAGAAAAATTATAAAATTTGCTCCATGTATTTAAACACAGTTGGAAATTTATTTTTGCACTTATATCTAATATCTCTTCGAATTTTATATGAGGAATTTTTTTAATAATTGAAATTGTCATGGTGTTAAAATAATTTAATCCAATTGCCAAAGTATTTTCTCTCCATTCTCTGTCCTTCTGATTCTTGTTATCAGGCATAGAATAGATTAATTTATAAATTCTGTTGTCTTCAAGTTTGGGGATAACTGGTGGAAAGATATCAGTAGATTTGCTTTTTTTATCATTTTTATCATTTGTGCTATTATTGTTTTTGCTATTGACTCTATTATCATTATCTTTGTTTTTGCTCTCATTTTCAAATACAAATAATTCCTTTTTTGGATTAAACTGGCTTTTGATGGCACTTTTATCTTCTTGGTCAGGTATATCTATAACAAACTCATCATCTGAATCCGAGATTATTATTTCGTCTTCTTCACCTAAGGATTTGAATGTTTCAAGATTAATAATTTCATCGAATAAACTCAACTTACCAAGTGAATAATAAGTTTTTAATTTTACGCCCATCAAGAATTCTTTACGGCTTGAACACAAATAATCTAAAGGTTTACTATCATGTCGAACTTTTTCGATTTCATTTTCATTTGGAAAATCATTGATGATTGATTGTAAATTCAAAATCAAACTTTGCATGGTTTTTGAATGTTTTAATATGTCGACTTTTGTAATTCTTTTATCTTTGGTTGAATTTGGAGTAGTATTTCCTGTCAACTTTGAGGGTTTGATATCGTGGTTGTTGGCTTCAGAATTACCATTGCTATTGTCGTTTTCAACTGGATATGTATTTCTTCTAGTATGATTTCTGTTTAGAGCTTTAGCGCAATTCTCTTTTTGTTGAATTTGTTCAGCATTAAGTTTAGCCTTTTTATTGGTTAAATTTGAGGTGATAGGTGAATCCTTTGCAGGTTTTGCCTCTTCAATATCACTATCATTGTTCAATTTTCTTTTAGTAGTGGGTGATTTTTTAACCATTTTATAATTGAATGAAAGAAATATACGATTAGAGAAAATAGAGAAAAAGAATTGAGTATGAGATATAAGAAGTGATGGATTAGAACGTTGTTTTTTTTGTCGAGAGATTAAACTCAAACAGAAAAAGTGAAGTTAAAGGACTTTTTTTTTGCCTCGAAAAAATTGCTGCAAAAAAGGGGATTATAATTTATTTAGTGTATTTTGTAAACCAAATTGGAAATGCTAAAAATAAGGGAATGAATGGTGAATAACTTAAAGAACTGAGAGAAAACAAAAAAAAATATAGGAAAAAGACTGAACAAAATGTCAAAATAAAATAAAATATAAGGTGAGGTAAGCTCAAAAAAGGATTAAAATGTTGTATAAATAACTATAAATAACTATAAATAATCGCAAAACAGGAAATAGAATAATGGGTAAACAGGAATGTATTGATAAAATTCAAATAAAAATTTAAACAGAGAGTTTCTCGAATTTTTCTGAAAGTGCTTCAGCTTCATAATTTTGGAGTAGTTTTTTTTCCAATTTTTCAGGATTAAAGTTTTTAATTTCTTTGATTTCAACAGTTTGTTCTTCTTCCTCTTCTTCTTCGTCTTCGTCTTCGTCTTCGTCGTCTTCATCGTCTTCATCGTCTTCGTCGTCACTTTCTGGTTCTTCCAAGTCGTCCAATTCGTCTAAAGCACCACCTCTTTCTTCTAAGATTTTAGAAATTTCCAAGATTTCTGAAGGCAATTCTTCAGATTTCAAAACGTTTCCATTGATTTCCAAGAATTTTAAGTTTTCATTGAATTTAATGTATTTATTTAAAGAAGGTAAAGAAAGATAATTCAATTCATTATATTGTAGTTTTAAAGAGTTTAGAGTGGTGATTTTAGTTGATAATAACAGCTCGAGTAATACTTTTGAACCATTTGCAGATAGTAAACAATCATTTAAATTTAATTCCTGCAAATTCGACCAATTTGTTAAATTATTTGATAAGATTTGAGTGGAAGAGAGAGTTAAAGTATTATCTTGTAAGTCTAAATATTTTAAATTTTTCAAATACTTCAAGCCATTTGAAATTAAATTTGAGATACCATGAGGTCTAATACCATTTTGATACAATTTAATAGATTCCAAATCTTTATGGTTTTTCAAGGCAATTGATAAGTAATTAGTTGACCCATTTTCTAATCTATTTCTACCGCAAATGAAGGAAATCAAAGAATTTTTATTTTTATTTTGTTTATTTAAGGATAGTTTGAATAAAGAAGCTGCGATTCTTTGACCAGCAAATGGACCCATACCATTGTTGGATAGTATTAAATGATCTAAAGAAATCGCATGAGGCAAGAATTTTTCAATGGGCTCTATTGTTTGCAAACCAAAGGCATTGTCAGACAAATTTAAAATCGACAAATTTTTCAACGTCAATAACGAAGGCAAAATGTAATCTAAAGATTGAGGAATTTCAGTGTTCAATCTTCCAGTGTAAAAGTCGCTAAAATCAATCTCAACAATGGAATCCTTCTTGGGTTGAGGCAAGCCCAAGATAAAGTCAGCCAAAGCCTGTGAGGCCTCAACACCTATCGTGTTTCCAGAGAAGTCCAACTTCTTCAAGTGCTCCAACCCAGCTAGCTCGTCAAGATATGGTTGGATATCAGCCTTGGTGTTGAATTTCAACGCCTTGCCAGCGATGGAGTAGACCTCATTGGCAGCAAAAGCAGGAACAAACTGGGAATCAAGCAAAGCAGACATGGCAGACGACAACAGACTGGATTTTCAGAAAGTGCAGTGGTAACAATCAAACAATAAATAAGCAGCCAGTGTTGGTGATTTGCAACTCTTTTACTGTTTTTTGCCTTTACTTTTTCAGTAAGCGACATTTTTTTACGGCTCTGTTTATTTTTTTCTCACACAAAAACAGAGCCCACGGAGCTGGTTTTAACCATGCGTTTGTATCCCTGCAGTATTGCATACACACACATACACACGCGTATTACACTCTGCTGCTTTTGGTGTTTTTTCTGTTTCAGCTCCCTAAAAACCCCAGGCCCTACGAGATGTTGCTGAGCACAATGTGCTTGATCTTTTCCTGCTCGTCCTTGTGCTTTTCAACCTGTTCGAGTCTGTCCAACACCAACCTGCTGTCCTTTGCGAGCTCTACTGTTTTGAGCACAATCTTCCCTTTGTTGGATTTCATTGCCAAAGCAAAAGGAATCTTGCCGTTGGTTGTCTTTCTGCTGGCAATAACAGCGCTGCCATCATTGCCTGTGTGTCGATCGTCTAGCTCTAGGTTGCTGTAGCCATCAATGATGTCTTTCTCATAACCATCATTTATGTTCAAACCGAGTGAATTCTCAATCATCGATTTCGATGGAATTGGGGCATTGAACCTCGACTTCTTTTCAATTTTTCTTGCTTCTAAACTATCCAAAAATATTTTCTTGTACTCCTTCTCTAATTCATCATCGATCTTATGGTCTTCTTCGCTTTGCTGAAGATAACTATTAGTTTCATTTTCTTTCTTATTTTCTTCCTTTTCTTCTCCATCTTCTTGTGACATCCAGTTTTCCTCTCCATCAAACATCTCATCTTCCGATAAAAAGTCATCATCTTCATTGTCATTGTCATTGTCATTGTCATTGTCGTTATCATTATCATTATCTTCATTATCCTCGTTGTCTTGTTCAGCGTTAGTGCCATTACCCATTCCATTTTCAACTTCTCGGTTGTTATTTTTGATCTTATTAAACTCGTCAAACGCATCTTTAAAACTGTCCCGAAATACAAAATCAGGATTGATTTGTTTATACATATCGTAGATTTTGAATTCGATATCCTTTGGTATATTAACCTTCATAAAAATATAATAATTAAAGTAAACCAAAAATTTATTCAACTTCTTTGTTGATACTTTATTTTTTTTCCTCTTATTGAATTTTTTTCTCTTGTCATTAGATTGTTTTGATGAATGACTTAATGTGTGAGAAATTGTTAAAAATAAACTAGTTATTAAATTGATTCTAAAATAATTATTTGGCAAGTCAAATTCATTGATTGGATTATTGCTATTAATATATCCGAACAATAAAATTCTATAACAAATCTCAGTTACTAAATTGAATCCAATCAACTTGTGATTAAACATTTCCCCTAAATATTTGATTTCCGACAATCTTTTACGATTATCCCTATAATCATTATTCTCCAATCCAACTTGTATATTCTCAATTAGCAGATCTATAACTTCAATAACAAAATTATTAATTTTTAGATTTTTAGATTTCGACATCAACTTTAATATTTTGACCAATGGAACAATGTTCTCATAATTAATCTCTTCTGGCTCGTCAAATAATTTCTTTAGCCCATCAGTTGAATTCGGCAAGTTTTTATTAAAATTATCGTTATCTTTGTCATTATTGTTATCCTTTTCATTATTGTTATCTTTTTCATTATTATTATCACTGATTTGATTACCAGTTGATTCCTCGTTCAAATTATCGTTATTAATATTATTAATATTATTTCGATAGTTTTCCCAATCTAATTTTCTAATCAACATAAAAATCGTATAAAAGTTTTTTGATGACAATTGTTTTCTAATCAATTTTTTAAAAAAAATAAATTCTGGATTTTGATTTTCTTTTATCTCATTTTCAATAGCATTGATATTCTTCAAATCTGGTGGTTTTAAGGTTAAAAGAAAATTATCAATAGAAATTTGATCATCTTTGCTTAATTTTTTATTTTCATTTTTAACTTTGATTAATAGTGATATCATTTGTTCCATCAATTTTAGATATTCTTCATTATCATTGTAAATTAAAAATCTTCCACAATTATCCAAAAAAATCTCTAAAATTTCAATATTTCTGGGATTATTAATATTTAAAATTAAGGAATTTATCTTATTAAAAATTAAGTGAGTGGGCATTAAATTAAATTTAACCAACTCGCAAAAATAGTTGATATTTTTAAAATCAACGTAATCATTAAAAATTTGTCTTTTAAACCCAGAATCTAAATATTGGATAATATCCTGAGCTAGTTTTGGTAATAAATGCTGATTAATTGCCAAAAATCTGCAATAAAATTTAACATTTCTTAGATCTGTGTTTTCAATTAGAAAACGATATAGTCGTTGCTGTGATGCTTTATTATTTAATTCCTGTAACCAAAAATCATAAGCACAATTATCAATATCCTGTCTAGTATTTAAATGCTGCAATCTGACTAAAAATTCTGTCATTTTTTCACCTTTAGATCTTTCTTCATTGTTATCTGTAATAGTAACGCTATTACTAGAAGTAGAAGAGCCGATCGAAGCATGATTATTATTTTCGGTATTATTTGACGAATCATTTAAATTTGGTAAGAAATTTTCGGGAATTGTATTTCTTAAGTCAGGTAATTCTTCATAGAATTTTTTTTCCTCATCATTAGACCAGATTGAAAATTTGCCATCTAATCTGTTTTGTTTTAAGACTCCTGTTACTAAGGATGGATCATGATCATTGAAATCATCGTTTAATTTCTTTTTATTATCAATTGTTAATTGGTCAAAATCAGGGATATCAAATTTTAAAATTTCATTGAATGTTTCACATAAATTTTTGAATTTTTTATATAAATTTAATAAATCATCATAATTTGATTGATGTTGATCAGAGATTTTACCTGTTCTTATTGCAAATTGTTTATTTCTATTTTCCAACGATATTAATTTAAGATTTAGGGACTCAGTCCTTGAAACTAGTTTTTTGAAATAAATTTGAAATAAATTGAATAACAATGTTGATAATTCTTGATCTGAATTTTGGGATTGATCCAAGAGTGATAACAAGTCTTTGGACAATGTTAAAACTTTTGAATACAAAGGAAAAAGATAAAAGAATCTTTTTATAAACATTGTTACAATATTTAAAGTAATACCTAAATTAAATTCAACAGTCGAAGACAAAATATCTTGGATTATAAAAACAAAAAGGTTATTTGATTGAAGACTTTTGAATTTTTTAGAGATGGAGTCAGAAAGAGAATCTTTTGCGCAAAAATTGAAATTTTGGAACAAACCAATTAGATAAAATTCAGTGAATAATCGTAGTAAGTTCCGCTTTTTGTTTGCCTTCAATAAGTCATCCTTATTAGCAGAATATGGGGATTGCTGATCTTTATCGCCAGAATTCATCACTGTTGAAGGAATTGAGATTGGATGTAATAAATTGTTTAAAAAATAAGATAGTAAAAAGGGTGTGAAATGAATTGAGAATCTTTGATGTAATGCACTTACTATCTCCAAAGCAGCATTAATATCGTCATTTTTAATACATTTCGTTAAGCCCTCAGAAACAGCAGGAATAATTTCAGATAGATATTTTTCCAAAGATATAGTTGAAATATCTTTTAAAATTTGCAATTGGCTTTCTTTGTTAATCGATAACTTGATTTTCTTAATAAAAGCAGTGTTCTTTTTTAAAGATGTATCTAGATTTTTCAATATTTTAAAAAGATGACCAGTATCATTGTTATCACCACTGAGGCCTAAAACCTTAGATGCACCACCACTACCAACATTTTCGGTATTATGGTTAGAGTCAGTGCCCATATTGGCAAAATCATTCAATCGATTTTCATTCCAAACTCTCAAGTTGGCTTTCAACAATTCAATTTTCCTGGGAGTCAAAGTGAGTAAGGCACTCAAAGCTCCACTAGAAATACCATCGTTCGCCATATCTTTACCTTCATTTTCAAGCAATGGCATTATTGGAAGAATGATAGCTCGTCATATACTGGTCTTCAAAGCCTGTTCAACTCTTCTTCTCAACAAAAAGCAAGAAGAAAGAAACGTCACATGACACAAATGCACGCCAACGCGGTTCCCGGCGCAGCTCGAACCGAGAATCGTCTTCGAGCCAAAATGGTTTGAGACCGTAATCTTACGTTAAACTCACCTCAAATGAAGAGTGAAGCCAAATCAAAGATTGAAAATAAAACTAGAATAACTATAAAAAATATAACAAGTGCTATCTAGGCTTTGGCAACTTTTTCGATATCCTTCTCGTCCTCAAGGCTTTTTTCTTGAGCTTGCAACTTCTCTTCAAAGTCCAACCTGTTCAAGTCCTCCTCCATATCGTTGAGTTTTCTGAAACAGAAATAAAACATTATGCCTGTGATAAAACATGCAACACATAATCCAGTGTATGTCCATACCAATTTAGGGTCTTCTGCTGTTGGCGATAAGGCAATACCTAATGCTGACCCACCGGCAGATGTCAACAAGAATAAAGACATCACGAACGATTTCATTTGAGGTGGTGCTTTGGTGTATGCATACTCCAACCCAGTGATCGATGCAAATATCTCAGACATGGCGATGAAGAAATACGCTGGCGATTGCACTGCAACATGAATGTGGTTAGGGATGTTTCCGTCATCAGAAGCAGCACACTCCAATGGATGTTCATAGCATGGACCAGCATTGTATATCAACTTCTGGACAATGGCAGCGTATGCCATAGCAACTGAGCCCATCATGAACCCCCAGAAGATTCTGGTGATAGGCTTGAACTTGATGCCGATTTTACGCAAAAATGGATAGAACAATCTCTCGCAGATGGGAATGAAAATGATAATCGTCAATGGATCGATGTTCTGCATGATATCGTTGGGAATGCCATGGAGCTCCATCTGGCCAGCCTGCGACACAAAGTTGTTCAACATTTGACCATATACAACCCAGTACACGATGAAGAACACAAACACTTGACATGCCAACAACGCTCTTCTGACCTCTTCGACAAACAAATCTGTCCATGGATAGCTCTTCTCTGGATGGAACGAAGGTTTTGCAGCTTCAAACTTGCCCCTGTTGAGCAAAGTGATGAATGATATTCGGAACGAGTTGCCAATGATTGTCTTTGATGGAGGTGTTTTGATGTAAATGTTTTGGCCAATGATCAATGCACCAACACCAACAAAGAAAAAACAGAATGGCAATAGATATGCAGCCCAAAATCCAACTTCTTTCTCTAAGGTTGTTGTTGCAATCGATGACAATGAACCAACATTAATACATAAATAAAATACCATGAACACGGTTTGATATGTAACAGCAGGATCGACAATAACTCTTTCACCCTTTTTATTTGTTTTGACATATGAGGTGAATGTGGGAATTTGGTCTGCAATTAATGGAGAAACATTTGCTTTGACACCACCAGTACCTAAACCAATGATGATGATTGCTGCAATAAATCCACCAAATGAAACGTTATTTTCAATGGAGACTGGTAGAGAAGTAAGAAATAACACTAAGATACCAATTGTATAAATTCCAGTAAACCAACAAATGGCTTTGTACTTTCCTAAATATGTATCAGAGATCCAAGCACCAAAAACCGGACAAACATAACACCAAAATTGAAAGAAATAACTTAATGCATTTGATTTTTTCTGACCAAGACCTAAGGCACCTGGAATTCTATCGTCTGGCTTATACTGCATATAGTTCATAAATGGACCAGATAATCCATAATAAGCAAATCTTTCACACAATTCAACAATAGCAACTAACCAACAGGCCCAGGGAATTGTTTCACAGACACGTTGTAAAGTTTTTTCTTCTTCTTCTGTTGGCAGAGGCTGATTTTCAATCTCACAAATATCAGTTGAGTTTACTTCACTATCAACTAATCTGACTTTTCCTTGATTTTGTAAATTATTGTCCAAATTTGGATTAGTTGGCAGTTTATTAATGTTTGTTTCAGGCATAACAAATAAATTATCGGTTTACTTTTTCAAATCAATTTCAAAAAAATTATTGTTTTTTTTGTTTGTTTATTTCCAACATGCGATTTAAAACCAAAATTTGGTTTTCATCTTGAATATATATATATGTATATATATATATGTATATATATATACATATGAATTATTTCATTGCATAATCACCAATAGCAATAAATGATAAACCAAAAAAAAATTGTGAACAATGGAAGTTTGGATAAGAATGAAAATAAAATACAAATTATAGTTAATTTAAAAGCAATTGAAAGTATTTTCTTAGTAATATTGTAATATCATTTATAGTTGTTTTTGATGCTCTTGCTCATAGTAGTTGTGTGCTGATAAAGACTTTGCAAACCAAAAGTATAATGCTCAGAAAGGCGCAACCAACTAGAGTTAGCAATCAAGCTCCAGAAGGATGCTTGCAAATCAATAGCACTCAATCATAAATTTGTATTTGTAGTAGTTGTGAATTTTAGTCTTTGTGTTGCATTAAAGTGAGAGCAAACATCTGGATAAAGCCGTTTATGTGGCACCGGAAAAACACCATAAGCTGACATATGCACCTCTGATAACAGGACATATCCGAAAAAGCTTATCAATATTTGTTTCTTTTAGGAATATTTACTTATGGATACTCAACAATAAATCGACTATTACCGTCAATACCCAGATTTCTCCAGTTTACTTTAATAAATTCAATAAAAATTTATACGAACCAAAAAATAGATTGTTAAGGCACAAATATTTGAATACCTAAAATATTTCAAAACAGGATGATACTATGCGAAACAGACTGTTGTAGGTATGTGCAATAATAAATGAGCAAAAGTGCCTTTTTAAGAAAGTTTATTGAATTGAAAATCACTACATTTTATCTTCAAAATAATAATTTGAATAATTTTTGATCATTTTTTCAAGAAAATTCTAGTATTTGAAACTTTGCAGGTTGCCAATACCATACCATACTGATTGTGCAATATCCATATCGGATGATGTGTAAAATAGTTAAATTAAATAGAGATAGTTAGTGAACCATCTGTGTTTTTGATTACTTTCAATTTTTTAAGTATGGATTTTTTGTTTTCTTTTTTGTTTTTTTTTGTGATTTTTTTGATTATCTTATACAACGATTCATTTTTAGTAGAAGAAACAAATGAGGTAATATTATCCAAGGTATTATCAGGTTTTGAAGCATGCTTGGATTTTGGCTTTTTTGATTTTTTAGAAAATTCCTCTATTATCAGTTGTTTACTCTTGTTCCCCTGTTCATTATTATTAATAGTGTTGCTTGCATTTTTGATATTTGTTTTCAGTGCCAGGGTTTTGTTATTGTTACTGCTCCCGATATTGTTTCCATTTTTCTTTGGTTTATATAAAGCCTTTTGATACTTTTCATCTTCGGTTACACAGCTAGTGTGTTTTCTGTAATCGTTTCCTTCAAACGTCTTTGAACAATCAATACAAGTGAAATATGCGCCATAACACATTCTCTTGTGATTATCTAATTTTTTCTTGATAATAGTATCATTGCAGACCTTGAAAGAAAAGCACTGTTAGTAAAATTGATAAATCGAGAAAAAAAACAAATATACAATAGAAAAAACCATACCTCGCATGAAAAACTAACCATCCTAACAAAGTTCCTATTGAATCTATCTTTTGATGAATATTTGAAGAATAAATCAAACCAATAATGAAAAATTTGTCAAATAAAATTTCCACCAGTCTAGGCCAATCTCTTTCAAGCAGGTTTTTCAGGACTACTCTTGCTGAAAATCTCAAAATGTCTCTTTTTTGAAGGTGTTATTTGCCAGTGATTAAGGTTTATTGTTTTGCACTACAATGCATAATAATACAGTAGCACATCAAACCGCATTCAAACCATATAGCTGGTTCTGATTTAATTGTCCACTTTTATCTGCTGATCAGGGCTCTACAATAGGGCTCTAGTACATAAAAAGCGGTAACTCCGTCACACAGTTGATGACTGAGGTATAATATAAAATAAGAGTTATGGTGCTTAGGAGAAGCTCAGATAATGATGGACTGGCTTCTAATCAGGTTGATAGCAACTGCAAGCACAATAATATTGTTTTAAATGAAACATATAACATTAAAAAATAGCCCACAGACTATCTTGGATCATTTGCCTTCTACTATTATTCGCAATATTCTATCTCTTTTGCCCTTTGATAAATTATGGTTGTTTGCATTACATGATAATGAATGGTTCCAATCTATCTCGTTGTCGCTCTTGTTTTCTTCAATTAGTTTGAATCATCATAAATCATGTCAACTAAATGAGTTACGGATAAAGCTTGATGATGTTAGTTTATTTACTTGCCAATTTGTTAAGTATTCTAAACATTTCTTCATAAACTTGAAATCAGAACATATCTCATCTAATTACAAATCTTTGAAGATGCTCTTTTCATTGAAAAATGGTTTGCAATCTATTTCTCTAAATTTATTATCCAAATTTGATGATATTTGCATTTTTAAAATTCAAAATTTGTTCAAATTGTTAATATTGAATAATTCAAAAACTTTGATCTGTTTTGATCTTTCCTTACATTTTAACATGATAAAAAAAATTAACCCATATTCAAATTTATTCAAATTTTGCTCAAAATTAAAAAAATTGCATATAAGATTTTATCCGAATCCTCAATTTATGATAGATTATTCTCTATTAAATAAATTAAATAATTTAAATAATCCAAATAATTTAACTCATTCTACTTTAAATAATTTAAAAATTTCTGGAAATAAAATAATTCAAATCCAAAATCTATCGAATTACATAAATTTAATAACTTTTAGTCTATCTGCAAATCAAATTATTAAAATTAAAAATTTATCAAAATTATTCAAATTAAAAACTCTAGATTTATCATACAATAAAATAAACAAGATTGAAAATTTATCAAATTTAATCTACTTATCAACTTTAAACTTGGCTAGAAATCAAATTAACAAAATTGAGAATTTGTCAAATTTAACAACTTTAAAAAGCCTAAATTTATCTGGAAATAAGATTTGTAAAATTGAAAATTTATCGACTTTAATTAGTTTAAAATATCTAAATTTAACAGGAAATAATATCTATAAAATTGAAAATCTATCAACTTTAATTAACTTGAGAGTATTTATCAACAAATAAAATTAGAATAATTGAAAATTTATCAAGTTTAATAAATCTTGAATATTTAGATCTATCAGGAAATAACATTGACACAATCAACAATTTATCCAATTTTTTAAACTTGGTAAATTTAGGCTTGTCTCGAAATTCTATTCTGATAATTGAGAATTTATCAAATTTAATTAATTTAACATAACCGAATTGAATTTATCAAAAAATAAAATTAGAAAATTTAAAGTGTTTTCTGAATCAAAGAAATTAACTAAATTAAATCTATCTGATAATTTATTTGAAACTTTTGCATTATCTCCAAAATCTCCCAATATTGAATATTTAAATTTGGAAAATAATAATATTGTTCAGTTTAACATTGATGATAGGTGTGGTTCTTCATTAAAAGAGCTAAATTTAGAAAGAAACAAAATTAATAATTTAAATCATTTTGAAAAATTAATTAATTTAAACAAATTAAATTTATCAGCAAATGCTCTAACCGAGTTTAGTAATGAATTGGTTTTATTACACAAATTGAAAGAATCGAATTTATCAAAAAATAAAATTAAATCATTTAATAGACATCACCTAGGTCAATTGGTAAATTTAAAATTAATTATAATCGACAAACTAAATTTTCAATTGATGAAAATTCATTAAAAAATTTGATATGTTTATCATTAAGGGGAAACAGAATTGAAGAAATTGATTGTTTTTTCGAATCTAGCAACCAATATTTAATTCCCAAGCTTGAAGAATTACATATGGAATATAATAGCATAAAGAATTTTGCATGGTTAAAATATACATCTCCTAATATAAAACGTGTATATCTATCTAATAATTTAATTAATTCTGTGGAAAAATTAGATAATTTGAAACAGTTAGAAATATTGGATTCATCGCATAATCGCCTTGGAGCACAGTAATATTTAGAATCACACTTATATGTTTGAGATTTCACGCATAAAAATCTGCATTTGAATTTGAATAATAAAGAGGGAAAACGTTTTGTTAACACAAAAAACAGTTACTTGCAGCTTAATGCAGGAACAATACTTTATTTTTATTTTTATTTTTCCGATGCGCAAAATTTTCCGAAGAATTTTCTTTGTTTTTTGCCTATTTAAAAAAAGTTAATTTATTAGAAATTTTATTTTTCAAATAGAAAAAAGAGTTGGTTTGCCAATATTGGTTTTTCAAGTTTATTTATTTTTGGTGATTTCTTTTAATAAAAAGCAAAAGTAACCATGTTAAAAGATTATTTTGCTTTTGTTTTTAATTTATGTCTAAAAAAGAATAATCAACTATTTTGTATTTTTTATTGTCAAAAGTAATCAGTATTTGTTTGAATAGTATACAAATTAATTAAGAATGCTTTTTTTTTGAACAATATTGATATTTTAAGGTCCAAAAAAGCGAACCAAATGTTACATATTTATTGGATAACTCCTAAATAATGTAAAGCAATTTAAGTTTTTTTCTTTACTGAAATTAATATAAATTTTATAGTCTAAATTCTAGAAACTCCCAAACCTAATTCTTTGTTCTGATATTTTTTGCTATTCCATTCATAGAAAATGAATCTTTTTAAAATTTGTGTAAATTATGATTTCACTTCATGATAGTTGTGCTTTGGATTGGTTGTATTTGATATTTGTTTTTCTTAGAGAGTTTTTAGTGTATCTTCCCATCACTTTATTAGTTTCTGGTTCTTGCTCTGAAATAAATATTGTTTTATTATATCGTCTTCTCTTGTTTAGGCAATTTTGCGTATCGATTGGAATTCAAATAAAGTTTGCTCCATTCACCGTTTTTCATGGGGTGTTTTCATTAATTTTTATGTCTGAGACTTTCTATCAAAAGAAGCAATAAAAAGATTTCGAAATCTTATTGTTTGTATTTTTAGATGTGAAATTCACTAGCAGAGCATAATTCTATACTTATTTAAGCTAAAATTCAGATAGAGATAAGGGCTAGTATATATTTGCTTACATCATCACTAACAAAGAATAGCATGAATTCTGAGTATAGGTTGTTTCCACCAGACAATACCTCAACCTCAAAATCTCTGTTGTCAAAACCCGAATATCAAGCCCATGATTTCAATCTTCTAGAAAATGGAAATAATAATTTAGAAAGCAATAAAAACTCCATTAATTTGCTTCAAGAAACTCTGAACTCAGCAACAATAATAGAGACGCTATCCGGCTTTTCCAGAAATACTAATGTGCATCATAACCAAACTATCTCAAATGTTTCAAGCAGGACCAGAGCTTGTGATATATGTCGCAAAAGAAAGACAAAATGTTTTGGCGGTGTTCCTTGCAATTACTGCTTGAACTCCAAGCTTGAATGTACGTTTCATGCTCATCAAAATAAGAGAAAGAGAAAAAGAAGAACTGTCATAAAGCATGGGGCAAATCCAAATATTAGCATCCTTGAGAAAAGATTAACAAGTATGGAACTGTTAATTGAAAAACTTGTTAAACAAAAATCAAACAATGAAAATATTTCTGTTACTCCAAATAATGAGAACCAAAACCAAAGTAATAATAATAATAATAATAATAATAATAATAATAATAATAATAATAATAATAATAATAATAATAATAATAATAATAATAATGAGCTTGCTATTGCACTAAATTATGATTCCATAAATAATGAAAAAAACGACAAGATATTAATGGAAAAAAATAACATTCTGAAGAGCAGCTATTACTCAGAAGATGATGTTGGTCCAAAATCATATTTTTCAATTTTCAGTCCAAGGAGCATTCAATGGATAAAAGAAAAGTTATCTTTAGAAAATTCTAATTTAGTTTATCCACTTGAAAATTTGCATGATTCTTATCACGAATTGATTAAATCTCAATATAAGATTTGGATAGAGCCTATAGAAAAAAGTCGTTTAACACTATTGCCAAAAAAGTCTATAATGAATACTCTTTACACATTTCTTTTAAAAATTGAAACAAAATTACACATTTTAAGTCTTGATGATATAAAAGCTTTGATAGAGCTTTGTTATTCAGATGATGAAAATCAAACGAAAAATATAACATATTCTGATTTATTATTGTTGAATATTATTATCACGTTAACTTGTTCATTACTTGTTGATGAAAAATCGAGCATTTGCTTTGAATCAACTTTGAATCCCAGGCCCACCGAATATTTGCCAACTTCATTAACAATAAATGAATTGCAAAAAATGGAAGAAAATTATCTACTAAATTCTATATATTATTTTCATAGGGTCTCTATAATTGGTGATGGATTGGAATCTATACAAGGTATCTTATTATTGACGGTTTATAATTTTTCTTCTTTCTTAACTAAAGTTAGCTATATGCTTGTTTCAAATGCTGTAAGGCTAGCACAAGATATGGGATTACATAAAAAGGAATCTTACTATGGTCTTTCAGAACTGGAAAAAGAGAAAAAAAGATTGGTGTGGTATAGTTGCTATAACTTTGATAAGATTTTGTGTTTCAGATCAGGAAAGCCTCCAATTATCAATGAAATAGATGTTACAGTTGACGATGAGCAATTTTTTGAATCCAAATTATCTAATATCTTTTGTAAACCTATTGCTGACATAAAAACTAATATGCCGTATTATTTGAATAGTTTATGTGATGGAAAAATGGAAAGTTTTGCAATTTGTTATGGATACTGTATGGCAGGTTTAACTCAGATAGAAACAAAAGCTTATACGCAACTCTTTTCTATTACTTCATTAACTGGGAAATCATTGCATTCTATTATGATAATTATTAAAAATTTGACGAAAAAATTAGATGATTGGCGAGATTCAGTGCCTTTAGCGATTCGACCAGGCTATAATGAATATTCTTGGTGTTTGAACGAAAAACAATATAGTTCTACACAGATTTTTTTTGCTAGAAGAGAGTCTGAGTCTCATATTATATTGTTGCACTTAACATATTTTTTTCAGATTATGATAATTAATAGAATGACAATCGTGGCACAATGGTCAAATGGCATTTGTCCAGATGGAAACGAGAATAAAATTTGGAATACTCACAGAACCGATTCTTATTTCAGATGTTTAGATGCTGCAAGACAAATATTAAGACAATCGCAGAAATTTCATTTGATATCAACAACAAACAACATGTTGATGTTTTGTTTATTTTTTCCAATTGGAGCAATTGTGACATTATTTAGTTTAATTATTGAATTGCCACACTCTGATAAGGCTAAGGAAGACATTCAGTTAATGATTGACTCTTATAACAACTTCTTTTTCCACTATGCCAAAACCCCTAAAAGTCCTGTTTCAGAAGTAGTAATACGTCAATTAATTTTAATTGCAACAACTATATATAATAACAAAAATCAAGGAGAAAAGATTGTTCTTAATAAACAAATACTTGGGGGAGATACAAGTGATGAATTGACTCAAGAAAACACCAAAAATGTGAGTAATTTGGCTGGTATGGTAGGTCATGATGACTTTACACAAATTAGAACCTTTGATAACAATAAAAAAAGTGCACTGGTTTCAAATGAAAGGCAGTGTAGAAATAACAGCTCAATTGAGTTCAAGGATCTTGATTTTTTACTATCAGCATATTATTTCAACAATTCAGCTTCAAACATTCATCCACCGACTCCATTGGAAATATCACGAACAAGCAGCAATAACTCAAATGTGAGAGCTGCTACAAATTTAACTGGGTGTCCAGAAATCAATTCAATTACAACAGACGAGGTGTATTCGATTTTCAATCCAAATAGCAATCTTATAGGCAGTTCGTTAATGGCTGCACAAAATTTCAACCAAACCGAACTAAATAATGCTGACTTTAACATGAATAAAAATGGCTTTGATGATTTCGGCATTTCTGATGAAAGACCAAACAACCAAGGTGCTTTGAATGATAGCTGGGTTCATTCTCTCAATTCGATGAATGCTGCCGAAAATGCAAGCACAAACTACGTCGAGCCCAACGACCCTTCATATTTCATGAACAATCTTGAGTATCAAAACGGGTCAATATTGTTTGACTCCACATTCACACTTCCCACCTTTTTCTCAAACAGCTGGACCAACCAGGACTTTCCAGACACCGGTGGAAATGAAAGCAACAGCAGCAGCAACTACCCAAACAACTCCTAGCCCTCTCTGGTCCTCAGAGCTCTCTCTGCAGCTGAGGCCTCTTGAACTTGTGCTGGTGCTCCTAAGGCTGGTGCTGTTAAGGCTGGAGCGTGCAGCAGCCAATCAGCGGCCAGCATTTCGCGTTTACTCAGCGAGTCACAGCCTCAGCATTGATGGCGCCACCTTTGCCACAGGTTTAGCCAACAGCACGTGAAATCCCCATTTCCATTTCTTGTTTTTGCTTGATTTTGGCTGGTTTTTGTATATAATTAAAACTAAATCTTCGATTTTTTTTTCCAATTGGCCTAAATTATACAAGAACATTTCCATTGAGATTTCCACCAAGATTGCTTTGCAACATACCTAAAAAAACTGGCAACAAAAGCAAAAATGAGCTCCTCTATTTCTCAGACCGAAACAAGTAAGTTTTGAATCCAGTTCTCGACTTTGGGCGAGTGGCGAAGGTGGCTAGATTATTTTTCAGCTCGAGCCACTTTTCCCCATCCCTCTCTGGAAGCACAACCACTAACTAAATTGTTTCCAGTTTCCCATGTTGTTTCTTCTCTCCCAGGAACCATTTTCACAACAAACCCTTCGAAGACTGTAAGTCCAGACTCCTTTACTTCATACATATCAAGCTCGATTCCAAACAATGTCAAGCTTTTTAAATTGATCGAGTCAAACGATCCTTTGGATTTGATCTATGATTACATCTCCTCTGAGAGAGACGAATCCTTTTCATTGACTGTCACAACAAACTCGAATATTGTATTGTCTTCGTTGCCTGTTTTGAAAAAGTTCAGCAACTTTCCAATTGTTTTTCATGTCGAGTTAATTGACTCGAATTACCAAGTTTTAACTAGTTTAAAAGATTTGAATAACTTTATTATACTAAACACTTTGAATTCCATAGACTCTCACGATATATCCATAGCATCCTATGCAATTGCTAAAGTCTTGAACAAACCGGTTATACATTTTTTTAATCCCAATTCTGATACTAGTTCGAATAACAAATTCGACTTATCTCCCAAACCAAGTGTTTTAAACATTACTCATCAGATCATCGATTCTTTTTCCTCCAGTGGAAAAGAAAATGAACAACAAGAGACCTCAGAAAACAAAGATCTTGAAAACCCAGCTTTGAAGAAGAACGATTCAATTGTCATTTATACTGCATTTCAAATTCTCAAAAAGAAATTTAACAGATCTTATTCATTTTTCGAATCATCTGCTTCAATAAATTCAGCTACAACTGATATATTTCTAATTTTAGGCAGCTTATATTCAGCCTTGTCAAATAATTTCAACAAACTTATTGTTCCAGTGTTTATCAGAGTTTATAGACCATGGTCCGTTGATGATCTCAAAAAGATATTGTCTTCCTCCTTTAACAACTCCTTAAATTTGTCTTTAATTACACAATCGCAATGGCAAGCCTTTTCAAATTATTCTCCTCTACTATTAGATCTTTTTTCAAATATCGAATCTTTTAACCCAACTGATTTTTTTAAAAAAATTGTTTCTTACAATCTCAAATCAATAAAAAATGACAAAAATTCAACTAATGAATTCGTTTCCCAGGTTATTTCTAATAACAATCTTCCCAAGCCTGTTCAAAACTTATCCTTAGGCTCTTCATCTTCCACTGCTTCTAACAAAAATCAATTGTCTAATTTAGCTGTTGCTGAAAAAGTCACTTCTTTAGAAAACTTAACCTATGTTAAATTACTAAAGCAAGTATTTTCAGATTCTTTGGAAGTCATTAATTCCTTCAATTTAGCCGAAGTGGGTTCAATTTCTACTCCTGAATTTGGTTATGGTAAATTTTTAAGGAACGAAGAAAATCGAAAAGTTCTAATAAATTTGATTCAGTCCATAGTCCATAGTGACTCATCGGCCAATAATTCCATCAAAGTTGATTTTGATAGTTCCACTAAACAAGAACTAATTCAATTATTAACAAGATGGTTAATTTTAAGTATAACCAAAGTCAGAAAATTCGATTTTTGGAGTGAAATTAATGATATTTCTAGAAAAGTCATTGCTTTATTAAATAAAGACATATTTTCAAGTACTGCAACTAAAATCCTTGAATATAAACACTATTTCTTCTTTAATTATCAGTGGATTATTGGTTCGGATTTATGGGCGTATGATATTGGTTCTTCTGGTTTACACAATGTTTTAAAATCAGATAAAAATATCAATTTAATGATTATCGACAACACTCCTTTCAGTTCAAAAAAAGAACAGGTGGAATGTTTAACTCAAAAAAAGAAAGATATTGGTCTTTATGCTATGAATTACGGCGGTTGTTATGTTGCATCAATTGCTATTTATGCGTCATATACTCAATCTTTAGAATCTTTAATTGAAGCTGCTAATTTTCAAGGACCCTCCATTGTTTTGGCTTATTTACCCTTTGAAAATGAGAATGTTAATACTTTAGATATTCTCAAAGAAACTAAAAGAGCTGTTGATGCTGGCTATTGGCCTCTTTATCATTTTGATTCTTCAGCAATTGACGACGATCAGCAATTTCAACTAGATTCACCTAAAATTAAAAAAGATTTGGAAGATTTTCTTGATAGAAATAACAAACTTACTCTATTAGCAAAAAGAAATCCTGTTTTTAAACGTTCAATAGCTCAAAATTCATTAGGTGAAAATGTTGGCTATGCTTTGAAAGATTCAACAAAAAATGCATTTGGTGATTTGTTGAAAGGGCTATCTGGTCCAAATTTAACCATTGCTTTTGCTTCTGATGGAGGAAATGCTGAATCATTGGCTAGGAGACTTAATAACCGGGCAACTGGAAGAAATTTCGGCAGTAAAGTTATATCAATGGATGAAATATCAGTTGATGAATTAATATCTTATGAAAATTTAATTTTAATATCTTCAACATCTGGTCAAGGTGAATTCCCACAAAACGGTAAAGCATTTTGGGATCAATTAAAGGGATCGAGTAATTTAGATTTGAATGGGCTTAATTTTTCTGTTTTTGGTTTGGGTGATTCTGAATATTGGCCCAGAAAGGAAGATAAAAAATACTATAACAAACCAGCAAAGGATATGTATGGAAAACTTAAATTATTCGGTGCCAATGAAATTGCTCCATTAGGTCTTGGTGATGATCAAGATGCAGATGGCTATCAAACTGGATATAATTTGTGGGAGCCAATAATTTGGGAATTTTTTGGTGTTACAAATGCAGGTAATTATCAAGAAGCTGCACCAATCACTAATGAAGATATGAAGCTTGCTTCGGATTTTCTTAGGGGTACAATTGTTGAGGGTCTTAATGATGAAAGTACTGGTGCAATTTCAGCCACGGATCAACAATTGACCAAATTTCATGGAATTTATATGCAAGATGATAGAGATATTCGAGAACAACGTAAAGCTGAGGGGTTGGAACCAGCTTATGCTTTTATGATCAGAGCTCGTCTTCCAGGTGGTACATCAACTCCAGAACAATGGTTAAAAATTGATGAGTTAAGTGATAGTAGAGGTAATGGCACATTTAAAATCACTACTAGAGCTACATTTCAATTACATGGAGTTGTTAAACATGATTTGAAACCAGCCATTAGAGGTATCAATTCAACATTGATGGATACATTAGGAGCATGTGGTGATGTGAATAGAAATGTGATGGTTAGCGCATTGCCAGAGAATCAAAAAGTGCATAAACAAATTGCTGAAACAGGTACCATAATCTCTGAGCATTTGCTACCACAAACAACTGCATACCATGAAATTTGGCTTGAAGGTGCCGATGAATCAGATAAAGTGAATAAACCTGAGGTGTGGCAAAATAGAAAAGATGGACCAAAAAAGAAAAAAGTGATGGTTGCAGGAAACGCACTAGTTGATCAAGAACCATTTTATGGCAATAATTCGTTATATTTACCAAGAAAGTTTAAAGTTAGTATTTGTGTTCCACCTTATAATGATGTTGATGTTTACTCAAACGATGTTGGATTGATTGCAATTGTTGATTCCAAGAGCAATGTGTTGGGTTATAATGTTTTAGTTGGTGGTGGTATGGGTACTACACATAATAATAAAAAGACATATCCAAGAACTGGATCATCATTTGGATTTGTTGATTATGACGATATTAAAGTTGTTGTTGAAAAAATTATGTTGATTCAAAGAGATTTTGGGGACCGTAAGAACCGTAAACATGCCAGATTAAAATACACCATTGATGATATGGGAGTTGATGTATATAAATCCAAGGTGGAAGAATTATGGGGTAAAAAGTTCCAGAAAGAAAGAGAGTTCAAAATTGAGTCTAATATCGATCATTTTGGATGGACCAAAGATGAAACTGGATTAAACCATTATACATGTTTCATTGAAAATGGTAGAGTGGAAGACACAGTGGAGTTGCCACAGAAAACCGGATTGAAAAAAATTGCTAAATATTTGTTGACAGCCAGCTCAGGTAGTTTCAGATTGACAGGAAACCAACACATTATAATTTCCAACATCCTTGATAGAGATGTGAGTAGGGTTGAAAAATTGATGAAGAAATATAAATTGGACAATTCTAATTTTTCGGGGTTAAGAATTTCGTCAGCAGCTTGTGTCGCATTTCCCACTTGTGGGTTGGCAATGGCAGAGAGTGAGAGATACTTACCAGTGATAATAACAAAGCTAGAGGAGGCATTGGAGGAATATGGATTGAGACATGATTCTATAGTGATGAGAATGACCGGATGTCCAAATGGATGTTCCAGGCCTTGGTTGGCAGAAATTGCATTGGTTGGTAAGGCGTATGATACGTATAATTTGTTGTTGGGTGGTGGCTACCATGGACAGAGATTGAACAAGTTGTATCGATCCAATGTGAAAGAAAAGGAGATTCTCAAGATATTGAAGCCATTGTTCAAGCGTTGGTCTTTGGAGAGACACCAGGGGGAGCATTTTGGGGACTTTTTGATTCGAGCCAAGGTGATCATGCCCACCACCGAAGGAAAGTATTTCCACGACGACGTCCCAGCAGAACCGTAGGTTCTCTATCTACCATCTTAAAGTATATCCAGTTTCTGTATCGCTTTCCAACACACGAACCACTTAATACACAAACCATTCAATACACAAACGATCCAACGCCAAATGGTGTAAAATCAATTCGACCGAAAAGAAACTTCGATCTTTGGGCCAAAAAGCCTCGAACAGCACTCGTAGCGTCGTTCAGGACACGAGCCATGCGTCGTACGCGTCGTACCTCTTTTTGCAGCAAGATTTTCGAAGCAGTATAAAATCAATAGCTGGGGTATTTTTGATCTTGAACACCTTTATTCTTTATTCTTTTTTCTTTATTCCTCATTTCTGCATCTCTTGTTTTCGTTTGGTCCTGCTGTTTGAACATATTCCTCTAGATCTGCATACCTTGCCCATATTCCATATTCCCTCTGCTCTATCTCACTATGTCCGAAATTAAACCTGTGATCACTGAAGAAACCAAGAAGCAAGACAAAGAGTTCTCTGATGCTTATCATAAGGACTCGGTTGCCAGCACTGGTTTGACTGCATTGTTTCGTAAGAATAAGACTGCTCAGGAGGCTGCTCTTGAGGGTTACTTCAGACACTGGGATGGTAAGACCGATGCTGAAGCCGAGGAAAGAAGATTGAAAGATTACAAAGATGGTACAAACAACTACTATAACTTGGTCACCGACTTTTACGAGTACGGCTGGGGCTCTTCTTTTCATTTTTGCAGATTCTTTCCAGGCGATTCTTTCCAACATGCTGTTCTTCGTCACGAAGACTACTTGGCTCTGAAAATGGGCATCACTGAGGATATGACTGTCTTGGATGTTGGTTGTGGTGTTGGTGGTCCATCAAGAGAAATTCAAAAATTTACCGGTTGCAGAATTATTGGTTTGAATAATAATGACTACCAAATTCAAAGAGCTAATAATTACGCCGCAAAGAATAATTTGACCGATAAATTGACATATGTCAAAGGTGACTTTATGAAAATGGATTTCCCTGAAAATTCTTTTGATGCTGTCTATGCCATTGAAGCTACTGTTCACGCCCCAGTGCTAAATGGTGTTTACAGTGAAATTTATAAAGTTCTAAAACCGGGTGGTGTCTTTGGTGTATATGAGTGGGTGATGACAGATAAATATGACTCAGAAAATGAGCACCATAGACAAATTGCTTATGGTATTGAAATTGGCGACGGTATTCCCAAAATGTACAAGAGAGAAGTGGCTGAAAAAGCTCTTATTGATGTTGGTTTTAATATTTTATACCAAAAGGATTTAGCTGATAACGATGATGCTACACCATGGTATTATCCATTAGCTGGTGATTGGAAGTATATTCAGACCTTTGCAGATGTATTTTCTTGGTTCAGAACTTCAAATATTGGTAGAAAAATAACAACGAATTCCTTGGGTGTTTTGGAAAAACTTCGTCTAGTTCCAAAGGGTTCAGTGAAAGTTGCAGATGCTTTAGAAGAAGCTGCTGTTAATTTAGTCGCTGGCGGTAGAGAAAAATTATTTACTCCAATGATGTTGTACATTGTTAAAAAGCCAGAAAATGTTCCAGAGATTGTTCCAAAAAATTAATGTGTTATTCAATTGTATTAATTTATTGTTATTGAGGTTTTTTTATAAAAAGAAACGTTTCATTTTAAATTTTTTTTCTTTTACTTTCATTTCTTATTGGAGATTTATTTCATTTAAACACCTTTATTTACTTTTAGTTATTTTTCTTTTTTAAATAGTTTATTATTAGAAAATAATTGAATGATCAATATTAATTATATATTCAAAAACAAAAAAGACTCATTTGTAACGTTTGGGAGGAATTTAAATGTATTGAAGAAATGACGGGTGTCACTACGTGAAGAATGAGAATAAGAAATTGAAATAAAAAAAAAAAGGAACATTATAAGATAGAACATTATAAAACAGAATAAATAAAAATAAATAAATACAATCGTAGTTATTAAATAAGAGGATAAGAGAATGAGAGAATGAGAGAATGAAAGAATGAGAGAATGAGATAAACTTGAAACAATTTAGTAATTAAGAGATGATATTAAAACTCTTTTCGAGTTTTTTATTAGCCCTTTCTCGTAAATTCTCACCATTTTTATATACATAAAATGGAAAGGGAGTACCAAGCAAAAAAGCTATAATGGCAAAAATAGTATGAGACCAACCATAGCCAATTGAATCAAACATATCAGGAGCAAATAAGGGAACAAAGCAAGCAAGAACTGATCTAAAAACAGTTACAGCAGCGACAGAAGAAGCAGAGAATCTTGGGTTCATATCAATAAGATATACATAGGAAGTTTGAAACATACCCATAATGAAGAAAGCGAAAAGGCAAGCCATTATAGCAGGAACAATCCAGTGAGTTTTATATTCAGCAGTCCAGCCAAATATTAAGAAAGTGATTGGAGCACCAATTCCAGACCACCAAAGATACTGCAATCTGAATTCGGGTTTTGATACATTGTTATTATTTTTAACTAATTTTAGGTAGCCTTTTTGGGTTAGGATGCCCCAGATTGGTAGAGCTAGGAAATAACCAATACCCAAGGATAGATACATTAGGCCAGTTATACCAGTTGAAAAATTGTAGTCATATTGCCATAAAGTGGGAAAAGTACAAATCAAAACATAAATCAAGGCAAACATCAAGGCCATGTAGGCACCAAGACCATAAATCATTGGATGAAAGATTAGTAATTGTAGAGGTCTTGTAATGTTTGATTTGATTTTATCTAATTTTGATTCATTGTCATTGTAGTTGTAAATTGTTTTCAAGTTTGGGTTGTTGGTTAATTTCATTAATTTTTTAGCCTTTTTGAGTAGAATAGTTGGGGGATAGGTTTCTTCGATGATGATTAAGCCGAAAAAAGCTATTACACCATTGAGTATTAGTTGGATCCAAAAAACCCATCTCCAGCTGAGGTTTTCAACTACAAAACCAGCAATCACTGGACTTATGGTTGGGCCAGCGATTGGGCCAATTGAAACTAGAGCACTCCATAAAGTTCTATCATTTTCGTGAAATAAATCACCAATGATACTAGGGCCAACAGTAATTGGTGCCGAACTGCCGCAACCTGCTAAGAATCTGAAGATGATTAATTGAGCAGCATTTTGAGATAAGGCACAAGCCATGTTAAAGACAAACATAAAGACAATTGAGAAATTTATGATGTGTTTTTTACCATACATTTCAGCTAGGGGGGAGACAATTAATGGGATGATAGCCCAGGCTAAAACATAAACAGAGACAAAAAAGGAGATTAAAGAAGCACTTGATACGTTGAAATCTTTAGCGATTTGATGAACAGCAGGAGATAACATTGAAGAGCAAGCAGGAGATAGAAAGCCATAAAGAGAACCAATTATCAAGATTCTAACTTTTCTTTTTTTTTCCCAATTTATTGGTTTCATTGGGTCGTCATCGCCATCCCAGTCTACAATGTTATTTTCCGGGATTTTTATGTTATCGTCATTAGAAAACGATTTTATTGTGATTTTTTTACTATAAATGTCCATGTCAATATCAGCATCGTTATTATTATTGTTATTATAATCAGGATTAGGATTAGGATTAGGATCGGTTGAAAGACTGTGGATTTTAGCCTGTTCTTTATCAGAAAAAGAATTAACAGAATTTTTTTCTATATCATTCATGGTTCCATTGTGTTTATGAAGAAATGTTTAGTTACAAGCAAAGCATTTCTATTGATTTATATAGGGCAGCGTAAGTTGACAGAAGGCACAAGTCGTTGGATTTTTCTGTTATTGTTATTTTTATTTAGTCATTTTGAAAACAAGCTTTAAGGACAGGTAAAACAGACCCCATTGAAGGAGCTGTGAGAACACATACAAAAGAAAAAAGCAGAAAAAAGCAGATAGTGAAAGAGCAGAAAGTGGTTATATTCAAAAGGTAAGCTTTGGGATCTTAACCGGAATTTGAAGGAACTTCAGAAGAGGGTCCAGTGAGACGGAACGGAAGCGGATGCATGTGCAGTGTCCCACATGTACCGGTGTGGTGGTATTTTGGAATTTTTGCGATTTGGAATTTTTGGAAACCGTTTTTTGGTATTGCCCGAATTTGAGCAGGAAGTTATGTAATTGCAAAGAAAGAACCCTTTTCCGGAGTCAAGTTTGAATTAGATTGGAAAGTTAATGATTAGAGCAATTTAAACCATACACTCAAAACAAAATTAGCAGAATTGGTAGACGTAAGAGAGATAATTGAGGATATTTATAAGAATAGTTAATGAAAGAGAAGAGAAGAGAAGTAAAATAAAGTAAAAGTATGAATAAGAGAGTGACTAAAGTAGTGGCTACAGTAGTGAGCGAAGTAAAAGAGAAGATATCCAGGCACAAACAGCCAGTGACCCAAGTATTGAGTACGATGCGAAGCAGCCAGTTGGTGAAATGAATGAAGATTCTATTAATTTGAGTGGAGTTTGCTCAATAGGAGACAGAGTAAATTGTAGAGGGAGGAGGAGATGTTAATTTGTGGTTAGTCGTCTTTTATTGATTCATCACCAGTAGGTATGTCTTCAGTGAAGGCCACAATTATGTAGAAAATCAAGACGACGTTTGCCATTATAGCAGCAACACCACCAGATACTAAATCACTGTCGGTGTAAGCTTTCAACCAAAAGAAAGATAATATTGGAATGATTATCATAGCGGCAGTGAATAGTATTAGTTTAGTTAAAACATAACTGAACAAGAATACATTAGTTAGTAAATTGATTCTGCTAAATATAGAAAATAAAATGAAATAAAATAAGATTGAAGAACATACCCAGGAATATCAACAGAAGCCATTATTAAAACAGATGTAGATTATTACTATATTTAAATTGATGCAACAGGTAAAACTAGAAGAAAAGTTAAAGAAAAAACAAATATGAAATCAAAAAACAGCAAGAGTGAGAGTGAGAGTGAGAGTGAGAGTGAGAGTGGAAGTGAGATTGATTGTAAAAGTTAGAAGGAATTAAAAACAAATGTTAAATTGATTGGTTGGAATGAGCCAAATTTGATTGGGTTAAAGCTTTGAGGTGATAGAATGGTGAATTGAATTAGCAATCAATTCTTTGTTGTTGATGGATTTTTGTTATATTAATTATATTAATTATTAACTATTATGATAGACAGTATACTACAGAATGGAAATTATAAACAATAAAAAATAAGAAAATTTTATAAATTGACAGCAAGAATAGGTGTTTAAATATGAAATAATAAAGTTAGAACCAGGAAGGAGAGGCCCAGTCAAATTCATGAAAATGAAACAGACTCCCAGAAAGAGGGAAGTAAATCAGACTCAAATTAGACTCAAATCAGAGATAAATAGCAGTCTTCCACCAAACGTTAATGTCTTGGAGAGATCAAAGGAGGACTGCAACAGCATTGAGCTGTGCTAAAGCTGATCAAAACTGATAAAAGCTGGTGCAAGTGATAGATATTGGCTTCTTCTAACAGCATCTCTCCAACCTTCTTTTCTTTGACTGGCCCCCATCCGCCCCGGAGGCAGTCCCGACTTCTGTCCGCGGAGTCATCCGCACCATCCGCACAGCGGTTATGCATAAATGCAGTTCTGTGCTGCCACCCGCACCACTGGCGCTGTACCCCGTGGCTGGTCTGTCCTGCTGAAACGAGAAGAGTTGCTTCAGAGCCTTTCTGCTCTGTTTCTGTTGTGCTGAAGCTGCTGCCTGGTTCTGGCTCTGTTGCTGCTGTGTTGCCAACTCTCGAATTGCCAGTAGCTCTTTCTCTCTTTTTGCTGTCTCTGCTGCTTTTTTTACTGTTCTTTTTGCTGCTCTTTCCGCTGGACCCCACTCTGTTTGGCTATATTCTGCTAATCTGCCTGCTCGTTTCCCTCTTCCTCCATCTTCTGCTTTACACCAATAATGTCTCCCACAAGTCATGGGCTGCTCTTCCAACTGGCTTCAAACAACTTCCTTCACACCCAGGCTCTATCCAACAACATTCTCTTTGATAACACTGTCATCTCTCCTCACGAATTCCTCTTGAAATCAACAAACGTCTTTTTAGAATTGCAAAAGAGAAAAATTTCTCCCTTAAACAACTTCACTGACTCCCAGGCTACAACCCTAAGACATGTTGCTATCTCCTCATCAAGTGTATCAATTGTGTTTGGCATAATAGCCTTTTACCATTTATTCGCAATAGACCCCCGAAGAAGAGTCTTCCGCCACGAACTAATTCTCTTTCTAATCCTTTTTGACTTCATTAAAGCTGTAGCTCTACTATTTTATCCTGCAAGAGTCGTTATCGTTCATAAAGCTTACTACAATGATAACTTTTGCGACATTGTAGGCTTCTTTACTGCGATGGCAATCGAAGGTGCTGACATCGCCATCCTATCCTTTGCAGTCCACACTGCCCTACTAATCTTCAAACCAAACAGAACCTTTAAAGACACTTCAAACAACAGATACGAAGGTGGTCTATTTCCCTACAGATACTACGTCTATCTATTCTCAATCCTAACTCCCATCACCCTAGCTTCTCTAGCCTTTGTTAATGGCACAGGCTATGAAGCTCTAACTGTATGGTGCTACCTCCCTGCAAGACCAAAATGGTATCGCCTAGTGCTAAGCTGGGTCCCCAGATACTGCATCGTTGTTACCATCTTGTTAATATACATCTCCATCTACATTTATGTCATGAAAGAATTCAAAGCCATTTCAAACTTGCACAATGAAATTAACAACGTTCAAAGTAATAAACTCAAATTCAATAAACGTTTTTTTCACAATTTAAAATACTATTTCAACACTTATTTTCTAGATTGTTTTTTCCCAAAAAACAATTCCAATAACAATAATAATCCTACTGCTACCACCACCACTACTACTACCACTACTACTACTACTACTAATAATAACAATAATAATAACAATAATAACAATAATAACAATAATAACAGCAATAACAATAACAATAACAATGATGACATCGAAATAGATGAATTTAATGACTACAACCGCAATATAAGCAAATCATTCGAAGGCTCTTCATCTTCCACAAACATAAACAACCCAAACACCTCAAAAACTCTTACTGCTCAAACTCTTAAAATCCAGGAAAATATGCACGAAGCCTCGCTCTCTTCCTTTCAAAAGAAGAAATACCAAATCAAAAAACAAATGCGAACTATCTTCATTTACCCAATCTCCTACATCATTCTCTGGCTAGGTCCTTTTGCCTCTCAATGCATCCAATATGAATGGGAACTAGAAAATGGCCCTGTTTACTGGCTAACCATCATCTCAGCTTTTATGCAGGCCTTCAACTGCACCGTCGACACCTCTGTTTTCCTCTACAAAGAAAGACCTTGGAATTGCTCAGTAATGAAAGTCGAAGAAAAAATTCGTAAAAAGGGTGGAATCCCCATCAATAACTGGAAATCTAATGGCTATAATGGTAAAGAAAAATGGAGAATCTATCTAAACTGGTTACCGCTATACCATTTGCCTAATGAAAACACCGTATTTCAAAATCAAAATGATAATTACCACACAAATACCGATTTTAATCTAAACTTGAACTCAACTTTAAACACAAATAAAATCACAAATGCTAATAATTTCACCTTTAACCTGTCAAATTTCAACTCAAATATATTGTTTGATATTAACCATAATACTAATAATAACGAATTCCCAGTTAATAAATCAAGCAAGTTTTCTCCACAATATAGAGAAAAGGACTGCTATATTAAGAATGATAACGATAACGATAACGGCTATGATAATGATAATGATAATGATAGCGATGTTAATTTTAATATTAATCCAAATACTAACGTCAATATTAACAATGATATTGAAAATATTAACTTGGATAACACTAATAATGACGTTGATAATAAAATAGAATCCATCCATGATTTTAGTAACTTATTAAGTGGAGGGTTAAAAGAATTCGATTTCATTAAACCAATACCCGGAAATGATTATTCAAAAGCGAAAACAAATCAAACTAAAGAGGTTCCTTTAATTAATAGTATCCAAGATAGTAGCAGACAAAACACAAAAACTTCCATCTCTACTAAAAATGAAAATATTAAAAACCCTCAACCCAAAATCAACGAAAATCATAAGGATAAGAATAATGAATTTGTAAATCTGCCTGATAACACAAATAACAGAAGAAATTCGGTTTTTGAATCATCATTTGAAGAAAAGGATCACACAGACAGCCATATAAGCAAAAAGAAACGAAAAAACAGTTTATTAAGGTGGGTTTCAGCAACTAAAAATTCGGATATTGAAAGTCAAACATATAAGTTTAAAAACAATAAAAACAAAAATAACAAACAAAAAGAAAAGGAAAAGGAAATTGAGAACGACAATAATGGTGCTTTAGTTGGGAGATCATCCACGCTGGGATCAATAATAAATGGAGTAATAAATCCACTATTAAAAAGAAAAAAATCAGTAGCTGAAGCATCATTGGCTAGCCACTTGGGAAATAGCAGTTTAAATAATAATACCTCGATTCGACTGACATTTGAAGAAGAAGTTGAAATGGATTTATTAGATTTTTTAAAGAAAGGTCCACCAATATAATTTGTTTTTTTTGAAGTCTCAGACTTGTTGATAATTTTTTATGATATTTTTATGACTTATGTGTTTTGTTTGGTAATTTTTACAGCTCATTATTTACTAATTGTGTCACAGAATAACTATGTTTTGACATATTTCTCTCATTCTCCATCTGTCTCATTCTACTCTCCATTTTGCTGTTGGCTAATTTTTTTTTGTTTTAGTTTCTTCACTCAGCATCATTTAATAACTTTTTTTTACTTTCTAGATACCCTCTGTATTATTTAGCTATATATAGTATAATCAGCATCACCAAAATCACCAAAATCACGACGGCCACCAAAAAAAGCAGATCCACTTCTCTGGTTCTAAGAAGTGTGCATCCACTTGCATGTTATGCATTCATCAGCGTAAAAACACATGTGCTTATAGCACGTGACATGGTGTTTCAATGTGTCGGAACTGCTCACTTCCAACTGATTCAGCGCGTCTAGGAGACTGTGTGCACGTGCTTATCATTACTTTTGCTGTTCCGGCCGACTCCTTTTTCTCTCGCCTTTTTGCCAGCAGAAGTAACTCAATCACTTCAGAAGCTGTTTCTACTCTTCGAACTATTACAAAGTTACATTGACCGTATTGTCATCTTTCATTATTATCCAGTCCAGAGCAAACTATTGTCAGATTTAAATACAGATCAAACATAGTCTTTTGCTTTTAATTCCTGTCTGTCAGATCTTCACTTTTATCCCTCTATCAAACCTAATTGTTGTATCAGTATCGTTTACGATCTCTGTATTTATCCTGATATATTACTATTTTATCTTTTTAATTAACTTCAGATTCCTCTTATTTTTTCAAAATGTCTACCGGTGTGAAAAAATCTTATGATATGATCATGAAACTACTATTAGTTGGTGATTCAGGTGTTGGTAAATCATGTCTTTTACTAAGATTTGTTGAAGATAAATTTAATACCTCTTTCATTACAACTATTGGAATTGATTTCAAAATTCGTACTATTGAGATAAACGGCAAAAGAATTAAATTGCAAGTTTGGGACACTGCAGGTCAAGAAAGATTCAGAACAATCACAACTGCTTATTACAGAGGTGCCATGGGTATTATTTTAGTATACGACGTTACCGACGAAAGAACTTTTCAAAATATTAAAAACTGGTTTGCGACTGTTAATCAACATGCTAACGATGATTCGCAATTAATGTTGGTTGCTAATAAATGCGACGAAACAGAGACTAGAGTAGTTACAAGAGAACAAGGTGAAAGCTTAGCTGCTGAATTAGGTATACCTTTCATAGAAGCCTCTGCTAAGAGCAATGAAAACGTTGACGAAATCTTCTTCCAATTAGCAGGTTTAATTCAAGAAAAGATCTCTAGCGATTTAGCAAACGATCCTTCAAAAAGTGGTATTTCAATTGATAGCTCAAATTCTAAAAATACATCTTGTTGTTAAATTATTTGTCTCATATAATCTAATTCAATATTAATTTATTTTTAATACCTTTCTTTTATTATCCGTCTACTGTTTGATTCTTTCATTCTATTTTACTTTTACTTTTACTTTTCTTTCTCTTCCTGATTTTTTTTTCTTTTTTTTTTGTTTGTGTTTGTTTTATATACTTATTTTATTATATTTCTTTTTATAGGTTAGTTTTTTTTATTTATTTTATTTTTCTTACTTTTTTTATTAACATAAATATACTAATAAACCATTTTAATTATAATAATTGCGTTCTAATTTAGTTTTAACTGTTGTTTATTGATCTTCTAAATAAAGAATTGAATAGTTAATAAAAAAAATGATAAATAATAAAAAATGAATAATAAAAAATTAAAAATAAAATTTTTTAATGCAAATCTAGATAATTAAAAATAGAATCAATCAATAAACAAGAAAAAAAATAATAAAATAGCACAGAAAAAATAAAAAAACAAAAAGAATAATAAAAAAAAAAAGTTGATTTATTTTTATTATTCTCTTTTGTTTTCTGTTTCTATTATATTTTTCTATTTTTCTATTCCTTTATAATTGAATTTGTTTTTAATTTCAATTTTTTAATATGATTTAATTGATTTTTTTTATTAGAATAATCCAACTTGATGACTTAATTTTGATCAATTTTGATTAATTTTAATTTATACTAAAATACATCCCACTTGAAAATTGCCATTTATACAAATTAAAATAGTAAGAAATTATAACTTAAAGCCACTTAAAGTGGCTTCAGGTGACTTAAAAATGAAGAAAAAAAAAGAAAAAAAGAAAAAAAGAAAATTAAAAGTAAAAAAAAAAATAAAGTAAAAGAAAATAAAGTAAAAGAAAATAAAAAATCAAATCTGTGATTGAAATTGAAATCGAAAGCTGAAAATTGAAGTTGAAAATTGAAAGCCGAAGAATAGATCAAGCTAAAGCTTTAATTGTAGTTGTGGTTGAAGTTGAAAAAGTATTATAACAAACCGTAGGTTGTAAGTAGTGAGCAAATATAACAAAAAATGGGGGAGGGGGGAAATAAGACTAACAAAAATAGTTCATGAGTTGTAAAATAAAATTGTTTTGAAAAAAAAAACCAATAAGATATGAAACAAATTAAGAGAAATTAAAACAAATTGGTTACTTAAAAACACTTGACAGATTGGTAAATGACCAATAATAAAAACAAACAAAAAGACAGAAAATAATTAAGTGCCAAATCAGTTTGCAGTCAATCTTTGTAGGGTTTTAAATCGGGTTTATCTTTATATTCAGTTTTTTTAGGTTCAACAGCTTTTGTAATAAAATCATAAAATCTATCACCATATTCACTTGCAGGTATTGCACTGATGGTTTTTCTGGGATGCATTATAGATTTCCAAAATGTTTCCATATGTTTAATTATTGAGTAATTAGTTAAACAATCAATTACGCCCATGTAATAAATTTCGTCGATAGGTTCATTATTTTCATCAGTAGCTCTAATACCCCCATCATGACTGTAAAAATAAAATTTGGCTCTATCGGGGAATTCTGCAATTGGCAAATCTTTAACTCTATCTATTGAGATTGGATTTGTCTTTCTAATTGTTAGCTTATTTGCGCCAGTTGGGGGAGCAAAAACTGATAATCTTTTACTATTTAGATCGTTTTTATTACCAATATTAACATCATGAATACCTAATAATAAAGAGTAATCCATGATATTTAATTTTTTTAGGAATTCTACGTCAATTGATAATTGTTTTAAAAATTGTTTTCTCTTCAAGGGTCCTAATTGAATTCTTTTATCATCTTGTAACCAGTTGTTATCTTTCAAGACAATATTTTTCTTTTTTTTTAGGTTTGCTTTTTCTTCGTCGGTATATCTTTGTAGGGTAGAGCCTTTTAAATCATAAGTTCTGTGGATATCTCTATGAGGAGGGAATAGGTTGTTCATGACAACAAAATGGACTTTTCTAACGCCATTTCCAGATGAGCCAAAGGGCATCTTCAAACGATGCAAGCCGTAAAATTGAGAGATTAAGGTGTTTGGGTTTTGTTTTGCATGATCGTAATAGCTTTTAAGGATTTTTCTTAGTTGACGATGTTCACAATGATGGATTGTTTTGATAATGAATTTATAGTCTCTTGAATAGTAGAAGAAAGATTTTGATTTTCCTGGAGAAGCGAGTTCACTTAGGATATATTTAGCAGTTAAGCTAACCAAATAGTCTGAGGGGTCTAGACCGAAGATGTGTCTTAGTTCTCTAAAGACTTCGGGAGCGTAGTCTTTGAATTTGAAGTCATATTTTGAGGAAGGAGTTAGTTCATTGCCTATGATGTCAAAGGTTAACTTTTTTGAAGCATTGAAATCCAGATCAGTTAGAGGCTGCATTATGCCACAACATCTTGATACGGCCACTCTAATACCGGTTAACATGTTATAGGCCATTATATAGTTGACGTGACCTTCCTTTATGATGGTTTGATCGTCATATTTGTTTGATCTGTTGAAGGGGTTGGTGTGGTGGTTGTGAGAAGAGTATGTATTGTGATTTAGGATTGGTTTAAACAGTAAGTTAGTTGTGGTTTTCCTTTTCAAGTCCTTTTTGATAAGAAAGTTGTTTCTCATTCTTTCGATTTCTGTGTTAGCGATAGTGTTTTCGTTAGCATTTTCGTTAGCATTTTCTGGATTATTGTTATTGTTATTATTATTAATGATATCGGGCTGACTAATTTGGTCATCCTTGAGTAGGATTTTTTTTTTCTCGTTTAGGAGATCATTTTCTCTTTGATCCAGAATAAAATTTGGCTGTTTGTTTTTTTCAGCAATTTTTTCATTATTATTGTTTTTATTGTCGTTTTTTTTGTTAATAGGGGTAATATTGTCAATTGAGGGTATTTTTTCATTCAAATTTGTATTATTATTATTCATATTATTAGTACTTTTAATATTATTGTTAATATTATTATTATTAATACTATTATTTAAAACCGAATCCAAGTCTGAATCTGAATCTGAGTCAGAACTGGAATCAGAATCAGATTCAGAATCTGAGCGAGATCGAGATCTAGATCGAGAATCTAAATCAGAGATTGAAGTTGAATTTGAGACTGAATTTGAATTGATAATATTTTTTTTATTGTGAATTATGTTTGTATTAGCACTGTTATTTGCAGTGGTCAAGTCATTTTGCATGATTTTGTTCAATCTGTTGATATTGTCCTGAGAAGTTGAAGTTTGAGCTCTTATGGTTAGAATTACATTTTTGTTGTTGATCAAGTCATTAGAAGAATTGAAACTTTCGTTGGTATAGTTTTTGTAGGTGTTAAAATTGGAGTCAATATTAGTATGGTTGCTGCTGTTCTTGATATTTGTGCTAGTATTATTAATAGTATTATTAATGGTATGATTGGGAGTGGTGTTTTTAGGAGAGTGAGGACTATTGATGTTGCTGTTGTTGGCGGTGATAGAGGCAGTGTTGATATCGTTTGCAGCAATATCTTTGTTAATACTGATGGAGTTGCTGGGGAAAGAGCTCATTTTCGTTAAAGAAAGATGGAAGCCAGCTTTGTTGAAGTAAGTGTCTAGAATGCGAGAGCTGTCTGTCTGGTTTGTATGGGTAGTAGTAGGACTGGTACTAACAGAGGGAGGATTACTGGCTGCAAACATGAATGGAGCCTGAGGGAAGCAGAAGCAATAGAGCCAGAGTGGGAGACGAAGGAGCAAACGAGAGCAGTTCTGGAGGTGCTGAAGATGAAGGAAAACAGGCAGCAGAAGCAGCAGAAGAAGCAAGAGGGCTGTTTTTTCTGCCCTGTTTTGTGTGGCGGGGTCTGCGCCGTCGGACTGGGCACTGCGGGAGAACGCATGTAGACGCGCATGTGACCGATCCACAGAAGTGGCTTTTTTTGGCGCTACTTCTGGTGTTTTTAGTGGTTTTGGCGCTTCTGCTGCTTCTGCGTGTATTATACAAGCTATCTAGTTTTTGTTCAACTGGACGTAGTTGCCTGGGAACACGCCAGTGGCCCCATTCAATCGTCCAGTCCACCACCCATTCGAGTCTGGGGTTCGTTGCACAACCTCAATCACTTGTCCTGCCGAAAAGGCCAAATCGCCCTGGGCCTGAGGAACAAAATCGTAGAGTGCTGTGCAAGTTTCCACTGGGGCAACTGGTGGAGCTGCTGGGTTGCCTGTGGGCATTACTGGAGCTGCTCCTGGTGCAACGTAGCCTGTGTATCCTCCAAGATTACTATTTCCAGCTGAAGACACTGGGCTATAGGTGGAAACAGCTGGGTTGCTGTACACACTGTTTGTGGTGTTGGCGTACGAGGATCCACTGCTGGTGACTGGAGCTGGTATCACTTGTGGCTGGCCATATGGGCCAGTTGGATTGGCTGTGTTGTATGGATTGACTGGATTAACTGGATTAACTGGATTGACTGGATTGACTGGGTTATATGGATTAGCTGGGTTATATTGATTGGCTGGGTTAACTTCTGGCGTGGTGGTATATCCAACTCCTTGTTGATACATTGGTGTGGTTCCTGGTGGAGTGTATGGAGGTAATGCTTGATTGTTAACATTGCTATTAGCAGCAGTTTCACTAGCAGCTTCTTCTTCTTTTTTAGCATATCTTCTTTTTGTAGCTTCCAATTTAGCCTTTGCATGTCCAATCTTGAAATGGGTGATGCCTAGTGCTTCAGCTTGTTCATGAATATTTCCTCTTTTAGCATTAAATGATTCGAGAATGTCCCCACTCAAATCGAAATAGGGAATCTTCAATTCCTCCATTCTATTATACAAAGTGTAGAAAATGGACAATTGCATGTAGTAAAACGAAACAAATAAAGGTTGGATAAACTCAGCTTGGTATTGGAATAAAAATGGGAGTTCTGACTTTAGCAAATTGTTATAATAATCGTATTCTTCTTGTGCGATAGTAACGTTTGTTTGGGCTTTACTCAATCTTTCAATATCCTTTGCAGTTTCTTCTTTTTTGCTTTCATACTTCTTCAATGTGTTATTATGGCGATCTAAATCTAGCTGTTTGTGGTTTCTCTTTAGGGCCATTTTCTTGACGCTTTCAATGATTTTCAATAGGTCTTGAGCAGGCTCGATGATTCTTGTTTCAATTAGTTCCAAGTCTGGCGCTAGCGTTGCCTTTAGTTCTGCTACGACAGCTCGATAGGCTTCGCTTGCTTCAATTCCCTGGGGGTTTCCCTCGGGAATTAGGGAGTTTGGATCACTAACCTTTCCACTGATGGGTTTGTAGATTTCTTCAATACCCTTTGAAAATTCAATTTGGTGATCTAGCATGCCATTAACAGCAGTGAAATATCGATTGCTTTCTTCACTGAGTTTTTTTGTTTCAGTTTCTAGCTCTTTGAATCTTCGTTCTGCGTCAAGGTAAACAGGATCGACTGTTTGAGTCCCCATTTTGAATTTATAACGAATGGTCGTTGGGGCTCTTTTGATGCTCTTTGAAAAACCTTTAAAACTCATTTTTTGATTCAGTGTAGCGTAGAATGATAAGTAGAAGGACACTTGGAAGATATGGGAAAAACAAAACAAAAAAAAAGGTGAAAAGACAGTGGATTAAATGGCAGTAATTGACCTCCTATTAAAAATGGCTTGGGTATCAGCACTGAAATGGTGCTACTAAGTACTAAGTAGCACAGTAGGTGTGAGAGTGTGAGAGAGCAAGAGGTATTTCGGAATTAAAGCGTACGAAATACGGAAGCAGGGGGTTTGTGCCGGGAGATTTGCTGTTTGCTACGGAACGGTGATCGCTAAAGTGTGGTCGTTGTCGCTAAGAGGAGGAGGGGTATAGGTCATCTGATCTAATCCGTGTAGGTTTAGTTTGATGAAAAGTTAGTATCCATTGGTATGGTTGATGTGAGGTCATAGGGTTGAGAATGGAGACTCGAGACAAACCGGAATTGAGGATATCCGCGTTTGTCCATGAGGATGAACCGTTGTTTTGTGGGAAAGACAAGTTCAAGACACCAGACGCAAGACAAATAGAAGGAAAACGGTTTTTTTTTCATTTCATGTATTATTTTGGGAAGGAAATGTGGATTAGAAAACTAAAAATGGCATTCAAGAGAGAGATTACGTCAAATTTATCCAAAAAAAAGGGAAGAGTGATAAAGGAGAGTAATAGAAGTGAAATGTATAAATTAATACGATAATATAAATACGATAATATAAATACGATAATATAAATACGATAATATAAATATGATAATATAAATATGATAATGTAAATATGATAATGTAAATATGATAATGTGATAATATAAACGAGATGATATATTGGATAAAAAAAAGAAAATTGAGATGCAGTTAATATTGATCTATTTTGGATAATAATCGAATGCTGAGATAAACCATAATGTTTAAAGGATAAAAAGGTAAAAAGAGGTAAATTATTCGAGAATTTAAAAAATCACGAAAAATAAACATAGAAAAAAAAAAAACAGGTAAAAAAAAACAGGAAAATTTTAGTTAAGTTGCAAAGTGAATATTTTGAATAATTTATTATTTAAATTGTCACAAATAATAAGTGATAAGTTGAATAACATGAAATAATAAAACAACAAAATAATGAAATAAGCTGAATGAAGTCAACTTGATCTTTATACATAAATTGTAAAGAATAACCAAAAAAGGTGCAAAGAAAGAGACGTTAAACAAGAGTCAATGGACTAAATAAGTTAATAGATTCACTAATAGTGTGCTAGTGATCGTATACCATAATTATATACTAGCAATAGTATTATGTGAGTATACCATTAGTAGTGCCACTCTATTTGTAATGCTTTAAACAATATATCTATTATATGTCAATTAAATGACATGAGTTAAATCCAAATTGTAATATGCAAATAATGTGATGATTACATTTGTAAGTGGTGAACTACATTTTATTTGAAACTTAAGAAATAATATTAATACGAGTATTAATAGAATTATTGAAAAAAGACATCCAGTAAAATTTAATTCAATTGCAAAACAATTGAAAATGTTGTAAGATTATAAAATGAATAAATATGACTGGTCAATTGGTTGTTGCAAAAGAAAGTTGTCAAAAAATTCTATTAGGTGAAAAAAAACAAGAAAAATAATTAATAAAGTAAAAAAAATTTTTTACATATAATTGAGTAAATAATACACTAATTTTTATTTTAGCTCAAGAATAAATTGCACGACAAAAGAAAAACTCAAAGTAAAACGTAAGAGACAAAAAGGAAGACGATGAAAAATTTTCATAGAACAAAAAAAGAGCAAAAGGATGAAAAAAAGAAGAAAATTTTGCAGTCTAAAACCAGAAAAGAAAAATTTTTCATGAAATTTCAGTGGAATACAATGATCAATAAAATTTTTTTTCTCTCCAGTTTCCACTAGCACTAAGAAAAAAGAGACTAATTCCTATTACTAACTTAATTAGCCCAACAGGCCTACTTGGGTAATCAGTCCAGGGCCAGTATACCGCGTCTGTCAGCGTCCGCACGCAGGAGAGCGCCGCAGAGCGCACGCTTCTAGAAACCCCGGAAGACGTCCGCTGCTTTTCCCGGTGCGCCGCGACCATCGGGTCCCGTTTCTGAAAACCGCGTGCTGCGAGAGACAGTCCACGCGAGCGGTATTTGGCTAACTACGACCAGTGCAAGCGGGGAAGAACGCCCACACAGTTGGTCTCGCGGGCGCGCAGAATCGGTGGGTGCGGGCATTTCGCGCAGCGCAGGGCTCGTTCTTTGAGCACTTGGAAAAAGAGGATTTGTGAACAGTTGCTTCGTGAATTAGTGATTTGAGAATTAGTGGGTTTGTGATTTTGTAATGCTATTTAGTTTTTTTGTTTTTTCTCTTTTTTAATTTCTAAATTTCTGATTTTCTGTATTTGAAAATTATTAACTTTCCATGAAATTAGATGGAGCAAAATTTTTTGTTAATGAGTTAAATATCCAGCATCCTCTTGCTCCATTGTCCACCAATCCCTCATATATATATATATAATTCATTCAATCCTTTCTTTTTCTTGCTGGCCTTCAACTCTCTTTCGTCTCAACTCCTAGCCCTGCTATTTCTTCCTTTCTTTCTTTCATCCCCAATCTCTGCTCCAACGTTCAACTTACCCCAAGGTTGTATCCTTATCCTTATCCTTATCCTTATCCTTATCCTTATCCTCATCCTCATCCTCACCCTTATATATTCTTGTTCTCGTTCTCAAATCCCTAGCCTTATCACCTCAAACCATATCTTACACATTTCTCCAACTTTAATGATTTCGCCAAATGACCAATCCATAATGTCTACGCATTTCAACTCGCAAAATCCCAACAGCAGCTCTTCTGCAAACAATTCTCCCATCAGATTCGCCTCAAATAACGCTTTCCTGATCGATCTAGATCTAGACCTAGACCTAGACAATAACATCCCTGATCTCCCTAATACCACCATCGATAACACCAACACTATCTTCACCACCAACAACCTCATGGACTTTCCTCTGGACTCCCCTATTGACAGTTCATCTATCTGGGACGTTTATTTCAATGCCAAAGAACTACTAAACTACAAACCAAGGGTTGAAAACAGATCTCTAAGAAAATCTTTCAAATCTCACATCAACACCTTTAGCACCAATAACAGTATACAAAATAACAATAATAATCCCACTCTTAACACAAACACTAACAACATCATCAAGAATCCAAAAAACACATCAACCTTGTCTCTATCTCTATCCACCTCCTTGAACTCTCAGGATAGCCTCTTATCTTCTGTATCTCCCTCCTCAATCTCTTCAAACACCATACAAAACAATTTCCAAACAAATTTCCAAACAAATTTCCAAACAAATTTTGATAACTATATCTATAACGCCGATAATAACACTAGCGCTGACACCACAACAAATAATAATAATAATAATAATAATAACAACAACAACAACAACAAAAACGACGACGACGACAACAACAGCAACAATATTAACATTAACGATAACGATAACGATAAATTAAATCAAGCTCTTGATTTTGACAAAGATGATTTCTTATCCCTATACAACATTCTCAAATCAGTTCCCTCAATCTCTTCTCTAATTCCAAACTCCCACTCCAACTCAAATCCTCATTCTCACTCAAATTCAAATTCTAATTCTAACTCTCATTCCAATTCAACCTCCACTTCCACTTCAAACCCTCAATCCTCAAGCAAATTGATCAAATCTTCCACCTCTTCCACCTCCTTTCTAAACACCCCATCCTCAAATTCTTCCTCAAACTCCTCTTCCCCTGCTGCCTCAACAACCTCCACTTCAAACCAAAACAAAAAGAAACAAATCACTGAATGTTCAAATTGCCACACCACAAAAACTCCTCTATGGAGAAGAGACTCGAATGGCAACACTCTCTGCAATGCTTGTGGCTTATTCCAAAAACTACATGGAACAATGAGACCCTTATCTCTTAAAACTGATATCATTAAAAAGAGAAACTCAAAGAGAACCCTACTAAACAATCAAAACCTATCAAACAAAAACCTACTAAACTCAAAAAAATTCTCCTTTCAACAAAATTACTACTCTTCTCCAAATGACTACAACAACTACAACAATTATAACAACTATAACAATCTAAATGCTCTCAATTCTATGAATAACATGAACAACATGAACTCAATCAATTCCATAAACTCTATCAACAACATGAACAGTATGAATTCAATGAACAACATGAATATCAACCCTCTAAATAACTTTTCAAATCAAAATAACCAAAACAACTTCTTCAATCAAACAAACGATTTCAATAACAATTATAACGATTTAAATAGTATAAATTTCCCCTATAATAATAACATTTTCCCAAATAAATCTAAAAATGTTCCAATTTTACCAAAACCTCTTTCGGCTAATAATCTAGCAAATTTAAATAATAATAATAATAATAGTAATAATAATAATAACAATAATAATAATAACAATAATAATAATAATAACAATAACAATATTGAATTTGCAAACAAAAGAAAAAGAAACAGCCTTGTTTTAAACCAAATCAATAAATCAAACTCTTGTTACCAATTCAATAACTACCAAAATCAACACCATTACCACTCTCAAAGCCAGAGCTTCAATTCTAAAAACCTAAACCAAAACCAAACTTCTGTTGGTTCCGCTCCTTCCAATTCAATAGCTATCAACAACAACCCTGCTTACATTGCTTCCCCTTCTTTTTTTCCTTCTCATTCCCATTCTCAATCTCATTCAAACCAAAATTTTTATCCAAACTCTTTACCTTCTAATTTCACAATTCAAAATCAAAGCCAAAGCCAGAACCAAAGTCAGAATCAAATGAATAAAATCAATATGGCTACCGTTAATAGTGTAGACAGTAATATGAATAATTTCAATTATAATAGTAATTCAGATATAAACAGAATGAATAATAGTATAGGCAACATGAGCGAATCAAATATGAATTTCAATAGCAATAATAATAATAGTAATAGCAATAATAATAATAATAATAATAATAATGATACTAAAGATAATAATAATAGTGGCAATAATAATATTCAAATGGGCATTAACCAATTCCAATTTCAAAACAGAAATTCAAATCATAATTTTAATTCCGATAATAATATGCATGCATCAATGAACATGAATAATATGAATAATAATCTTAACATGAACTATAATAATAATAACAACAATGATAATTACAATTCAAATCAGTCAAATATGAATTTTCAAAGCAATCAAAACTCTAATGTTAGTAGTAGAGATGATAATGAAAATAACAATAGCCAAAATAAAAGCGGATCGAGAGCGTTTAATGTTAAGGATTTTGATTGGCTACAATTTGAAATATGACATCTAATTATTAGATTATTTTTAAAGATTTTTATCTTTATTTTAATTTTCATTGATTACAATTTTTATTTTTCTTGTTTCTTAGAATTTGTTGTATTAATTTCAATTCTATTTGATTCTTTTTTTACTAATTGTTTAAATGTTAAGTTTTTAATTTTAATTTCTAATTTTGCTTCATTTATGGTGTTTTTTTTACAAGTTTTTTTTATGAGTTTTTTTTTTTGTTAAAATAATTAAATTAGGGTTTTTTTTATAATGGTTGCAATTCATTTTGAAGAGTTAAAGATAAATAATATACTAAAAGTTATAAAAATTAAATGAAGCAAAGATAAAAAAAGTTTATTGTTTTCATTTTTTTGTTTTTTCGTTTTTTTCGTTTTTTTTGTTTTTGATTTGTTTTTTTTAGTTTTTTTTTTGTTTATTGTTAGTCTTTTTTGGTAGTTTGAAAAATCTCATTCACTTTATTTATTACATATACATTTAAACTGTTTTAATGAAGTTATTAATTTACTTATTCAATTTTTAGTCATTTTTATTTCAAAAATTTTATCTTTTTTTTTTTTTTTTTTTTTTTTTTTTTGTTTTTTTTTTGTTTATTGTTAGTCTTTTTTGGTAGTTTGAAAAATCTCATTCACTTTATTTATAAGATTAAATTCCAGAGGGCTAGCCCTCCGGAATTAATTTACTTATTCAATTTTTAGTCATTTTTATTNTCTTTTTTTTTTTTTTTTTTTTCATTTTTTTCACTCTTTTGTGTTCAATTAAATAAAAATACAATAAATAGTTCATTGAATTAAATGAATGAAAAAATGTAGAAACGATTGAGAGAAGTAAATTGTAACCCCATCCATATATTGTCATATACTTTACTATACTATATACCATGCTATACTATGCCATATTGTATGATATTTCAATCAATGGCAGTAAAACAGTAAATCATTTACGGATCAAGATGTAGACGTGGGACTGTTTCAAAGAAGACAAGTTTCTGTAGGTTCCTTCCAAGCACATAAGCAAACCACCAAAGGAAGCATAGACTTTGATGCTGTTTTCAATGGACTCGTTGGTGGAGACAGACTCGTCGAACTTATAGATGGTGCCATACATGACATACTCGTAGTCGTCGGCCAAGGATCTGGCAGACTCAGCAGCATGGGGTCTCCAGCCAACGTTGGCAAAGTCGTCAGCAGGATCTTCGGTCAAGGAGGAGGCCAAGGTGATGGTGAGGGTGTCGTGGTCAGCAACAGGATAGATCTCTGAGTTGATGTCCAAGGTGATCTTGATGTCCTTGGAGGACGTGGAGGAGGCGACGATTCTGGTGATCCTGTCGTAGCGTGCCGAGTCTGTGGACTCCACTACGAATCTGTCGTCGAACAAGGTATTGGACATCTTCTGGTGTTTCGCTCAGGCCGAAGGGGAAGCAGGAGAAGCAGAAGAAGCACCACCACCAAAAACAGCACAAGCACCACCGGTCCGTCCGTGCGGCGTCGCCCCGCGGCACGGCCTCAACCGCTCAAGGCTGCGCTTCTCTTCCTCCTCCTCCTCCTTCTTCACCACAACCACCTCCACAGATGAACCAGAACATATTGGCAGAGTACAACCAGCTCAACGTCTCCCCCATCACTGTGCTTCTCAAGGACGACCAGACCAGCGCCACCATCTACCCTATCGAGAGCTTTGAGGACCTTCCTCCTGGGTTGTTGGCCTTTCTCTGTGACGAGTTCAACGCTGAGATCGAAAGAGGCGAGACCTATCCCTTCTTCGACACCTTGGAAATCGAGCTCTTCAAGACCTACTGGTTTGGCTCCTTTGCTGCTGTGATGCTCTTGGGCTCCGATCCCTATATCCAACAGTCGAAACAGTGGGAGAAGGAATGCCTAGGCACCTTTTACATCAAGCCCAACTACCCAGGACGATGCTCCCACATCTGCTCTGGCGGCTTTTTGGTCAACGCTGGCATTCGAAACAGAGGAATTGGCAAAATCCTTACCCAGACCTACCTCAACTGGGCTCCTCACCTAGGCTACTCTTATTCCATCTTCAATTTGGTATTCGACATCAACTACTCCGCCAAACACATCTTTGATTCCTTCAATTTCAAGAAAATCGGCAAAATCAAGTCTGCTGGAATCCTCAAAGGCCATGACAACGCAATAGATGCTATCATTTACGGGAGAGAATTGGCTCCAATTCTAAACCACAACGATTCCACCATCAACAGCGGTTCCTACAGATTCGACAAAATAAAATTCTACTTGGAGACTGGCAAATATCCTCCAATGGCTGATCGCCAGGAGAAATCAAGATTGAGAAGCAGCGCTGCTCACTACAAACTACTCAATGGCAAACTAATGCTAAAAAACAAAGAAGTCATCAGTGACCCATCAAGACAAATAAAAATCTGCACTGAAGTTCATATGATAAACCATGGCGGAATCAACAAAACAACCGCTGCTATAGCTGAAAGATATCACTGGACAAGAATAAAAGACACTGTTGCTCAGGTCATTAAAAATTGTAGACAATGTAGAGATAACACTCTTCCAATATCCACCTCAAATAATTCAAATTATAACCGTACCACTAATATTAATCCTAATATGAATGATAATCATATCAATATCAATCAAATTAACAGTATCAACAGTATTAACAGTATTAATGGTAATCTCAATCTCAATCTCAATCATAATAACCATAACCATAACAATATTAATAATGTTAACAACAATAATATTAATAACAATAATATTAATAACGTTAATAATAACATTAATGCCATTAACGCAATTAACACCATTAATAAAAACAAAAATAATCAAACCAATGATAATCATATTCCTCAACTTCAAATTCAATTCCAGCCAAGTAGAAGCTTAATTCAAAGTCTTCCAACTCAAATGCCTTGTCTTCACACAAATACTTCTAAAATTCATAAAAACAATTCCAATACTTCTACTTCCACACCTACTTCAGCTACCGCCACAACTACTATTACAACCGATAATAATAAATCTAATACCAACGATAAAATCAATATTGATATTAATTTAAAATCCAACAATATCAATTCAACTAATAACAATTCAAACTCAATTTCTAATTCAAATAACAATAACAACAATATTAACAAAAACAACTCTAATAACAAAATCACTTATGATAATCGTAATGTTCTAAATAATAGAAGCCAAAACTTATCTTCTCCAAGTCCAAATACAAATACAAATACAAATACAAATAACTCAAACCAAACTTATAGTATAATATCTAACGCCCTACAGAATTTTGATCCCGATGATACAAATGCTTTGGCTGCAGTTGTTAGCGCTGCTTCTCAATCCCTAAACAACAACATAAATACAAATAATAACTATAATATCGACAATATTATTGAATCTTCTTTAGGTCAATCTTATGTGAGAGATAACCATCATGGTACTATTAATAACGATGAAACTGATAATAACCATGACCATAACCATACTCACGATAATAGCTTAGGTCTGATTCAAGATCAAGATCAAGATCAAAGCCAAAATCAAAATCAAAACCAAAACCAAAATCAAAACCAAAATCAAAACCAAAATCAAAATCAAAACCAAAATCAAAACCAAAATCAAAACCAAAACCCAAATCAGAACCAAAATCAGAACCAAAACTTAAATCAAAACTTAAATCAAAACTCAAATCAAAACTCAAATCAACAGCTTGATCATGATTTAAACAATAATGAATATTTCCAGCCAGCGAAAAAAAGGCAAAGACTAAATTCGGATATACTAAATGATAACATCGACCCCACAATTACCACATCTTATTCTCCTTAATGTTTTTTTCTTCTTCTATTATTTTTTTAGTTTTTTGTATTTTTTTTTGAACTTTTTTCTTTAAAAAGAAGACAAGAAATATTTAAAAGATTAATCTCAATTTAATTTTAATTTTCAATTTAGTTTTAATTTCATTTTTAATTTTAATTTTTAATTTTAATTTTTAATTTTAATTTTCAATTTATATTATATGAATGCATTTTTTTTCAGTTTTACAGTGACTAAGCAAATAAAAAAACAACAATTACAGTTCTTTAGTTCAATTAATTTTATATACTATTTTGCACTTTTTTTTTTTTTTTTTATTCTCTTATGAAAAGTTGTTAACATTTTTGCGCGGTATTTAAATTTTTAATTCGTTATATATATTAAAAATTGTGATTAATTAATAGAATGGAAACTAAAGACTAGAAAAGTGTAAGATGAAAAGTGTAAGATGAAAATCAGAAAAAGTTATCTATTTCATCTAGTAGATTGTCGACTGGATCGCCTTTTTCCTCAGCCTGTCTTTTACTGTCTTGTTCCTTGAGAGTCACCTTGATCCAATTGATCCAGTTGTTAACAATAAACTTGTTGTTGGGAACAAAATGACCACCGGGATGCCTGTACACTGTAACAGTGTTGCTCTTACAGAACTGTGTCACCAAAAGCTCAGAGGCCTCGTTCAGAATCACAGTGTCCAACTCACCAAAGATGTGGAGGGTGGGAATGGTAATTCTCTTCCCCAAGTACTTGCGCTGGAGGTTTTCAAACTTCAAGGGAAAGCCACTGAAGACAATGGCAAACTTCAAGACGTTGCTGGGGTCGAACAACGAAATGCTGCTGGCGACAATTGCAGCCATGGCAGCTCCCTGGGAGAAGCCTATCACACCATCAAAGGGGCCCTGTTCTTTGAAGACTCTCTGGAGATAGGCAATGGTGTTGCTGTGGAACTGGCTCTCAGAAATAGAGTCGTCGTGCGTCGTCCACCAACCATAGTAGTTGATCTGCTCACCACCTCTGGTCGAGTCGAGCTTGGAGATGGAGTCGAAGTGGAAATCTGTCTTAGAGAGCTTGATAGAGCCATCGACATACACCATCTCGACGTTGGGAATGCTCTTCTTCAAGTTTTTGCGAAAGCCAGAGGTTTTGGCCTCGAAGATCTTGCCACTTTGAGCAAACCCATGGAGAAAGAGGATCTTGGTTTTCGAGCTGCTGTTGAGGGAAGGCATTGCTGTGGATGCTACTAATATGATGACGATGTTGAGGTTGAAGAGTGATAACAGTGTTTAAGATGCTCTGCCAGGAGGATTTGGAAGCCAATTTATACGATTTCTTTTAACTGTTCTGATGGAAAATGAGTACAACAAAGAATAGTACAAGAGACGCATTAAAAATCCTCAAATGCTGACACAGAGATATGAAAACTATCAATTTTATTGTCTGTTGTCTGTGATGCTGCTTGTAAATTATTGCTCTAAAACTTCCCATTGGTAATCAAAAACAGATGTGGAAATTAGAGTTTTTTTTTCTAAAACTGACTCTTGGGCTGATAAGCTAATTTTTTTTTCCTCATTTTTTTTTTTGTCTTTTTTCCCCATAGAAATTCACTTCAACAGAGATTAACCTAGGTTATATGGAACAAAAAAACTCGAGAGGGTCTTAAACATCTCAAACACCACTCAAAATGAACCCACAGTGAAGAGTTTCAAGCGAGGATACTCAAGATGAAATAGGTTTTAATATAGGCTACAACTGACGAATCAGATAGAATGATATGCTTATGTATATATATTATCTAAGAGTTTCTAAGAGTCTAATTAGTCTAATTAGTTTAATTAGTTTAATTAGCTGATGTTAGCACTAAAGTTTAAGAAAGATTGAGGGAGGGCCTTGGAGTTATTTTCTTCTCGGTTAATTCAAGATTAATCATCTGGATAGTGTTGTTAATATTTGTTGTTAAGGAATTGTTTCTATTTCTATTTCTGTTTCTGTTTCTTAATATCTGGGTGAAGCTTTGATTTTGTATAAAGGAATCATTGTCAGTATTATAAAAGAACTTATAATATATAAATTGAAAACCGATTATTACATCCAAAGTTGTTTGAAAAAAAGCGAAAAAAATGAAAAAGGAATTGATTTTTTTAGTTCCAAATAAAAGATAGCTGGTTTTAACTAAATCACCACAATACCAACTAAACAACAAAATGGATTTAAATCCCTTGACTGATTTCAATCTATTTAATAGTAATATCTGAGGCAAAGGCAATAAACTTTCAATTAATAAGTTGGTTATTCCAATGAAATTTGAATAAAAAATTGAATCTTTAAATAAAAAAGTGGAAAATGAAATTATAATCGTAAACTGAATAATAAATAGCCAGTATTTATATTCTGCTTCCCATTGCCAAAATTGAAAGGATCTCTTATAATACGGATCAAAAAAATTGATAAAATTTTGAAAAATTATAATTAAACATAAATAACTAAACTCAAATGATTTCTTAAAAAAATTAATTATCATTGGCAAATAATTTAAAAATTCATTTGAATCGTTAGAGTTAGTGTAAAGATATTTCTCTGGTGTTAAATCAAGATTAATATCATCAATATTAATACTGTGAATATTATTATTGTTGTTATTATTGCTATTATTATTATTATTATTATTATTATTATTGTTGTTGTTGTTGTTGTTGTTATGACCATCATTATTATTATTGGATATATTAACATTAAATAAATCATTTTGTGTTGTTTCTAAGAAAAACTGACTAAATAATATCTTTACTTGATGATAAATTGAGTTGTGATTGTGCAAAGTTATTATTTTTACATCTTTATTTAATTTGTAGTATAAACTTACATACAACAAAATACATTGGATGAATATCATGGAGCATGATTGCCTCAATAGCGTAATCTCAAAGGATTCAATAAAATAATAATTTATTCTCAAAATACTCGCGACTAGCATCGTGCAACAAATATCTATCGAGAAGCCTATTGAAGAGTCCTGTTTTATTATGCTCAATATAGTTGAACCATAGGAAAAAATGGGTGTGAAAGCCATTATGTTATTAACAATGGCTTGAAATGTAAGCCATTCTGGAATCATGTAGTAATACAAAGGCAACGAGCTGAAAGCACTCTTTGGAGCAACTGGATCTTGAACTGGAATAGGATTGGTTTGATCTGGTGGTTGTGGAATATCTAATTCATTCTTCATATTATCTTGTAAGTGGCAGCGGAGGCAGAAAGAGGCAAACACAAAAGAGAGCAAGGAGAAAACTGAAGTCTATTGCTGGATAAGATAGAAGAAGCAGAACAAGAAGCAGAACCTGAAGAAGAAGCAGGTTTTTTGTAACACCACGCAGCATTTCGTTCACTTCCTGAGAATTTCTGCTTCTTCTTCCGGAAAGACAGGCTTTGGCAGAAGTTTCGACTGGGCCACCATCCGGGATCTAATGCCGGCACATGCACACGCACATAAAGCCCCCTTTGGCTGGAACGTTCTAGCCTCGATTCGTTTTTCATTCACTACGGAGAGATATAAGGCGAAACAATAGCAAAATACTGGCAGATATATTGGGGAGCATGCTGCTTAGGTGTCTAGTCGTCTAGGCTGAGATCGATTTTGATCTTCTTGGTCTGGTGGTCGAGCTCGTGGTCTTCGATCTTTCTCTTCTCGTTCATTGCAGAGATATCTTCTTGCAGCATTGTGTTGTTGAGCTGACTGCTGTCCGGTTCGTCCCCATCGTCCAAGATGGTGATGAAGTCGTCTGTGTCTTCGAGAATATCCTCATCTTGTTTTTTGTTTTCATCGTCATCTTCATCATCAAAGGTGATTGGCTCATTAGGGTTTGTATCTGGTTCTACCTTAGGTTTTTTCTTTTTGGGTTTTTCTGGAACATTATCAATTTTTGGTATATAGATATCATTGGAAAGAGTTTTATCTTCTAGAATGTATAGTTCGATTTCAGTTTTAATGTCATCGTCATCCTTTATAGTCAAGATTTGATTTTCTTTAAAACCCAATGATTTTAACGAGCGGTCTAGATTATCATCAAATTCAATATCGTATATTAATCTGTTTTTACCGATGACTATTGATATTTCTGGCTTGTTATTATCTTGATCATCTTCGTTAGTTGAATCTTTAAAATGTTTTTTATAGTTGATATTGTTTAATATTTTTTTTAATAATACTCTCAAGGTTAATTTTTCATTGTCTATATCTTTAATTTTTAATAATTCTCGAAGAACGGTGCATGAAGCACAAGTTTTTGAGCCAGGAAATAATTGAGATGGATTGGTCATACTTTTTGATTCAATTGACGTAAAGACAATTTTAGATTCTAAATAATGTTGTAGAACGTTAAAGTTATTTAAAGATTGCAATGCAGAAAAACCTGCCATCATTGCATTAGTTGTAGCAATAGCAGGGATGATGTTTCCTGCAATTTGTTTTATATCAAATTTAGATTTAACTGGGATGTCAAAAATAATTGAGCGAATATTAGCCGATGATGCAGCAAAATTTAATGTGTCCTCATCATCTTTATCAAAATCAATTATAAAGCTTCTAGGGTTGTTTGAATTTAATATTCTTTTTCTTAGATTGATTAATGAGTAGATTAGCACAATTAAGTTTTCGTTTAAAGACCACAATTTTTGAAAATTTGATAAAATCTCATCAATATTTGATTGTTTTAATAATACTCTTTTCCGGTCATTCTCAAGCAATTTAACTAATGAAATATCTAGAGGAATTGGTCTCTTTCTTGTTTTCCATAAATCATCAATTTTTAACAATTTATTAATATCGTCAATAAAGATCTTTTTAATTATATTGAGAGCAAATTCAAGTGAAGAATTACTATCAAATATTGAGTTTCTTAGGTTAATCAATTCATTTTGCTCGTTAATTAGGGTATTAATTTCTTCTTTATTATCCGAGCCTAAAGTTTTGACATCATTATTAGCTGAAACATTTACTGAATTTATATTATTATTGTTATTATTATTATTATTATTATTCTGGCTATTCTGATTTGGATCATTTTGATCATTTTGGTTGATGTGATCGTTGTGGTGATCATCTTCACTTTCTCCAAATAATTGTGCAAATAAGAAATTTTTAGCCCAATGAATACAGTGAACCGGTTGTGAGGGAGTTGATCTGATTGTACAAACGGGAAATGATTTGGGAGTTTCTTTTATTGTACAATCGTAACATTCGGATTCATAGGGAAAAATGGGGACGACTTGACCAAAAAAGCCAGTTGTCCCACTTTCAATGAATGGTTTCTTTAAAAAGAGACAGATCCTGTTGATAAAAGATCTGGCATCTTTATTATCCAAAGCATTGAAAATCAAATGGAATTGATCAAACCAAGCTAGATTGAAAGTGTCGGAATCCATTATGCTGGCCATGTAGGGAACCAACTTTGTGTGGTCGTATTTGAATTTGTTGACAGCCTTGATGGCAGTGAATGCCTTTGATTTCTTGATGTCTTTTTTTCTAAACAAGAATTGACGGTTTAGATTGGATAGATCAATTGTGTCCAAGTCGACAATGTGGATCTCTCCAAAACCCATCAAGATGAGGTCCTTCAACAATTCGCAGCCAATTCCCCCGGCACCCACCAATAGAACCTTTGCATACTTGATCTGTTCGTACTTCTCGGCACCAATTATCTGTTGAATGTAGCTGTCGCGAGCCATTGCTATTTCTTTGAACAGAACAAGACTCAGCTGGTGGCCAATACTCTTCAGTTCTTTCTTTCTACAGTGCTCAAACTGAGTTGGGTTTGAAGCATCCAAAACATTTCGTTACCCGGCAATAATAAAGCCCTGATAATCGGAAGCCCTGATGGTTTTAGAAGCCCTATTCTGTTTTTAAAGCCCTGACATGCTCTGATTGGCAGCGGGATCCAGCCTGTGTTTAAGGCATTTCATTTTGGCCAAGTTTACAAATCCCAGCTTGAGCCCAACATTGGCTCGTTGCTCACCATTTCTTGTTATTCTTCCAAAAGTTTCTTGAGGTTTGCAGATAATCTTGGTGATTGCTGGTTTTCTGATGCAAGTCTCTTCCAATGCTTATTTTCCTGCGTGGAATATTCACACTCTCAATGTTTCCAATCCGCATATTATTGAACCCCTACCTGATCTTCATGATCTCGGATTCTATAAATACCTGCTGAAGTAATGGCCTTTTCCTTTCTTTTGGCTTGGTTTGCTTCTATTGGTATTGCAAAACTGCCAAACTCTTTTTTGTTTGCGATATAGATGTTTGACAATGAATTTCTATTCAGGTATTTTATTCTGGCTCGTTCTTCATCTTACGGTAGTTTTATCCTCTTTGGTTCCAAGAGGATATACTAATTCTACAAATGTTTCTGTCTCTGAAGACAATTGTGGTGTTGTCTCGGCTTATTCTAATTCTTTGATTACCAATGTTACCAGCTATGGATGCTCAAACTATCACTCAAATCTAACGGATCAGCTACTTACTGCATCAACGCTGTTTAACGACTTTAATGCGCCAAATTATCATTCAAACTCTTTAAACATTGTCACCAATGCGAAATCCTTTGATATACTATACACGCTACAAATATTTTTCAATCCGAGCACTCAGTTCTATATCATTGAAAACACCTTTTATCAGGAAAATAATACAGACAATTTTTTATATTTATCTTATGATTACGTCGACAATGTCAAAATACTATGTCATGTATTTCAAGAGACTTTCTTCTATCTAAAGGCTTCATTAAACCAAATACTAGCTACTGATGCCAATGGGAAAACCTATAGTTCTGTTATTTATGTCCCCGATTGCCTCAACCATTCCTTTTGTACAATAAATCCAAATAACTTTGATCTCGATAACCTATATTGCATAAGTTATGCAAAAGATTTCAGCTGCAGCAATCTCGTTGCCAATTTTAATAATCAATCAAATTACTGCTCAAAGTCATTTACCAATGGCTTGAACGAAGATGAACGATCTTCTTGTGGTTTGGCCACTGATTCAAATCTCATATCTACTTACTCCTACGAAAGTTCCTCAAGCAGTTTATTTTCAATTTTAAAATTCACAAAAATCAAGGTGATATCGTTACTATCATTAATGTTTTCAATTCTTGAATTCTCTTAAAGACAAATTCCAAAAAAAGAAAAATGAACCCAGCAGACTTCTGAATACACCTGCAGAACGGTTTTTTCCTTGGTTTTTTCCTCGGTTTTTTCACTGGTTTACGGATTTTCACGAATTTTCACGGATTTTTGGAAAATTCACTTTGACGTTAATTGCACTAAAGTTTTTGCTGTGATATTTTCTGGTACTTTTTGGCAATTTCGGTATCTTTTTCTCTAAAGTTACCAGTTTTCCAATGCCATGTCTACTAACATATACTTTGGTTGGTGTTTTTGGTTTCCTGCAATAATAGTCACTCATAAATGGAATAAATATCAAGAAATTAAGCATATCGAAAAGTTGAGCATATCAATTTCCTTTTTTTTTTCTTTTTTTTTTTTTTCTTTTTATGGTCTTGATCACATATTTATAAATAAAATTTATATATTTCTTGCTGATGATAATCTAATCCGGCAAATTTTATAAAATATTAATAAAATGTAATAGTCCAAATTCTAGAAATTGAATTTGTTGTATACCTTTTTCTTCTACTTTTTAGAGCCCTGAATTTAGGGCTCTAAGCTCCAGCTCACATGTCACATTTTTTATTTTCATCACAATAAAAGAGGTGAAAAGTTTCAATATCTTCACCACAAGATAACTGCTTCTGTCAATCTAATCAGATAATAATCTGCTCTCAACATGGTATGTTTCTTTTAACTAGCAATTCCTCTTCAATGGCTTAGTTTGATGTATTTCACCTTCGCTGATACTAATCATCTTTATTACTTTTTTTTCTTTTCTTGCCAGTCTGTTAATATTTTTGGAGATCAAGCGACTGAAGAAAGAGCTGAAAATGCTCGTTTATCTGCTTTCATAGGCGCCATCGCTGTTGGTGACTTGGTTAAATCAACTCTAGGTCCTAAGGGTATGGATAAATTGTTGCAGTCTGCTAGCTCAGACTCCTCAATGGTCACCAACGATGGTGCCACTATCCTTAAGGCAATCCCATTAGATAATCCGGCTGCAAAAGTTTTAGTCAATTTAGCAAAAGTTCAAGATGACCAGGTTGGTGATGGTACCACCTCTGTCACTGTATTGGCATCTGAATTGTTACGAGAGGCTGAACAGTTGATCAATAAAAAGATTCATCCTCAAACTGTTATCGAAGGCTATAGAATCGCTTCAAAGGCTGCATTGAAAGCTTTACTCGAGGCCTCCGTCGACAATAAATCAAATTTTGACACTTTTAAACAAGACTTGATTAATATCGCAAAGACAACTTTATCCTCAAAAATCTTGGCTCAAGATAAAGATTATTTTGCCAACTTGGCTGTGGATTCTATTCTAAGATTAAAAGGTTCAACTAATTTAGACCAAATTCAAATTCTAAAAATTGTTGGTGGTAAACTAAATGATTCCTATTTGGATGAAGGTTTTATTTTAAATAAAAAATTTGGTGTTAATCAACCCAAAAAAATTACAAATTGTAAAATATTAATTGCCAATACCTCAATGGATACCGATAAAGTTAAAATTTTTGGTGCAAAATTTAAGGTATCTTCAACTTCCAAACTAGCTGCTTTAGAAAAAGCAGAAAAGACCAAAATGCATAATAAAGTTTTAAAAATTCAAAAAAATTTTAAAGATATTAACTGTTTCATCAATAGACAATTAATCTATGATTATCCCGAACAATTATTCACTGACTTTGGAATAAATTCAATAGAGCATGCTGACTTTGAAGGTGTTGAAAGATTGGCCTTTGTCACAGGAGGTGAAGTTGCTTCAACTTTTGATAAACCAGAACTAGTCAAAGTGGGTTATTGTGACACAATCGAAGAAGTCCTTATTGGTGAAGAGTCATATGTGAAATTCTCTGGAGTTCAAAAAGGTGAAGCTTGTACAATTATCCTTAGAGGTGCAACCCAGTATGTTCTTGATGAAGCTGAAAGATCCTTACACGATGCTTTGTCTGTGCTTTCTCAAACAACTCAAGAAACCAGAACTGTTTTAGGAGGTGGCTGTTCGGAAATGATAATGTCAAAAGCCGTTGATACTGCTGCTCAAAAAGAAGATGGCAAAAAGGCTTTGGCTGTTGAAGCATTTGCAAGAGGTTTAAGACAATTGCCAACCATATTAGCTGACAATGCTGGTTTTGATTCAAGTGAATTGGTAGCAAAATTAAGAAGCTCAATTTACAATGGTTTATATACATCAGGTTTAGATCTTGATCATGGTATTGTCGCTGACATGAGAGAATTGGGAATTGTTGAAAGTTATAAATTGAAATACCATGTTGTTAATTCAGCTACTGAGGCCGCTGAAGTTTTATTAAGAGTCGATAACATTATTCGTGCAAAACCAAGAACTGCTGATAGAAATAGAGGTCCTATTTAACATATTATAACATTAATAATGTATAGTTTATTATAATGATATCGTATTTACATATTTAATATAAGTCGTTAATTAATAATTTCAAGTTGTCCTTTTTTTGATATCTCTCATTTTGTGCTTTCTTTTCTACTTGTTAGTTAATTAGTTAGTTAGTTTCAAGACAAGTTGAATAATTTTATAAATTCATGAGGAACATTATATGGTTTATTTATATATAAAAATATTTAAAAAAAATTAGTGAGCTTTTTATCAAAAGTAATTTTTATTTTTTAAAATTGGAATATGGAATCTAAAACTAACAAAATACATTAAATATCAAGAGACATTGCGAATCTAGTTAGCTTCAGCAGCTAATTTTTCAGCTTTAGCTACAACATCTTCAATACCACCAACCATATAGAAGGCATTTTCTGGTAAGTGATCATATTTACCTTCCAAGACATCTCTGAATGAAGTAACAGTGTCTTTTAATCTAACTAATCTACCTTGGATACCAGTGAAGACTTCGGCAACGGCAAATGGTTGAGATAAGAATCTTTGGATTTTTCTGGCTCTTTCAACAGTTAACTTATCTTGTTCAGACAATTCATCCATACCTAAAATGGCAATGATATCTTGTAAGGATTTGTAAGCTTGTAAAGTTTGTTGGACTTTGGTGGCAACATCATAATGTTCTTGACCGACAACGGAAGCATCTAACAATCTTGATTTAGAATCTAATGGATCGACAGCTGGATAGATACCCAACTCGGAAATACCTCTGGACAAGACAGTAGTAGCATCTAAATGTGCGAAGGTGGTAGCTGGAGCAGGATCGGTTAAATCATCGGCTGGGACATAAACAGCTTGGACAGAAGTAACTGAACCCTTTTTGGTGGTGGTAATACGTTCTTGTAAAAGACCCATATCAGTTGCTAATGTTGGTTGATAACCGACGGCAGATGGAATACGACCCAACAAGGCAGACACTTCGGAACCAGCTTGGGTGAAACGGAAAATGTTGTCGATGAATAACAAGACATCTTGACCTTCTTCATCTCTGAAGAATTCTGCAATGGTTAAACCAGTTAAGGCAACACGAGCTCTGGCACCAGGAGGTTCATTCATTTGACCAAAGACTAATGCGACTTTAGAGTCACCTTCTAAGTTGATAACACCAGTTTCTTTCATTTCACGGTATAAATCATTACCTTCTCTGGTTCTTTCACCGACACCAGTGAAAACAGAAAAACCACCATGGGCTTTAGCAATGTTGTTAATCAATTCTTGGATAAAGACGGTTTTACCGACACCAGCACCACCGAATAAACCAATTTTACCACCTCTGGCGTATGGGGCTAGTAGGTCAACAACCTTGATACCAGTTTCAAGAACTTCGGCAGCGGTTGATTGTTCAACAAAAGCTGGAGGATCAGCATGGATTGGGTTTCTTTGTTTAGTGTTGATTGGTCCTCTTTCATCAATTGGGTCACCAACAACGTTGATGATACGACCTAATGTTTCTCTACCAACTGGGACAGAAATTGGAGCACCAGTGTCCTTAACTTCTTGACCTCTAATTAAACCTTCAGTACCATCCATAGCAATGGTTCTGACAGTGTTTTCACCTAAATGTTGAGAGACTTCTAAGACTAAACGACCCTCGTTTAAGGTAACTTCTAAAGCATTCAAAATAGCTGGTAAAGCACCTTGTTCGAATTGGACATCAACAACGGCACCAATAACAGCTCTATAAGAAATACAATCCAAATAATAATAATAACAAATATATTATTATTATTAATTTTGTCATGTTAGTGCTTGTTCAATGATGTAATAGGGAGAAGTAAAAAATGACAATTGAAAACCAAGATCTTAAAACGATAATTGCAGATCAATGAAAAATATTGACAATTCAAAATAATATATATAATATTTTAGTGGTCAATTAAGGTAGTGCAAATAAAAAGATTTATAAGGATTTAGTTATTTGAAATTTATCTTAAAAATGTGTTTGATCCCTTGATTTCCTGCTAGCTCTAGTAAAAAATTTTTCCCAACATTTTTCACATTTGCCATTATAAAATCAATTGATTTGAAGATCTGGGGAATTGAATTCGTAAATCAGTAAATGATAAAGTGGAAAACAAAGCTAAGTACTTACCTAATTTTACCACTGGAAGCAGCAGAAGCTAAATTTCTGGAGAACAAGAAATTGCTTCTGGCAGCTTTAAAAGCAGCTCTGGTAGAAGCACGATATAAAGTTGGAAGAACCATTTCAATAACTACTATTTCTTTATTGATAGAGAATTTATCCTTGTCTTTATAGATATATTTCTAAAATAAAGATATATAAAGAAGATAAAAAGTTGAAGTAAAGTAAAACAACAGTATAAATAATAATCACTTAATGGAAAATTTCAACCATTGACCAACTGAAAGTGAAGAAGTTTTAGTGGTCAAGTGTCTTGGGAAAATGTGATCAAATATGATTGGACGATAGCAAAACAGACCCATGTTACCCGGGAGCACAGGCATATGCCTGCAGATGATGCAGTGGTCTGCAGGATGGAATCACGTGTACATATATCATAGATTACGTAATAAGGGCTTCCTCGTGGCTGGTCTCAAACTCTTTTTCTTTTCTCTGCTTCTCAGTTTTGGTTTCGATCTGGAGCACAGCAAAATGTTTCTTCTCAGAACCAGTTCCAGCAAATGCTCCTTCCTGAGACTTCCCTGGGGCAGGTCGTTGTATTCCACAAATGTGCTGTCTGCTGTAGATCTTAGTTATGATTTTTTTCGTCCCCGACGGTTTCTCGACAGCTCTACTGGTGTTGCTTCGCTACTTTTGATTCATGGGCTCTTTGGCTCCAAACAGAACTTCAAATCGGTTGGTAAAAAACTAGCTGAGTCTCTAGGCACCTCTGTTTATTCTGTCGACTTGAGAAACCATTCAAAGTCCCCCCATGCTTTTCCCTCGGACTATCTCACATTGTCCAACGACATCTACCATTTTTTGCTCAAGAGAGACTTGCAACATGTCAATGTTATTGGCCATTCCATGGGTGCAAAGGTTGCCATGACTCTTGCTTTGGAGCACCCTGATATGGTTCTGAGTTTTATTGCTGTCGATAATGCTCCAGTCAGAGCTAGGTTGGATTCCTCTTTTTTCCACCACTTGAAGGTAATGCAGAATATAGAAAATAATCTCAAAATACTTAAAAACGACCCCAATTGGTTTAACAAAGTCATGAATGAAATCTCAAAAGAGGAAGAAAATCACTCATTAAAATTGTTTTTGCTATCTAATTATACCAATCAAGCTACTGAGTATTTCAATGATGAATACTGTCATTTTAGAATACCAGTCAATGATCTTGATCAAACGCTTATAGATGCTGGTGATTTTCCAATTGACCATTTTAAAAATGTCAAATATAACAATCCAGCTTTGTTTTTAAAAGCAAAAGACTCTGATTTTATTACTTCTGATTCTATCGATTCAATCGATCAGTTCTTTCCCAATAATGATTTAATAACCTTTGATACCTCCCATTGGCTAATCACAGAAGCTCCGGCTTTATTTCTAAAGACCTCAACAAAGTTTTTTAATGATCTAACGTTGAACAACTTGAATTGAAATTTTACCTTTTTTTTTTTTTATCTCTCTCTCTCATCAAATAAGTTTTCATCCAATTACACACTTGGTAACTCCAACTATATATACTACGATCATTCATTAACTCGATATTCTCAAATTTTATCAATAGAAATTTTATCAATAGACATATTTTTACTCCTATCATTTATAATCAATGATTAATAATCATTTTTTGTATTGATGTTATTTTATTTGTAAATGAAATCCACTTTTTTAAGAGAAGATGGTTTTGTTGAACAAACATTTATATTGCTTTCGTATGTGATATCAAAAAAATATAACATAGAATTTCAAAGTAAAATAATAATGATGGTATATACTAAAGAAAAGAAAAGAAAAGAAAATTCTATATTTTATTGATTCTAATTCATAAACCATTCAGGCTTGTCATACCCATTTGGTCTGGTAGAGGTATTGAATCCATTTCTTGTATTTTTCATTTGAACTACTGGTTTTAAAACTTTGACAGTGCCTTTGAAACCCTCACTGTATGATTTGGTGAAATATTCTGATTGATCTCCCTCTCCATTAAATAAGTCAGGTTTGAATCTTTTCATAGATCGCAAACATGTGGAAGATATTTTGTCTACTGAATCATAGTACCTCAATTTCAAAACATCTTTACTAGATTTGCTCAACACATTTTTCCAGATATCATCTGGATAAAGTCCCTGTTTCATTAATAATAAGTCGTATTGAATCAAGGATGATTTGCACCAATAAGATCCTCCAAACTTTGCTCTCTTATAAACTGCAAGCAAAATTGCAATAGCTACCATACAACCAGTCCCATAATCACTCATTGGAAATGGTGGAACCATTGGCTCATTCAAACCCAAAGATTGGCCCTGGATCCAAGCAATACCACTTGCACAATCTGCGATTTGTTGCCATCCAGCTCTATCTGACCATTCACCTGAAAACCCAAAACAGTTTTCTGATCCATATATGTATCCCTTGTTTCTCTGTCTAGCAAATTCTGTCATTTTGGATGGTCCATATCCCAATTTTTCAATTGCATTTGTTCTATACCCGTCAAGAACAATATCAGCATCTTTTAATAATTCTTCGAACTTAACTCTATCTTCTTTGTTTTTTAAATTCAATTCACAGGTATGTTTACCAAAATTACAATCAATTTGGAAAAAGGGGACATCTGGTAAAGTAGGTGAGGTGACTTTTATCACTTCAGCTCCATACTCAGCTAAGATACGGCCAATGGTTGGACCTGCTATGATACGACATAACTCCAAAACTTTTAGTCCTTTCAAAATTTGAGGTTTTTGTGCAGAATCTCCAGATAATGAAGCAAATTCAACAGGTGGCGTATCGGTTTCTAGAGCTTCTATTTCCCAAAAAGGTTTTGATGAAATGGTTTTTCCATGAGGAGTTTGAAGAAAATCTTCAGATTTCATAGCTTCAACACCAGCTTGTCTATATTTCAAGGTTTGTTCTTCTAGCTCATCTACTGAAAAATTATGCACAGCACCTTGGAGAACATTGACAATTTCATTATAATCTGTTAATTTTGGATTATAGGGTGGTAATCCAATTAATTTTAATTGGGTTGATGCCTCAAGAGAGCCATGTATATGGTAATATCTTCCTTTATCTTTTGTTTCATATAAATTAGCAGACATTCTTCTGTATGTTATCGATTGTGCTTGATTTAAATCTGTTGGTTTCAAATATTTAATAACGTCCTTGTCTAATTTGCCTAGACCATCGACAGATGATAAATAAGTCAGAAATAAAAACATCAACGCATGTTGCAAATCAATGCTGCCTGAATCTGACGAATCATTATTAAAACGTAGATTTGAAATTGCAATGGCAGCAAGTGCTTCAAGACCCTTCAAAGCAGCTGCTGTTTCACATTCCTTCAATCGACAGGGAAGAATAATTTCGCTGGTCTGATCATTAGTAAATTGGATTTTATCAACGTTGTCTTTAATTTCTCGAGGAATATCTAACAAAGGATCCTCAACTAAAGCCTTGAATATTCTAATTGTTTCATTTGTTTGGTTGTATGGACTGGAAGATTGAGTCATGATGGCGATGAATTTGCAGTTGATTCAAAATACCAGCGAGGATAAGAGTTATTGCAATACACTACTTTTGCTAGATTAATAAATAAAAAAACAAGCACCCAGAAGACAAGAAAATCATCGCAAAGTCGATGGAGAAAAGGAATATATTAATACGTTTTCCCAGGCCTAGGAAATAGTTTTGAGGCCAAAATGAGGCATTTGTACTTGCGATGAGCTACAATCACCACTGATTATCCGAGAAAGCAGGGTCATTTCCGATGCAGAGCAAAAGATGATCCAAAGCTATTTCCGGCGTTTTCGAGAAAGGAAGAGTTTGAGTTCCGCGTTTTAGCTGCAGAAAGCTGCAATGTTGGATAGCGGGGTACGTCCAGTCTCGACCATGTTTGTGGCCTCTGGGCTACTTCCGACGGTCTGACCTATCTCCGTCAGAGTGATATCGCTGATCGTTTGATTTTTCAGCTACGTAGTGGGCATGTAAATGTTGTTCTTTCTTGATATTCGAGCTTGATATATACGCTTTTCCTGGATATATTGTCAGAGCGATGCACAAGCAGCACCTTCCACTTGGATATTGAAAATAACTTTAATATTTCAACCCCCATCTCAAAAGAAACTTTTGTTTTTACTGAACATCAAAGTAAATAAAGTCTTATATAAAGGCATCTTGAAAGTACCCAAGACCAGTGTCTCGATCTGTTGATTAAAAAATATCTACAACATAGGCTCACCCTAGTATTCCATCCTGCCCACTTATCCCAGATACTGCTGTTTACTATCTACCACTCACTATATATTATCATGTCTCAAGAATTTACTGACTTTGTCATCTCTTCAATGGGACCCAAAACAACTCCAAGAGCACGTTGTGTTATTGGCTCGTTGATACAACATATCCATGACTTTACAAGAGAAAATTACGTAACTGTCGATGAATGGTTATATGGTGTTGAGTTCATCAATAAAATAGGTCATATGTCTGATGAAAGAAGAAATGAAGGTATTTTGGTATCTGATGTTTTAGGTCTTGAGACTTTGGTCGATATTCAAACCCACAAATTGGACCACATTAAGAAAACTTCATCTGCTATTATTGGCCCATTTTACAGACCAAATTCTCCAATTTACAGAAATGGTGAATCTATTATTCAAAAGGAAGTCGGTGGTGTAAAAGCTTTTGTTCATGGTAGAATCACTGATCCTGAAGGTAAGCCGTTACCAGGTGCCAAAGTTGAAGTCTGGCACTGTGCTCCAAATGGTTTGTATGAACAACAAGACGATGAGCAGCCAGATTATAATCTAAGAGGTACATTTATTGCAGATGAGCAAGGTTATTACTCATACACCTGTTTAAGACCTACTTCTTATCCTATCCCTTATGATGGTCCAGCTGGTGATTTGTTACAATTTATGGATAGACATCCCAACAGACCAAGTCATATTCACTGGAGGGTTTCATACCCAGAATATCATGACTTGATAACTCAAATTTACGATTCTGAGTGTCCTTATACCAAAGATGATTCTGTTTTTGCTGTTAAAGATGATTGCATTGTAAACTTCACTCCAATCGACAAGATTGATATTTCAACTACAAATAATCATGTCAAATCTCTCCAAGAATTGAAAGCCAGAGACATTGAAGTCGAGTTGCACTATAACATTTCCTTGCCTTTAGAAAAAGATATGGTAGATGATAGAAAGAAGGTTGAAGCTAAACAACTTGAACTTGAAAAGGCTTATTTTGAGAAATATGCAAATTTTGCTAGAGATCTTGATATTTCAAAACTCTCCATAAATGAAAAACCCTCAACTGATGAAAAGCCTTCAGTTAACGAAAAACTTTCAACTGAACATGTTGAAAATGTTCAACATGTTCAACATGAGATTTTATAAATAAGAAACAAATTCCTATATAATTTATGACTCAATAACTAAATTTTACATGTTTTACGATATTACTTTTTTATAATTTTTCATATTATTACTTTCAATAGTTAATTTAATTTAATTTAATTTAATTTTATTTTAATTTTAATTTTTTCAATCTTTGTACTAATTTTGATTTTTGTTAATTACAACTATTACATAAATACTATTTAAAAATCATTGGGGACAAAATCAGAAATTAATTTGTATACTTTCTCATCACTTTCAACAGCAGCCCAATGACCAACACCCTCTAATTGCTTAACACTAATCGTTTCAGATCCTAAATTTTGAGCAATAACTTCAACGCAACCACTCCAAGGAGCAGTCAAATCTTCTTTTCCTGCAATTATTAAAGTTGGTGTTTTGATTTGCTTATAATAATTGATGTATTGTGTAGTCAATGTGGCTGCATGAGAAATAATTTTGCAATTTAAAATGTAACCTTTAATAGTTTGTCTTGAAACCAAATCTCTAATAAAGGCTTTAACAATATCCAGACAATTTGAACCAACAGCATTTTCTGCAACACCATTAGCAATGGACGAAATGTCGTTTGTTTTTAACAAAGTGTTGATTCTCGAATCAAAAATCTCTTTCAATTTTGGCGTTGGATGAACAGGATTAACAAGAATATTGCCAACAATATCAAGGTTTGGAGTGGTTGCAGTTATATAATTGACAGACATACCACCCATTGAGTGACCAGCCAATATAACTTTTTTTATTTTCAAATGCAGAAGTAAATCAACTACATCTTGTTTGATACTTTCGACTGTTAAATCTTGTGAAATGTTTTCAAAATCAAGATTACTGGAGGATGAAGAAGCACCAAAGTTGTCAAATATAATACAAGAATGGTTGTTCTGATGGGATAGTTTTTTGGCAATTGAATAATAAAAATTTTGAGACGAACCTAATCCATGAATGAATAGAATTGCTGAAGAAGAATTTGCATTCTTGAAAAACGTATAATTGATACAATGGTTTAAAGAGGTCTTTAATAAGGCTGTAGTTATGTCAGTTAGAGAACCCATCCTGATAAAACTAATAATTTCCTAATCTCTAGTTTTTAATTTCTAATTTCCGATTAATCTCTCTATCAGAATACATTTATGGGTTGAAATTGTGTTTGCTTTATATCTGGAATATGAGGAGCAATTTTATTAATGTAGGCTATATCCGCTTTTTTATCTGCAAGTTTAAAGTTCTGCTCAAATAATTTAAAAAAATATTATAAATTACAAATTGCTCAAAAAAATATATGGAATAAACATATCAAAGTATTAAAACGTTATAAACATCAAAATTAAATTAAATTAAATTAAATAACAAAAATCATGGAGTAATTCTTTTTATAAAGAGGATGCAGGTCAACTGCTGTACTAAATAGTTGGAGCATGGGGCATTGGAATTGGTTTAAAGTGAAAGTAAGTATTTTGATCATTTGCAATACCAGAATACATGTTATACCACCCAATGCAAGAAGCAATTATTCCCAAATATCCACCAGCTTTAGTGACATTAACATTTCCTGTAAAGGTACCAATTGTCAACATTAAAACAAAGAGGTTGATAAAGACAAACAACAAAAAGAAACCCCAATCAGCTTTTAAAGTGCATAATAACAAAAGAAAAGAGAAAATCATCCATCCAGTCAAAAAAAAGCCCATTGCGTTATTAAATTCTTCCTCTGTTTCGTAGCTTGATCTGATTCCAAACGAATCTGTGAGAATTGGAGCATAACTTAACCAAAAGCCTGCGTAGCCGGCCAAAACAACACCAGCAAAGGTGTTTTCCAAAAACAAAGCAATAACACCGGCAATTAACTCAATAACACCACCAAAGAAAAACGATGCACCAATGACAATATTAACATTTGTAACACCTCTCACTTGAGCATTCACTAAAGAAATAAATAAAACACAGAACGAGAAAGTTGCCAATCCTAATGGGACAGGGTTGGCAATCCTGTTTTGAGATTTATGAGAAATACCAGGATTTAGAAACCCCCCAAATGCGTTCATCAACTCTTCTCTATGAAATGATTGTTCACCTAAATGAATAATATCACCATTATAGGAAGTTGTTATCTTTGATAGTGGTTTAGACATATTATTGTCCGTAGTTGGATAATAATTTTTTGGACCATCTTCACTTGAGACAGACTTTTCAAGATCAGGAGAAAAATGGTTGCTGTTTGACATTTCTTCTAAATGGGAAACTGATAACTCAGAGGTTTTTTTAACTGGGGTTGGCATAAATAATAATTACAGAAGAAAACCTGTATAAAAATATGAATAAGAATAAGTAGTATTCGATATAGGGTTAAAAAATTATATTAATCAGCATTAGTAATTAAATTTTTTAAGAGAATTTGTCGATTTTATATACGCTGAATATTTTATTCAATTTTTAAAAATGCAGGCTTCTCCAAAATCCAGCAATGGAAAACGAAAAACTAGAGAACCATCATTGATTTGAAAAGAAAATCCATCAAAACTCCACTTTTCGATTTCAGCCATGCATTTCCTATGTTGTATTCCCCTGTAATTTTTGTGCATTTACATATTCTAATTTGACAAAAAAATAAAATTTTCTCAATTAAAACGTAATATTGTTCAAGAAGGAAAAAACACCAAATTAACAGACTCGCAATGACGCACTACTCCACATCAATATCCATTGCATTTCTTTTGGAAAAAGGTGCTAAAAACTTTTTTCAGAAGGAACCACAGCTATTTCCAGCTGGAGTTTGAAATGGAAACCTCCAAAATAAACAGTTCGGTATAAGTCCGTTAAAATCAAACTGAACACTAACCGTTTTGCCACAGTAAGACACGTCTTGGTGCATAACACAACCGTGGCGGATATAGCTTTGGGTCGAAAACATAGACCGCAAAATATAAATATGCACAGGAATCCTATAGCAAAGGATCAAAGGGAGTTTTTGTTTCATGGCAGAGAATCAAATTTACTTGGATATAGCTTAAAATTTCTTGTATATTACATACTATTTTAACAAGCAGAGTTTTCAGATTCCTTCATCCCAATCTTCAATACTTTTCTAAAACTAACACTTCTATAATGTCGAGTTTTTCTCCAAGAATTTCTTCTCTAGTTTCTTCTGAGGCCACCTCAAAGATTAAAAGATTTATTTTTGAATTTTTCAAAGTATCTGACACAAAACCTCCAGTTGTTCCATCAGAAGATCCTTACTTGAACTTCTTTACTGAGAATGCGTTTGTTCAGATGGCCTCGAACCACTTTCAAAATCACCAATATATTGGTACTTTAAGACAAGGAATGTGGAAAAGTGTTACAAAAAGACACCACATTGTATTGAATGTTGCTCAAATTACAGATAACGAGTTTTTGATCAATGGAACTGTTGACTATAAATTAATTAACGAAAAAGACTTATCCACTCCCTGGGCTGCCCATATGGTTTTTGAGGATTTTTCAATTGAAAATCCCAAGATGAAATACTACCAAGTGTATTTAGATTCTAGTCAAGCAAAAGAAGCTCTCAAATAGGTAGTTAATATTATTTAATAAAAACAAGCCATGTAATAAATATATACCAGTACAAATATTAAAATGTATTATCATATATTATTCCAGATCCTTCAACTTCGTTCAAATTATACATGAATGCATTTAGTAGTTCCATTTCAACATCCTGTTTTTGGTTGAGACCACCCGTATAGTTATCATAATTGGCTGTGCCAGTATTCGCTGTAATATTTCCATTTTTATTGCTCAACTCAGTTGAAACGAATTGGTTAACGTCAATTGGAGTAAACAACCAATCTTCAAATCTATTCATTTCATCCAAATCTTGAATGACCCCACTAGAGCTTCCGCTCCCAGGATCAATATAGTTATTCGGATATTGTTGGCTTGAATTGATAAACGAAATGTTCATGAAACCTCCTTCTTGTTGCCCAACCCCCAAATTGGTTTGAAGGTTATTGTAATTGTTAATGTTATGTGTATTTATATTATTATTATTATTATTATTATTATTATTGTTATTATTGTTGTTATTATTATTATTGAGTTGTTGGTTCTCTTCACCAAGATTTTCTCTCAAGTCAGATTCAGGATATAATGAATGCGAAGTTTTCAATCCAAATGGTTCTCTGCTTTGAGTTGGGTTATTATTCATTACCATATTTTTGGGAGGAATGTAGATTTTTATTGAATCATACATATCAACTAAAATCTCCTCAAACCGGGCAGCAGAAGAATCAATTTTAGCATATCGATGTAAAGATTCTATCCCGGAAACCATGATTTTTGAGTGTTTTATCACAGCATTGTAACATTTTTGATATTCTTTTGTCAATGAAAGCCTAAGTTTCAATATATCCAATAGTAGAATTAGTCCAATTATCAATCCGGCATTTAAAAGACAATTAATTAAAACATACGGTTTAATGGGGTCAATATCCCGCTTAATAAAGAAATGAACCAATCTGATTGTAAAAATCGCAGCTTTTAAACACGAATCTGCAAATATTTTTATGATTGAAATATTTTCAGTTTCGTTATAAATATTATTTTCATTTTCATTCACATTCACATTCCCATTCCCATTCCCATTCCCATTCTGATTCTCATGATTTTTATTATTAACATTAATATTCTTATTGTTTCCAGCACGTAAATTGGTATGATTATTATTTACAAAATTAGATTTAATTGCAGCATTTTTAATCTCATCCAAAGAGGTTGATATAAAGTATCGAAAAAAAGGTCTTGAAAGCAATATAATACCATGCAAATGAGTCAAGTGTAATAGTAACAAGGGATGATGGATATATCTCTGAACACCACTTTTATTTTTATTTATGCTATCGAGTGAATCCAAAGTGAGTAAGTTTTCCAACTGTAGTTGTGCTGGTAATTTCATTGACCATTCTTTCAAGCTTACAGCTAATTTACTGGCTGTATCCGAGTTTATTTTGGATGATTGGTAGACATTTTCATAAATGCAGCCATTTAAAGAACATAATTTGACCAACTGGTTTTCACAAACAGCTGTAAGATTTTCATTAATTTGAATAGGTATGCTATTCATGTCATCCCAAATGATGTTATTAATGGATAAGGGACGACCTAGATTTACAGATGAAAATCTATCACAAATATACAAGCTTCTCCATAAACGTCTTCTGTGTAAAACATAGCCTTTGTTGCTAAAGGATTCATTAGCGTATCTTTTATTTAAGCCTAATGATTCAGCATATCTTATGGCTATACCTAAATTGATCCATGATGTGTTTCTTTTGTTACTAGCTTGGTAGATGAAAAACATTAAAAAATAAGCCTCGACCAACCATAGATTTCCATCCTCTATTGTATTAGTTAAAACACTTAATCCACTTTCAAAAAACACAGAGTAGTGAACGAGATTTTTATAAGGTATAGAGCTAGAACTGTTTTGGTTGTTATTGGAATCTATATTTGTATTGTCGGTTGCATTTTTATTGGTGTCTTCAATTGAACAATTGTTGTTAATGCATGCAGCATATATTGAAGCCAAAGCAAATATTAAATATAATAAACAAAGTTTATGTGGTTTTGCTTGTATTGGATTTAAATAAACCTGGTCAACTATTTTGCATTTCAAGTAGTCGACATTGAAAATGTAGCATAGTTGGTTGACATTTTGAATAAATAAGTTGACTAAAAAATCGCAATAGTCTCGTAATGGTAGTTGTGTTGGAATATTTTGAGATAATCTAAATGCAGGAGCATCTTGGATATTAAATCTTTTGGGATCCTTCACAAATTTGGAGCTAGTGAGATCAGGTAAATTTGAATGAAGTGGGCTATCTAGCTTATTAAAAATTTTTCTACATTGGGCCAATAATGATAGAGGAGAACTTTCGCCGATATATCTTAAATTGCCTGAGGTATCCCATAGTAATCTCAAGTTTTTGCCATTTTCGACACTAGGAACTCTGATGTTTGATAATTTTGAGTTCTTTGAATAAGAGGAAGGAAAATTCAATAAGGGTTGTAAACTTGATGGTATTGTTGAACCGTTGATTAAAGAAACTTCTGAAGAAGAGCGTTGAAACTCAGGATCATTAATATTAGTGTCGCTATCAGTTTGTATATTGCTGTCGTTGTTACTAATAGAGGTATTATTATTTGTAGAAAGAATTTCAGAGACATTATTGCTTATGTCTTGGGCAGTATTCAAAATGGCGTTAATATTGTACTCGACAGATGGGATAGCCGGTAGCTGATCGTGAAGAGCAAGGTTATTAGATGTATTTGGTATAGTTTGTACTTGTATGTTTTCAATATTACTGGCATTCAGAGGATTTAAATTAACTTGAGGATCGTTCAGATTAGAACAAATGTTTGTCTTCATTGCAGTTGGGTTGTTGCCAGTGTCATAATTTTCAGCTCTCTTGATGCTGTTCGAAGGGGTGTGTCCATTTTCAGATTTTTTTCTAGTATTACGATGACTATTTTTGCTGTTGTTGTTAACTGAAGGGGTTTTCAAATGACTATACCTTATGCTTCTCTTGTCAATGATCGAGTAAGTGCAACGATCGTTTTTTTTCTTGCAGTTGGCACAGGGCTGGCTTCCATCGCACTAAAGGGTTGTATCCAAACGAGCAGTTAGTGTCTGTTTTATTTCCTTCTGCTAAGACAGCAACGCGAAACATACTTTTTTCTTTCTTGCTTTGCAGATGTCGCAGGCCCTGCTTATTCTTCTTCGGTCCTGGATAGCTTTGGGCATATCTGAATGTGTACTTCCACTTTGAGGAAAACGAGATGGAGCTGCACATCCTGATGGCTCTGGAGGTGGAAAGTTGCGATAAACTGAAAAAACCATTTATTAGCGGTAGAAAAGGCCTGCCTCTTTTTGTGGGGAACGGCCATTGCTGACTTTGACAAACAGCTTCCACTGTCGGAAGTAGCCCGGAAGTAGCCCGGCGTCGATTCTTCAGTTCTCTATTATCTATCTATTATCTGGTGTTTATTATCGCTATCCACTAGTTGCTGAAGCCCAAACTACACTACTCTGCTCTTGGCTCCTACTCCTTCACAAAGAGGCCTGCGTAGCCCTGGCCTGTGGAGGTGCACATTGAAACCACACCCAACTCCCCATTGGCTGCGTCCAACCCATTCAACAAGGTCGCAATGCATCTGGCTCCTGTTGCACCCAAGGGGTGGCCCAAGGCAATAGCTCCACCATGGGGATTGACCTTCTTGATGTTGATGCCTAGCTGGTTAACGACGTACAACGACTGTGACGCAAAGGCCTCGTTCAACTCCCACACATCAATATCCTTGCTTTCCAACTGCAACTTTTTGAGCAATTGGGGAACTGCAAACGCAGGCCCAACACCCATCAAGTCAGATGGAACTCCTGCAACTGAAGCACTGATGTATCTGGCAATGGGCTTGAGAGAGAGTTCTTCGGCCTTTTCTCTTGTTGTTAGAATAACACACGATGCACCATCAGAAATTTGCGAGGCGTTACCGGCAGTCGTGAAACCATCTTCGGTGAATGCTGGCTTTAAACTGTTTAGCTTTTCGATGGAGATGTTAGCTCGAATACCATCGTCCTTGATTATTTCAACGTCTAATTCCCCTTCTTCGGTGCTTCTAGCTTTAATTGGAATGATTTCTTTAAGAAAATGGCCAGACTCTGTTGCCTTTGCTGCCTTTTGGTGACTGTTGAATGCAAATTCATCTTGGTCCTTTCTGCTGATTCCGTATTTTTTAGCAACATTCTCAGATGTTATACCCATGGGCATTAAGACATTACGAGCTTCATCGTTGGCAATGTTATTCAACAAGCTTTGAGAAGTTCTTGTGGGAATTCCTCGATGAGGAAAATAGTCAAATGTCATTGATTCAACACCGGCAGCAATACCAAACCCGTAATCCTCGCTTCTGATTGAATTTGCAGTATATGTGACAGCTTGAGCAGATGACGAACATTGTCTGTTCACTGTATTGATAGTTGTGGAGACTGGGAATCCAATTGACTTGATAGCAACTGCACTGTTTTTTTGTCCTCCCAATGTTTGTAATACTGTTCCAACAGTCACCTCATCAACATGCTTGGGGTCGACTTTGGCCTTCTCTAAACCACCTTTCACAACTTGATATAATAGTTCTTCTGGATACATGTGAGCCAATCCTCCCTTCTTTGCTCTAGTTACTGGAGATCTGACTGCAGCCAAAACCACTATATCCTTTGGCGATTTATTAACTACTTGCTTTATTAAAAATGACATGTTCTATTAGTGATGATTGAATTTGTATGATTGAATTAGTTGTGTTTGAACTAGTAAAACTTGTAATCAAAAAGAAAAAAATAAACAAATACAATTGAAATAAAATAAAAAAAAAACATGGACATAAATATGATAATATATATCAAAGATATCGTAGTTTAAAACTCAAGTTGTTTTTTTTTAAAAGCTACTTCCAGTATAGTTTAATGTTTTACTCAGTCACTAGGGCTAAAGATCTATGAAAAATAACCAGAAAAAAAGAAAATATACAGAATTTACAGAATTCACGAGTTTATTCAGGAGTAATAATAACTTAACTGCATGGATATTTGGTTGTTATAATAATTATTCCTCTAATTTGCTCAAAAATTCACCTTTGATTTCAAATTTGAGTTATTTCAGAAACTACACCTTTTGATTTTATTGGATGGAAAATTGTCATTGCAAGCTATTTCCGCAAATCATTATTCAACATCTATTTCCGCAGGAGACAAAAGTTAAATTGCCAATGACACTGACACTAATGACAATAATAAATCCTCTTTTAATTGATAAAGAATGTATAAATAACAAGACAATTCAGTCAATTGATAATACCAAGAAAATGAGATCAAAAATAATATCATTTATTCTCTGTCTATTGCTGAGGAGAGATACCAAAATTCATTAAATAAAATTAAGATCAAGATTAAGATTAAGATGAATTTTCTTCAGACTAGAAAAGCTCTTTTTGCTAGTAGTGCAAATTCATTGAATCTATCAAAGTGTATTATAAACACTATTAAAGTCAGATACCAATCAACCCAAACCCGATCCAAGGTGGTGAATTCGGTAGATGAAGCATTGGATGGGGTCAAGTCGAACATCACTTTGTTATCTGGTGGATTTGGACTATCAGGTCTACCTGAAATGCTTATCAATGGTCTTTTGGCTAAAAAGGATATCAATGGGATCACAGCTGTTTCAAACAATGCTGGTATTGATAAAAGAGGTTTAAGCAACTTATTGGAAAGTGGGCAGATCACAAAAATGATAAGTTCGTATATTGGCAATAACAAAACATTTGAAAAATTATATCTCTCTGGAAAAATTGATTTAGAACTCTGTCCACAGGGAAATTTAGCTGAAAGATGTCGAGCAGGTGCTGCTGGTATACCAGCTTACTACACTGCAACTGGTGTAAACACATGGATAGAGGAGGGAAAACTACCTGTTCGTTATGATCCCAACGATAACACTAAGGTTTTAAAAACATCCAAACCAAGAGAATCGCGAGTTTTTAACGGTAAAAAGTATTTGCTAGAAGAAGCAATTGTTGGTGACGTTGCTTTTGTCAAGGCATTTAAAGCAGACACATTGGGCAACTGTTGGTTTAAGGGCTCTGCAAGAAATTTCAATTCAGTTTTTGGTAGAGCAGCCAATTTAACCATCGTTGAAGCTGAAAATATTGTGGAACCAGGAGAAATACAAGCCGAAGACGTTCATTTGCCTGGATTGTATGTTGATAGAATTATTCAATCGAATTCGCCAAAGGATATTGAGATCTTGACTTTAAGCAAAGATGAAAGCACAGCAAGTGATGCTGGAGACAAACAATTGTCGCCTGGCGAATTAAAGAGAATCAAAATAGTCAAAAGAGCTTCACAGGAATTTGAAGATGGAGTTTATGCTAATTTGGGAATTGGTATGCCAACACTTGCTCCAAACTATTTGCCAAAAGAGATAGAGGTTAATTTGCAAAGTGAAAATGGGATTTTGGGCATGGGACCTTACCCCAAACCAGGCGAAGAAGATGCAGATTTGATTAATGCCGGAAAAGAAACCGTTACACTAAAGCCAGGAGCTTCTTTATTTGGATCTGAGGAGAGTTTTGCGATGATCAGAAGTGGTAAAATTTCGTTGACAATGTTGGGAGGACTACAGGTGTCGAAGTATGGCGATTTGGCCAACTGGGGATTGCCAGGCAGAATCAAGGGAATGGGAGGTGCTATGGACCTAGTGTCGAGCCCCGAAAGGACGAAGGTTGTTGTCTTGATGGAACACGTTGATAAGAAGGGCAGGCCCAAGATACTCGACGAGTGCAAGTTCCCACTCACCGGAGCCAAATGTGTAAGTAGAATCATCACAGACCTCGCTGTGTTTGACGTGGATAGCGAGAGAGGCTTGACTCTTATCGAAATCGACGGTAGCAGTACTGTGGAAGAAGTAAGAGCAGCTACAGGCTGTGAGTTCGCAGTCTCGCTGGATCTCAAGACCATCGAGGTCTGAGCATCGAAACACACTGCAAACAGCTCCAAACACTCCTGCTGAAACAGCTCTCAAGCCCAAATAAGGCTCTGTGTTGCCTCTGTTTACCATTTTGGCCTCGCATACCGCTCCCGTCGTTCTATTGGCCCAAACACAATAAAACCGTTTCTGAATTCTGTTTCAAATCCAACAATTCTGGTCTGTGCTCTCAGAGCCTAGATTATCTTCTCTGGAACAATCTGTGTTGTTTCAGCTTCGTTATCTTGCTCTCACACTTAGGGTTTGCTGCCATTGCAAACCAATGCCAATCCTGTTTCCTGAATCGTATCGTTTATAGGAGCTGACAACTATCGCCATCTGCTTTGCTGTTTTCCAAATCTCTTACACAGCTTATTCATTTACGTCTTTCTGCTATTCCTTTTTTTTCTTCTATATTTTATGCTGCTTTTGGTCACTTGAAATTCATTTCATCTGTCAGTATCTCTTGCTCTATCGCTTTTAACCTCGACTCATGGTTTGTAGATTAAATCCAAATGATTCAGAAAATGGAGGTGAACAATGAAAGAAAAACATCAAAAAACGTGTTTAAAAACTATTCAAAAAGATTCAGCATAAAAAACTTCCGGAGAAACACTTATCACTCTCAGAATCTCCCTTATGCTGAAGCTAAAGAAGAAACCTTCGTTGAGATACCATCTTCAAATTACAATTCAAATTTTGACCCTCAAATAATATTCAATACCAACATTTTTAACAATACCAACAACACCACTGCTAATCACAGTCAAAATCGCAATCACAATCAAAATCACAATATCAATATCAATCCCTGGGACAGCAACAGTGCCAGCAATATAATCGCCACTGACCCATTCGACGCAACACACTTAGATGATCCTTTGTTTCAAAACAACTGCCATAAAGACAATTTAAAGTCTTTCGCAAAAGCAAGTTTTCTTAACTCAAGATTCAAAAACAGAAGAAATAGCTCAGCCAACGGTGTCTATAGGAACGAAAACATTAACACTGTGCTGCAATCCTCATTTCATGGCTCTTATTCCAGCATTATAAACAACCCTGATCTCGATGACCGTTGTCCAATAGATTATATTGACACTTTACATTCTTATCCAAGTTCAACTTCAACTTCAAATTCAATAGTAAACTCAAGCTCAAAAGAAACACAACCAAATCTCAAAAAATCAAACAGACACACCTGGATGGGTGTCCTATCTAAAAATGAAAAAAGAATCTCAAAAACTTTTGATACAAAACACCTATTATCTTTAAAAAGAAACGCCTCTCGAACTTCGAGATCCTACAATCAAATTAATTCGGATCAGCATGAACGTCTAATAACTACTATTCTGTATGACAGATTAAACAATAACAATTTAATCAAAAACAACATCGTCGCTATTAAAATTCAAACTACAAATTCCAACAAAACTGACAACAACACAAATAAACTCGTTAAAATAGGCAAAATCGTCAAGTATGTCACCTTATCAATTACAACAATAGGCCTAATTGGAATTTACAACCTACAATTAAAATTAGTATACTTGCCATCCTTAAATGATGGCCTCAGCCAGATAGATACCCCTAGTCAATATGGTATGCCATATGAGGAGATCTTTTTAAAGACATCAGATATGGTAATGCTACAAGTCTACGTCTTACGCCAGAGACTCAATAAAGCTTACAAAAATAGAAATAAAAATAAGTCCTATAAAAATACTACCATCGTAATATTATGTCCAAATGCTGGAAATATTGGCCATTCATTGCCAATAGTCCAAATATTCTATAAAAGTTTTCACTATAATGTGGTCATTTACAGCTATAGAGGTTATGGAAGATCAACTGGCTCACCAAATGAATCTGGTTTGAAAATTGATGCTCAAACTATTTTAACTTTTTTGAGTCAAGATCCTGAGTTTAAAAAAAGTAAAATTATCCTATATGGCAGATCCATTGGCGGCGCTGTTGCTATCTACATGGCTTCCTTAGCCTCAATAACTTTATCAAGAAATTTACTTCAAATCGAAAATGGCCCACAAGAAACAAAATCTGGTAATTTTCTTAATAAAATTAATTCAAATGAAAATTCTCATTCTAGAAGTAATACTCTTTCTTCTGACATACATTCAAATGTCCATCATTCGAAAATACCTAAAAGTTTTTCAACTGGAAGCGTGCCCAATTTAAATCTTCAAAGTTCGTTTGATTTGCCTAAAGATTTCAAGATATCCGGTTTAGTATTAGAAAATACCTTTTTAAACATCAGAAAGGTCATCCCTTACATTTTCCCAATATTATCCTACCTTTCATTTTTATGCCATCAAGTTTGGCCCTCTGAAAGATATATCACACTAATCGATCCCAATATACCTACATTGTTTTTATCAGGTCAAAAGGATGAAATCGTGCCTCCTGATCATATGTTTCAATTATATAAATTATCAAATTCAAAGACAAAAGAAATTCACCTATTCAAAGATGGTTATCACAATGATACCGTCAATCAAAGGTTCTATTGGAAATATGTTCATAACTTTATTGAAGCAATTTCTATTTAATTGTTGTTTGTTGTTTTTTTTTATTTTTTTCTATTCCACACACTTTGATTAAAAAATAGCTCAATTTATTTGAGACCCTAATTTTTTCATCATTCAAAGTTTTTAATACCTTATACCAGTGTTCATTCAAAAAATTACCTTGGCTTGGATTTAATAGGTGCTCAAAGATCTAAATGTTTTATATCTCTTTGTGATGAATTTATTATTCAATTGGTTATCAAAAATTCTTTTCTGTCGCCAATATTTCAAATAAAGATTGTATTAAATGATCTAATTATATATTACGAAAGCATTGACCCAGATTTTATAGGCAAAATCCAAAATAAAACCCTGAGCAACTAATCCAATTTTTATTTTTTTATTATTTTACCTATTCTCGTATTATAGTATGTGAGCTCTAGCTTGCTCTTTGGAGATAAAGTCATTCGCTATCAAAAGTTTTTCTTTTCATTTTTTTGAAGGTTTATCACATCAATTTTTATTTTTATTACATCAATTTTTGTTTTAGATACTATTTCTCGGTTTCCTGATCCCCCATTTAATTAATAATTAATCATTAACTATTTACACCATTCCATAGTTTAAATGTAGCAAATTAGAGTATTTTCCGTTTTCGATCTGTAGAATATAATACAAACACGTGTGCGGATTTTGGTTTTTTGACACGATGGTAAATATTTCATTTGATAGCCTTATTTTAAGAAAGTATAAGTTATATTTGTAAAGATTAGATTGACGTTAATATAAAGATGCATTTCTTTTCTTACAATGTGTTTGCCATTCTATCGATATTCTTGATACAAGTGAGTAAAATTGCTTGTGCATCGTCATCTTCTCAAAATGCAATTACAATCAATAATTCAGTTATTAGTAATTCGTGGGAAAATCTTGAAATTGAATCAACAATTGATTTATTGAAAAGTTATACAAAACAATTGGTTCAGTTAAAGGTTAGAAATATTGGATCTACAAAGAACTATTTTTATTATTACCCAATTGAATCGAATTTGTTGGATAAAATTGCGTTATATTCTGCGGTCAAACCATTCAATTTAAAATCAAAGAAAAGTTTGCAATCTTTTCATGTTGAGATTGTTAAAAAAAACGAGATTGATCTATATATTGATAATGGTGGCGATGATGGTGGTGATTATGATGATGGAGAAAGTGAAACAATAAATAAGGATTTTTTTTATTTAAAGATTTTCATTGATGGTGGTATTAGTCCAAATTCAATTTTGAATTTTTATCTCCAATTAACTTTTATCAATAATTTGAAACCATTCCCAGAGAAGATTGATCTTCAAGACGATACGAATATTTTATTCAATTTATTGAAATATCCTTATTCGCCATATACCACCAATAGTTACAAATTTAAAATCGTTGGATTAGCCAAGGAAAAAGAAATAAAATTGATTGGTAAGGAAGACGAATATTTGAATAGTTTGGAAGATTATAAGATTGGAAATTCAAACGAATTCAAGTACAATAAAGAAATCAAGCCTTTTACATATTACCCAACATCAATTTTGTATGAGAGAAAGGCTCCGTTACCTTATGTTTATAATTTAAAAAGAGATTTATGGGTTTCTCATTATGCAAATTCGCTATCAGTGGAAGAATACTATGAGTTAACTAATAAAGCACATGAGTTGAAAAAAGGATTTTCAAGATTAGAATACATTAAAAGCAGATTGACAATGACGCCATCCTTTGTTTTAATTGCATTAGATGTGGTGCTACCGAAAGATTTTGATGGAGCTTATTATTATGATAAAGTCGGTAATGTTTCAACCTCAAGAATAGTTAAGGACAACCATTTAATTTTGAGACCAAGATATCCATTGTTTGGAAACTGGAATTATAACTTCACCATTGGCTGGTCTTTGAAACTAAAAGATTATGTTAGAAGAACTAACTTGGTTAATTCTAATGACGAGTATATTTTGAAGTACAATCTATTAGACGGACCAAGCGATTGTTCAGTCGAGAAGATGGAGCTTTCGATTTATTTACCAGAAAACAGCAAAATCATAGATATCCAATCTCCTATACCATACACAAGCTTGGTCAATTCAACAGAAAACTCATTTTTGGACTTCAAGGGACACCAGAAATACACATTGGTGTACAACAACTTGATCGACGAATTCAGAAGCTCCCAGATCATAGTCAAATACAAATATGATGTTAACAGCTATTTGCTAAAGCCCTTTTTGATCGGGCTATATCTCTTTGCTGGATTGATCCTATTCAGAGTTTTTTCTAAATAGCTAACACAATACAATAAATAATATCTCAGGCTTAGAGATAACCTGATACATAGCTATTGGTTCTTGAACCAAAAATACGATATCTGTTATTCTCAGATTGCTTTTGTCTACACGTGACGTCGGACTGCAACCGAAGCACGGAAAAGCAAAAGAGGCTCCTTTTGTGCATTGTTCAACAATAAAGTTCGGCATCGGAAAATCTCTGTCCAATCAGAGTGCGTGTCTCGGCTCGAGCCAGCTTCACAAGTTCGGGTTGAGCTGTTTGAGTCAGACAAAAAAGGCCAGTGCCGGCCAAATTTAGCTGGCGACCTCCAGAAAATGGTGCTGGAGGTGCGTGGAAATGGCAGCAACAATAACGCAGCTCCGGTTTCAAAGTCTCCACAAAACCGCCCAGCATTCCATCCGAGCATTCCAGATCCCGCAAAAAGAGCTTTTTTAGCCTCGGCTAGATTTCTTTTGGGGCGTTCTTTTGGGTTCTTGCTGCAAGAAATGGGTTGTTTCTTTCACCAACCAGAACCATTTTATTAACCATTTTGCTACCACAGGTTGGCCTATATAAGTGCCGTTTTGGTTCTGCTCAGTCTTCTCTAACCAGGTTGCAACTCAGCATAAATTTCTTCCAAATTTCAAGATACTTTGCATCATTGAATCCCGAACAATGACCACACATTATACTTTGCCAGATGAAGCAACAAAAATTCTCTTGGAGTTTTTATTGAACGATAGTAAATTAGCTGTTCCCCAGCATTTCTTGAGATTTAAAAATTCAGTTCGATTCAATTCCCCAAGCAACACTAAATCCCCATTTTTGCCAACCTCTTTGAAAATTTCTGAATCATGTATTGCATTGTGGGCTCTTCTAGCTGTGTTGACTAATGGTATCCTCAACCTCAGATACAACACTCCAATTCAAGACCTAACTTCAGACATTAACATTGATGCAGCTATTCTATACTTGGCTTCCCATTTTTTCTTGACTTTTAATGGAGAAACAAGCATTTCTCCTAGACTAATCGCAAGGGGAATTTCTTATGATCTCCACAAAAACATTTCTGATCCATATCGAGCCTCATTGACCAATATTTATCAAACTAGGGATAACAAATTTTTCCTTTTGCATAACTCATTAAATGCAACCCCAGGTTTGAACTTATTGGGTTTACCTGAAGATATAACCAAACTAAATCTTCAGAAATTATTTCCCAATCAGCAAAATCCATCTAAAGAGGACTGGTTCAACAATTTTAATAATCACATCAAGAAAAAATTTGATAGTAAGTCTTTAGATATCCTCACAAATGAAAGATATAAACAAGCAGGTACAATTTGCTATAAATATGATGACTTCCTTAAAACTGATCATGGAAAAGCAATTCAAAATCATTCACTTTATCAAATTAAAAAAATTCCAGACTCCACTCTTCTTCCCCCAATTCCTTTTAACAACTCTCCAAAAACTTTATCTCACTCCACCAAAAAAAATTCAAAGCCCTTAGAAGGTATCAAAGTTATTGACTGTTCAAAAATTATTGCTGGTCCAGTTATTGGTAAAATCCTAGCGTCGTTAGGTGCTACTGTCTTGAGAATCTCTTGCCATGACACTCCAGAATATGCTTTCTTTCTATATGATTCAAACTTGGGTAAGAGAGATGTAAATTTAAATCTAAAATCAAAGCCAGATAAACTAATATTCGATTCTTTACTAAATGATGCCGATATCATAATCGATGGTTATAGACCCGGCGTTTTAGATAAATTAGGCTTTTCAAAAAATTATCTCAGTTTTATAGCTGAAAGAAGAAAGAAAGGTATCATTATTGTTGATGAAAATTGTTATGGTTTTGATGGCCCCCTTAAAAACAGATCTGGCTGGCAGCAAGTCGCTGATTGTTTAACTGGTGTAGCATTTAAACAAGGTGAATTCTTAGGCCGTAAAAATGAGCCTGTTTTACCCTTTTTCCCAACTTCTGATTATTTAGTTGGCGTCACTGGTGCTTGTGCTGCACTACAAGCCTTGTATAGAAGAGCAACTGAGGGTGGCTCTTACCTCGTTCAAACTTCTTTATGCCAAATTGATTTGTTTTTGCTAAAACTAGGTGAAATACCAACCCAATTTCAAAATAAAATTAAACAAAAATATATCAATGATCCTGAAAATCCAGCAAATAATGTTTTCAAATTAAGATTCTTTAATGATATGCAATCCATGAATATGGCTATTTTTTCTTATTTAAAGACTTTTCATCAAACCCTAGTATTAAATCCAAGTAATATCTCACTTACTGACTCTAAATGGGGAAAGTGCGATGAAATCGTTGGCTATTTAAAGTCTCCCGCTCAATTTAATACTTTTGATATATCCTTTGAAATTGGTACCTGTCAAAGAGGTTTTTATGAGCCCAAATGGCCATAATTTAATATCTTTTATTTCCAAATTTCACTCCGATATTCACTCTTCAATATTCACTCTTCAGTCTTTAATATCTAATATCTAAGTTTCAGAATTTTGACTTTAAATTTTTTTAATTATTTATTTTATTTTATTTTATTTTATTTTATTTTATTTTATTTTATTTTATTTTATTTTATTTTATTTTTTCTATTTCAATTTGAACTTTTGCTATTAAATTTTATTTTGTTTAATTCTCAAACATTTTTTATTTCATTTTTCTTTATTTCACTTTACTTCATTTCATTTCATTTTATTTTACTTTATTTTGGTTTTTTATTTATATTCTATAAATAATATTTATTTAAATCCTTTAGGAAAATTGTTTGCATTTTTAGGAAATTGAGGAAAGTTGTTTGAGTTTTTTACCAAATTTTTATACAAATATCTTTCAAATTTACAAATGATACTCTCGGACCTTACCACTCCATTTTTAATCCAAATACTCCAAGACCCCATTAAATTCGCCATTAAAACATCTGTAAATAATCGATCTCCAACAATTAATATCTCCTCAGGACCATTAACAATACCCCTTTTCTTAAAATGATCAATTATTTCATTATAACACCCAGGTTTCTTTGTGGAATGCCTTAAAACAGCTATTCCTGTTTCTTTTTCAAGTATTTTGGCTTGTGAATGATTAATATCATCATTTGTCCCCGCAGAATTGCTGACAATAAGAATATTGTTTTTAGAATAATAGTTTATTAGTTCTTTCCACTTTTCAGTGTATCCAGCATATACTTTATCATCACCCTTTTCAGCGAAACAATTATCTTTATCAAGAACTATTGCTTTTATTTTAGGCTGATTTTGTATAATAAACTGTCCGATCGGAACCTTTATCGAATTGAAATCATTGCAAACTTGATGAGGTAAGGCTAAATTGGGATTAAATAATAATCTAATGGAGTTCAAAGTTGCACTTATATTCATTTTCAATAAAAGAGAACAAGAACAAAAACAATAATCGGCTTTTATGTATAATAACAATACATTAGTTATGAAGCTAGTGAAATTATTGCACTGATTCCAATTTCAAAAGACATTACCCTGCGAAGTATAATTTTTGGGCGAAGATTTTTTTCTTCCTTCAATAAATCATGGCATTTTCGAACAGGATAATATTGAATAAAAAAAGATGAATGAATTGAAAAAATAAAATGAGTTGTGAAGATGGTTTATATTTTGGGAACAAATTCTATTAATAATCTTTTGGCTACTTCATTAGTGCCGGTTTTGAAAACAGGTGTGGTGCTATTATTCGGCAAAGAATTTATTTATAACAGTTTTCGAGAGAGCCAATCAACGATTACTATGAATTCTAAAAATTATAAGTTTGATAATTGTTTTGTTTATAATAAATTGAGTGAGATTGAAAAATTTAATAAAAAGCGGTATAAAAAAGCCACAATTGACAATATTATCATTTCTGGGACCGATTCCCAAATAAGTGAATATTTAAATTATTACAAATCGTTTTTAAATAATGAATCTAATGTCTTTTTGGTTAGAAGTGGATTAGGGATTGATAGTATTTTAGCGATTCATCAGATATTCATTAAAGAAAAGAGTCCATTACCAAATTTTTATCATGTAACAACAAATCATCTTATTGAAAAAACCGAAGAAAGTGATCATTCATACCAACATGTTGGTATTGGCCATTTAAAATTATCAAAGATTCCTAATAAGTATTTTAATATTGTTTTTAAAACATTTTTCAAGTCCAAGACAATTGGGGTGGATAGTTATAATTTGGGAATACAAAAGAAAACAACTGGCACAATTGATAACGTGCATAAAGAAAATCAAATTCTTACAAAAGACCTCAAACCATTTTTTAATCTGGAGGATAGTGATGAAAAAGAAGACAGTATAATCAATGGTAGTAGTGGCAGTAATGGAGATAATTCCAATGAAAATGTATTAGAAGATTTGAAAAAAACCAATTTAAAGCCAATATACTTGGAAAATTATTATGAGTTTGCTGGCTCGATGTTGGAAAAATTAATAATAAGTTCTATAATCGAGCCCTTATCGGTGTTAATAAATTGCACTAACGGAGAATTATTGGGCAATAATTATGCCATTAGTCTAATACATCAATTATTGAGTGAGGATTTATTACTTTTAGAGAAAGGAGGTGAATTATTTCGTTCAGAAATTCCCAATTATTCAAATATATTTAACCATGAACGAATTTTTTACGTTATTATGAGTATTTTAAATTCCAATAAATATGGATCAACCAATATGCGTAAAAATTTTAATCAAACAGAATTCGTTGATATTGATCAGCTAAATGGAATATTTATTCGAATCTTGGGTACAAAACACGCTCCAAAAAATGAAATGGTATTGAAGCTATTGAAAAGTAAAATGAATGTTACAAAATATAGGAAATAAGTATTTCAAAGATCTAAAAAAACACTAAATGGTATAATAAATACTAAAGGTTAAAAAGATGTTGGAATTTTCAAATAAAAAGTAAAATGCAGGCAGCATTTAATGATTTTCATTGTAAAGCAAGATTTTCGGAGAAAATTCTTGAACCTGTTTATATGAATATATTTCTATAAATTTTTGCGGCATTGAAATTAAGAAAAATGAAAGATAAAAAAAAGAAGTGAATTGACAATTATATAATCACTAATTTTACCAATTGACGATTTTAACCATTAATAATCAAATCATTAACAATCAGCCATCAAATTGTTAAATTGACAGAATTAGTTAACTGAATCAAGGTGAATAAAAAACAGGAAACCATTTTAATGGATCCGGTTCACGTGTATTTCATGCTTTTTCGCCAGGTCTAGACTCAGAAGCACCGGAAGCAGAAAAACCGATATTTACGGCTCGATCCGTTCGTGCTACCATTCTCAAAAATGGATTGGAGCTGTTTGGTTGAAGAGAAACAAAAGTTGGTTGTTCCAGCAGTGTAGCTCTTTAAACAGCAGCCCATCTACTGAAACTGGTAACAAACCAAATCAGATATACGAACTGTGTAACTCTTTAGTTTAAATTTAGAAGGAGGTCTAAAAGAATTGATTGTTGGGTTACAATAGGGAAGCACCCATAACTCAAATACACCTTGGAAACAAAAGAACTTTTAAATGATCATGAAAATCTCGTATTATTTAAGAAGATCATCAACGGAAAATTCTTGTGTTTTAAGCTTTTGCTGTCTTGATTGTTGGTGGATGTGCTGCCCAATTCAAAAATAAAGATTTTCCTGAGTTTCAAAATGAAATCACACTGAATATTTATATTCTCGATAGTTGTCGTAACTCCGAGCACTACAAAGCATTGTATCAAAACATAAATAATGGCAATTAATGTAAATTTGCAGCTGCTGTTTTTTTTGGAAAAAATCTTAATTCTATCACAATGGTTTAAAGATAGACAGGGACATATTACCCGAATAAGCCGGTATTAAGAGATAATAAGAATTGGGATAGCTGTATTCTTCTACACGCGTCAACATCAATTCATGAAACGAACTTAAGTTCATTTGGAAGATTTGCAGCTTCACAACTTCACATGTTTACGGTTTTTCAGCTTTACAATGAATTAATTAATTAATATTAAAAAACAATTGAAGTCCACAATGCTATATTTTTCATATAAAATGGAACCGTTTTTTTAAATGAAAAAATATTTTATTTCTTATACTAAATCATCTTAAAACTCATTCAAAGTTATCTATCTGATTATTCAGTTTTCAGTCATTCCTTTAAATTATTTTTATTAAAACTTTTATCCAAAAAAAAAAAAGAAAATGAAATTATTAGCTTCTTTATCTATTTTGTTAGCCATTTTATCTAATGTTTCTTCTAGACCCTTAGAAGCTCCGAAATTATCAAAACGTGATGATTGCATAATCAACACATCTTCTTTTGGCTCTATTTCATCAATTCAAAAAAACTGCAAAACCATTGTGGTTGAAAATCTTACTGTTCCAAAAGGGAAAACTTTAGATTTATCTTCTTTAAAAGAAGGTTCTACTGTTACCTTCAAGGGTAAAACTACCTTTGAATATAAAGAATGGAAAGGTCCTTTAATTAAAATTTCTGGTAAAAAGATTAAAGTCACTGGTAAATCAGGTCATGTTATTGATGGTGATGGTTCTAGATGGTGGGATGGTAAAGGAGGAAATGGTGGTAAGACCAAACCAAAATTCTTTGCTGCTCATAAAATGATTGATTCTACAATTGAAGGTCTTAATATTAAAAACACCCCAGTTCACTGTTTCTCAATTAACAATGTTCAAAATTTGGTTATTAGTGGCATTGTACTTGATATTAAAGATGGGGACAGCAATGGTGGTCACAACACTGATGCATTCGATGTTGGTTCATCGACCGGTGTTACTATCAAAGATTCTACTATCTATAACCAGGATGATTGTTTAGCCGTTAATTCTGGTAATGATATCACCTTTACCAATAACTATTGTTCTGGTGGTCACGGTATCTCTATTGGATCCGTTGGCGGAAGATCAAATAATGTTGTTGATGGTGTTTCTGTTTCTGATTGTCAAATTGTTGATTCTGATAATGGTGTTAGAATCAAGACTGTTTACGGTGCTACTGGAAAGGTTAACAATGTCAAATATGAAAATATCACTTTAAAAGACATTATCAAATATGGTATTGTCATACAAGGTGATTATGAAAATGGTTCTCCAACTGGTACCCCAACTGGCGGAGTTCCAATCACTAACTTAACCATTAAAAATGTCACTGGTAACGTTAAAAGCACTGGCCAAAATATTTATATTTTGGTTAAAAATGCATCAAAATGGACATGGAGCAATGTTAATGTCACTGGTGCTAGCAAAATCAAAAAACAATGTACCGGTATTCCATCTGGTTCAGGAGCTTCATGTTAGATATAGAACCGTCTAATATCTAGTCATTATATTTAAGTTTTATATAATGATTATCAGTCAAAAACTCGATTTTAAAGCATTTCTAACGTTAAAAAGAAATAACATATTGAATAAAAAAAATTAAATCAAATGCAAAAGATTGAATATGATATAAAAATTCATAATAAAATTGTAGAAACATATTATTTTTTATTACTTAATTTAAATTTTTTTTATTATTTTATAACGATAATAGTGGACAAGTTGTTACACATTTATAAATGTAATATTAACAGGCATTTTATAGGCTTTTGTGGTTGAAAGGTGCGCTCAGTTTCATATACAAAATAACCTTAGTGGTCATCTCTGAAGGGCTCCTGGATACTATTGTATGTGTCAATTTTTGGAATTTGTTGTTTTGAAAAAACATCCATAACCAGAGAGAGTTGCAAGTTACAATTATTGATTCCAATGCGTTTTTGTTATCTTTCATTTTTATATTATTACATTTGCGTTTTACACTTAAATTTATTCTACTGTAGCTAAGCCTGAACGTGGAACTAGAGGATCCCGACAGATTCGGGTTACTTAAGCCCGAACATATACTTAAAGCCGATAATTATCACGTGTGATAATAGCCAAAAAAAATCAACAATAAAAACATCCAACATTTACCGCAATGCTAAACAACAACATAAACCCATACACAGCACCAATTTTTCACCGATAATGTAATGGTTAAAGCAAATTGTAATTAAAAGGACTTTTATAATATTCTAAATAATAACATTTTATCAGATCAAAAGCGATAATTCAATTTAAACATAATTCAACTTAAATATAAATGATACTTTTTTATAAATACTCAAAACATTTTTTGTTTCTTTCAAAATCAGTTTAATTGAACCCACCGACTAAACATTGCATATTTACCCAATTAACAAAACCGATTATAACAAACTTTAGAAAACGAAATTCAAAAATATCAAAAACAAACATCAATTTTTTTTGTTCAAATATTGGTACTCTAAAAAAATTATTATTTCAGAACAGAGTCAAATAATTTACTTGTCTTCATAGTTTTTAAACAATAGTATTATACTTATTTTCATTGATTAAAAATATAATGTAATTCATAATAAAAATTTTATTAAACTGCTCATAGGATTAAAGCTGCCTCAAACGTAATTTTTATTTTTCACTTCCAAAAAGTTTACTTTATTAACTAATTTGAAATATTGTTTTGTTTTAATTTTCAACTTTTAACAAAAATCAGTTCAAAAAAAGTGGAATAACAAGCATTAAATAATATCGTAAATTAAAACATTATCTTTAATGATTTTCAAACCATTTGATTCACTGATAAGAAATATGAAGTTGCAATCAGGAAAAATTTTTAATAAAATAAATCGAACCAAATTATTTACTCCTATCATATACTACTATTTTCAAGATGAAACACACAATTACTTTAAATGTATTATTTTAATTCAAGCTAAACTATCAATATAAAAACTAATTAATTTCAATGGCCTTTTAATCTTTGATTTTATTTCACAAATAGCCCAACTGATAAGATAAATAATAAATTGAGTTTTAGTTGATTGGAACCTATTGATTCAAAAAAAAATACTTTTTAATTGAAATTGTTCATAAATATGACTCAAATCTGCTGAATATTGCCATAATTGAAATCAAAAAGGTGGTAAATGGAATCAACTTATATTTTTTAAAATAAATTATCCGAAAAAACAAAGTTTTTGCACCTAACTTAAAATGCTTTTCAATGATTCTTTTTTCCCTGTAACTACAATACAAGATCGTTTTAAATCACAAAGCAACTAATTATAAAAAACCGACATTGAGCTCAAAGTTCACTGCAATAGTTTGTGCAAAAACAGAAATTATTTTAACCTAAAGTATACTAATTTGTTCTATAACCATTGTTGTAATATATAGATATGATTAGCTACTACGGTCTTAATATCCTTTTCTAAATGATTTTCTGATAATCGAGCCTAGCTCTGTAGTTCAGTGATTTCAACTTGTAAAAATAAAACGCATTTTGTGTTACCAAAGCAACAACTGAACACTCTTTTTAGTTTGACTCTTAAAGTATTTGTATTTTGAAAATATTCTACGAAAAAATATTTCAAAAAAATAGTAAATAAATTAAATACCTGATCGATTTTTTTCAAAAGAAAGAAAAATCAGGTCTTGTTTATATTATTTAGAACATATATATTTAATAATAGATTTTTCATAATTAAAAAGATAAGACATAATTTGTAAACAAAATGAATTTGTAATCAATTGTAGATTTTTAATTTATTTTCTGAACCAAGGCTATCAAATTGTAAGATTCAAGTGACCGGTTGATAACACTATAAGACTCATAATCAATACAAATCTATGAGACCAATGAAGTGGAACTTACTCAATCAGGAAGTTTCTACCTTTATATAAAAAGATATCAAATTAGAGATAGTTGTGTAAAACAAAAAAAAAATAAGAGAAAAACAGATTTTTAAATATTGTAATAATTGTAGGCCCATGTAGTTTGCTCAAAGTAGGACAAAGACAATGAACAATATTGTAATAGTTTCCTTAGAATTATCAACAGTAATTAACTCTTTTTTGTTTATTTATTATTTTCTGACCACAGGACTAGCCTGTAGACCTATACACTATTTGGTTTTTACCCTATATATCCGAAAAATTTACTCTTTATTGGAAGCAACATTATAGAAATGCTCGAGCTTTTTTTTTTTCATTAATTGGTTCCTAGCAGAATTCTAGGACAAAGCAAGAGTTTAATTACAGAATACCAGGCGCTGATAGTTCTCTTACATTTTGATTAAAGTGAATTTTACTTTAAATGATGCAAAGCATCTAAGTTGAGACATGTCGACGCTTTTTTACGGTCTTTAAAACAAAACGGGTTTGAACCCCATCTAGGTTGTTCTTTATTTTAAGCGTATATCTTCCAAGTTCTAACAAAAGCAATAAAAGTCAGAAAAAAAAGCAAATTACAAAAGGAATATAAAAGAAGGCATATAATGTTTAAATTCAGAGTAACCAGCTAATAAATAAAAGAAGACAACTCATATAAATGTTGAAAGTTGGTTGTCAAATATGGGTTGATATTATAGCAGGATTAGACATGCAGCCAAAATTTATCATTTATTTGTTTTGGATTCTAAAAATAATAGTTTACATATTATGTACAAAATGCGTAAAAGCTTGCCAACTATAAAAAATAAATTAATTAAATTATGAACCAAATAATAAAAATGTAAAACAAAAACTTAGTAGAAAACAAATATATTTTTACAGGTTTCCAATCCTTGAACTCTTATGAAGTAGAGAAAAGCTATAATAATATCATTTTCCAACAATCGAAATTGATTTTTATGATACTTTGAGTTTAATAATATACATATATGACGATTAATTTTTTTATAAACTGTTTTTAAATAAGTCAAATGTTATTGGATTTAAATGAATATTAAAATGTATTATATTTCCATTTTTTATTCATTATTATAGATTATGTGAAAGATTCACTTTAACATTTGAAGGAATATTCATTTGATTTCGGTTTATTAATTGATTGTAACTTAAATCAAGTGATCTTAATTTAAGCTGATTTTCATTAAATTTGATAGAAAAGTCTCTTAATTTGTTTGATTGTATAAAAACTCTCCAAACATTATTTGGAATCTCAAAATTCTTCAATTCTATTAATTGATTATCATTCAATTTAATAATTTTTAACTTGGAAAGATTTTGCGGATTTTCAATAGAAAAGTTATTGACTTTGTTCCATGAAAAATCAAAATATTTAATGTTTTTTGGAATATAAATATTATTTAAATTCTCAATTCGATTTGCAGAAAAATTAACATTTTTTAAATTTTGAAAATTTTTGGCATTTTTACTAGAAAAAAGTGTTTTTTGAACATTTTTAATTAAATTGTTATTTCCTTCTAAATAAACCAATTCTTTTAATTCTGATAAACTATCAATATTTTCAATACGATTTGAAGAAAATGATAATGTTTTCAAGTTTTTTAAATAGCTTATAAACTTAATACCAATAATTTGATTATTATTTAGGTTTAGATCAGTTAAGAGAACTAGATCTCTTAAGCAAGAGACTTCACTGAGATAATTCCCACTTAAATTTAAATCTTTTAATAAAATTAATTTGCTTATGGGCTCAACACTAGTAAAACTTAAAACCTCAACTTTACCAAAGCGCAGTTGTTGATTAAATTGAAATTCACCGAAAAATTCAATCAATTGACTTGTATTATCATTGCTATTTTCTCCTTCTTCTTCCCCTTCATTATCCTCATTTTCTTGATAATTCTGATGATTATTGGGATTATTATTTTGATCTTCATTAATTAAATTAAAATTATCTAGATTATTAAAAGTAGCATGATTAACCCCCCTATCATAATATATATTATCTGTTTGAGCAATATTATTTGTTTGGGCATTATTATTTAACAAACCATTAACACCATCGATCAAAATAGTTTCAAAAGAAGTAGAAGGTGATGAATTAGTGGTTTTGTTATCATTATCATTTATGATAACTTGATTATCTCCGTTTTGCCGGTAATCATCATGATTATTGGGGTTATTATTTTGAACTTGAACTTGAATTTGATCTTGATCTTCTCGACCAATTTCATCCTGATTTTGATTGTCCCTATTTACACAAAGAACAATATTTTCATTATTAGATAAATTTAAAGATCTTAGATTATTTAGATTCGATAGAGGTGATATATCCTCAATTTTATTATGAGAAAAGTTTAAAGTTTTTAAATTTACTAGTTGTGATAGACATGATATGTTATAGATATTGTTTCGGGACAAATCCAAACCAGTAAATTCAGCTTCATTTGTTAAATTTTCAATGTTGTCTAAGGAGTGACCTAGAAATCGAACCGTTTTCATTTTAAGAGAAGGAGAAAAATGTTTTATTTTTAATTCAGAAGCAAAGGATAAAAAATCAATTGAAAATCTCATGAATGAATTTAGTTCTTTAAAAAATATATCGTTGTCAATTGGAAATTCATCTAGATTAATTTTAGTCTCATCGATATAACCATCACTGTGCTCATTATTTTCAGTTAGCTGAGTCATATACGTTGATTTTTGTTCTTTAAAAAGTGAAGAACATTTATTAAAGGACTCAAACTTTAAAAAAACATTTGTGTTCTTTACAGAGTAGTTTTGGTCTTCACTTTCAGTTAATTGATTCAAAAACCAAAAATGGTTAGAAACATTGATTGAAAAAGCCTTAGAATAAATAATGATTTGTTTCAAAGAATTTGAGTTGAGAAGAATTAATAATTTTATGAGTTTGTTCCAGATATCACATTTATGTTTTAATGATTCATAATTATCTTTACAAAGTCTGTTGTCTTTGCCAGAAATAATAAGATTGATTTTTTTCAAATTTTCTGTTTTTTTTAAAATATCACTGAATAAATTGCAAGTTTGTTGATTCAATTCAAAAAAATTTAACAATATTGTATAATTTTGAATACATTTTGTATCTTCACTGTTGAGTTTTATAAAATCCGGGGCTTTAAAATATAAGGAATCTTTTGATACATCCAATTTTTTGTCATAATGATTATCAAAAAGGTCAAAAATATTATTATCATCGTCACCATCATCTTCATTATTATTATCTTCTTTATCATCATCATCATCATCATTATCTTCTTCTTCTTCTTCATCATCTTCATCTTCATTATTACTATCAATAGAATTATATAGATGTTTATTCCTAACTCTAAAACTGTTATATTCAATATATCTAGTAAGATGTATGAAAACAGAATTATATAACTTCAAAGCAGCACCAGCTTCCACTGCTCCTTGAATTAATTCCTTGGGAAACAGATCCATATTTAGTATTTAGTAGATTGTATATCTGGATTTATTATTATGAAAGTTTGATATACTGTAATAAGAAAGAATCATATTTTAATTTTGAATATGGATGAGGGCTGCATTATTTATATGAAAGAATATGAAAGAAAATATGAATCAGTTATTTTCATGATTCCCATTTTTATTTAAAAGTGTTTCTTGAAATTTAACCTGTGTATTAATTGTTTATTTAATTGAAATTTCCATCAGTATAAACAAAACAGTTTTGATATTGGTTATTATCATTTTTTCCAATGCATCATTTAATATCTGGTTGATGAAGGATATTTCAAAATATATCGAATATATATGCAGTTAGAGGCAGATGTGCATTTTCACCAACAATACGGAACAATATCAAAATGTGGTTTAGGAACTTTATTATTTTGTGAGATTAAGCAAAATGGTAATCCTAAAACAAAATCAATTTGAAAACAAATCTCTCTTGTATGGTTGATTGTCTAAAGTGTATTTCACCAAACAGATGGTTTAATACTTGCTTGTCTTTAAAACCCACCAAACCGGCTTATGATGTTAATATTCAACTTAACATGAATAAAATAAACGTGTGTTGTTGGTTTTTCGATTTCTTTTAAATAATGCTTTATGATTCAGTATAAACCAGAAATCAGAGTCTTTCAACATCTCCCCGGATATTTTTTGATGTAACTGTAAGTACAGTTCAATCTGATGTTCTTGTGGTTGATCTTTTGTTGTTTTCTGATATATGCACGGAATTTATTTGTGGTAGTTGAAAGATGTCCTTAGCAGTTTTATTATTATTAGTCTGTAAAAAGCTTTTCTAAAAGCAGCTTTTCTTTGAGGTCAAATTCAAAAAAATTTATTAGTTTAGGTTTTTAGAAAGTAAGACACAATTGACTATCTGGTAGTGCACACTGATTCCGAGTGGTGGTTTGTGAAAGCAAAACACAAAGTTTCACCACTGGCACAAAATCATCAATCAATTAATGCCATAAAATTAGCATCACTGGATAGTATTCAATACTGATTTAGTTTCCAAATAGAATACACCAAAATAAACAATTAGTAATGTAAAAACTCAAGCCTTTTTTGTTAATTTGAAAGCTTCTTCGAATGTGTAAACATGTTAAGTAAAAGCATTCAGTAAAAGAATTCAGTATAAGCGTCAGTTATCTGTATTATTGGTATATATCGAGAGGTTTGTGGGTGAGACAGGCAGTGGTATCCAGAAAAAGACAAAAGTAGCTGTGTGTCACATGTTACACGATATGCTGTTAGAAAAGAACGCTACTTTTACCAAATATGCACATAGTCAGGAATTTTATTTTTTTGATATTTGTTTCAACAAACAAGACTCTAGTCAAAACATTAATACATGATAAAAGTCTGTTAATAACTTGATTGGCTTTGTTTTCTCTTTTCTAGTAACATGGACAAACCTCAAAGTTGTTTTTGCAAAAAGTTTGCAATTAAATTTCAAAAACATTTAGTCAGATGCTCCATTTTTTTAGGATTTTCATTAACGTTCCAATACAGTAACATTTTACTGGCTTTTCTTCAATTGGTTTGAATTAAAAGTATTACAAACCATACAATTCAGATCTTTTTTATGTTTTATGCTATATTTTTATCCTAAGATCATTACAAAATCCGTGTGTGTTTTACTGAATATTGATGTGTTTTAGAATCAGTAAAAAATGATATAGGTAATTTAAAGGAGTTTCAAAAATGGTATTACAATATATTTCTACTATTATTACAAAAGATAGAATTGATGTGAATAGAGCAATATTCATTAATACTATCATGATTATCAATTTAAGATAACTGTATTTTGTGTCTGATCTCAGAAGAGTATTAAATTGGAAAATTACTTTACTATTGAAAAGCAAAGCTATCAAAAACTAAAATTAAATAAATTAAATGTCTATNAAATTTATGATATGTTATTTGGTAAAATTTATTTATTTAAAATGAAAAAAAGTATATTCAGCATTCAAAATATCTAATATTTTCAAGAAACTCAAAAATCTTATAAAAAGGAACTACTTGAACAGGAATTTTTCAGAACTCAATCAGTTTACAATTTTAAATATAACAAATTAACTTAATTCAGGGCTTCAGATATTTTTATAATTCAGTAAAAATTATGCTGCTCTACAAAATCAAGAAAAAATATAATAAAGTCTAATTACTAAATATAGAATGATGATATATTGAATTGATAAAAAAATTCAGAAATCTGATGAAATAAAACCATTGAGATTATAATTTTCTAGAAGAAAGTTTTGACTTTTAAAGTACTGAATATTTAAATTCTTATTGCAATATGACTCTTTTGTATATTTTAAATATCATTTCTTTCATTATTTCACCAGTTTTGATCAACTCTAAAGTTTGAATTGATCAGTAGATGAATTTGAAAATTTGGAGGTTTTATGCGCCTTTTATGGATAAATGCCTTTTAACTGTAATTCAATTTGAGGTTTATTAAATAACTTGAAATTTTTAGGGGCTTATATTTATTTTTTTTTAATGAAGAGTTTAAAATAAGTTAGTTTTGAGTATAATGAGAGGTTTAAAGCATTTTTATCTCCGTAATAGTAAATACTTTTATGGAGTAAACAGAGACTTTTGATCGATTAGAATGTATATTTAAATGTTTAATACAACTTTACTCATTTATTAATGAACTTAAGAGCTACCCAAATTCTATTAATTCATAAAAAATGAAATAAATTGATATGTGAGTTAATTACTTTAATGAATATGAAAATTTCAAGTTTTACAAAGCGGATACTAAGACAAGATTATATAAAGAGAAGAACAAAAAAGTAAATTTTTTTTTTAAATCCCGGATTTTAATCTAATTAACGAAATTTCAGTGTTAAATTTTTTTTTCTTCTGACTTTAAATTGCTACTCTTTGCTGTTATCTTTGTTTTAAAATAATTGAATTTTTAGAGAGACTTAACAACATTAATCACTTCAGATATATTGAATTGATTTCTATTCTCATCTCCTATGAGCTATTTTATTTTATTTTAAATTATAATTATAAAATTAATATCATTGGGATCCATTTCTATGATAAACTTTAGAAGCTTGAAGCTTGAATTTATTGAAAACATGTATAATGAAATAAGAGATTTCTTATCAAAAAAATGAAAATGATGCACATACTATCAAGTACCTAGAATACCTTTCAGATGATGTTGCAACTGTTTTTTTATTTAATTGTCAATTATTTCAATAACTTTTTAATTAGATGTTCATCAAATAGAGCGATTATCTAACTTTTTACTTTATTGAAAACTAACTGTTAAATTTCAAAACTAATATTAACGTCTAAATAATTGGTTTGATATATTTATCGTTTTAGGATCTTTCAGTCTCCAATAACAAAAATGAATAATCGGGTTTCCAAGTATTTTAATAAACCTATTAAAATATGTGCAAGGTTACTAATTAATTGTTTTGATATAATAAAATCAACTATTTAAATATTCTGGGAAATGAAAAGGATTTTATTTTCACTGCCCAGACTAATCCATATTTTGTATGATTTCAGATAATTGATTTTATTTTAGTATTTATTTTTCTATGATGCATCTATCTGGAAGTACCTTTTAAGAACTGAGCTTAAATATTAATGATAAGTATAACTAGTTTAAAATTATAGTAATTTTTCATTTCTAAACATTTTTTTTGATCTATTTAGGTTGGCTACATTTATATTGGCTATATTTTCATTGTGCAATAATTTTTTGGAAGGCCCAAGTTGAAAATAAAAATACTATTATCAAGTTAATGGGTAAGAAATTACAATTAATTATTTAAAATAAACATTTTTTCTATATAATTAAGATTTTTAATAATTTACGTGGATTGATTAAGGAAAAATCAAGAAGAATGTTAAGCATATAAAAATATGAAGTTATGAAAATATGAAAATATGAAAATATAAAAATGTAAAACATAAATAAACTAAAAAGTAAAAAGAAAATAAATCAAGAGCAAAAAAATTGATTATATCAAAATGACTGGTCAGGGTTCATTAATCACTTTCAGTTTCATCGCTGTAGTATTTTGATATTTGTTCCCACTCTATATATTCATCTTGAATCATTTTTTTGCTTTCTTTCAAAGGTATAGGGTCAAATGGAAAATAAGCAACCAAGTCTAAAAATTCCTGTTTAGAATAAAATAATATGTTTTTTTTATTATCTTCAATTTGATTATTATATTGGGTACCTGATTGACTATTAGATTGGCTGTCGTTATTTAAATCACTGAGATGATCATTTGAAAATTTTAACAAAGTATTTTTTTTAAAGGGGCCAGTAATTAAATCTCTTTTATTTTGCTCAATTATTGAAAAACAATAGCAAACGTTTTCTTGAAACGATATTTTAGCAAACATCATAACAACAGTTTCATTGCAAAATTTCAAAGGATTAAATTTTGTCATTATCATATTTTGAAAAAACTTGTCTAAATCCATTTCCCAAACACTATTTTCTATATTTGAATCAATAATCTTACTGGTACTTTTATTATTATCAACAATACTATTGTCATGATGAATGTTATTGTTCTTACTGCTATTATTAAAATTAACTTTACGTAATAAGGGAAATCTAAAACAAAATATATACAAAATTGATTGAAAGACAGCATAGAATAGTTTGAATCTATCCATACCTTGATTAGCGTCAGTATCGTCTACTTCAATTTCTCTTTCTTGAACGTATTTGTTAATCCATTCCATTAAATAGCTTATGATAAATAAGATTTGTTCCTTGTTAACTAACTTAGCTCTGGCAAGGTAAGAAGATAAATATTGAATAGATTTAATCTTATTATCAAGGATCTCGTTATTTGAAAATGAGATATCTATTAATGAAATCAAAAACGAGTCAATCAACTGAGGATTTTTCTGAGAAATGAAAAATAAAATATATTGAATAATTTTTGTGTTATTAGTTCTAATAATGTGAGATTTAAATATGGATATTAATGACAACCAGTTATTTTCATTTTGAATATTTTGGTTTTCTAAATCATAGTGATTTAAGCCATGATCTGTATAAGTATGAGTGGTATTGTTTTTAAATAAACCATTTAAGCTTTTAAAGATGATCAACATTATTGAATCTAATTTATCAATTTTTTCTTTGACTATTTCTAAATTATCTAATGAAAATGATGGATTCGGATCATATTCCTCTAAATCAGAATCGTTATTGCCATAGCCATAGTTTTCGCTGTATGGTTGGTTTTCATTATCATCATCATTATCATCATTAGAATCGTCAGAGTCCTGATCATCATTATCATTGTTATTGTTAGGATCATCGAAATGCACTTTTTTTGTGGTATTTGGATTATTTTCTTGAAGTTTGTCTTGAGCGTAATCTTCCAAGAGATCATCTAATGATTCATCTAATGAATCAATATCTATTTCGTCTAAATAATTTTGTAATTCGACATCTAGTATTAGTATATTTTGGATTATAGTTTTATAGATTGGAAAGGTTAAATCATTTTGGTAATTTATTATGAATAAAACATTGTTTAAATAGTTTAAATAGGATTTTAGTTTTGTAAATTTGTTGGGAAAATTTTTAATTATAATTGAAGATAAATTATTAATTTGGATTGGCATTATTTCAATAATTTTTTTTAAAATTATATGATGAATGTTTCTAGTGATGATTAAATTGAAATTTGTAAAATCACCAATCAAATAAGACACTATTTCACTAAACCATTTGGGAATTCCACTGATTAAGACAATTAAAAAATTGATCCAGGTTGATTTCAATTGATTGAGATCATAAAATTCTTTGCCGTTGGGACTGTCGTCAATGTTGTCAATTTTATTGATGTTATTGATGTTATTACTATTATTATTATCATTGGTTAAGTAATCATTATATTTTGAGAATCTTGAAGATAATTTCAACACAGAATAAATAAAAGTGTTTGAGTTCAAGTTGTCCAATTTAGATATCTGCAAAGAGATTTTTCTTAGGATGATAGATAAGTTTAAATTACTAATGGCGTCAGTATTAGTTAGTGGTTTTGATATTTTAGACGAAAGTTCCATTAGATCTTGGAAATTCTTTTTTTCAACTTCTTTCATGATATTTTTTATATAGTTCTCCATTAGAACAGAGGAAAACTTCAATTTCTCATCGATTTTATCTACTTTAACGATCTGAAGGGGTTTATCCATGGTGTCGAGTCTATCTAATCTATCTAGCTCACTGGGAGAATTGGAGTTGATAGTTTTTGATTTTTTCAAAGGAGGACTAATGCTGGAGTCATAATCAACCTCAGAGATGTGCCTCTTCAACCCAACTTGCAACATGGTATCAACAAAAACAATGCTTGAGAAAAGAACAAAAAACCAAAGAAACCTCAAACACAAATATTACAAAGAGAAAAGGATCAAAAAATATTTCAGCCAGATTCAAATAAAAAATTTCACAGGGTCACGTTGTGTCTGAAACCATAAAGATGGATCATTTCTGTGCTTATATAATTACACGCTTACAAGTGACGTCAGTTATGTGGATGCGGTTATATAATAGTTTGTCAGCTGATCGTGTTGATCACGCTTCTTACACGTGACTTAATTCTTCAGTTTTCCCTTTTTGCTTTTTCTCATTTCATGTATTCCTCTAAAAAACTTACAAAGAGATTACAAACAATTTACTGACAAAGAAATTACAAAGCTGCTATTTCACTCGCCTAGTAAGTGCTTATCGTCTTTTCCTTCTTCTGCTTCTTCTTCTCTTTCTTCTCTCTCTTCTTATTCTTTTTGTTCTTCTCTTTCTCTTTGCTGGGCCTTTTTTCTGGTGTCTGCTATCGTTTTCAATTCGTTTTTACTAACATGTCTCCCTTCTCCAGTCTTCTCTTCTCCTATTTCCATATTCCTTAGTTTCTGATGGAAGAACAAATCGATCCTACTTTTAGAGACGACAACTTGTCAGTGATGAATCCTTCTGATTTTGAAGATGTTGCTGCTGCTGCTGTAGCTGCTGCCAAAATTTCCAGAGTCTCGTCTGCTTCTCTTTCTGTCACCATGAATGCTTCTCGCCTAGTCAAGGAACTCTCCAACAGTAATGATAGTGGTAATGACGACGATAATGATAACCTGGATCAAATTCTTCCCAATCAAAATTTAAACTCAAACCATAATAAGAATAACACCAATACTGATAGTAGGAATAATGCCATTAATAACAGCAACGATGATAATAATAATAATGATAATGATAATAATAATACTAATGTTAATGATCACGATATTGATTTAAACGATAATTCTGATTTCAATGATGCTAATATTGGCTTGGAAATCGAGAAACATTCAGAATCTCAGAAAAATTTGAATGTTAATAACAACAATAATAGCAGTAATAACAATCAAAATAACCGAAACCAAAATAACGGTATTCATGAAGATATCGCTAATGAAATGAATAAACTCAATAATTTGAATGGTAATATTGATAATAATCTTGGTTTTAATACTAATCAAAACGAAAACAGTAATAATAATTCTAACAATAATAACAATTTCAAGAAAAACTCTCACAATAACAATAATAACTCAAATAACTCAAATGGCTTGAAAAATGCAAATAATTCCAACAACAGCTCTACAATAAATTCTCAAAACAATAAAAATAACACCAATAATAATCATGATAATGATAATAATAATGGTATTAGTAACAATTCCAATGGTTCTAATAACAATAACAGTAATAATAATAATAGTAATAATAACAATAATAACAATAATAACAATAATAACAATAATAACAATAATAATAGTAATAGTAATAGTAATAATAACGAGGATAATCAAAATGAAGACAATGATCATGATATGACTTCAAATAGCATCACTGATAATATTCCAAACATGGACTCTTTTCAGTCTGCTATTTCTAAATTATCAAATTCAACGGATTTAAACTCTTTAACAAGTTTGGCTGATTTCAATGCCAACTCAATAAAAATCTCAGTTGGAAATTCAAATTCCAACTCCAATAGAAATCAAGTTAACGACTCAAATATTAATTCAAATGGTAATCATAGTTCAGATTCAAACTCAAACTCAAACTCAAACTCAAACTCAAACTCAAACTCAAATTCAAATTCAAATTCAAATTCTAATATTAATTCTAATTCAATCTCTAACAGAAATAAAAATCAAATTTCAAACAATGCTAATAACTCAAATAGCTCAAATAATTCAAACAATTCAGAAACCAACAGAGCTTTGAGCCAAATATCAAACCCAAGCACTAGAAATGCTATTATATCATCCCTAGTCAATTCTTTCCAAAACAGTAATACAGGCGATAACGTTAATCACAGCAATACTTTAACAAACCTCGGCAGTCTTTCCAATATCAGTCTTACTGGTGGGCTAGCAAATGGGCTTAACATTCAAGATATAAACCAACCCAATAACCATTCTCAAATGTTAACCAATATGAGTCAAAACAAAATAATTAAACCGTTAAATTCCTCAAAGAGAGCTCAGCAAAATAGGAATGCTCAAAGAGCTTTTAGACTAAGAAAAGAGCAGTATATTAAGGATCTAGAAGCTCAAGTTTCAAGAGTTAAATCTTTAGAAGATCAAATTCAATTTTTAAAGGAAGAAAATAAACAGTTGAAAGATTATACATTAGCTTTACAAGCAAAATTACTAAATGATGTTCCTCAAACTCTAGATATTAATTCAAGAAAATGATCCTTTATGCTTAATATATATACATATTTAAATTTTATAGTAAACATTTTTTTTCTTGTATTACCATTATTAAATTTTTTATGTTTTCCATGTGTTAATTTATTATTTATTAAAATAAATATTATTTATAACTTTAACTATCTATTTTTGTGGGCCAGTAACATGTATCTGTAATGGATTTAAATTAGTTAAGTTTAGCATAAAATAACAATCTTAAAAGCAATGAAAACAAATTCATTTATCTCGAGTTATTCCTTATTTACTAAATTCAGCAATAATGAAATGTTTTAGTTATTAATTAATTAAATAATTAATAACTGTTCAATGTGCTTGAACGAAGCAAAAAAAAAAAAAATGTTTTAGCAACATTTGAATTGATTCAACTTAAAAGAAATCAGATGATTTCCCAACAGAATAACAATTTTTTGCTTTTGTCAATTGCTTATTTTGTAAAAACAATTCTTAATTTCCTAAGTTTCTCGTAACCTTTTTCAAATCAACGATAATGTTGTTTAATTATTATGAAAATATAATACAAATTTGAAAAAGAATAAATCTTTTCAAGAAATTAGCATCTAAGATGATTTAGAAATTAAACAAAAATATAAATAAATTAAAAATATTAAAATATAGAAATCAATCACAAAATAGAAAATGAAAATGAAAATGAAAAAAAAAAAAAAATTTAAAAGTAAATTAATTGAATAGTATTGTTTTTTTTTTGTTTTTCCCAGTTAGGTAAAAGAGCCTAGATTTTCTCTTTGATAAAATGTTTCTAGAACCTCGATACATTCTTTTTGGCTTTCGATCAAACTTTCCAAATAAGTTTCAACGGAATTTTTAAAGTCGTCAATTTTTTCTTGTTCAAATTTTTTCATTTCTCTTTTAATTAGTTTTGAGATATAGATGAATTCTTTCTTGACCAATTTTTTTCTTTTTTCGATTTCGTCAATTTCTAATTTTAAGGAATTGATTTTATCGATTTGATTTTTGTAGTATTTGTTGAGGGTGTTGAGGTTATTAAATTTTTTGTTGTAGTCATTTTCGATAGAATTTAGGTTGATTAGTAGTTTGTTTCTTTGTTGGAAAGTGATTTTGATTGAGGATATGATTCTGATGTATTCTTCAAGGACTATACCTAGGGTCAACATGTCTTGGATAGAGTTTCTTTCATTTAATTCTTGGATTCTGTAGTGGATATCGGAGAATTCGACTAATAGAATTGAGGTGTCGTGATTTAGTAGCTGTGCGTCTGAGAAGGTTGATAGGATGAGGCTAATTTCCTGAATAATTAGAGATAGTTCTTTTCTTTGTTGGATGACATTTTCGAGATTTTTATAGAAAGTTCTTAGCGAAGTGTCTAATTTTTCCAAGTAAGATTTAAAATTTTTGAAAAAGTCGTCGTTGTCGATAATTTTTGAGGTTGAGTTTATGATTGAAAAACTTGAGTTTGAGTTTGTGTTGATGATGATTGAACTTGCGATTGATAATTTTTTTTCGCGTTCTCTTTCTTTTGAATCTTGGTTGAATTTTTCAGTTTTTAGGAACATGAGAAAGTCGTCGTCATTTTGTAGGATTGGGTGGGAGGATATTTTGAGAAGCATTTTTTCTAGGGAGAGTCTTCTATGTTCTATGAAATTTTCATCGAATCTGCCCATTGCTTGTTTTAAAGGGGGAGGTGGGATGATTATACCGGGGTATGAGATTTGTAGGTTGTTGTATAGCCATCTGAAGTCTTTGTATCTTCTTGATACTACGATGGTGTCTAGGTTTGAGTTTTGTAGAAATTTTTCGCTTTTAGATTTGGTTTTGACGGAGTATAGGATGTGGGAGGAGGTTAGTTCGTTGATTTTGATGGGGTCGTATACAGAGATTTGGAAGTGTTGGAGAGAAGGGTTGTTGTAGGTGTCGTTGATGTGGGAGTCTATATCTGAGTGGTATTGCAGGTCGTTGTTATCGGATTGTGTATGGGGATTGTCACTGAAGTTGAAGATTGAGGTTGAGGCAGAGTGGTTGGGGAGGATGAGAGAGGATTTTGTGGTGGAGGATGAATTGGATGTAGCTGTGTTGTTGACCACACCCAATGGGTCGTTGTCATTGATTGAAGTGTTTTTGTGGTTGTATATATTTGATGCCGGGATTTGTTGAGTGAGATGTGAGATTGAGGTGTTTGAGATGTTGGATATGTTTGAGTTGTTTGAGATGTTTGAGTTGTTTGATATGTTTAGGTTGATTTGAAGGTTGAGATCAGTTGAGTCGTGTAGGTAAGTTATGCTGTTAGTGCTGTTGTTGTTTGAGTAAATGAGGTCTTCATTTGATTTTGAGGACGATTTATCGTTTGAAGATTTACGATTTTTACGAATTCTTTTTTTCTTTGCTTTGAACATTTTGATTGGAGTTGATAAGTTTGTGTTGAAGGAGTTATTCTGGGAGTTTTCAGTGATGGATAAGATGTTGTTATTCTGAGTATTGTTGTTGTTGTTGTTGTTGTTGTTGTTGTTGTTGTTGTTGTTATTATTATTATTATTATTATTAATTGAATTGATGGTATTTGATTGAGGGTTGTCTAGATCATTGAATAGGGTATCGTTTTTAGAGAGGATTTGGTTGTTATTATTTTTATAGAAGTCTGAATAAAGGGTATCATTTAGGTTATTGAATATTTTTTTGTTTTGATTATCATTATCATCTTGGTCAAGTTCATTAGGTTGGTTAATTTGAGTGTTTTGTGTAATTTGATCAATTTGATCGATATGAGTATTTGAGTGGAAGTGGATAGAGTTGAATCTAGTGATTGATTGATTTAGATGATGGTGAGTATCATTATCCAATTGGCTTTCGATTTGATTTTCGATTTGATTTTCGAATTCGTTCTGGTTGTTTGTAATTGTAGTTGGATTTGTATTCTGGTGGATGATATCGCTGTGATGGTTTGGTTTGGGATTAGGAGGAATATCGTCACTAGCAAAAGGGTTGTGAAGCAAGGTGTTATTTGAAGCCTGGTCGTTGAAGATGCTGGGTGAGTTCCAGTTCAAATGCGAGGCAGACAATTCATCCATTTTACAAGAGAGAGCAGCCAGGGAAAGTCATGAAGAGTGGTGGTTGGATAGCAAGGAGTTATGGAACAGAGAGAGTGGGAGGTGGATAAGAGATTATATACTATCATCAGAGCAGAGTTTTGTCCTGGTTTGTTTCTAGGGAGGGTGGATGCACGCAGAAACGGGATGTGAACGCGAAAGATCAGAGGAAATGTATGGGAAAGCGTGACTACAGCATGTGATTTGAGACGAGTATGGGAGAGCAAGGGAGGATCACATGCAGTAGGAAATAAAGATGTGTATTATATACAGAAGATGAAGAGAATGAGAAATTAGTGGGAATACCATCAGCATTGAGCAAGAGTTAAGACGTTGAACAGCAATTCAGCACCAATTCAGCACCAATTCAGCACCAATTCAGCACCATCCAGCTAGCCTTGGATGGACTCCTTGATCTTCAACTGCCGGGAGTGGTGGTCGAACAACGCAGCGAGCTCTGGGAACTTGAAGTGGGAGGGGTCGTGTTCAAGCACAAACTTGTCCTCTGCAGGGTGTTAGTGGTCATGCAACACAGGAAGCAGAAGGAGCTCAGAAATACATACTGAAGGTGATCTGCACCAGCGGCTGTTGCTGCGAGTGTGAAAGCGTCTGGAACGACACAGCACACGACGTCTTCAACAGCGAGGGAATCAGCGCAAGAAACAAACGCGCCGTTTTGCTGCCGGGCCCGAGCGGGTCGAAGCGAACAACCACTTTCTGGAAGTACTTGGTGATCATTACAGAAGAAGCACAGGAAGCACACGCACAAGAAACACAAGAAGCACAAGAAGCACAAGAAGCACAAGAAGCACAAGAAGCAGAACAAGCACCCGCTGGGAAAAAAGCCCGTAGCACGTGCTGTCACATGAGTGTCACGCCGCGCACGTGTCTTGCTTTCTGACCCGCACGTGCCGTCCGCTCCCGCAAATCGCAGCGGCCCTGAGTTTCGTCCGCCCACCGGAACCGACATGGCTTTCTCATCTCTCGCGCCTTCGTCTTCCATCTCCGGTCTTCTCTTTCGCTGCTCTCGGGAACCGGCACGTGATGCATCCTGCAGCCAGGTCCAAACACGCACTGCTGATTGGCTGCACGTACGGGAAATGCGGTTCGGATCTCGCCTGCGCAGCTTTTTCTGCTTCGGCCGGCTCCCCATTGGGATAGATCAATCTTAGCAGAATATTTTTTATTTTCTTCGCCATGCTGAAATTCCCACAACGATCTTATATATACTTTTTCATTTCTTACCTTTTCATACCACTCCATCTCCATTTCCAATCCCATCATATTATTGTTTTTAGTGATACTTTGGTTAATAAAATACTATAAACCACTCTAATAGAATAATATCAACAACACCAATAATAATAATATAATCTCATAACGGAATTGCAATCACTCGGTTTCTATCAATTGATTCTCCTCTTTTGTCTTTTGTTCTTAAATGCTTCTTTGATATCAATATTCGATTTCTTTCAATTACTTATATTATTATCCATCTCTAAATTTATATCTTTTTCCCTATCCCTAATCTCCCATTTGTATATCTATTTCCCTCGAGTTTCCCTTTAGTTTCCTATTTTAATACTCAAAATGTTGAGATCCATCACAAAATCCTCTTTAGCTTCCTCAAACTCAATCCTAAAGTCCTCAATCTTACTCAATTCTTTTAAGTCGTCTTGTCTCATTAAAAGATTTCTCTCCTCCTCCTCCTCGCTAGCATCAAACCAATCGCCACCAGCTCAAGATGTCTTTCTCTCTTCCAACAACGCCAACTACATTGACCAAATGTACTCTGCCTGGTTAGCCGATCCCTCCTCTGTCCACATATCTTGGAATGCCTACTTTAAAAACCTAGATTCTGGCTTGCCTGCCTCCAAGGCCTTTCAAACTCCCCCAAACCTTTTCCCTCTAGGATCCGGAAACATTGGTGTCGCCAACATCACCCCTCCAACTGACAAACCAATGAACGAAGACGTTATAACACATTTAAAAGTCCAGCTACTCTGTAGAGCTTACGAAGTGAGAGGCCACCAAGCTGCCAACCTAGATCCCTTGAACATCTCCTTCGGTACCCACAACAAACCTGCTGAACTAAACCTTGACTACTACGGCTTTACCGAAAATGATCTCGACAAACTCATCACTCTTGGTCCTGGTATCCTCCCAAGATTCTCCAACAACTCCAACAAGGGCCAAATGAAACTAAGAGACATCATCTCCTCCCTAGAATCTCTCTACTGCAACTCCTACGGTCTAGAGTACATCCACATCTCATCAAGAGAACAATGCGACTGGTTGCGTGAAAGAATCCAGGTCCCAACTCCCTTCCACTACTCAAACGACCAAAAAAGACAAATTCTCGATCGTCTCATCTGGGCCACCTCCTTTGAATCCTTTCTATCAACAAAATTCCCCAACGACAAAAGATTCGGTCTTGAAGGTGAAGAATCCGTCGTCGTCGGCATGAAATCTCTTATCGACAAAGCTGTCACTTTTGGTGCTGAAGACGTCGTCATTGGTATGGCTCATCGTGGAAGATTAAACGTTCTCTCAAACGTCGTCAGAAAACCAAACGAATCAATTTTCAGCGAATTCACTGGCTCCAAAAAGGATGACGAGGGCTCCGGTGATGTCAAGTACCATCTCGGTATGAACTACCAAAGACCAACTGTGTCTGGTAAACACGTCAACCTATCTGTTGTCGCCAACCCCTCCCATCTCGAAGCTGAAGACCCTGTTGTCTTGGGCAGAACCAGAGCTATCCAACACTACAAAAACGACATCGGTACCTTCAACAAAGCCCTTGGGGTTCTCTGTCATGGTGACTCTGCCTTTGCTGGTCAAGGTGTTGTTTACGAATCAATCGGCTTAACCGCCCTTCCTGCCTACACCACCGGTGGTACTATTCACATCATCATCAACAACCAAATCGGTTTCACCACTGATCCAAGATTCGCCAGATCCACTCCATACCCCTCTGATCTCGCAAAGTCCATCAACGCCCCAATCTTCCATGTCAATGCTGACGATGTCGAATCCGTCGTCTTCATCTGCGATCTAGCTACTGAATGGAGATCAACCTTCCACACTGATGTTATCATCGATGTCGTTGGATACAGAAAACATGGCCACAACGAAACTGATCAACCTTTCTTCACTCAACCTAAAATGTACGAAGCCATTGCAAAAAAGGAATCCGTTATAGACATTTACTGCAAAAAATTAATCAAAGACGGCACCTTCACCCAGGAAGATATCGATGAACATAAAAAATGGGTCTGGGGCCTCCTAGAAGATTCCTTTGCAAGATCAAAAGAATATAAACCAACTGCAAGAGAATGGCTAACCACCCCCTGGGAAGGTTTCAAATCTCCAAAGGAATTGGCCGAAGAAATCTTGCCCCATTTCCCAACTGGTCTTCCCACTGAAACCCTCAAACACATCGGTAACACCATCTCAAGCTGGCCTGAAGGCTTTGAAGTTCATGGTAACTTGAAGAGAATCTTGAAAAACAGAAAGAAATCCCTAGATACTGGTGAAGGCATTGATTGGTCTACCGGTGAAGCCCTCGCTTTTGGCTCTTTATTACTAGAAGGCTACCATGTTAGAGTCTCCGGTCAAGATGTTGAAAGAGGTACCTTCTCACAACGTCATGCTGTTCTACACGATCAAAAGACTGAAAAGACTTACACCCCCTTGAAAAATTTAGATGAAAAACAAGCTGACTTTGTCATCTCAAATTCCTCTCTAAGTGAATATGGTGTTATGGGTTTCGAATATGGTTACTCCTTAACTTCTCCTGACGCCTTGGTTGTTTGGGAAGCCCAATTTGGTGATTTTGCAAACACTGCTCAAGTCATTGTTGATCAATTTATCTCATCTGCAGAATCAAAATGGAAGCAACGTTCCGGTATTGTCTTATCTTTACCTCATGGTTACGATGGTCAAGGTCCTGAACATTCTTCTGGTCGTTTAGAAAGATACCTACAAATGTGCTCAGAAGACTCAAGACACTTCCCATCCCCCAAAAAATTAGAAAGGCAACATCAAGATTGTAATATGCAAGTCATCTATCCAACTACTCCTGCCAATATCTTCCACGCTCTTAGACGTAACATGCACAGACAATTCCGTAAACCTTTAATCATCTTTTTTTCAAAGAACCTTCTTAGACATAAATTAGCTAGATCCAAAATCGATGAATTCCTCGAAGGCTCCTCATTCAAACTCATTATTGAAGAAGAAGTTCCAAACAAACAAGATATCAAGAGAGTCGTATTATCCTCAGGTCAAGTCTACGCACAACTTTATGCCAAGAGAGAAGCTCTTAAAAACACTAATACCACTTTCATAAAAGTTGAACAAATAAATCCTTTCCCTTTTGCTCAATTACGTGATGCCTTTGACTCTTATCCTGCTTTAGAGGAAATTGTATGGTGTCAAGAAGAACCACTCAATATGGGTGCATGGTCTTTCGTCTCCCCAAGATTGAACACTACTTTAGCTGAAACACAAAACTATAAATCGTTCAAAATAAGATATTGTGGTAGGGATCCTTCTGCTTCTGTTGCCGCAGGTAGCAAGAAAATGCACATCGCCGAAGAAGAAGCTTTCTTGAATGATGTATTTAATACTAGCAATTAACTATCCAAGCCTTTGACTGATGGAAGTTGTAACAAGAATACTACTCTCGTCAAATCAAAGGACATTACCTCAGAAAAAGCAGAGGAAAAAATAGCCTCCAATGCTGATTTTGCTAATTCTGCTAATTCTGCTGATTCTACTGATTCTACTGATTCTCAACCTCAAACTAATGCTCAACCTACATCTTCTCAAAAGATTGAAGAAACTCCATCAAACCAAGAAACCAAAACAACTCAAAAACCTTCCAAGGGCTTTTGGCATAATTTTTTCTCAAAGTTTTAAATTTTTTTTTTCTTTTTTTAGTTAATGTATTTTTCTAGCAAGTTTTTATATTTTATGACATTTCCCAGTTTTATTTTGAATTCATAAGATTTTTGTTTTTATACGTAAGATAATATATTATATCATGATAATATTGTAATAAAAATTACATTATAAAATTTAATAAAATTCTATAAAATAAAAACAAAACTTCCTAAGCTTTTCATTTACTATAGACTGATTGATACCAACTATCAGGAACCATTAATATATATCTATTCATTGCTTCTCTAAATCGGGTCTTGTATTGTTTGGGAGTAACGACAGTAGGCTTTTTTCCACCTCCGCCACCAACCAAACCCTTCTCTTTGACCCAACTCTCTAATTTTTTATCCCATGTAAACGTTCTTATATAATCAATAATTCCAACAACTAGCTCTCTATCACTCATGTCCTTCTCAGGAGCATCTTCGATTCCAATCACTAATGAGTAATCCATCACATTCATCTTACTCAAAAACAACGTATCGTTGAATAACGACGCTGTTAATAAGTTTTTGTCATGATCTCTCAAGTACAATGGCGATTCATAAATATACTCAACCATATTCTCATCCAATAACACTTGGTTCTTTTTATCAGTCTGGACCTGAACATGTCTATTTCTCATCGAGCCCTTCAAATCAAAGATTTTCAAAGATTTTCGATTATAAAATAAATTCTCCATTATAAGAACATTCATTTTAAAATTTTTCCCATTGACTGGGTTTTTGATTTGTATTTGATAAAACCCAAATATTTTCGATAAAACAGTTAATAAATCATGGTAAAGAGCCTGTGTCATGTATTCAAAATAATTAGGTGAAATTTTAACAAAGGCTTCCAATTCAGCGTGAGACAACTGTTTTATAATAAATCTATCATCCAATGTTTTCAAAAAAGCAGATCCACTTTTTCCTCCACTAGAATTCCACTTGACACATCTTGAAATACTCTGAATGAAATTATCACCACAACCACATTTCTGTCTTAATGCATGGAATTGCTCAGCATAAAATATTTTGCAAGAAAATGTTGAGGAGTCTTCTAAAAACAAATATTTTAAATGAATAGCTGTTTCCTTTAGCATGATTTGTTTTAGTAAACCATCTTCATTTATATTGGCATTTTTGTTTTGAGACGATAATTCATTTTTCAAGTTATTTATCTTGTCCATATAGTCCATAGAGCTTAAACAAAATGCAATGAGAGAACTAGGTTCATCCTCTCGCACTATAATATTGCTATCATCAAAAATATGCTCCGAAGATGTTGATGGGTATTCAAGTGGCTTCCATAATGTTGCAGATCTATCGGCCCAAAAGTTTCTTAGTGTATCCATCAATGAATTTTTCTCTATTTGAGGAATTTCAATAGTCTTTTGATCTTTATTTTCCATATAGTTTTTTTCATCAGAAATTATGTTTTCAATAGAACTTTGCTCGCTATGTGTCTTTATCGGAGAACTCGAGCTAGATGAAACTACTTCATTCATATTAGTTTCAACTTCAGTGTTTTCGATATTCTTTGGAGGTAAATCAACTTCATTTTGAGCGTTTACATTATTCGAACTCTGACCAGTCATATTATCTGTATTTTCATTCAAGGAAAAATCTCCATCTTCCTCAGTTGAAGAATGTCTTCCATGCTTAAAACATTTGTTATCATTGTTCGAACTCAATGACGGTTCATTGTCAGATTTCGCGGTCTCAGGAAGCGGCTCAACATTATAACTTTCAGAAACGTTTTTAGATTTGGTTGAGCTTCTAGAAGTAGCTGTTTCTGAAGATTGCGAATTTTGGCTGACATTTTCACTCATGGCATCTGCTATTCCCTCACGTATACTTGTACTTTTTGTCAATTGCTGCTGAGAATCTTCAACCTTGCTCTTTATCTCGTCTTCACCCTCGTCTTCGTCTTCATCAGAAATTTCAGCTACTGCATCTTTTGCACTCTCAAATATCTCAACAATTGGTTGAGACTTTATTACCGGGTTTGCTTTATAGTTATTAGCAAAAAGTTCTCTTCTTTCTCTTTCCCGTTGAATTTTAAATTCCATAGACAATTGATCTAAATGAATTTGATCAAAAAAATTCGTCAACTGCATAACTTTTCCTTTGCCATCTTTTTTACCGTGAACAGATTTGGGTCTAGCTTGTCTAAGTTGTAATTCAAGCTGTGTAGTATTCAATCCATAAAACTTGGGTATTTTGGATGGAACAGAATAATTTGGAAAAGAATCTTTTCTAGGAAAAAAATCAGACCGAATGTTATTGTTCTTGAGAGGTATATTGGTCTTGATAGGTATATTTGCTTGACGTGTAGGAATTTTTGAAGGCAATATATTTGTACGTTTTGGTACTTTCTCAATTTCATTATCATGAGGTTGAGGTTGAAATAAAACTACAGCCGCTCTACTTTTGCTTTCACCAAGAGATTTTCCTTTATTATTGTTTAGCATTGCTTCCATTAAACTAACTCTCTCCAAAACTTTAGATTTTTCTCTAGCCTTGTTAAAAGAATCACTAACTGGAATTCTTGAAGTAGGTAACTTAATGACTTCACTATTGTTTGAGTTATGAATATTATTATCAACCACAATGTTTTTATCGGTTTGAACAACTTTAGTTCCATCAGTTGTTGATATGTTTTTATCAGAAATTTTTTCAGCAGAATTTTGATTGGAATTGCTGTTTAGAGGACTAGGATTATTTGTTTGGTATCCATCTCTATTACTATTTTCTGTTTTAATGCTAGGTTCATTAATATTATTATCGGTAATGGAATAAATTCTGTTATTCTTTTCCAATAGCGGTGATGAGCTTATTTCTTCTAATTTTTTTTCAAGACTTTTTGCATTGGACATCACAGAATCTGTGATTTTTGATAGCGGAGTAATTTCTGGTATTTTAATAAAAATTTTATCAGAGTTATTGATTTCACCCGATGACAAACTGGCCATATTGTTTTGTATTTTTGATCCCTTTTCAACACTTTTGGCGTTCTGTTCACAATCATTGCAATTAACGTTATTGTTGCGGTTAATGTTAATATTGATTTTTTTATTTTTATCTTGTACATTTTCGCTTTTAATTTCTGATTTACCAGTTTGCACATTATTGTCTAAAACTTTCTCTGTTGAATTATCATTACTTTTTCCAGATTTTAATTGTTTTGTTTCTTTTAATTTTTCAATATCTTCGTTTTTTACTATTAGCTCTTTTTCTTCAGAAGGTTTTGGCTCGGGAAGAGTTTCATTTGCTTTGGCTTTCAAATCAGATTTATTTATTTCTTGTTGAGGAGAGCTAGCAATTTTTTCTAAAGAAAGATCATCTAGTTCAACTTCACTATCATCCTTTGATGCAGAGACTTCCATAGAATAAAAGATGCTTTTCATAATAGTACTAATATCTTTTTCCGACGGTAAAAACTCCTTGGAAAATGCAGAAAATGTATCTTGCCAATCAAAGCTCAATCCTTGAAGTTTCTTAATAATAACATTTAATCTTGAATACTCGTTTGGAAGAGTTGAATTGTAAATGTTCTCAATATCCAAATTCATCTGCTCATGTTGTTCGTAACAAAGCTTTACCAATTCTTTTACTTTATTTTTACCTGCTTCTAAATCAATCTTCACTCTGAGTAATCTGTTAAGAACACTATCAAAGAATTTATCTATTTTCTCTTTGATCTCATTATATTGTCTTCTTTTAAGTTTTATGTCAATTTCCCCAGGATATGCAAATGAAGATTTTGGAACAACGAGGTTTAATAGTTGGATTTCGGAATAAGTGAATTTAACAACTAAATTTTTAATTCCAAAATATTTTATTCTATCTCTAAAAAAATCATGTTCACAATTCAAAGTGGAAGAACAATTGTTTGAAAGAAAACTTAACTCAAGATATTTTCCATAAGAAATATTCCAGGTGTTTTGATTCATAGGTATCTCAGGAGTTTTATGTTTGCATATTTTACAAACGCTCCACATAAGAATCATATGTTCGCAACCAGGGATTGGACATTTTAATTTTTCTACATTAACATCAATTCTTCCATTTCCATGGATGTAGCTTGTGTAGTGGTCAATCAATGGCAAGCCACAGTCACCACACACTTGATAAGCACTGTAGCTGAGATTTTCAATATGAAGACCAAGCGAGGTATCACTGTTCCAGAAGAATTCAATTTGCAGAAGTTGAGGCCCAATGCATGCAGCGGAATTTTTGGAGCTGATCAATGAATATAAAACAATTAGGTTTTGATGAATAGCAGGCTCTAATAATAGAAAAGGCGAGGATTGAGAGAAAATCTCCCACTGTCTCGAAGCAATAGCAAACTTAGCTTCAAGTTCTTTTATTGTTGAAAGGGCGAGTTGTCTGGCTATTTTTAATAAATCTTTATCATCAGATGCAGATAAATCTACAGTTAAATTGAATTTATTTTTAACTTCAGTCTCAGTTATTTTAAAATTATTATTTGTAAGAATTTGATTATTGGTGCTTTTAAATTCTATCAATTTTTTTTGAATGTTTCTAGCTTTAGTGAGTAAATACGGCAATCTGAATTTAACAGAAGGAGAAACTGACATTAGCCTTTTTTGAAAATATTTAATGAAAGCATAATTATAATCGTTTTTATTTAGCTTGAGTTTTAAGTTGTTTTGAGAGGTAATTTTCAAGTAGGAGTCGTATACCAAATATGTTTCCAACTTTAAATTGAAAGTTAAAAATGTCATGAACTCTACTACATTTTTTATAATTCTTAGAAAATTCAGATCACCGCCTCTTAATACTAATGTACATCCCAAATCCCTTCTGCAACCAGTAAAAAACATAAAGGTTTTTCTAACATTTTGATATAGAAACGTTTTAACTTCAAATAATTCGCAAACACCTAGTTTGGGGTTCATTAGTGATAATTTATCCATGGAGCTTATAACATCAGCATCGGTAACTCTTGCTAATTTTTCTATCACCTGGGGTTTAACGTTGTAAGATGTGGCAATACCAGCATAATTTAGCAATTTTAAAGCATAGCCGCTACAATTTGCACCAATAAGAACAATGTCAGGTTTTAAATCAATTATTCTTGTGACTAACTTTTCAAGGAATTCTTTTTCCTGAGATAAAACAGGCTCTAAACTTGTAAAATGTTGATCTGATTTATTATACTCCAAAGCAAAAACTATCAAACATATTTTTGGATTTTTTATTCTTGTTTTCATGGTTTTTAAAGCCAAAGTTTTCGAGAAAACAATTCCATCAACATAAAATGAGTCTTGAGCAGTGCCTCCTTCGATTCTTTTAATTTTGACATATCTTCTAACATCTAGATCATCTGGTTTGGATATTCTTGGATTTAGGGATTCAATGCCGACTATTATTTTATTTATAACTTTAAACCATTTTATTTTATCTTCTTTGGGAAGATTTTCATCATTTAGTAGCTGTCTAAGAAACTTTTTAGAGTATGATTCATTCAAACCACTTATTACATGTTCAAGTTTTTTGCTATTTGAAATAATAGTATGGTTTGCATTAAATGTTACTGCAGATATTTTCGGATTATTGTATTTTTTATGGGAGACAATGTTTTTAGAATTTATAGGACGATGATTTTCTATTTTATTGGTATGATTTGAGGTGTCAAAGAAAGTTGATAGTTTTTTATTTGAGTTTTCAATGCTTTTATTGTTATTTTTATTGTTGTTTTTATCGTTGTTGTTATTGTTGTTGTTACTATTACTGTTAGTAGTATTAGTATTAGTATTAGTATTGGTAGTATTAGTATTAGTAGTATTAGTAGTATTAGTAGTATTAGTAGTATTAGTAGTATTAGTAGTATTAGTAGTAGTAATAGTATTACTTTCGTTATTGATATTATTAGAATTGGAGGTAGAATTGGAGTTGAAATTTGAGTTGAAATTAAAACCAAAGGATAAATTTGGTATTGAATTTGAGTTTTTGATAAGAGATAATAACAGGTTTGAGTTACCATCAGAAGTATTTGTGTTACTGGCAATATCATTATCAAGTTTATTGTTGTTGTTATTGTTATTATAATTTGGGCTGTCAAGAAAATCATTTGAGGATCTAGAAGTTTCAGAAGGGGTTGAATCAGCTTTAAGAAATTTTTTCTTGTAAAATTTATCGTCGTTATTTCCGTAGTTGATGCTTGAATCATCTTTTGACATTAAGAATCTGGATCTTTTATTGAAGCCAGACCTATTTAAACTTTTGCTTCGTTTTAGTCTTTGTAAGGAAGCGCTTGCTCTTTCCTTTGAAGATGTATAGTTAGTTCTAGCTTTTCTAATATTTATATTTGAATCAAGAAAAGAGATATTATTTGGGATTGAAGTTGAGTTGGTGAAAGAAATGGGATTTGTTGGATCATCATCGTTATAGTCGTTATTAGAATCGTTATTTAAATTGGGATTAGTAGTATTGATATTGTTAGCAGTGGTAGCGGTAGTGGGATTGGAATTATTAATAGTGGGATTGATATTTGTACTAGTATTAGTATTAGTATTAGTATTAGTATTAGTATTAGTATTAGTATTAGTATTTGCATTAGTATTTGCATTTGCATTTGCATTTGTATTTGTATTTGTATTTGTATTTGTATCTGTATTGTTAATATTGATATTATTAATATTGTCGTTCGGAATATTAAATATATTGAGTGATTGAACTGAACTTAAAACATCTGTACTTCCAAAGTTTGGAGAAGTATTATCAGAAGTATTTGAGGTTATTATAATTGGAATACTGGGGTCACGATTAGCATTATTGTGACCATGAAGAGCAGTGTATAGGGACATTGACTGTTCATCTTCCGATTCTTTTGAATCGTTAGTATCTGAATCATACCAGTGATTCTGGTCAATTCCTAAGGAAGCATTACTGTAGTTATTTACATTTGTGAAACTCAAATTTGAATGAATTGAAGGTAGTCTTGTTATATTTATAGAGGATAAGTTATTGGCCAGATGGTTGCTGTGGATGGAATTTGAAGTGTGAATATTGTTTAAGTCAGTGAAGATGTGGTCAGTAGCAAAGCTGCTGGTATAATCATCAGGATAATTGAAGATGTTATTATTATTATTATTATTATTATTATTATTATTATTATTATTATTGTTGTTGTTGTTGTTGTTGTTGCTGCTGTTGTTATTATTGCCGCTGGAGTTTGTATTAATGTTCGAGTTTGCAGCTGAGCCTATGATTAGGCTTTCATTTAAATTGCCTGCATTTGTGTTGGAATTATTGTCATTTGAATCTGGTTGATTGATTATTGAGTTATCATCAGAGGAGTCTTCATCATACAATTGGATGCTTAGAAGGCAGTTTCTGCAGGTCCTCAATTTGCCGTTATAATCAAATCGCTCGCCATTTATTAGAGAAGTGCAGCTGCTGCAGAAGATCTGGCCACAGAATCTGCAGTGGTGTTTTCGCCTGAAGGTTGTGAAGGACTTGTTACAGATAAAGCACTCGGAGGAGGTATTATCTTTCATCCAGAACTTCTGGGAGATCAAGTTTGTGTTTTTTTTCGATTTTTTGTTGGAGTTATTGAAGCTGAACAAAAAGTTCCTGGAAAAGGAAGAAGCAGATATGGAGTCGTTATCATTGAGCTGATCAGTGTTGGCGCTGGCGCTGGTGCTGGCGCTGGAGTTGAGGCTGTTTAGATTCAAGTCTAGATTGGAGGAATTGGAATGGATGGACAACGAGGAGTCTGAGCTGAACTTGTTGAAGTGGTTGTTGAGATTGGTGATGCTGGGATCTCTATTGCTGGAGGTGAGATAGACGCTATCATTGTCGGTGGAGTTGAGGGAGGAGCTGTTGGTGATCCTGATGGTGGACAAGTCAGGCTGGGCTTTGGAGTTCAAGTAAAGCAATTTCAAGCCACTGGCATCGACCTTGATGTTGTTCTTTTTGATCTTGGAGATGTCTTTGGATGGGATCATTTGGTTGTTGCTGGAGAAAGCTGTTGGAGAACCACAGCGAGCTTCTGAGCTCCACCAACGACGGCTGAAGAGCCTTCTGTGTCGCAAATAGACGCAGACCGCCCGCTGTGACAGGTGCCGTTGCGGGTTCCGGACACGTGAACAGTGTCTCGTGCAGAAGACGTCCCCATTGCACGGGGCTGCGAGCCGAACGTGCTCCACTTTCTGTCAGAACTACATGGAAGAGCGAGGAAAGGAGAAACTGCTGTAGGATTACTATGATTATTGTACAACGAGCCCAGCACCAAAGCAGCCACCTCAAACATCGAAAACACAGGACATCAAAACACAATGATTGCAAAACAGAAAAACAGTTGAAACAAAAACACCAAAAGCAGTTGTTAGCTTTAACCCGTTGCTAGAGATCAGGTTTGGAAAGAAAAAAAATGAGCAATTAAAAATCAACTAGGGAGAAAATGGAATAAAATGGAAAATGAATCAGAAAGAAAACAATGAAACAATTTAACATGGAAAACTAATAAAGAAAGAGAAAAAAATAAAAGAAAAATACAATATAAGATGATATGAAATAATATAAAATGGATAAAAAAAAAAATTTAAAGTTGGAAAAAGTTAAAAAAATTTAAATTAAATCAAAATGCTACCATAAAACCACTGAAACCACCAAATCACCAAGCTGTGCTAGCATAGGTAGAGAAATTTGATTGCATGTTTCTATCATTAAATCCTGCCATGATGTTTCCAGGAACACCCCCTGGCATTTGCATTTGGGTATTGGAACTATGGATAGCTGTATTTGCTGCCGGAAGTCCACTGGACCCACGCATCTGATTTTCAGTCAAAATGCTGGACCATCCGTTTTTGTTGACAGCGTAAGTCAAACTGGTACCTAAATCACCTTCAAGACTTTCACTGGGCAATCCAAATAGCTCTCTACTTTTCTTTAAACAACAAGATGGTGTAACCTTTTTATTTCTATTGCGAGACAATGTCAGCAGTATATGTTTCCATTTGAATTTTTCTCCTGAAATCAATAAGGTTTTGAGGATTTTTAAATCTCGGCTATTAAACTCAGGCATTTGCTGAGGATTTCCCATATTGCCACCAGCCATTCCAACAGCTCCTGGCATTGAAGTATTGAATTGGTTATTCATTCCACTGTAATTCTGTCCATTATTATTGGTTTGGAATATATTTGGTATCTGGTAGCCATTGGGGTTGGCAGGATTGGATGATATAAAAGAAGGAGTGCTGCCGGATATATTTTGGTTGTTGTATGGATAGTTTCCTCCCTGCACAATTGTTGATGAGTGGTTAAAGAGAAGGTTGTTATTGCTATTATTGTCATGGTTATGGCTATTGCTATGGTTGATATTATTAATAAGATTATTACGGTTACTTAAAGCGAGGTTATTGAAATCATTTGGCGTTGCATTGGGGTTTTGCGAATTTATAGTGGCAGCAGCTTTCAACTGATTACTATTGGCATTGTTTTGATTGAAAAAACTAGCAGAGCTTGTTGCACTTGTGTTTCTAGATGTTGACGAGTTGTTATAATTTGAGTAGTAGTTTGTTGGGGGAGAGCTTGATTCCGAATTTGAAATTTGCGAGGGCGATAGGTAGGGATTATAAGAGTTGTTGGGATTGGTGCTGTTAGCATTTGCGTTATTATTATTATTGTTGTTGTTGTTGTTATTACTCGAATTGTTATTAGTAGTAGTATTAGTAGTATTAGTAGCATTGATATTATTATTAATATTATTATTGATACTGTTGGTGTTAGCATTGGAGTTAGTACTGTTGTCGGCGCTATTACTATTTGTATTGGCGTTAGCATTACTATTGACATTGGTGTTAATATTAGCGGGAATATTATTATTAGTGCTATTATTATTGTTAATACTGTTATTCATGTTTAAATTAATTGGGAAATTATTTTCCGAAGATAATAAAGATTTTCTCTTTGGGTTGAAATCAGATAGGTTGTTTAAAGCAGGAGATTCGCTAGTTGATATAGGAGAGACTAAACCGTTTTTGAAGGAAGTTGTTTCAGAAGAAAAGGATTTTGAATGTGATGATGAATCAAAAATATGGTCAGTCATGATTGCTGAGGGACCAAGAGAGAAAGAAATTGGGAATTAAATATAATAAAAGCTGAGGTGAATTTAAAAAAAAAAATTGGTTTGAATAAAAATAAGTTGAACAAAAAAATGAAAATCTTGAATTTTGAGTTTCAAATGTTGAATATCGTTCACTCTCTTTTTTTTTCTATTTAATCTTTTTGAATTGCTTAATCTAAACTAGTTTAAATTAAAGTAATTTTAAGATTTTTGTGAATAAATTGATGCCAGAGTGGCGAGTGAGATATGTAAAGAGAATACAGGAGATTGGTAATTGAATATAATGTTAATGAGCAGAATACTAGTATTGCTAGTAAGATTTGCTTGTTGTTGTTCTTGGTTCCTTTATGATTGAAAGAAGACAGAGAAATAGGGAATAAAGACCAGGCCAAAAAAAGGGTTAAAAGAGTATAAGAGTAAAAAATTAGGAAAAATAAATTCAGTCTTAAGAGATACTTGGAGATTTGAGGAAAAAAAACAACAAATAGAATAGAACTGAATAATTCCAGGTAAAAACAGAATGTTTGTTTTAGATATACTTTAGATTGGGCAAGTTAAGATAATAGGATAAATAGAAGTTGAGATGTTGAAATTGGATAGGTAATGAATTGATTGATTGAATAAATATGAAGATGATAGAGATAGATATTAAAGTGATTGAGATAAATATTAAAATGATTAAGATAAATAATGAAATAAGTAATGAAAAGAAAATTAATTTATAGATTGATAAAATGATAGAGGAAGGACAAAGTCAAATTAAATTATACTAAATTATACTAAATTATACTAAATTATAATAAAATATAATATAATAAATTAATATAAAATTAATATAAAATTAAGGAAATAATTAAGGAAATAATTAAGGAAATAGTTAAAGAAATATTTAAAGAAATATTTAAAGGATTAAATTGAAATTTGTATTAAGTTATTGAGATGTTTAAATCAAGAACCAGATTAGATTTGATAAATAATTGAATAATTGAATTAGAATATAGAATAAAATAAAATTTAATCTAGTTTAATTCAAATTAAACCAAATTAAATATATTGAATTGGTGGAAATAAGAAATCAGAAATCAGAATTTAGAATTGGAAATTGAGAAATTGAGAAATCAAAAAAACAAAAAACAAAACTGAAATCAAAAAAATTGGAAACACTGTAGTTGATAGAAATGGTTAGTAATTTATACTCTTAAATAAAATAGAATAATAAATGAAGATCAAATAAAAAAAGAGAGGGACGAGAAGAAGGGTGAGGGAAGAGCAAGAGTAGGATTAAAAGAGAAAATCACAAAAAAAAGCGTAAAGATAAGTAAAAGTCTTGAAAGAATTCATACCTCAAATTAAATAGAATTTAGAATTAGGATTAGGATTGGATCAAACCAAAACTGGTTCAGGTAAATAGAAAGATAAATAAAAGTAAATAGATAAATTAGATTTAATTCTATGTCAATTTTTTGATTTAATTTCTTAGGTTTTTGGTTAACTTTTTGAATTTCTTGAATATTTTGAATTTTTTGATTAAACAAAATGCTGAAGAGGATAAAGATAGAATCTTTGTTATAAGGATGTGAAGTTATCAAAATTAAGATGTAAAAGGGAGAAATATGCTGATAAATGACCTGGAGTTAAATGTGATAGTCTTAAGTAAGGAGCCTAAGTTGGTTTCGTCTTGATTAATGGTAGGTTGAAAGAGCGGTTTAATAGTATAGGAAGAGTATAATATAGTGGTATTAAAGAATTATCTTATGATGATGAGTGGGTATCAGAGCAGTAAGGAAAAACAATTAGTGCAAAAGTTTGACGTCAAAGAAGTATGTTATTATTAGAAAATTATTGGAATTATGAGAATTATGAGAAATTTTTTAGAAAAGTGTAATAAGACGAAATGGAATTAAGAGATATAAAACCAGATTCGAAACAGAGAATAGAGAAAATATTGCAACGGATATCCAGAAAACGAGGTGAATGGAATGGGCTGTCTGGAAGAGCTTGGAACAAAACGAGAGAACAGACGCCAGAATTCCTTTTATAAAGCAGATCCTAAGAGAATAAAGAGAACAACGCTCCAGCAAATAGCCAACAGCCTGAAGAGAGATCGTCTCCAGCAGCAGTCAATTTGTGATTTGTGGGCGTAATCATTGGCACCAGTCAGTAAATCCCAGAGGAGCATCCAGATCCACCCCGACGGGCTCAGCGCTGTCGCCGGCACATCGCTCGCGTGCGCCGTTGACCGTTTGCGCAGCCGCTGCGTGCCGGTGCATGCGACTGCGGCATCCTGGCCAATCAGCAGCCGCAGTTGGCGGCCCAGCGCGCCCAAGCCGTTGACCGCGGCTCACATCCACGCATGTTGGTGCAGCAGCAAGCTCTGGAGCTGATCCAGCCAAACGCCCATAACATCAGACCGGTGACTCATGTGCGCCGCAAGATGCAGACTCCTGCGCATTCCATGCTTGCTGTGCTGGTGCTTCCGACAGGACCTGCAGAAGAAACAGAAGAAGCAGAGGAGCCGACACAACGAGAAGCACAGCCAAAGCACCAGTAAAGTACTGGCAAAGGCACTTATATCTCCAGAACAGGTCCTTTGTGTATAGCTCCCTTTCTGAGTCGCTTTTCTCTGTCTGCAGCGATATTCTGCTAAATTGCTCAAGTGATCTGGTCTAGTCAACATTTTGTGTTTATTCTAATAGAATGATCAGATCATATTAATATTTGTAACTTGTAACTTCTAAGATCTCTCCAAAACTTATCTTGTCAGCCTCTGTCACACACACTTGCTTTTCTTTTTCACATTTTAAATGTTTCTCTTTTTTGTTTTTGATTTTAAGGAAATTTGAATCACTTTAGTTTGCCAACATGAATATGTGTTACAAATTTAAAATTATACAGATGGATAAAGCTAATAATATTAATTTTTCTTCTTGTTTTTTTCAAGGTTTCAAATTTTTCCAAATTTTCCAAATTTTCCGCTGTTGTGATTTTCCGCTTTAGAATTCCAAATTTTATGGTTTCCAATTTTTGATCAATTGCATAATTACGAAAAAAAAACGTTTTAGGGAATTAAATTTGGCACTCCAACGATATTTTCAATCGATTTAGTATCAATAAACGATTTGTATTTTGCAACTGAAAAATAAAATCAATTTACAATCAGATTCAAAATGAAATGAAAATGTTTTCTTTTTCAATTTATTTTTAATTTTCTCTTTAATCTTTCAATTTTGTAGCATTTGAACTTTTCTTTGTTAATCAACCGTTCATCGTTTATCGTTTATTGTTTATTGTTTATTGTTTACTGTTTATTTCTATTCTTTATTCTTTTATTGCCTCTTATTTATCGTGGGTTTTTTTCCTATTAAATTGAAATATTAAAATCGAAATATCAAACCCAATATAATAATGGCTCATTGTTTAATCGAATATGAATATGAATGTTTCATCTTATTCGATTCTATTCCATTACTATTCCATTACTATTCCATTACTATTCCATTACTCTTCAATCACTATTCTATTACTATTCTGTTAAATCATCTTTAATAAAATCCTTTTTCTAACAAATTTTACATCTCTAATATCCATACTTTTTTTCTTCCTATGTTTTTTCATTTTCCATTTTTTGTTCTCTTTTTATTGACTTCTTCCTTGCTCCTTGCTTTTCCATAATTATCAATGATGAATTCATACTGATAACATCTGTGACCAATGATCAATGACTATTCTTTACAAATTCGTTTTTTTTTTCTTTTCTTTTGTATTTTTCTCTACTGTTTTCTACCTTTTGTTTTGTTTTGTTTGTCTCTTTGTTTTCAATTATTAGCAAAATTCATTTGCCAATAAAGTTAATGACCATTAATACTAAATTATAAAAACATAAATTATAATTTAATTTAATTTAATTTAAATCCAATTCAATTCAACTAAATTAAATTTTATTATCATCATGAATAATAAATCACTTCTATTTCTATTATTTCATTGCTGAAATGTAAAATATACATTAATCCCATATTGCTATAGTATTAAAACCCACTAACAAAAATTAATAACAAAAGTAAATTAATCTGATACCTTTTCTTACTTACCCAACCTCAACTCGCAAATTTACAGTTATTCAACTTCTTTTTGACATTGTTTTCTTTTTTATTTCAAAATTCGTTTTTTCAAAACTTTTCTTTCCCTTTTCCTTTCACTTTCCATTTCCATTTCCATTTCCATTTCCATTTCAATTTCAATTTCTCACACATCCTTTTCAATCCTTACTTTTCTGGTCCCACAAATCATACTATTCTTCTAATTAATAAATAAACGATATCTGTCAAAACCTCTCTTCTTAAGCTCCAACTCCTTTATTAAAAGAAATTATTCCTTGCTTGCTTTTTCTTTGTCCTCTTCTCTATTAATTCAAGCCCGAATAACGGTTTACAAAAATTTGTTTCTGTTAAATTCAACTTGCTCTGCACTAAAATAATTTAATCACTTTTTCATTTTAATCTTAAATCCAACCCAAGTTCGTATTAATAATCTAAACTTTTGGTTAATCCCATGTGGTAATGTTGGATCTAAAATCACCTTTTTTCTTTCTATAAACTTTTTAGTTGATCTTCTTCGCATGTCTAAATTCAATACTTTTAAATCCTCTCGTCAAAACCTTTCAAACCAAAATTTTTCATTATGAAGACCTCTTGTCTTCTTCTCTCTTTTTTGCCCAATTCTTTTACCATTATCCTTCTATTCATATTTCTTCTATATATCTACGATTCACTTGTCACACATTCAAACGAATCCACAAGATTATTTTAATTCACTGAAAAACATTGCTAAATCAAACATCTACCAATTTTTTTTTGCTTTTTTATTTTTTTTTTCTTTCAGTCTCGACAACTTTATATAGCATTTAATACCAGCTTAAACTAAATCCCATAAGCAAAAACAAAATGAATTTACCGTTTTTATATAATTAAGCATCATACCAA